GCTGGGTTCGCATCAGTCACGAGGTCCAATCCTAGACCTTCTCCAAAGACTGCTGCTACACCACGGCGTGCGTACAGTCGATTCGCCTGCCGGGTTTGGATATATCGCTAATAGATGCCTGGGGATCTGAGGACCACGAACCCCGTCGTCGGATCCGTTGCCATCTCCGGCCCGAGCAGTGACGTGCAGGGGGATAGGGTGTGAGATGGAAGCACACTATGTCCCTTGGCAAGTTCCATTCATCTGACCTGCATGCTCGGCATGGATAGTCGCTTCGAGTGAGGTGCCCTTATTCTGAGGGCTGCATACTGCGAGGAGTAACCTAATAGATCTTCTGCATGCGTTCAGCGACTCATGAGGAAGTATTTCCGTCCCTGCTTGGGATGTCCTGTCATCACATATCGCCCGAGCGGCTGGGACGCTGGGACGCAATCCAGGACCGACAGAGTCAGTACTGTAGAAGATACTACTCGCTAACATTAGAGATCCCAATACGACATATGTGGTAGTACCAGGCTATTGGGTGGGCGGTCGTGGGGGTTACCGCATACGGGCATTCTCTGGTACGAACTGCCAACACGACCGTATTGGGTGCACAAGGCTGCATAGCTCCAAGTTGCTGGGGACAAAACCCCGGTATTTCAAGCATATGTGATCAGTCGATTTTCCAAAAAGGGCACTATATTCCGCCACTATGGCCTGTCATTTATGTGTTCCGGGTTGGCGGGACTCAAACCTTACCACAGTGCCTATACTCAGCTTACATGCAAGTTCTCACAGAACGTCTCGTCACTTTTCAGACGTCCACCTATCCAATCTAGACCCTGCTCGATGTCCAGGATGATCCGGCTCTTGGTTCCGATGCAAGCTCAGAGCATGGATTTGCTCTCCGGCTAGGACTGTGATGAGAAGAGACGACGCGAACGCTCAGACGAACGACACAAGGATCATCAACCCTGACATCGACACTTGCACCTCGGCTTGCATGGTGGATGACAGAATACTACCGTTCCAGTAATACACCACTTCCAGTTCAAGCAGCCCTGGTGTCAGTGATCTGACACGTCATCTAACACTGGAACAAAGGGACATGCGGGATCATTGCTCCGTCATGGCTCGCACTGCGTATATCAAGGACTTAGAAACCCTTCAACTTGGGAGGGCCCTAACTTCTCATCAAAATCTACCCTCACTGCCTCTGCCACCGGTTATCACGTAACGCACAAGGTAACTAGGCCCCAATGATCCGATATGTGATATGCCTTGCTGACCCCGGATAGCAGATTCACATCTAAGCCCAGAAGACATTGTGCGTACGGGAAGGTCAAATACACAGCTGCGAAGCAACACGACCGAAGCCGCTACCCCTCACCAACACCTTCTCGAGCCTCTTTGGTGCCTCTGTGGTCTACTTGCTATAATGGACGCCACGCTGTTACCACCTAGCCATGGCATTCTTAATGAGTGGATGGAGTTCAACACCAAACCATCACATTCTACCATCCACCAGATTTGCAACCATTCCCGGCTCTCAGTATGTGGGAACGGCCTCCAAGGCATGGTGGTCCCCTTCACTGTCCTGGCCGAACAGCCATGCCCGCACCGAGGTGTCTGCGGTTGCAATGGAAATTACGTACCCGGCAAGGCCACCCATTGCGACCACTGCACGGCCCACTGCAACGTATAGAAGGATAAGGGACGGTCAGGGACACTAGAAAGGTACACTGGCTATATCCAGCGTTGGGTAGTGGTACGACTAACCCGGTACCTTTGCGGTGGGCGAAGGCTTCGTGGTTGAACATGGCAGATTGGAAAGGGGACATCTCCGAGTCTAGGAAGGTTTACAGATGTATCAAAATCCGGGGCGGCGTCATTCATTTAGTTAGCCGAGACAAATCTCAACTCTCATTTACTTTGTCCCTTGTTAGCCATGCTCGCTTCGCTTGATGCCATTTGCCAACCTCGTGCGTTCAGGGGTCCAGGCCTCTCAAGGTCGCAACGGCGACGGGTAGCGGGGATCTCAAGCAGCCGGAAGTGCTTCCGGCACCGGGAAGTCATTGAACGAGCTTTTAAGATGCCAGGATCCCCAGCGATTGAGTCCGGAATGGCCATCCGTCGCAAGAACCCCTGAAATAGCGACGAACACATCCGCATCAAGCGCAAACACCATGAGGTGACGTCTTCCCGAATTCTCGAGTGACGCGGTTGGCGCTGCAACGTCTTCTTCTCGAAGCTTGGCAGACACACACCGGTCGAAAGGGGCTCGACGTGGCCAATCGGGGAGGCCCCATCCCACGTGGGATGGCCTCGCCGCCAGCTCCTCCCGCCTTCTGTTTGGGCGGGAATTGAGGCTCTCAATGCGAGTATGGACTCACCGGTGTGATTGTTTACTGCCTGCCGCGCATATCGGCAGTGCTTCACGTTGTACGAGATTGACTGCCGATGAGGCATGGGGGCGCACCTGCATGGCTGAGGACACCATGACTCGCGGCGTAATGTCACGCGAGCCCAACCTAAGCAGATAGAAAGCTGCTGTATCAATAATTACGTGAACCGAAGATGCTTTCAAATTAGCTTTTGCGGGAACCATATCCTTTCGTCCGAAGTCACTGTCACGTCGGTTGTTGAAGCTTCCTTCAACCTCTGACAGGCAATTTAGCAACGAACTTGCTGGTGTCTCCAGGCGCTCCAGGCACGACAGTTCAAGCACAGCCTTCATCAATGGCGGATCGAGTCTTTCTACTATTTGATAATGGCTTCAATCAGACGAATCTTCGCTGTTCCTACGATCAGACCAACCTCCAACCTCAGCATACAAGCTCTCCAACCTTAATACCACTCCCCACATATCCATCTCGACAACTACTTTCAGGAAAGGGACATTTAATGAGAAACACTCAAGGAACGACTTATCGAAATACCTGCTCTGCAGAGGATCGATGAGATTTTCGCAAGTAATGGCGACCTTTCTCATTTCCTGCCCCCCTGCAAGTCACAGCTCAGGAGTGAAAACACACTAGATTCGACTAGGTACGACTTCTATCCATCGCAGCAGTAACCTCAGCAGCTCAAAAGGAGCACCAACACTGCTCTATCCCATCTCGAAACGTAACCCAAGCTATATCTCTTGTCAGTGGTCTTGATTTGGAAAACCCCAGCAAGCGCGGCCGTCGCGCTACGAGACGGTGGTATTGGGATGCCGGTGGTACCAGGACCTTGCGATTCACCGAAGCCATAATGGCCATTCATCTTATTACGGCATAGCCAATTGGCAATCTGGCTCTATTACCTCAAAGCACCTGTGGAACTGAGGATGTCGTATGCCATATCGGCGGATTGTTGAAGCCCAGCAGGCTGCTCAGCCCTCGCCCTGAGTCAACACACACATACACACATACACACATACACAATGATAATAATCTTGTGGATCGTTACGCCAAAGGGGTAGGTAGCCAAGGATGACACGAATGCATGTACTAACATCGAGTATCACGTCGACTCCTCCAAGGGAAAGCCGATATTGCACCGTTTCCGGAAAGCCTCCGATATCAATGTCCTGTTCTCCCTGCCATCAATCGAAGAGGACACCCCGTCCAAAGATGCATGATCAACTAGAATAACCGCACTTGACGTGTACATGCAGACCTACAGCACCAACTAGGCCTCGAAAAGCAGAGCAGACAATTGATAGCCCACCGCTTCAACGCACGTCCGACTCCTCTACGACGCCGCTTGACAAGGCGATGAGCAAAGTACGTGGGTGGCACCGGGCATTAAACACCAAAGCACATTTTCTATTAGCTTAGCTACGTATGTATCTAAGCATTGTACGAGCTGGATGAGATATTGATAAGGCCACGTGCCGGAAGACCGCGCCGCATTAACTACTTGATACCCACGTGTGATGCCTACCGTTACGAGCGACTACTTGTCAGAACACGTGCTTAACGTGATCAGTGGTGTATTATAAGCAGTATACTCGTCATGCTGTGGGATCACCTGATAGCTATCAGAAGTCGCTCTCCTGCTTATTTAACTAGGGAGGTGCCCCCTTCAGCTACCCTTCTTCTTCTTCCTCCAATACAGACCATTTCGAAATCTGACACCACTCATGAGTCGTAGCAGTAGCGTATGAGTTTAGAAACGTCACATGAGAACTTTCGAGCTCTTGCGTCGACGGAGCAAGGGTAGCGCAGCGCGCGTGTGAACCACAGGCGGCTGAGATTCGAGAATCCCCTTCCCCTCATAGCAATGTGCGGTCTTGACACGTGAGGATGAGGGAGGGTCTGTTACTGGGTGAGATGATTAGGGAGTGAAGCCACTTACAGAGCGCATAGGGACTCAAGGAGACAGTTCAGGACCGCTCAGGTCAGGTGAGCTCCCTTCACCTCATCTCATGCATATCGCAAGGTCCTAAGAGTTATACCCTTTTACAACAAACATCTCACACGCGCAACATTCAAGTTCGAAGTCACACACACGTGCTAGGCAGAGCAAGTGTCATTGAAACATATGTCATTGATTTCCCCACGCCAATCCAAAATCGGACGACCCAGCATCTAGCCGAAGTATGCAAACAAGAACCGACGAACTCCTCCAAATACTCCAGGTACCGGATCAAAGCCGTCGCTCCAATGTGGACAAAAAGGAAAGAACGCCATGTCTGACTTTCACTAATAGCGATATGAGCCTGGTCTGGTCTGATTGATCCATGACCACGCCCTAACCCCGATATCGCTATCCGAACGCACCAAGCACCCTTTCCCCGGAGAATTAATAATGTGGTGAGAAGCGAAGGTCATGAGCCAAGCGGCTCTAAAGGTCGTGCAATGCGTCGTTGACGTGCAAAGGGGGTATCATGTTTCCAGACTCCACGCAGACCGGGGGCAGGGCGTCCCGTTGATGAGTAGATTGGCGGTTAGAAGCTGCGCGGCGGATCTTAGACCGTTTGCTTTCCTCAGCTCCCAAAGTCCAATTGGCTTTGTCGGATAGCGAACGGCTTAGAGCAGCAGTGCGGCACCCATACCCACGACGGCCAACAGGAGACCGGACTGGACGGCGACTAGACCGGCACCGGCGGTGGTCGGCACGGCGCTGGACGAGGGCCCTGAGGCCGTAGCAGATGATCCAGCAGCGGACGTCGTGGGGACCATAGGAGTCGTCGGCGTCGGGTACGTAGTGGGAGCAACAGAGGTGGTCGAGTTGGGGTAGGAGGTCGGGCCAGCGGTTTGTAACGTGGTCGTGTTGGAGATGGGGTGAAAGGTAGACGTGGTGCTGACAGGGTATGAGGATGTCAACGGGTATGAGGGTTTCAACGGCGCCGATGAAGACCAAGTCGACGACGAAGACGACGACGACGACGAGCACAGCGAAGAGGACACTGACGAGGACACTGACGAGGTCACCGACGAAGAAGTGGGATAGACTAGCGCAGAGCTGCTGGGCGTGTACAGCGGGCACGCGGTGTTAGTCTCCTGACATTTCGTGATAGTTATTGTCGCTGTCATGTAGCTCGTGCTGGTGATGGTGTTTTGCGCAACAGCGGACATGGCGCTGGCGGCCAGGACGATGAGGTATGAGGCGTGCATATTGTATATGGCAACTGGTTGCTACGACTGATTCAAGACTGTTGAAATTCTTTCGATATCCAGGCGAGAAACAAACTAGGGTGTTGTTTCGAACGAGGCGGCTTCTCGAAGGTGGCGGCTGAGGTTGTATTGTTGTATATCCAATAGATCGGTAGGGCTGCGTATGGGATCGGAGATGGGATTTCTTTAAATATCTTCTAAGAGTGACTGGAACAGCGAGCGAATGTATAAATAAACGAATATGGGTTGCAGAATGCAAAGATGTTGGCTGTCGCGGAGGCGAAAGGAGCGTGTGGGATGAGAGAGACTTGTCAGTGAGGGTCGGAGGAACAAGACGTTGGCGGCACAGCCCTTTTTCCTCCTCTCATGAAGTTCTTGCCCTCCTGTTGCCCCAGTGTCCCCCTTGCACCCTCGCAATCAACAGAGATTGCGTAGATTAGGGTGGGCTGCGTCCAGAACAGGGCACCGAGCCATTTGACCCAGTGGACTTTAATTGGATCGACGCCTTTCTGCCGGGTCGCCGACCAGGGTGTGTTGAGACCGGCCGCGCAACCATCTTGCCATCTATCAAAATAGTGTCTGGCGCAGTTTATTATTACACAGGCAGCCAGTTGCCGTCCATGGGCAACTTGAAGCGATGTGTGTACATTGTACCTCGTATCCCGTTCTCAGGCAACAAAAAAAAAATTGGAAGATAAACCGCTTGCCATCGTTGGCTTCAATGAGGTCACTGGACACTGGTCGCTGGACAGAGGCCAGATGTCGACAAGGCGGAAGACGAACAGGCAGAGACGATGGCAAGGCCAAAATTGATGTCAGCCTGTTGACAAGCGGGTGGTTCCTGGTGGTTCCTGCAGGAACAGCACGGTCATTACCCCATTAGGATCGCCGGTCGCGACCGAGAGTCAGGGAGGGTCCCTGAGTGCCCCTGATGGCCAACCGTGGCTTTTCGTGGCTTTACGTGGCTTTTCGCGACTGAGGGGCTTTGCGCCGCCCAATCAAAACTGTCTTGAACCGTCGATCACTTCCTGTTCCTATTTCAGCCACTCAAAGCCCCGCATCTTGACCCGGGCTGTACTATTTTCAGTTCAGTGACGTCGATCGCCATGACCGTGCCCTCGGGCCGTCATCAGCATGGAACTATTCTGAGCATCGGTACGGAGCTACGCATCACCATTTCGCCGTTGCGAATAATCCAATGACAAGGTGTTCTTAACGACCACGAGGCTCTGGGAGTGTGCAGTCGTCAATTATTAGCACTGATCGACATGTTTGCCCTGTACAACACCAACACATGCATGTCTTGCGCCGAAGAAGAGGTTTAGTACGACTAATATTCGCTCCACCTGCCATGCTGTCCCCTCCTCGCATGCAGCCGTCCAGGAAGCCACGAGAGGCAACGTGTTAATGAGATCTATCACACTATTCCCGTCGTACAAACATTGTACGGTACCTTATGTAAGAACCCCGCCCAATCAAACCACATATGAGAGCACCCCCGTTGCACACATCGCCGAAATATCATGCCCCACTCCATTCGCCATTCCCGGAGATGAGAAAGAGGAGAAAGACGTCTACACAAACTCCTGAACATGCCGCCGCCACCCGCATGTGTTTGCTTCAGCTTGACTCATACACACGAGATATCTTAAACACCCGTCCGTCCCTTGCTTCCCGGTGCGCCACCAAGCATCGCCATGCGTGCTACCGCGCCCGGTTCCCGGCTCCATCGCCGTGTCGCCCCAGCCCTTGCATGCTCTCGTACACGAAGTCGTACACGAAGTCTCAGACGATGCAAGAGATAGATGGGATGGCAAGATCCCCTAGCGTGCCATCTATATGTGTCCCCGAGTCGGCTCCCACCCGAAAGCAGCACCAGGCGGCATCCTCCCCAGGTTGTTGTTGGGAACGAAAGGTCGTCGCGACAGGGGGTTGTGTCTGCCTCTTTCCCCGCGCGGGTCGTGATCGGGGTGGTAGAAGCCGCCACCGCCTCCCGCGACAAACTCCTGACTGGACGACCACTGCGGCGACGCGTAGACGGGGGGAGGAGGAGGAGCGCCGAAGGCTTGCTGATAACGCTCCCTCTCGCGATCCCAGTTGAGCTCCCGGTTGAGCTGCTCGAGGCGGCGCAGGTTTTCGGTGAGCTCGCGCTGCTGCTTGAGGCGGCGCTCCTCCTCCTCGGCGCGCCGTGACTCACTGCTGCGCATCGAAGCCGTGCGGCTGCTGCTGCGTGACGACCGGCTCCTTGGCTCGGCGGCGGCGGCGCGGTCCGCCTGCCGCAGGTACTGCACGTAGTTCAGCACCTCCTGTATCGTCTGCTGCTTCTGCGCCGCCTCGTCGCGCCTGCGCGCATCGTCCTCTAGCAGCTTGCGCACCTGGTCGACCGACGCCGCGCACTCGCCCTGCTTGCTCAGGTGCTCGCCGTGGTTGCCTTTGATGGCGTCCTGTGTGACCTTGATCGCCTTCTGTGTGTCCTTGATGGCGTCGTGGACCTCCTTGACGGTGGCGTGGGTGTCTTTGACAGCGGTTTGTGTGTCCTTGACGCTGGTGTGTGCGACTTTGATGCTGGTGTCGGCGTCCTTGATCGCCTCCTGCGCCTCCTTCACCTCGGCGCTGATGGCCTCTCTGGCGTCGCCGGTCTTCTTGTCGCTTTCCTGAGCCGCTGCCAGTGTCTTCTTCGACGTCTCTGTGTGCTCCTTCCACTGGCCTCGGGTAATGTTGGCCGGGAGGCTCTCCTCTGGCGGCCAGAAATCCACTGGGTAACCGAGGTGATCTCGGCTCACCATTCTCACTGGGTTCGCTGCTGCAAAGGTAGGTGTTGTTGGCAACACTCTCTTGATGGCCTCGTCGGCAGCTTTATTTGCGACGTTTAGAAAGTCTTGCTCAGACGTCGCCTTGACGTGGCCGCACTTTTTGACTGCTTTCTTCCGCTTAGGGGTGGTAGGAAAGAGACACATGCTTATCAAGTTAGGAATGAGATGTTGAGATTGTCTGAGAACTGCAGAGCTGGTAGGTGCAGAGATGTGCAGTGCAGATGTGCTCTTCGATGCGGACATGCTCCCAGCCTTATACAGAGCAAGACGCGTGTATACTCAGCCCCTGAAAATAGGTTAGCCTCGACCATCTCAAGGCTTCTGAGTATGAACTTACCGCTCCAACGTCTGCCACCGCCATTTGCGCAAGCCGCATCTTTCGAAGCAGATTCCTGCACGCGTGGCCTATGTCCTCTTTGACACAAGCCTGCAAGTCTCTCATGGTGCAGCAGCCAGCGAGTGAGGTCGCGGCTCGGGCTGACCGTCGGAAGAGCTTCTGCGTTTGCTGCTATGTATGAGGGCACTACTCGATTGGCCACATTCTTGCAGTTCATTGTTGGCGGCTATTCTCCGATGGGCTGAGACATGGGAGCAACGACCACATGGCAGGCAGAAGGTCTCACGGACACTTTCCCGGTTAAGACCAACGGTCACCATGCCTTGGTGTTTCAAGTATTTCCCCAGACTGGCCGACAAATAGAGTGAGAAGCCACCAGATATTCCAGATCAGCCGCTGACCGCCTCCTTATCTCAACCTCTCTGGTGTAGGGCCACCCCTTATCTGTCGGTCAGCGACCCGAGACTCCTTTGTTCGATATGAGGACATGGCCCTTCAGCACATCACCTATAGCGCGTGTTATTCAGGACCAGTGCAACGCAATGGGTAGGCACTGCGGTCGACCCGGGTCACATTACCTGCATTTTGCATAACAGGGTCAAGTCTGTTGCTTGCCATGGCCTGACAAGAAGGATTACAACTCGGGGATTGTGGATGTCTCTACATAACTTACATAACTTGGATTTAAGTGAACAAGGGGAAGTTCGCTATGATGAAATGTCAAGTCTGGGAGGCCTCATGAGTTCTGCGACCAGAACTCCATCTCCGTGCCCATGTTGAAACAATGTGGCTGCTAGATCTTGCGATGGAGTTCACCTACTGCCTCATGGGCTTTGAAAGTGTAGATCGACGCGTAGGTACCTCAGTGTTAATCAACTGAGGTAGGTACTCGATCCCGTCTGCTTCCTTTACCTACCGCCATGGATCGCGACAACAGCCAGGTAGGCGCGCTTTGGATATCATTCAATAACGGAGGTGCGAGCATGGATAGAAATCATGGCAAGACTAGGAAGAGAACCTTGGTCATGCATTTGACCTCGGATATCGCGAGAGTATCAAGTCCCGAGCTGTCCCCTGTACCTGAACCCAGGCGGCTACGCCCACCTTAGCCGCCGTTGAAACGCGCCCAATTTACCCTAAACCTTCCACTACCGGTACAGGCCGACCGGGGCCCCTGATTCCAGGGGCGGGAGGTAGTCCCAACACGGAACGGTTTTTCCGCGGTATTAATTGCTGCCCCCGCAAGCCCCGGCCTCGTCCCGAATTCGGGTCCCCGGCCCTTGGCTTTCCATCAATCAATCAAGCGATCAATCATCAAGCAGGCAATCGCAAATCCCACGAATCCGCCATAGGCCATATGCCATATGCCTTATGCGGCCAGTGTCGCATCGCATCGCATCGCCAATGCCAGAGAAAGAAGCAGGAACCCCCACAAGCTGTTCGCCCACAGGGAGCCGCAGTTCTTGGCCCTCTTGGCCCTCTTGGCCGGCGGGTCTATGGGCAAACAATAACCTGCCAGCTGTTGATAGCATCTACTACCCGCTTGCTCGGCTTGAACATAGGGCGCGGCGCTGCTCTGCTTTGCCTCTGAAGACCATGGGGTCTGCGCTGGCACTCGTCGATGTACAGGACAGAAGTCTGTCTGATGGGCAGAGAGTATCCAGACACATGAGCTGAGATGGTTGCTCGGCACGAATGTTTATTGGGGGACTTTCTTATGTGTAGTTTGCATACACGGAGCCCGGAACCATACACAAAAGTCTTTGGGACAGTGAGGGGGCCCACCACCGGGCACCACTCCCAGAGCTCCTGGACCCTCCTCCAATCTCGGATGTCTCGTCTTGACTCTTCTTGATGACGAGTCGCATATGCACACTGCTGACTTGGCTGATGGATGGTTCAATATAAAGAGAGGCCGTCGCCGCGACATCTTGGCGGTCTTCTCTTGCTGTGCACGCTTCGATTCGGACTTCACCCCATTCATTCATTCGTTGTTTCCTACCATCCGCCACGATGCCTTCCTTCGCTTCCACCCTCCTATTCTCTCTGGCGGCCTCGCTCGCCGCCTCGCTCGCCGCCGCCTCTCCCGTCGCCGTGGCCGGCCCACTAACGACGCCAGGCCCGGACCCGGCGTTCGCTGTGGCCGCGAAACGCGCTTCGTCCTGTACCTTCTCCGGCTCCGCCGGCGCTGCTTCGGCCAGCAAATCGCAAGCTTCGTGTGCGACCATCGTGCTCAGCAATATCGCCGTGCCGTCGGGCACCACCCTGGATCTTTCGAATCTGGAAGACGACACTACCGTAAGCTCCCTGGTCTCCTTGTCCTGCTCCCATGGTGCTCGCGCAGGTGGCATCATGCCCGGCAGACAGACTCAAGTGATTGCCGTTTCTAACGCCTCATAGGTCATCTTCGAAGGCGAGACCACCTGGGGCTACGCCGAGTGGGAGGGCCCGCTCCTCCAGATCAAGGGCAAGAGCATCACGGTCAAGGGGGGATCGGGCCACGTGCTCAACGGCGGCGGCGCGCAGTGGTGGGACGGCGAGGGCAGCAACGGCGGCAAGACCAAGCCCAAGATGTTCTACGCCCACGACCTGACGGGCAGTTCGACCATCTCGAGCATCAACATCAAGAACACGCCGGTGCAGGCGGTGTCCATCAACGGGTGCGACGGCCTGACAATAACTGACATGACCATCGACAACTCGGACGGCGACGTCACCGACGGCGGCCACAACACGGACGGCTTCGATATTGGCGAGAGCTCCGACGTTACCATTACCGGCGCCACCGTGTACAACCAGGATGACTGCGTGGCTATCAACTCGGGAACGGTACGTACATCCAATTCACTTCACCGTGTCTGAGCAGCCCAACTCCCTACCCATTCATCTTGATACTCGCTAGGAAATAACACTGACACTTGTACCCCGCAAACCAGAACATCAAGTTCACCGGAGGCTACTGCTCGGGTGGTCACGGCCTCTCGATCGGGTCGGTCGGCGGCCGCGACGACAACATCGTCGACACGGTCACCTTCTCCGACACGACCGTCAAGGACTCTGCCAACGGCGTGCGCGTGAAGGCCACGGCGGGCGACACGGGCACCATCAAGGGCGTCACCTACTCGGGCATCACGCTGAGCGGGATCACCAGCTACGGCATCCTCATCGAGCAGAACTACGACGGCGGCGACCTGCACGGCAACCCGGGCACCGGGATCCCGATCACGGACCTGGTCATCGAGAACGTCACTGGCAGCGTCGACAGCGACGGCACCAACATCGCCATCGTGTGTGGGGACGGCTCCTGCTCCGACTGGACTTGGTCCGGTGTCGATGTTAGCGGTGGCGACACGTACGACGCATGCGAAAATGTGCCTTCGGTTGCTAGCTGCACGTAGGGGATGGGGATCACTCGGTGCCCGAACATTGGGACTCGGATGTTGTGGAAACGGGACCCTGCGGCTTCGCATAGGAGACCCGAACAAGCTGAGGGCTACATTGCCTGCATCCCGTGCTAGTTTGCGATATGTTGGAGGAGAGAGCATAGCGCTGCGATTGAACCAGGCCGTCATTTATTATCTTCGTCTCTTGTATATACTTCACATAGATTGTAAATATCACATACTTCACACCTTTGAGTCTTCTACGCAGAGTTTTGGCTGAGTCACGGGTTTTAATCCCTCTGAGCGCCACCCCTTTTCGAAGATTCTCTATCACATGTAGGTACCGAGGCGTTAAAGTCTCAACAAGCCAACTACCTTCTACGCCACGCCTTTCTCGGATCGATGCTTCGAGATAGCCTTGAACGAAGCCCGCCCCCCTCCAGGAGATTCGGTGCCAACGATTCATGCTCGTAGACATACTGGGGAGCCTTTTGATTGAGGAGTGCTCTGCTGGTATGCGCTCGGCGAGGTACGGGGTCGGGCTGGTGAGAGCCTGCAGAGGTTCGTTGAGAGGAGATACTAGGCACTTCGCGTCCGTGGAATTGTTGTTCTGCTTACTGAGTAGCTTGGGACATACAACTGGTGAATCCACCAGAGGACCATGATGCTTTCGTTCGTGAACATTGTATCTCGTGTGCCTTCGTCGTCGAAGGACTTCCGTGTGCGGGCCACCTGTGACCTGGTGGGCTTCCGTATTTGCTTCGTCACTAGAAGACTTCTGTTGCTCTGGCTCATCCGTGAGCCGTGGTCGCGCCTGCATGGAGGACTTCCGTGCCTTCGAAGGGGATTTCTCGTGTGCTTCTGAAGGAGGGCTCCTCTCGGTGCTCCGTACATAGGAAAATGCTGTCAAAGCTGTGGTTCGGTGTGACGTAGGAAAAGGGGGTTGCCGTCGAGGCTCTGTTCTTCTTCTTCCGGTGACCTTGTGGCTTCCTTTAGCCACGTCGCCTGCTTGCCTACGTGGAGGACTTCTCGTGCCATCCACCTATCATGCGTGACCAGTGTGGCTGGCAGAGAGCCAGGCTGAAGCTGAAGGCTGTATCAGCAATTTCCTAGTTACTGTTCAGGCTTGAGGGTGTGGCCTTTATACTGTTTACTCTTCTTCCTTGTTACTGGACCTCTGGTCCCACCATATCTGAATGACCTGTGGTCACAAAACAAAATAACTCGATCTACCTATCATGTCGCCCATACCGTCTTCAGCGACTTCTGACTTCTCCACGAATGGTTGTCGATGGTTATCTGGTGCCCTTCGATCCCATATGATCCGGTGCATCGACACTGGTCAGGGAGCTTCTCTTGAGGGCGTGATTCGGTGCTTCCATCGTTGGAGGAAGACTTGGGGGTTCGGTGGGCCACGCACGGTAGTTCTGCGCCGTGGACTTTTCAGGGGGTGATCACACATTGAAGCGATTGGTATTTTGTGCAAGCTTCGTGAAAATCTCGGTTTTCCTCGTCGTCGCCCTCATTCGCGAATGGTACTGTATTTTCATATGCGTTTCAATAGCTGACGTGCAGTAAACGTCAGGCTGTATCATCAGACGACGTTTCAGACCGTGCCATCGCAAGACTCTCTAGGTCTTGGTGAACCGGACCAAGCGACACTGCATTGGTATGAAAAATGCTCGGTGCGAGCGTCGGCACGATGGCTAGTTCCGATCTCCTTTTATGTAGTGACGACGTGAATGATTAGTGGGTGCCATATCACGAGGTCTAGTCAGGGAACCACGAAGCAAAGCGAGGATAATTTGGAAGGGAATGGTATTCTACATGACGGTGTTTGCGAGCTACACAGATACGTATCCTTTCCCTTCTCCTTGCGGCCTCGCTCGGTCGCCCAAATCCACGATTCAGTCCCGAGCCTCCGATACAAGGAACGCAAGTATCGACGATGGTCTCGATTCGACAGTCCTCGCCCAGCGCCAATCCAATTGTAGCCAGTCGAGAGAGTGCTCGGGAAAGCTCAAGATGGTATTGGACCAGTGTTGGCCGCTGGAGTCCGTTCGAAGCCGCTGCTGGTGATCTGTTAGCCACAATGCTTGAAAGAAGGGGAGCGGACACATTCCTCTGAAGGCAACCCAAAATGTGCTCTCGGAACCGGTCAAAGCAGTTCCCAAAGGGTAAGATAGGCCAAGAGATTGCTGGAGGTAGTGTAATACCACCAACTCAAATTGAAGCTCCATTGCCAGAGGCAAAACCATGACGAGCATGATTGGGTAACGAAAAATTGGCGGCACGAAGCCCTGAGTGAGAACACTGTCAACCGTACCCCATGTGTAAACACAGTCAAGTCCGAAGACTGTGGGCTACCACAAAGTGTGCCAAAACGCGAGCAGAGCCGCGCCGAGGACCGCTGGTGGAAGGTATGCCACGAATCAGCTGCACCATTGACGCAGAGGCTCTGAACCATCCACGCCGCCGGGAAACCATCGCCTGACGAGCAGGAGCCGTAGGACCCACGGGAGACCCGACGTAAACGCCAGGCCAAGTAGAAAAACAAGGAGGGCTTGGAGGACCACAAGGATCGCTGTTTGTAAGGATATAGTATCTATGATAGCGCTGTTGATAGTAACGATGACTATGAAGAGAAAAGAGAAGAGAAGAGGGGCCAAGCTGGAGGACCGAATGGTTTTATGACGCCCAGCTTGCTACCTCGTACCTAATGGAAGGAGCCATGGTGGCATTTGGTTTGATTCATGTTCCTTGAGCAAGAGGGCAGTTGCAAGTGACCACTGAGTCCACGTCATGAGCCTCAGTGACGGCATGAAGGAGGTTGTGCCTGCTGCGCCAGAAAGTAAATCAAACCGTGCCAGGCACGACAACCAGTACCTGTAGGAAATCAATGTCCATATTGGGTGGGTAGTTCTGCAATTTCCACCAGATAGGAGCGTGGAGTCCGACAGGCAAAGAATTGTGACCGTATAAGGCGTTATTAAAGACCGCACGTTGTATGAAAGCTCACGGTACCTACCTATGCAAAGCTCTCTGTGGCCACAGAGGGGCACGACAGGAAATGATAGTGCCAAAGGTAACTGCCATACCTACTTCCTAGGTACGCTCTTTGAGAAATGGCTATCCAACATCCCTCCGCGTAGGTCTGGAAACTGCCACAAACAAGGCAGGCGTAGTAAGGCCCACCTGGGACCTGATGCACGGAAAGACCTCAGTAAAGTAACCTTCAATGTGACTGGAATCATCGGTGTGCACAAGGATATCACGACCCTCGTTTCAAGGCTGCAAGTGTTGACCAGATTTCGTGGGCCGGGTGCGTACTGGTCGCTGAGTGCAGACTGCATTCTGTCTCGACCAACATTCACGCCAGTCTCGATCCAAGGGTATTTGAAGGTGCCTACCTCGCATAAGTTACATAAGGTAGATACATACATGTAACAACAGTACATAATGGTGGGATATGTGGATGCAGATGATTAAGGTTTGTAGGAGGTACAGAGGCGTTACCTAACGTCTCAACAAGCTTACTATCTACCTAGGTACCTACCTTACTTACCTTCTCAACGCCACGCCTTTCTCCGATCGATGCCTCGAGGTAGGTAGCCTTAAATAAGGCACGCCCCCTTCCAGGTCTACCTCGACCTCAAAGCTCATTAAAATACAGTCGTCACCTTCAGTTCCTAAGTCTCAACCCATTACGCTTATTCGCACCTTCATTTTCGCACCTTCATCGGCCAAGCACTGCCATCACCAACGCCATGGCGGATTGTATGGGCGAGTGCGTGGCACAGTGCATCTTCAGATCAATCCTGACAATCTACTTCATCGTCATCGAAGGCCTGATCGTCGAGCGGCGCGACCCGGTTATAAGATGCGGTCGCCGACTCCAACACCTGCTGCACCTGCCCAAAGCCATGTGCGTCTTCGCCGACGAAGACCCTGGCATGTCGGACGACACCATACGCATGAGCGCCGTGGCCCTGAGTCTCTCCTTTACGGTCGCGATCATGACCGTACTGGTCGTCGCGGTTTTCAGAGGGTCGTTCGTATTCTGGGATCCGTGGATACTGGGCCTTGCGGTTGCGAGCCCGATCTGCGTCATCGCCACAGTCTGGCTGGTACTGGCACTCGCATTGAGACGAGAGCGAGCGCGTCTGGGAAAAGGAATTCACACGGCGTCGACCAAGGAAACAGAAGGATCGGCACTGTCGGAGAACACACGGATGGAAGAGCACGGCCTAGAACGATCGCTACAAGCGATCTGGACGACAATGGTCTAGGCTTCGGATGCCGGTTATGAATCGGTGGGTACAAGAGGACCGGATTTCTGTGTACCTATTCAGCCGTCAGGCAAATAGATATCAACAATGACCAGTGATCGATTCGTCGTGCTCAGCCCCCAAGGCCCCTTTGACACCACCACCGAGGACCATATCGTGTATGGCGAGCAGTACCCAGCGCTCGTTGCCGGGCAGCTCTACACGGGGTGTCCGGTCGGAGCATATCCATTATCCACCTCAACTACCGTCATCTGAAGGACACCCACTCACTGCTGAATAGCAACTCGGGTGAGCGAGACGACGAAAGCGGGTTTCTTCTCGAAGCATGTCGACGGCAAGGTGAACATTGACTTGTTGACGAGAACTCGAAGACCACTGGCACCATCGACTTGCAGGCGACGCGCGCTGTACGCCAGGCAGGAGGTTTGCGGCGCCCTCGCTGTTACTTTGCCTACGCGGACTTGCCGATGTCCCTGTCGAACATCAGCGACCAGGTCTGGTTGATAACGTCGAGGCAGACGCTGCCGGACCTGCGTAAGGAGAAGCCAGTATGCTGCCTAAAGAGGCGTGCTTGTCCGGGTTATGTTTGGGTTGAAGATGCGGTTGACGAAGCCGATGCATGGGCTCTTGTATGGGTATTGGTCGGGAAGCTCTACGTGGATCTTCCAGAGGCCGCCCTGGAATGGTGCTTTGACTGGTCAGTGGTCAGCAAGAAGAACACACTGGAGGTGATAGATGATGTAAGCCTGCTTTCTTCCGGGCCCTTGAAACGTGGACAGTATGTGGCCCAAACATGCGCGTCTACATGAGCTCGCATGGTCGTTCCATCGGCGTCGGTTCTCACCTTCCGAGGTTTGAGCTTTGTGGTGATAAGCTGCTTGGCTACCTTAGACTAGGTGGTATACCACGCAAGGCCGACAGGTGTTGTACAGCTGGGTTCTTTTTGCTATTGGCATGCTGTTGATAGAGAAGTTCATGTGAAGGCTGTGATTGGCAGAGGATGCGAGTAGGTATATATGTACCGCCTTTTCCAAGCAAACCTTTAAAACTCTTCACGGATCACCTGTTCGCCAAGCCAGACCGTTTACACCCAAATTCCTTATCGTATCGACGAGAGATCTACGTGCAACAAGGTTCCCCGTTTTTTTAAGCTAATAATGCTTATATTTACTGCTATTTTAGAGCCCAGTGTCTAGCGTTACATCGACTTTATATAATAATGTAATAGTTATAAAGCGTATTTTTATCGTCGTTGTCAGATGTGGTGGTGGCTCTCGTGTGTGGTTTGACGTGATCCGTGCGTCACCATGGAGTGTGTGACAGCAATCGGGTGTTGTGTGGCAACCAAACAGCCACCTGTCTGGGAGACGGTTAGTCAGGGCTCCAGGCCACCTATTCAGATAGCGATTCGTCCCTTCTGGACCACCGACAAAAGGAACCAACCCGATCCTGATCCATCCCCTGTCTTGACCCCTGTGTGACTTCTCACAGTCGTTATTATTAAGTTAATGAGAGCATTATCCGTGAAACGATAAGTGCAGTATGAGTGTGACAGCGTTGTTGTATTCAGGAAAAGGTCTATCGACTGAGTGTTGGTGGTAGAATACACTTAGATGCCCTATGGGTCCCTGTACGACCCGACAGTGTGGCTGATCACCACATACCGCTTACATATACAGATGGATACTGCTCACAGTTAATATATAAAGGAATAAACCTCGGCATTTTTTAATAATTATATAATAAAAATACACTTTACAACTATTACGCTGTTATATTAACGTCGCGTATATCATTTTATATATTCCTAGATAGCTAGCAAATTAGGGCTTTTTGACAATATATAAAAGAACACACGCAACGTCGTTTTGAAAGCATAGTCGTCGTAAAACGTACTTTTATCGCGTCTGGCACTAGCTCAGAATTATGTGTGTGTGTGTGTACAGAAAGTTGATGTGGGGCTGGACACTGGGCTTCGAAATGGCAGTATGAGCAGGTGGTCCGTGAGGAGTATTAAGGGCTTGCCTGGAAAAGGCGGTAGGGGTGTAGGATGCAACGCGGGGCTGTCGTCAGCTACCTACCTCTATACCTACAGTACCTCACTTCAGATGGCTTCTTGATCTACCATCAACTCACAGTACCTAACCTTCACACCATGGCTGGTACTATGAAGAAGGATCCGTTCGATGGCCCGCCGCCGCCTTACGACGCAGACAATGACAGCATCGCCGCCTTTGCCGCCGTCGGAGGTACAGCCAACTCGGACGGCAAGGACGGCCAAACAACCCCGCGACAGGGCGTCCTGAGCAAGATGGTTGCTTTCCTCCAGACTACAGCCCTCTGTGGGTCAAGTGCCACTGCCAGCAAGACAGCGACAAACGAACTCTCGGATTCGAGGAGGCGGTGGATTGACGTAGGATCCCAATCCTACACAGCCCAACTTGACTTGTACGACCTGCTGTCCATTCGCTCATGGTCCGGATCCCTCAACATCGGCGTCACCCCACAGGCAGCCGACAAGGAGCATCCCGCACCGGCGGAGATGATGATAGAGAGCCACTCAGGCTCGCTGGACATCAACATGGCGGCTTTCGAGGTCCCGAAGCGAGACTACTTCGTCTCTATTGACTCCCACTCCGGCTCAGTAGGTGGACATCTCATCCACGGCCGCAAGACCGCCGTGGTCGCACACTCCGCCAGCATCTCTCTTCGCTTCACGCTCTCCGGTGCGAGTGAGCACGCCTCGAGCTTGAGCACTGCTACACAATCCGGCCAGTCGACCGTCACGGTGCTAAACCCAGTCCATTCTGCCGGAGCATCTTCTTCCATTAAGCAGCTGTCAAGCAACCACACCACCAAGTCCGGTAGCCTAGTCCTCCGATACCCTAGCGATTGGGAGGGGACCATCGAAGGCCGCACACACAGCGGAGGGCTGCAGCTCCAGGGCAGAGGGATTGAGATCATTCGACGGGAGCCGCACTATGTGCTTGCGAAGAAGGGCACAGGCGACAGTAACCTCAACTTCGAGACCTGGAGCGGAAGTGCGAGTGTGTACTTTGATTGAGTCGGCGGACACCGAAAGTGCCTGTGAGTAAGGCTTCACTTGCGTGGAAGCGGAGGGAGACTTGAGTACCCTCTCCTTACGAACATGTATGGCTTATCTTTATTAATGTTATCAAATTACAACCCTAGTACGTTCGGACAATGACGTAAGCCTTAATAAGGGAAGATTGTAGCTCTAAAAGTCTCGACGTCGGAGAATGAAAGGCCCATGCATAGGAGAGGAAGTTGGGATGACTAGGCAAAACTTGCTAGGGTGGCTATATCTGAGAGGAATATCTCGCTGTATGTGGATAGAGGCTTGAGTCATTGCGGCTTGCTCTCGACCACCCCTCGTATGGTCATGATCAATAAAACCCCATGGGTGAGTCAGATTGATGGAAACAATGTGGTTCTTTTGCCTTTTTAGGACCGCGATGTTTGATCCCCGTTGATGACTGACATCACTTGACCAAGACCAACTAGAGGTGCAATGGTACAGAGGTTATAGATAACTTCTTTCTCTTTATGAAGCGTCACGGTAGGGTTGAGGCAGTCGAGGTACTTTGAGGATCATCTACATCAACCCTGGGTACTCCGGAAAAGACAGCGAGACAAAAGGGAAACACGTCTTGAATATTATTACACTTATAGCACATGTCTAAGCTTTCGTCACGACACCGGTCATTACCAACCTGAAGTAGTGGGGCAGAAGTCATCTCGATCGACTATATCAGGTTTATTTACAGAGATATGTTCATTCCCCTCGACATTTCGGAAGCACCTAATATTTCATGCACCCGCGACTGTTTCTTCACACCTTTCTGTAGCCTACATTACAAACAAGAGAGGGCGACTTATGATTTCCTTAAAAAAACATGAAGAAATCTCCGATGGAGCTGCATTCGCTGCTTCAGAATGGCTCAACAATCGAGGCATTAACTTTGCGCATTGTTACCTGACGGTTGCGATCAAAACGCGCATAATTCACATGGCCTGGTACTACCCGGACAGCCATTGCCCCGGACATGCACTCCATATCTGGATCTTGAGAATGCGCGAAGTTGAGATGATCAACTCTGTATTTGCAATGGGATATTCCTATACGGGCAAGGACATACCGGAGTTCATCGCGTTGTCCATCGAAGAGACAATTGAGTCTTTGACATTGGTCTCCCCGAGTATGCACTCCCTGGCATGGAAAGCGTCACAACACCTAAACCTCAAGGTCTTCATTGAAAAGAGAGAAAGATTATGATTTTGTGGAATGCTTTGATAATTGTCTAAGAGGTAAGTAACATATGGACCCCTCAATGAAGGCTAAAAAGGCCAGTCAACAATATGAATATGTACAATTAAAGTTGATGATGAGGACCGAGCCGAAGCTGTCCAAGTATGGCCTCCAAAAATGGTCAAAGCCAGACTCAATCAACCATGAACTCCAAAGCCCTGGTTCGCTTTCCAGGGATGATAAGCTGACCCCTTGCGCGGAGATGCTGACCAAAGGGGGGAGACGCCTGCAATTCCAAACGCGCTGGCTGAGAGTTGTTGTACCCTGGATATAAGCGCGTGCTCCCTTGCGATGAAGAAGTATTCCAAAACTCCTTGAACTTCCGATCCTAGAAAGACAATTGCTGAAAGGGGAGAAAGAAGTCGGCCATGTGTGCGTGTTTTCGTCCTATGATGTGAACCGCTTAGGGGTAGTCTTGTTCAATGCACCCCCCTCGGAGTAGACCTTGACTGAATTGATCAGCCAGTAGGAGTCCTTGAAGTCGGCGGGGTTGTTGGCAACATAGGCCTGGCACGCCGCCATCCCAGTCGACTTCGTGTTGGCCTTGGCCTTGCAGACGGGGTCATCGTTGAAAACCTTCCCGGCCCAATCTCCGCAGAATGTCGTATCGAAGACGATCTGATGGTTCATGAAGTGTTCATCGATGTTGCAGCCTGAGCCTGAGAACTGAGCGGCGGGTGCGCCCCACGTGGTCGGGTCAGGTGTGTCGGAGGCAATGTCGGTGGGGATCGGGCCGGTTCTTGGGAAGAAAAAGATCTTGATTGCTTGAGAGGTCCACTCGAGCGCATAGATGCCACCGCCTATCTCGTTGAAGCCGGTGCCGAAGGTCTGTAGGTTCCCAGTGGGCGCTCCGCAGCCGGTTGTTCCGGACCCAGGAGCATTGCAGTCACCAGACGAGAAGGAGTCCTTGGAAAAAGAACATCCCTTAGATGTGTGGAGGGTGATTGTGGTGTTCGTGTCCATGTTGACTCCTTCGATGATGTCGATCTCGCCACTGGAAGGCCAGTTCGGTCCGAACGTCCAGAACGCGGGCCACTGTCCGCACGCCGGAGCAGGTTGATGGGCGATATCGGCGATGAAGAGGCCCTTGGTGTACGAGGCTTTGGAGTTGACGCGAACCGAAGCACGACCGCCGGCTGGATTGACGCTCTCGTAATCGACCCCCAAGTAGATGCCATTGTTCGCGTATCCGGCAAGAGACGCGTTGTTGGCGTGGATGGCGGATGAGTACTTGACAAAGCCGTTTGTTGGGTCCTGGCCACTGAAGAAGTCGAAGCCCTCGAAGAAGTTGGTCTGGTCGAACGTATCTTGAACGGCGTAGGCGGCTGCTTGAGCGGAAGCTGCCAAGGACAGCAGCCCGCTCAGGCGAATCAGGCTGTTTGTGAAAGTCATGTTGTGGATGCCGAAGTATGTAGAGATGGTAGTGTAATGGATGTGTAAAAAACAGTTGCGAGCTGGGTGCGTACAATGTTGTTTGTGTCTGAGGCAGGAGGATTTGCGCCGGGCAAGAAAGATATGTGAGAAGCGAGAAGGTGTATGGCCAGGAACGAGAGGAGTGTGGCAAGTGCGGAATGACTTGGTGCCTTATAATGGGTGACCACAGATGACTCGGCCTGAAAGACGGTGTTTGGCGTCGAGTCGAAGGGAGTGCTATTGTGCCAGACAATGAACAGGGCTGGTAGCCGTATTGTCCTTGTTTCGCAAGCTCGACAGATCAACAATGGGGTGCACTGCGGCGCAGCCACTGGGACAATGAAGGACTAGAAAGATAGGTAGCTCAGGATCAACCTGGGTTTGGGTTCGCATTCACAGCCGCATAAGGAGTGACGGCTGGAGGGGAGGAGGTCGCGCGGTAAGACACTTTCCTCGTGGTGAGAGTCAGGTGAGGTAGGATGAGTCCACGGTGAAGTGTGAAGGGGGAAGCGGCGATGGCAGGACCGAGGTGGGTATTAATAAATATCAAATGCCACGCGAAGGTTGGGAACAAAGCAGATATGAATGTATGAGCGATGCTTGGGAGGTCAGGTGTTACCTTATGTGCCACCACCAACCGTGTAAACGCGGCCCGCAGAGAGAAACAAGAGATGTACCCGCCTCAGGCACATGAGCAGACTCACCCCTGGTCTAGGCCATTGCTCACTGCCTAGGTAGATGATAGGATCAGACGAATGCACCGGCAGATGGAGCAAAGGCCCCTCCTCAGATACCATATCGGACGAACAAACACCAAGAAAAGCATGGCCATGGGCTGGCATCTCGCCCTTGGCAAAAAACCAACGCTGGACAGTAAACCTCAGTCCGCTACCTACCTAACCAAGAAGCACCATCACCCATCTGACATCCAGTGTCATCAAACCAGGCATTTCGAGCTGGGCCGAGACATTGGTGCTGAGCTGGAACTATGCGCAGTGAAGAAAGATGCTTCTAGAGGTACCGCGGCGCACGACGAGTTGGCGGCCAAGTTGCAAGGAGAGGTTGAAGATTGTGAGACAAAGGCGTTGCTCATATGTGCAAGATCTCCTCAGCCAATCGACGGCATGCAACTGGGGCAAGCTGGGGGGAGGGTGGGTACAGGAGGTAGCGCCGCATCTTGGCACCAGACCCCTACCCCACTTCCGGATAGCGCTTCAATCGCCCCCAAAAGCAGTCGGTCCAGGCCCTATGATTATTAGCGGGCTGATGGGGTGCGCCACAGCTGGGGTTGGGATTCGCACTGCCATTGGCATTTGTTGACTCCATCTTGAAACAGCAATCGAAACGTCGACCAGCCCGCCTCGTCTTTATCATCTTGCTGAACATCATCATGTTCATCTTGAATCACGTCGAGGCCCGGACTTGATGCCAACCGAAAATTAGGCTTTAAATGCTCCTTCGCGCAATCAATTCGCAAGGCCGAAGCAATGCCACAGCCTGGAGGACTACCTACTTAAGGACTGATAAGATTCCGAGACTTACAGTATCACCAAGAACACATGTATCTCTCGTTGTACTGTTTCGAGCACAGTGGATAGTACACCGAGCTGAGCACAAAGAGCAAGACCCAGGCGGGCGGTTGGGGGTTCCAGATCCTTGACATGTATCGAGGTCAGTCTAGCCGCCCAACATAAGGGACTCGAGCCGAAGCAGCCTCCGCTTGTCGCAGATCGGATCATATCACCTCTATCAACACGCTGTCTCTGTCCTCTCCTCTACCTGCCGCGTCTATATACGGTATGCAGCGCCTGGGGGCCGTTCATGCGACTGTGTCGGACCATAGGACAGGCCGCGCCTTGGTGGAACTCTGTAAGTTCGGCAGTCATCCCATGTGGGAGGGCGGCTGCTCAGCTCGGATCGCCACCCGCCTACCGGGACTGGCCCTGGTCGCAGATCTGGGTATGCCGGTACTGCAAGGGGGATCATCATCACGTAAGCCGAAGTTCTCTACCACTCCAGCTTGCGAAAGCCTCAACTTGTCTTGTATCTTCTTATCAGATTCGCCGCTTGTTATGACTTTTAGAAGTGGAGACGCTGTCTCCTGTCGTGCTGGATAGTTCCACCTCGTGGACTGCGCTGCCATGAAATGCGTTTTGTCTTGTTTCTAGCATACACGCAGTGAGTCTGGAGTGACCTTCACGTGTCTCAAGTACCTGGTTGTCGATATATCTGTATCCAAGTACACAGTGCTCATGTCACAGCTGGGATACACAAACCAGCCAGGCTAGCCATGTGCGAGATAACATCAATTCCATGATCACAGTCATACCCGGGCAGTCATAGCCAGATGCTCTACAAGTCGAACCCTATCTAGGGGGGGATTTCCGCATCGAGGCTCACATGGTGATGTGTGAGACGTTACCCTATCGCAGACCTCGCCGATTCACGTTGTCTCATGGTCGATCAACAGTTCATGAGTCTATCGCGTGTGCCTCCCACATCATACGCCATGAATCATGCGATACACCATAACATGGCCTGTAGGTTCTCGAGCAAGCGGTCTGGGGGTTAGCTGGTATAGTCTCCGAGCCTGGCGACAGGTTCTCTCCGTCAGTTCCGGCTGTGCCTGAATACTGAACATAGAGGTGAGATCCCGCGCGATCACATCAGTAACATTTACCGAAACCGCAATGCATATGTTGGACTTTGGTCCTTAGCAGGTACCCATTACCTTCTACTACTGCTCGCCGAAGCTTCTCGTCCGAAGCCCCAACGTTCTACCTGCTCAGGTGGGCATCGCAACTCACCAAACACGCCGTTCATAGCTCGGGTCAAGGAAACGATTCCAGATAACGTTGTGTTGTCTCATGCCTATGTAGCCTCTAGCTCGACTGGCTGACTATCTGTGGGCAGCAACACTGTGCTCCCGAACCACAAGAACGGAGTCTTAGGTTGGGCAAGATCACGGTGGTAACTCGGCACTCACCATGTTCCACATGGTCTCAAAACTAGCAAAATATGACAGCGAAAGCTTAGCCTGAGGCTGAACCGACCGGTAGGTAGGACATGGCATGATCTTGACGGATTCCTTTGAATCCCCACGCCGCCGACGGGCATACCCTTCGCTCAAGCAGCAGGAGCGGTGATACTGACCTCCACCCCCTCTTTCTCATGTTCCTCTCTGTGCTCCTCATGCTCTTCTTCACGAATATCTCCTTGACCCTCCTTGAGAACGTCAGGACCGTTGGCCTCTCTCTGTCCTTCTGTGGTCTCCTGTCTCTCGACGATATTGAAAACCGGCTATGTCCTCGTTAGTCCTCGACCCCTTTCTGAGAATCATCACAACACTTACACAAGAGCGGGTCTTCTCACGAGGAGCACAAACTTTCTTGTGAATCGGCCAGTCCAACTTTTGGCAAGTCTTGCTGCAATATCGTCCCATCTTACACCGGCCACAAGTGGTCAGGGTGGATTCGTCGTCGCCACAGCTAAGACAGCTGGTGCTCCACATGTTGGATGTAGGATTCTCGTCGGCAGAGTGGCTATTTGGTTGTATAGTAGTCAGCCCTCGTCTCAGTCGAGGGCCGTTGCAGACAAGCCACGAGAAGTGATGCAGGACAGAGGGCGGTAGAGGTAGGAATGAGGAGAGATAACTTACCCAAGGCCACTGAACCAAAACTCATCACCAAGATCATACTCCGTCGCATCACCCTTGGTTGTCGTCGCGTCCATCAGACTCTTGCTTCCGCTCTCCCATTGCGTGCCATCATTCTTGTACCCGTCGAGCGCCGCCAGGAGCTGGAGCTGCTGCTCAAGGGTGGGCAGGGCCGGTCGCAACAACCGTAGCATCCTCATGTGCTGGCTCTCGATCTTGGCGCCTAGCTGCATGGCCAGCATCCCCAAGATGACGGCGATGCGGTCGCGCTGCTGGTACGCAGCGCGCGGCGGCACGAAGGTGGCCGTGAGGATCTTGTCGAACTTCTTGGCGAGGAAGCGGTCGGTGTTGAGCTTCTCGACGGTGGCGACGCTCTCGGCCTCGTCGGTCGGTTGGAACAGGTTGAGCCCGAACATGTCGTCCAGGTCGGACTCGATGTCGTAGTCGTCGTCGGACTGCAGGAGGCCGAGTCCCCAGACACCCATCTTGACGGATCTGCTTGGGAAATTTCGGGGCAGAAGTTGATGAATGGAAAGTAAAGGACGACGATGGCTTTGAGGCCCGTGGTGAACGGATGTGTGAGTTGAGGTAGTGGATGTTCTGTAAAAAAAAGGTGGGCGAATGAGGGGGACAAAGGTCACCACGACTTGTGCGTGAGAGACGAGGGTAAGTGAAAATTTTGTTTGCGGCCAGGTGATGTAAACAAATTTGCAGGTCACGTTTCCATGTCAACCAGGCAGTCGTTACGAAAGGAAGGCACTGTCCGCGGGAAGTTGTGCTTTGCTTCCTGCATCAGGTGTTTGACACCAAAGGTCGGGTGACGGGCAGAGGCTGCCAGTTTCCTCAGGCAATCAGCAATTGAAGACGACAGGGGATTTTGATCATGTGAGGTATCAATGGATGTTGCCATAGAACAGAAATTTCGATGCCGGTGTTACAGCCCTTGCATCTCAAGTGTGGGCAGGCGATAGCTGCATGTCTGTATCGCTTGCTCCTTTATGCCCTGCATTTACCGACTGTGAATTTGCCCTTCACTATATGCGCGCGCTGCTTGATGTTTTCCACCCATCCATATGCTGCCAACGATTTCTCTTATAAGTTCCGAACATGATCATTACTCCTGAGCAGTGTAAACAAAGTCTAAGACGACAGGTAACTTCGAGAGCCTGCCGTGGTCGCTATAGTAATATACAGATTACATATACATCGCTACAATATGGCCTGTATACGGGAGCCTTGATTATGCGGATCAGCACTCTCCCTCTCCGTCAAATATGTGACCTCATCCAATCTGACGACCTGCCTTCCAACAACCGCTTGTCGACGTCTTCCGTATCCGTACTCTTCAGCAGTGCGCTGCCGAAACGGCTCCAGTGCCTCTCGGTTGGCTGGATGTTTTTCCAAAGTAGTATCTGTGAATCTCGTGTGCCTCAGGCTTGACCTGTGATGTGACGTTGAGCGGCCTTGTCTAAACTTGGCCCATGAGGCGTACACCTCGGAGGAGTAGGAGACGCAAGGTCGTTACGGACGAAGACTGGCGTCCCTGAAGGTTTTGATTGGTGACACAAAGTCAGGAGCCGCGGCGGTATTTACGACATGAAGCTTAGACTGTCTTTAGCCCCTAAAGACTCAGTCGGACAAGCAAAGTGACGAGTCACCACATGCCATCTCAACGCAAATGCTGCTGAACGTACAACATATATCCGTAGCTGACTCAAGTCGCCAAACTCTTAGGTGGTGAATAATGAGTTCAATCTGTTTATTCTGGCGTGTAGGAGATAGCTCTGAGCAGAGCACCCTGCGCACCTGGAGACTGACCACCCGAAGCAAACGAGGGTCGTAAGGTTGATTTTCAACCCTCATCAAGATCCAAGCCGGAGTCCACACGCGGACCGACCGCAGAGAGCATCGCAGAGGCCATGCCAGCTGTGTACGGCATTTTCTCTCCCACACGCGGAGCTATCCTGACTTCTATGCAACAGAAGCCTCCGGCTCTCGCCCTGGAGGCTCTCCGCAGCATGGTGCGGTCCCGTCTCCCCCGAAACGTCGGCCACTGTGACCCCGAGGGCCTAACCCTCACCTAGGTGGCCCCAAAGTGACGGGAATCGAGTGGTAACTCGGAAGCCAGGGTCACCATGATTCGAGAAGTAGACACACGTCCAAGAGCGTGCCAGGTCATCAAGGGCAATTAAATGTCAATGGACTACTTTGTTTATAACTGTATTCACTAACTTAGAGCATGTATTTCAAAGCTTATTTCAAAGCTTACTCCAGGGGTATCATGTACGTGATCGAGCTGCAACCGTGCTCCAAGGGCACAGTGAGAGGGTTGGGAAGATGTTCTAGCCGTATCAGGTGGATGCATAGAGGAGCACCAGGACTCCAGACGTTCCGAACCGGTGAATCATGATCAAAGCATTTCCGGAGCCAGAAGATAGTGACTCTATAACTTGACCTTCTGGCCAGTAAGCTTGAACCAAATCACCGCGATTAGGTCTTCCTTGAACCTCTCCCAGGGGTTCCGGTTGAGATAGTACGAAAGCTCGCGGAAATTGTACATTTCTCCCCAGCAATCGCGGCCCCATTCACAGCCTGCCATGTTGACGACGAAATCTCGATCGTCCTGGTTGTAGTGAATGCGAGTGTCGTTGCCGTTGTCGGAACAAGCTCCGGTCGGGAAGCTGTTGATGAGCCTCTGTGGAAGGAAAGCTGTATGGCTCCGAATCCATGGTTGTGTCGTGTACAGTTGCTCAAGAGCATCTTGTTCCTTGTGTTCCCACTGCATGTGCTTCTGCTCGTATGATACTGGATCCCACCATATATCTAGGAGCCGATCAGTCCAATCGCTTCGTCTGACGAAAAACGACCCCAGGTTGAAGCCCGAGCAATCCTGGGGCAATATTAGGTTGACGGAATCGGGACTTCCATCTCCAATGGGACTGAGTGAATCGGGGTCGAGATAGTCGCCTGTAAGGGGGTGAGAGATATTGAGTGGATTATACTCGTTGATGTCGCGATATATGTGCTTGTTGAGGTCGTCGAAGATGTGGTGTTGGAGCGAGTAGGAGGGCTCCATCACGAAGGTGTTCAGGTCCAGCCACCAAATCCTGTGGTCATGTTAGCCGAGTGTCTTTGGCGGCGCGAATGTACGGCGGCTTACCATTCAGCTTTTGGATATTTCCTGAAGCTGTTCCGAATACTATCGACTTTCTCCCAGCTCTCGCGCCATTCGTGCGCATAACGCTTCTTGGTACTCATGTCGACAATCTCGAGCTCGTATCCCCACCTCGAGGTATATTTCCGTTTGTTCCTGACGCTGTCTCTTTCGATCGCCCACTCTCGTGCGCCCTTCCACTCCATCACACCACCCCCCACGTTTGCCGCCAGGATGATGACAAATTTCTCGCCACCTCCGAGCCAGCTGGTTCGTCTCCAGTAGTAACAAAGAGCTACACGTTGTCTTAGTCACTGGCGACCCCATATCCAGATATTGTGACTTACGCGTTATGTAGAATAGGAGGTAGCAGGCCAGGAATATGGCAAGCACGAGTGCGCGGATCTTCCATTTTCTCCCTAGTCGTGCCGACATGGCCCTGACTCTTCCAATAAAAGGAATCCTCCAGGGACGTCGTCCAAGCTTCTCCTTTTCCACATATCTATCATCGGCGCCAACGTTGAAAGAGGGTAGACTACTCGATATACGGCGCATGTGGCGAGTGAAGAAGCCCTGATTTTGGGTCGAGAAGGACGGGTAGCCCGCGACGCCCTGGCTCTTGAGTCGCGCAGATTCCCATGTGACAGCCCCGTTTGCTGGACCACCAAACGACATCTTTGCCGGGCTTGATCTGCCGCTGCCGTTCATATTTAGGCCCGGAGAGGACCATCCTCCACCCGGGACGGGAGATGGACTCCGGCTCAGGGACATTGGGATATTCGGTGTACCTGCGGTCGGCTTGGGATTAGCGAGCTGTTCGTGTTCGAAAGCGCACCGAAACGCTCATCCATGCCAATGGAAGCTCTGATGACGAACCTGGTATGGGACTCAGAGGGGGCTGCAAGTGCTGGGCTTGCGGCCCCAGCCGTGGAGGAGGGACGCGACGAGCGCCTGCAGAACTCGGTCCGTTATTGGAGGCAGATGATCGCCGCCGATGGTGCGCTTGCGCGGGTCGATCGCTGGCGGACGACGAGGAGAATTCGGTATCGGGGATCGCGGACGCCAGCTTGGCAGTGTTCGCTGGTCTGACGGGACGATGGATGGCGAGTTTGCGACTCTTCGACTCTGACGGTCGCTCGAGGTGCGGGTGTCAAAAGTTCGTGGACAGGGAAGTGGGAGTCGAAGGTGGCTGATGATACGTTCCAAGAGCAGCGCGTGAGGCCAGTGTCTCAGCCGCGAGGACGGATGGAGAAAGGTTCGAACTTCGCCGGACGGGTGCTGTGTCCAGGTCTCGATTAGAACAATAGGCGATTGTCGTGATTAGGATTACGGTGGTGAAAGAATGGCAGCTGACTGCTGCTCAATGTGCATTGAAGTCTTTGAAGTTTGACGGGTGAGTGTTTCTTCGATTCCTCCCCCCTCGTATTGCAAGGATAGGAGATAAACCATGCAGCCCGTACACGACTAGCTGAGCTGTAATCTTCTCTTGCGCTACTTCGTACCCGGTCAACGATTAAACCGCAATTCAGGAGTGGGACTCTCTCGGTTAGCCTCCGTCCCCGTGTTTGAGCACAAGTACACCGGTAAGTACTTAACCTTAGTAGGAGAGCTCTGCAGCCGCACAGTCAGGAAGGAAGGAAAGAGAAGAAATGAAAGCGTCTGTCAGGAGGAGGAGTCGATGAGAGGTTGTTGTGTTGGAGGATTGACAGGGTTTCGATAGCTGGTTGGAAACGATAGGCTGTAGCACTATCGAGAGGTGAGGTAGGTAACAGAAGGGATGGTGACCGTCACAGCAGTAGCACGTACCACCTCCTAAATCTCTCCTTTTCCCCTGAGAGACTTTACGATCGGGAGTCACAAGGTGTTTGACAGTTTGACAGTCTGACAGTTTGACTCGCCAAAACCGATCCGGTACTCGGCCAAGAAGTTTCGTGTCACCTCATCAGGACCGGCAACCTTGCTGTCACTTCCGAGTGACAAGTGTTGTACCAGAGTGCCGCGTTTGTCGGCACGTGCACCCAGTGGGTCGACACCCCCCTGCAGGATTAATTTGAAGGGTCTTCGAAGGAAGGGAGCCGCGTTCACCTCTTCTCTTACACACGCGACAGGAGGCGACAGACGACCATTTACACCACAGTCCTGTTGAATCCGGGTGTATCAAGACGCATGTATGTACTGTAGGTGTTTCTAACGCTCGTGATGAAACGGCCGTAAACTCATTCGGAAGCTGAAGCCCTGAAGTTAAACGTTATCAGGGTCTACTCTTATTTTAGAGTTATCAGCCCCGGCTTCATCAGTCGACCTGCCCGACCCCCTGCATCACAACCAATGGTTCTGTCACTGGCGGCGGGCGCATTGCATGCATCCTCGGGCATCGAGCGCAACTGTACATTCGACTTCCGCCCAGCACGGTTCAGCTCCGCTTACAAGCTTTCAAATAGTCGATAGTCCAGTCCACTCAGCTTTGGTTGCTTGCTGACGGTCTTGACACAATGTCTTTGGTCCCGGAAGACTGCACACCGAGCTGTTGTCAGCTTGTCGAGGGTTATCTACGTCTTATGATGCGAGCTTGGGCGACCCTTGAAAAGCCAATGTGATTTTGTTGCGCAGTGGTCCCCTGGAACTAGGTAGCGGATACCAAGCCGAGCTCAAGAAGCCAAGATCGGCTTCAAATATTCTCAACCCAGTCAACAGCATGATCGTGTCTCTACCTTGGAGATACTCATGAGGCGTGTCACCGGTCCAAGCCTCCGGAAACAAAGCTAGACACAGGCCCCGAGACACAATACTTGGCGTTAGTGACTTAATTCTTCGAGATCTTTTTTTTCACGTGATTGTTTCAAGTCGATTGATTGGCGACTTGTATTCCAGTTTGCCAGTCTGCCAGTGTCACTGCCAGTCTTCGCTGTGTTTAGGTTGTGTGTCACTGTTGAGGTGTCCATTCACGTATGTTGCATACATGCATATCGGCAATTACTTGAAGCATGGACAGCTTGTCGTTTTGTTCCATTGGCTGGCCTTCGAGTGTGCCAGGCCACATACAGCTGGCATCGAGAGATATTCTGCCGGCGACGACCATCGAAAGGCTACCCGATTGGCTGCGCACATGCAAGCTGCTGGAGTCTCGCTGCTGGTTTGCTGGCTTGCTGCTATGATGGCTCATCGGCAGATGCAGAGAGAGTGGCGAATCAGCCACCCACATTGACGTGGCAGCACATATAGACTCTTGCTCTCGTCCACTGGGACCAAGACATGCCAGAGGGCCGTTCAGTTGAAGAAATTCCTGTTGGGTAGGTAGGTAAGAAGGAAGGAAGGATGTCTTCGTAATTCGGTCATACATAGACGCGCGGACGTTGAACTCAATGCTGTTCTGGAGAGTCCCGCTTGGGTTGGAGAGCCAGTTGCAGAGGTCCTCAAGAGGGCTGTTGATGGTGAAGGAGGGAAAGAGGCAAACGTCCCCCAACTGGCCCGCACCTGAAGTTTGAACTTTGAACCAACAGCCGGACAGCCCAGCCACCCTGTTTAAAGCTGTAGCCGCCTTATTATGTGGAGAATATCACCTGGGTCGTAGCTCAGCCCAGCCCTGAGCCCAGCCAGCCCAGCCAGTCGAGCCAGCCCCAGCCGGTCGGTGTTAGTCGTTAGTCCCACTCGTCGTCGGGTATCTAAACAAAAACAATACCCTACCATATCGTACCCATACCGCCTTTAACGGGTATGTTCGACTTTGTTGAGACTCTCCAACGTCACTTGACGGCCCCCTGAATGGACACTTGCGTTAGTTACGACTCCAAGCTGTCAAGATGATGTTGGGAGAGCAGCATCGCCGGCGGAGCAGTCCCGAGAGCTCTCGCCGCCGGCGCAAAGAACGCCGGGATTCCAGAGAGCTGCTTCAAAGTCAGCAGATTCCAATGCCTATGCCGCCCTACCAGGAACGATCCGAACCAGACCCGACACACACGCGATCGCGCGCCCTGTCGAGCTCCTCATCGTCCTCGTCCACCTCCTCATCACTACTGAATATATCGCGACCGTCGAGGAAGTTTGGGTTGGGCGCATTCTTCTCTGGAAATGGCCGGAAACATCGTCGTCGCGTCAAGAAGAAGCGCAGCAGCCGCTTCTTGCGATTCGGGAACTCCTCTTCCTCATCTGTGGGCTCAGACCTCGCCTACGGGAGAGGCTACATCGACCGTCGCAGGAGTCGTGAATTCAGTCCCCCAAGTACACATCGGCCACGAAGGAGTGGTACGGACCAAGAGAGGCCTGCGCCTCCAAAACGTGCGCAGACGGATGAAGAGATCATCGAGCTAGGACGAAAGTTTGCCGAGATCGCCAGGCAGCAGAACATCGAAGATATCAGAGCTTCTGGGAGAACCCGACCATCAACACTTGTTGGAGCAGCTTCAGCTATTAGTCAGTTCCATCGAACGAGTAGTGGAAACCTGGAGCGAGGAATTGGGAGCTCTAAGCCATACCGGCATTCCTCTCCGGATGACTCGGAATGGGAGTCCGCTTCCGAGGACGAGTCATCAAGCGAGGATGGCGACTCGGGTCTGGCGTATGGCTCAGCCATCAAGCTGCCGAGCAAACCAAGCAACGCCATTCACCTCACAAGCTCTAATCAATACGTCCAGCACGTAAATTATGGCATATCCATTGACCGCAACTCGTCTGCGGTTGACCCGAAACTGTTTGGGCCTGTTAATTCTCTTCGCGGCCATGTGCAAACCCCATGTGGATTCGAGAAGGTCGATCGGACGACGCTTAGTGAATCGCGGCAACTTTACGACCCCTCAGTCGCCCCTAGTGAAACTGTGTCATCCGAAAGCCGTCCCCTACAGCAAGTGTATCCGGTTCCGACATCTGACCCGACTCGATTCGATGTCGGCCGGGGCTCTGTCGTTTCGGCCCAGCAAGAGTTAACGTCCCGATCCCGCCCGGCGCCGGTCCCTATCCAACAACCAAAGCCGATAGCACCGGTTTCCGCGAGAGTCTTTGAGACGACGGATACTGACCCGAGGTACTCGCGGCGGACATCGTCCGGGAGCGTGCTTGCTAAAGCTGCTGTGGCCGGCGTTGCTGGTGCCGCCATTGGTGCCGCTTTGAGTTCAGATCGAAAGGAGGATGACGTCAAGTATGAGGAACGTCGAGATTGCGATGAAAAACGCCGTTCTAGGCACTCAGAACCCCTAATACCAAGCCTAATCCCAAGTGAAAGAGACGATAAACGCAAGAGCCGTGATGACCCACGGGATGACCGACATGCAAAACGCCGAGAGAAGGAACCTGATGTTGGTCGGGACCATGAGAGAGAGAAACGTCGCCGAGAGAAGAAAGAGCCTGAGGGCGATCGTGAAATCGAGAGAGAGACACGTCGTCGTGATAAACATCGGGACGATGCCGACAGTATTCTGGAGCGCGAGCGCCGCAGGGAGGAGCGGAAAGAAGAGCGGAAGGACGGCCGGAAGAGTGATCGCAGAGAGAGCCGCAAGGAGGAACGCCGCGAAGAGAACCGCCCTATTCGCTCAATTGATTCGGAGACGTACAAACGTCTGGAAGGAGCCGACTACCAACCATCGAAAGATATGGTCGACCCCTTTCAATTTCAAGTTCTTGATGATGCCTTCAAGACGCCTGAATACGCAACGCCGAACCGACCACTAACGCCAAACGTCTTTACGGTCGAGCGCGAACCAGACTTCTCACGTCTGGAATTCACGGATGACAAAGATCATGCTCCAGAGCGATCGAGTCGAAGAGATTCTTACGAGCGAGAGGCCCGTGATGCGCGTGAAGCCTATAAAGCTACCGAGCATGCGACTGCCCCTCTGAGCGGGGCCGCGTTTGCGGCCGCCGCCGCCGTAATCATAGCGGATGATCGCCGAGGCCGTAGCCGGGGACGCGGTGGTGACTCCAGCTCACGGAACCGATCCCGACAGGGCGATTCTCCACCTCGCGTGAGGGACCCTGTCCTGGAAGATGCCGACAAAACGTTCCGCGAACAAGCCTTGGCTCGCAGAATTGAAACCGAGGCGAGGCGCTCGCGTAGCAATTCTCCAGAACCCTCAGTGGTTGACAAGTGGCAACAGCACGACGACTCGCCAGTGATTGAGATTGTGACTCCTCCACAGATGGACCACCCCAAGAAGACGAGTCGCTATGACAAGCCTGACGCCGATGTCCGCATAGACAATGTCCTAGAACATCCGGAACAGCTTCATCGCTTCCAAATCCCTGACAGTCGAGGTCCGTCGCGCGTCCCCGTGTTTAGCGCCAGAGATCCTTCTGCTGAGCGAGAGCGGCCCATGCTCAACATCGTGTGGCCTACTCCAGTCTCTTCACCAAAGCCAGAGAAGCAGCGACGCCAAGATGAATCTGCTCCGGAATCTAGAAAGAGAGTCGTAGTTGTCACTTCCAAATCAGATCCCGACTTCGTCATAGGTCCCAGAGGCGAAGCGGCTTCGACACCGTCGACACCGACTTCCAAGGTCGTGAGTTGGGGCGAGAACCAGACAAAGCACTATGTCGTGGAAAGTCCCGAGAGAGAAGAGGACCCATACTCTGGACGCAAGATTATCACCCCTGCCGAAACTGCCCAATCACGACCTGCAAAGAAGAGCGGCGGTTGGGGCATGATTGCAGCCGCTGTTTCTGGGATTGGCGCTGGAGCGGCCGCTTCGAGTATCTCAGATTCCGCCGTAGATACCGAGAAGGCTCGGCAAAGAGCCGAGGTCAAAGATCGAGGTACGCCGTCCAAGCGCAGGTCCTCAATCCAATACGATGATATCTACGATAGCCCACCTGTTCCTGGGCCGAAGCCCCCGAGTCCCAGAAGCACACAGATGCCTGGAGCATTCGCCGAGGATCCAGCTTTCATGGCAAATATAGCCGCTGGACTGGAAGGAAGCGGCTTTGACCCCAACATCGTTATCAATGATGCCAACTTCCACAGGCGAGATTCGCCACCCGGGATGGATGAGCCGTCCATGAAGTCTCTGGCCGATTTAGACATCACCGTCATTCCTGACACTTCCACGTCACGGGGTGATCAGGAGTCTGGCTTTGTCCTCGGCGAACTTCCTGAGACTCCCGCAGAGGAAAAGGACATCTCAACGTACAACTCGGAAATTTTCTCCAAGCTCACGAAGAAAGAGCGGCGGAAGCAGGAGAAGGCTGGTAAGAGGGAAAGCGTCGACAAGTCTTCAACCGTTGTCACCGAAGAGCCACCAGCGGTCTCATCACGTTCAGTCGCGGAAGACGAATGGGCTGTTCCTTCAAGCAAGCTGAGCAAGAAGGGACAAAAGAAGCGTGACAAGGCCGCCAAAGCCAAGGGTTGGCAAGATGACGACCAAGTGAATGACAGTATAGCCTCACCACAACCGGAACCGGAGCCCGCTGAGATCCCTGCTGTTGACGAGTGGGAAGATAGCTCTTCGAAGAAGAAGTCAAAGAAGTCGAAGAAAGCCATTGTCGTTCAAGACGAACCACAATCCTTTGAGAATACCGAGAGTTCGCAGGTGTCAATCCCAGTCGACGCTTTCCAGGATCTGCAGGACGCCAACGCCGTACTGGCGGAGGACGAATGGGATCTGCCGAAGAAAAGCAAGAAGAAATCTAAACGAGAGTCTGGCACCTTTGAATCTGGTCCATCATCAGTAGTGTCTGTGGATAGATCCAGGAAGACCACCGACTCCGACTTTTCCACGGTGCAAGTAGACGAGCGTGACAACGACGAGATACCGAGTCAAGACTCGTGGGCTTATGCGTCGCCACCAAGATCAGTCCCTGCTTCGGAACTTTCCAGAGAAGGCTCCTACAAACTTGTTGATGCTGACACGAATGCCGCCCCCGAAGACGAGTGGGATTTGCCAAAGAAGAGCAAGAAGAAGTCCAAGCGCGATTCGGGAGCGTATGATTCACCGTCAAGATCCGCTCCGGCTTCCGAGACCTCGGTAGAGAGCTCAAGGAAACCTACCGAGCCTGACTTCGACTCTGGCATCAAAGATGAATGGGACTTGCCAAAGAAGAGCAAGAAGAGCAAGCGCAACTCCGTTGCTGCTGAATCTCCTTTGCAATCCACGACTCCAACGGAAGTCTCAGAAGGCAAGTTGGCCAGACGTCATACGTCTGACGAAAATCCAGCGGCAAGTATCGACAATAATGACGATTGGGACATGCCTAAGAAGTCGAAGAAGAAGTCCAAGCGTGACTCAGGCGCTTGGGATACCATGTCTCACTCAGAGCCTGCCACCAGTGAAATAGTGGAAAGTCCAAAAGAGATGACAGACCCTTCCAACGACCTGCGCAGCGAAAAGACAGCAGTTGCCGAGGACGAATGGGATGTGCCCAAGAAGTCGAAGAAGAAGTCCAAAAGAGACTCGACCACCTACGAAGACTCACCTACACCGTCCGCTTCTCAATCGGCAGCGCCTTCCGAAGTATCTGTGGGAAGCTCCAAGAAGAAATCGAGACGGGATTCCTACGCCGACTCGCCTTCTAGATCAGCTCCGGCGTCTGAGATTGGGATCGAAGACGCCGAGAAGAAGAGAAAGAAGGAGAAGCGGCGAAGTGCGCCTGGCGGATTTCCCGACGATGACGATTTCCCGGACGATGAAGAGCCTCCAGATCGTGGGAGAGATCCTTTCAAGTTCCTGGACAGCGACGTTACCTCTGTGGTCTCTGATTCTACTCGCCGTCATCGCTCAAGCAGGAGCCGTGGTGTGGATGAATTCGACGATGCCAAATCTGTCGCTTCTGCTCCAGGTGGACCGGATCGAAAAGACCGGAAAAGTTCGAAGTCGGACAAGGACAAGAGGAGCAGTGGTAGCTCAGGCTTTTTTGATCGGTTCAAGTCTTCGATTGGCATAGCTGAGGAGAAGGAACGCTCACGCTCTCGCAAGCCCGAGGAGGACAAGAAGAATTCTTTTTTAGATAATGCCGGCGCTCTTGGCGCGAGTGCCGGCTTGACGGGCGCTGCGATTGCTCTCGCAACCCAGGCGTTCCGTTCAAAAGCCACCGATCCTACAACGGAAGAGGAAGCCAGAAGCATCCCAACCACTCCCAAACGGCGATCCAGCTCACCACCAGCGGTGGAATTCATTGACCCCGAGATCGTCGAGAGGGAAATTCGACCAGCCATAGACCCCCAATATGGCGACCTGTTACCATTACCTCCAAGTACGCCTGGCTCTACTGTTCCGGTGCTTGGGGACGATATCCCTCCTCTGCCTGAGAGCCGACCTGGGACGCCCGAGAATGAACGCGAACGCCTTTTGTTGAGCGATAAACCTACTCATATCCGCCGCCGTAGTGATACCTCCTTGAGAGTGAAGACACCTAGCCAGAGTGCTATCCCTATCCAGTTCCGCCTAGGACAAAGAACTCCATTATCATCACCAGGAAACTTCAAATCTTCTCCCATGGTATCTCCAACCACGGGAACTTCAGAGCAGGGAAGTGCGTCGAAAAGCCGGTCCCGACCCATATCATGGGAGAGCTCGAAAGCTTTCAAGCCATTGCTTCTTGTGCAGAAGGCATCACGAGAGCCTATAGACACACCTACCTATTCTCAACAAGATCTGCCACCCAGCGAGCTCTCTCCCGGAATGCCGAGGCCTGAATTGGACCCTTCCGAGGACGATGAGCAGAGTCTGAGTCGGTCGCCCGCCCTTCCCTCGGGGCAAGGACAAGAAGTCACCCGAACTGAACCTGCGGCGGGAGAGTTTGGCTTGTCGGAAACCACGTCCGACATTGAAAAGGCGCCTCGTCCCGTCGAGAACATCGAGGAATCATCTGCAACGCCCAAAGAGGAAGAGAACCTGCGTGCAGACGATGTTCTGACACTTCCAACCCTTCCTCAGAACCGAGAAGCACCTGTTTCCGAGCTGGAGCAGGCCGACGAAGCGGAGTTGCAGAGGCCGTTGGACACTTCCCTTGAGTCTCCCGAACTCCCCCCGCTGAGATCAAGCGAAGATGCTTCCGGCGAGTCACCGAAACCCGAGCCGATTGATTCCATGTCCAAGGATCGGAGCTCCCATCTCCTCCGGTCCAGCCCCTTGGCTTCTCAGAAGTCCCAAGATGTCGACCTCTCTGAAGGCTCGCCTACGCTCAGACCAGCCCAGAAAGCCGTGGATCTGGGTGAGATTGGAGAGGACATCCCCGAAGAAGACTTGAAGGGTTCTTCAGTTTCAGCGGCAGCAGCGGGTGTTATCGCTGGCGGACTGGCTGCTACGGCAATGCTTGATCACCAGCATCGCAACGAGCTCACTGGCAAGCAAGAGAGCTTCAGCTCGCCTTCTCTAGAGACCAAGGATACAAACTCTTCGGACGTAGCTCTCGAGGGTGGATTTCCGCAGCCGAACAATGCTTCTGACGTTGCCAATAGCGCCGCTCAGGGTAATGCGGCCGATGAATTTAGTTTTCTGCCGGCGAAGAAGTCGAAGAAGGGCAAGAAGGGCAAAGGAAAGTCGACTGAGGTCGAAGACGTCACACCAGTTTTGGCAGGTCCTGAGACTCCCGCCCAAGAGGAAGTCGTACACAGCGGCGAAACTTCAGACCAGGTCCAGAACTCCTCACAGATTGACGAGGAGGTTGCAACCTCGAAACTCTCGAAGAAAGAGAAAAAGAAGAAAAAGAAGGCGCAAAGCTGGGAACCTGGTCTTGACGAGAGCGCGTCTGCCGAGGCGTTGCCATCCACTTCACCAACCCTGAAAGCTCGCGATGAGGAGTTAATCGACGCACCAGCCCACCAACCTACAGAGGTAGAACTCACAGAGGAACAACCCCCAGAGGTGCAACCCATAGGTGTACAGCCCACAGAGGAACAAAACCCCGAGGAGGCTACGACTGATGCTTCTGGCCTCGAAGGAAGTTTGAGCACATCTTCGAAGAAGGGCAAGAAGAAGAAGAACCGCAAGTCTCAAGCCTGGGAGCCTGAGCTGGACGACCAGCCGAGCGCCACCATCTCTCAGGATCTTGATGTGACTGAAACTTCCACGCAACCTGATGAGGATCATACTCCCCCTAGTGAAAGTCTCGCCGAACCAGTGGAGCACCCTGAGTCTGAGCCTGCACCTGTGTCCCCTGCACCTTTGCTTGAGCGTTCCATGAGTGTGTCCAAGAAAGGCAAGAAAAAGAAGGGAAAGAAGGTTCCAGCTTGGGAAGAAGAAGACGTTGCACCCGCTACTCCTGGTCCAGAGCCAACACCGGCAGCTGAGGACTCGATACAAGAGCCCTTCACGCAACCGGATGAGGATCATATTCCCCCTAGCGAAACTTTCACCGAACCAGTGAATCATCCTGAGCCTGAGCTCGGGCCCGAGTCCACTGCACCCTTGCTTGGACGTGCTACGAGTGTGTCCAAGAAAGGCAAGAAAAAGAAGGGAACGAAAGTTTCAGCTTGGGAAGAAGAAGTGGTTACACCAGCCACTCTTGATCCAGAGACGACACTGGCAGCTGAGAGCCCGATACTAGAGCCCTTCGCAGAACCTCCTCATGAATCGACCGTTGACGCTCAGCCTACTATCCAAAATGCGCCGGAAATCACTACACTCGAAGGGCCACCTGCGACTGAGACTACCTTGGCGGATGAGCCTGTTTTCACCACCAAGAAATCCAGGAAAAAGAAAGGAAAGAAGGTGCAGTCTTGGGAGCCGGAGCCCGAACCAGAAGCCGATAACGACGTGATGAGCGCACCGGACTCTACAATGAGCCAACAAGATGTTCCTTCTACTCAAGTCGAAAGCTCTGTCCCATCTGAGGAAGGAGGCGAAGCGGTGAAACAGCAAATCAGCTCAAGACCAAGCAGCTCTGAACCCGGCACGATGCTTCCAGATACTGTCCCCAACACCAGCGAGACCGAGGTTCAGCCACCGCAACTTTCGGATGAGATGGAGGTGCCTGAAGTGACGCCTCTGGAAGAGCACCGCAAAGTCACCGAGTTCGGCCCTGGAAATCGGTCAACTTCTCCGGCCAAAATGTCAGAAACTGGCCCCGGTCCACTGGCTGATGAACTTCTCGCGTTCGCTCCTACTTCCGAACAGGTTGACACAGTAAAGGATGATCAGCCTGGTTTACAGCTCGAGCCAGCCGTGAATGACGTGCAAGTGGTTGACGACAGCCCAGGGCTTGAGATTAGCGCGGTGCAGCCTGCTGCGCAAGAAGATCCCAAGGCTGACGAGAATGACACAATTCCACAAGATGCCCCCACACTGATTCACGCCAACCCCTCGACTAGCGACCAAATGGGTGACTCGAATGCATTAGGACAAGATGACGTGGAAGAGCAACCGCCGAATCCCAATTCACCAAGCGGTGAAGACAAAACGGTGCTGGACCCTGTACGAACCGGTCCACCCGGGGATCCACTTGCCGAGATCGCCTCCGAGAACCTGCAGGACAACCCAACCCAACCACCCGAGGCGGTGGGCGAATCCACGTCTTCGCAGCCCGAGAATATTTCTGACAAGGCGCCACCTGCTTTGACAAAAGAGCTCGGCCAGTCTGCCGCAGAGGAACCACGAGAAACCACTGACTGGCAAGAGGAATCTGGCAGCAAGAAGAAGGGGAAGAAGAACAAGAAGAAACAGCAGCAGCAGCAGCAGCGGGAAAATTCTGAACCATTCGAAATTGAGGTACCTTTGGATCGTTCGGAGCCTGCCGCCGTTGTCCAAGAGCCTGTCTTAGAGGCTGCGAACGTGGACGATCAACCAATTGACGTTACGGCCGACAGCGGTGCTGCAGATATGCCCCTTCCGGAGGCAACAGAGCCATCCGGCGACGACTTGTGGCCCGAGTCAACCGGCTTTGGCAAGAAGAGCAAAAAGGGAAAGAAGGGTCGCAAGAGTTCCAACGTCGTTGCTCTGGATGACGAGCCCAACCCGGCCGGACCAAATGATGAGCAGCCGACTGGCCCGGAACCACTCCACGATGAGGCGCAAATACCGTCAGAGGTGCAACAGGAGCCAACGGGTGATGATCAGTGGGCCGAAACAGCCGGCTGGGGAAAGAAATTCAAGAAGAAAGGCAAGAAGAATCGACCAACTTCAGACGCAGTCGCTCTAGCCGAGGAAGGTGAATCATCCAAACCTACGGATGAGCCATTGGCCGTTGAAACCGCCCTTGACAGCACCCAGCCGAGTGTCGATCCGAGCTCGGGTCCTTTGGCAAAACCTGATACGACAGCTGACAACCAGCCGTCGGAAGTTCAACCCGAGTTCGAGTTCATGGCTATCAAGAAGAAATCCAAGAAGGATAAGAAGAAGCGAGGTTCTTCCCAGATCGACCTAGACGTAAGTGAACTTCCGACGGAAATCCCTGAGCCAACCGCGGAGGAACTTCCCAACGAAGAAGAGCAGCCCCAGCCTCCAACCGACTCAGCTCCAGCCAGTAGTGAGACTCCGGTCGAACAGGCAGATCCCGACACAGAGGACGTCTGGTCGAATTCGAAAAAGTCGAAGAAGAACAAGAAGCGCCAAAGTCAGTCTCAAGCCGAACGCGATCTCACTTCTACTGTCATCGAGACGAACATAGAGTCTGCACCTGGACAGAGCAGCACATTGGTAGAACCTGCCCAGACCCCGGACGAAGATGATTCTGGCTTCACTTCAACCAACGCCAAGAAATCAAAGAAAGAGAAGAAGAAGAAGCGCCAGAGTGTTCAATTCGCCGACCCCGTCGATGAGCCAATGGAGACATCAGCAGGACCCGTCAGCGAGGCTACTACACCCGAGGTATCTCTCGAGCCTGAACAGCTTACATCAATGCAAGAATCGAACAAATCGCCCCACGATGCGATGATCAGTCACGAACAGCCATTCGATGCAGATTTGGCCTCGGATTCAAAGCTTGATTCTGTCAAATCCGACGATCCGTCGGACCAGGTTATCGAGGACACTGAGTATAGAGAAACAACTGACGTTACACCCGAGGCCACTGATGATTCACAGCCCCGCGAGATTGCACCTACTTCGGTTCCCGACGAATCAATGCCAATTGAGGGACTCACAATTCGTACTTTGGAACCAGGAGATAACCCACCTGATGCCAAGGCCGAAGCTGCCGATGAACAAGTCGATACCTCACTGCCTACTGATCAACCTGGCCAGGAACAGGACCCTACAGATTCGGTCAAAGACAATCCAGAGGTGGAGCAGATGGCAGAGTCTCACGGTAGTTCTGATACCATTGCGCGCGAACCTCCCAGAACTGTGGACGAAGGCGAAACCCAACCAGCCAGCCCTGCTCTTCAGCCTCCTGAGTCTGATGAGTTGGCTCAACCGATGGATGCCACTGTGCCCACCGATACGCCTCAGACTGAGGAAGCTGCGTCAACACAAGACCCTACGCCAGCCGTCGCTGATGAAGAATTCCCCATTTTCGAGAAGAAGAGCAAAAAGGACAAGAAGAAGCGCAAGAACAAGGGTCAAGATCATTCGGAAGCTACGTCAGGGACCACGACTCCCACGACTGAGGCAAATACCGGTGCTTCAACAGCGGAGCAGATTGCACCTTCTTCCTCTGAAAGCCCGCCTACCGTCGACCCAGGTCCCACAGATGCCATCCCAAGTACTGACCCGGAGTCAAAGGCCATAGTAGATGATCCACCGCAGGAAGACGACTTTCCCGGCTTTTCGACCAAGAAGAGCAAGAAGGATAAGAAGAAGAACAAACGTGGAAGTAAGATCCAGGAAGCCGCGCCCGTTGCCACACAAACTGAAGATGTTGATAACCAGCGGCCTCAGTCGCCAGTCCAGATCGCGAGTCATATTGAGACCATGGAACCGTCCGGCCTGCCAGAAACTTCGACCCAAGAGCCTGATTTGCCACAGCCTGAAGACCATCAGCTATCCTCATCCGTCCACGAAGCGAGCCAGGTGACCACAGAATCATTAGATCCACTAGGTTTCCCAACACAGGACTCCGAATCGCAACCGCCGGCACCTCTAGATACACCCGCTACCACTCAAAATGAGGACCAACCGCCGCCAAGCCAAGACGATCATGGAGAATCTGTGGAATCCACGAAGCCTGGGCCGGAAACCATGCCAGAAACGGACATTGTCAGGGAGGAGTCCCATGACGAAGATGGAACACGTCAGCTTGACAATTCCACCGAAACTGCCGAAAACGAAGAACCCACCGCCGAGCCATCTGGGGAAGAACAGCCTTCAGACTTCATTGTTACTCGCAAATCCAAGAAAGACAAGAAAAAGAAGCGCGGTACCCTAGTGGATGATGATATCTCGCCAAAGGACCCGGACGTGTCAGAGCCAGCCCCTGAAACTGAGACGCCTGTCACTGAAGGCTTGTCCGGGGCTGTAGAGGGTATTAGTGAGGATGCGGAAGCAGAAAAACCAGCACACAGTACCATAGAAGAACCTCAGTCTCTCAACGAAGCTACCGCAGACCCCCAAGAAGCTTCCACTGCAGACAAGGACTTTGCTGTGGAGCCAGAAGCCTCTGTTGAAACTTCTGCCAAACCAACTGAGCCTCTTGCTGATCAGGCAACTGCGCTCAACGAGCTTGATACGCAACTTTCTGAGTGGGCCCCAACCAAGAAGGGCAAGAAAGACAAGAAGAAGAAACGAGCAAGCACATGGGGTGACGAGGTACCGCAGCAAGAGACAGAGCCACAAGCCCCCGCGACAGCCGATGCACCAACCGTGAACGAACAAGTAGAGGTCGGCACTTCAGCTGCACTTGAGAGCCCCAAGGAAGTGGAGACCGCTGAATTCGTTTCAACCAAGAAGAGCAAAAAGGACAAAAAGAAGAAACGAGCCAATCTCTGGGATGAGGAGGTGCCGCAAGAAGATCAAAGTCAGCCGCCTGCAGATACCACGACGGCGAAACCGGAACAGCTTAAGACGGATAACCCGACAGCACTCGAGCTCAACAAAGACGAGGACAGCGCAAGCTTCGCTCCTGCTAAGAAGAGCAAGAAGGACAAGAAAAAGCAACGATCGAGTCTATGGGAATACGAGTTGCCTCAGGATGAGCCAAGTCAGACATCTGCGGAACTTGATGTTACTCCCGAAGTCGGCGGCCCAGTCGAGGTTGAAACTCCTGTACCTGAGTCTTCAAAAGATAAGGACTTCGAAAGTTTCGCTCCTGCCAAGATAAGCAAGAAAGACGAGAAAAAGAAACAAGCAAGCTTATGGGATGACCAGTTGATCTCACAGCCAGAGCCAAGTCAAGAAGCAGCCGAATCTACTAGTGGAGCAACTCCAAACGAACAAGTTGACGAACCCCCAGCAGTCGTCGAAAACTCAAGGGAGGAAGACACGCTGGGGTTCTATTCTGGCAAGAAAAATAAGAAAGACAAGAAGAATAAGCGAGCCTCTACCTGGGAACCCGAACCTGAGCTTCCAACTTCACGCCAGCTAGAGCCAGAAGCAGAAGCAGAGCCGGAGACAACGACACAGACTTCCCATCAAGAAGTCATCGATACTGCAGACATTGGCATTTTTGAGCCCCAGCCTTCACTGAGCACCCACGATCTGAGTCTTGCAGAAGCAGGGCTCTCGGTTGGTCAGTCTGGCATACCACTAGCGTCCACTGGTGGTGTTGGTGAAGTACCAGCCTCTATTGTGCCAGACACCTTGTCTCTCGCCGAGGAAGGCCTCTCAACTGAGCGTTCTGTTGAGCCCGCTGAGCAGGACATCGTCAGAGAACCTAGCCCTGATGCCAGTGCTCGAACATTGGATCCTCCCGACACTGAAGGAACCACAGCGATGCCGACAATAGAGGAGCCCATTGTCACAGATACACAACAGGAAGACAGCAACGTATCACTCAACAAGCTACCCGAGGATATCGCCCCGACCCCTTCTTCTGGGGAGCAGCAAGCCAACACTTCGATGGAGGAAGCAAAATCTCCCCATCCGGATGAGCAACCTGAGTCAAAACTGGACATTGTCAGTCATGACCACCTGCCGTCGCAAGAGCTTGCTCCAGTCCAGACTGAGGAACAGCCAGCCGACTTGGATGAATGGGCACCGGGCACAAGCAAGAAGTCGAAGAAGGGCAAAAAGAAGAAAAAGAAGCAAGCTAGCCAACTCGATTTGGAGCCCGAAGCGGAGATCGCTACACCACTCGAGGAGCCTCAGGCGCAACTGCTATCGTCGGAGGCTCCTGCTGAGGATGCTGACGAGAGACCTGACGAGCAGCCTGCTGTCGAGGAAACTGCTGTCGAGGAAACTGCTGTCGAGGAAACTGCTGTCGAGGAAACTGCTGTCGAGGAAACTGCTGTCGAGGAAACTGCTGTCGAGGAAACTGCTGTCGAGGAAACTGCTGTCGAGGAACCTGCTGTCGAGGAGCCTGTTGCCGAGGAACTAAGCAGAATTCCAGGAGACACGGCAATTGCTGAAGAAGAGTCCCCGGCATTTCTTTCGGGCAAGAAGGACAAGAAGGACAAAAAGAAGAAGCGAGCTAGCCAATTGGATTTGGAGCCCGAAGCGGAGATTGCCACACCACTCGAGGAGCCACCCCAACCACAACTGCTATCGTCGGAGACCCCTGCTGAGGATGCTAGTGAGAGACTTGACGACCAGCCTGCTGTTGAAGAACCAGGCAAGATTCTAGAAGACACAGCAATTGCGGAAGAAGAGTTCCCTGCGTTTCTTTCGGGCAAGAAGTCCAAGAAGAAGAAGCGTCAAAGTCAAGTTGACTGGGAAGTTGGCGCGGAAGGTGAACTGCCCCAGCAGGATCCCCAGCAACCGCACCAGCCCGAGTCAACTTCACCATCCGATCCCCAACCCGAGAGTCAGGCTGCTGTGGAAGACACTTCAGCGATAGTAAAAGATGTGGCAGAGCCGGAGGAAGCTTCCCTGGGAATCGATTCTAGCAAGAAGTCGAAAAAGAAGAAGGGAGTTGTCCAATTCGACTGGGAGGAGGCGTCAGGAACTGTGACCCCCTCCCAGTCTCATCCAGAGCCATTACTACCCGACGAACCTCCCACAGAAGAATCACCACCGCAACTCGCTGATCAGCCTACTGTGGAAGAACATGCAGCATCAAGGGACGGAGCGGACGCGGAGGACCTCTTCCCTGGATTCGCTCCCACCAAAAAGTCCAAGAAGGAGAAACGAAAGTCAAAGAAGTTGCCCGATATCGAATCCGTTGAGCCCGAACTTCCTGTCGAAGTCGAAACACTTGCCGGGGATGTCGCACCAGACCAAGCGGAGCAAAGCCGCGAGCCTCTTCTGGAATCGGTCTCCGAAAGTCCCAGATCAAAGAGCCCTATCCGAGACATCCAGGACTTCGCGGGGATCCCCGAGATCCCCGAGTCAACGGATCAACCGTCAGCAGTTGAGGCCTATTCTGAAACGACTAAAGATCTCCAACAGGGCGTCTCTGAATCGGAAGCCCTCCAAACTGAGCCCCTTGACGAATCAATGCGGGATCCGACCGCAAATATCAACACGTCTGCAAATGTATCGAACAATGTCCATGCCCCTCAGCCGTCACAGGATCCGCCAGTCAGCAGTCAAGCAGATAGTAGTCTTCCCAGTCAAAACCCTCCCGAAGTCCCGGTTGAAGAGTTCCCTGAGTTCTCTACCAAGAAGTCCAACAAGAAGTCCAAGAAAAAGGGCAAAAAGGCACAAATACTTGGTGCCGCTGAAATAGAGACTCAGAAGCCTTCCGACATCGAGAAAGAGGATGAGGCAGCAACGCTCACGGCCGCGGTAGCGCCAGAAGACCACAAACAGGTTGACATTCTTGGCGATGACGAATCAAATGACTTGCCCATGGTGACCAGTGGCTCGTTGTCAACCGATCAACAAAATGACAAGGATGCATCACCTTCGAAGGAGCCGGAAGCGGAGGCGGAGGCAGAACCAGAACTAGAGCTGTTTCCTGTCTCTCTCAAGAAGTCGAAGAAAGACAAGAAGAAGAAGAAGGCCGGCACTCAATTGAATTCGGAGCCAACATCGGGGACGCAGACGCCAGCAGTACAAGACATAAGCGTCAGCGGTGATTTGAGCGAAAGCATCCCACCTCTGTCAACGATAAAGGAACCAGAGGCTGTCGAGAATGAGTGGCCTGATTTCAACACCAAGAAGTCCAAGAAAGACAAGAAGCGGCGAAAGGCATCTGGCACGTCGACGCCACTAGAGACTTTTCAATCCTTCTCTGGCGACCCCGTCCCTGAAGAATCTCAAGAACAACCAAGCCAGGAGCAACCCACTCTTGAGGAGATATCAGACGTAGGAGGACAGACCTCCAAGGCTAAGGATGTCTGGGAGGATGACAAGTTCTTCAAGCCCAAGGAACAAGTTGATGCTATCAAGGAACCCATCACGCATCAACTCAATTCGCCTGAACCGCGGGAGAATATTCCAGATATTGTTGAGCCCATCGAGCCCGTGTCTCACCCTCGCACCCCTTCGCCGAATCGCCCATTGTCTGTCGTTGTCGATCTGTCACCAGCTCAGCTAAGCAGCCACGTCGAACATGAACGTCCGTTCGACCAATCAACACAGCCGGGCAAGAAGGTCCGGACTCAACTGGCTGAGGATGACTCTGTGGTTCCGGAGCCTCTTTCTGCCCCGATGGCCGAGTTTCCCGATCCCAACGTAACAGACCTGATCCACAACGTTCCGGAGAGAGCACCGATGCAAGCCTCTGAAGCTTCACCAAGCAAACCGGACTCTATTGAAGAAGACGCACCATCAGCTCGTGAGGTCGCAGCCACGCTTTTGGAGTCGCGTCCAGGCAAATCCGACAAAAAGAAAAAGTCCAAGGGCGGGGACTCAAAGGACGTCGAGACGGCTATCACTGCCGCTGCCGCTGCTGGAGGGTCTGCACTCCTAGCAGAAACGTCTGGTGGTTCTAAGAAAGGCAAAGGCAAGAAGAAGCTGAAGTACGTCGACAAGAGGACGCCCAACGAGGATGATATATTCGACGACCCTGCCCTTTGGGAAAGCTCCGAGCGTAAGCCGCTGGAAGAGGGTAGCAGAATGGATGATGACGCCGGCGACTTCTGGACTGGCCCGAGCACAGACGCTGGAGATCATCCCGGAGATTCATCTTCGGGGCCAACGGATATTGCGATCTTGGACGACAAAGCAGCTCCGCCACACATATCTACCGAAGCTGTACATGCTGAAAGCCCAGTAGCTGGAAGAGGCATCGCACATAATTTGCCAGACCCGCATATTGAACACCAGCAGCCTCCAATGCCAAGGGAGCCGGCAACTTCAGAAATCATCGACAATCTGGATGACCTGGATACATCAGAGCATCTTGATCAGAGACGCGATTCTCTTTCCCATGAACCTGAACAGTCAACTATCCCGACAAGAACGCACGATTTTCTGGATCACGGCCGTGCTTCACCTCGTATTCTCCCACCTGTGGAAGAAGAGACTCATGAGGATCTCGAAAATGAGTTTCGATCCAGCGCTCAAGACACTCCCAGCAAATTCATGGCAAGTCCAGAAGTGAACAGAGACAGTGGGTTTGTGCCAGATTCACCTCATCCTCTGCGACGCAGCCTCATCGACGAGCCAGGGCTGCGTGATAGCGGCGTACACATGCGTGATTGGCCTGAGAGCACGCCTAAGAAAGGAGAAAGTCCCTCTGGTTCCGAAGAGTCGGGTGCTAGACTTTCGTGGCCAACTGGCGAAAACGAAGGCAGTGGATCACGTACACCAAGAGGCGATGAAAAGCGCTCTAGACGATCACTGTTGGGCAACGAAACACCAAGACTGGGCACGCCAGCACGTCACGGTCAAGACGGCTGGGCTGAGACGCCTGAAAACCAGACGACGGATCCCAAGAAGCCCCGTTCAGCCAAATATCAAGATTTGGGGCGGGCAGCTCTGGCTACACCGCAGCGGTCGGAACAGAGGAGCTTCTCGGACAACATCAGTCGCGAATCGAGCCCACGGGCGGAGAGGCAGGGAAGGAGGTCGGCGTCGAACACGAGCATCTCGCGACTCAGGACGCCGGAGCCGCTTAAACTCCGGCCTGACAGTCCAGGCAGCCACACCAGCCATATCAGCCACATAAGCCACAGCGGGCGTTCCAACGCCACTAGTACCCCGCCCCTCCGCCGCGTGGATAAGCGAATGAGTGGAGATTTGCGATCGCTCAACCAACCAACGGGGTCCAACCCCAACCTCTCCAGCCTGTCCCTGTCGGAGGCGGTGTCCAGCGCCAAACTCGACAAAGACAAGGACAGAGACAGAGACAGACACAACACCACGCCCGTCGCCAACGAAGGCCGTGTCCGCGCCAAGGACATGACCGACGTATATGTAAGTGTTTCTTCTGATCAATGACAATGACAATAACACGATTGCTGACCTTCTCTGCCCGCAGGATGGCCTAGGCGAAGGCCGCATTGGCTCTCCACGGTCGCCGACGAGACCCCATAGTATGCGCCGGCGACAGAGCATGCAGGTACTGGAACTCGAATCCAAGGTCGAACAGCTGATCGCCGAGAACCGCTCACTCGCCGATGCACGCGCCCAAGCCGAGCGCAACCTGTCACAGCGCACTACCTCTGCTATCAGCGAGCGCGACGCCGAAATCGAAAACCTCAGGGCCTCGTTGGACTGGCTGCGCAACGAAGTCACCCGCTTGACTGAGGTGAATGAGGGCCTTCACAGCGCCAACAACCTCCTCGCGCTTCAGCACAACGACAAGTACGGCCGACTCGAGACACAGCATGCATCGGCAGCCCGGGAACTGGAAGAGCACCGAGGCGCAAGAGGCCAGTACACCAGGACCCTCCAAGAAAAGGATGCCGAGATCGAAGAGCTTCGCAACCAGCTTGAGGCCGCCAAGGGGCAGATCCGGGAAATGCAAAAGCAGATCCTTGCTGCCAAACCTCCCGATGCCGAGTTCCTCCGACTCAAGGACGAGGACCACTTCGATCACCGCTGCCAGCAGCTGTGTTCTCATGTCCAGCAATGGGTCCTGCGCTTCTCCAAGTTCTCTGATATGCGCGCTTGCAGGCTTGCGAGCGAGATCAACGACGAGAAGATCATCGACCGACTCGACAACTCCATCTTGGACGGATCCGATGTCGATAAATTCCTCAGCGACCGAGTGAGGCGTCGCGACATTTTCATGTCCATGACCATGAACATGATCTGGGAGTTTGTTTTCACCCGCTACCTTTTTGGTATGGACCGGGAGCAAAGACAAAAGCTCAAGTCTCTTGAAAAGCTCCTGACCGAGGTGGGGCCGCCTCAGGCCGTTCGTCAATGGCGTGCGGTGACCTTGACCCTTCTGTCCAAGCGGCCAGCATTTGGCGATCAACGCAACCAGGACACAGAGGCTGTAGTGCAGGCCATCTTCCAGACACTGTCGATGATCTTGCCGCCACCATCAAATTTGGAATCTCAGATCCAATCGCAACTGCGACGTGTCATGCGTGAGGCTGTCGACCTGTCGATTGAGATGCGTACCCAGCGCGCCGAATACATGATGCTCCCGCCTCTGCAGCCCGAGTATGACGCAAATGGCGAACTCACCGAGACGGTGACTTTCAACGCCTCGCTTATGAACGAGCGATCTGGCGATTCAACCTCTAATGAAGAACTCGAGGCCCAGGGTGCTGTTGTGCGCTCTGTGCTGTTCCCCTTGGTGGTCAAGAAAGGGGATGACAGCGGAGTCGGAGACGACGAAATCGTGGTCTGTCCGGCTCAGGTGCTAGTGGCCAAAGCACGACACTCCACCAGGATGGTGACCCCTTCATCGGAGGCCGGGGGTGTACCGCTCTCAAGAGGCGCCACCCCCTCTGCCTTTGGCCAGAGCACAATGAGCGTCAACATGACCGATGCCCCTCTCCCGTCGGAAGGCGGCATATAGAATATGGACCTGCGTAATTGATGGGCAAGGCGGAATGCGAACCAAAAAGGAATGAACAGGGGTCAAGAATGAACACGAGGATTGGGAGTTATTTTACCTGTGATTGCATATCTTCTTAACTTCCATCGGGCGTTGGTTGGATTTGATGATACCTGGGTGGAGTTATAGCCTGCCGTGTGAACTACCCTTCTATTGATGACCTGACTGATGAGCTATAGTTGTATGTCCTATTTAATAATGCTAAAGCCAATAAAGCTTCACAATGTCTATGAGTAGATCACATATGGTGGGGTGGGGTCGCGTACGTGATGGGAACAAGGGAACTATGGATCGAATTGTATGCACCGGCGTTCTCTGTTCAGAACCCACGTAATATTTGCAAATATTAAACGTTGCTTTGGTCGCGACTGTCCCATCAATCATTGAGATACAAGTAAACCATGAGAACAAATCTAGGGGGTGGCAGTGCACTGTAACAGGAGCCATTAGGGCATTTGGGGTCCCCTTTTTCACAACACGCCTACTCTGAATTCATCGAATTACACTATAATACCTAGCCACAAGCACGCTGTTCTGTCTGACACCATCCGTGACCAAGCGCTCGTCGTAACTGAGTTGCCAGTCCCCCTTTCTTTCTTTCTGAGGTGGATGTACCCGAACGTGTCGGCACAAGCTGCCATCTACCTACGCCGCTGCTGGAGCAAGCCGCGTGGGTGTACCAATAGAACCTGAAGAACATGAACCTCATGTCTTACTGAAGTTTTGGGGGTTCAGTGTAGGTCAAAAGTGCGGAGAAGTAGAGTCGTCTGGGTACACCATGACTTGCTTGCGAGATGCTCCCGTTTTACCGACACCGCCAGGGTGTGCCAAACACTCATACTCCAGTCACAGATGCTCGTATAACATCCTGCGCAACTAGCAGTCCCTGCAGCAATTTGCCTTTCTCAGACGTGCGATCGGGGCGTTCGTGCTCTTTCGCGTCTTTGAGAATACCCAGGATCATGATCATGAACCCATATCTGTGATCAGGGGACGAAGCAGGAGGCCCGGGATAAGACCTGCCAAGTTGCTGCTCGAGCTCCTTCTCAAGTTCCACCACGATACGGTCGCAATGGCCAATGAGCGCGAAGTAGTCCAAGTCGGCCTCTTGGACTGAAGCGGTGATATAATCCTTCATCATATCCAGCCAAGCCTTCAGGGTCGTGTCCTCCTTCTTCCCAGAGGCCACCTTCGGCTGTCTCTTGAGAACTGAAGCGGCCAGTTGTATAGACAACTTGCGCTGGAATACTTCCAGTGAATCACTGCCGTCGGCGTACTGGCGCATAATCTGCACAGCAGGCGTCGGCTTCAACAGCCACGACTGGCGCTTACTCGTGATCTTGACCGTCGAAGATGCTAATCCTGTCTGAAAGGAGAATCTCTCGTATGCGGTCTTAGCATCCTCAGGTACAGCAGAGGCGAACAGCTCCCTCGCGTGCAGCTTTAGCACTCTGTCCATTGACTCCCATGGCATAAATTTGGGGTCTTGCTGGCGGAGGAGGTTGTATATATGGGCGACCGCAAAGACGGTCATCCGCTGATTAGCGGTGTCGATACCCACGATTACCCTGGCGGTGAAGCCATCGAGGGCCAGGACTGCTCCCAGCAGGGGGTTGTGTCTAAACAAGAAGCACGGGTCCGGGTTTGGTAAGATGAGACGTACGTCCGCGTCCTAGGAGGTCGGAGTCTCTTGTTCCGTTTTGATCCCGCGCTTCTTGTTTACAAAACCGGTCAGCTTCTTCAACATCCATGCCGGGACTTTTCCGTCCTTGAACGTCTTTCTTAGTTCAGCTTCCTGACTGCTGTGGGCTGGATAGCCCCTCCCTTCCTTCATGACTTGTGTCTTCACCGTTACCAAGGTGCTGTCTTGCACCGCCATCTTCAGGCGCGGTATTAAGGGGTGGTGTCCTGTGCTGTCCCCTTGCTTCACTAAGTCCAAGGCAGATTCGTAATCAGCGAAGCCTTTGTCACTAGGCATATCGTCTAATTGAAGTTCTCGTAGGTGCAGAAGCAGCTGAGCTGCCACGACGCTTTCGACAGTGACGGTCCCGTCGGCCCAGATCGTTCGCAGCGCGCTCGAAAAGACATCCTTGGCAATCGGATTACCAAGTTTTACCTCTAAATCAACACGATCAGCCAAGATCATATCAAGAACGAGCTTCCCAAGGAAGTCGGCGGACTTCTCCAGTTCGATGAAGTCGGGTGTATCCAGTATGGCAGGCTGGTGAGCGTTGTATGCGCGCATCGGAAGTATGGGCGGAGGCCAGCCAAACATGTTGCCAAGCTGCTTGGTCTGGCACAACCGTCCCAAGATCTCTCCGAGAGGGAGAAGTGCAAATTTCTGGATGGGCGGAAGTCCCATCCCCTGTGGGCGTGTACGGCTGTCTGCGTCTAAGGGAGCGTCTGACTTTACCAATGCCGCTGCAAGCTCCTCAAACGGTCTACCCTTCGTGGGGAAGTGGCGGGTATAGATACTGTGGACGTCCAACTCTTGTCTCCGAATTGCGTAGAGAACTTCGGTCGTTTGCATCAAAGCAGTGATGTATGCTGCCTTGTCCTGGTGTGTCTCCGTCCAGAGCGCTTTTACCGTCTGCATAGAGCGGTGTATGTCTTCGAAGAATGAGAAGACAAGGAAGATGGTCTCGCGTTTCTGGTCGACAGAGCCAATATCATTGATATGGTATTCCTTGGGTATGGCAAGGTCTTCAGGCCCATGGATGGTGTCCTGCTCGTCTTGTAATTCCGTAGGTTCTTCCAACGTCAAACCCAGGAACATGTTTCTAGTTCAATGTCAGTGAACAACTCTTGAAAGTATTGGCAGCATACTTGCAAGACTTACTCGATCTCTGCTGACGGAGAGCTATGCGCCATCTCCGCCATCGAATTCTGTATCGTGGCACCAGAGGTTGCCAGTATCTTCAGGGTCGCTTGGCAGCTCTCCAGTATTCCAGTGTAGTACTTATGGGTAGCATTGGCTTCTACCATGTCTGGGCAGACAGCTTGATACCAAATCCCGCACCGGCGTCTGCCTAGGACTGCCCGTCGAAGTGCATTCTGCGACCACGCTGGTACACACTCGCCCTGCGTGCCAGCAGCTGCGACTGTCGTTGCTTGGTTAGTTATTTCGGTGGTAGTGGGATCGCGCCCGATGATGATAAGTCCTCCAATCTTTGACGACTCGCAATTGAGCCACGTCAAGAAGATTGATGTATCGCGCTTGTATCTTGCGTGTGACCCCATGGTCAAAGCCATGATCGAGTAGGGAAAGAAGATCAGTTGAGAGGAATTTAGCGGAGAAAAATGGTACCTAGGGATTGTTCAGGCAATGAATTTTTGCGTAAGCTCGCACCCCCACGAGTCGTTGCTGTGGTCACCTGGCATTCATCAGGTCAGGCTTGGGAGAATATTTACAGACGTTATTCGCCCCACAGGCACCTATACTGACTATGCCATCACATTGAAACTACAAGTCTTTATGGTTGATCTTGTTGGTTAAGTCAAAACGGGGCGTGGTGAGTCAGAAAGCCACGGCGTCTTATAGACAGGGAACGCGAAGGCCCATGAGGAGGCCACTCAATGGCCTTTTCAGACATGTGGTCGACGAGCTCTGAACTGCGAGTTTGACGGCCCTTCCTGAGTGTTCAGAATTTCAATTAGCCAATTGCTCTTGTCAATGACTGGATACCAGCGTTGAAGCTTCTATAAGCCAATGTAGAGATGAGTTGGTGATGGGTGTGGCCGTTTGGAGTACCGCAGAGTGCAGCATTACTACAAACGAAGAACTCGAAACTAACAACCACTACTGTCTCCTACTATCTGTAGTACCGGCAGCGTCCCTATTGATCACAAGCAGATTCCTGTCGTGCCATGATCGATAGAAGCGTCCCGATAGAGCCAGTATGACCCAGGCTGCCTGGAGTGAAGCCTTCCAACCGGGCGGTAACTTATCACGAAGCATTGATGGGAGCACATAGCTTCAGGTCGAGCTCTTTACGCACAACTACCGCACAGAGGTTTATAGAAAGGTCCGGACTTGGCCTAGTTGCTGAACAACGTCGACTTGTAGGATCTCGATATAGGAATCTGGTTATCCCTTCGGAAAATATCGAGCGGCAAGGAAAATCGCGTTGCGTGCATAAGTGTTTGGCCGGAGGCGGCCCCCAGGCTTCTGGTGTAGTGTGATCCTGATATAGTTTATAGACATGCAACAGCAGTAGTCGAAATGTGACAAGCAAGCAGTCAGTTTTGACTGACGTGCTCCGCGGGACAGAACACGGTCGTTGTAGTTCACCAATACCACATGGCCTTGGTATCGGTACGACCTGACTGCTGCAGACGCACGCACACATATGCAGCCCGCAGTTTGGTATGGATGGTGATTGCTCATCTCGTACTGACTTGATGTGACCTGCTCTCCGCAACAAACTGCTGATGAGCGAGGGCTGGCATGCAAGGTCTGTAGGTCGACGCGGACGAGGCCATGGTAATGGGATTCTCTCGCGGACTGCAGGCACGATAGATAAGGTAATATACGACATATTTTTTAACCAATGCATAAGGCTTTCAATGTGCATGGGCTCAGAGCGGGAAGAAGCCATAGGATTAGGCACTGACGACTCGTCAACATGGCCATATCGTATATGACTAACATACATGTTGATAGATAGATGGGCAAGCAGCGTCGCATCACCACATGCAAATATAAGTTGTCCTAAAAGCCCCCAATGCGTCCCAGGATACTGTATCTATCTCATAGATTTTCCCTTTGCCTTTTCTTACTTCCATTTTCTCCGCGATACGACCACAACTTACATGATCTTACCCTTAACTGTATGATTTACTCACCCTACTAGTAAATATGGCTATTAATAAACAGTCCTACTAGGTATACATTGAAAAAAAAACCTTAGGTGCACATTGATTTCTAATACACTTGCAGCCACTTGCCACGGCTATCCATCTTAACTACTATATTTATAGCGCCTATTTTATTGTAATAGTAAAGCATTTGTTGCATTATTTATTTATTTATTTAATACTTGCACGTTTATAATAATAGTGCTAGTTTATTATAAAGATGTATTTATTATGTAATTAATATTATGTATAATTCATTAAAGCGAATTAAATAGTGATATTCCCGTATTTATTATAATTTATTTAAATGCGTTACGTTAATTTAAATATCGGATTAAGATCTAACCGGTACAACTAATATAACGACTTAACGCTTTATCTTGCTATAATTATAACGTAGGTCACAAGCAAGCGGGACACACAAGCGAGCAGGACACTTTTACCAACCTTCCAACCAACATGTCAAATAACTTAATCACAACGCATTGAATTCAATCTAATCAATCGGATTCCTTTTCTTTAGACGTTTCTATCTCTATTGTACAAGTTCGCGCATTATGGCTAGTATTGCCGCAAACGCCACAACGTCGCTCACGCGCTGCCGCCCTCCTCGGACGACGACTACCTTCACCCATTTCCTGTCTTGCCAGCTCATCACTATCCTTTACAGCCTGGAGACCTACTGCATCTTTAACAAAAAGTACTCCTCCTTTTATTAGAGGTTTGTTTTTTGTCCTCTGGCATTTACTTAGTAGGTGATTGGCCTCCTCTAGCTCGCGGACCCGGGAATCAACCAAAGCAACCTTGTGCATAAGACCGTATGTAGCCTTTGAAAATAAGCTCAACGCATCAATTATTGATGTAGGTGAGCTTCCCTGGTGGTTTCTGACTTGATTTCAGATATAAACCGACTGGTTTACCGCTTTGTTGATGGTGGTAGGCGTCTTTGAAGTCCAAGTAGTGGGTGGCAGATTGGGGTCTGGCAACGGTGTTCGTATCTTGGATACCATGTTTCACGACTGCCCAAAACCACGCGCGATACGCGTCTAGATCTTCGTTCAAGACCCTTTGGTAGTCCATCCTCCGATGAAAACGCGTCCGGAGGCCTGGTGTGCGTTTAATGAAGTTCCGCGTCCAGTTATTTCCAACGCGTCCATCCCCACGTGCTGCCAACAATTGATTTGCCATATCTTCAATATAACTGTACCGGGGTGGAAATGCTCACGCATCCAGGTCAAGAATGAAGGAAAGAATGGCATTCTCTTCGGAAACCGTAAGTTTCAAAGTATTGGGCATGCTATCGCGTCGTGATGGTCGGCCGGCAATTCTAGCCTTCAAGGTATTATATGGGACATGGAAAGTCTTAGAAAGCTTGCCAATGGTAATATGAGGGCCGTGTCGCTTAGCTTGGACAGCAAGCTGTAAGTCTGATTTGCTATAACGCAATGCCATTATTGTTAGTTGATCAATTAGGAGCCTTGATTGAAAGGTTAGATGGCTGGTGAAAAGTTGCCGTTCGCTTGTAATTGCCGCTCGCTTGTCATCCACGTTAATAAAATAATAAGTTTTTACATATATTTTAATAATAAATAAAAACCTTTTAAAAAAGATTTATAACTATAGTAATAATCGGGTAAGTTAAAGATAGTTATTATTTTTAATGATAACGGTAAAAGCGACCGCGTCACGTTATTTATAACCTTATTTATTAAAATTGGGCGTAGTTAATACGATTTCGAACATGTTAAGCTTAAAAATAAAGGTTTTAAAAGTGAAAGAATTAATTTAAAGTATATAAAAGGCGAATAAACCTATATAACGTAAATATAATAATGTTTTTAAAGGAATTTAATAAATTGCGGCAGTGTAAAAGAATTAAGTGCTGATGGTAATTATAAGATATAATGTAAATTAAAATTAAATGTGGTGCAAATAAGGTTTGGTTGCAGCTGGTGGCAGGTAGTTGCAGGCGTACCAAAAATTAATATGCATCTAAGGATTTTTTTCAATGTACACCTAGTGGGACTGTTAATAAACTACGAGGTGTTGGATTCTGGGCTACGTTAGCCCATCCATAGTCATCCTTCAGGATCACCATCCCCATCTGTGACTCTGTCACATACGTGGCCACATAAGGCCACGTATCCTTTCCTTTAGTATCTTGGAAATATAGGGCCACTCTGGCCGCTCCAGAGTAGCTGGAATTCCTCTCCTTAATAGAACACTTTGAAATCTCACACGAGGCCTCGACACTGCTCTGTTACTAAGACGTGTGAAACACTGCTTCTGTCAAATATAAGCACTGACTTGATGTCAGTGTCAATCCCTTTTGCCTAGCGGCTGCATCTGACAATCAAGAGTCGCATCGTCTCTCTAACTCACTGGATAATTTAATGGATACACGTCGCTAGAGCAGACCACCACCCAGCCACCCACAGGGTTCGAGTCTCGTAGAAGCCGCGACTGGATAGAATAAGTCAGAACAAAGTCAAAGCGCAAGTCAGAACAGCATCCAGCTTTCGCACTGCACAGCAGTATGGCTCCGTACTCAAGCTGCGGGGGTGTGTCAAATATAAGCACTGACTTGATGTCAGTGTCAATCCCTTTTGCCTAGCGGCTGCATCTGACAGCTTCGTACTGATTCACCAGCCAGTTTCTGTAACACACGTGACCCATTCACCACTGCCTGCCTTGCTTAGCGAATCCCTTGATGATACCGTGGTGAGTTTTACTAGGTGTATAGAAAATATAAATATCTTAGCACCGCTTGACTCGACTCGGATCTTGCCCCCTTGTACCAGCCTCAGAAGGACCCAGACACCCAACACCACCAACAGCAAGTTCAGTTCCTGCATTAGTCAATATAACCAACGCCATGAAGCTTCTTACCCTGCTCGTACTCGCCGGCGCCTTGATAAGTGAAGTGCCGGTTGTTTCAAACACATCAATTACCCACGATCCCCAGCAAGCCACTGGACTCGATGCATCCGAGCAAGCCCGCGACTGGCAGTTGCCTCCAGGGATGGCCAAGCCAGGCGGCCCACCCGCCGACCACTCGCCTCCTATCGGTCCCGACGATACATCCAGGTCGGATCCCGTTCTCAACGACGAACTCAACACATATGGCGCGTCACTATATTCTTCAGTAGCCCGCACCCCCGCCTCGTGGTTGACTTTGACGACTGGCTTCCTACCCACCCCTGAACGAGAAGATACCTACGAGAAGTGTGGTGGGCTGACTGCTACATATATCCGCAGGAGACATCCGTACAACGTAATACCACGCTACATAATGGCGAGTCCTGTCGGCCGGTCGCAGGCGACGAGGGCTCTGATCTTCTACGAGTACGATATATGGAGGGCGCGTACGAGCACCCCTGCCCAACCCAACACCTTCCCTACCTAGTCTGCGCTCCCCCACGTGAAAACTAACTTGGACATACCATGCCCCACCCCCTAACGGGACACACCCCCCACCGGGACAGCCAAACCCCACCATCACCACCAAAATACCCCCTTACTCACTTACACGCAATTGAGGCTGTAGATGCCCAAAGAAATCAACAAAATTATCATTCTGTGGTGTTGAGGCTCCTCAATCCACGTATCTAGCTGGCGCCCTAATTGACCGACCGCTTCTTGTCACCTGGGGCTCTGCAACAGGGGCTTCTTCACCCTCCTCAGCCTCCTCAACCTCTTCCTCCTCCTTACCCTCATCTTCAACAACCTCTGGCTCTGCTTCTGACTCTAAAGACTCTATAACCACGGCCCTTAACGGGTCACCCCCCTGGGCCAATATCTCGGTCATATTCATGAACTTCCGGTTCGGATTTGGGACCTTCTTCCTCTTCTTGGGCCGTAGCCGCTCTAGTTCAGCCTCCAGGGCCTTGATCTTATGATCTTTTAGGGCCAGCTCTGTCTCCTGGTTCTCGAAGGCATGGGAGATCTTCCTGAATTTCAGCCGAGTGGCTGGGGAGCGGTTCTTTGCGAAATCTATGATCTGTCGGCCTGTGGTAGGGGTCCGCTGGTCTTCTGGCTCCGAGTCTTCAACTTCCTCTGGCTCCGGGGTCTTTCTTTTATCCTCCTGGATTTCCGGGTGTTTCAAACACTTCCTGTGGCTAACTGGGTAGCACCCCGTCACTCGGAAGCCCGAGAGGATGTTCGGCTTAGAAAAAGCCTTGTCCCTAGCCTGAGAATAACAGCGGATGAAGTTGATCTTATCCACGGGCGAGGCATCTGTGAGAGAATTTAACTGCGAAAGAAATCTCTGGTAGTAGGCTTTGAGCGCGTTATATGGTCCGTTATCTAGTGGTTGCATGCCGTGGCTGGTATGGGCTGGGAAAAAACAAAGCAAGATGTTGGCAAAATAACACCGCAACATGAACTCGTCCTGTTAGTTATACAGTTAGTTAACTGATTAAACAACCCCTGAAAAATAAATAACGTACGGAAGTATGGCTACCATGGCCATCTAGTATCATAAGGATCGGCTCTGCCTGGTCTTCCCCTCGTACAGCATCCACCTGGGGTAGGAAAACGTGGTTTAATCATAGGCACGCAATCTCGTTACTGGTCCAGCCGTTATCTGACGTTATGTAGTACCAACCCGCGATTTTGTGGAATTCTTCGATGAACCATTGGGCCTGGAGATCTTTTCCTTTGAAAATTATGCCTGGTTTGAGAACTTTTCCCATGGCTGAGATAGCTTCGATAAAGGAGGTCCAGCCACGCCCCTGGGGACTCTTTAGGAAGGCTTTCGTAGTCTCAGAACTTCCTAAGACTAGGGAATCGATGCCTATAGGGGTTAGCTAGTTAACTGACAGGATAGGGGTGAATAGGGGGTTAAAAGACTAACCAAAACCTGACATGATGCCGCCCTTATCGACATTGTACGTATTTTCTGGCTTTACCCATTGATAATCCCCCAATATGTCAAAGAACCAGTTGACAGACTTAGGGATGAATCCCTTAAACCGAGCGGATTCCATCCGCTTACTGATTTTAGTCTGGATGGTAGGGTTACGGCGTTTATAGCCCTCCATATAATTCGGGCCCGGTGGTGCGAAATCCCCCCCCCTTTTTTAGCAGTTGTACAATAATCTCCCGCACGGCTGTGTGAGAAGGAGCAAGCCCTAGGGACTCCTGGCGCAATATCCATTGAGCCACCTTACTCTCTTGTTGAGGGGAGAGTTTCTGCTTGCTAACCTGGGCCTCGGCTCGGGTGACTCTGCCGTTGATGCGTGCTGACAACGTTTGCTTAGGGATGCCGTGTTTTTGGGCGGTTTTTCTCACAGACATGCCGTTATCTGTCACGTCTAGCCAGGCATCCGCCACATTATCTTCAGTGTACGTGGGCGGAGGCATCGTGGCTGGCTTCACGATGCTGTGGTGGCATAAGGGTCAGGGGCTCAGAGAGAGAATTCTACAGCAAATTTGCATTTAGGGTCGGGGCACGGAGGCTCCTAATCACCGATGCCGATGGCTGAAACTTCACTAATCTACATCCGGCTAAACACCAAGAAAAGGGCTATCTAACCATCTAAAGAGCGTATAGATAGCCTCAAAGGGGGCTGTAATCCGTGTAAGTGAGGTAGGGGACTTTTGGTGGTGGTTGTGGGGTTTGGCTGTCCCGGTGGGGGGTGTGTCCCGTTAGGGGGTGGGGGATGGTAACACGCACAATAGTCCGCCACGCCCACCACACCTGGCGCGCGGCCCACCGCGCTCAGCGACCAGAGCCCCTGCCCCGGGCCTTCGGGATGTCAGTATACTTTAAAATCTTTCGTCAAACCTGTCTCGGGGGCTCTTACTCCCGAGGGACACGCATTCAGGACTCCTTCCTTCTCGTTACAAGGCCTGAAAGGAGTGACTACTGATTCTGGTTTTTTAACAGAGCATTCCTGCGCGCGCCGACGATTGCAACGTATGGCCTGCCGCGCGTGCCCATCGGTGAACTGGACTGGGATATCGATACTATTCTGGAATTCCCACTGGGCGAGGATGGGCGGCTGTTTGGTACGGGGGACTGGGACCTGTTGAGGACTGGTGGATCGGCGTTGACTGGGGTGAGTGAGCGAGCGAGCGAGCTTTGAAGTGTTGATGCGTTGTTTTTCTGCCAACCTACCTAGGTGGCTGGCTTATGCATTGACACGCCGGCCGTCGCCTACGGGGTATGAGGGCTAATCCGACACCAAGCCGCACGCTATAGTGTTCGGATACCGCACCTGGGACATCACCTTCTCGGAACCCATCTTCGCCGGCGTCGTCACGAATGAGGGCCACACGCGAGGCCATTTCAGGCAGTAAGTTTAAGTCCTCACTCGTGTCGTTTCGGCTTGGTATCTTGACAAAAGCGCCCACAAACCCTATCCATCTCCTTACACCCCACTTTCCCCTTTCCACCATGACCACCAGTCCCGCCCAATTCCAGGCCCATACAATTGCCTACCTGCCCGCCTGCCTGTGTGCCGGCCTGCCTACCCTTGTCTCTGCTAATAGCTCACGCGCGCCGTGTCAAAAGCTGGTGTCCCGTCGTCAACTACGATGGCACTCTCGGCGAGCCACGCAACGGGCTCGGCTACAACTGGCCCGGCCAGATGGCGTCGCTGGCGTTCATTGTGTGTGAGTTCGTATTGCGAAACTGGAATACGGCGCGGCCTTTTGATAAGAGGCCGCACGGGGGGGGGGGGGTGGCGGCTGGGCTACGGGCACGGGGGAGTTGCTGCTTTGTGCGGAGTGGTTGAGGCGGTGGAGGCTGTGGTACGTTGATGGGTGCGCAGGTTGGGGGCTGTGAGACAAGGGGCATGGGTCAAGTGGGTATCACGATGTTTTGCATGACTCACTCGGTGAGTAATGTCATAAAGGACTCGTTGTGATTATAAATGCTGGTATGATGGTATAGTAATCGCTTGAAGTTGCCGCGGTGATTATGTTGCTTATACCATGCTCGCAATACAAGTCGGCAACTACGGGGTGTACGGCTTTTGATGGAAGGGCGAGGGCGGAAAGGCCTCGTTGAGCTACGTCTATGTTGGACCTTCACTTCTTCCCGTTGCGCTGTGGGATGTCATCCAGGAGTTGTGTGGTTTGTCACATTTGTTCAGAAATGAATAACTACCTTATTCAATAGAGGATAGCTTGCTAAGAAAAGAGGTACGTTGCCTGGGCACTGATATCTATATCTATCTTAAGTGTTCGCGCACACACTCTTACCAAAAACAACTATTTTTCTTGGCGCCCCGCTGTTAGGGCGCAACCTCTATATCTGCACTAAAACAGGCATTTATTTCAGTACCTGACTATCCTTGCCAAGGCGCAGAAATTTTTTCTCACAAGCTGGATGGCACCCCTTCACGATAGGCCCCCAAATACGCCAGTGGCCGTCCCAAAGACGACTACTGGCGGCGTGCTCAAATCCCCGGTCCCTAAAAGAACATATGGCCCGGCAACCCCAAGCAAGCTCCGCCAGGCACTGCTCGACGACATCAACAGCAGCCCGTCACAGGTCTCTGAGGCTGACTTCACCATTGTTTCCCCTCTGAAAGGAAAATCCCGAAATATTAATACTAGCAGCATCATTGATATGGAAGTACCTCAATCAAACGAAATCTCTACAGACCAAGCCATTGGAGGCGATACAGGGAACAAGGTCTCTTCCTCAAAGTGCCAGGACCAAGTAGCCAAAATACTGGCTAAAGACAAGCATCTCTATGAAGCCAGGATGACAATGTTTCAAGAGTGTGCTGCAGCAGTCGATAAGACACTGGAAAAAGCTGGAACCGAACTATACTCTCATGCCAAGGAGTTCAGCGCTTTCTTCTCCAAATGCCTGAACGAGTGGCTGGAAACCCGAGATCTGCCCAAAAGAAAGACCACTCCTGGCGGGATAGGGATAGGGAAGCCCACCATAACCTTCGCCCAAGCTGTCTCCTCTGGCCAACGACAGCATCCATGGACAGTCAACACTACCATGAAAAAAACACAGCCTGGCGCCCTTATCACTGCCAACCAACTGAAGAAGAAGCAGGATGATCTCCGGGTCTTTGTCCGCATGGATAATAGCCACTTAGAGCCTTATGGAATCAAGTCTACACTGAACAGAAGACTTAAGCTCCACCCTCAGGAGCTTAGAGAAGTGACACGGTGTCCTTCTGGTTTTACCTTACACCCAAGGGACAAGCCAACTCAGGCTAAGCTTCTGGCTTTCCAAGAAGAAATTGCCGACATTCTTAAGGCACAAAAGATTGAGACCCACACAGTCTGGCATCATTACAAGGTCAATGGATGCCCAAGAAAGGTCATCAGTGCAGAAGGGTTCACAATCGATATTACCGACACTGTTGTTGCCGATGAAGTTGAAGCCCAAACAGGCGACAGACCTCTGAGGTGCATACTCTCAAAGAACACGATTAATTCTGATCCAGAAACTACATGGATAATCTCTCTGCCCAGTGCAGCAAGGAAACCATTCACGCTTTTTGCCCACTCAATGACCTCAAGGCATATTCAACACACCCCCAAGGTTCACCAGTGTGCAAGCTGCTTCAGATACCATGGTAGGAATTACCGATGCGAAAAGCAAGTATGTGCACACTGCGCCAACACAGTACACCAGGGAGAGTGCGAAAAACCAATCCCAAAGTGTGTCAACTGCAAAGGACCTCATGCTGCCAATTTCAATAAATGCCCTGCCCGCCCCAAGGTTGTGAAAGGTACCATCCATAAGCACACATGGGAGCAAATCCAGGAAATAAGGCTAGCCGGGGAAAGAGCCAGATCCAAGGCCTTCAATGAAGCAGGCAGAAACCAAGCTGGGTCAACACCCAGCAACAATAACAAAGACACCACAATGCAAATCGACACAACAGATACAACTCATCCCAGAGATGCCGATACCATTGTTGTCAGTCAATGTTAGGTACATCAAACGAAACATATCGACACAGGCATCTAGTCATCCATTCTGTGAATACAGCAGGGGGACAAAAGAGTGCAGGCCCTACAGAGTTAGCCATCAACCTGGCTGACTATAAAGGAGAACAAGCAGACATCATTCTGATGCAAGAGCCCTGGGTTGGCATACCACCAGGCAGGAGAATGGGAGTAAAGACACACCCCAATTACGATATATTCTCCCCAGTGGATTCCTGGGACAGCGACAGTACACGGCCCAGATCTCTCATCTATGTGAGAAAATACCTTCAAGCGGATCAACTTCGGCCCTATGCTACACGAGACATCACCTGGGTCAAGGTACAAGGCATTACATTTGCCAGTGTCTACCGGCCATGTGACAACCCACAGGAAGTGGATGACATTCTGGAAGTATGGACCCCACCTTTTGGCTGCGTTATAGCTGGAGATTTCAATGCTGGCGACACATCCTGGGACTCAAGCAATCCAGGATATCATGGTGGTGCTATACTTGCACAAACTATGGCAGACCACGGACTGGATCTGATTTCTGAACCAGATGTCCCGACACATGATGACGGAAATGTACTAGATCTGGTGTTCTCTGATGTCCCCATGGCTGAAGCCTCAGTCAATGATGCACTTCAGTGCACCTCAGATCATGAGACATTACGAATAGTCATTCCAATCCAGGGAGATCTGGACCGAGTACCCAAGGCCAATCATTGGATAGTACCGGACGATAAACTACAGGAGCTGGCAGATAATGTCCAAACCAGGATTCATGAACTCCCCCGGCTGGGTGTATCCCCTGGCCAGGTAGACACCTTTACACAAAGCCTGATCAACATGATCCAAGGCTGTATCAGGACAGTGGGCAAGAGGCCCCGTCAATCTAGGCCCACTGCTTGGTGGAATGATGACTACAAAGCAGCTGTTCAGACATACAGGGCCCTTTCCAAACAGACTACAAGCCAAGAAGGACGGAATTCAGCCCGACGGAAATTTCGCGGCGTGGTTCGGAAAGCTAGGAGAGAGTACTGGCAGGCTCTAATCAATTCAGCAACTGAGCCAAAGGACCTATACAGAATCGTCTCTTGGCACAAGTTATCAGCAGGATTGCGTTCCCCTCTAATCATCATAGGAGACCAAATATTCGAGTCACAAGAGAGCAAGGCAAATGCATTACGCTCAGCCACGCTTGAACGAAGTACCTCAGACAACGATATCATCGACCCCTGGTCCGCTCAGATCATACAACCCAAGCCACATATCCCCCTTGAATACCACGTCGGACTGGAAGAGGCTGAAGGGTGCACTTTAGGAACCAAGAGCAACTCCCCGGGAGTAGATACCCTCACAGTACGGATTCTGAAAGCTTGCTGGCCAGTCATTGGTGAACATATCAGAGCCTTTTTCCAGACCTGCCTACTGATTGGACACCACCCTAAACCATTCAAAGTAGCTGAGGTGGTGATGATCCCAAAACCAGGAAAGAAAGACTACTCCAATCCCAGGGCCTACAGACCAATATCGCTACTGTCATGTCTTGGCAAGGGCCTAGAACGACTCATTGCGAAAAGAATTACCTGGTTTGTTGTCAAACTTGGAATTCTAGCCCCACAACATTTTGGAGCTCTACCAAAGCGCTCTGCCACTGACCTGGTAGCTGCACTCATACACGATATTGAGCAGGCCCTTGACCAAGGCCTCGTTGCAACGGTAGTCACATCAGATGTGAAAGGGGCCTTTGATGCTGCCCTAATGGGACGGCTGGTGGTTCGCATGAGAGAACAGGGCTGGCCAGGCTTTCTCATAAGATGGGTCCAGTCGTTCATGTCCGAGCGGTCCGCAAGAGTTCGGTTTGAAGGTACTGTGACCGATATAAAAGCTCTCACTTGTGGGCTCCCACAAGGCTCACCAGTCTCTCCAATCCTCTACATGCTGTATACAGAGCCAATCTGTGCCCGACTTGGCATGAAAAGAAGACGCTTTGGATATGCAGATGACCTAGCAACACTCTGCATTGGAAAGGACCTTAAAGAAACAGCTACAGAGGCTTCTGAAAACCTTTATTTGCTCAACCAATGGGGACATAACAATGCTATTGAATTTGATCCCAACAAAACCGAGATCATGCACTTCTCACGGAAAAAGAACTCAGACAATCCCCCAATTTGCCACGGAACAATGAACAAAATAACTAAGCATTCCATGCGATGGCTAGGTGTCCTTCTGGATAAGAAACTAAACTTCAAAGACCATGTTTCTCACTGGGCCAAGAAAGCTAGTAAGGTAGCAAATCACCTTCGAGGACTATGCAACACAGTCAAAGGACTTCCAGTAAAGTCAACCAAGAGGGCTGTGAAAGCTTGTGTTATTCCTATTCTCACACATGGCCTGGAGGCCTGGTACCCAGGAATCGAGAAAGCTGGGAGCTTAGGTGAGACATCAGCATGTCGCATTAAGGGGCTTCTTGGAACAATAGATGCCGTACTACGAACGGCGATCAGGGCTATCTTGCCAGTCTGGAAAACACACCCTGGACATATCTTACACTTTGAATCGCAGATTCCCCCAGCAGGAGTTCTTGCAGAGTCAATAAGACGACGTCACGGCCTCCGACTAGGACGAATAGATCAGAGACACCCTCTGGTTGGCAGGCTCCAAATACAAGCTCGCAAGGATCCAACAAGGCTACAAAGGAGCTTCCAGCTAGTCCCTGACTTCCAGAGACCAATACTTACCAGGCCATCATGGAAGAAGCGCCCAATCCGCAAAGACAAAGACAAAGAAACAGAGCTCTTCAAGCAATGGTTACAAGAGAGAAACGTGAACACTGACCTTGTCATCTACTCAGATGGATCACAGTTGGATGACCAAGGCACAATCCGCACTGGATGGGGTTATACCATCAGGAAAGGCGGCACTACACAAGAAGTATACCGGGGAAGGGGCAGACTTCTACAAGCAGAAGTAGTAGATGCTGAAATCCATGGTGCTCTCCAAGGTCTTGCAGCAGCCAGGGCAATTGGACACGGAAAACAGCTATATGTCTGCCTGGACAACACGTCAGTGGTAGATGGGCTCAATGGGACTCCACCCGAGACATCACAAAACATTTTTCTACGATTTCAAGAACTTGCCACAGCACACACTCCTGGAGTGACCGTCAAATGGATTCCTGGACACAGAGATATTGATGGCAACGAAGCTGCTGACACACTAACAAAAGATGGTGCCATACTGGAAATAGACACAACAAATCTTCCTACAATCTCTTGGGTCAAGAGAGATCTCAAAAGACAGGGCAAGAAAGAGTTCAACCAATGGTGGAAAGACCAATCAGAATCTAGGTATCAAGAAGTATACTCACATGCAGTAACTGAAAGAGACCTTATATCTTTTAAGAGGAGTACTTTACACAGACTTCTAGCGGCCAGATCTGGACATGGCGACTTTGCCAGATACCATGAACGCTTTGGGCACACAGATTCAAATGATCACTGCAACTGTGGTGAGAAGAAAACACCACAACACATTTTCTTTTGTAAGAGGCTGGGGAAAAATCGGCTACTGTCTAGGCATTCGCCTAGGGCAGCTTGTTTACAATACTTAGGGGAGAGGAGCACAGAATGGGCAAAATTCGTGGAGAAGAGCAAGTTCTTTTCAACAATCTGCCCCCGATAGATAGCCTTCCTTGAAGGACCAGATGGATGACCCCAAGGTCATACCGCCGCAACAACGGGGATGGGCCCGTGAGCGGGACTGACTGTACTTATTATCTTGAGACCTCCACAACCCTGCGATGCAGAGGCTCTGGGAGGCGTGGTTTGCACTACTGAGGAGCTACCCCCACGTTAAATACAAAACAAACAAACAATCTTAAGTGTTCGTGTTGTGGACACTTGTCCCTTGAGAACACAATGCTTTATCAAATCAGATATCCTTGCGCCGCATTCATGCAATTGAGCCCCGGAGTCTAGACAGCGAGAATAAAGGGATGTAGCCTGGATCAAGGGTGCGGTAGACGAACGGCATGTCCATGCTCAACCAATCCAATTTTCTAGCGCGAATCTCCTCACTGAACTTCTTCATGCTCGCCTGGAAAACTTCTTGGCGGCCTCCTTCGTCTTGTCGTTGAGTCTCTTGAGCTGGTGCGTCGTGTCCTCATCCTCATCGAACGCGTACTCCATGGTGCGCTTCGTCTTCTGGGTTTGGTAGAAGGGGCGGTTGAAGCTGGCGAGGAACCCAATTAATTGCACCGCCTCCATGGGCGGGGGCAGGAACGGCATTAGGTCCGTTACGCCCTTCTCCTTCGGCAGCGGCGCGTACAAGGCCGGGAGGTGGAAGGGCAGCGTCGCCTTCGATCCCATGGGGTCGCCTCCATTGAGTCCGTGGTGAACGACGCTGACGATGAAGCCGAAGTGGGTAAGCACCTCGACCAGGGACTTTTTGTCGAGCTCGGAGGGGAAGTCCTGGACGTCAGCCTTTGTGGCCTCTTTGATCCAGTTCTGCAGCTCGGTGTCTTTCTTGACATCGGAGTCGTGGGAGTAGTATGAGTCGACGAAGGAGGCGAAGAAGGCCTGGTACGTCTTGCGGATCTCGAGCGCGTCCTGGAAGAAGGGAAACGACTTGAATGGGGATTTTCCGTCCTTGTTGATGAGTCCGCGGGCCTGGAAGTCGGTCTCGAGATACCCGGCCTGATACTTGCCGTGCGTGGGCCAGTTGTTGGAAACGTACTTTCGGCATCTGGTGCAGGATTAGCACAACTTCTGGTTCATGTGTTTTAGTGTTCAAGGCCTACGTACCCTTTGTTGTTGACGTAGAACCGCTTGTCCCAGTGACCTCCCTCGTCGAAGCACAATTTCTCGCCAACACTGGAAACCATCAGTGATTGATGCCAATGAGCCGCACAGATTTCTTCGTCACTTACACGCGAGAAGAGTATCCCTGCAGCCTAGTATATGAAAATTTCCCTGGTTAGTTACCGTACCCATTGTTTCTAGAATCGCCTAGTAGAATTACATACTGCCGAGAAGTTAGCAGAAGGTTCAAGTGTATTCCAAACCCGGGGACTTGGGGTATAAAATAGGGATGTTTTTATACATGCCATTAGTCGCTCCAGAATCACCATCACCGGGTGTCGCTCGCTCAGCGTGTGGAGCGCAGCCTGGTGGACCGCCTCGGAGACGTCGTGGGTGACAACGAGGTGGAACATCTGCGAGTGGAAGAAGTCGTTGACGTTGAAGATCATCTTGGCCAGCAGCCAGTCTTCCTCCTAGTCTTTCGGCGTGTAGATGAGGTCGCTTCCTGCATTGGTCTTGATGGCCAGCGGCAGGAATTTACCTGAGTGGTCGATGAGGAAGTATGCTGTACAAGCAGCACCGTACCGCTTGGGCTCGTATGTGGTCTTCTCCAGGTCGGCCTGGTACTTGTCTGGAGATCATCAGCATGTATTCCAATCGGATCGCCATGGTTCCCTGCTCACGGTCGACTACAAACAGCTTTCCGTCCTTTTGTAGGTCTTTAAGCGAATCTCCCGCAATATTCTTTACAAGATCATCGTCGACCTTAAAGGGCAGTTCCTCGTTGGCCTTAACCTGTCGGAGTGGGTAGGGGTTCTGGCTGAGTCTCTCCATGCTGAAGAGGAGATCCTCTTTGTAGTTCTCCATGATACCCGGAGCCTCCTGAAGTGGGTTCGAATTCTTCCACTGATCATGATAGAGGACGTTGACATAATCTTCCAGGTCTTGAGACCACCGTTCTGTGTTACACAGAGTTAGCAAAGGAAAGTCAGCGAGTACAACTATCAGACCGACTGTCATGGAACGATCTGGAATAGTTTGGAACCACGCGTAGAACATCGTGGAACGAGATGGAATCTCTGTCCTAGATTCTATATAGTTGGCTCGTGAAACATCTCTTTGCTTGTTTCCTCTTTTTCTCTTTGTCTCTCGTCTTGTACTCTATCACTAGTACATAGAATAGCAATATCAGTATCAATCTACTCCCCGGCCAATCTTTGTTCGTCTAAGCCTTGACACCGACCTTCCCGATTGCGACCGTGACGGCCTTCACGTCTTCAGCAAGAAGAGCATCAATCACTGTTCTGTCTTTCTCCCATAGACTGTAGTCGGACTCTGCCCTCTCGTCGCCCAGAGTGCCCTTGGGGAAAGGGGCGGCTTCGCCGATCAGCGACGGCCCGTAGGTGAAGCCTTCGTTTCTGTGACGATCAGGCCTGCAGTACAACTGGTCAGGACTGATGGATAGATAAAGCTAGATTCAACGATCTATGAAGAAGGAAGAAGGAAGAAGGAAGGCCGCTTCAGGTGGGAGGTGGGCCTCCCATATATATAGGTACATGTGGAGGTACAATGTACTTGTACCGTAACAGTTTCTTGCCGCTACACCCTTTGCTCGAGCCTTCTTGTCTTTGTCGTCCTGGGGGAGGCAAGCCGGGGAGGTGTCATCTACGACTTGACGAGCGAGAGTAGACCTAGACCGGGGCACTACGTTCGCTGTGACAGCAAGCGCGCCGAGCAGCGAGCATGCGATCTGTGGCCGCATGTTTGAAGGAATGTCGAGAAGTTGCTGTGTGTCGAGTGCGAAAACGAATGACCGTATGATTTGTGTTTAAGTGAGAGACGCCGTGGCAGACGGCCTTGATTGTTATAGTCGCTCTCATACTCGCCGAACGACCACAGTCTCACTTCCTCTCAAGGCAGCTGGCGGTGGCGAGGCTCAAGGCAGCACCACACCCCACAATGTTGTCGGTTCCGAATCCTTTGCATCCCTCGATCGCTACAAATACCCCAGAATCTATTCGTGAATGATTGATTGATTGATTGTATTTAACGTGGGGGATCGCTCCTCAGTAGTGCAAACCACGCCTCCCAGAGCCTCTGCATCGCAGGGTTGTAGAGGTATCAAGATAATAAGTACAGTCAGTCCCGCTCACGAGCCCATCCCCGTTGTTGCGGCTGTATGACTTTGGGGTCATCCATCTGGTCCTTTAAGAACAGCTATCTATCGGGGGCAGATTGATGAAAAGAACTTGCTCTTCTCAATAAATCTTGCCCATTCCGTGCTCCTCTCCCCCAAGTATTGTAAACAGGCTGTCCTAGGTGAGTACCTAGACAGCAATCAGTTTTTCCCAAGCCTCTTACAAAAGAAAATATGTTGTGGTGTTTTTTTCTCACCATAGCTGCAGTGGTCATTCGAGTCTGTATGCCCAAAACGTTCGTGATATCTAGCAAAGTCGCCATGTCCAGATCTGGCCGCTAGAAGTCTGTGTAAAATACTCCTCTTAAAAGATATAAGGTCTCTTTTAGTTACTATATATAGGTATACTTCTTGATACCTAGGTTCTGATTGGTCTTTCCACCATTGGTTGAACTCTTTCTTGCCCTTTCTTTTGAGATTTCTCTTGACCTAAGAGATTATAAGAAGGTTTGTCGTGTCTGTTTCTAGTATGGCACCCTCTTTTGCTAGTGTGTCGGCAGCTTCGTTGTCATCAATATCTCTGTGTCCAGGAATCCACTTGACGGTCACTCCAGGAGTGTGTGCTGTGACAAGTTCTTGAAATTGTAGAAAAATGTTCTGTGATGTCTCGGGTGGGGTCCCATTGAGCCCATCAATCTATTCGTGAATGTTCTCTATTCCCTGCAACGCGGTCTGGCCGTTGGCGATATCCGCTTAAATACGGGGCTCACTTGTCTTATATTTAGACAGAAAGGGCGAATTCAAGGGTCCAACAGGGGGTGGAAGGCAACTATTTCCATCGTCGCATTCGGTTTCCAGCGACCAGAGGACTATAATGCTAGCCACCCCAACTTATTTTTAGAGAAGTCAGCATCGCTTCTAGAGATATCAATTCCATTATTGGGTATTGGAATTGATTCGACGTATGTGTTGTTCGTCTTAGGCAACACTGAAACCTCATAAGTCTCCCCACACCACCAGTCCAGCAAACAACGATATATCTATCGTAGTTGGAATAACCACACTGGCATAAGCATCGAAACTAGCGTATAACATTAGAACTGCTTATTCCGGTATGTTTATTCTAGTATTTAAATTCTTTACGGGTAATGTGGAATCTTATCAAGACTTATGTGGGCTGAGTGTAGTGACGGTTACTTATATATTTTCGGTTCAGTTAGCTGTGGCACAATGGAAGATTGGCCTCAGGGTAGTAATGTATGTATCTAAGATAGGCCGTCTCCTTTTAGAAGCATTCGTACTGAATGCTCCTGAACCTGCTGTTTATAGAGGTAGACATATCGGCATGCAACCGCCCGTTAGTAGTCTTGCGCACACGCGTTATGTGTCTACACCTACGCTTGATACCATCGAGTGGGCTGCCTAGTATGCGACGTGACTGCACAATTGTCGGCAGACGCGCGCAGAAAACTGGACTTGCCGCAAGTTCGAGTCTTCGGGTCGGAACTGGTCGTTGACTTGTCACGGCACTAGATATCACCCCCACAGCCCCACGGGTCAACCCCTATATATACCTGCTCCTGTATCCTAGCTAGCTTCGTAGTTTCCTTTCCTTCTTCACGTACATCAACAAAGTCATTTCTACAGTCACCAGCAGCCGAACTGTGACATGACTATAGCTTCGTTGGAAGCTTAATACCAACCTACCTAGCACTCATTGTAATACGGAAGCCTTTCTGATAACTTTGAGATATCTTAGAATGTTCATGGCGACGGAAGCCGCCATCGTGGTTGTACCTTGGGTAGATTAGCTGGTCCTCCTCGTTTCCTGTTCCTCAGTTTCGAGACCTGGGAGAGGAACGCACAACCGACGACAGCCCAGAACATTATATGGCACCGGCCCCGAGCCTACCTCTATTGTGAACACGGTGCGGTACTAATCACCATCGCGACCATTGACTGCATGAACAGCCGCAGGCCAGCATGTTGGACTGTAATGGAACGATACACTTAAACTGTGCTGAAAGCATGTCGAAGCTCGGACGGCTTCGGGCGCTTCCGATGCGGCCTATTTTGTTCTTTACCGTGGCAACGGATTAGGATCAAATTAGCATGAACCGGGTTACTCATACGTTCTTCTCCATGCAGTCGAAACCGCTGCTTGTCTAGAGCCTATAGGGCGGGTCTGCCCGTTTGCAAGCAAGCAAGACAGCGTCTCTCTAGTACCACTTCTAAGTCTAAATTTTCGAAATACCCTCAAGGCGCGCAAAGGCCTTGATATGTCACCGTTGGACATTGCGCTCGAGACCGAGAACCACGTCCTTGTTGCTACTATGTCCTCTATGGATGCAAATCTTAGAACCGGGGGTTGCCGACCGAATATGTATCCTTACTGAGCGGCGCATTGGCCGGAATATATGGACAAGACCAAGACGGACAGACAGCTTTCCACCACGCAATCAGACGTCGAGTGCGAGCGGCACAACAGCTCCCCGATCAAGGTCCAAACCCGAACATGCTGAACGAAAAGACAGACCATCCTTTACTCGTACCTATGCGAGCTTCAAAGTAAGTAGCGACCGAGATAAGGCTGGCAGTGTCTGCGCCGTTGAAACCCAACACGACGACCGTGGATGGCTCGAGGCCGGGGAAAATCGCCGTCCAGACTCACGATCTCAGAGAAGAGGTCCTGGTAGTGTGTTGCAAGAGGTAATTCATTGTGAACGGCAAGTATTAAGGTATGTCTGCAGTGGTGATATGCCCAGATACACCTCCATGCGTCGACCATCATGATGAGCTCTACCGAAACCGTAGACAACTACGTAATGTGTTGCCTGCTGTGCCTGCCAGGATGCCTGTATTTTTGACAGAAGGATCTCGGGCATGCCGGTACGGTCGGGCCAGCAAAAAGCCGATTCCGCCCAAACCAGGCTACGAAGGCCACCTGTTTTTTCGCCTCTTGCTCCACACTGACTGCCTTGTGGATCACTTGATGACAGGATGGCATACCATGACAAGATATTCTCAGACCACCGACGACTGTGTTGAAGGAAATCATGAAGTTCGGATGTCTTTCGCCTCTTGACATCACTGAAGGATCATTCGCGAGCAGGGTACCTCAGCCTACCATGAACCATCCCCAGTTCGTGCCTGTCTTATTACTTCAGCTTATGGTTTTTATCACTTCTGCCTATGGTCCAGCACTCATGCTTGCACACCATGGCTTACCGTGCCTTTTCGCTTCACTCATCCGCAGAAGTCCGCGCCTCAATTCGGTGAGCGCGACCAAGGAGTCGACACACTGGGCGAACTCCAATCACTCTGTTCACCTAGGTAAGGGAGCTTATAAAACACATACCCACCGCTCAATGAACATGTCAGTCATCTCAGTATCAACACTCGACATCAATTACCATACGTTGCCAGTAGCATTCCTTCTCGAACTCAAGAGATACAGAGAAGAAACTCAGACCATATTTTGCCGCAAACCACCAACCACTTCATATATATATATATATCGATCCATCGCCTTTTGGGATGGCACGCATCAACCTCAACTCCCCAGATTCCAAGTTGCGTCGAGCATGGGCGCAACGCACGACGCCGCGGCTTGCGTTAGCTTTCATCGTCGCCGTGATCATCATTCTCGTCTTCGGCACACATGTCGACAAGCTCCATCGCCCTTCCGCCGAGCAGCTGGACTCATCCAACGCCCGCCGCTTTGCACCAAGGTCATCTAGCCGCGAGGTCTTGGTAGAGCCACGCCATGATAAGGACGAAAAGGCCAAGGTCGAAACTCTTCGCTTGTCGCTAGAGAACAGAGACGTAGACAGATTGATCATTATAGGCGACGTGCACGGGATGTTCACCGCGTTAAAAGAGCTCCTAGAGAAAGTAGGCTACGACAAGGACAACAAAAACAACAAAAACCATGTCATCCTCGCCGGTGACATGATCACAGCGGGTCCTGAAAACCGGCAGGTCCTCGACCTCGCCAGAGAGAACGACTTCTCGGCCATCATGGGAAACCACGAGTACCAGCTGCTGGTCGCATTTGATAATTACAAGGGAGACTCGGACTCGGCAGGGGAATCCGACCTGAAGTCATACACCACGGCATACAGTGAAGCATTTCTCGACAATCCGGACCCGAGTAAGCTGAAGAAAGGGATCAAATCGGACTTGAAGGTGGCCGAGACGCTCGGCGACATCAACCTGAAATGGATAAGGGGGCTGCCACACATCCTGCGGCTGCCGCAGAGCAATTTTGTGGTCGCGCACGCGGGCCTCATGCCCGGAGTGGAGCTCGAAGACCAGTTGATGCTCACCGTTCTCAACGTAGAGAAGCTGGTTAAAGAGGGCAAGACCTTCACGCCCTCGACCACAGGCGAGGGCGAAAACTGGTTCAAGGTCTGGAACAAAGAGGAGGGGGGCAAGGATCCGAAGGACCGGACAACCGTGATATATGGCCACGACCAGTCGGAGGGACTCCAGTGGCATCCGGAACAGAACTCGCTGGGAATAGACACTGGATGTAAGAAGGGCAAGGAGCTTACGGCGGTCATACTCGAGCGCAATGAGAAGCCACGGTATGAGAGTGTGGGATGTGAGAAGATTGAGAAGTCAAAAGGTCGCCGTGCGCACCTACCTCGTCGGAGTACATTCTAGTCACATATGGAAATACAAATATACTACTATCTTAAGCAAGCCTGAGCTAGATTTGATCCGAAGTCTCGTACGTATGTCATGGTGAAGGGATTCTTCACGCCGAAACCTGACTCCGCAAAGGACCACGATTGCTCGCATGAAGTTGAGGCCCTTGCTCCGATTGTCGTATACTTGACCCTTCCGTGATTCCTTGAGGTCACTCCGTCTAGCTATTGGCTGTTTCTCAGTTATCACAGTCACGAGGTCGACGCGCGAGGTTCCTAGCTTCGGATCTACTACCTGTCCACGTCTACTGCAAGCTAAGTTACTTCCTGCTAACCTTCATCAGCATCTATTCAGCATATTCGATCCAGTGAGTTTAACGACTTGTATGTATTCCGAAGTTTAGACGAATGTGACTGGGTACCTCATCTTCATGTTCAAGACGAACACTGTGCTACCGCGACGCGATGTCACGTCCAGCCCACTGGCCCCGAATCATCATTCTTGCCGAATCCTCTTGAAGACCATTATAATCTTCATGCCGTCTGTACCATATGACATGGATGCGCAGGTGATGTTTCCGACACAAGTGATGCTGGTGTTGGTAGTCATTGTACATCAGCTGTCCCAGAGGCTCACGTTCAGTCAACTAGGACAAGTTGGACAACCAGAACAACCCACGGCACTTTAGGTCGTAACCAACCAAGCCAATGGAATGCAGCAAAAAGGTCGAGGTATTTCGAGTCCTACAGCAGGAACTGCAGACTTCATGACCTGGAGACAAGGAGTTTCCTCTTGAGAGACGGGGACTGACTGAGAGACGGCGTCTATCGAACACGTACAGACCACCAACCCCCACAGCGCAACCCCAATCTGCTTGCGGACCCTTACCATTGCACCCCAAGGAAGAGACTAGAGTCCCACCAGGCCAGATCGTCAAGGCAGGGGTGCTGCTTGTACCTGGCGCGAAGGCGTGCGGCACAACTCTGTCAGGATCGGGATGCTCACTGCTCACCACCACCAGACAATATGTGAATAGTCTACCTATACTCGAAAGCGCGCAGCATCTCACAGCCCTACTATTGCGCATGATGTTGGGCCCGTACTATTATTCAATGCACAGCTCGTATTCCAACCGACGCTAATTCCAGGGTCAAAATCGGAATACGGGACAGCCCGTGCATACGACGTGGGGGGATGATGGAGCCGGGGGGCATGGGGTACAGGGGGACGCGGTGGGATATGCGAATGGCGTGCGCGCCGAGCAGATGATGCAAGTCGCACTTCAAAAGGGGGCTGACAGTACCAACATTTTCTCTTCCTTCCTGTTGTCTTTGGTTCGTCGACGGGAGACCATCATAATTACACACAGCTCACTTCAGTCATTATCTTCCATCTAGACGAGCCGCCAGTATACGCGCTCGCTGTCCTCAGTAAGCCTCGTCGACTCCACGATAAGGTGCCTACTACGAAAACACACTGGGGACTCGTCCTCTATAAAGACGAAAAGACAAAAATAAAAATGGCAGCATATACCGAGTCAGCCATTCCCCTAATGGAAACATCACCACCGCCTTCGCCACCAACTGGGCCCACGATGACCACACAACCACTTGACACCCAATACACCCCCGACCACACCATCATAACCACCACAACAACCACACCCACACCGAAACCCAAAAACCCCCTCCCAACCCTCCACATTGCCCCCCCAACACACACCTCAACCCTCCCCTCCGCCCTCGAAACCCCAACCACAGCCCCCGACACCCTCGAAGCTGGCACTACGGCTGCTCTGCTCGTCGCTACCTTACACCTAGCCGCATCCCTACTCCTTCTGGCTTACGGCGTCGGCAACCGCAGCGACGACGTCGCGTTCGCGGGCTGGATGTCGGCGCTGTTCACGGTCCTTCCTGCTCGCGCCGCTGCTGGTGGGCCGGCTGGGGTGGTACCCCGTGCTGGGGGCGTGTGCGGGGGTTGGGGTTTGGGGGGCGGATGTTGTGCTGAGGCGGCGTGGGTATGCGGGAGGGGATGGGTATGGGATGGGGCTGGCGGCGCTGATGGTTTTCTGGGTTTGCTTTGGGTTGGAGGCGTGGACGGGGTGGTGGCGGATGCTGGGAGAGAGGGTTGGGGTCAATGGGTGGTGGATGGTGATGAGAAGGGGCAGTATGAGGTCAGGGGAGCAGGCAGGATGGGAACGAAACAGGCGGCGGACAATTGCGATTCAGCGCTGACCTTTCGATGTATTAGGTAGGTACTAATACATGGACCGATGATGGCATATGCCACAGTATACCTGAGTGACGAGTCAACATGATTGTATAGCAGTTCCCCGTGATTCGCGAGTGTGACTCCCGCTTCTGCACTGTTCCTTATATACCAGAGTGAATGAAAGAAGCATTATAACGTAAGACCACCCACGAGACTTCATGGCTGACCACTCCAATTTAGTATGCCGAAGTTCTGGTCGTGGAACCCCTGGATGCTTAGGCCTCCGGTCTGGGGGTCGTTGGGGAACAGGGTGTTGATGGTGTCCTGACAACATGAGCATATACTAATGGGCGAACAGTGTAAAGAAAATGGGAGGGTTCAACTCACCCAGTCGATGTTATCCATGATGTTGTCCTGGGGCAATCCCGCACCGCTCATACCCGGGGCACCGGATTGTTGCCCAATTGCCACGCTGGACGAGTCGCTACCGCCCGGACTCTCATGGTGAGTCGGCGGCAGACTCCACAGTGCCTGGCCGTCCGACACGCCCGCAAACACCATCTGCGGCTGTGGCTGCGGCATATAGACACCATGATGCATTGGGGGCGTATTATACCCCGGCTCGATCTTCGGGGCCCCGGCCATCATCCCCAGCGCCGGAGGCTGCGGAGGCTGACTAGGTCCCGCGGAAGGCGAGGAGCTCACAATCCCCCCGACGGCGTACTGGCCCGGCATGGCCCTGGCGGTACTGCTCGGTCCGCGCATCTTCCGCATCCGCATGTACACGGCGGTCCGGCTCTGGATCTCGGACAGGAGCTGGATGCCCTTGGCCTCGGGGGGCAGCTTGCGATCCATGCCGAAGACGTAGTCGAGACAAGACCATATGCGGTCGGCCTCGCGGGACTGCGGGCGAAAGTAGACCTCGGTGGCCAGCAGGAGTGCGATCTGGTACTGGAAGTAGGCGCCCAGGTACCAGGCCCATTCGTGGAAGAGCGGGTTGGTCTCCAGCTGGATGGCCAGCTCGACGACCATGATGCCGGAGGTGATGAGCAGGTGGTTCAGCCGCGGCGGCATGGGGTTTGTGGCGTTCGAATGATACGGATGCAGCACCATGACGTGCAGTCGGTAGGTCAAAAGGTACATGACGCACTTTGCGTATCTCTGGATGGGCTGTGCGACGTCCAGTAGATGGTCGTACTTCTCCGACATGCGCCGCCGAAAGTTCTCGATCTTGGTGAGCACGGCAGTGAGAGTCGTCCTACGACTCTCTAGTCTCCGCCGGTCCAGCCAGATGATGCGCATCATCTCGTTGATCTCGAATCGGATCAACGCAAGCGTGTTGGTCGTCCAACAGTCCGAGGACTCCGGCGGCACGATGGCATGTGTGAGTTCATCCTCATCGCAGTTCAGGGGTAATTTGGTATCGTAGTCATCTCTTCGGATGACAGGTTTCGGCCCTTGAGCTTCGCAAGTCCGAATGTCCAGGAAACAGAGCTGGTGCCACACTAGACGACGAACATGCGTTTCCAAAGGCGTAAGTCCATATGCTTCTCCATCGCGATGTAAGCCCATACATTCAGCCATGCGCACTGCGGCAGCAACTAGCACGGAGTGAGCCCTCGAGACCTCTGCCCTACACAGGGGAAGCTTTAGAAGAGTTAGCGGGGTCAACTTCTTACAAGACTGAGGTGACCTACCATGTATACGACGAAGGCTTGCATCGTTTCTACCTTGGTCGTCCTCAGAAAATTGGCTTTGCTCAGCGCGGTCTCGGTACCCATCCTGAGGCTCGTCACCCAATTTCCCTTCGAATAGCCTAGTTCGTGGTATATGACATCCTCTTCCATACTCACGACCCCACTGAACATGGCCGCGAAAATGATAGCCTGGACTGAAGGTCGAGGCTCGATTCCCGCCGTGATCTCCTCCCAGAATGTAGCGTAGGTCATCTCTAAAGATGGTCGGTGGGAGCATGGAGCGATCGTGTGAACTGAAATGAAGTATTGCGTCATGAGTCGGTCCGCCGCAGCCCGAAACGGTAGGAATTGGAGGATAGACGGCGGCTCTCCGATCTGACCGAAGAGGAAGCCACTCGTAGGAACTATGTACTGGTTTCCTGGCTTCAGAAAGTCGGGTATAGATGTGTCCGACATGCCATCCCCGAGGTCCTCATACACAGGCATTGGTCCTCCGCGTTGCGGCGGTTGCTGAACGGGAGTACTTTGTCTGGAGATGCCAGCGGATAACTAGATTTGTTAGAGAACTCTAAGGAGTAGTACATCAGGGGCGATACGGATCGTACCTCCTCGGAAATCCGTGGCCGAGAAAGACCACCTATTCTCTCAGTGATGCGCATCTTTCCGATTTGAATCCCCAGATCTATCATGTCATCTGCGCCATCGGCATCGTCCTCGTACGTGAGGTCCAACGCTACGAGCGGGGTGGCTTCGAGATCTCGCTCCTCGTCGAAGTCGTCTTCAACCTCATCGGCGAGAATGCGCTGTTGCAGGGTATTCTTCGATGTGGTCGACTTCGCGATGTCTCGCTCGAGCTGACGCTCTAGTGTCCCTTGCTTCTCTTTGATTTCGGCCAGCCGCATCTGGCTTGCTTCATCAAGGCGCGGCCCGATGTATAGGCAGTCTCGGCCGGCCTTGATGCAGTTGGTACATGTCGGTGATGTCTTGGTGCACTTCAACTTTCTCTTCCTGCATTCGAGACACGAATTGATCATGCGATTGCGCCTGCGGATCGGTCTGGCCTGCAAGCCGGGCCTGGGTGGCAGCGCTTGATCGGCCGCAGTGCTTTGGTTGGCTTGGTCCATTGTGAATGTTGGTCCGGAAGGCTTTGAGTATATATGGGTCTTGCGCGTTCCACGCCTTCTCGAATGCTTGCTGTGCCGTCGTCTTGCCGATTGACCCCCCTTCTCATAGGCTCATTTACCAGATCTTATGCCGAATGCTACCCAGGGTCCTGGAAATCGGTACTGGAGTGGCCAATTTACTAGCAGGCCCAGAGCTTCGGGTTCGGTGTAAGTGAGCGGGCTAGACGACGTCAGAATACGTCCGTAAATCTATGGTTCGTTTTGGCGAGAAACGCAGCGAGATCCCAGCTTTATAATCAAGGCGAACTGAACAGTGCTCTGGGAACACGGCAAAACGTGCTGAACAACTCCCTTGCATGAACCCATGGACGTCAACTGCTGCGGCATGGCAGCGCATGGAAAACGGCGCGGTGAGAGTATCGCGATTTGAGCGAGGGCTAGGGACTTGGGACTTGGTGGCAAACGGGGAGAGAGGAAGAGCCGAAGAGGGACGAGCGAGACAGCGACGACCCAGAGGCCACCGCCGCTGAGCCTAACATCCCATAATGAGGAGATGGGGCACAGCGGGGCTTCATGCCGAGCGCGGGCGCCCAACGGGCAGCTACTAGGACGGCAGCTCTGGCCAGGTGCAGGCGGAGGTGCGGTGCAGGCGCAGGTGCAGGAGCAGATGGTGACCTTGGAGTGCGTCGAGTGACTTACCCGGTCCTTGGGTACACAAGACGTTTGCCAGCTTTGCCCCTGGGCCCCTGGGCGAGGGCTGCCAATCAACCGCCGTCGGGTGCAGACTCGTGGGCGCCCTCGGACTCATTTCCACGTTGGCAGGTTGGCCGATTGCCCTTGTCAAGTTGTCTACGGGAAGATGGTCGCGATGGTTGCGCGTCGGTCGGCGCCTCCGCTTAGGTTGCTTTGGGAAACGAAAGCGAGACCGCTGGACCACCAGGCCGACATCAGAACAGGAAAAGGGCGAAAAGGGCGGAAAAGGCCCATTGTGGCGTGAGAGTTGGGGCAACTTGCGGCCCCTCGATGGGCCGAGTGCTGGCCTCAGTGCTGGCCTCGGTCTTGGCCTCCCATGTGACCATGTGTAGCCAAGCGGCAGCGCACTGGCACCAGGCAGACTGGCAGACTGGACGTCCCAGGTCATCCCAGGTCGTGCCGCATCGAGATAAGGTCGCTAGGCTACCTCGCACATCGGGGCACCTGGGAGCGCACCTGGGAGCGCACCTGGGACAGTCCTGGGAGGCTGGTGCTGGGCGAGGGGGTTCGATTGTGACATTGTCGAGAGATCCGATGTCGTGTAACGGAGGACAATGTAACGTGATCTCTTTCCAACCAACATGTAAGCTCCCACTCAGTGGCACTCACCAATCACCCGTGAGGTCGGTGCCTTGCTAGCAGAGCCAGTTGCTGCGTAGGCCAACCAGAGACGAGCTGCATGTTTCAGCCTGCCGTCGTGTAGGGTTGCATCACTTCAGTATGTATTGTTGGAATGGATCATATGTACAGGAGGCCCATGTGCCTATATACGACTCGCATGCCCTGGGTGCCAGAGGCGTGAGATCCGTCCGAGATCGCTCTCCGTCTATATTCGATAGCTCAACGTCCCTCATGCCCATGGCCTTGTCGGGCCAAGTAGAAGTTGAATGTCCGCCACCGTCTAAGGGCCAGTCCAGTGCGCAACATCTCATCGGTCCCAGCCTCTTTCCGCAGTAGGTACAAAAACCATCGCAACCGGGCAGTCTTACCCGGTCGGCCCTCGGCTAGATCTCTCGTGATGTTATGGAGTAGAGATCGCAGAACCACTGGGTGTATAACCGAGTTGTGGCCACGAAGATATCTGACACATTTCGAGAGGAGAGCAAAAGCGTTCCTGTTCGTGAGGTTCGGCGCACGTGCCATTATCATTGCTGCTTTAGCGGTTTTCAGGATCTGCTCTTGCCTAAGAATATACGGTTGACGCCGCCCCCTCGAACCGGCCTCGCCACGACTGTCACCTGTACGAACGCGACGTCTCGTGGGCGGGCTTGGACATATTTTTAGGGCGACCAGGAGTTTCTCGTAGTCGAACGCGTGAGTATTCGCCAGACTGGTTATTGCTCGAGTTGCGTAAGAAGACCGCCAGAAACCTTGAGGGTCAGTGTGCCTCTTGCTATACCCGTATATAGAGAAAAATTTGATAGCTAGGAAGGGCTTGCCCATGCCAATCGCAAGGTTCGCTAACAAAGCGAGATCGGTCGGGACAACATTCCGGACCCCTTTCGCGAGCTCAATGATATCATGTTCTCGACCGAGATGAATGAGGAACTCGGCAAAGCTCCTGACGTGGTGGGACTGATCCGAGCCCCAGAATCCAATGCTAAGCGACCGATAGATAGTTGCGTCGCCATCATGGAGCCTGTTGTACAAAAAGGCGGCTTTCCTCAGAGGGGTGTGCGTGTGGATATAGGCTAGAAAGAGCCGACATATTTCCGTCTTGGTAAGACGATATCGAGGGTCGGCCTCTAGCGTAACGCATACTTGGGCGAGGTGCTCTTTTCCACGACTCGGCAGCTTTGCTACAAGCAGCAACCATCCGAAACGAAGCCGGGGGTAGTCAAGATGGTCAGATCCGGCATACGATAACACCTGCTGTCCGATAGCACTCAATAGGTCGGGGAGGTCGGGGAGGTCAGATACCCCGGTCCTCTTCAAGACCTCGGCCATCTTGGTAGACTGCCGTACCAGGCTTGAGTCGTCCGTTGCTCGTTCCAAGCCGCGTAGATAAGTGTCTAGGTTGGCTGAAATTCCTGGAAGCTGTGTCTCGAGGTGTTTGCGGGGGATACACTCCATAGCTCTTGCAAAGACCCGGATATTGTTCATTCGAAGTTGGGATAACTCGTGAAGAATGCCAGTCCAAGCATAGTTGTCGAAGTGTGTGGGATCTTCACGTTCCCTAGAGGAGAGGCCGTCTATTGTCGCTTCGAACAGTCGCATCTTGAGATTTTCAATCGTCAAGTTCGGTTTGGCAGCAGAAGTCCCCATGTCGAGGCCTTCTCTGATACCTTTCAAGGTAGGGCAAATAGCTTTGCCACTAACGTGGCCTCCCGCCAAAAGGCGCTGCCAACTAACACAGACTCGCGTAACGTTGGGCATGGTCTCTACCGACGAAGAAGTGGATAGGTCAGCGAGTAAGAGTTCCAAGCCCGTGTCAACAAAGTCCAATGGAAAACCATTGACAACCCATAATGCTTTTGCCGGTGCTTCTCTACTCCGATCCAGCGAGACAGCTTGTTGAGCCCCGACCACGCCTCCTGAAACGGGTTCTTGGGAAACGGACGTCCCGTCGAGCTCTTGTGATCTCCTGATTACGTCTGCACTCGACCTCGGATTGTGCAGTAGAAGCCCATGAAACAAGTCTAGGGCGCGGTGGCCCAGTGTCCGTTTCTGTGCATGTTTCTCACGATCTCGAGCGCGGGTGTCGGGTGATGTCGGCGACTTCCATTGCCATTGTGTCAAGTCGACGAGATTCTCCAACTGCCAGAGCGGCGCAGAAGGGTGTGTTTGTCCAAAGTTGAGCTCTCCCATATGCCTCTTTCCGAGCCGCCTCCTATTCTCCATTGGACCGGGTAAAGACGAGCCATAGCGGGCAGCTGTTCGCGACGTAGCGCAGTATCGTTCGAAAGCGGTTGCGAGTAAGCTGTCGGGGATCCAGATGCTATCGTACTGTGGTCGGAGGTGACGGCGGACGGCTCGACAGCATTGTGAAGTTGGTGGAAAAGCCATGGGCAATGATGTTGAACGGTACCCTCTTGTCGGTCATCTGCAGGCACCGCAGCTCATATGAGCCATCTCAATCGAAATCGGCTCAACGAAAATGGCAATGTGCTGTTGCGCTTGCACAGTGCAGCCGGGAAACGCGTATACAAGTCTCTTGAATTGCGAAAATCGGGCTTCATGGGAGCCTTTTGTTGCGAGCTCCAAGCTCCAGTGGCAAAGTCTATGAAACCTGTGGCTGATGCAGAGCTCAATGCTCCAGTCAATGCTCCAGTCATTATTAGCCCCTGAGCCCCTTCTGTGGCTGGAGCTGGAAGCTAGGTCTGCCCGCCTGCCAGGGCTGCCATCCCACCCGCCCACCTACAAGTGCAAGACACACCAAAGGAGCCGTCACCATCTCGCGGGGTAGCTCGCACTGCTTTTTCTCGTATTGTGTCGCCTTGTGATATATTTCCTCAAGCCGGTTTGCAAGATGGCCCACGAGTTTGAGCCATTGAAGAATGACTTGATCCTGAGAACAGCTTGGGGTAGGCAGCTCTAGACGCTTCAGCAACTTGGAGAGCTTGTGCTTACTAAGCTTCTGAACAGGTCAAGATGTCGAACGAGCACCCATATGGATTATGCGACAAGGTATGCGCGCGAGCTCTGGGCACATCAGGGGTGGACAATTGACTGATGGGGTTTACAGCTGGTCGGTATCTACCCGAGTACCACGAGGCAAAGGGGAAGCGCGACTTCTTCGAATGCTGCCGAGACCCCGAAGTCGCCTCAACGCTGACCCTGCAACCCATTGAACGATTCACCGGCCTGCTCGATGCCTCCATCATCTTCTCCGACATCCTCGTGATACCCCAAGCCATGGGAATGGTGGTGGAAATGGTGGACAAGAAGGGCCCGCATTTCCCGGACCCATTGAAGTCGCCCGACGACGGCCAATACTCCAAGGTCCTCAGCAAGGATGTCGACGTTGCCGCCGAGCTCGACTACGTATACAAGGCTATAACCATGACGAGAAAGAAGCTGCAAGGCCGTGTACCGCTAATTGGCTTTTGCGGTGCCCCCTGGACGCTGTTTTGTTACATGGTAGAAGGTGGTGGAACGAAGCTCTTCATAGAGAGTAAGAAGTGGATATATCGCTATCCGGAAGAAGCGAAAGCTTTGCTTCAGAAGATCTCGGAGATATGTGTCGAGTATCTGGCGTTACAGGTCAAAGCCGGCGCCCAGGTCAGCCATTATACACCTTCACAGCCTATGTTGCACACAAGCTGACCGGACTACCTCTAGATGATTCAAGTCTTTGATTCGTGGGCGGGCGAGCTATCACCCTCGACTTTCAAGAAGTTTAGTGAACCTTACTTGGCTTACATATCGAAACATCTTCCGACCAAGCTGAAAGAGATGGGCTTAGATGTCGTTCCCATGATTGTTTTCCCGAAAGGGGCGAACTATGCACTGGATGCCGTCTGCAATCTGGGGTACAACGTCGTTGGGCTTGACTGGGTCATCGATCCGGCAGAAGCTGTCAAGATACGGGGTGACCGCAAGATCGTGCTGCAGGGGAATGCAGATCCCGGTGTGTTATATGGCACGAGGGAGTCTATTGCAGAGACGGTAAAAGAGATGGTGGATGGGTTTGGGGGCGGAAAGAAGGGCTGGATCGCCAACCTCGGTCACGGCATCACACCCTTCGTGAAGCCAGACGATCTGAAGTTCTATTTGGAAGAGATCCAGCGGTTGACTAGCCGGTAACGGGTACACCCTTCTCAGAAGTTGACAAGCACAGATCGTAAGTTTACTGGTCGGGAAAGCTTCGATCTAGATCTATCCTGCTCCTAGTTACGGTCAGCGTTTCCACCACGTGGTGCAAGATACTTAGGCAGCTATAGACACTTACCAAGACACCTGCCACATGACTTTCCCTCCAAGGCTCTTGCAGACACCTTGGCTTTGGCTGTTGTCTGTCGCGACATCAGCCCAGCCATACCCTTCATCATCGTAATCCTTCAAGTGATCCTGTAGCACCTTGACTGCAACAGCTTTGGCGAGGCCTCTTCCGCGATACGGCTCCTCGCAATGCAAACTGCTCAACGAAGAATCAGGCCCTTCGCAAAATCAGCTCCTATTCCAATGTGATCGAGCGTCCGAGACTGGTGTGACTTACCAAGAAAGGCCCATGCAACTGGCGTGCCATCGTTAAGGTAAATCGCCGTGCTTGGTAGCAATCTAACAGTCCGTCTGTAGATCATTTATAGTCAGTCAGCGGCCGACCAACGAACAACCACAATTCCCATCAAGCATCTAGTTAGCCTCCAATGCCCTCACCACATACCAGGTGTGTCACGTCATGTCAACCAACACACGCATCGAAAGAAGAAATAACGCAAGAAAACGGGCAGGAAGGGCGAACATACTCCTTACGATTGATATGAGTCCTCGACAACACGAGCGGGAGATCCTCGCGCCTCACCCTATCCCAGCGCATGCCAATGCCACTCTCACCCTCACCACTCCCATCCCCAACCAAAACCAAAACCGCCGCCGGACTCCGCACCTCTGGCAGCTCGTCGACGCGAAACACCCACTTATCGTAAAGCTCGAGTCGGTACGGAAACACCACGCCCGCGTACCGCACAAGCGCCAGCCGCAGCCTCTCGCTCAGGGTGCCCAGCAGGACCGTACCGGTGGTGCCCTCGCGCGCGTTCCCGGCGAAGACGTAGCTGTCGCGCTGGCGCTTGACTTCGCGGAGGAGGGATGTGGCGTGGGCGGTGCATTCTCTGGCCTGGTCCTCTTCCCCTTCATTGCCCTCATTCCCACCCCCCTCATTCCCACCCCCGTCCGCCGCCGCGGCCCCCCGGTGCTCCATCGACGAGTACAGCCACAGCTCCGTCTCGGGCCCGCGCGACAAGTCCAGATACCCAGCGACAAAGCGCGCGCCGGCTGGCATGTCGTCCGTCAGCGGCGTGGCCGACGACGATGCAAACAGAATTCTGGCGTGCGGCGTGATGCCGCCAGGGAAGCGGGTGAAGTGCAGGCGCCGCAGGAGCGGCAGCGCGGGCGGCAGGTGGTGGGACCGCAGGAGGTTGATGAGCGCCGGGGGCGGCGTGGTGTGGATTGTCACTTCTGTAGACATCGTGGTGAAGACCTACGTTTCCCGTCCAGGTCTCTGAATCTGCTATGCAAGTACTATATTTCGTTTGGAGTATGAGTGAGGTTAGGAAGTTATGATAGGAAGGCTTCCCAAGAAAGTGGATAATTGGGGAGTTTGTCGCTATATTGAACCTCCAAAAGTCTCCGTACGACCCTCGTTCAGTCAGCGAGGAGCACATCTATTATCAATTGAATAAGCACTCTAGGATAAGCATCAAATATGCCTCGTCGCATTAGACCTGCTTATTCCAAGGTGCTTATTCGAAAAAGAGTCGAGTGCGAGGACGGAGACTTATGATCTTTCACCCTTATTACACAACCAACAAGCTGACTCACGAAGTCAGGTTCAGGTCCGTTTTCGGTCGCATTCGAGTCACCAAGTAAAGAGGCCGGGGTTTATTATCATGGTATCACTGCGAACGAACTATTGACTGAAAGTAGACTCATCTTCCGACCTCGCTACCTCCACCCGGGGAAAACAAAACGAATCAGTAGAAACGCCACGCTCTCCTACCACGCAACACGCTATGATCCTCCCCAATGGTATATCTAACTTGTAAAGGAAACAATGCTCAACCGAAATCCACCTGCCAATACCAACTCGTTCAGACCACCAAACAAGGAGAGAAAGAAAGAAAGATGGTCCGACCCTATTCCCCTAGCCTACCTCCCTGAGGGCTCCATTGGACCACGTCTCGATAACCCCGGCCGGCTCTCCGGCCGGCTCGGCGGCGATTCCGGCCTGCGTTGCCCATTTGAAGTTCCGCTCGATCCACTGGCACCAGCGGCACCTGATAGCTCCTTCTCCTCAATGTAAATACGATTACCCTCTTTGCGTATTCCGAGGTGGTCCCTTGTGACATTTACTGAATCGCGCGCGCGGAGGCCAAGGTCTCGGTGTAGTCTGACCGTAGGATCATGTTGGCTATGAGCAAGATCGACAGGGTTGGGGGGCTCAAGAACGGCATCGTTGCTGGCCGCAGGAGCATCTTCGGGCCCCGAACTGAGTTCCATGAATAGGGCCTCTTGCTCTCCCGACGCCTTTCTGCGTTTCCTGAGCTTGTTTGCCGGCGCACGCCAGGATTCTCTGCAGCATTCCAGTCAGTCGTTGCCTACCTCACCTAGCTCGGCTTGCCCGGGCGGACCAAGTCGCGATTCCGGATTGCAAGCTCCCCACAACGAAGAACCATACCCTGGTGGTGCGCTGGGTGTGTTTTTGGGGAGGGTGGCCGTGACGGCTACTCACTTGCAAGTTTTCTATGTCTTCTTGAAGAATTCCTTGGTCTTGGCCGACAGTTTCTTCTTCTTGTTGTCAGCGCCATCGGTGTTGGCAGGTGCGGCCTCTTCAGCCAACTCCTCCGGGTTGTCAACGACGTTGGCGGCACCTCCACGACCGACATGAGTCGGGCCGGTGCTGGGATTACGCACAATACTGCAATGTACGTCAGCTACTGTGAAAGAAGACGACGGGTGGGGTGGGAGTTGAGCATACGGTCCGACGTCCTGACGCGCCCGCGTGGCGACGGGGTCGTCGTTGGGGGCCATGTTGCCTACGCCGCCGCGGCCGGTGGTCACGACCGAAGACTTGAGGTGGGGAGTCTCGAGGTCCTCGGGCTCAAGCTTGGGCGACTTGGAAGAGCCGGCGATGTTGCCAGCGCCGCCTCGGCCGTGGCTTTTCATGCTTTTAAACATTGCTGCTTCTTTGCTGGTTGGACTTGTAGTATGTCTGTGGCAGATGGACGTATAACCGAGGAATGACTACTTCTGCTTGCGAATAGCACGTATAGAGTCTGACCGTAGGCAATGCTGCGATAACGAGTGATGTTGGAAGAATGGTGGTGTGGTGAAGGTGAAGGTGGTCTGTGTCAGTCACAAGCACGAAGGGGTTGTTGTGGCAGTTGATTGACGGAGGGAAGGCAGGAAGGCAGGAAAGAACCTTTCTCGTTTGGGCGGCAGGCACTACTCATTTATTAACGACCTAAGACAGTCCTGCGCGACCGGCGTACTGCTCGTGCGTGAGATGTATCTACAGTCACCACACTTAAGTCTCTGTCCTCGCACTCGAGACTGTTTTCGGAATAAGCACCTTGGAATAAGCAGTTCTGTTCTCACGAGCCGTGTTGAATGAACGCTTATTCTGGAGTGATTATCCCACACACATAATAAATCTCCCTGAGTATTGAAGACTTTGATAAAGGAGTGTACAGAGACTTCTGAGTGTGTAGTGTACCTAATTTCTTGGTGTTGCACCTGCCCGCCTCTCCACTGACTAGACTGACTACCTATTGTTAGAGCACCCGCAACCCACCAGCGCTGATCTCTCGCTAGACAAACATCCTAACCAGTCGAAGCAAGTCCTTCCTCGGTTCCCAGGCAGGGCATGGCAGGTACGCTGTCAACGAAGCACTTGCCCATGTGCCCGATCACGACCGGTCTGCCGGTGTGCCTTGGCGTCTTTGCGCTACCGGCTAGAGACAGCCCGTTGCCTCGTGGTTCCACCACCAACCCAGGCGGTGTCGCAAACCGAAAATATGAGGTAACTGGGACGTAATGGAAACTGTCGCAAGCCAGAAGTAGCAGACACCAGCACGAGCTTTTCCGCCAATCTGTCACCACTGGGCCCTCAGCACTTTCCTCGATGGTGTCATTTCGTCTGGAATGGGGGGAGTGCCCTTGTCACTTGACAGTTTCACAACATTGAAGATTGCGCCTGGAAAATACTTCCGACGAATGGCGATTTGGAAGCCGTTACGAAATCTCTTTCACCTGGATGGTGCAATGGCCAATGCTTCGGCACCGTCACTAGCCCGTGTCGCACCGCCAGGCGTGTTAAACTTGACAGAAGCGGGGTCCCATTGAAAATATCTCATGAGTCAGTAGTTTGCACTGAATACTGGCGGCGGCCCGGCGCAGCATCGAAGACCGGTGAAGGCCCCGCCCTCTCCTTCTCAATCACCGTTCCGGAAGGAACTCCTCCGGCGCCGCCACGTTCCACTTCTCGCGGTCAACCGCAGGCTTGTGGACCCTCGCCGTGCCACGGCGGTCTGCCTCGGGGACAGTCACCGAGAGCCGATTGGAGGACGGCTCTACCAAGTGGGATAGACGCCTGTGTCGGTGGGAATCCGGTGGCCGAGGATGGGCGCGCGTATCATGACAACGATGTCCACAATCGGGGCTCCGCGGTGCAGTGTCTCTTCGATGAATATCCAGGCGAGGCGAGTGCATCTTGGCCATCTCCGTGACGGTGGGGAACCGGAGTTCACGTCGAGTTTCCGGGAAGTGGCCTTCCTTGGCCGGCGGGCGAGCTACAGCAGCGAGCCTGAGCCTCGGGAACATATCGTATCCCACGTGACATCGAAAGAGATCTCGCAGCTGTCGTCAAAGACACCCAACGGACGTTCCATATCAGACGTGTTTTCTTACGCCAGGACTCCAGGAAATGGACAACCCATATTGGACTAATCCTCAACCAGCGATATCGGCCACGGAGAGATCACAATATGCTATAGCTTCTGCGTCATGGCCAGACCTCGATTGGAACTTTTGAGACAGGATCACCGGAAGACTTATATTACAATGGCGATCCATGCGATCTTGCTCCCTAACCGACCAGTCTTCCATGACCGAAGGGCTGCACTTCAACGAATTGGGTCAGTCCGACACTGAGCAGAGGCTCTCGCGACAAGAGACCTCATATATGCGCCCAGCTACCAAGCATGTACGCCAACGCCGATTCACTTCAATCTGCTAAAACACGAGAGACCGCCTAGCTCCTTCAAGCTCCAAACAGAACAGAAGATAACCGAGGGTATGACCAAAATACGCCAGCTTGTCAATAATCCCACCCAGACGAACAGAAAATAAGAGTTCGCGAACCTCAACGTCGAGCCTGTCGAAGCGACCGAACTTCCCTGAGGCTCTGCTGGGAAGTCTCGAAATACCCATGGGTAGCGAAAGGCATCGCGTCCAGCAACACTCTGGGATTCTGCCCGTCGTTATCCGAGGGCGTGCTGGGGCTGGGGTTCCCCGAGCGGACGAACACAGAGCGCTTATCCTGCGAGGATGGCTGGGACTCGGTGGCCTGGGGATTTGAGGAACTGCTGTTCTGCCACATCCATGCGTCCTCAGAGCGGGATCCTAGTGTCTCCGCGTGCGTCCGAGGCGGCTGCGGCACTGGGGCTTGAAGCCTTGCAATCCTTTTTGGCTGTATTGAAGTCGTCGCTTCGTCTCGCTCCTGGCTCTGTCCGCGGACACGGACCGATGGCCGAGAAGCTGCAGGTAAGTCGAGAACCGTAGACCGACCCCCTGGAGCCGGGCCTTCCTGGGTGGTGACGTCTTCGCTGCTGTCCGTTTCCTTAGGTGAGGAGGATACTTCCTTCTCGCTCTGCGTAGATGCAGCTCGCGGGTTTCGCACAGGTTTCGGTCTGGCATCGGACGTGGACGAGGACGAGGGCAGCGCCATGGACGATGCCGAGGGCTTTGCGGTCTGCTTCGACAAGGGCATCAGCACATGCGGCGATCGCAGGTAGTCTATGTGGTAACACACCTTCCGTGACTGACCAGCCCGCGACCTTGGCAAGTCGCCAGCGATGGCATATGATGAAGACCTGGTCTTGCCATAGCTGCGCGACGCAGACTTGGGCTTGGATGTCCCGTATGTCTTGTCGACACGGACGTTGCCTGAGACGGGCCCGAGCGCATTGCGGGACTGCTTCTTCGGCGGCGAGGGAGACGTCGGTGCGGCAGGGCGAAGTTTTGCCGAGGGCCGTGGCATGATTTCTTGCTCAAGGTTGAGTAAGTTTGGGTTGACTGTTTCGGTAGGTTATGGAAGAGCAAGATAGAGCTCGGCCTTGGAGGTATATTCTACTGGAATCGTCGCAAGTCTATAATATATATATACTGAGCGAAGCAACAGACTACTCCGTCAGGGCAGTTAGATGGGCGCAGAAAGCCAGCGAGGTCATCACGCCCCACTTGCTGCAACCACTTTCTGCAAGCACCCGGGCTGGCAAGAAGCTCATTGGTCTGGGGAACCTTCGTCCTTGCTGACAAAGGTTGAGCGGTTGTTGCGGTTTGGAGTCAGCTGATCGAGGCATACTTGAGCCTGGAGCTAGGTATGTTTAGATCTGGTGAGTCTGTGGGAAGCTGTCACTTGTCACCTACAGATCTGCACCGTGGGGGTGAATTTGTCAAGGTCTAGGCGGGCGATAGTACGACTGACCAGGATGACTCAACTATGCGAGAGCCTTGTGCTCCCGCTCATGCTCCAGGTCACACCACATGGGAAGAAGAAACCTTGATAACATCAGCCCTATGACTCATATACTCTCGCGAACAGTATCCCGCCTTGGGTGTAGCGGCTGGGACATTGTGACGTTACCTACCGGTAGAGTTACTTCACGACGCGGGAGGCTGAGATCGAGCGAGCTGGACGGACCCCCGAGGCCGTACCGTAGTGGGGCAGCAGGTAGCAGTCGTTGCCTCTGACCGATCCGAGAACCCCATCTTACCCGTCAAGATCGGTGATTGCATGGGTAGTCGGAGCCTTCAAAGTAGGTGCCCTCTCCGGAAAGTGTGCCGGCAGGGTCTGGTGCAGAGGCGGTGCGCGCCTCTGTTTTACAGTTGCTGATTAAGTGGGCAAGCTACGGAACCCGTCTACGAACCTTACTGATTGGGAATGAGTATTGGCCGACTGCAATCTCGCTGCCGATGTGCGCAATCCCGTGTTGTTGCCTAACAAGTGGTTCCGTGTGGTGATGCATGTGTCGGGTGGCTTGCCCCACTGACACCTTGAGCACATCTTGAGTATATTTAAACTTGAGTCTTTTGGTTCAGAGTTCCTACTAGAGAGACAAACCTCTGTAATGGGAATAGGGATCCGCAACTTGCTCAAGTCCCATATCAAGTACTTTGGATTAGCATGTCTCCGACTCCATTTACCCCCAACAACCTCTCAACGAGGCAGGACTCGATCCAGAGCCATTGCCCAGTACTTACCTACCTTGAAATTCCCGTCAAGAACCCAAAGTTCATGAGCCGCAGCACCTATTTTCTCGCGGAACCACACACCGAGGCAGTCGCCGTCTGAAGGCCGTGAACTGGGCCAGGCCACGTGGTTACCATTCGAAATTAATTGCAGACCTCCCAGTGTAGACTCCCGAAAGATAAGCGGGCGGAATCTCTCCATCATCGGACGGATGGCGATCAAACGGCATCCATGCGGTATCGTAGACCAGACGAAGGCCCCCCTTTTCCGGCAGCCCGGGCTTCAATGCTGGCCCGATCTGCATTGACGACGGCTGCACGACCGACCAACCACCCCACCTCGAAATAGATCAGATGAGGGATAACCTGGTTAATTGCATCGATTTGGCTTACCGGCCGTCGGGTTGGACGAGGCCTGGTGACTGCGGTTCTACACCACGGGTCGCTCGCCTGTGGGTAGGTGCGCAAAGGCGAACATCAACATCAACCCTACTCAGCTATTGCGGCTACGTCAATGGATTAAGTTGCTCTTCACACGTAGTTGCACACTGTCACAGTCGCGAGCTAGTCGATAGACCGTTGCTATCAGCAAGTTAGGGTACCCATACATGGGTAAGCTGCCGTCCTTGGTGGTTACAGATGTTTGGCCCAGCGGGAGAGTACCCCCATTTCCTCGGCAAGTGGGCCAGATGAGTAGAATGAATGCCGTGATGCTTTAGTATCCTGAGTTGGGAATTATATATAGAGGAGGCTTCTATCCAGACTCGGGGCTGACGCCCGTTGTAGCCGTCTACTCTATATCAGCCTTGGGCGATGGCTGCAACTGTTTTGTGACCAGTCGCCCAACTTCCTCGACTGCATTTTGGCCGACCTCCGTTTTCCCTGTGTTACAGCGTCGTCGCCGTTTGGTCCTCTGAGATTGACTAACCTACTCGTCTTCTACAGAATCCTCGCGACCCTTGCCAGCTTTGCCGTCCTGGCCATCCTTCCGTATGGGAATCTTGACGCCCTGCTGAGCAAAACATTTGCTCAGCGCGGTACTCTCGCAAACCCCAGGAAACTTCTTGGCGCTATATACCTGGAACTTCTCGCTAAATACTTGTGCAAGGATGGGAGCTCTGCCCCTGTTCAAAAGTTCCGCGTCACTGCCAACAGCACCAATTGGACCAGGACGTCGAACATTGATGAATGAAAATCGTAATCTGACCAACTGGTTAGCGTAGAGTCCTCCGGCCTTGGCTCTCCCAGAGGAACTTACCTGAACCAACCTTCTGTTCGCACACTCAGATCTTGAAGAATGAACCAAATGCCGATCTTATCGTGAGGGTCAGTGAGTCGAGACCCACTTGCGGCGAGGCTCCCAATGAGGTTCCTCGTGTACATGCCGTTCGGCGTCTGCGTTCCCACCATGCGGTTCTGGCTCATGGTGTGCAGCGGCATGTCATGAGGGAAGCGAGGACTAGTATACATTTGCTGCGACGGCACGACACCTTGCAAGTCCCTGTAACCTCCCTGAGGATAGCCGTATGGCTGAATTTGCTGTGGGTAACCGTATTGGCCTAAGTCGGACTGTGAGCAATCATGGCGTCGAGTGTGCAAGGCAGACAGCTCCTCCTTACCTTGACTATAGGGGTCTTGCTGGTAGGGCATCTGGTGGGGATAACCCCCATTCGGAGGCTGTGCGAAGTCGCGGTTCGATGGCACGATGGCCTGGTATGCGTAAGCACCAGCTTGCCCGCCCTCAACAACCTCCCGGAAAGACGAGGCCTGGGTTGATGAGATGGACGGCGACTGTTGCGAATGCTTAACAAGATTCTTCCCCTCATATCCGTCCTCCGACCAGAGGTCCACGTGTAGCACATAGTGCTGGTGCTCAACCTCGCTATGGCCTTGTTAGCCGCGCTTCAGGAAACGATTAAGGGGCATCTACACATACTTGCAATCTACCTCCTTGCCAGTATCCCTGTCCATCACCACTAGTCGAATACATGGCGGTGGGGTTATCGGCCGCCGATCCTTCACAATGTTAGAACTCAGGAGTGAAAGAGGCATGGGACTGAAAGACTTACCTTGTCACCAAAACCGCACATTCTTGCTCTGAGCGGTTGTTGAACAACCTCCAGTCTGTTACACTTGGACATCAGCTCTGGTTGATATGGCCAGGCCCCGAAACAGTGACTACCTAGGTACTCGAACGACTGTGGGTCAGCACTCACCTGTACTTTCGATGACCGTCGTTGCCCTCGATCGGCAGGGGCATGGACTTGGTCTTTTCCTCTGAAGCAGGCTGCGAAGCAAGGGAGTTGGGCGGCTGTCCTCCCATACCGTTCTCAGGTCCGCCAAGCTCGCCGGCACGCTCTCTGGAGCCGGACATGTTGGGCGGGGCCATGTTAACTCGCGGGGGAGGCATAGCCAGGGAACGGTGAGGGTTCGTCATGGGATCCTGGTAGTAGGTATTCGAGGAGATGGGAGGGGGGAGTTGGTTGTGGCTATAGCCAGGATGATGCGGCGGTGGCGCCCCCATCTCGGGCTGGAACTGGGGATGGTGCATGTGCGGCGCGGGATATCCGGAACTCATGGTTCCTGTGTCAAAAAGCTCCCAGTGGCTTATGGGTTACTTGCGAAGCTAATTGCGACGACAGTAAAATCGACGGCCGGTGTCTTGGTCGTAGATATATAGGTATATATATATATACTATCGCTTGGGCGGGGTGCTTAGGCCGATGGTGAAGCAGTTCGCGAGCAATGCCGGTCGTGATGAAGTCTGGTCAGTGAGTATGTGAAGATGGTATCAAAGAGCCTTGGTCGAAAGATGTCGCGGGGGCATTCCCTTTTGTGGGTTGACCCGGCCTCGCCCTGCGTGGGCGTGGGCGTGGGGTGAGGCAAGATAAAGTTCGCACGCAGGAGGGAAACTCGCAATGTTCCCAGATAATGGTAATGGTTTCTCCTGTAACGTTTGCGACGTATGAGACGGACGGTATGTATTCACGTGAAGCTTGCTACAATGGGGGTCCACACTAGTGACTGTATGTCTGTATGTCTGTATGTCGAGTAGCAATATATCTCAAGGTGTGCGCGCGCGATGTTGGTGTTCTGATGTTGCGTGTGGTTTTGGGGAAAGGTAAGACAGCAGCAGCAGCAGCGGCACACTTTAAGAGCCAGCTGGATGGAGCTGGGGCCGTTAGTGGGTCGGCGGGCAACGGGCAACGGGCAGGGGCAGCGGGAGAGAAACGAGTAACGACCTCAACGCAGAAGGCGTAAAACTTTAAAAGAAGGCGCGCCACCAGCCGATTGGAGATCAGGATGAGAGCTGGACACGCTGGAATTGTCCAAGTGCCGGCCAGCCTGCCAGCCAAGGAGGGGGACGACTTGATCGGCGGCCGGCCCGGCAGGCGGGCACCTGGGCAGGCTGGGGTTGCCTCTGGAGGACTGTGTGCTGTGTGCTACTGGGACATACAGGGTTTCCTAGTGGCCAACCTAACCCGCGGCCTTGCCCCTGTCAGATTCGACAAGCCGGGACCATCACCGGTAATGTTGTGATCTCTAGTACCGAACTCTGACCGTGCCTCAATCGGGTGAATAAGATAACTTACAATACCTAGGTATCTGGTGTGAATATAGTCTGTTCTGTGGGCATAGTCGAATGATAATAGACTCCGAAGCGCGCATCTTGCTAGGAAACTCTCGAATACCCTGTTACATAATCCATTCATTCAGATGAAAGATCGAATGCATCCCATCTTAAAGAGGGTTGGTTGCGGCTTTAGATTCCACTTGTGAATTATCTCGGTAGGCGGCGACTATCTGTAGCACTGGGACGATAAGATATTAGGTAGGTATCGTGTGTGATGAGTACCTACCGACTGCGGTAAACAAAGACAATGCGTACATGTAAACTAAACAGTGCCTTGGTTGCTGGTGTTTTACAACTTCGACTTTGGCTTCGACAGATGGCCTAAGTTCAAAAGTCCGATATGAGTACCAGATGTGTGTAGGTAGGTAGGTTACATATTGGCCATTTCCAAGGCCGTCCCTTGTTGACGCATATGCATGCAAGACAGCCGGCCTACCAGCCCGTACCACTGTGGCAATCCTCCAGGCATCAATGGTGCAACTTGCATGACTCGCGCTAGCGGGTAGATGTGACGTGAACGGACAGGCAGTTGTAGGTAGGTTAGTGAGATAGGCAAAATGAATTCATTGCAAGGGGTACGTATGCGCTGTCAAACTGGCAATGCCCGCAGAAGCGAATGATGAGTCGACGTCAACACATGAGCTCTTATATGTACCAAATGCATAGACTTTAATAATGGACAAGATACCAGATCGCTGCCTGTTCTGCAGTTATCAGACTGCACAGCTGTCACTGGTAGTCTTACGAAGGACCCGATGGCGTGGTATCTCATCAGAGTCATCACAAAACTTGCAAGACTCATTACCGTATGCATGGTGCAGGGGGCTGGCGCGGGAGAAAGCCGAGATACGTTGCATCCTGGCACGCATACCGATGTGGGTACGGGCGGGATGGCAGTGTCGTTTTCAACTTTTCATGCCATCTCGTCTTTGATCACTCCATCTCTCAGGACTGAGTATGGTTGACCCGGAGTGTAGCATGATCAACATACCGTGAAACCCAGCATTCAAGTCATCCCATATACCAACTCCCCTAGACAGCGCTATGTATTATGATCATAGTTTCCATGGCCAAATTTAGATACGATAGCAGCTTACACAACATGCAGTTCGCTTCTGCCGGTCTTGAAGGCGCATACATGCATGAACACGTCCTGTCACTCTGTCACTGCACTGACGCGTGGAGACGGGAATGAGACATGGAGACAGCCCGTCAGACCGTCAGACCGTTTCCCCATCCCCCACCATCATATCTAGCCCCACTATTCAGAAACCCCACCGCACCCCTAGAGCGACATTGAATGCGCTAAGAGAACTTGGCGGCGGGAACTAAAATGGCTTAGAATTCCGGCCCATCATATACGACTCTGCCGGCTTATCTTATTCACGCCCTGCTGTCGCTTGCCTGTCCGCATCACGACCTTCTTCGTCTCATCCGCGCGGATCGCACAAGCATTTCTCGGCTCAAGCGAAGCCAGGCCATCAGGGGGCTATCTTCGATGTGTCCGGAGGATCACAGACAGCGTCGATCATTGGGCAGGGGAGACGGCTATCAATCGGGTGCCCCGGCGGATTCCCAGCATCGAGGCAGATGGGTTGCATCACCGGCCAGCAAAGGCAGCTGTGCCTCTGTGTGCCTCATGCCCGGTACTTCCAGTGCAGCTGTTGTTCGACCCCAGATTCTTACACATGTATGTTTCTCCCAGTTGCGTTACACCGGCGAGGCCGACCAATTGACCATCCGAGTCTTGCTACTGGTAGTACTACCGTAGTAACTTCGTCATGGAGCTGGCGACATCACCTGCTTTTTGGAAACTCTTCTCCATGAACACGACACGACGTCGTCGTCGTCACCTTGATAAGGTCAGCTCATGCAGTGGTTTTCATCTTATCACTTTTCCTCTCCTTCTATAGACACTGTCTTCCGTCGTGTCATGAAAGTCTGCATACCTCCTTACGTACCTGTCCTTAGACGGAGGGAGGGCTGCAACTGGCAGACGAGCTATCACATTCGTACTGATTCACTAGTGTCAACGGCCCCCAATGCACCGTAACACACACGCACCACGTCCCAAGGACCTTGGCTTATCAAAATTAACAGGATTCGCACCAGATATGGGCAAGCGTATTTAGATCTACGCATCACAAGGTTTTGACTTCTGAGATCATAATAGCGACACCGGGTCACGCCTAAAATCCTGGAGCTGGTCGACACGCTGTGGCTGATTTGTTTATAAGCGACGCCTTGCTTCCATCTGACGGCCCGAGGCCCAATAGGACAGCCGGCAGTATCTCCAAGCAAGGGGCAGAGAAACCCATGTCCTCGGCGCCGACGAATACCGTATTTACTCGATCATCTCGTTCCGAGTCCCCCCTGCTAGCGCAAGTGGCTTGCGTGCAGAAAAGAGCCTTACCAGCCTCAGGTGGCTTCTTATAGTTATCAAGCCACGAGTAGATGCGGCTGGCGCTGTAGTTGTTGCACGCAAGCCACTTGCGCTAGCAGGGGAGAATCGGAACGAGATGATCGAGTAAATACGGTACGGCTCCAAGATTCGATAGATGCCGCACAGATCGTCTGCGAAACTCACTACTTCGCCAGCACTGGACAGATCAGAGACCCCCAAAGAGTGCTTCGTGTCACGTTAACAGCCACCGTCGGTTATACGCCCGCCGGAAGATAATATCCCAGTATCCCCCGACTTCCGCCTCGATCCCCGGTGCTGGGCTGGGTTCCACGACAGCGACGTCGCTGACAAGCCGGGCCCTCTCGCTCGCGTCAGGTATCCAATGCCCGAGCGGTCGGGTAGCGCACCCTGCTGGCTGGAGCTCCAGATAAAGAGAAATAAATTGACGGCGCAGGTTCTCAACGCACAACTGCCCAACGGTCCCTGTCGTGGAACCAACAACCAACTGACAGCAGAGGAGTAGGTAGGCGATTGGGGGCCGTTGATTCTGTGAGCGCAAGGACTATACCGCGGAGCAAACAATCAACTCCAACTTCATATTCAAAAACAGTGGAGATATCACAGACGGTCAGTAACATGGCCTCCCCCTTGCTTTCCCGCGCCCGTCTGCCCGCCAGGGATGGATCGATGCGGGGTGGACGCAAAGCCCTACACTGCAGGGACACCGCATGTCGTATTGTCCACGTGTACAACTACCAATTCAACTTCCTTTCGACGCACCTCCGCTGCCCTTCTCCCTTCTCCCGCGAATCCAAATCGCAGCCAAGAATGCAGTTTTCCTCTCGTTGGACGTAGACACGATATGCTGCACGGAGCCGCCATCGCCACTGCACATGTGGTAGGTGGGTAGGACGCTTTGCCATGTGACCTTGTCTCAAGACCGCACCACGGACGGCAAGCATCGGTAGGCACGGTCGTGTTTGCTTGCTGGCTTGCTGGCAGAGAGCAGGGCTAGTGAGAGGAGGTGCTGCCAACGAGCAGAGCACCCGAAGGGATAACTCGACTGCTTGCCCTCCTCCTCATCCTCGGAGCAGGGGAAAACTGCAAACTCTGCTCTTCCCTCCAGAGTCGACACTTGTTTACTTTGCGTTTCATGTTTGCTCGCTCGCTGGCATGGACCCCAATTCCTATTTTTTTTGGGGGGGTCCACACAAAATAGACCGAGTGCAGGTAAGAGCGGTGACAGATGGTGAGGGTCAGCCAGCGAGCCAGCCGGCAGGCTGAGATGGAGCGAAGCGGTGTAGATGCCCAACCTCGACTGCCGCGACCAACAAGGAGGCGGTCAAACGAGGCGGATACCTCACCTTGAAATGCGAAAGTCCACAGAGTGAAATTGCAAGGCGTCCTCGAGTTTGCATCGCGAGGTGACTACGAACTAGGCTCGTGAGACGCCGGCTACTTCCTCAAACAAATATCACAATCTCAGGAGCACGAGTTGTAAGTTCTGACATAATGCTGTATTACAACACTCAACGATCCTCAAGATAGGAAGGTACAGTTCAGTTCAGATCTCGTTCACCACGTCCCCATGGCCCATCGTCCATCATCCATCATCCGACCCCCGATGTCCTTCCTCACATTCCCATCCATCCCGCCCTCGTCTCTGGGATATCTTTGCCGCTCCAGGAGGATCTGGACCAGACAAAGGTAAGAATAAAGCCAGGCAAAGCAAAACATCAGGTTGCTGCCATCTTGCACGCCATCTTGCACGCCATGGAAACGCCGGCAGATGTCTCTCGGTGGCCGAGAAGACGTAAAATCAGGATGCTTGCTGTCCGGCCACTGAAGAAGCCAAAAGATGCCGACGTAGAAACATGTTTCCGGCGGCTTTTCATTGCTGAGAACCCTCTCTTCGTGCCTGCCTGTAGTTGGTGATATCATGTCCCAGCCTTCGTACAGGATAACGCCGGCCCCGAAGAATGAACGCCAGTGCCGTACCCCACGCCTCGCCATTAGGGTAAACGCTGTCGCAAAAAGTCTCGAAAAAATGATGTTTTACATGAAGCAGAAAGGTTCGAAAACTCCGCCCTGCCAAGCCTTGCATGTTCTCTCCTTTCCGAACATGTACAACGCGTGTGGGCGGAAGTATATGAGCGAGACATGTGAGAGGTGTATGCCACCATAGCTCTGAGCTTGTGTCGCAAGATTGAAGCAAAAGTTGTGCAGATATGCAGGTTGTCTAATCGTCCGCTAGTTTGGCGAAATGTTTGGACCACAGCCAACCGACTAGATTGTTCGGGTCATCTTGGTTCTTAGCGAGCCAAAGCTCGCCCTTTTCGGCAATCACATCGAAGATCTGTAAATCAAGTATCAGTCACAGTACGTGTTGGAGTCATTGTTCTTGATGGGGTTTACGAACCTCGCCAGCTGAGTACGTCAGATAAGGGTACCCAGCTTCATGTTTGATGGTCTCGATGTTAAATTCGAACAGAGAGGCAGCAAGCCACAGAACGTTATATCCGTTGACTGGCTGTCGCTCCCGCGAAGAAGCACGAGACGATGCTATCGATGGACGCGGATGCCTTTCCTGTTGTCCTTCGGACACGGGAAGGGCGGATTGGAAGAGGCCCGAATATCGCTGATTGTCAGGCGCTTGATACGGGGATGGGTGCGCCGAGTTCGAGTAGCGCCGAGAATGCTGAACAGATTCAGCACTCTGCCCAGGGATACCGCCCGAGTCATAGCTCTGGCCGGTGCCAGGTCGAACGGAAGGAGTCGCCAATGACCGAGAGCTGGTAGACAGATCTGGGGTTTTGGGCGTGCCAGAGTTTTGAAGAGCCTGTCCGTTAATTCCACCGTAGAAGTCACGATAATAGTATTGGTGGGGACTCTGGGCGGAAATAGCAGAGGGCGACATGGCGAATTGACCGCTGCGGCGGTTCATGAAGTCAGGTGTTGGTAAAGTCGGAGCCGTGTCGCTGTTCAAAGACAGCCCACGATTGCGAGGAGAGAGGTCGGCTGGGGTCGGCCGAAGTCTCCCGAAAGATTCGTCGATGGAAGTTGACTGAGAAGGTCGGCCCTTGAAGGCACCGTTCACGATCCCAATCGAGTTCATCTGCTCGTCCTGGAACTTGTAATCTCGCTGGAAAGCCGATACGATCTCCGGAATCTCGGGCATATGAGCGTCTTCGAGCACCACCTTGAGCTTCTCCTTCCAAATGCCAAACCACTGAGCTTGGATATTGACGAGGTTGCCCAGACAGATGTTTCCAACTTTCTCTGTGAGCGCTGAAAGCTTGGGAAGTTCCTTCTTCAAAGCTTCGTTCAGCGCCTCGTATTGCTCGACGCAATCCGATAGCTGTTTGTCAACTTTCTTGCCGGCTTTCTTCAGCTGAATGGATCTCTCATAGTCCAGTCGGCGTTTGGCTCGCTTCTTCATGGCAAGTGATGGATTCCCATATGATTTGATGACAAGTTCAAAAGGCTCGATAACCTGCTTCCGGACTTGTGAGAGCTATTCGTTTTGGTCAGCTGAATTTCATGCATGTGTACGGAGAACGAGCCACTAACATGTTGCTCTAGGGCAACTTTCTCGACGTCTCTCATAGACACATTGAAGCGGACCCATTTGCTCTCGATTTCAGGATGAGGTGAAGGTTGAAGCCGCATGACCAGCTCCATGGATGAAAGATACTGTAGAAATTCATGAACGTGTTCAGCGACCTGTCTCGTGTAGAATTCGACGTCCCGTAAGACCACCTGTAGCCGTAGGTAATCGTCGCCAAATTTCTCATGAAGCTTGAGGTAATCGGGATCCTCTGTTGGTCTGTTGTTTGCAGCTTGTAGTTTGTCAACTCGTTTGCCAAACGCTCTGGCAAACCCGGCCTTCACATCGGATTCCTTGCGCTTTCTGCTACCCACGATCTGTCCCACCAGCTCGAAATTCTTCTTGGTCTTGTTGATGTCCTCAATCGCATTTTCTAGGGATGCTTTAGCAGATTCGAGATTCGGGCGGTCGGGGTGGTCAGTTGGTGTTTCATGAAGCAACTGGATGAGCAAATTCGGATATTTGGTGATTCTTTGCATAGGCTTGATGAGCAACGAATCTAAGTTCCAAGCTTTGGTTAGATCTCTTGCTACCTCGTTGCATTCGTTCAACCAGACTTGCACTGTTGGATCTTCCTGAATTTGAATCAACCGTTTTGCGGCGTGGTCACTGTTCTTGAGGAAAGCTTCATGGACGATTTTCATCTTCTCCATGTTCCGAACGAAGATCGGACCTAGTGACGTCTGTCTGTCCTTGTCGTCGCTCAGGCGACCAATCGAGGTTGTCGAGGAGGCTGACCCATCAACGAGACTTGAAATGCCCTTTGTCAGATTCGATCGATGTACTTTGGGGGTATAGACGCTGGACACGCCTTCTTTGAGTTCTACTAGGAAGGCAGAGTGAAACTTGACGATCTGGTCGGTATTTCGGAAAATGAGCTTAACGGTTGTATCGTCGAGCTTTGGGCATGCCTCGGCTGTCCCCTTGTAGATCTCTTCAACGATATTCATGTCTCTTATGAAGAAAGCCTCGGTATCGATCATCTCTTTGATGATTTCGAGACGAGTGAACAGTCGCTTCCTCTCCTTCGTGGATAGACCTTGCGCCTCTGGTGTAGGATCAATGCTGATACTCTCGGCCAAGGTTTGCTGACTGGTGAGGCGAGACGAGCTTGACTGATTGCCTTCTGACGTTTCAAGTGAGCCTTGGTCGATCGACTGAGTGGCCGAGACCGTTTGAGCCAAGTCTTCACTCTCCCTCCTTGACGGATTCAAGGAGTACAAACCTTGATCCTCCTTCCCAGCCCGAAAGTAGCTGTTTGGCCTTGTCTCATCAAAATATTCACTCGGCGGTGCAGAGCTCAACGCATCGCGCAACGAAACATCATCAGGTGGTGGTGGTGGAGAGTGATCTGGGAGAATTGGAACCGAAGTCAACGTGGTGCTGTTCTTCCGGTTGACATAGTTCACGACGAATCCTTGGCTCGTATCTATCTCCGGCAGTCGGGGTTGGTGGTCGTACTGCGCTTCAGTATGTCGATAGGTACCGAAGGGAGACACATCACGACTGCAAGACTCATCTCTCGAGTTCCGCTCAAACTGATAAGACTGCGGCCTAGAATCAGACTCAGAACGTGCTTGTTCATGAAATGTCAACTCGCGCTGATCGAAGTTGTGGTCTTTAGGCTCATAACCAGAATACCTGTCCTGGCTGTTCGCGGAGTACTCGGTCCACGCGGTAGTTTGACTTGCCCTATTCATCGATTCTGAAGTTCTGGGTACAGTTAAGCTTGGACGCGTGCCCATCGTCCTTCGAGAGTCGGCGGAGAAACGTATCTCTTCGGTATGATGTTGACTAGAGCCAGTGTGCCCATCTCGGGACTCTTCCAGTCTGGCCGTGATCCCTTGCGGGAATAATGCGGAGTCCCTGATGATTGGCCCGACGAAGAATTCTTCGATCTCACTAAGACCGGCACTTCGATCAGGCTGCGTGTCATAGGAACTCACACTATTCCCATAAGAGAGCCTATGAGACTGGCTGCGCGGCCGGGGATGGGCATTGTCTTCGGAGACCTGTGCTTGAGAGACCCCAGTGGAAAGAGGAATGCCACTAGCCTCGCGGGTAGAGGGCGGAAACTCAGAGTCACGGCCGATTATCGTTACCTTCGTCTGGTAGGTTTGCGAAGTCAGTGGCCTTGGCTCGTACTCGTCTTCCCTGGCACTAGAAGGGTTCTCCTGATCCACGTTGGATTCGCTCGTGGACTGAGCAGGCTCTATAACTTGTGATTCTTGATCAGGTGATGGATCTAGCGATATCTTGATGGATATGCCGTCATCCTGCAATGACTCATCTTCGAAAGGAGACCGATACTCGAACTTCGGGTGTGTCTGTTCATGGTGATCATCAACATCCACACTGGCCGCACCAATGTAGTCTTGACGGAGAGGGGCTTCCTGGACAGGTGGTTCGGTCTGGGGCTCTGCATCGAACTCTGTGGTGTCCGAAATCGCCGAACGGGGGGGCTCTTCGTGATCACCAGGGGTTTCCAGATCCGGAAAACTTCCAGGTATTCCGAGTGTTGGTGAGTCTCTTGGTCTTATCTCCTCTGTGGACATATCAGGTTGGTAGCTGCGCAGTAGTCCTGTCGTTATGGTCGGCAGTGGCAGTCTCTCTGCAGTGGGTGCTTCGGCATCCGCTGGGCTGTCCATCAGAAAGCCCGTGGTGATTGTCCGTAGCGCCAACGATTCAACAGGGGATATCTCAAGGTCGGCTGGACTCTGCAAACTGTCATCCGTGAGCTCCGCCTGAAGTTTCTCCTCCTGGCGTGTGAGAGCCTCAGCCGCCGCTATCTGAGCTTTAGCAGCCTCGACCACGGCTTTCTTCCTCTTCTCTTCTGCTACCTTCCTGGCAGAGGCCCTGGCTTCGCCATCACGAATCGACTTCGTATACGAAAGTTTGATCTGCTCCCGCCGCGATTCAAAGTCGATGGGTCCCATCGAGATTTTCCTCCGTCGTGTTGTTGGCTCATTGGCCTTCGCACTAGCCTTATTGTCAACATTTGCAGGGGATCTGCCTCTCTCGACGGCTCTCAATCTCGAGCTTGTGGTGGTTGCTGTAGACACGGTTTGACGGGGCCGCGAACTTCTTAATGGCGGTGATAGCTTCGGCGGAGGAGCTGCGATATAGGCATTGAGCCTTGTATTATCATTAGGTGTGATGGCGCCGGACCTGCTTGGTCGTTTCAATGCCGTATTGCTACTGCTGGTAGGTGTCTTCGCTCTCGGAACGGGAATTGACTTGGATAGCTTTCCCTGAGCCGGGGGCCTTCTGCGAGTGGAGGGGGAATTGGAACGTGTCGAGGTTGGGCTTGATGAATTGGAAGGAGTGCTGAGTTTTCGAACCGAAACAGGCAGTTTGGAAGACGTGGACAGCATCGACGTGTTCAAAGTTGGTCTGGGACGGGAAGCCTGGGAAGTTTTCGATCGCGGCTGAACGGATTTCGTGCCTGCGAGATCGCTACGTGATCTGCTATGGCTCTTGTTCGTATGCGACGTGGATCCGGCGATGGTGCGAGAGAGAGTCTCACCATTCGTCTCGCGGTACCAGTCGCTTGGGGATGGGGGATCAGCATCAGTATGAGAGAAACTACGTTGACGATGGCCAGCCTGGCTTTGAAGATTTGACTCTGACGTCCTCCTCGTTCGATGACCGTCGATTCCATGCCCTACCAGTCCAGCATCAACTTGGCCGGGTCCTATCTCTCCAAAAAGAAGACTTCGTGGCTGGGGGACGGGTGGGATCGAGTCCGGTGAAGAGGTCGGGGATAAATTGGTCATGGTTTCGGAGGCTTGACCATGGGCTCCCACGGTGGCTCGAGGTTTGGCTATGCGGCTGGCGAATGACTGTGCATTATTCGATAACTGGTCCTCGGCCACGGTTCGATTCCTTTGCGTCGATCGCGTCCCCGACGACGTTCTAGCTCCAGAGGACGAGTCACGCGTCACCGAAGATCGCAACGTCGTGTATGATGTTGTTCGGCCATTCGTTGTGGTAGAAGCACTTGCTGGCCGGGCTTCTGCTGGTGAAGGTGTCTCTCGAACTGGATTGCGTGGAGTGGTCTTGCGAACCGGAGCCGCGTTACTGCTTGATTGCGCCGCATTCTGATCGAATCTTTTCTTCAAATCCTTCACACTCGGTTGATGCCCAGGGCGGCCAGGCAATGCTGTCGTGGCTGTAGGTCTCGATCTTGCAGCAGCAGCAGAGGTTTGTTCGTCAACGGGGGCGGATACAGAGCGTAAAGCAGGTCTCGGACCGGTTCGTGTCAAGGGGATCGTGGGGTGCCTCGGGGTCGAGCCATTTCCGTTTGATCGTAGCGAAGCGTCTCGGTTCTGCCTCGAGGCAGGCAGCGTCGAAGCCATCAATGTGTCGTCGCCGTCGTCTTCGTCGTAGGCTCGGTAGAAATCGTCTGGATCAACGAGGCCCACAGGCTCGAAGTTCGTGGTCGCGTTCGCATGGGCGGCCTGGTGGTTGCTGGCGGCATGGGATGCAAACTGGGAGGACGGCAAGGGTCGGAGGTGGCCCGCGGCGGAATAGTGGTAGACGGGTTCGTCTGGCAAGTGAGGGTGCGGTTGCAGCTGCAGTTGCAGTGGCGGCTGGAGGTGGTGTTGGAGGTGGTGATAGCGATTCGGTGGTAGACCCGTGCCCGTGCCTGTCCCTGGGCCGGACTGGAGTGACTGGGTATCAAAATTATGGGCTGCTAATGTCGCACCAAAGTAGCGGTCCTCCTCTTCACGATTGCCGGCGTCCATGCTCATTGCTGGGCTGGCTGGCCGGCTGGACATGCCAATCGCCGTGACATCAAGTGCAGAGGACAGCACTGCAAACAGAGGCAGCTCCGGCTCTGGCTCTGGGCAGAACACCTAGAATGTCTGGACGGCCGCACCAAGGTCGCATGCAGGGCGGTCTACCTGCACGTTGTCGAATGATAACCCCGACTTGCCAGTTGGGTGTTGTTTGGGGTGCGCGGGTGGGTGCTGCACTGAGAGGGGGCAGATCCCTTTGGGCTTCAATTGCTGCTGCAGGCTATTAGGTGGGGACCGTGGAATGCCAATGATGGGCGATGGGCGATGGGCGATGGGCGCCGTTGGTCGTTGGGAGCCCTGGACTCTGGACTCTGGAGTGGAAGCAGCGAACAGCGAAGGATTTTCAGAAAGGCATCAGGATCGGGTTGATTCCAAGGCCTCCCCTGCAAACTGTCTGGTCGTCTCCCTGGCCGTCTGGCTGTCGGTGGTGACTCGTCCGCTATCTAGAGACTAGAAGCTGGCGGGCGACATTGAAGGACAAGGATGCGGAGAGGCACGAGAGGCACGGCAGGGTGAGGTGTGTGAGGTGGGATTACGGAATATCTTCGAACGTGTGCCTGCTGATTGATGCGCTGGCATGCAGGGTGATTTGGTGCCTCGGGCCTTGGGTAATAAGTTGACGTCTGTCGGGTCCGGTCCGGTCTGGCCTGTGAAGCAGAGCAGAGCAGAGCAGAATGAGGAGAGTGAACTGTAACTGACTCCAGTTGGACCCTTACTAGCATTGACCGAACTTGTTCCCGAGCCGTGTGGTGGTTGTTATTATGGTATGGTGTATGTTGTATGTACGAGGGACGTGGTGCCTGTTGGTCGGGTAAGAGTCTATTTTAGATGGGCAGCCTTCTAGCTCGGCAAAGCAGTCGACGACTATTCTCCAGGTTGTTGTTGTTATTGCACTTCCGTACGCGTGTCAGAGACTCAAAGCTGGGATGATAGCTGTACGCGTACTACGAGCTGCTTCCTGGAATTGGAAAATGCTAAAAAGCAAAAAGCAAAACTGTCGACGAGAACAGGTTCAAACCTGTAGGGAAGGAAGGAGCGACGAAGCAATGGTGTAGGTATATTATTAACCTAGCCGCATCTGGGATGCATCATCCTCTGCACCCCTACCCGTCTACGCCCTACAGGCACATCTCACTTCCAGTGTTGTATATCTCTAGCAGTGTGCGGGCAGATTTAATAATATTCATGTTGGATAGGTGGAAAGCAATGAGGTGTGGCGCAGAGACCGGTAATAAGGTACTATCTCTCCCGGCGGCGACTTCCAGATCCACGCATGTATCCCGGGTCGGATCCGGACCACCTCGGACGCAAACACACACCAAGAAGCAGCATTTGATGGGCAGCAGAGAGAGCTGCTGCTGCAGTCGGGTTGGCAGATCCTCCCACCTGCACCCACTCTCGCCCAGGTACTTGCGTTGCTTGCTTGCTTGACTGCATGTGAATCCCATGTGCACGACATCCCAACATGAAGGCGGGGGCAATTGGAGCATTGCCGCCGCATTGGGGAAAATAGCCAGCTCTGAAATCCGGGGTTGTGGTGCAACATGGGGTAGCCTTGTGTCGGCCCAGAAGGAGGTACTGTATCGAGTGAATTCCTGCCACCTCTATCATGCGGTTCACGTCGCAAGCGCAAAATCTCATTTATGTCGATGCTTGAACCCTTGCGCTGGTGGGTGTACGCGCACGAGAGGACCGAACCCGTGCAGGCATCCGGTTCTGGGGGCCGCCGCCTGGGATGTCGGAATGCGAGCTGCGCGCCCAGCCCACCCACCCAGCCTTGATCTGATCCGATCGGATGCGCAATACCGTGCGGTACCTACCTAATCTGCGACTTGGACGTCGGAGGACATGAACAGCTGGCCATGGAAACATACATATGGACAGCTCCCCTGCATGATTGATTGACGTCGTTGCATCAAACTCAAACTCTCCGGAGGGGCATCTACACCGTGAACAGTGAACACGCGAACCCCGGCCTCCAAATCTGAAATGTCTCTCCGTCGATGGATGGATCTGTCTGGACCGAGGATGAGTAAAGATTGGACATGTCCAAGACAAGGATCCCAACACGGGCTTGTTATTAGCGGTGGAACCACGCCACACCATGGATCTGTGAGAACCGTACGATCCGAGGGAGAACCACACCCAAGACACGATAAGGTTACCGCTTACCAGTCTACCGGCACGAGATTGAGTTCCCGGTGCACCTATTATTACTACTAGACGCGAACGAAACTAGGTGCTGGCATCTGCAAATGTTGACAAGGACCCTGATAAGAAATAAGACCGAGGAAGTATCATTCTTTTTCAGTGCCATATGTCAATCTATCAATCGACAAGCAATAGGCCTTATCAGCTTGGCCGAATCTACGCGAGCCCCCATGGTCCTCTCGATGTGCTCGCATCTTGCATATTCGAGACAATCTCGGGTGGAACCTATCCAGTCGCGATGCATTGGGGCGTTACTGTGTTCATGCCGCTGTCAGAAAGGCTTGGGTGGTAACGCGGGCGGGCATGCAAAACTCGCAGCCGCCAAAGCTCGTTTACTCCTCCAATGTTGCTGAACCACAGATTACGGTCAGCACATCAATAAGGTCTGACACACAAAAAGCTTGTAGATTAACGACTGAGGCCGAGGATAAGAGCCTGTTATTACGCAGTCACTTCGCTCCTTGCTCTGTTAGAGTGACATTACGGGTGACCAGTTGCCAGCCGGTTGCCAGCCGGTTGCCAGCCAGCCCGTGTTGAAACTTATTGAAGACTGTGAGCAGTATCCATCTGGCATAGAAGCAGTATGTGTTGGTCAGCTAACGTGTCGGGTTTTGCAGGATTCACAGGGGGGTTTAGGTGTGATTTCGTACCAACAGACAGTCTATAGACCTTTCCTAATAGAAAACAACGCTGTCACGTTCATACCCAGATCATCGGTTCACGGACAATGCCCTCAAAGACTTTATTAAAGCTAGTGCTGAGGCTCACCAAAGCCTAATTATCGTAACATGTACTAGATAGAGTCCGAGTCGGTCTGAAAGTGGTCATCATAACTCGCCACTGCTCCAGTCGGCCTCGGATTGATCATCATGGCTCTCCAATGCTCCAGACATCGCAAGTCGCCAATGCTCCAGAGACTGCCTGTCGGCCCTTGCGAGGTCAGAGAACCGGCCGGCCTCTGTCCAGGAATATAGCTTATCCAGTATGAACCAATGCAGTTCAAGAAACATCTCGCTGTGGCCATACATGTGAACCCAATTTATCCACTTCGTGCCGTCATTGTCGTCGAGGCCGATGTCGACGAATATATCCAGATAGGCGTGGACCATCTCGTGTGCAAGGGTCGCAATCAAGTCCTCTGGCTTGCAGTACGGCCTGTCGAGGATCCTTCTCGCGGCCCACATCTGGATTATTTGCGCTTCCTTGTCATACGAACCTAATCTCCCGCCATCGTCCCAATGCTCAAATACCTTCAACTCGACCATCGGGCGCTTGCGCGGGATGGTGTCCGCGTCACTGACCGGCGGCTGCACCTGCCGTCTGAGGAGCCCGAAGAAGAACAGCTCGTCGAAGCTGCGCATGAAGTCCTCGACCAGGCGGAGCACCTCGTCGAACGAGGTCAGGTTTTGGCCTCTGACATTCTCATACCTGCGGACCAGGTCTTGGATGGGCATGTGGTCTGCCTCTTGGCAGTATTTCTTCAGGAACAGCGTCACATCTTGCGCGTCGTATACCTCGCGTTGGGGCGCCAGGGTGCGCGATGCCCACTGTTCACGCTGCTCTTGCATGGCACTGCGATTGCCGGTGAAGTTGTCGGCTACGGCTTCGTAGTGACGGAGGACTTCGCTTTCGGAAGGCATGCTGAGATTTGATGGCTGCGGAGACTGACACAAGTAGTCCAAATGCGTTGTTGGCTCTTTTTATGGTGACCGTTGGATTGTAGAATGTTTCATGGTGACTGGTTTGATTGTAGAATGCCATGAGGGGTGCCAGCTTGTATTTATAGACGTTATTAGAACAACGTCTTTGCTGTTTCTTGTGATTAACCCCTTTACACTAAACGACACTGGTCCAAGAATAAACAATTTAGAACAAACCCGATGTGCTACCATTACAATGGAGGTCACATGGAGCCACGTGGGGTCGATTGTATGCGATTAAGTCATAAAGACTTTGTTCAGGATCGTGGTGAGCTCCTTGGATGCCATCTCACACCAACATCACTTCAAAGCCGGCACAGCCAAAAAACAAAACTCGCCTCCTATCCCTAAGCCTATATGGTACCACACCTCCAGCAGCACAGTCCATACAAATTCAGACATATGCGACAAGCCGCGACAAGGCCTCAGGGCGATATTGAGACCGGGCCGCCTATCGGAGAATATCCGGGCACTACTTTCAATGCCGGCGACCTGGGCTGCCTGGGCGGCCTAGCGTAGCACTCACTATCGGAGAATAAGGAAGCACCCGGTGTGAACAGTATGAGCTTCATGATTGACCACAATACTCACATGTGCAGATGCAGAAGCTGGTCCTGAGTCCGGCTGGACATGTGGTAAATCAGCTCAGCTGGTTGAAGCTTCAAGATAGAAGCGGGCGAGGTGATGAAATGCACATGTGCGGGGCATCTATCGGATTTAAAAATATCGTACTACCTGTAGATCATCCATACCAAACACAAAAAAGCTCCGACAGTCCAACTCGCCGAGTCAACACTAGGGGAACAACTTATTAAGGCAGGATCGCCGTTAGGCCCGTCTGGTTAGATCCCGTCAACACGCCGTCGGTCTCTGGTCGAAGCCAGGCGATATTAAATCTTACTAATTACTGGACAGCCAAAGTGCAGTTGTTAGCGCAACTCTGCACCCGGACGCGTGTGGTTGGTGAGACGCGTTTCCGCTCCGTCAATACTGGTACCACAGCCACAACCACAACACTACCTCCCTCGTAGCCGAGAGAGTTTCCTCGAGTCAAACTAGGGAAACAGCGCACCGAATAGCTTATTATCTACAGATTTGGGTTTCGGCTTTCCAGCCGCCACCAATGTGCCCAGGCCGTGCTTCAATTGAACACTTCCATCCTGACCGTGCATTAGTACGCCTCGCACTAGGCGCACTGTGCGGCCCCTTAACCACGACGCTGTGACCGACGACACATAATCCACAGTCCATGGCGTGGATGTACTCGGTCCAGAATCAACATCATCGCTGCGATAGTTCACTCCAGTCAGCGTGCATGTCATGAAACCACGCCATGGCTCGCCCAGGGAAGCGGAAGCGTGCAACTTCGGCCCGGGGTGGTGTCTCGGAGGATGAGCCGCCTACCAAGAGGGGGAAGACGACCGTCGGTCCTGAACAATCGCTCTCTTCACAAAACCAGCATGCTGTCCTGAATCAGTTCTACCCTCAGGTATCGACTCTGCGCAATTATGTCCTCTCCAAACTGCCATCCTCCTCGAGGATTCGCAGGAAGAAGGTAACTGCGGTGGGCGCAAGGGGCAAGTCTCTCGACACATCCCTATCTGATGTGGAATGTTCTCTGGGCGCCCTACTCGACACCACGCTCGTTGGCATCCCGGAAAACCCCAAGGATGACGGGGACAGTCGTGTGGAGGGATGGAGGAATTTCTCATCCCAAAAGGGCGACGAGTCCTATGTGACGCTGTCTAATGGTATCGCTGGGTTTGCCGAGTCACAGTCTCTGGTAAGTACCAGGTCCTACATTGGCCTCTTCCTATCGTTCTAGACGAAGAGGACACAGACCAGCATAGTACACTAGACAGTAAGCTGACGCCGCGTAGATCGTAGAGTACGTGATAAGGACTCTCTTTTCCAGAGAGAAGTCTCTCAAATGGCCAAAGCATCTACTTTGTGATGGATTCCGGCGCGATCGTGGCTTGGGTCTGCGTGCAATCCGTCCCAACCCCCATGTCGAGACTTTACAACACGCCCCATGGCCACAGTTGTTGGCGCTTTTAGGTGAAGCTGGAGATCGCATCATGATAGATCTCCTTCTCGACTGCGCAATCTTTGTCTCTGTTGCTGCAGGAGTGAACAACTTTTGTCAAATCAGTGGTGCGTCATTTGAGGCTCCTCGTCTCATATTTGGTGCTTACGAGAAGCAGGACAGCCATTGTCCAATGTCGACCCTGTCCGTCCCGAGACAACGGGAGACGTACAGCTGGCTCAAGACGTCAAGAGCCCGTCAGAGCTCGTCTTTGTCAGAAATCGTATGCTTTATGCCAGGGCTGCTCTCAATGCTCGAGGACTGGTGCATTTTGGACTACGACACATTCGTGAGTCGCAATGGAGACGATGTATGGCAATTACTAAACATACTAGATGTACTGAATCGGTCGCCGTACAATCATCTAGACGAGGATCCAGAACTCTCCATTGAGAAGCAGGAACAAACGGTCCGTCGGAATGGCATCAATACCTTGAGAGTCACGATGTACATGTTTCCTCGCCAATTCCGGCTTCATAATGTGTTCACATCCAAAGTCGACTTGAAGGAGACATCCCAACGCCTCAAAGACTACACACTACGAGAAGACGAAATTAACGAAAAATTTGGTCGACTAGGTGATGCTGATGTTCGAGTGCGTATACCGAAAAGACTCAGGGGTAATGTGTCCGACCTGGTTCAGAAGCTACAGATTCTGCACCAGCGTTGTTCTTACTCCAAACTTCTTCAGCATCACTGCCCAGTAAGTTTAACGAGCATTCAGCATATCGTGTCCTTACTGATGCATGGAAGGTCCAATACTCTCTTGATCGACAGGAATCAAGGCCCGTAGCTGTTGACGCGCCGCGCAAATCTTCGCGAAAGTCGAGAACACCACACAAGAAGTCGACCCAACAGTCTCAAAAACAGGTAGCGGTGTCGCAACGAGCTCAGACTTCGTCGGTGGTGGAACTGGCGACATCCCCTGCCAGTGTATCTGCCTTTTGCCGGGCAGTCTTGAAGAAGGTTGTCCCTCGGGGATTTTGGGGCAGTGACTCAGTTGCGGACCACAATGAGAGCCTCTTCCTGGCAAAAGTTGACCGATTCATCTCATTGAGGCGTTTTGAAGGCATGTCGCTTCACGAAGTAGCGCAAGGGATGAAGGTAAGATCCGTACTCTGACCGAGTGACAGCACGAAGCTAACGATACACAGTTTACCGACATAAACTGGCTCGCACCGCCGTTGCTCATGGCGAAAAAGACATCCAAGACAGACGCGCAGAAGCGTCTCGAGCTCTTCAACGAGTTCCTGTATTTCCTATTTGATTCGGTTGTGATACCCCTGATCCGCAGTAACTTTTACGTCACTGAGTCGAACACTGATAAGTACCGACTCTTCTTCTTTCGTCACGATAGTTGGCGCTCTTTGGTCGAGCCTGCGATGGCAACCTTGAAAGGAATTATGTTCGAGGAAGTCAATCAGGTCGACGCCCGTCGAATACTGGACTCCCGCCTGCTCGGGTTCAGTCAGGTCAGATTGCTTCCCAAGGGCATCAACATGCGACCCATCATGAACTTGCGCAGGAGAGCTGCTTTGCGAGGAAAACCTAAAGAGCTGGGATTGGGTATCAACAAGGTCTTAGCACCTGCGCATACTGTCCTCCAATTGGAAAAGGTAAGCCTTTCGACTGATTGGCGTATACAAGTTCTGACACAGACAGATCATGCATCCTGAGAGATTGGGCTCGACGATGTTTTCCGTGGGTGACATCTACAAGCGCATCAAGCCTTTCAAATCCAGGATGGGACCCGGCCTTCCCAAGTTCTACTTTGCGAAGCTCGACGTGCAGTCAGCCTTCGACACGATACCTCAAGCAGCTATTGTTGGCTTGCTCGACTCGATCCCTCAGCAGCGCCAATACCGAGTAGCCAAGTACCTTGAAGTCACGCCCAACCTGGCAAGCCAAGGGAACGGTGCGCATTCGAAGTCCAAGCCATTGAAGAAGTGGCCCTCGGCAGCCATCAGCAAAGACGACACCTCCACGTTCCTTCAACAATTGGAGTCTGGTCGCGCAACTACGAAGCGGAACACAGTCTTCGTCGACCTCTGGAAGCAGCAGTATGAGACCAGCGAGCTACTTCAACTCGTGGCATCTCACATCCAGCAGAACCTCGTGAAGATCGGCAAGAAGTTCTACAGGCAGAAGAAGGGCATTCCCCAGGGATCCGTGCTATCATCCACCCTCTGCAACTACTTCTACGCCGACCTCGAGATCCACGTACTCCCGTTCGTTGACTCGGGGGACTGTCTGCTCCTGCGGCTTATCGATGACTTCCTACTCATCACGACAGATCGGAGCAAAGCCGTGCGGTTCGTCGAGGTCATGCACCGTGGCGTGCCCGAGTACGGGGTCACGATTAGCTCGCAGAAGAGCCTCGTCAACTTTGACTTGGAAATCGAGGGCAATAAAATACCGAAGCTGGAAAACGGAAAGGGTTTTCCCTACTGTGGAACGGTGATCGACTGCAAGACGCTGGATATCGGCAGAGCTCAGAACAAGGAGAAGGCCACGGGTATGTCTCGAACTGGTCAGGCGCAGGACACCACCACTGACTTCTTTCTCTAGCCATATACAACTCTCTGACTGTCGAATACACTCGAGCTCCGGGCCGGACGTTCCAGCGGAAAGTTCTCAGTGAGTGTCCAGCCTCCAATCTCCCGGAGTCGTGAGAGGTACTAACCGACATGGACCCAGATGCCTTCAAGATCCAGAGCCACCTAATGTACTTCGACACCGGAGTCAACTCGGTACTGACCATGTTGACCAATGTCCACAACGCCTTCACGGAGACGGCCACCAAGATGTGGGCGTACGCGCGCTGCCTGCCTGCGCCGAAGCAGCCCTCCGCAAAAATGGTCAACAGTAAGTCCTTGGACTGTCAAATCCGCCATGTAACTGACCGGTCTTCAAGGCACCATCTCCAAGCTGTCCGAAGTGGCCTACCTGCTTCTCATAAGCACGGCCCGCAAGCTCAGGTACCCAGGCTACGTCTGTGATGTCAAGAAGTGCGAGGTGTCCTGGTAAGTTTGACTGCCTGTCGTGCATGATAATCGGGCAATAGCTGACTGCTCAGGCTGGCGTACACCGCTTTCCACAAGGTGTTGACGCAGAAGCAGGCGAGGTATGGGGACACGTTGGGCTGGCTCAAGGTAGAGATGTGGAAGCTGAGCCTGCTTAAGGATATTCGGCATGGTCGGGTACACCACGTCAAATAAAGAAATGTCTAACGTATATACGCGTGGGTAGACTATGCAAACCTGCCCCTTTTTCCAATGCAACCGCCTCTATTGCCTCTTTGTTATGCACCCATCCATCCGTCTACATGCAAGCCCCCATCTCCATGTCGACCTCGCTCTATCTGTATCTATAGGTGCGTCTACATGCAACCCAACACCGTAAACGCTACACCCCATCACCTAACTCACCCACCCCTCGCCATCTAAATCGCAACCCCCCTCTCCCACCACCGCGCCCCGACATACCACCTTGGCCAAAAATCCCCATCATACCTCCAAACCCTTCCATCAGCCGGGCCCCCAAACCCAAGCCAGCGCGCCAGCGAGACCGGCACCGGCTCGTACATCCAAAGCCCACAGCGACCAAAGTCGTCTACCAGCGCCCAGCTCGTCGCCCACAGCCAGGCTGCCACGAACAGCAGGTTCCCCGCCCTTCTGACCCACCGCGGCAGCGCCGCAATGCGCGGTTTAAGGATTGCAGAGCGCGCGAGCGAGGACTGCAGCACGGTCCCGACGCCCGAGAGCGCAAAGAAGACGGGCGGCAGCCACCAGCGTGTTTGTGGTATTGTGCTGTAGCTGCCCGCGCCGTGCAGCATGGCGGACTGCACGAACGCCAGCACGGCGCCGACGAGCGTCGAGGCGGGCGTGCCCTTGCGGATGTACCCGTGTGCAAGCAGCCAGTTGGTCGGAGCCGCGAAGCCGAACCGGAACGTCTGGTGCCACCAGGCGCCCCAGAACCCCTGCAGGCCGCGGTCGAGGACTTGTGTAAATGACCCTCCGAAAGTTGGTAGGTGCCACGGGTGCGCGCGGAAGCCGAGCACGGGCCGGCAGAGGAAGGCCAGCGCCAGGGCGCCGAGGTTCCAGGCGAGCTGCAGAGCGGTGAATACGCCCACGAAGGAGAGCGCCGTGCGGCGGAGGGAGAGCGTCAGCGGGTGCATGGCTGTGAGGTGTGGCGGGAGCGGAACGCCGTGCTCGGGTCCGAGGATGAAGTAGGGATCTGCCGTCATGAGAGCGGCGCAGAAGTCGACGATGATGTAGCTGGGGACGATGTTGAGGAAGAAGCGTTGGAGGAACAGCTTGCGGCGCGAGAGCGTGCGCGTGAAGCCTTGTCTGCTTTCGTGGGGCCCGAAGTCTAGGGGCAGTTGGTAGGATCCTATGCTTGGAGGTAGACGGAAGGGCGGCAGGCAGCGTGGTGCCCAGTTCCAACCTGTGGTTTAGTCAGAATGCCTATCTTCAGACGTGTGGCACCTTGGTATGGTGTATATATACCTGTCATGCGCATCGTGGAAACGATGTCAAAGGACCAGTCCAGACGAGTCCGGAACGGAGCATCCGCAGGGTATTCTTGCCAGTAATACTCGTACTCCTGCTCGGCTGCCATCTTGTCTATATCGAGTGCTGGCTCTTGGTCTGACGATGCATTGTCTTCACGTTCTAGGACGAAAGCGATTGCATCTGAGACCCCTTTAGACTCTTCTGGCACCCCAGCAGCACCTTTTGGAGAGGATGCAGTGCCTGATTCATATTTGGCCTGCCGTTGTCTTAGTTCCTGAACTGCATCGCCTTTGGTTGCGGACCCAGCATGGCCATTCGTCTCTCGAGCTGACGTCTCCGCGGTTCTCGGTTGCTCCTCCAGTCTGGTTCCAGGGGCATGTCCGTTCGCCTCGGGCGGTTGAGAAGCATTCCGCTGGTACCCCTTCTTCCTCCTAACGTCCACCCTCTTCGCATCCCACTGCGGCCTCGTCCAAATCAACAGTGTGAAATTCCACAGCGTCGCCCACACGGCCAGCAAACCGGTGCCGTAAGCCGAAGCGAAGTTCAAGCTCGCCACGTCCCGGAGCATGTGCGCATGAAAGGCGACGATGAACGCGAGCACCAGCCACCGCGCCCGGTATAGCCAGGGCCGGTTCTTGTGCGGGATGGCTAGGTACAGCGTCGGGACGATCCAGACGCCGAGGAAGTGCAGCGGCACCAGGAACGGCGTCGAGATGTCGGCCTGCACGTCGGCCCGGAATTTGGCCCGGTACAGGTCCCGGTACGTCGTTGCGAGATCCGTCGCATAGTATTGGTCTTGACCCATGGCGTAAGCCGCTGGGATATAGCGCAGACTGAAGCTTTGCTCCTGCAGCTGGGCTTGCGTCGGTGGCCGCCCTAGGGAGGGCGGAATAACCCTGATAACGCTGGACTGAAGCAAGAATCTGAGCGCGGACGACCGATCAAAGAGGCGAGAATAGCGCTCGCTTGACTTGCTTTGTTGCGATATGAAACCGATGCGTTCAATGACATTCAAGAGATATGCTGGGTGTAAGAATCAAATTGGACATAAAACTCGTGATAGGAAAATCGAGACTCGTCAACATTAGTCGTGGGTGATGATGAGTAGTCACGGGTCTCACGGTTGAGACGCAGCTGAAATGCGGTGGCGCATTTCGCCCCAGCCTGGCACAGGACACCGCAGGCTTCCATGACGGCACTCCAAGTACCTAACTAGACCCAACATTAAACATAGCTCCGTACCATACATGTACCTTACTGTGTATAATGGCGCTGGGGCCGCTTTCTCCCGCCTGTCAACGGTCAACGGTCGTGACGTCAAAAGTGAAGACCAAGGTACCGCCCGTATCTGCGGGCTTCCAATTCGCTAGATCTGGAGCTCTTGGGTTACCTTACCTCAGCAAAGCTCAGATCACCTCTGCACCTCTGCACCTCTGCACCTTCTGCCCTTCTGCCCTTCCACAACACCTCAACGAATACCGATACGCAAATTCCCCTGCACTATTGGCCGTTTTGCCGTGCAATACATGTACTACCGGCGACTGAAATCTCTGGGTCCTTGCATAGCCTATAGGGGTCTCTGCATAAGTATTCTCTTACTGAGTCTCGAAGCAATGGCAATGGATCAATAACGGCCTGTCCAAAGGGACTTTACTCACGGCCAAATACTGCAACTGATCGGGCAACATGTTATGTATCAGGCATTGTCTAAAAGCAGGGCAAGTCCCTACTTGCATAAACGCGTCCCTCAAATACAATCATCGCATCCCGCCTCATATGGTTCCCTGTCAAGAACGAGGGGATCGCCCCTACTCGCACTCGTCCAAGGCCAAAGAGACCGCGGTCGAAGTGTGTTGGACCTTGTACACAGTTAGCACGTGCATCCTGTATCGCGCTGTGTCTCGCATGTGTCACTCACGATATCAACATCAAAAGCCTGGAAATGGTTCCCGGGAATGTCCAGAAGCGTCAGCCGCCGGCCTGTCAGGGCCTCCCAGTGCTGGATCTCCCTATTCCGCTCCGACGCGTTGTCGAGGAACGCGCAACGTGCGCCGTCGAGGCTGGCACTGACGAGCGCGGTGCTCTTCAGGAACGCGACCGGGAAGTCACGCTGGGAAGCATCTGGCACATGGTCCCTAAGGAGAGCAGTGTGCCTCTGGAAATTCTCCAGCACCCACTTCGGCTTTCCTTTGCATACCTGTTCAAGAAGCGCCTGTGGAAGGCCTACGTGGTTGATTGGACAGGGCGAGTCGATCAATATAAGACCCGAGACGTTGCAGTCCATCCTACGCAGCGTGCGGCTTATTTCGTATGCTACTACACCGCCAAATGACCAGCCTGGACTTGTCAGCGTGCTTTTCTCTCATTCAGCCCTCGAAAGTGTTCTACATACCTCCCAGAATGACAGGTTGCGACGTGTCAACCATGGCAGCATATGCACGTGCCATGTCGAGTAGACTACCCGGGCCGTCCGAGGTGTTTCTGCCAGCGGTTGCTAATATGCTATATACGTTTCGGTCGAGATCACCCAGTCTGCCATACACCTCGTGACAAACTCCGCTGCCGTCATGGATAAGATATAGAGGTGCTTTCGATGCGGAACCACGCCTCAGCAGGCGCAATGAGCCCATCTCAGCTTGAGCTGCGCCGGTGACGGCGAGTTTTTGCTTGCTCTCGAGATTGCCGACGATGTCTTGCACTGTTTGGCACGAGTCGAGCTTCGTCTGTGTGATGGCCAGGCCATCCTCGGAGCCCAATCGTTCAAGCAGCTCGATGCCCAGCAATGAGTCGAGGCCCAGTTCTTCGAGTCGGGTGTCTGCTCGCACACTATCCAGAGGGACCGAAGACACATCTGCAACAGCCTGGCGAACTCTCTGGGCCAGTGATATAGAGGTGTCGCTATGCGGTGCCGCCGGACGGGTTGGGCTGATAGATTTCGACATCATGGGACTCGTGGACGGTGAACTATCACCAACCGAAAAGACAAAATCGGAGCGAGACGAACCCCCGGAGCTCGAGTCGTCAAGTGCCTCGCCGTCGTTTACCGTCATAAGTATGGCTTCCAGAGCCGTGAGGGTGTCGCATTGAGCGAGCTCGTGCTCTGAAATTTGACTGAGACCGGGGAATTCTCTACTGATTCTATCAAGTAACTCAATGGTCATCAAGGAATCAATGCCGAGCTGGGAGAATTCTGTTGACGCAATCGTATGGGCATCCGAGATCCCCGTTACTTCCCCGATTATGCGCACCAAGTCAGATGTTACGCTGTCTGGTGGCGACAATCCAGGCGCGGATTGGTCTCGAAGCAACCGGCTGTCTCTGTTACTGGATAGAGTAGAGTCAAACGTGTCTTTCGAGGGCTGGCTGATGGCCCGCTGCAGTGCCTTGTGGAAACTCTGAATTGGAAGTTGCTTGAACGCCATGCCTTGCACGAGTGCCACAAGAGTCCCTTGATGGTCGTACGCGTAGGATGTGCCCTGGAAACCCCCTGTTGTCGGTGTTATATATGTTTGGAGGATGAACGTCTCTTCCCAAGCCGATGGGCCCTGGACCAAGAACTCGACGCTCTCAACACCCGTGCATATGCAGACGTCGGATGATGGGACAGAGCAGTTGGCCAGAAAACCCGCCGCGTGTAGAAGCGTGTCGATAAAAACCGGCTGTGAGATACTGTCTCCAGTATGCCGTTACGCCGGAGCCGGAATGAACCGGTAGCTTCTCTGCGGCATGGCTCAACTGAAGCCGGTCAATAGTCTGATACATCGGTGAGTAGGATACGACACGGGTGAAAATTGTGTCGTACAGCATCTTGCGCTGCATTACGCACGGCCCAGCCGGGTCGATGAGGTGCCGCGGAGGCCCGGACGGAGGAATAATGATGCCGCCGGCGCGGCCGCGTGGTGCGATCGTGCCGCGACAGAATGTCGACTCACCATCCACCGGACCTCCGTGCTGTAAGGGCACCACACGGAATTCAAGCGCATTGTCAAGGTTTTTCGGTTCTTGGATCTCAACGCCGATTACCTGCAACGGATCGGCCATCTGGTGTACTAAAGGCTTGGAGAAAATGATGTACTCAAGCCGGATTCGATGTCCATGTTCCACGCGAGGGGACGCGGCTTGCAACGCGAGCTCTATGTACACTGATGCCGGGCAGATACAGGTGCCAGCCACGCGGTGCCCCTCGATAAGCGGCGTGATCCTGGTGCTGACTTCATAAGGTGCACCGTTGTCGGAGTGGCCGTCTATCCAAGCAGAGATGGGGGACTTCAACTTCCGCTTTGATTCTGAACCGACACCGGCTTGGCTGGATCTTGGATATCCAGTATCCGATGGGGAAGTCTGAACTCGTCCTGGGCGAACTGGTAGAGTGGGAGGTCGACCAGCTTTGGATTTTGGCCATCAAATCCTTCATTCCAGCGGAGTGGGAACCCTCTTCGGGCAAGTTCAGCGGTTGACTCTGCCAAAGACTCCCAGTTTGGCCTTTGTTTGTGCAGAGTGCCGAGACAGACGACTGGGATATTGGAGGCCGAAGTAGTGGTCTTGATCATCGGCAATAGTGTTGGATGAGGACTAATTTCCAAAAATACTACTCCAGACTGGGCGCATTCGGAAGGGATACAGGCCTCCACGAGCTCTCGGAAGCGGACCGTTGACACGGTCTGCGAGGAGAAGTATGTATGGTCGATGTCACCTTTCGTATACATTTTCCCTGTCAAGTCCAGACCGAGCTTCACCTGGGGTTCTGCTAGGCGCATTTAGGACGTGGCTTGGTCAAGGTGATGACGAAGTGGTTCCATTGCGGGTGAGTGGAAACCGTACGGCAGATCAAGCCGCTTTGCTTTGATACCCAGGCTGCGAAAGCGCACGAGAAGAGGCTCGATGGATGAAACGGAGACAGAGAGAACACAGTCATGCGTGCTATTGTCACAAGCCGCGTCGACATTACCCAAGTCCGCCCAACTCTCCGCAGAAAGCATCTCGCGGAGCTTCTCTGCCCCGGCGTTGACTGAAATCATGCCAGTCGTGTTGGGCTGGCACATTTCTTCAATCATGCAAGCTCTGGTGGCTATGGCAAAGAGCGCGTCACGAAGCCGCAGGCTCTTGGCTACGACGAACGCCGTATATTCGCCCAGACTGTGCCCAATCACCGAATCCGGCCTGATGCCCCAGAGCTCCCAAAGCCGGGCAAGGGCGTATTGGACGCTGGCGAAGGCGCAGTGTACTTGAGCCAACGTGAGTGAATGCTCCGGCTCTCTCAAGGTTTCAATTGCGGGGAGGACTGACGGGAAACCTTGTTGCTTCAAAATCAGATCACATTCAGAATGTCTTTTCGGAAAGATGGCACCGTCTCGAAGATTGTTTTGTTTTGTATTTAACGTGGGGGGTAGCTCCTCAGTAGTGCAAACCACGCCTCCCAGAGCCATTGCATCGCAAGGTTGTAGAGGTGTCAAATTAGATACATTCAGATCCGCGCACGAGCCTATCCTCGCTGTAGCGGTACCAATCTGTAGTGTTCAGATGGTTTTAGTCAATACCCAAACACGATTCCGTCAGAAAAACCTCCTATCTAGTGACAAAGCGACCCAGTGAACCTCAGTTCTCTGGTGTACATATCGTTCCAGTAGCCGTTCGATATATGTCGCATTGGTGAGTGGAGTAGGTGTTTGTTATCTGCTGGCGAGGGAAACCACAAGGGGGAAAACCTCGCAGGAGTGGGTATTGTGGAGACAAGCTGCTTGGCTATCGGGCTCTGCGATAAATGGGGCCTCTCCACTGTCGTGTGCTGGTTATCGACTCGCACAAGCCGGGTCAGAAAGGGGGCCATAGCAGGATTCGAACCCACTTGTTCTCGTCGCCCACCGCACAAACGAGAACACAACCAGGCGCATTTGACCATTGCGCCATACGGCCGCACCGTCTCGAAGAGTTCCTTGCTCATGCCCTAGTGTTGAGAACCCTGGCCGGAAAACACAAAGACAACTCTGGGGCGTTCGTGGCCAAATGGATGCTGCTGCGGCAGGGTCTTTGGGTCTTCAAGAACTCGAATAAGCTGCTGCGTCGATTTGACGGTGACTATCAACCGGGTCTCGAGGAGCGTGCGCCGGAGGCTGGTGTACGAAATATCTTGGATACCTTGTTCTAGTTTTCGGTGGTGCAAAGAACGTAGCAGGGCCCCTTTCGCACGATTAAAGGCATCCTTGTTCTTCGCAGAGATCGCCACAATATGGGACCCCCCAGAGAGGGCGCGGCTTTGATCAGACTTGGGAATAAAATCCTCGAGGATCAAACATGCGTTGGACCCAGCCGCTCCGAAGTTGTTGAGGAGCGCACGCCGTGGGTAACGCGCATATGGCCTTGGCCATTGTGTTGCCTCCCGGGGGATGACCGTATGATCATTCAGTAGGCGCGCGATCTCGGGGTTAATTGTGTCCAAACCTGCCTGTGGTGGTATTGTTCCTGCGGCCATCATATGGAGCAGCTTGGCCAAGCCCGCGGCTCACCGATGCTGCTTCTGCGTGGCCGATGCTGCCCTTGATGGAGCTGATGAACAAAGAGGCTGCCCTCGTGCGGCCTGCGGCTAACGCGTCCGAGATGGCTTCGAACTCAACAGGGTCACCGGCCTTGATCATAGTTAGCACGGACATTGCTTCCGCGGAGGCAGGTCAATGTACCTTGGTGCCTGTTCCATGGGCCTCGACAACCCCTATTGACTCGGGAAGTATCGCCGCTCGCTCCAGAGCGCGTTCTATGAGGATCTGCTGTGTCATGCTGTGCGGATGCGTGATAGAATGGGCTGTGCCGGACTGATTGATAGCACTTCCCTTGATAACGCCTAATATCCGATCGTTCCCTGATATTGCATCGGATAAGCGCTTGAGCACAAACATTCCACAGCCCTCTCCTCGGCAGTAGCCATCGGCGGCAGCCTCGAAGGGGCGGCATTGCTGACTCGGGCTGAGGAAATGCGACCTGGCGAGCCCCTGCTGCATCTAGTCGGGCGCATTAGCTGGCTGTCCTCGACTCCTCGTCACACAACAAGGGCTAGCTACCTCTGGTCCGTAGATGACATTCACGCCCCCAGCAAGAGCGGCATTGCAGTCTCTGGTAATCAAGGCCTGGCAGGCACTGTGGATAGCAACCAGTGAGCCTGAGCAGGCGGTGTCAAGGACGACAGAAGGCCCGCCGAAGCCGAAGTAATACGACAGTCTTCCGCTGGCAAACGCTCGGAGGTTCCCCGTGCTGTAGTAGACATCTGTATCATCCCGAAGGCGATTCGCATAGTCCACGGTCGCCATCGCCACGTAGCATGCAAATGTTTCCTGTCGGGAACAGCTCGTCGTATCAGGAACGTAGCCAGCGTGCTCCAAAGCATGGTAGGCACACTGCAGTATGACGCGTTGCTGGGGATCCATGAATTCTGTTTCCCGCGGAGGGACGCCGAAGAGCTTATGATCGAATGCCCACGGGTTGGCCAGAAAGTTGCCGTGAACGGGTGTGGGTTTGCTTGACCGCTGAGCCCTTGGGGTCAGAAGCCGGTCTTCCGGAGCCTGTGGTTATATGCATTTCGGTTACCACGATGTTTTGGAATGTACGAGGGTTGGGAGTTATTACCTCTTTGGCAAAGCTCTTCATATCAAACAATGATTGGAAGAAGTCATTCTGGTCAGATCCGCTGAGAAAGTCGAGTCCCATACCAACGATTGCAATGTCTCTTTCGCTGGGTTCGAAGTTAGCCGCCAGTTGCGTCTCTGGGCTCTCGTGAGCGACGTCAGCTTTGCCCAGCGTCATGGCTGGTGAGGTTATTCGGAAATCCGCAAGCATGAGGTTAGTGAAGGGACCGTAAGATACTGCTCTCACGGCAGTCGGGGCATCGTGAGACATTGCATCCTTCTCGAGATCCGCAGCCATGCGACCCAAAGCCAGCGGCCAATCCGCAGGTCGAACTAAGATCGCTTCGACGATCCTGATAGCCAGCGTGGGTGATGTGCCGCTAGTCGAAGACACCACTGAACCGTCGGAAGAATCGCGAAGATCAAGCACCAAATCACTCTCCCGCGGCATCGTGATTTCCAGCCTCTGCAGATCCTGCAGCACGCGTGCGGCTACGTGCCGCATCTGCTCTCCGCCGTGGTAGTACGCATAGACATAGACAGGGCGAACATGACAGGTGTTGGGCAACCGCGCCACGAACTCGTCCAGCTGTGGGCCCGGTCCGCTGAGGGTGACATACGATGGCCGAAGGCTGCTGGCAGCAGAGAGCGGCACCTGACTGCTCCTGTTGAAGTCAGACAGCTCCTCTAATACCCCTGCGTAATTGAGTCCTGCTATAGCGACTGCCCATGGCCGAGCATCGTCGCAGAGCCCGCTTGAATATGAGCCGGCATGATATCCTATGCAGAATGCCGCCCGAAACGCGTTTACGCCATTTTTGACAAACGCTTCCAGGGTGGGAGAGGCGGCCAGAACAACAGCCGGGAGAATGCCACTGCAAAAGCCGATAGTCTCCCGTATACGGCCGATTGCCTCTTGATAGCTCGAAGGCGAACCTTCTGGCAAGCAGCCTAGCACGCGCAATAGCTGGTACAGACATAGCATCGCGCCCTGTATGGCTGGCAGGCGCTGGACGTCACTAGGAGGTGACAGGAGGGAGGCCGCAGAAGGGAGGGCCTTGATGTATTCGAGAATGGTTGGGTCGTCTCGGGAAAATGAAACACAGTCATGAACAAGACTAGCATGGCACTGGAAGAGGAGCTCCTGCGCGGACGGACATGTTTCGGCGTCTTTTCTTGCGACCATGAGGGCGGCCCCGGCGTAGAGACCCTGGGACCCCTGGCCCCCGAAGAGGTGTATCTCGGGGCGCATGGCACTCGTAATGGGGAATAAGAAACAGCGAGCACCTAATCAGAAGTCTCGTATTACCCCATTTTCTCCTTTATAGAACAGGTAACGTATATACCCCCTTAAGACGAATGCCCACACGGCCGCATCCTTTCACCTGCCATGTACCTTCGGCCCGCCTCCAGACCGCTCTGCCCGAGATAGAGATCCAAAAACCTACCGGCTGTTGCCTTTTGACCGCTATTGGCTGTTTAACTCTGTGCCTGGTGATTCGCGAATCGGACCCCCCCCCCCCACGTCAGCGCCGTCGTTCTGTGCGTCCAACTCAGAAACCCGTTTTCACCAGGGCTCGAAACCTCTGCGGCTTGCACGTATCATAGCCACCGTGTGTCTGGCTTACTGCCGTCGTAAGAGCAGAACCTTGTCCACAGCCACAAGATGACCTCGAGCCCTGGCCTCCAACTCGTATCTCTGGTATGATATGAGCCAGAATCCTACCTCGAGCCTCGATCCAGAACAAAGCTGAATCCATCAACTCGTCAGCGCGCCTCTGCGTACTTTCCGTGCCCTGAAAACGGCTGAATACGTTCTCTGCGCCCGTCATTTCACAATGCCTTTCCGAAGGGCTCGTTTCCACGCGCTCGCGCCCCCTACCGGCAGTACGCGCACGGATGAGATCAGGAGCATTGCCGAATTAGTCAGGTTCAATGCCTTGCATGATTCCGACTATGCCTTCTGCTTTCAGGATGATGGTCGAGATGGCACATTGAAACGAGTCTCGTTTAGAGATCTCGAATCTGCTGTCAGTACCTGTGCTCAACAGCTGCTTAAGCAACTCCCCGGCATACGCGCCGCCAAGCTCGGGGACGACGACCAGCTGTCCAAGGCCGGTGCCATTGCCATCTTCATGGAATCGGGCACTGCTATGTTTGTACATCTGGTAGCATTGCTGTCGCTTGGGGTGCCGGTACGTTGGAGTGCCGTTCGGCGTCTGGGTTGTGCAGCCTGGTAATGATAATGTCTCAACAGGCTGTGATCCTCTCCGCGAAATTGAGTCCCGATAACATCTGCCATTTGCTGCAAGAGTCTAAAGCTCGCACCGTCATTACATCTGCTCGGCTTTCCTCCTCTGTGCCGGACCAAGGCACCCATATATATGTGGCCGGGCCCATTATGACAGATGATTCTGTTGGCCGCCCGTCGCTGGATGTCGCACCCATTCTAGAGAGCGACTGCAATGCCATCATCTTCCACTCGTCCGGCTCGACCGGGGTGCCCAAGCTCATTTACCATCCCCAGAGATACCTCCTCACTTATGCCGCGTGTCACGAGTTTGAAGCCCATGAGGATACCTCGGGCGTCGACGTGACCACTCAGCCTTTATACCATGTCCGTAGCGATGCCCCTCCCCTCTGTTCTCATAAGCTACCAATACTGACGGCTGGTACCAGGGGTTCAGTATGTTGGCGCCGACCATATCTCTGGCAGTCGGGATGCCATGCTGCTTCCCGGTCCCTTCCAAGATCCCGACTTCAGAATACACCTCTAATCTCGTCAAGCTCTCCCAAGCACGGTCTCTCATGACTGTCCCCTCCATTCTGCAAGACTTTTGCCAGTCCCAAGGCAGTCCTTTGACGCAAGGGCTGAAGAAGCTGGATTTCGTAGCTGTCGGAGGAGGCCCCATGAAGCCTTCTGTAGCCGGACGCCTCCATGCCGAGGGTGTGCCCCTGCTCAACCACTTTGGCGCAACCGAACTAGGACTGCTCGCGCCCATATTCAGACCACGTCAACGTCCAGATTACCACTGGAAGTACCTCCGGCTTCGCCAGGACCTTGGGTTGTGACTCATCGCACTTCCGACAGAGGGACATGACAGCGAGCAATACTACCAGCTGACGGCTAGACCTGTTGGCCAAGAAACTTGACTGGACTCTGGGCGATCGGCTTGAGCTCCGCCCAGGAACGCAGCGGGATGTTGTGATTCTGCGGAGGAATGACGATGTCATTGTTCTTTCCAATGGCGAAAAGGTGATGCCGCAGCAGCTGGAGTCAGCCGTGTCTGAGCTCCATGGGGTGAAAGCCTCCGTCGTGTACGGTAGCGGCTGGTTCGAGATCGGCATCATGGTTGAGACAGCGGAATGTGACCAGTCGGTGCTCTGGACAGCATATGGGCCACAATCCTGCAAGTAAACAAGTCGGCAGACTTCCACGCCCAGATCCCCTCCCCGGAAACTATAATCCTCCTCCCCGGGGAAAGACGCTTCCCAGGTCCGACAAAGGCTCGGTGATGCGGGCCGAGGCGTGTCGGGTTTATGAAAAGGAGATCGAGGCCGCATATCGTCGCCTGAGCACCGCGCCCGTCATCGATGGTGATGGGGCCCAAATCGTTTTGGACTCCCGGGATGTGAGTACCGGCTTGCGACGAATGGCTCGGAAGTACCTACCAATGACGGTTGACTTCGACAACAGTCAGGATCTCTTTGAGTTGGGTCTGGATTCGCTACGAGCTGCCCGGGTTCAACGGCTTATTGATACTGGCTTGTCTCAGCTGCTGGGTTATGAAGTCCGAATGCCGAGGTTCATATACCGGAACTCAACGATTGATGCTATGGTATCCCGCATTCAGGACATGCTCAGCGGTGACACAGACGGTCAATTAGACAGGCCACGCGGCGGAGGCTCAGCAGAAGAGCTACTGGGACTTATTGCTCGATTCAGATTGAACGTCACTAAACAGCAGCACACCGCAAGCCGACGCTTACAGACCCAAAGCCAGTGTTGCATTCTTCTCACAGGAAGCACTGGCAGCATTGGGAGCCATCTCTTGAGTCAGCTTCTAAGGTACCAACAGGTACGTGAAGTCATCTGCATCGATCGGTCCAACGGTTTGAAAGCGGGAGAAGAACGGCAGAAGGAGGCATTCAGGAGACATGGAATCGACGCAGGCCAGCCGGGCGACTGGAGTAAACTCACAGCCATAAGCGCAGAGACCAATGATAGCATGCTTGGCCTGGATGAAGAGATGTACCGAGGACTTTGCACCAGAGTAACCCATGTTATTCACAACGCATGGCCCATGGACTTCAACCGATCACTCCGTTCCTTCCAGGGGCAGTTCAAAAGGCTTCGGAACCTTCTGCAGTTGGCCCTCTCTGCGGCCACGGCTCAAGGTCAGCCTACGCGGTTCATCCTGCATTCGTCCATCGCCGTAGTAGCACAGCAGGGTGAGCCGGGACAGACTGTGGGCAGAGTCCTCGAGCTTCCCAGGGAGGACCCGCAGATGGTGAGTCGGATGGGCTATACGCAAAGCAAATGGGTCTGCGAGAGGATTGTCGAGGAGGCCGCGTGCGACGCGGCTGGCCTGCTCGATCCCTCCATCATCCGCATCGGCCAAATTACTGGATCGACCTTCGGGGATGGGCTCGTGAGCGGGACTGACTGTACTTATTATCTTGATACCTCCACAACCCTGCGATGCAGAGGCTCTGGGAGGCGTGGTTTGCACTACTGAGGAGCAATCCCCCACGTTAAATACAAAACAAACAAACAAACAAACAAACATACTGGATCGACCTTCCACAGTGCTTGGAGCGAGAAAGAACACGTGCCCACGCTCCTAGCAATGGCAAAGGCAATGGGGAAGTTCCCCCATCTCGAGGGTGTAAGTAACCACTTTTTGACAGGAAAGTGGCGTTCAAAGAGTCACTGACCGATTACAGACTCTCTCGTGGCTGCCAGTGAACATCGCCGCGGCGGCACTCTCTGAAATCGCCCTGCAGATGGGAAAGGGGCAGCTCGTGTATCATGTCGAGAACCCACATCGGCAGTCGTGGGAAGATATGACCGTGGCCATGCGGAGGCTCTTGCAGATTCACGTCGACGACGATGGCGACCGCCGGCTCTCCTTCGCCGCGTGGCTCGCCCTGGTGGAGGAGTCTGAGACGTCTAAGAATACAGATGTGGATGCGGGGAGAAGCCTGCTTCCCTTCTTCCGTGATGACTTCCAGAGGCTTGGTCAAGGGGCGACAGTGCTGGACATGAAGCACGCATTCAGCGTGGCTCCTTCGCTGAGCTCGTTTGGTCCAATACGGGACTGCTTGCTCGAGAAGTATGTAGACTACTGGAGGGCAGCTGGCATATTTCAATGAGAGGTCCACATCCAGTAGAGGAGATTGGGTCAGTTTTGTTCTACAGATTACTATGGCTCTCCAGAGTGTCCCCCAGCTTCCCCCAGCGCTTTCATAACTTGTTGGTGAATCCGTTTTTTCGTGGTGTGTACCTAAAAGGAAGATACAATGACTATGGCAGCAACAAGGACAACAAAAACCCTATACGATGAGTCCCTATGCCTGGCTTCTTTCTACCGCTCCGACTCTGCTATTCACCCCTATATTAGGACATGACGAGATCTCGTTGCTTATCTTACATGTGGTGTTCAGCTAGACTCCCCGGCAGGCCTAGCACAGACGTCGGGTAGCCGTCTACAATACGGCTCTCGTGCATCTCCATATCGGTGACTGGGTGCCCAGATTCAGGTATTTCCGATGACGGTGTCATTGTAGTTGATGCGGATGCCGTCTTCCTCCCCAGAAGGTGGCGGTTTGGCTGCCCTAGTCTCAGCACGGCTGGATGACATGGAAGTTGTAAGGAGTGAGTACTTACCGTCAAAAAGACGCCACAGAGAAGGCAAACCGCGCCGCCAACGTATAAAAGGGACATGCTGCCAAGAATAAATGTTAGAAAATACAGCAAGTCAGGGGACGTGGCCTCTTACCCGTTCGTTATAGCTCTGATGACAATATCAAGAACCTGTCTTTTGAAGTCTGCTGAAAGACTGTCCAGAAGGCCAGGGTCGACTCGCATTACGATCTTAACCACGTCTTCCGGCGAGAAGCTGGAGCCGAGTATGGCAGCAGCCTTTGGAACTGATAGGTTCTGAAATATCGCCCCGCTGATGGCCAAGCCGAGCGAGGTGCCAACCAACTGGGCTGGCAGCGTTGGGTCTCGTTAGCACGAGTACATCGAGGCGTGACGTGTGGAAATGGGAAAGGTGAAAGGTGAATACCGACCGACGAGCATGAAGGATATGGCGTTCTGAATTTCCGAAGGCTCGACCATGGCTTGAGCAATGGCAAAGCCAGCCTGGCTGAAAGCTCCTGTGCCAGCCCCCAGAACAGCCTGAAGCCCCCATATTATGGCATCTGACGAGTCCACGGTGAGGTGAGCTGCGAACGTCAGGCCTCAGCGTTTGGATCAGACCGACAAACCAATAAAACACTTACTAAAGTATACACCCGATACTAGGACCATCACGCTGCCTCCAACAATCCAGTACTGATGATAGCCGAACATACTCATGAGGCGCCCGTTGAGCACAATGGATATCACAAGAAATGCCACAAGAGGCAAGAGCTTCACGCCTGCTTGCAAGGCCGAGTCATTCTGGGCGGTTTCAGTCAGCGATATTAGGCACCGAGTAGTACACAATACCAACTCACGTGGGCGAATGGATAGTAAAGAGCCATCAGGTAAAGGGGAACAGTCACGATGCCCCCGGCGCATGCTATGCAGGGAGTTAGTAGAAGCGGCAGCTGGTGAGGTGTCGGAATTCATCTGCGCACCCTGAACTATGAAGGTCAACGTGGTGTCTTTGGTTGTGAAGAAATAATTGGGAAATAGGCGCGTGGCTCGTGTCGTCTTGAACAACGAATATTGTTGCAACCAAAACAGGAAGAACAGGAACATGGAAGCCCAGACGAACGACGTGGTGGCAGCGCCATCCCATGCAAACTGCGTCCCTCCGAAATTGATGGCCAGAATGATAATGTTTGTTTGTTTTGTATTTAACGTGGGGGGTAGCTCCTCAGTAGTGCAGACCACGCCTCCCAGAGCCTCTGCATCGCAGGGTTGTGGAGGTCTCAAGAAAATAAGTACAGTCAGTCCCGCTCACGGGCCCATCCCCGTTGTTGCGGCGGTATGACCTTGGGGTCATCCATCTGGTCCTTCAAGAATAGCTATCTATCGGAGACAGATTGTTGAAAAGAACTTGCTCTTCTCCATGAATTTTGCCCATTCTGTGCTCCTCTCCCCTAAGTATTGTAAACAGGCTGTCCTAGGCGAGTACCTAAGCAATAACCGATTTTTTCTTAACCTCTTATAAAAGAAAATATATTATGGTGTTTTCTTTTCACCACAGCTGCAGTGGTTGTTCGAGTCTGTATGCCCAAAGCGTTCATGGTATCTGGCAAAGTCGCCATGTCCAGATCTGGCCGCTAGAAGTCTGTGTAGAGTATTCCTCTTAAAGGATATAAGGCCTCTTTCAGTTACTGCATGTGAGTATACTTCTTGATACCTAGGTTCTGATTGGTCTTTCTATTATTGGTTGAACTCTTTCTTGCCCTTTCTCTTGAGATCTTTCTTAACCCAAGAGATTATAGGGAGGTTTATCGTGTCTGTTTCTAGTATAGCACCCTCTTTTATTAATATATCGGCAGCTTTGTTACCATCAATATCTCTGTGTCCAGGAATCCACTTGACGGTCACTCCAGGAGTGTGTGCTGTGACGAGTTCTTGGAATCGCAGAAAAATTTTCTGTGATGTCTCGGGTGGAGTCCCATTGAGCCCATCCACCACTGATGTGTTGTCCAGGCAGACATATAGCTGTTTTCCGTGTCCAATTGCCCTGGCTGCTGCAAGACCTTGAAGAGCACCATGGACTTCATCATCCACTATTTCTGTTTATAGAAGTCTGTCCCTTCCCCGGTATACTTCTTGTGTAGTGCCGCTTTTCCTGATGGTATAGCCCCATCCAGTGCGGGTTGTGCCTTGGTCGTCCAATTGTGATCTATCTGAATAAATGACAAGGTCAGTGTTCGCATTTCTTTCCTGTAGCCATTGCTTGAAGAGCTCTATTTTTTTGTCTTTATCTTTACAGATTAGGGGCTTTTTTTATAATGGCTTGGTGAGTATTGGTCTCTGGAAGTCAGAGACTAGTTGGAAGCTCCTTTATAGCCTTGTTGGTTCTTTGCGAGCTTATATTTGGAGCCTGCCAACAAGAGGGTATCTCTGATCTACTCGTCCGAGTCGGAGGCCATGACGTCTTCTTATTGACTCTGCAAGAATTCCTGCTGGAGGAATCTGTGATTCAAAGTGTAGGATATGTCCAGGGTGTGTTTTCCAGACTAGCAAGATAGCTCTGATTGCCATTCATAGTACAGTATCTATCGTTCTAAGAAGCCCTTTAATGCGACATGCTAATGTCCCACCTAAGCTCCTAATTTTTTCTATTCCTGGGTACCAGGCCTCCAGGCCATGTGTAAGAATAGGAATAACATAAATTTTCACAGCCCTCTTGGTTGACTTTACTGGAAGTCCTTTGACTGTGTTGCATAGTCCTCGAAGGTGGTTTGTTACCTTACTAGCTTTCTTGGCCCAGTAGGAAACGTGATCTTTGAAGTTCAGTTTTCTATCCAGGAAGACACCCAGCTATCGCATGGAGTTCTTTACTGTTCTGTTTATTATCCCGTGGCGGACCGGAGGATTGTCTGAGTTCTTTTTCCGTGAGAAGTGCATGATCTCGGTTTTGTCGGGATCAAATTCAATAGCATTATTATGTCCCCATTGGTTGAGCAGGTAAAGATTTTTAGAAGCCTCTTTGGCTGTTTCTTTAAGGTCCTTTCCAATACAGAGAGTCGCTAGGTCGTCTGCATATCCAAAGCGTCTCCTTTTCATACCAAGTCGGGCACAGATTGGCTCTGTATACAGCATATAAAGGATTGGAGAAGCTGGTGAGCCTTGTGGTAGCCCATAAGTGAGAGCTTTTATGTCGGTCACAATACCTTCAAACCGAACTCTTGCGGACCGTTCAGACATAAATGACTGGACCCATCTTATGAGAAAGTCTGGCCAGCCCTGTTCTCTCATGCGAACCACCAGCTGTCCCATTAGGGCAGCGTCGAAGGCCCCTGTCACATCTGCTGTGACTACTGTTGCAATAAGGCCTTGGTCAAGGGCCTGCTCAATATCATGTATGAGTGCAGCTACCAAGTCGGCGGCAGAGCGCTTTGACAGAGCTCCAAAATGTTGTGGAGCTAGAATTCCGAGTTTGATAACAAACCAGGCAATTCTTTTTGTAATGAGTCGTTCTAGGCCTTTGCCAAGACATGATAATAGCGATATTGGTCTGTAGGCCCTGGGGTTAGAGTAGTCTTTCTTGCCTGGCTTTGGGATTATCACCACCTCAGCTACTTTGAATGGTTTAGGGTGGTGTCTAATCTGTAGACAGGTCTGGAAAAGGGCTCTGATATGCCCCCCAATGACTGGCCAGCAAGCTTTCAGAATCCGTACTGTGAGGGTGTCTACTCCTGAGGAGTTGCTCTTGGTCCCTATAGTGCACCCTTCAGCCTCTTCTAGTCCGACATGGTATTCAAGGGGGATGTGTGGCTTGGCTTGTGTGATCTGAGCAGACCAGGGGTCGATAATATCGTTGTCTGGGGTACTTCGTTCAAACGTGGCTAAGCGTAGTGCATTTGCCTTGCTCTCTTGTGACTCAAAGATTTAGTCCCCTATGATGATTGGGGGGGAACGCAATCCTGCTGACAGCTTGTGCCAGGAAACAATTCTGTACAGGTCTTTTGGTTCAGTCGCTGAATCAATTAGAGTCTGTCAGTACTCTCTCTTAGCTTTTCGGACCACACAGCGAAATTCCCGTCGGGCTGAATTTCGCCCTTCTTGGCTTGTGGTCTGTTTAAAAAGGGCCCTGTATGTCTGAACAGCTGCTTTGTAGTCATCATTCCACCAAGCAGTGGGCCTAGATTGACGGGGCTTCTTGCCCACTGTCCTGATACAGCCTTGAATCATATTGATCAAGCTTTGTATAAAGGTATCCACCTGGCCAGGAGATACACCCAGCCGGGGGAGTTCATGAATCCTGGTTTGGACATTGTCTGCCAGCTCTTGTAGTTTATTGTCCGGTACTATCTAATGATTGGCCTTAGGAACTCGGTCCTGATCTCCCTGAATTGGAATGACTATTCGTAATGTCTCATGATCTGAGGTGCACTGAAGTGCATCATTGACTGAGGCTTCAGCCATGGGGACATCTGAGAACACCAGATCTAGTACATTTCTGTCATCATGTGTTGGGACATCTGGTTCAGAAATCAAATCCAGTCCGTGGTCTGCCATAGTCTGTGCCAGTATGACGCCACCGTGATATCCTGGATTGCTTGAGTCCCAGGATATGTCGCCAGCATTAAAATCTCCAGCTATAACACAGCCAAAAGGTGGAGTCCATACTTCCAGAATATCATCCACTTCCTGTGGGTTGTCACATGGCCGGTAGACACTGGCAAATGTGATACCATGTACCTTGACCCAGGTGATGTCTCGTGTAGTATAGGGCCGAAGTTGATCCGCTTGAAGGTGTTTTCTCACATAGATGAGAGATCTGGGCCGTGTACTGTCGCTGTCCCAGGAATCCACTGGGGAGTATATATTGTAATTGGGGTGTGTCTTTACTCCCATTCTCCTGCCTGGTGGTATGCCAACCCAGGGCTCTTGCATCAGAATGATGTCTGCTTGTTCTCCTTTGTAGTCAGCTAGGTTGATGGCTAACTCTGTAAGGCCTGCACTCTTTTGTCCTCCTGCTGTATTCACAGAATGGATGACTAGATGCCTGTGTCGATGTGTTTCGTTTGATGTACCTAACATTGACTGACAACAATGGTATCGGCATCTCTGGGATGAGTTGTATCTGTTGTGTCGATTTGCATTGTGGTGTCTTTGTTATTGTTGCTGGGTGTTGACCCAGCTTGGTTTCTGCCTGCTTCATTGAAGGCCTTGGATCTGGCTCTTTCCCCGGCTAGCCTTATTTCCTGGATTTGCTCCCATGTGTGCTTATGGATGGTACCTTTCACAACCTTGGGGTGGGCAGGGTATTTGTTGAAATTGGCAGCATGAGGTCCTTTGCAGTTGACACACTTTGGGATTGGTTTTTCGCACTCTCCCTGGTGTACTGTGTTGGCGCAGTGTGCACATACTTGCTTTTCGCATCGGTAATTCCTACCATGGTATCTGAAGCAGCTTGCACACTGGTGAACCTTGGGGGTGTGTTGAATATGCCTTGAGGTCATTGAGTGGGCAAAAAGCGTGAATGGTTTCCTTGCTGCACTGGGCAGAGAGATTATCCACGTGGTTTCTGGATCAGAATCAGTCGTGTTCTTTGAGAGTATGCACTTCAGAGGTCTGTCTCTTGTTTGGGCTTTAACTTCATCGGCAACAACAGTGTCGGTAATATCGATTGTGAACCCTTCTGCACTGATGACCTTTCTTGGGCATCCATCGACCTTGTAATGATGCCAGACTGTGTGGGTCTCAATCTTTTGTGCCTTGAGAATGTCAGCAATTTCTTCTTGGAAAGCCAGAAGCTTAGCCTGAGTTGGCTTGTCCCTTGGGTGTAAGGTAAATCCAAAAGGACACCGTGTCATTTCTCTAAGCTCCTGAGGGTAGAGCTTAAGTCTTCTGTTTAGTGTAGACTTGATTCCATAAGGCTCAATGTGGCTATTATCCATGCGGACAAAGACCCGGAGATCATCCTGCTTCCTCTTTAATTGGTTGATAGTGATAAGGGCACTAGGCTGTGTTTTCTTCATGGTAGTGTTGACTGTCCATGGATGCTGTCGTTGACCAGAGGAGACAGCTTGGGCAAAGGTCATGGTAGGCTTCCCTATTTCTATCCCCCCAGAAGTGGCCTTTCTTGTGGTCAGATCTCGGGTTTCCAGCCACTCATTCAGACATTTGGAGAAGAAAGCGCTGAACTCCTTGGCATGAGAGTATAGTTCGGTTCCAGTTTTCTCAAGTGTCTTATCGACTGCTGCAGCACACTCTTGAAACATTGTCATCCTGGCTTCATAGAGATGCTTGTCTTTAGCCAGTATTTTGGCAACTTGGTCCTGGCACTCTGAAGAGGAGACTTTGTTCCCTGTATCACCTCCAATGGCTTGGTCTGTAGGGATTTCGCTTGACTGAGGTAATTCCATATCAATGGTGCTGCTATTATTGATATTTCGGGATTTTCCTTTCAGAGGGGAAACAGTGGTGAAATCAGTCTCAGAGACCTGTGACGGGCTGCTGTTGATGTCGTCGAGCAGTGCCTGGCGGAGCCTGCTTGGGGTTGCCGGGTCATGTGTTCTTTTAGGGACTGGGGATTTGAACACGCCGCCAGTAGTCGTCTTTGGGACGGCCACTGGCGTGTTTGGGGGCCTGTCGTGAAAGGGTGCCATCCAGCTTGTGAGAAAAATTTTCTGCGCCTTGGCAAGGATAGTCAGGTACTGAGACAAATGCCTGCTTTAGTGCAGATATAGAGGTTGCGCCCTAACAGCGGGGCGCCAAGAAAAATAGTTGTTTTTGGCAAGAGTGTGTGTCTAATAGTGCATAAATGGGCCTCTGCGCCATACGATACGGTAAACCGAGGCAACTTATTGAGAGTTGGCAGTGCTACTAAGAGGGATTGTAGGACCTGGCGGGTTTACTCTATAGTACTGGGCCCTACAGCGTCGACCTTCCGAAAGTGACTGCTCGTATATGCCGGCGTCCTGCTGCCATAGGCTGGCGATCGGCGGCAGCGTGGCGGCTATCTCCGTGACGTGGAAGACCCTCCTAAACCATGTGCAGCATCTCCTTGCCGTCCGGGCGGGCCCTGGGCACCTGCGCGGAACAAAAGTTCTGCGGTCGGGTTTTCGCCAATGCCTCCAGTTCTTTCCCATTACCTGGTCGCCTCTTTCATCATGGTTGGAAGTAGTGTCTGTACCAGCTAGGCTCAGTATCTCAGCCCTCTCACGACAATTTCATGGCGTTGAGTTGCTCGACGGTCTGGTTGGAGGGGGCCAGGGCGCCGCCTATCCTCTGACCGCGGAAGTTGTCACTTATTCTCCTGCGCAGTATCCAATGCGCAAGAAATTGCTGCAGCTCGGACACAAAGCATGTTTTCTGCACTGTTTACTGGTCCGAATGTTCCTTCATCGCGGACACGTTGTACCGGCCGGCGAGTCGCGTGTGCTCCACAGGGCCGTAGTCCGGTTCGCTTGGCTTCCGAGTAAGTTGATCTCACACGGAGTTGGTCAGCTGCGTCATGTCGCGCGGTCCTATCGGGGTTGGCGTTCTGAATATAGCCAGCAGCCACACAGGCTCTTGAGTCTTTTGCGAGAGATTGTGTACACACTGCCAGACCTTCGGCAAGTTGGTTTTACTCCCTTTTTTGTACTTGTAGTACTTATCCATCACAATAATGCGCGGCAAGAAGCTATTTGCGGATGCCGGGTTTCTTACCTGTCTGGGCAAGGCGTATATACGTTCTACAAGTCCGACAAGGCCCGGACGGACTGAAAGAATATGATGAAGACGTGGCGGCTGGCTTTTGTGTTGGGTACCGCCGCGTAGGTCAGCGTCTGGGTCTTGGGGTCCCAGTTGGGATCCTCAATTCTCGCATGAAGCTCAGCTGGTATGTGCAAACATCGCCTGGCCTTATCCACTGGTCGGGTGTCTGATGCTGGTTTGTTCTCTTACCCCTTTCAGTTAGAATTAGTCAGTTCTGTTCCTGTACGGTTTGTGAGCATTTCCCGAGTATGCAGCAAACCTCCCTGTCCTCTATATTGTACAGGTGACTAGTGAAATAGCTATCAGTGTAGCTGCATTCTTCCTCTTGAACGCATGATGGACCAACAAGGGAGACATACTTAGCTTCGGTTTGTCAAGAAGGGCCCTTACTACCTTGGGGATTCTCTCGGTCGGTCAGGAATGTATCGGTGCCATCGGGCTTGAGGAATGGTTCGTAGTGAGCTCGGGCAGCGGCAGCATCCTTTAGCCCACACTGGCGGAAAGCTTCTCCCAGTTGACCTGAGAACGAGCTCGTAGTCTAGAAGTCCGGCGATATGCTTTGAAGATAATGTGTGAGGGCGAAACTCGGGTTGATGGACATATGTACTGTCCATTATAGTAGTTCAGATCCGATTTCAACCTTCCCACTTCACCCGGTACCTATCAAACTACCCTTCGGCCGACGCAGTCCGTATTCTCCTACCAAGTACCAGGGGTCTGGCTGGCCCCGGGTCGAGTGCTCGGGATTACGGGACGGATAATGTCCGGAGGATCCAACTCTGGGACGGCGTTGCAGGAGGGTACGTCATGCGCAGGTGCTCACTGTATGCAACTCGGATCCGCACAGTTGACTCCGATCCGTACGCAGGCAGCGCAGTCTCTCTCACCAGGAGATCGTTGTTGGTGACGCGCGTCGGATAAGCTGTGCGGGCTCAGCCGCCACGTGCGAACCCCTTTCTCAGCCTCACACAGAGGGTGAAACCCCGTGGATGCCGCAAGGCGCGGGCATGGACAGGTAGGTAAGAAGTGTAAAATTGGACCCCAAGAATAGCTTGTGACGATGGGAGAAAAGTGTCATTAGGTAGTCGGTTGGTGCGGGCGAGGGATGAGAATATAGAAACGCCATTGTGGCGTAGGTAGTCGTAGTTTGGATGCGAGCAGCTCATCGGGGATCTCCCTTACAAAGTAAAACCCTCACCAACTACTCACTCAGGCTGATATAATTCTTTTCAAATACCCATATTTCAGCCATGGCTTCCGTGCCCCCTTTCGTCCAATTCGCGAGGCTCCCGGTCTCAAACGGCTCGCTCAGCAAAGCCTTGGACATCTACGTACCTTTCGCCGACTTTGTTGGTAAAACCGTGCCTGGCTGTCTTCTGCTGGTACGGTTCCTCAGCCCGGCAGACAAGGAAAATGGAACAGAACATCGACCGGTCGGGTGACATTGCCAAGCTCCGCCAGGTCGGTGAGTTCATAGCATCGGCTATCGAGACCGTTGCAGCCGAATGGTCCAAGGGCGGAGCAGCCAACTCCACGTCCCCCAATGCCGTGCAGATCCCCAGCTGGGAGCTTTACGATGCGCAGCGCACCTTGGCCGCCGCCGCAGGGACCGTTGAAGAGCTTGTCTGCGACCCTTCCTTGCGCCTTCTAAGCTTCTCGACGCAGTACTACGAAAGCAGATCGCTGCACATTGCAGCCGAGCACCGCATCGCCGACTACCTGGACGAGAGCCCGCGCGACACCGGGGTCAATGTGGCTCAGATCGCAAGCAAAATAGGCATTGAGAATGAAAAGCTCTGTAAGTTTCGTCATACTGTGAGTGGGGTTGCGTTGGATGATGGCTGACTGACTGACTGCCTGCCTGGCATGAAGCCCGGATCTTGCGTCTCCTGGCATCGCAGCATATATTCTGCGAAGTGGCGGAAGGCACATTCGCCAACAATGCGGTTTCCCAGGCTCTAGTGGACAATGAACCGCTCAGAGCCTATATCATGCTATTGTAAGCAAGTAGACCAGTTGACCTCAGCAGAGCACTGTCATTAATCCCTTGCTTCGTTCTAGTGCACTGGACCCTTACTCCGCGGCCGACTACCTCCGACAGCGTTGAAACACCCTGTCCAGGGACCAAGCTACAAGGTCAACGAGACGACTCTCAGTCTCGCCGTGGGGACGGAAAAGTCTCGCTGGGAATGGCTAGAGGAGAAGGTCCACGAGGGTGAGACCGGTACAGTCGGCAGCCGGGGCTACTCTGGCGCTGCCCCCTTTCCGGCCGCCGGAAGAGGCGACAGGGAAGGGCCGCGCCCGCCCGGAACTCGCCATTTTCAACCTTGCCATGGTTGGCGGCGGCAAGGTGTCATCAGCAGCCCACGTGCTCGGCAACCCTTGGGAGAAGCTGGGAAAAGCCACGGTGGTTGATGTGGGCGGAGGACAAGGTACGTCGTCCCCGCGCGCTGGACGCTGAACTGCCACACCCGATCGTATGCTAATCCGAGCAGGCGGTTTCGCGAGGCAACTGTACGACAAATTTGATGACCTCAAATTCGTTGTCCAAGACAGGCCCAGCATGGTGACTCAAGGGGAAGCGATGTGGAGACACGAGAACCCGGAAGCCCTCTCGAACGGCCGGGTACGCCTGATGGCCCATGACTTCTTCGCAGCTAACCCGGTGAAGGGCGCCGAAGTCTACTGGCTGCGCTACATCTTGTTCGCGCTCTCCCCAACTCCAATCCCATGAAGCGGATGTTGTACTGACGCACTTGGTCACAGACACGACTGGTCGGACGACTACAGTATCAAGATCCTCACCCGGCTGCGGGAAACCATGACTCCCGGCTCCCGGCTATTGGTCGCGGACCAGGTCATGGGGACAACATGCGGCTCCAGCTCGCCGGCACTCGACGTGCCTCGGGCGCCGGAGCCGTTGCCGGCCAACTACGGGCACTACGCCCGCTACAGCCACCAGAGGGACCTGGGGATGATGGCGCTTATCAACGGGATTGAGCGCACGCCTGAGCAGTTCCGGGGTATCATAGAGGCGGCTGGGCTGCGGATGGTCAAGGTCTGGCGGTGCCGCACTCAGGTGAGCATTATCGAGTGTCGCCTACCCTAGGTAACCAGACGCTGTAGACAAGACTTCCAATGTTAGCATGATTCATGCACTGCTCCTCGCGGCCGGTATATAATGGGACCTACAGTTTTAGATAAAAGACACTCAGGTATCGCTAACGTTCCAGTCCATTTCCACAACGCCGTGTGATGCGCAGACGTGTGCTATCCTTATATGCCACAATCTAGCTTTTAAACCGCTTGAACGCCATCCGAACCACCAGCCATATCTGGGGAGCGCATGTCTTTTGAGCCCATATGACATGTACACATATACACATACACAACCACTGAGTGCTCCAGCGTCATCATCATCATTATCATCATCAACAAAACGAGCATCACCCATCATCACCCCAACCCATCAAATCTCAGCCCCATCACAGCCCAGCCCTCACACAACCCCAAACCCCCCTCCCAACACCCCAAAGCGCCCAAACCCCACCAACCGCCAACAAACACAAACCCAACAACACCGTATTCCTTAGCTCAAACGCGTCCGTGGCCTCCATGCGCATGACCTTGCGCTTATAAACGTGGTAGTACCAGCGCTCATCGTCGCGGTTCGGCGGCGCCGGCTTCCGCTGGTTTTCGACCCATTCGTAGGGCTGCGGGCGGAAGAGCAGGCGGTGCAGCCAGGAGGGGTATCTCAGCTCGAATGCGGACTTGCCGTTGCTGGACGCGGAGGAGGAGGAGCGGGAGCGGGAGGAGGGAGAGGATATCGTGTGGCCCTGGGAGCGTTGCGCTTGGTAGTGGTCTTCGATGAGGTAGAGGCTGAGCAGGAAGGAGATCAGGTTTAGGGGCGTCATGATGGTCTGTGGTGCCTCCGTGATTAGCCTTGGCAAATAGAGAGTATTCCGTGGACAGCTTGTCGGGGGTTTACGGGTTTCCCGGGCTTCCGGGAGAAGACCGTGGGTAGGAGGCCGGTCCGCCGAGCCGATCGGTCGTGGTGTTTCAATTCCACTATTGAAAGAAGCTTACCTGGAAAGCTCTCAATAGCTTCGATTCCCTAGCTTTCGGTTGGGAAGCCAATGTGAGAGGTGCTGAAGTTGGGGACGCCATGTCCAGAATTTGTTGCTGTTGACTAACCCAGCTCGGCAGGAAGGGCAATACCTCCTAATACTGGTGTGGTAAGTATTTGATGGGCGATGCGTAAAGTACACGAGTCGAAGCGGGTGAATGCGAATGGATTTGGGTCGAGGGGAAGACTCAGGAGTCCTCCATGAGTGAATCGGTTGTAGAAGCAGAAGCCATTCCTAGTGTCCAAGATCACCCTGGATCTTCAGGAACAGGCTTCTTTCGTGAAGGGGGGTGACGTGTGTTTTTCTTAGTAGTGTGATGATGGAGCGATCCTCGCCGATGCGCTTCGCTCCGCCGCAACGTGGCGCGGCGCCGAGCCACGGGGACCCGTAATTGAACGCCATCCGGTTTATGAAATACTTATGCACTGCCACAATCCCACCTTCATGTATCTCGTCACGCTCGTCTTCCGTCGTCAACCTTGGGTTGACACTGTCAGCGTCCAGGATCCAAGTAATTCAGAGATGATTTCAGACCCCATTGAGTATACGAGTCTCGGTCAAGTGACGACAGCCTTGTCATTACATCTTGAGGCAATGTGGCAGCGTTCGCACGGTACTGGTTTTATGTTTAATTTGTTTCATCTTTCGAGTTTCCTCTCATTCGTTGCCATGTCCAACACTATGTATGGTGTACTGGTAGCTTAACTGCGGGTATTTGCGATGTCCAACACCAGGATATCGGTAGCGCCGACCTTGGTCAACTGGTCCATGATCGGTGCGATTTTCTTCTTTTCGACCATCACGCTGACAGCAACCCAGCCGTCCTCGTCCAGTGTCGTAATGGTCGGTGCCCGCTTCCCAGGGGCGATCTTGGTGACCTCCGGTAGCGAGGTCCTTTCAACGTTATATTGGCAAAGAACATACCGTTGAGCTGTGATGACACCACGAATGCGCGATGCGATCAGCTCAACAAGCTCTGGGTTGCTGGGCTGCCTTGACTTGATCAAAATCGCTGTCGATTCGACTACAGTATCGATAGCCACCAGTCCAGCAGCTTTCATCGTTTCCCCGGATTCTAAACCTGTTAGCTTCCAGTCCTTTGCCCCCGTCAGTATTCATGACACTTACCAACGAGATCGACAATTCCATCTGCCACGCCGAGGGCACAAGCAGCTTCGACACTGCCGCTCAACTCGACGATCTTGGTCCTCAACTTGCTGGTGAATTTGACTTGATTGGCATTGTCCTCCTTCAATGAGTCGACCTCCAACTCCAGGTTTGCAAAGTATCTCTGGGCCAGGTGCACGAAGCTGGTGCCGATGTTCTTGCCGACCAAGTCTTTTGGCGACTTGTAGGTGCCCTTCTCTGGGACCTGAACCTGCAACTTGCAGCCGCCAAAACCTAGGTCAAGGACAGTCTCGCATCCAGAGCCCTTGGAATACTTGGCACTCTCTTCTTCAGGCGTGATCTCTCCCGAAAACCGTCGTGCGCGGTGAAGGGCTCGAACGCCAGCATCGTGTTCTTGGACCTGATCCCATCCTGTAATACCCAAGTCCACCCGACCCTCTCCGACAAAGGTGGGTATATCGGCCGCTGGCAGGAAGATGAGGGCAATCGGAAGGTTCTTAACCAGGGCTATGTCTAGTCGGTTCTCTCGTCTGAACTGGATGTCGGCTCCTTCGAGAAGGTTGAGGGCCGCCTGGTTTAATCTACCCTCTGACCGATGAGTCAGTATCTCGAGAGGTCAATGGGCAACCAGAAGACGACTCGAGTCGGAAATAACTCACTTTTGGGTACAGCGAACAGGAGTCGTCCTTCTAGGCTATCACCAGGGAGGATAAAGTCAGCCATTGAGCACGTATTGAAGCGAGATTCGAGTATGTTTGCGGAGACAGTATAACACTGGGCAGGTAGACCAACTGGTTGACTAAATCCATGGCTAAAAACTGCCACAACGACTGACAGGGACCAAACAGTCTCGGACAGAGAGTACAGCAGTGTGATACAGACTTTCGGGTGCTGGTGTTTCGACCAACGATGAGTGGACTAAGAGGGGTCGAAGGGTGCGTGTTGGAGAATGGTCGCAGCAACGGCGGCTATATGGGAGGACGACAGACTGATCGTCTTACGTCGTGGGATGCAGCGACACCAATCGAGGGCCAGTGACCTGTGTCACTCGGGTTCAAATCCAGGATGTTGTTTGCCAGGCAGGCAAGAAGATGGTTGGGCAGCTCGCGATGAAGCAGCGGGGTCTTTGGGCTGTGACTACCGATCGAAAATCTCAAGAAAACAACACCCCACGTTCCTAAATCGGAGCTTGCCCTTCGCTGATCAATTGCTCATTTGGGCATCGATAACTGATGGTGGGGCAGCTGAATGAGAGGCAGGGATGCAGCGCTAAGGCCAGGTACCGGGCGCGATACCGCTGACCGGTACCACCATCCGTGCACTGACCACGTGTAGCCATTGACCATTGGCCATTGTCAAGATGGATCATGGAACGGTTCGAACCATCCTGATGGAATCACGGCTTCCTGTTAGCAAGGGGTAAGGGTGAGTGCCTGGGATTTACACATGATCATTGATGTGCCGTATCTGCTATTCTGATTTCAGCTTTGAACGGCCCTTGTTTCCATTCTTTGTTTCAAACGTACCTATCTAGATAGATACCCCTGCCTTGCTGCCAATGGCCTACACATTCAATGTATGGTGATGCCTTGTTTCTACCACAATACATTGAGACTTTGGGGAACCACTGGGTCGGGACTTGAATACCTAGACAGCCACATCCTGGGCCCTGGCTCATGCAGTTGCTGGCGATCTACCACATACCTTACCTGACAACGACCCAATAGCCACGAGCTAAGCAGTGACTGGATGTTACAGTTTGAACCCGTTGGGAGTTCTTCGTTACTTTTATACCTACGACTCTTCACAATCAATCAACCAAGAATGTGTCTTGCCAGTGACCATTTGCGCACCGCGAATGAGACACCGTGACATTCTTATCTCATTTATGTTTCTCTTAATCTAACATGTCCGCGTGTCAATCCTTGGTCCTACCTTGGCAACTCCTGAGTCCTGACTCCTGAGTTCCTTCGACACACGAAGCCACAGTTGCATGTGGAGCAAACCCCTGTTCCCTGTCCTCCAGCTGACGTACCTTATCGACATACATATGTCGCTACATGAGCAAGCACACCTCGCGTCATCTTGCCATTGACAATTGTCGACACCTCCCGTCCTACAGACGACCTCCTTCGATTCTCACACTCCTTATGCAAGTGACACTGGGGAGACACCATTCTTTTAGATCTCTGGCAGCGCCTGTTTAGCGGAGGGCAAGCTCTCTGAAGCACCCGGCATACCCGACAATCAACCACGCGACATCGAGACATCGAGACAACGCCCACGGCCGACAGCAACACCCGAACGGCCACGTAACCTTCCCTGACACCGAGAAAGATGTCAAGATGGCTGGGACAACCCTCCATCAAGGGCAGCTCCGAGGCTATGCGCATGGCCCTCTTGACCTTTACCACGGTCGGCATCACGTAAGTTGGCGCAACACCCCTGGGTTCGACCTGGCAACTGATTGAGCTGTCGCGTGCAGGTTCGTCTGGGGCGTTGAGCAGACATGTAAGCATGCGAAACAGCGCCAAACAACGGCTTGCAGAGCTGAAGCTGATCATCATTGCTACCAGATTGCACGCCCTACCTACTCTCCCTCGGCTTGACCAAGAGCAGAACCTCCCTAGTTTGGATCGCGGGCCCCCTCTCCGGGCTCATCGTACAACCCATCGTCGGGGCGATCGCCGACAGCTCGAAATCAAGATGGGGGCGGCGAAGGCCTTTTATCGTTATAGGGGCAATAATATCGGCGCTGTGTCTCCTGGTTCTGGGGTTCACCAAGGAGATCGTGGGCTTCTTTGTCTCAGACGAGGAGGCCGCAAAACATCTCACAGTACTTGCGGCCGTGCTGTCTATATATGCTGTTGATTTCTCGATCAACGCAGGTGCGTGAACAGTTTCCTACGCAGTCTTACGGACGGAGAGGTTCTCGACTTACATGGCCACAGTTATGTCCGCGGCAAGGAGTTTGGTAGTTGACACACTGCCCATCGAGAAGCAACAGACAGGTTCTGCTTGGGGTATGACCCCCAATTCACTCCCCAAATGCTGGTCTTTTTGACACGAGTGGAACAGGAAGCAGAATGTCGGCCATTGGGCATGGAATTGCCTACGGAACCGGTGCCATTGATCTTCCCTCCATCTTCGGCACGTTCTTGGGCGAGACCCAGTTCAAACAGCTTACCGTCATTGCCGCACTGGGGCTTGTCGCAACCTGTGGCGTCACATGCTGGGCTGTGAACGAGAGAGTTCTCATCTCTGTGAGACACGACGCGCGAAAAGAAGGTGGAATGTTGAAAGTGATCAGTCAGATTTGGCATACGATAGTGCACCTTCCACCTCGCATCCATGCAATATGCATGGCTCAGTTCTGGGCATGGATCGGGTGGTTTCCCTTCCTCTTCTACAGCACCACCTGGATTGGCGAGACCTACTTTCGATACGACGTTCCGCACGAAGCCAAAGATTCAGGCGATGCGCTGGGAGAGATTGGTCGAGTTGGCAGCGAAGCGTTTCTCATCTACTCTGTCATCACTTTCCTCGGCTCCTGGGTGCTGCCCATGGTCATCAAATCTCCTGATGAGAAGAACTATACTCAACGACCTCCTGAAAGCATCAAGCATGTTGTAGAAAGGTTCAGCAAGTACAAGCCTGATCTGCTGACTGCTTGGATGTGTGCCCATGCCACTTTCGCTGCAGCCATGTTCTTCGCTCCATTTGCGACTAGTTTCAGGTTTGCGACCCTGCTAGTCTGTATATGCGGACTGTAAGTCCCTGATGCTCTCTAGTCTGTGAAGAAGAACTAATTCATGCTTCAGGCCTTGGAACATCGCAACATGGGCGCCTCCTGCTTTTCTCGGTGTCGAGGTGAGCAAGCTCAGCGGCGGGAATGCCTCATACCGCCGCCTGTCGGACGATCCGGTGGAGATGGCGGATATGAACGGGTCAGGCCCCTCCCTTCTGCATCTTGAACACGGCCCCGACGACACGCAGGGGACAAAATCGAGCTCGACTGGCGAGCTGTCGGGCGTCTATTTTGGGATACTGAACATCTACACGACCATTCCTCAGTTCATCGGCACAATCTTGAGCACCATCATCTTCAATCTCCTCGAGCCGGGCAAGAGTCCCGAACTTGCCCACGACGCACACCCGGACGAGCACCACAGCACCGACGGTCCCAACGCGGTCGCCGTGTGCCTGTTCATCGGCGCTTGCAGCGCGGTAGTGGCGGTCTTTGCAACGAGGAAGTTGAAGTACCTGTAGGACCATCGATGTAATCATATGTAATATTAACAGGCAAGTCGACAGGCCCGAGCAAAGAGGTGGTTTGGGCGGAGGCCTTTTGCATTGGCGCGGCGTTCAGGGGGCGAGAACGGAGTGTTCTCTAGCATTGACTTGACAATACCTATCTGCGTTGAATTCCAATTCCAGCCTGATTTGATTCGTTACTGTTAGAATAAGATGCAATATAGAGGTTGCCTCACAAGTTGACAGATGGGGTTGTAACCCGAGTTCATTCAGCCTTGCGGCGGTTTATGATGATGGCGATTTCCAGTCGGATTACTAATTGCCCCACCCCACCAGAGCTGCCCGCAACGGTCTTCGCAGCAGCTTTTGCATGAGCTTCGAATTTATCCCTTTTGAGAATTACATATGCCAATATTCACCGTCTCTCGAGCGCTCACCTTGCTGCCTCGACAACGAAACGAATCCGTAAATCACACACCACACGTCACACATCATGGTAGGACCCAAAGCTCACCAAATCACACCACCCAGCTCCCAACTGACCGTCAACCCCCAGGCCCCCGTCGCCCCCTCCAAGCGACGCACCCTACGCGCCAAACTCGCCGCCAAATCCAACAGCGAGCCATACGCCCCACGCAAGGCACCGCGGCCCGACGCCGACGCGCTTCCCGACAACAACAACAACAACAACAACAACAACAACAACAACAACAACAACAACAACAACAACAACAACGACGACAGCATCTTCAGCAACAGCAAGAAAGACAAGCGCCACATCAAGCACTCGTCGTTCGTATCGCGGATCGAGAAGTCGTCGTCCACGTCAAAAGCGCTGAAGCGCCGCCGCCCCGGCAAGAAGCTCGTCGCGAATCTTGATTCTTTGGCCGACGCGCTGCCGGATCTGATGGAGGGTGGCGAGATGGAGGAGGGGCTCAGGCAGTTGAGGGAAGGGAAGGTGCGGCATAAGAGTTTGAGGTCGAAGCCCGGCGCGCTGAAGAGGAAGGAGAGGGTTGTTAGGGGGGAGGTCGAGCGGTTTGGGGTCAGTTTGGCGCGGCTTAATGCTGTGGGTGCGGCGGATGGGGAGGCGGTGCAGGCCCCGGGACAGGATGTTCAGATGCAGACGCAGACGCAGACGCAGGCACCAGCCCAGCCGGCGAACTCGACGGCTAGTCGGTGGGCGGCTTTGAGGGGCTTCATCTCGGCGACTATGGAGCAGAATCCTGCGTTTGTTGGGAAGAAGGACGAGGAATGAAGGGCGTGCCAATCACGAACAGTTGAACCGGAAGACAGGGATCGTGTTATGACACACCATAAGGTAAGAAGGTCATTGTTGGCTTCATCGCATAAAGTTTATGGATCGACTAACTGGGAAAAGGCAATGGCAAAGTCCTTGGGCTTGAGAACCAGCCCTACAACGTTGAGTCTGCATACTTCGTCCATCGACCAAGGCTTATATGAGCAAAGCTACCCAGAGAGGGGCTCTAGTCAAGGCATAGGGCCTGCGTTGCTACTACGCCATTGATAGGAGTCCCAGCTCGTACGGGAATGTGCAAGCATTAGGTGGCGCCGGTCAGTCCGTGGCGTGCGTCATCGAGAGCAGACGAGTCCCTCGCCAAATACAGAGACGCCAACTAGGCCACAGTACTGTCTATGTGTTAGCAAAACCCAATGCGTATTGTGTGCAAATGTGGCGCCAACTCACATCGAAAGAACCAATCAGACTGAACGGGGTCCACGGGAACTGCCTCCTGACGAGGACGGGCTTCTCCACCGACTGCGCTGGATCTCGTACCCAATCTGTCTGGCGCGTCTTCCATGTTTTCTTGTTGCTGACGAGAAGCCTGATGCCAGTCACCCTATCCTCGGAGTGTAGCAACTTGAACCCGGCCAAATCTTCGGACTGGGAGACTTCTAGTACTGTTTCGGTGGCTGCACACGTGTAGCCGAGCTCATCACTGACCAGCAGTGCTCATCGGAGGCTTCGTTTTCGAGACACAAGAATCGGATTCCGGATACGAACGATCGGTTTCCAAGCTTGCTCATCGTCACGCCGATCCCGCGGAGCTGGTAGTCTCGACCGATGCAGGGTGACCGACGCAGTTCGACTATCCTTGGTGTTGTCTGGCCGGGGAGGAGGGGTCGTAGTTGGGTATCAACCGGCTTCACCAGCTTCAAGATACGCCTCGTAAGGCCACACTTCGTCTGTGTTTCCGCGCGCAGTGATCTTAGGTCGGCCTCTTCAACAGGCAAGCCCTGCAAAGTCCTGTTGACTAGGAGGCCTACATGATCCAGGCCATGCCAGACAGATGCCCTCTTGAATATTGAAGATGCAATACTTGGTCGCCAGAGGCGAGGCATAGAAAAATGGAGTGCTCGCCAATCCTCTTGCCCATCGACGTCTCGCGGAACAGCATAGCCGAATTCTTCATAGAAGCGGGTTTGCCAGAATGATCGGGACAGCTGGTTGAGACTTGAGACGCCAGCTATGTCTTTGGAGGCTAGCCGCAATCTGGGAAGGTCTTGCGTGTGTACAAAGCACACAATGTGCATCAACAGCTCCACAGGGAGCCGGGCGAAAATGTCATTGCAAACGCATCGCCGTCTTCGCACAGCTGGTCTCCTCTGACTGAATCGGCGAGATGTAGTCGATGTCTTGGGTTTCCCTTCGAGAAGCTTAAGACCTGTCAGGAACTTGGACAGGCTTGTAATGCCCTGCTTCGTGAGCACAACCTCTTGTCCAAGCCTTTTCGGCTCCTTCAGCGATGGCCAGAAACCATCGAAGGGGACCCTTGCAGAAAGAACCCGCATGGGTTCGGTGTTCGTCTGGATGTTCCAGTTGATGCTGGCCAGCATCCGCGCCAGTCCCGTGGCCAGCGTCGGATCCTCGGGGGAATCGGCTGTACCGAAGCGTGTCGCGGCAATCTCCCAGCAGGCTCCGTCACAGATGAAGGCAAACTCACCGGTGTTCGTGTCGCGTCCTAGGCGCATCACCCGTGCTGCTGGGGTCTTCTTATTCGAGGCATCCTGCTCGCTGTGCGAGACGTGGATGTGTAACACGCCTGTTATGTTGTTGGGGACGAGCCACTTCACCCAACCCAATGTTGCCAGCTCGTGCGATCCCTCCTTCCAAATGACTGGACTGTTTATCAGCACTTCCATTACTCACGCAAAGCAGAGGCTTGTCAAGGCTGCTGCTTGGGATTGAAGGGAAACTCACCGACACGCATTACGGCCCATCCCGGCCACTCTGTAAAGCGACCAGCCCGGCGGGCCTTGACAAAGAACTGCTCGGCGCAGAGCGGGCATCTGACTTCCAGGTTATAGTCAGGCATGTTGATGGTAGTGGGGTGTATTTCCGTAGGGAGTGTGTTCTGCTGAATGTGGTCGATGTGGAGAGAATCCAGTTCAAGCAGATGGAATCGGCTTCTTATTCATTCTCCCTTGCAAGTCTTCCAGATCATATTGAGCTGAGATGCAGATAAGGTAGGGGCAGAAAGTGAGACAGGAGGACCAGAGCGGGCAGCAACAGACCTGCCACTGCTGTGATTCCCTGGATACCTGGTAGAGTAGCAACGAATGTGTGAGGCTCGGACTGAAATGCCTGAGGCTGCTCGGAGGTCACGAGCCACCTGTATCAGTACCTGCCTTCAGTGATTCCCACAAACAACCTCAGGTCAGAGATGTTTGCTCAGCACAACTTCCCAGGCTGTTGGTGCTTGCACGTGGTCACGCCACTGCCTCATTTGCTCACATTTTGGATAATGCACATATTGATCGTGTCTAACCTAGGACTTGAGGCGTGAGTCTTCCAGTACGAAATCCTGCTAGTGACATTACCGGCCTACATACTTATACATGTGAAGCCCCATCGCCTACCAAGCGTTGACATAGTAATTTGCTGTGGGATAAGCAGCGCTTTGGTGATTATTCCAGTCCATTGCGTCTGTTATAACTGCTCAAACTACATTAGCGGGTTTGTAAGGTGGCTGGAGACGATCTCCAGTAGGGTCTCCAGACTCCAATATCATTTTCGCTCTATGATAGTTATATGACGGTTACCGCTATAGGTAACGATGACTGTGAGGAGACTATCTTATCGCAGTAGTACTTTTGAGATATTGGGTTGTATTAGAATTAATAGCGTTTTAGACTAGGAGACAAGTACTAGTAAGATATGATTGCAGCGAGTAAACATAGTCTTCGGCATGATCTCGAGTCGCGAGACGATTTCGAGATAAACTTTTAATTATTAAAAATAAAATGAATATTCGTATATCTCGCTTATTAAACAGTACATACAAATAATATTTCACGCGTGTAATTTTTATTTTAATATCTTGATTTGCTCATTTTTGGTATATTTTAATAAGTGTGAGATTCTAGAAGGGTTACAAGCCTTAGAGGTGTGAGCGGTTGCTTCAAATGTTGTTGTCATTCTCAAGTATGCTCGGCAGGGCTAATCTACAGCTAAATACCATACTGCACCATGCCAGGGTGAATCCACTGTTTCTTTGACAGCCCCCTAGTGGGTGCTGCACTTAAGAGCACCATATCTGGGATCCAACATCTGACAATACGTTTAAAATGATTTATAAGATATTATACGATATTAAAGACAATAATAACCTTTTCAATAATATATCAATATTATTTAATGATAATTTCGCATTGACTTCACCCGTTGTTCAAAAAAGATCACACTTATAAATTATTAATACTTACTTTTAACCTTTTTATATATAGCCTTATTGTTGGAACAGGCTTGAACGATCAATCATAATACTCGAGTATTGTTTCAAGCTATATGATATTGCTGATGGTTGGATTGTGAGGTCTAGCTAGACTCGCAAGTCTGGCTAAGTGACCTCACAATCCGGTATCTAATCTCTTATCTAATCATACATCTGGGCTTGGTATGGATGGTTTGAATGTGGAATCGCATGGATGCAACACTTATCTTATTATATTATACTTAAAATATATAAAGGTTTAATAAAACGATAGAACTAACGTTAAATTCGTTAAATAGCTTTAAAATAAATCGTATAACCTTAAATAAAATAAATCTATAACTTCATTTAAAAATATAAAAATAATAAGCTAACTTAAATAACTATATAAGCGTATATACCTCCTATCGCTTACAAGAAAAACAAACCGCACCTATTTAATATTTACTTTTAAGTCGATATTAATTAGTTAGTACTTTTGAAACCGGTAGTATAATCAAAACTAAAAATAACCGGGAAAAAACTAGACGTAACCGGGAAAAAAGCACCTTCTAACTCCACTTTTTTAGCTATAAGCCTATTAAAAAACTTTTCTTAAATTTACAATTATAATCAATTAGGTAAATTATGCGTAAGTTTAATTAAATCGATTGCAAATGAATGTAAATAAAATAAAATAGTTAAACCCGAATTTATTAAACTATATAAACATTTAATCAAAAATTTAAACATAATAATATTAAGAATTATAAGTTAACCTTAAATATAGGTTCAATGCTACTTAAAAACGGTCGTAATTACTTAATTATACTAATTTACGTAGATGTTTTAAATAAAGTATAAGCGAGTATATTCGGCGTAAAATTAGCTAAAAACATAAGTTTATAAGTGTTCGCATATAGGTGCCGTGCAAGTGTCGTGCAGTGCGGCGCCAGCTGCGCGGCAGCTGGAATAGACCAAAATAGCTGGTCAAAGGAAGAAAAGAGCAGAAAGCCCCTATTTAGAGATGGAAAGCCCCCATTCAGGGGCTTTTAGGGGTGATAGACAAGGAGTCGTTCACAGTCAGATCCAAGGATGGGCCAGTTTTTCAGGATTGCACTGTATTTAATATTGAGATTCGTCCCATAGACTGAAGTTAGATCACGCTACCAATACACTCCATTCTTGACCCCATGATATGGTCCTGTATTGTAACAATAAGTATATAATAATAATAGTAACAATAATAAGTTTCAAAAGATACGTTATCTTAAAATATAATAAAAATATAATGAGAATAATAATAATAAATAAGCGTTAAAACTTACTTATATAAATAATAAATAAATAAACGCGCTTTAATTAATTATAACTATATTTTAAAAAAGTTTTTCTATTTTATTATGGCTATAAAACTCATCGATTATTTCTAGTTATTTACGACTATTTATAAGCTTCTTTACTCCGTTTCAATAGTTGATTTTTTAAATTACTAGCCTTTACCTTTAAAACGTAATAATATTATCTAAGTAATTAAGTTTTATTTAAACGTTAGCCTTCACTCTTTACGCAATACAAAACATGTTGAATACACGGATGTTGATGGAGTCTATTGATTGTGTTCTTGTTCTGCGTACAGAGATTGATCATCTGTCTTCTTGGTGGATCAGATGCCCTGTGCGTCTCTGCCCCACTGGAGATCTTCCGGTGTCTATCTCTGTCAGATTTGAGCCAATTATCAGAGTGGAGTGTGTGTGTATTCCCTCTGTCTAGAGTGTCCTTGTGCGACCGTGGCAGTTTTGTGCTAGAGGGGGCTGGATCGGGACGGAACAACTAGGTTCCGTTGTCTACCTGTCAAGGTGCCTTCTAGACGTACCTTTAATCCAACAATCTCCGGCTCACATTCAACAAAACATTACGCGGAGCGCTCGCGGAGCGAGCTAATAAGCTTGTTTACAAGTACTGCTTTCACTTAATCTAAGTATCTATCATATGAGTATCTATTAAATTCGTCACTATCGCACATAGTTTACACCTCAACTACATCTCCCTTTCTGTCCACGGCATCTATCTTGTTCCCAGGTCCTGCCGTCCTCCAGGCGACAGGTAGTGCCTCGTCTCACCTCACGCGGTACCAGCGACAAGTAATGATGAGGAGATCCGGTGTAGAATGGCCATAGACTTTATCAACCTAAACGACATTGGATGGGGTTCAATCAGCTCCTTGTTCGTGGGCTGGTCGATGACAAGTGGTGTGGCTGCAATGAGGTCTTGTTTCCGGAATTCTGGCGCAGTTTATTCCAGGCGCAATTGACTGGAATAAGCACCAATACACTGCTTATCCTACTGCAAATTGTGCAGTCGACCGCATAGTTAGGTACTATACCATCCTTGCTATCAATGACATATGTCAACGTAAGGTAGTCGCGGATGCTCAGCCTCACATGCAGAGTTCGTCATCCTTGATTGCACTGCCGACAGGGGGGAAAGGGGACGAGCACCGGCAGACACGTCCTCCATAAATTCGAGATGATCAGCACTCCAATGGCAATGGATTGGAACATTTGTCACGAGCTTGCTTACCTACATCCATACATCCACTTGATGTACAGGCAAGACAAGTAGCTACCTAGCAAAGCAGCAAAGCTGCCTGCTTGCCACATGCAGTTACACTATCAAATGGATTTTATGGATGCTCATTGCTGGTGCGCTCATTCTACCTTTATTAATTATCCAGTGCTGTTAGTTGCAGGTGGCTGTGCAAATTATTGCGCCGACCAATATGAACCTTGATGAATTCAATGTTCAACGCTGGAAGCCTGCGCCTCGCGGTGGCCCGTATGTGGAGTCCCCAGCACTTGGGGAGCAGTGCCCACCCCCGCAATTCAATTTCTACCTGGTCAGCTGGTCTTGCCCTTCCTCTCGCCGCCTGAGGTCATCGCCGTTTCTACCTCCCCAGCTCGCATCATCCATGCCATTCAAACGTGTAGCTACACCCACCCACCCACCTACCCCCCCAAAGTACACCTGCATACTTCCGACTTCCTCCACCAGACATCCATCACCGCGGAACAGCACATATGACAGAGGAGGTGCCTTCGTCCGTCCAGCCTCGTACATACTCTCCCCGTTTTCTCGTCTTCGTTTCTTGCATTGTTCATCTGCATTGTTCATCTTCAAAGTTTTGCATATCTACCCAAGGTACCTACCTACCTAGCTCGTGCAGTACCACCTACCTGCTATCCGTCTTGCCGCACTCACCTACGCGATAACCATCACCTTCCCGTATCCTTTGCGAATTTCCATATCTACTATAACCACGAGCACCGCTTGGATAACGCATTAACTGGTTTCTTTGGGTACATTCAGGCCGTGCGCAAGCACAGCGTCGCTTCTGAGGACGACATTCCATTCCTCTGCGTACGCAGCTTCAAGGTCAGCAACATTCGCCCGCGACACAAGACCAGCCAGAAATCGAGTAGTTCTGGGACCTGTGTCTTGTCCATGCCTATATCAATCTCCGGAAACTGATCTGAGTATCCCTTACAGATTATACAACGGTTGACTGGCGATCGCGACGTGCTTCACCTTGTATTCGCCCAACATCCCACTTCGGACCCCGCATACCCATAACCGCCCGACCTCACCGGAGAGGTTTTGCCTCAGGCCGCCTTTCTACAATCACTACTCGATTCCCCTTCTCCCGGGCCTCGATTCGCCCCCAGATCTTCCAAATGCCGTTCCGTGAGAGGTTCCACCGGCGCCTGAATGAAAGCGTGAGCCCCCCTCATAGCAGAAGCCCTTCACGCCGACTGCGCTCAAGAAGACATCAGCTTTCACCTTCGCCGTCGCCAACCCAACCGTATCTATCTTGTAAGTTTTAGTCCACTACTGCTCAGTCCCAAACGTTACTAACTGGTGTCCTAGATTATGACATCCTTTGTAAGCTACGGGTCTCTACCCTCCGATCGGAGTCGCCCCGAAGCTAACGTGTGGATATTAGTAACCCACGAGGATATGAAAGCCCTCAAGAATGACTGGTTGACGGACAACGTATGTTTCTTGACTTCCCAGAGGCCGACCCAAGACCTTACTGACGAGAAGTGTCACCGAAGAATATTGCCTTTTGGGAAGAGTTCCTCGAACACGAAGTCCTCACGAAGTACCCGCAAGCGCACATCGTCCTCCTTCGACCGTCCATGACCTTTCTGTTGATGAAGAACAAGGACACCGACAGCGTCCGGTCTGCCCTTCCCGATTTCCGAAACATCACCCACATATTCCTACCCGTCAATGACAATAGGAATGTCTCACAGGCAGAGGGAGGTAGCCATTGGTCTTTACTCCTTGTCAGTATAATCGATGGTGTGGCTTTCCACTACGATTCTTTGGAAGGTGCAAACAACAATGAGGCCTGGGACGCGTCCAAGAGACTATCCAATGTGCTCGGCAAGCCTTTGCGCTTTCACTACCTGTCCGATTGTCCGCAGCAGGAGAACGGGAGCGATTGTGGAGTCTTTGTTTGCATCATCATGCGACATCTCCTCACCAAGCGGCTCTTGGCTGTCAACGCTGGCGAGAAGATCTCCATGAGCATGGCTCACAAGGCAATCGACAGCTTCGGGGCGCGGAAAGAGATGATGAAGATTATCGAGAGTCTGCGGAAAGAAGGGGAACGGAGACGCCTTACCCCGAGCGACTCGCCACCCAGAATTGATTAGGTTTCACCGTGGTGTGTACAAGCCTCATGGTTGTTGCGTCTTTTCGGTTATCGGCGAAACCGGCAAGCTTCGTACAGTCCTTTGTTTTCGTCACGTTCGCGGCCTGGTCCGCCGCCTACCATACCATGACGAAGAGGACGACCAGAGAAAGACCTATAATTTCAGGAAAGTCGGACTATTGGTACCGGCAGCGGCGCGTCTAAACAAGGGCGTTACGGACAGAAAGGGTCCCTCGGGAAGCGTTATCTTTTAAGTTGGTTATGATGAAACAGCGGATATACCATTTTCCAATTACCCCTCCTTGGAGCGCCTGCTTGTGTGTGAAGTGAAGTATATCCCGTCTGTCTCAGCGACTGGTATAAGTGGGCCTAATGACTTGACTTGATCCGCTGCCCAAGAGCGCGGGGGCAAGCAACTTGGCTGGGGTGGGCAGATGTTATTTTGGCTCTTCCGCTTCCAACCTCTCCCAAATAAGTTCGTTGCTGTCACTGCACGTGGTTGCACTCTTCATTTGTTGTGGACTGCATACCAATTCTTAGGGCCTCCGCGCAGGCCCGGCTACCTCGAAGCTGATAGCATCCAGCTCAACCTAGATCATAGGTTAAGGGCTGATCTGCGTCTTGTTCAACGAGGTCCGGAAGCGCTGCCCTCGCCCGCTTCACCCGCCCTCGCCATTCCTTCAGGAAAACATCGAACATACCAGCGCACCTGCATGCGGCCTCGGGGATATTGTCACGAGATATGATACTCACGGTCCTCTGTGCTCAGCTTTCACCACACAACGCTAGTCCTGATCTACTTTAACATCGCTGCAAAGCAACCCGGAGCTATCGTAGCTCGGTTGCTGTCTGGAGTCCAGTCTGGTCATGATGGACATTTCTCGACGCGCATACACCTGCTCTCACGCCGGATGAAAACTTTCGAGTCATTCACAGAATAAATGCTCTAGAGAGGGGTCCAAGCACGCCGTTCTATTGTCGTGAAACGGTGACAGTACCGCGCCCTTCTGTCCATCCCATGCTCTGGTGGTCCCGTGGTCCTGAGGTTTCTGGTTTGATAGGACGTTCCGTCGTCCACAGTCCAGGCCGGTCCTCCGATCTCTGAATAGGAAGAATCGGGCCACGATAGGTCACAATGTGCAAAGAGGGAAGTGAGTTGCTAGTATTCATTGCAGGCATCGCATGTTTCCTACTACGACTGGGCCTTGTTCTCGGGCGTCTGGCCATCCCAGTCTGTGGGTCGACGGTCGAAACTACTGGCACGAGATTACGTCTCCAGAGACCACCAGTTAAGGAGAGTCCAGCTGGACGCGGTTGGGCAATACGATCAACCAGGAGGTCGCGCTACACGGGGTGATCCAGGAATATCATCCGTTCAGAGGGCAAGCTCTGCCTGGCCGAACAGCACGGCGCCTCGAGTGGCTCTCCATACTCGGAGTTCTTCGTGGGATCCCAACTGCGGTGGCAGAGTGGGACGCTGCGTCCTGAAGAGTTCAGGAATGCAACCCATAATTATATGTGAAGGCGTCGTAAAGCCTGACACGGTTTTTTATGCCCCACAAGTTTGCGAATCACCCCCCTATTTGGGCGGCTGCTTACTAATCAGGGGTATGGTCTTGCAGCTTGAATTTATGTTGATGCACTCCGCGTGCACACAGAGTGATCAGCTTGGTTTCCTTCAGCTGAGGCGGCGTACGGGAAGGAGAAAGTCAAGCAGATTCTTTTTTCTACCTGAACTAAAGGAATGAGAAGTGACCCGCTACAAGACGAACCAGAAGCATCCGAAAGCAAAACCAACCCAATCCCGAAAACCGAAACGGCACCGCCAGAAACGCTGGTAAGCAGAGCAAAGTTGGCTCCATACAAGACAAGAACAGAAACTGACAGTAACAATGAGAACTATGCCGAAGCATTCCATAAGCAAACCCCAAACTAACACCAGACCACACTCCATGCAGCGCAGAACCGAATTGTTGAGAAAGATATCATAGTGATCGACCCATTTGGTTCAACCGTACGTCCCAGGGGGCGTTTCGCTCGTGACGTGGACTGGACAGCTAGGGGACATTTAGGTGTAAACCAGACGGTAGGAGTTACTGGAAACCATCGAGATCCGGGGTGTAGTGCATTGTGCTGGTGCCGAGCTCATGATCCCTCATCTGGCGTTCCGCTCTTAATCCTCACTCGATTCTACGTCCGTTTCTGCGTCCGTTTCTGCGTCTGTCCATGCGTCTGTTTCGGTAGGCTGCTCTCTCGATTCCGCGTCTGTCTCGGTAGGCTCCTCGCCCGATTCTCCGACTGCTTGTGTCTATTTCCGTCTCCGTCTCTGTTTCTGCGACTGTTTCGGAAGGATCCTAGCCTGACCCGTGGGGCCTGGATGCTTCGTTCCTGCGTACTTCGCACTCTCTGCAATAGTATCTCGTACCGAAGTCGACCGACACGGGGCAAAAGAGGAGGGGACAAAGTTCGCCGCATCGGTCGATCCATGCCGAGTCCGGACAATCTCCTTCTTCGAGCATGTTGTTGCATCTGGGTGTCTTGCAATGGATCTCATTGATTAAGATACACATGTTGGTGCAGTGTTGGAAACGATGTTGACGCGGTGGCTTCGAATAGTACTGGCTTGATGTTAAGCACGGGGGGAGACAAGTCCTTTGGAGTGGTGGTGTAGATGTATGGGTAGACGTCGAGAACCAAGTGTACAATGCATGCTCCTCTAGCGGGTACATGAAGTCTTCTTTTCTTTCGCCGGATCGTACCTCCTTCCGTTTTTCGTGTGAGGAGTACTCCACAACCCGGTTTCCATCGATAGTACCTACCTAGGTACTCTCCCAACATGTATCCATCGACACTTGACTGTTCAACAGGTAAGCTATCCTCTGCGCTTGCTTCACTTTTGACTTCGGACATCTTACGGAAGGCGCAGTGCTTCTGAAGGGTTATCTCAATTATGAGGTCCTTCGCTGTCCCGATGTTGTTCGTCCCAAACACTGCAGGTGCCGTATTGCGATATTCGTCTCTAATCGCATCTGCCACGCATGCTTTGATGGCGGCTGTTCTCATGTTCCCATGTGGGGAACGATGGTGACGCGGATCGTGGGCTATGCAGCCTGCTTTATAGCAGCTAGATCTTACCATGTATGTGATAGTTTACGCCGGGCTTTTGCACCACGCTTGAGAGCATACGGTGGTCGAGCTCTTGGGCGTCAAGTCGGGGGAAGATGGGGCAATGAGAAAATGCACATGTACAGTACCCAACAACCCACGGGCTTCCACCCAGCTAGCGGCTCTCGAACAAACGGCAATCCCCAACCTCCAGCTCCGGCATCCGGTATCAGGTAAGTATTAAGTATCATGTATCCTATAAGCAAACATGAACGCAGTGCTCCTACTACTACAAGCACAAGCCACAAGGTACTTCACCTTTTTCAGCCACCATGAATCACACCGTCTACGGCACCATCCTCTACCGCCAACCCTTTCTCATCCTCACTCTCGTTGCAAACCCTTTCACGCCGCAACACACGCACACCATACCAGCTCACTCATGACAATGCCTACGTATAACAACCAACCCGCCGCCACCGAGGCCGATGCCGACGCCGGTTGGACCGCCTTAGTCCCGGCGGTGCTGGCCCTGGACGCGCAGATTCCGGTTGTGCACAGGTTCTTCCAGCAGCTCTTGTCGTACCGCCGCGTGGACCTGCCCACACACGCGAAATACATTAGCCGGCCAACTACTCGCTATTCTTCGGCCGGCCCAACCCCATGGAATCTATCGACTTTGAGCCGCACCACCTGCACACCATGCCGCGCGACGCCCTCATCACTTTCTTCGAGCGCAAGTGAGGCCTCACGCTCGACACGGCTGTTTTGCTCACTGTTGACTTACGCAAGGCTATCGATGTGCGTATATACACGACCCCCTTCTCTCAATGTTGCATCTCATTTATCTATAACTTACGTCTTTATTTTATGCAGCAATACCGCGAAGAGAATAATCTTCCCCAGGTTAGTTTACACCTTTTCCCCTTTCTCGACAGCATGTATGGAGGATGGCGAAATGACCAGACGTACTAACCGTACTCCTGGCGTTCCAGGTCCACGAGGATGTCAACGCTGCCGTTTAAGTGTTCTACGGATCTCTATATCCAGCTTTTCATCTCGTTCCTGCCGCTCTTGGTTTTCATCGCTGGCGCCTACCAAATCAGCGTCTGGATCTTGGCTTATATACGACAAGGATAGGAGGAGTTCCCCGTTGGTTATATTGTCTGTTATGTGTCACTTGAGTGAAACTAGGTGGGCAGTGCAGACAGAGTGATAGGAGCGAGGCATCGGATCCGGATTTGGCTTATCTCATCTGGTATAGGGGATATACTGAGCTTGGGCTTGTGAAGGTAACTGAGGTCGCGAGGGCAAACGACGGCTTGGTTGAGACAGGGATGACCTACTTCGTATACAGATTCCACCATACTATCTCTTCCGGCGCAAGTACGCGCTGATCGGACTCGGCCATCGCGATATGACTTTGCCTCGAAAGACAGCTGAGGATATAGGGCTTCTCAGGAGCAGGTTCTGACACATACGACCATAGGATCAGGAAAACTTGGCATCCCGTCCGCTCTGCCTTGATTAAATAAGCCTGATACCGCCGATTAGTAGTTGGGTCGGTGACGGTCAACAAATCCCCGGGTTGTATGTTTTGGACCTGGCCTGTCTTTTTTCCTCTTTTTATTTTAATCTGGGTTCTCCGGTTAAGAGCTTGATAAGAGTAGGGAGGGTACGAGGTGGGGATCTCAGAGGATACCATTTTGTCAAATTTCAGGCGAGAGCTGGATCATGCCCGTTGGTTGGTTCGTGCTATGGAGTCGATTCTCACTGTCATGCAAACGGCCTCGCAGTGGTTGGTTCGCTCGCCCCTGATGCAAAAGGTTGGCGGAACTGGGAATCGAACCCAGATTTACACGGAATCAATCGCTTGAAGCCACAACGCTGATTGGAGGTTAGTAAAGAAATATGTATTGTGGATTTGTTCAGGTAGTCTTACTGTTGTACTGACCATTATACGATTCCACCGATGAGAATTTGCGCACCGAAATGGCACTCATGTATGTGTGTAATTTGTCGTACTGACAATAATATGATTCTACCTTGTTGAAAGTTTAAGCCTCTATCTAGTCTGTTCTGATGGAAGGACAAAAACACGTTTGATGATATAAAGCTGCAACGAAAGCTGTCATATCGGCACTGAAAAGACTGTCGGGCGAAGTCCAAAACATGACTGAACACTCTCCTATCTATCCACAACAGCCTCCATTGCATTTATGCTCTGATCGAATACCCCAGACGTGTACCAATCCGTAAGTTTTATTCTGGGTGCTTGCCAAGGTCGGGAAAGGTGCAGGTGGTCGTAGGCGTCGGTGTTCGTGTTGGTAGAGCGGTGCCAGTGCCGACGAACTTGGCGAGTATGCGCGGTCAGCGTCTGCGTAGGCGACGCTCGAACTGACGAGGTGCGGAAGGATCGCCGTCCAGGTGAAGGTATGAAGGAGCATTGGCAATACGTCCGCTTCAGTGACGGTGGAGATGCGTCGGTGGTCCATGCATGATGGGGAAACTGGTCGTTCTTATACACCAGCCGGCTAAAGACCACTCGGAACGTGCACGTAAATATCAAAAATAAAAAAGATTTGTTAACCGACGTGGGGTCGCGTACCTACCTTACTTGAGCCGTCCACCCGTCCGATGCTCGCGATTTTTCAGCCCTGTGCCGCAGTGCGGCATCAGACGGAAGGCAGGGAGCTGACTGCCAAGCACAGTATATCAGTTTTGGCGCCTGATATGTAATGAATCCGAGGCTTCTTCAGGCTGCAGGTGCTGTTCGGTTGAGCATAACTTGGGCATGTTGTATGCGGGACCGTCATCTCTGTTCATGTACAGCAGGGTGCTAGCTACTAGAGGATCCTCGAGAAGGGGGCTTTCCAGTTTGGTGCCGCAGCCTAGGTTGACCTATTTTTACCAGGAAGCTTCCTGCACACGGCTTGCTGCGTAGGAAAGGCCCAGCTCTCATGTGCTAACAGGGTCTTCGGCTGATGTTGGACAGTGTGATCAAGTAAGGCTAAAGACGCAAGTGATAAGTATTGTACAAAGTAAATTTAGTATTTGAACGGTACCGGCATGAGCATGGCTAATGCTACTTCTTTCCGGTGTTGCTGCGATCGTTCCTTGCGGACGCCAGTCTTGACATGTGACTCCAACCAATGTACCCATTTCCTACAAAAGCTATGCGACAAACGCTGATCGGTGCGTATATGTGTGCCACCAAATCACATGAGCAATCTCCAGGCACCGAGTAGCAGCGCCGCAAAACCGGTGCAAACACCCATCAGCCATTGGAGGGTCTGGAACTTGACCTGCTCCAGCTTCTCCCGTAGTGCCGCAACCTCCTGCTCGATCTTGGTCTCGGTCTCCTTGATCTTCAACTCTTGGCTCACGGCCTCCTCCCGTATACGACCCTTCTCCAGGTTCAGGTCCAACCGCACTGACGCCTGGGTTCTCCCGATCTCGTCGCGCAGCCGGCTGTTCAACTTGGTTATGTCGTTGGTTAACCGCTCGTGTGACGCGCGCGTGGTGTTCAACTCGGTGCTGTCTGCCGACAGGAGCTCGGAGCGTAGCTTGGCAAAGTCGACCTTCTGGGTATATGTAGCTTTGGCGGCGTCTTCTCGCAGTACCATCGTCCGGGTCAGGTTTTGGATGCTGAAGATTGAGTTAGCATCGGCAGTTGGCCAAGCAGGCGTCACCGTTTGAAGCTGTACCTCTCTTCTATAACGTCGTTGAGGACTTTCATCATGGCGGCGGACTGCTCCTCCGTGAAGCCCTCGCTCTGAAGCCGCTGTACGAACTTCAGGGTATCGAAATGATGATCCCTTCCGAGGCGGGGTGTCACATGGAACGACCTTCGCAGAGATGGGTTGCGTAGCAGAATTGACGATGCAAGAGGTGGCCTTGTGGGTGAGCGTTGTGTGACTCCATGCGCCGTATGTAATCCGGCTGTTCTACATAATCGTTGGTCCTGTGATGTATAGGCTGCGGCTCGCAACACATGTGACGGAGCGGCGGGCCCTTGCCAACTGAGGCGCGGGAGGAGGAACCGTGGTAAGGATAGAGCGGCGGATCCGGCTGAGCTGGCCATGGTGGCTGGATGTGTGGTCGCGATGAAGACTCTTCTTGGTGCAGCGTGGGTTCTAAAAAAGGGTTGGCGAGGTAGATGTCTGGACGGCCAACCTTGGAAGCCCAGTAGCTGCGATGTTCGGAAGCTCCCGTCCCTGGCAGCCAGCCAATGCAGGTTCGACTGGAGGCTCTTCATTCAATGTTCCGGGCAGGTGGGCTGTGGCTTAGCTCGGGACATGGAGTGGCTGGTGCATGTGCAACACTCCGATAAAAACTTCGTGAGCCTGATGTGGGTTTGGATTTTTTTCTCTTTTCTCTCTTCATTCAATTTATTGAACAACGCAAAAAACCACATTCTCGAGACACGATATTCGATGCGAGGTATCCCTTCGCGATGGCCCAAGACCATTGAAGTTCTCGGACAGAATGGAGAACAACTCCCAGCGAACAATCTTGGGTGCGGTGCTTCTCTGTCCTCTTGGGGCCGATGAGGAGGATCGCAATGATTGAGCGTACATATCCTACAGCAAAACCGCCATCGAGTGCAGTGGCTAGATTTCAAGAATCATGCATCGTCCCTTCTCGCTGAGTGCACGTTATTCAAGACATGCCCAGGCAGTGAGTGGTCTTGAGCACCGTTTCGTGGCTGCATAGGCAGAGGCATCGAACACTGGTACGAGAAGGTCATGCATGTCTAGATCAGCAGACTGCCTGAGATGACTGGAGGTAGGAGATTTTAGAAATCTGACAGTGGACTTGGATGATAGAGGAACCCAACACTAGCCATCGCGGTTGTACATGTTTTAATGCTCGCATGTCTTTTACATACCTTAACATTCTTCATGTGCTTGCTCAGGGTGCACGAACGCTCGGAAGTCTTCATATCTTCGTAGTCATAAACAAGATAGGCAGCATCAGCATGATGCACTAGCTTCTAGATGTGTGTTTGTTAAACAGCCTCTGAGAGACTTGATGCCCTCTCATCAACTTCAGATGCTGCATTGTCCAAACTTACTAAGGTTAGATTGATACAGTCAGGCAAGCCGGCAAGCCAGGCAAGCTCACATGTGAACTTCATACTGCTCAATCTTGACTCCTCCAAGTGGTCCGTGCGACTGACTTCACTGGAGAAAGAAACCTAGAAGTACCCCGCTGCCAATCTACGCTGGAGGGTACCTGCCCTCACTGCCCACACTGCAGAAAGGGGGATCGGCGCCTGAGCTGCCAAGCTGCCAAGCTGCTTGCTCCTAGCGGACAGGTAATCAACATTGCCGTCAACGCCGTGTTGCACGCACCTTCACCTGAACCTGGAAAAAGGATCACCACGCCTACCAAACGACCAAACACCAGATCCTCCATCCGCACACTCCATCCACCACTCGCCTACCATCCATCATCACTGTACAATACTTTGCAGCTGCAGCGCCTCAATCTCCGCTGCCGTCATTGAGACTACCTGCGGCGCGCGTCTTCTTCGTTCAGTCGCACTCTTTGATTCTTGCCGCCTAAGGTACCTGCCGGCTGCATAATCCCTGGAGGTCTTCTACTGCGAATTCCGGCGTCTAATACCTTCCTTTCCTTCCTGTACACAGTTCAACCGGCTTACGACTTCTCCCTCATTTCCTTCACTGCAGTCGTCCAGTCAGAAGACCGGCGCCACGTGCAACGCTTCCGAACCCGACCAACGCGAACCACACGCCATCCGCTCGTCCTGCGATTCATTCAGCTCGACAATCGCCCTCCACCGTGGTTGCTGATGTCGTCTTGAACCATGGCACCGCTTCCCATCAAGTTTCAGGAGCTGTTGATGCTCAACAATGTTGGCGTCGACAGCTCCGCCATCGGATTCAACTCTTGCGTACGTGACGGTTCTCCCCTACCACTATTGTTTCAGCATGACACCTGACTGACGTTCTTCCCATCTCACAGACCCTAGAATCCGACCATTTCATCTGCATACGAGAGCAGAAGGGCGACAAGAACGAAGTCGTCATCGTCGACCTCAAAGGAGATAACAATGTCACGCGCCGGCCGATCAAGGCAGACAGTGCCATCATGCATTGGACCAAGCAAATCATCGCCCTCCGCGCCCAGTCTAGAACACTGCAGATCTTCGACCTTGGGCAGAAGCAGAAGCTGAAATCCGCTACTATGAACGAGGATGTCGTCTTCTGGAAGTGGATTAGCGAAAGTGCTCTTGGCTTAGTAACCGAGACCGCCGTATTTCACTGGGACATCTTCGACAGCACCCAAGCTGCTCCTGTTGAGGTCTTCAAGCGCAATTCCAACCTTAGTGTAAGTTCAAAGCCTTGATAATGCCCCAAAGCGGGGTGGACATTTGCGTTGGTCTCAGATCATTGCAGGTGCTAACTGATACAATTTAGGGCTGCCAAATCATCAACTATCGAGTTAACGACGAAGGCAAGTGGATGGCAGTTGTTGGCATCTCCCAGGTGCAGGGTCGTGTCGTGGGCAGTCTGCAGCTATACTCAAGAGATAGAGGCATCAGCCAGGCCATCGAAGGCCATGCTGCCACATTCGGCACGGTGAGACTGGAGGGCGCACCTGAGGATACCAAGGTCTTCAGCTTTGCGGTCCGAACAGCTACTGGCGCCAAGCTGCACATCGTCGAGATTGACCATCGAGAGGGAAATCCGGTCTTTCAGAAGAAGGCTGTCGATATCTTCTTCCCGCCGGAAGCCACCAATGATTTCCCAGTCGCCATGCAAGTATCCAAGAAATATGGAATTATCTACATGGTAACGAAGTATGGGTTCATCCATCTCTACGACCTCGAGACCGGCACTACCATCTTCATGAACCGCATCTCCAGCGAGACGATCTTCACCACCTGTGCCGACACCGAATCCACTGGCATTGTTGGTATCAACAGAAAGGGTCAGGTCCTCTTCGTTTCTGTCGACGATGAAACCATGGTTCAATACCTCCTGCAGAACCCCGCCAACACCGAAATCGCTATCAAGATGGCTTCGCGTGCGGGTCTACCTGGTGCCGACCAACTCTACGCACGGCAATTCGAGACATGCTTCAACTCCGGCGATTACGAAGGTGCAGCTAAGATTGCCGCCAACTCGCCCAGAGGGTTCCTGCGTACGACGGAGACCATCCACAAGTTCAAGAGTCTTCCCCAGCAGCCCGGCAAGATGTCTTTCATTCTTCAGTACTTTGGTATGCTTCTCGATAAGACAACTCCGCTGAACAAGACCGAGACGCTTGAGCTGGCTGTCCCTGTATTGTCGCAAGGCCGCAAACATCTACTGGAGAAGTGGGCCAAGGAGGGCAAGCTTGACTTTTCTGAGGAGCTCGGTGATCAGATCCGTCCCCAAGACATTAACCTTGCTCTCGTCGTATATCTGAAAGCCAATGCCGCTCACAAGGTTGTCGCTGCTTTCGCCGAGCTTGGACAATTCGAGAAAATCCTACCTTACTGCGCCCAAACCGGCTATCAACCAGACTGGATCACCTTGCTGCAACACATCGTCCGAACGAACCCTGATAGGGGCGCGGAGTTCGCGAGTTCGTTGGCTAATCATGAAGGTGGTTCCCTGATCGATATCGAACGTGTGGTGGACGTTTTCCAAGCGCAAGGCATGGTACAACAGGCAACCGCCTTCCTTCTTGACGTTCTAAAGGAGAATCGCCCTGAGCATGGTCACCTGCAGACACGGCTTCTTGAGATGAATCTGGTGAACGCCCCACAGGTTGCCGACGCAATCCTCAGCAACGACATGTTCACGCAATTCGACAAGGCTCGGATTGCAGCCTTGTGCGAACAGACTGGGTTGTATCAGAAGGCGCTCACTCTGTACGAGGACCCGGCTGCTATCAAGCGCGTCGTCGTGGGCATTCCCGGCATGCCGAACTACAGCGCCGATTGGCTGGTCAACTACTTTGGCCAGCTCTCCGTCGAGCAATCTCTTGACTGCTTGGATGCGATGATCAAGGCCAACATCCGCCAAAATCTCCAGTCCGTCATTCAGGTTGCCACCAAGTACTCGGAGCTTCTGGGCACGTCCAACTTGATTGATCTCTTCGAGAAATACAAGACTTCTGAAGGCCTCTTCTACTTCCTGGGCAGTATAGTAAACGTGTCTCAGGAACCAGACGTACACTTCAAGTACATCGAGGCGGCTACTAAGATCGGTCAATTCGCCGAGGTGGAGAGAATCTGCAGAGACAGTAATTACTACAACCCGGAGAAAGTCAAAAACTTCTTGAAGGAGGCAAAACTTGCCGAGATGTTACCCCTGGTCATTGTCTGCGACAAGCACAATTTCGTCCATGAGTTGGTTCTCTACCTGTATCAGAACCAGCGCTTCCAAGCGATCGAGGTGTACGTCCAGCGCGTCAATCCTGGCAGAACACCTGAAGTCGTGGGCGGTCTTCTCGATGTCGACTGTGACGAGTCGGTAATCAAGGGTTTACTCCAGTCCGTCGATCCCGCGTCGATCCCTATTGATGGTCTGGTACGCGAAGTCGAGACTCGAAACCGTCTCAAGCTGTTGCTGCCGTTCCTCGAGGCCACCCTGGCCTCCGGCAACCAGCAACAAGCCATCTTCAATGCTCTTGCCAAGATCTACATCGACTCCAACAACAATCCGGAGAAGTTCCTGAAGGAGAACGATCAGTATGATACCATCAGCGTCGGAAAGTACTGCGAGAAGCGCGATCCGAACCTAGCCTACATCGCGTACCAAAAGGGGCAGAATGATCTCGAACTTGTCAACATCACAAACGAGAACTCGATGTACCGAGCTCAAGCCCGCTATTTGTTGGAGCGTTCTGAACGCGAGCTTTGGATGTTCGTTCTCAGCGAGAACAACATTCACCGGCGCTCAGTCATTGACCAGGTTGTTGCCACAGCGGTTCCCGAGTGCAGCGATCCCGCCAAGGTCTCCGAAGCCGTTGCCTCGTTCTTGGCAGCTGATCTTCCCGTTGAGTTGATCGATCTTCTGGAGAAGATTGTGTTGGAGCCTTCCCCCTTCAACGATAATCCTAGCCTCCAGAATCTGCTCATTCTCACCGCTGCTAGAGCCGACAAGGGCCGGGTTATGGACTATATCTCCCGCCTGGACGGCTTCAATCCTGACGAATGCGCACTACTCTGTATCGATGTCGGCCTCTTCGAGGAAGCCTTCCAGATCTACAAGAAGGTTGGGAACACGGCAGCGGCAGTCTCCGTTCTCGTCGAGAACGTCGTTAGTATCGACCGGGCTAACAGCTTTGCCGAGGACGTTGATTCACCCGAGGTCTGGAGCAAGGTTGCAAAGGCTCAACTTGATGGCCTCCGGGTCGGTGACGCGATAGACTCATACATTAAGGCTGGTGACCCTCGCAACTATGCCGAGGTCATCGAGATCGCTACGCACGCCGGCAAGAACGAAGAGCTCGTCAAGTTCCTGCGCATGGCACGGAAGACCCTGAGAGAACCGCCCATTGACACTGCTCTAGCTTTCTGCTACGCGCGACTTGACCAACTTGGGGAGCTGGAAGATTTCCTTCGAGGAACCAACGTTGCCAACATTGAAGAGTCTGGTGACAAAGCCGCCAGTGAAGATCTCCACCAGGCTGCGAAGATCTTCTACAGCAGTATCTCCAACTGGTCCAAGCTGGCCACGACCCTTGTACACCTCGAGGACTACCAGGCGGCTGTCGAGTGCGCGCGCAAGGCCAACAACATCAGAGTCTGGAACCAAGTTCATGCCGCATGCGTGGGCAAGAAGGAATTCCGACTGGCCAAGATCTGCGGTCTCAACCTGATCGTCGATGCTGAACAGTTGCAGGCTCTTGTCAAGCAATATGAGCACGCAGGCTACTTCGATGAGCTCATTGACCTTCTCGAGCAGGGCCTTGGCTTGGAGCGCGCTCACATGGGCATGTTCACTGAGTTGGGAATTGCACTGTCAAAGTACCATCCCGAGAGGCTCATGGAACACATCAAGCTCTTCTGGAGCAGAATGAACCTCCCCAAGCTCATCCGAGCTTGCGAGGAAGCCAACCTGTGGCCCGAGTTGGTGTTCTGCTACTACCATTACGACGAGTTTGACAATGCGGCGCTGGCCGTGATGGAGCGTGCGCAAAACTCGTGGGAGCACCAGCAGTTCAAGGATATTGTTGTCAAGGTTGCCAACCTCGAGATATACTACCGTGCCATCAACTTCTACCTCGAGCAGCATCCGTCGCTGCTCACTGATCTGCTTCAGGCCCTCACCCCGCGTATCGACGTCAACCGTGTCGTCCGGATGTTCATCAAGTCTGACAATCTGCCTCTGATCAAGCCTTTCCTGCTCAACGTCCAGACCCAGAACAAGCGGACAGTCAACGACGCTATCAACGATCTGCTTATCGAGGAAGAAGACTACAAGACCCTGCGAGATTCGGTAGAGAACTACGACAACTATGATGCTGTTGATCTTGCGAGTCGTCTGGAGAAGCATGACCTCGTCTTCTTCAGACAGATTGCTGCTAACATCTACCGTAAGACGAAGAGATGGCAGAAGTCTATCGCTCTGTCGAAGCAGGACAAGTTGTTCAAGGATGCCATCGAGACAGCTGCTATCTCTGGCAAGTCCGATGTAGTCGAGGAGCTGCTCCGATACGTAAGTCTTGCTGCATCCATCAATTCCTTTCGTCTATCAGGACTAACTTTAGTACTTAGTTCGTCGACATCGGCAGCCGGGAATGCTACGTCGGTATGCTGTACGCATGCTACGACCTTATCAGCCCCGATATCGTCCTTGAGCTGTCGTGGCGCAATGGTCTGACCGACTTCACCATGCCATACATGATCAATATGCTCTCCCAGCAGACCAAAGACCTCGCCACGCTCAGGGCTGACAACGAGGCGCGGAAAGCTAAAGAGTCGGCCCAGGAGAAGCAGGAAGACGAGACGCCTATCCTCGGTGGCAATCGTCTCATGATCACGGCTGGACCTGGTGCTCCTTCGGGCTCGCCAGCGCCTTTTGGCCAAACCAATGGTTTCGTCCCTCAGCCTACTGGCTACGGCTATTAGGTGATGCCGCACCCCGTTGTGTTGATGCCCGTAACGGTGCAGGGTACTGCACCGCCAGGTACCAAGATGGCACATATGCCACCTTATCAACATAACTACCCCATCCTCAAACCTCGCACCGGCCACGCACCCACTGGTGCCGAATCCCGTGCATCGCGTGGTCGAGGTGCATTCACCGGCGCAGAGAAGATTCAGAGTTCTCTAAAAACTTGATGGTAGATTTGGAGATGATGTATCTTCGTCCGGAGGATCTTGGCATTGGCGCAAGAATCGGGGGGTTCTAGGTTCTCTTGATCGGAGAATTGGACTGAATTCAGCACCCCGGAGACGCTTGATACTTTGATGATCTCTAATACCTCTTGATATGTCGTCACGAGATCACAACCGGTTGTATTTGTATGATAGTACATTAGGAATTGCCTCCTATTTTATGCGTTTTTGTCGCTGCTGATACGTGATTGCCGCGACAGTTGAGATTCACCGTCGCGTAATGATGACTGCAATTATTATTCGGGGATGGATGCCTGCCCGCCGTTTGACCCGTGATGGCCAAAACCTTGTCTATCCAGGGGAAGTTCTGTCTCCTAACCTTTGTCTTAGGTAATGGCTGATCGTTGGGATCGTTGGGTCGCCCAAGGCCATGTTGTCCCATGAGCGCTACGACACCGACGCCTGTATCAACATAGACGTTTGACACAACCAACAACAGCACGGCGTCTGCCAAATGACGGCCGATTATGCAGCTCTGGCTTATTGAACGTCCGTCGACTCATTGCACCCTGGCTTACACATATTCCCACCATGCCTCTGCAGAACCCCATCCTTCGACGAGGCTGGATCTCATCCATCACGTGTACTCCATCAACTGCCTGCCGCCAGCGCCGGATCCAGGTCGCGGTGACCTCGGCCTGTGGTCGGTGACCGCTGGCCTCGAACGCTTCTTGGGATTGCACCACGCAGACCCTAGGGATCGTGGGCACTGTGCTCGTGGTGTGGTAGATACGTATCTGGATACATGTAGGCTTCAGTGCTAGTCGACAGGCCGGTAGGTACGTACATAAGGCAGTTTGGGAACTCATCATTGCTGTTGGCGCCACGCATTGCGGTGGCCACTAGAGATTGGACTGATTAGATGTCGTATGATCACCTTCATGGGTAATTAGGTGGGGCAATCGTTTGATTGCTGCTTATCCCGCCACGAATTTGTTATATCTGGCCTTGTCTGTATGCTGAAAGGTCAGGGGCAACCGAAGACCGGATGTGCGGTGCAGACTCTGCGGACTTTGGTGGTTGATTTTCATGGGGGGCGGTTTGGGATCTCCTACTAAGGCCTGAGGTCTTGAAGGTTGGGTGACAGTCGTGGTTTTCTGGTCTTGTTCACTCTCTAGCAGTAATCTTGAATAGACTCTCGTTATCAGGGTCGAACGGTTCCGTACTCCCCTCAGTCACGAGGAAGTAGTGAATGTTGATTTTAACTGGAAAAGCAAGATAACAACTAACAACCAAACGAAGGTGAAAGAGGGGAGAGTACCTCTTGATATAGAAAGCGCCAAGAAAACAAGAAAAAAGCAAGTAACACCCAGATTCCCCTGCCGAGCCGTGCAATCCAACCGAACACCAGACAAAAGAAACCCAAATATCCTATCGTCGAGGAGATTGCCATCCAAGTTGGGTGACAACCATCAACATAAACCATGTGATCCAGGACGGAACACGCGGTCTTGTCTTAGGTTGACGCCCGGAATCGCCTTGTTGTTCATTAGTCGGAAGACTTTCCCTTGCCGTCCCCGCCGCATGTGTTGCACGGCCCCCGGGTTTCTTTTTGTCCCTTCACGCAGCCGGCCTCAGTACAGTCTACGACCTTATCGTCCACAATCTTCCACCCAGCAATGCACTCGCCGCAATTCTCTTTCGCCTTCCCATCACCATCGCAATCCATGCAATCCGGCATCTGAACAGCAGGGTATCAGTATCATGGCGTATTTTGGGCAAGGTGAAGGACCCAGCACTGAATACACGATTATCAGCCAAATGAACGACCTAGGCACTATTTGACATCACACTATATCAAGGAATCGCCCTAACGAGCCTGCTGCTCGTGCAGACCAGATTTAATGATACTTTCCCAAGCTACCTAAAATATTACATATCGACGGCCAGCTATCAGAAACGCGGCGCCCTTCTGTGTTGTGTAACGCTGCAACTTCAAGGAACCAGAACGTCTCTTTTAACCGACGATCATATACCTCGGCAAGTTAGTCAACGCTTCTACTCGTTCACCAGCCAGGATCCCCCAATATTCTACAGTCAAATCGAACCCAAGGCTCTCGTTTTTCCGCCGGCTCACCAGCTCCCATCTTCCTACTTCTCAAGGCAGCGGCAACAACCCCGGTCCCCCAATCCCACCAATCCCACCAATCTCCCCAACACCCCCAAACGTCCGATAAACGTCGCCACAATACCGCAATATACGAAGCGACGCATAGAACACCAAACCCCCAAGACACGCCCCAAGGGCCAGGCCCAGCAAGATATGATTGCCCAATCGATCGGCTGTACCCGTATTATCGGGTGCCGTTTCTGAATATATTTCAACCATATCCACCTCGTAGCGGGCTTTGATGCTTACTGTGAAAAAAGACTGCTTGATTACAGATATAAACGCAGCTTCGACTTCATGAGGAACGCGTTGGAAAATATGTGTGTGGTATACCTAGATTGTAGTTGCAAGTGGTAAAGGGGGAGCGAACGTAGTGTGTGCAGGGCGTTTTCTATATTATAAATCGCCAGAGCATGTCAGTAAACCTCTCGGCTATGTAAATCGTTTTCGTAGCAACCGCCCGGTAGTGGGACCACGAGGCGTGGTATTAAAGTCACCGTGTGGACGCGTACGTGGGAGGCAATCGACTATAATGACTACTGAATTGCCGCGCTTTGGTTACGAACGAGGTTGACACCGGTTTCCTGTGTGAAGTTAATAGGAAGACATATTATCACTCGCCGACCACTTGAATGGTACACTGAACCTTCAAAAGTCTCCGTACACCCCTCGTCCAGCAAACGAAAAGTGTATGGACTAAAAATTAAATAAGCACTCTGGAATAAGCATCAAACATGCTTGATTGGTAAACCTGCTTATTCTAGGGTGCTTATCCCATTTATACGAATATTGCATTAATGTTAAAAGGTAAACAGAGGCGTGCCGAACGGAGACTTATGAGGGGTGACTGTCTGAACCTGGTTGAAGAACAAGTAGTATTTATGAGAATATTTCGTAGGAATTTTACGTAGTTAAACTGAGGGATAAAGCATAATCATGGCCAACGGAGCTCCTTTACCCTGAGCATTCTATCGCTCACCCGAGTGCGAACCAGCCCAAGCTCCCGAGTAACCATAACCACGGCTCTGTGTTGTTGACATAATTTCAAAGCTCAGCCCCTTCGAGAAGATGAATCTTCTAAGCCTTGGTAATCTTGCACACCAAGTCCGAACCGTCGACGGAATCTCCCTCCTTGACTTGGAGACTGGCGACCTTCCCGTTGTGAGGGGCGGAAATGACCATTTCCTATTATTGTTAGCTTCATCTGTCGTCCCCTTTAAAGCAAATAAGAAGCAACTTACCATCTTCATGGCACTGAGCACAGCAACTGGGTCACCCTTCTTGACTTCAGAGCCCTCGTGAACTCTCAGCTCAACCAGCACACCAGCCATCGGAGCGCCGACCTGGCTTGAGTCACCAGGGTCGACCTTTGGCCGGCTGACGTTCTCCACGCTGGCTTTCTTATCGTCAACGGTGACTTGACGGACTTCGCCGTTCATTTCGTAGAACACCTCTCGCTGTCCAGTGTTCTCAGACAGAGGGCCAACCGCAAGCAGCTTCAGGATCAGGATCTTGCCCTTTTCCAGCTCGACGTGGAACTCCTCGCCAATCTGAGGCGCTGAGAGGAAATATCGAGTGGGTAGAACTGACAGATCGCCGAACTTCTGGATGAACTTCTTGTAGTCGTCGAAGACCTTGGGATACATGAGATGCGATGCGATATCGCATTCAGTAACTTGGTTCCATTTCTCGGTGAGCTCTGAGCGCGCCTTCTTGAAGTCGACAGGGTCGAGGTATAGGCCTGGTCGCTTGTCGAACTTGCGGCGGTTTCGCAGCGCCTTCGACCGCAGAGGCTCGGGGAAACCACCGTACGGTTGACCCATCATTCCCTCGAGGAACTCATAAACTGAGCCAGGGAAGTCAAGCTCCTGAGCACGATCAACCACGTCTTCAGGGGAGAGCTTGTTGGACACCATAAACTGCGCCAAATCTCCGACTACTTTGGAAGTAGGTGTGACCTTGACAATGTCGCCGAGCAGGTCGTTGGCGTGTTCATAGGCCTTCTTCGTCTCGGCCCATTGCGAGCCAAGGCCGAGTTGTTGGGCCTGGAACATCATGTTGGTGAGCTGACCGCCAGGAATCTCGTGCTCGTAAACTTCAGGGTCGGGTCCAGGAAGGTGGGCCTCGAAAGGCGAGTAGAGGAGTCGGAGCTGAGACCAGTAACTGTCCAAGGCGCGCACATGCTTCGGGTTCAGTCCGGGGTCCAAGTCACTGCCCTCTAGCGATGCAAGAATGGCGTTGATGCTGGGTTGAGAGGTCATGCCGGACAGACTGTCAGTGGCGGCGTCTACAGCATCGGCGCCAGCCTTAGCACAAGCAACCATGGAGGCAACACCAGTGCCGGCGGAATCGTGAGTGTGGACATGGATTGGGAGGTCCGGGTACTTCCTTCGGATGGAACCGATGAGCAGCGTGGCAGCGTGGGGCTTGAGGACTCCGGCCATATCTTTGACTCCCAGTACGTCAATGTCCAAGGCAACCAGCTTTCCAACGAGATCCATATAGTATTCGAGGTTGTACTTCTTCTTCGGGTTTAGCATGTCGCCACTTATACACACGGTACCCTCAGCTACACCACCGGCCTTCTGAACAGCCTTGATGCCGACCTCGAGCTGATCGATGTCGTTCAGAGCGTCGAAAACTCGGAAAATATCGACGCCGTTCTTCTTGGCCTGTTCCACAAAGTGGAAGATAGCATTGTCAGGAAGCGAGGCATATGCTACACCGTTTGCTCCTCTCAGAAGCATCTGGAATGGAATGTTGGGAATGGCCTTTCGCATCTTGCGGAGTCGGTCCCAAGGGTCTTCGTAGAGAAAGCGCATGGCGACGTCGAAAGTGGCGCCACCCCAGCACTCGAGACTGTACAGGTTACTCAGACCATGGCTGGTTTCCTTCGCTATGCCAAGCAGGTCAATTGTGCGGACACGAGTGGCCAGTAATGATTGATGAGCGTCACGCCAGGTTGTGTCCATGAGAAGGCACCCCTTGTACTGACGAACCGCCTTGGCAAATGCCTTAGGCCCTTGGTCGAGAAGTAGCTGTCTCCATCCCGTCTTGCACGACTGGGAGACATCAAGCTTGGAGCCGTCATCATTGAGGAGCTCGGGCAGAATGATTTCACCCTTAAACTTGGGCTCACCAATCTGGCCGGCGATGCTGCTTCCGTTGACGGCGATGTCGCCCAGGTACGACAAGAGCTTCTGAGCACGATTCTGGCCACCCACGAGATCAAACAAGCTAGGTGTGTCGTCGATAAAGGTGGTCCAACAGTTCCCATCAATGAAGACCGGGTGGGTGAGCAGGGAGGCCAGGAAGGGAATGTTGGTCTTCACGCCGCGGATTCGGAACTCGATAAGAGCTCGGAGGACCTTGCGGCGCGCGATCTCGTAAGTGCTGCCTGAGCAACTACATTTGACCAGCATGGAATCGTAGTGCGCTGGAGACAAAACCAGTCAGTCTGGCTTCAAGCAAGAAAGAGTTCAAGGCATCAAAGGGCAAGCGAAGAAGTTGATCCAAGTGGAATAAGCACCATCTCGGTGATTATTACGCCCAAGGCAATGCGTGGAATAGACGACATTCCGGTGATTATACCACTGTCAACTGTACCCAAAGGCGAGGATGGGAATAGAGAGATTGGAAAGGAGACAACACGAGGAAGCGAAAATGGTGTACTTACGAGTGATGACGGCACCGGCGAACCCATTGCCACCATCGAGACGGACTCCGTTGCCGCCGGCGGACCTGTAAACCTCGATCTTGCCAGTGTCAGGCTGGAACTGTTTGGCAGGGTCCTCGGTGGTAATTCGGCATTGGATCGCGAAACCTCGCGTGGAGATCCTGTCCTGCGTCAGACCGAGCTGTTGCAGGGATGCGCCCGCGGCGATTTGAATCTGCGCGGCCACAATATCAATGCCGGTGATTTCCTCGGTGATGGTGTGCTCGACCTGGATACGCGGGTTGATCTCGATGAAGTAGTATCGGTTTTGTTGGTCCACCAAGAACTCCGCGGTACCTGCGTTTCGGTAGTTGACGGATTTGGCCAGCTTGACTGCGTCGGCCAAGATGGCATCTCGGGTTTCTGCAGGGAGGTCCTTGGCTGGTGCAATCTCGACCACCTTTTGGTGTCTCCGTTGAACCGAGCAATCACGCTCGTACAGGTGGACAATGTTCCCGTGGTTATCACCTAGAAGCTGGACCTCGATGTGCTTCGGCTTGTCCAAGAATCGCTCGACAAAGACTGTCCCGTTGCCGAAAGCCGTCTTCGCCTCCGAGGTCGCTCGCTCGAAAGATTCCTGGAGGCTTGACTGTTCGCGCACCACTCTCATGCCTCGGCCACCACCACCGTAAGCGGCCTTGATAATGATGGGGAATCCGTATTCATCGGTGAACTTCTTAACCTCCTCGAATTTGGCGACTGCGCCCTCGGTTCCAGGCACGACTGGGACCTTTGCAGCAATGGCAAGTGTTCGGGCGGAGACTTTGTCACCGAGGGCATCGATGATATCGGGAGAAGGGCCGACGAACTGTGCAAGTCAGTGCGTTGGTTGGCGTTGCCAGGCAAAGTGGTAACAACATGCATTGAAACACTCACAATCAGGCCGGCCTTCTCAACGTTCCGCGCGAATCCGGCATTCTCTGACAGGAAACCGTATCCTGAAGTATTGAATTAGCTTTCAGAGATCGGATGTCGGGAACAGATTGGGTATCACCTGGATGGATCATTTGAACGCCATGTTCCAAGGCAATCTTGATGATCTCGTCGCCTGCAAGGTACGCTCCGACCGGTGTGTACTGGCCTCGCTTGCCGATGACGTAGGCCTCGTCGGCCTCTGTAAGTATATGTTAGCGATCGAACAATGCCCTCGCTGGAAGCTGGAGATTGCGCGTACTCTGCCGATGCATGCTGAGACGGTCCTCATAGCTAATCAGATTAGCATCAGTGCATTTGTCGTGACACAGCTCGGGATTCACTTACCTGAAGACTGCGACGGTGTGTAAAGACAATTCGTGGGCCTGACCGCCAAGTTAGCTCCGTGATCCCTGCGGAGCGCGACTGAGCCATAAACTTACTGTTCTGAAGATCTGTGGTCACACAAGAGCATTAGGCATAAGCAGTTCTCGAGACATTGGGGTTCTCGTTGCAAAGGGTGGATGGGTGCTTACACGAATAGCTGCGCGACTGTTAGCATAGTGACTCGGAGGTTGCCAAGCTGTGCTCGATGCGGTGTTACTTACGAATTTCACCTCTGTTGGCCACTAGAGACAAAGAAGAGCGGTCAGCAAGTCGTTTCACATCAAAATCTCAACGTAGTCGGGATAGCAAGAGTGAATAGAAGAGATTGTGACTTAGGGAGAAGACTCACCCAGAATCTTGTTCAAGTGCATGATGGAGCTGTTTGCGCGAATGTGGTGGGCAGTCCTGGCCTCCTTGGTGCCCTCTTCGACGAGCTCGACGACCTCTTCATTGTCGCCGTTCGTCGCCGCCGTCGCGCGGATGTCCTCGATGTCCTTCATGTTCGACATGTCTGCCGTGATTTCTCGCTTGCCGTGTGGGAACAAGAGAGAGATGGGAAGCCGAGAGGAATTGCTCCCCGGTGTGACTGACGTAGAAGAGAGACCGTGGGATCCCTGAGAGCTCGACGTCCGGCGCGGTTACGGCTGTGGTGGGGTTTGGTTGGTTATCTGGGTCCGGCTCTGTGTGCTGTCGCTCTGTGTGGTTCAACCAAAGCCAAGCTGACGTTGGAAGCTAGTCCAAGCCGCAAGCTCCGAGTCTGGGCTGGCTGCTAGTCTGTCTGCTTGTCTGCTCGTCTCGTCCGAGGTGGGGGTCCGGGACAACTCAGACGGAGCTATAGATGTGATGGAGATACAATGGCGGCGGGTTGAGAGGGTTTAGCAAGAGACACAGGCGGGTCGAAAGGTAAGGGTATAGCGATGTTGTGTGCGTTTGGTGATAGGCTGCCCGCGTCGACAAGGCGGTAGTACGCAACAGGATGAGGTGCAGAGATAGAATGCAGGTATGCGCTGCTGGGTGACTGGACGAGCACGAGCCGAGGGAGGGGAGAAGAAACCTAGCAGAGGGGCTATGCTTCAAAGCGCTCTTTCCACTTGCGTCGAGGTTTTAGTCGGTAGTCACTAGTCAGGTAAGATATGAGATAGGCAGGGACGGCGAAAGGTTGAAAGTGAGTTCAAGACCAGTCAGGCGGCAGTGTCAGATCTTATGTAGACGGCATAGACGCAGTCGGGGATCACTTTGAGGGGATTGTTGTCTGTAACTTTATCTCTCGCATCCCAATTCCCAAGAAGGATCAACTCGTCTCATCCCTGCCAAGCTTGACACATGTACGAGACGAGGTAGCTATCTGCTGTGTCCTACCTTCTAAAGATACATCTATGTCATATCGTGTCCTTTCGTGGTTCATGACAGTGTCCAGGCGCCCATGGTAGCTGTGATGCTCTTGGCTGTTTGCATTGGCGAAACAGACCAAGGCTTCCCTCGAAAGTACCAGACACACTTGCGTCTTTTTGAGGACTACCTATGTATAAAGATGGAGCTTTCCCGAGCTCAGTCCGAGCTCGCAGGAAATGGCAACCACTGCCAGCTACGGTCTACATCACCTCGCAGCCTACCTACCTAGGTTTGGGGCTCAAGATGGCACTTTCGTCACTTTGTTGCGCAAATACTGGACGACGAGTCAGGACTGCTTTTCTTGAACGAGACTAGACGCACACGCGTACATCGTTGTGCTCAGCCAAGCAGCCGAGATGTTCGAATCTCGAACGGCTAATTTTGGAGCTTCAAGACCTTACCTCATTACGTAGCGTAGCGTGTGCCGGGTGTGCTTCGGAGTTGGTGGGGTGGGAACATGGCAACTGAAGCTTCAGCTGTCATATTCCCGCAGCTTGAGCGCACACACAAACTTGTCGACTTCACTTGAAGCTTCCGTGTTTCTCAGCAAGCTGTCGAGATAGTTTGTCGCATAAGCACGTGGCTGCTTATTCCGCTGTGAATTGTCCCGTCAGTCCAGGTGGCCAGCCCACTTGAGCCATTACTTCCAATGTGCATATCTGCAAGTCCGCAGCAGCATGTGCGTCCAGCGGCTCCCCCCAGCTGCGAATGAGGGTTGCACCGTCACAGTGGGGGCGGCAAATGTCAACCAGGACCGCTCAGCGCTGGGCTGCCTGCCGAGATACTGGAAGCCTTCTTGAGCCAAACACCCAGAGCTTGACGCAGCTGTGAGACATCCAGGTTGGCGGGGTAGCTAGCATCACTGCATCAGTGCCCTGCAAGTCTGCATTGACTCTTGGACCAATCACAACCTGAGTCGGGTAGACCAGCTTCTCCCTTCAACTCTCTTCAATAGGCGTCTCCGTCTGTCCGGCGACCCGCCGCTATGCTCGCCGTCTCGACGAAACAGAAAACAACGAAAGATATCGCCGAGCTCTTGGTATTGGAACAAGAAGTTGGCATTGAAGCCTTCTTCAATCCTCCTCTCCACAACTTTGGGTGAGGTGTTCGAAGAGAGCCTGGGGTTTGCTGGGTCGAGGATGCATCCATATCTTCCTCCAGGCTGTACGATTCCCATTCCTTCCACACACCTAGGTGGCTCTCGGCAAACGGATCTGGGATCTCACCCGTGAGATATTAATAAAAATGTCACGCGGGGAAAGGGGAGGTCCACGCTCTTCCCAATCCCAGCAAACTGGGGTCGCTTCGCACCAGTCAGTGAGATCTATCATCTCTTCCACAGTCCATGCAGCATGATGATGCAGGTAGGCGATGTTTGCTTCCATCATGCCTTATCTTGGTGATCAGATATCGCCGACGCATCAATACCAAGATTGCGGTATTAATCCCTCACCAGTAGAACTCTCTGACGGCAGTGAAGAGGCTTTTTTTGTTCGTGATGTGTGCCTGTCGCCAAGCTCCCGCTTCATGCAGCAAGCCGTCCAATACCCGAGCTGACGGTCTTGGTATTTCTAACCTGCAGATCCAACGCTGGGCACAGCCTGGGTAAAGAGCCGCCATCTCGGCTGTTGATGTTCACCTTGTTTCCAGATCGTCGAGCCCGTGCAGATCTGTCTGACTCTGGTTTTATCTCTTTATTCAAAGGATCAGACTACATTTTCGGGTTGGGAATGTTGACATCTCTTACCTCGGGCACTCTGTGAGGCTGAGTGATGAAAGGAGTCTCCATCTCTACTGCCCTCAAGCTCCCACTGTCGTATTGAATGCACCGGTAGCAGCAGCAGCGGCATAACATGTACAGGCATCTCAGCTGCGCGAGGTCACGGCGTCGCATCTGACCTCCATCGGCATCAGCCCTCGTTCCTCTTCCTGCCATTAAATCTCTCTACCCATCTCCCATCACCGCCTCACACAGGCAGGTGCATGCGGAAGCACGGAACCAATGTTTCTGCAGCCATCGCACACCGCTCCGGCTTGCGCCATCTGGGGGATCTAGGGTAGGTAGCCTTCCATTGCGAGGTACTTTACCCTCGATGAAGAGGACAGACGTTGTCGATGTGCGTGTCGGGGGTCCAGGGCATGTGACCAGCGTTCGAAAACGCCATGGGAACCGGGTCCCGGTTTGTTGGGGGTGGGGGATTTCCGCTTCCGTTTCGTCGAGCAACGACTGAGGATCTGCGGTTGGCTGCGTTGGAAATCCGGTTCGAGACGCTGCTGCACTGCAGCTCTGCTACCGTGCCTATTGCCTCGCTTCTGACGTAGGTATCGGCAATGCTACCTCGTTCTGGCGATGGCAGCGTAGCCCTTCCAGATGTGGAAAGAGCTTGGGGCTCCCCATCTGGGCTTTTTTTCACGCGTGTTTACATACAGCTTCGTTTCTACGTGGGGTATCTTACCAATCAGGCCCGAAACTTGTCGCTCTGTTGAACCGCCGCGAGATCTACTGTGATCATGTTTGAATGCCCAGATGAGTCGACACCGTTCAGTCTTCCTGGCTTGTTGTACCTATTGCGCCGAGCTGCACGGCCGGCGTCCGTTCCTCCGTACTGCGCCATTTGCGAAACTCGGCGCAAGCGATTTGACGTTCGTTGTATATCTTAAGCTTGGCAATGACCATTTCGCAACAGCAGGTATGATTGTCAAGGCCTGCAGATCTCACAGACCAAGGCGGCGCCAGAAGCGATGTCCAGACTGGGTCGTCTCAGCCTTCCCCGCGATATTGAGGACTTGCACAAACGTCATAGCAGCGTCAGATGGCAGTTCAGTATGAGTATGAGTCTATTCATCTTCATACTTATGCCCAGCCTCTATCCTGTGCAGTAGAAATACACGGTGTCTGCAATAACCTCCAGGTGGGTCGGCCGCCGCCCCCTTTTCGAGCCATCCCTAATCGCGCCGAGCAGCTGCCCTAGGAGGGCCTCTGAACCAGTATCGCATCGTTGCGGCCTCCGTTCTCCTATCGCCATGTATCAGATCCCTCTGATGTCGAAATCACCGAAGGTAGCTTATTTCGTGACTGCCTCCTTCACTTTGTCACCTGCCGCGACGGCCTTCTCCTTGGCGGTCTCGAGAGTTCCTTGAACACCAGCAGCCTTCTCCTTACCGCCCCACTTGTGCCATTGCAGATACCGGTATCCTTGTGTCAACTGGGAACCCTCGTTGATGAAGTGGCACGCGAAGAGAAGGTAGTTTGCCGGCGTCACGGCCATGGAGTATCGCATGAACGTCGCAGAGTATATGCAAAGGGCGAGAGTCATCTGTCCCGAAATCCTAGAGTCGCAAGGCCACGTCAGTTTACTGAAGCGGTGAAGGGCCGTGTGAGGTAAGCAAGGCCGCCCAATGGCAGACAATTGGTTCTTGTGTAGCTATCGGGGATGGCCGGGGAGACGGTGAGGACTCACAATTCGGGAGACTTTTGCGCATCCATGACGGCCGCAACTGGAATGCCAAAGTTCGAAGCCGGGCCCCAGAAGTCTGCGAGCGTGAACGTCAGCTAAAGCTCCCAGCATTTCAGCTCAGACGGGCGGCTGCAAGCTTCGGCCTCGCGATGCGCCATCAAACCGGACCACGGTAGCGTGAGAGCAGGCAACTGCTATGTATAACATGGCAGGTCGCCTGATGTGCTGGAACTACCCAACACAGCCGTGTATGTCATGTTGGCTTCTGGTTCTGCCTGGCCAGGCGCATCTCAACTCATGGTGGATGATATCGGATATAACGGGGGAGGTCCGCAGATCGGAAGGAAGGGCTGAGGGTTCACGTACGCGTCGAGCAGAAGTAGCTCACGGTCGGATTCGACCGAATCTTGGCGTTGATCGCTTTGACGAAGGCGGCCATCTTAAGGGGTCTTGGTTTGCGAAAAGGGATGGCTCGTAATTGCGTTCGTGAGGATGGTTGTTGCGCCAGTATGGAAAGAAGATGGTCTCGGGATGATGCGGAATTGCCAGGTCGTAGTAAAATTTCCAATGGGGCGGATACAGGTTTGGCGGGTCCGATTTCGTTGGGTCCGAAAGCGCAGTGTCGTTGAACAAAATCACCAGCCACCTGCTGTCAGCTGGCCGGAACTCGCTCGTGGCACTCAGAACATCGGATATTCACGGGCATTGAAACAAGAACTAGTACCACCAGTACGTTTAGACGTGCTCTTAGTACCTACCACATGTCTTCCTATGGTCAATTGCTGCCGCCGTATCATACCACGATATGGTCTTTCGTAGAGTACGAACGTGGATACACCCCCATTTTGGTGCTATTCACGGTCCAGTTCTGTCTTCCCAAACGCCAACTGCAGGTATTTAGCTCATCCTTACTCCATCCTTCATCGTCGCAATCTGATGCCTCCTCCTGTGCCAGCTATCTCCGCGGCGGAGGGTTGAATCCCGGAGGTCCACCACCAGGGTTGAAGCCAGGAGGCGGGAACTGCGCGTTCTGAGGGAAACCCGGCGGCGCAAAGCCACCAGGAGGAAACCCAGGGGCAGGAGCTGGCAGTCGTGTTAGTTCAATTATACGTTCGAGGATCCTCGGATTGAAACTTACGGCCACCTATGCCAGGTCCGAAACCAGGAGCACCACCGAACTGAGGGAATGGTGGGGGAGCACCACTTCCAACACCAGCAGCTGGACCCTAGGAACAGTCAGTATATAGCGATACTTGAAGTATAGTAATATGTACTCACAGCAAGGGATGACGGCGCCGCACCACGTCCAGCGGGGCGAGACACTCCCGGACCAGATGTTAAGCCAGTTGGAAGACCACCAGGGGTACTCTTCCCAAGCCGTGTGCTAGGGTCGGCCGGCGGTGCAGATTCGACGGATAGGGAAACAATATGAGCTCCACGCAGGATAGTCAGGCCTAGCGTACGTTTCTCTTCCGTCTCGACTGTCTGGGATGCGGATGAACTTGATGCGCCAGGGGCAGCAGGCTTCGTTTGCTTTCGCTTGACGCGTCGGAATTCTTCGGTATCGGCTAGGACGAGATTCATGTGCTGTAAAATCTATTAGCATTTTTCTATGCGTCCACGCGACAATTTTTGCAGCGTACCTTGTCGAACGCAAGAAGTTGTCCCGTCATCTGGCGGCCGTCCAGCAACGTAACTCGCATGCGGTAGTTGATCTAATACACCGTCAGCGAACGTGAGGGCAATAGTCACGCGTGACGAACAATGCGCGCGACAAGAGCACACGAGGAAATGTACGTACGTAACCGGCCTAGAAGCACCCGTTGAGTCAGCCTGTAATGTCAACGCCGAAGCTATGAAGCGGTCTGGGGATGGTACTCACCATTTTGCCTTGCTTGTTCGACATATTTGCGGCGAGGTGCTCCGGTGGAGCTTCTCAATATGTGCAAAAAATTGACCTTGCGAAGATATGAAGTCGCGATGACTTCAACGAATCTGCTTGCTGGGTGGGAGCTTCAGATCGCGATTTTGGTATGGATATGCGGAGAGACGAAAATCGGGCGAGGCAGCGTCGTAAGGATCTGGAGGGCCAAGGCTGAAGCGCAGTCCAGCTCAAAGACGGGACCGATAGAAGTCCCACAGAAAGCACGGCTGTTGCTAAGGTTCAGCCTCAGAAGACTCTCGAACCCCACCAAAGTCTGGTTCTCGGCAAAATCAGCCACAACATACCCCACATCAGCCACAGCTGGTGCAGTAGGGCAGGAAACCCTTTGCGAAATTGATGGTCGGCTCTAAATTATCATCCTCCCAGCTTCATTCTTCTTTGGCGAAATCGCAAGCCAGCAGCCATTCGACCTCACGCACACTCACCCTCCGCCATCACTACTAAATCCACAGTCAACATGGTATGCAGAGTCATTCTTCTTGGCCAACGCTACATGTTGCTAACTATTGATTTCTGCAGTCGGAGAAGGCCCAGAACCCCATGCGGGAGCTCCGCATCCAGAAGCTCGTCCTGAACATCTCGGTTGGTGAATCTGGCGACAGATTGACCCGTGCCGCCAAGGTGTTGGAGCAGCTGAGCGGTCAGACTCCTGTCTACAGTATGTCCACCATCTCGCCATCTCCTCGCCGCAATCCAGCGGTTCTAACCTCTTTGCACCAACAGGCAAGGCCCGATACACTGTCCGAACCTTCGGTATCCGACGTAACGAAAAGATTGCCGTACACGTCACCGTCCGTGGCCCCAAGGCCGAGGAGATTCTGGAGCGTGGCCTCAAGGTCAAGGAATACGAGCTGCGCAAGCGCAACTTCAGCGAGACTGGCAACTTTGGCTTCGGCATCAGCGAACACATCGATCTCGGCATCAAGTACGACCCCGCGATTGGTATCTACGGCATGGACTTCTATTGCTGCATGACCCGACCCGGTGAGCGTGTCTCGCGCCGCCGACGATGCAAGAGCAGAATTGGCGCTCAACATCGCATCGACCGTGGCGAGACCGTCAAATGGTTCAAGCAGCGCTTCGATGGCATCGTCCGATAAATCTTTGACATTACGACAATGGATGGAGAAAAACATTTGACACGGCGTTGGCTGGACGGCAACCTTCTGGCGGATCTGGGACAAGGGCAGCCGTGGATTTGTATCTACGTATGTTGGCGATTATCGTCATTCTAGCTTGACTTGAATCCAAGTCAGCTACGGCCTCAGAGACCGACCGGCACTTTGCCGGCTTACCTACGCCTTATTCAATATGCGGTGATCATGCCTTTGCGCACCGTTGTGTTCTTTGGATTAGTCCAGCTGTGATCGTATGAGTTCGTCCGTGTCACGGCCGACCACTGCAATAAGGTCGGGTGAGACAACGTCAGCTGTGGCTTCGGTCTTGTGCCTCCCTGAAGGAATGGTTGATAACTACGAACGTCTTGGGCAATATCACCATTCGGTCGTATTCAACTGCACTGGTTGGGCCGACCTTTTGAATGTGAGGTGGTGTACTGGTGCGATGGTTGATAGATAGTACATCTGCAAGCATCGCTACAACTTGGAGTACTGCTGCGCTGGTTTCAATATCAACCCTGTAAGCTGTATGAAAAGGGGGCAGTGTAGGTTGGCAGTGATGTCTACTGTAGCTTCAGCCGAATCAGTCACGAAGGTGAAACCTAAAGTAGGTACATAGTAGGTACATTCCATCATTCGCATCATCATCATCGCAGCCCCATTGCATCAATGATTATAATGATCAGTGTCAGTGTGGTGGAAGGACCGGGGAGAAGGGGGCAAGGGGGGAAAGGGGGAAGGAACGCCAGGCAAATGCGCGACCAACTACCCACCCAACGTGCCTTCCTCAAATCGTGTCAACCACAGAGGTCTAGGAGCCAACACACCAGCGAGCCTCTCCCAGCCCTTCACGGCATCCTGCGTCAGCCCCAACCACAGTGGTCGTGCTGTGAACTTCGTCTACTCTGCCGGCATCTGCCTGCACTGAGAACTGGCGCGGGTCGCCACTCCCGTCAACTACCTTAGCGACCTACACTTTCGCCTCAGACATTGGCGTGTTCTCCATCAATTCATTGCCAGCTCCTCTCTCGAAGTTGTACAGACCCTTGATGATCCCGAGGTTGTTGCCACGCTGCTCAACTCAATTTGTACCACTTCACCTCCGGGTACTGTGATTATTCCGCGTGTCTCAACGCTCCAGTCAGCAAGCCTAATAGCATCTGCAACTACCCGACGCCTTTGTGGAAGCGCAGCTATCTCCTGTCAAGTCCGACCTCAGCCTGTACTGAGCCCATATCCCTTTGGCTCTCGGATGAGAACCCCACACCACTCTGTCGTTGTTGCTCAACTGTGAGTATCTCCACAACCACGATCCGGAACCGCCACTCCTCCACTATGGCACATGCACCTCCGTGGCAGCGGTACGCTAATGGCGGACAGTATCAGACATGTTGAGTATGGCGCCTCTGAGTCAGACCATCGGTGGGTTACACTTCTCCCAAAGCAACCCAGGTTCGGAGCGCTCCACCGTTGGCTCGGACCGGGAAGCTCAGACGCCGAATGTACGGAGCAGCCGAAGTTCTGAGTTGCGAAACGATCCTATCAGCTCTGATAGCCTCCCTCGGTCTGGTATCAGACTGCCAGAGGAGCGCAGTTCCCGTCATGTTCACGGTCAACAATACTACTCAACCAGCAACAAGTCACGCTCCGAAACCGATAATGAGCCAGACACCATGCCAGTGCCAGAGGGCCAAGAGTATCACGCAGTAACACAATGGTTCGCTTCTTCCCCTCCCCCGCAACCTTCTCAGTCAAAGGGAAAGCAGCGTGCCAATTCGATGACCATGGATGGACCCAATTCAACCCCTTCTGACGCATCGGATCCCGCGAACACTGTAGCTTCGCTGGTTGAACCCACTATCATGGCACCTCAAGACCCTGCCTCGGATGGCGACAATGTTGTGGAACCCCCAATCACCCAAGATGATGAGGATGGTGACGACGATTTTGAGTTGGCCAGCGCTGATGAAAAAGGGTCGGATCAGTCATATGTAGAAGAACTAATTGGCCGCAAGGGCAAGAAGAAAGGGCAAGGGAGAAGCAGTGGCCCCTCGAAGCTCAAGCCAGCGATTTCGGCAAAGGCTTCTTTGGGTAAGGGCCCGGCAAGAAGAGGTCTCACAGGAGCGGTCGCAGCCACTTCTGCGAGTGCAGCACGCATCAAACAGGGGAAGGCAAACACCGCTGTGGCGAGAAAACTACGGAGTATACCGTCCGTGGGGACTTCGACACGTCAACAGCCTCGAGATGTTGATGAAGACGAAGGTCAAGAGGCGCCGGAGATCATCCCGAACAGTCAGCCCATCCAAAATCGAGATCAGGTAAAGCCAAAGACCTCTACCACAAGAGTGGCAAAGAAGCCATTCTTTGATAGATTGGACGATAATCAGACACTGCGGGGTTCTCAAAAGTTGCACATGGAGAAACCCGCTCAGACTTCTCCGGATACGACAGCAAACGAATCGGCTAAACAAGAGGAACTGATTTCTTCGCCGAATGACCAAATAGCTCAACGACCATCTCGAGCTAACCCAACTACCGTTCGAAACAAGCATACAATCTCCGGACAGCCACAGCCCAAAGCTAAGAGACAAAAGATTGGCGGTAAGGATGGGAACACCTCTCACGCAGCCGCCACCGTTACCACAAAGATCGCCAAGTCACAACGCGAACTCGCAACGGCAGGGCCAGCATCTGAACACGGTCCGGAGAACGAGACTGCGGCAGATGGGGACCAGCAGAACTTTCTGGTCTCAGAAGAGGTCGATGATTTTTGGGATCTACCCACCTCGCCTGTGAAAGATGGACAGCATGCTGGGACCACCACAACCAGCAAGGGAAAGTCCAAGGCGCAGCCAGCCAACGATTCCATCACCAGGATGCTCCTTACTGTACCTAACCAGCCGACGAGATCTAGTCCGAAGAAGAGAAGTAGCCCGATTCAGTACGGAACACACCCAAGAAACCAAAGACGGGCCGCTAAGCCTTTTGGACCTCCTGAGACTCAAGCGTCCGCAAGCAGCAGGACCGCTCTTCGACAGCAAAAGTCGGCTACCCAGCCGAGTAGACTCGCAAAGCCAGACACAAGCCTCCCGGCAAACGGGTTGAAGGAACACAAGGCTGGTGAACCTGACGCCCTGGGAACAGCGGAGGCTGGCAAGTCGAGCACGAAAGTTCCAACGAATAACAGTGAGGTACGACCAGAAACTTCCTCGTTGAAGCCTCCCAAGGCGGCACCAAAGAGAACTAGATCGCCAATTACGATCTCCTCGGATGCTGACTCGGAGCTTGCTGCCGTGGAGGAAGAGAGTCCTATGCCGTTTCCAACAGGTTCAATCCCCGAACTTGTGCAGGCTTCTCAGACTGCCAAGTTAGCTGTTGCGGGCCGCGCTATTAGTGGCAAAGCAACTCTTACCACCGGAGATCCAGCTCACTCCAGAAAGTCGGCTCCGTCCCACAACGATGGTATCCAGCAGCCAGAAGTTTCGGATACCTCGGCAGACCAATCGCATCCCGAGAGAATGGAGACGTATGACCGCCCTGAACCAAGTTCCAAGAAGCGGTTCAGTGGGAATGATGTTGATGAGGAATCTCCGAACAAGGTCATGGAGGGAGAATGGAAGTTGGGAGAGTTCAACAAAGGGTCGAAGGATTTCGTCGTATATGAGGACGCAGCTCAGGCTATTTCCACGGTCGCGTCACCCGCACGAATCACACATGACCGGACCGCCCTTCGAGAAGTGAGCCAGACTCTGCGCAATAACTTACCTAGCTCGCCATCGCGACCTGAAAGCCATTACAACACAAAGAAGCTCGATTTGAGCTCACGCCTGCGTTTTCCCCCCCGATCTGACGCCGTACAAGCGGAGCGACCAAATCACCCAACCGTGGAGACTTCCAGGCCAGCAATCCTAAAGAACATCGAAGAGCTCAGTGCCAATCCTTTCGTTTCGAACGATCGGGCACAGAATGAAACAAGATTAGTGCAGAATGCAAGGCGCAACGAGTTTCACCCAGAGGGCCGGTCCCGTGCAGAGCCGGAATTCCATCCAAAGTCAGTGGCTTTTGCTCAGAGAATCTCACAAGGCTTTGGTACAACACACGATGTCCGCCATATCACTCCACAGGATTACCCGGAGGAATTGTCTTTGCAGAGGGGTGAAAGCCGCCCCTCGCAAGCTGTTGTGTGGGAGCAGCTGACGGCCGCTGCGTACGATAGACTAGCTGCCTCTCTTCGCAAGGTAAACACGGTAAGTCAAGCACGCGTTGCATCCTGTTATGTATTTGCGGCACCTGGCTGATCATAAGCAGGCGGTCATTCGAGACCTTGGTACAAAAGAGAACGATATCTCGCGTATCGTTCATGACTACGAGATATATGGCGAGAAACTGACGGAAGATCTCGCTCAGCGACATGAGAAAGAAGGTCTCGCACTAGGGCTTGCCTTTGACAAGGACATGCGAAACCTTGAAACCATCTATAACGAAGCAGCAAGAGATGCAGCAGATCTCCGGAGTGAGGTATTATCGCAAAAACGTACCAAAGAGCTTACACAGTGGCAGAAGGGGAACAAGGATATCGAGAAGGCCATACGGGAGGCTAGAGAGGCTCTGCAAAAGATCGGAACACCTTGAGACCCCGAACGTGCGGGCTGGTGTACTGAACAGGCTCAGGAGCACACCTTCGACTTCCGTGTCATTTACCATGGAATGAGTGCACGCAGAATTTCTTTGCTCAGTTATCAAGGTCATGTAGCGCTACACTGAGATTGTCTTCATGTGGCTTGCTGAGCTGCTTGCGAGAGCTGGTCCGTTGCTTTGAGGAATGAGTGTAATAATAGTCCAGACTGAATCTCAGTAGGCAGTAATAGCTCGAGAACAATTACTTCTGATGATTAGAAGGCCTCTGAATCAGCGGTCACTGCCCTCTGTGGTTTGCTAACATCAGACTATCTACTGTCAAACAGGAAAACGAGACCACGGTCGGCACTTTAGATGTAGTCACAAGGCCCGCAAAGTAAGGTTAACCATTCATCCCACAATGATGACCCCGTGACAGGGAGGAGTCTTGCCCACTAATCGTGACCATTGAAACCATATGATGCCTTCATGTCCCAATTTACTGGACAATCATGGATGATTCGAGTCCTTGATCACCTGTGCTCGGCCCCTGAGTCACCTGCGCTTGCGGAGCCATCCTATGTGATTCCTTGAAGACAAAGACTCTCCCAAAAGTTACTACCGTATTGATAGCAGCGAATATTCGGTGACTAAACGACTCTGGTCGCAGATGAGACGATCGAGAGTCAATCCATCCTTTGGCTCCAAAGCAGAGTCTTCTGAGATGCATATAATCCTGGCAACCTGGCCGGTTCTCCTGCCAGATAAATCCTGTTGGACCACAGTCAAGAGCACAAGATCACCACATCCAATCGAGACGCCTATCAACATCCGCAGAAGATACACACCCGCCTCCGATCCAACATGACAGACATCCCCTCTGAGCAAAGCAGCTCCCTGTCGCCGGGAGCCAGGCGCCGCGCGCACGAGATGGCAGTCTATTGCAGACTCATCGTCGACAATCTCCAACGAGATGCCGAATATGAAGAGCTTGGCGAGATCCGCTCCGTCGGCGGCGTGAGCCGGTTCGAGGACATGGGCCGCGGCGAGCCGTGCGGAGAGAACAAGGGCATAGTGCTCTTCATAAAGCGCATCTTCGACGACGCAGACGACGAAGACGACGAAGAACCCGCACTCCGCGGCTCCGATTCCGACCTGTGGAACGATCTCAGGGAGAAAGCGGAGGAGGGCCCCGATGGTAGACGCAAGAAACTCAAGAACGGGAAGTGGGAAGTTGTGTTTGATTATAGTGAGTCGAAGCGGTCAAAGTCCTAGCTGTAATTTGCTGATAGAATACAGGGCCTACAGACCAATATCGCTACTGTCATGTCTTGGCAAGGGCCTAGAACGACTCATTGCGAAAAGAATTACCTGGTTTGTTGTCAAACTTGGAATTCTAGCCCCACAACATTTTGGAGCTCTACCAAAGCGCTCTGCCACTGACCTGGTAGCTGCACTCATACACGATATTGAGCAGGCCCTTGACCAAGGCCTCGTTGCAACGGTAGTCACATCAGATGTGAAAGGGGCCTTTGATGCTGCCCTAATGGGACGGCTGGTGGTTCGCATGAGAGAACAGGGCTGGCCAGGCTTTCTCATAAGATGGGTCCAGTCGTTCATGTCCGAGCGGTCCGCAAGAGTTCGGTTTGAAGGTACTGTGACCGATATAAAAGCTCTCACTTGTGGGCTCCCACAAGGCTCACCAGTCTCTCCAATCCTCTACATGCTGTATACAGAGCCAATCTGTGCCCGACTTGGCATGAAAAGAAGACGCTTTGGATATGCAGATGACCTAGCAACACTCTGTATTGGAAAGAACCTTAAAAAAACAGCTACAGAGGCTTCTGAAAACCTTCATTTGCTCAACCAATGGGGATATAACAATGCTATTGAATTTGATCCTGACAAAACCGAGATCATGCACTTCTCACAAAAAAAGAACTCAGACAATCCCCCAATTTGCCACAGAACAATGAACAAAACAGCTAAGCATTCCATGCGATGGCTAGGTGTCCTTCTGGATAGGAAACTAAACTTCAAAGACCATGTTTCTCACTGGGCCAAGAAAGCTAGTAGGGTAGCAAATCACCTTCGAGGACTATGCAACACAGTCAAAGGACTTCCAGTAAAGTCAACCAAGAGGGCTGTGAAAGCTTGTGTTATTCCTATTCTCACACATGGCCTGGAGGCCTGGTACCCAGGAATCGAGAAAGCTGGGAGCTTAGGTGAGACATCAGCATGTCGTATTAAGGGGCTTCTTGGAACAATAGATGCCGTACTACGAACGGCGATCAGGGCTATCTTGCCAGTCTGGAAAACACACCCTGGACATATCTTACACTTTGAATCGCAGATTCCCCCAGCAGGAGTTCTTGCAGAGTCAATAAGACGACGTCACGGCCTCCGACTAGGACGAATAGATCAGAGACACCCTCTGGTTGGCAGGCTCCAAATACAAGCTCGCAAGGATCCAACAAGGCTACAAAGGAGCTTCCAGCTAGTCCCTGACTTCCAGAGACCAATACTTACCAGGCCATCATGGAAGAAGCGCCCAATCCACAAAGACAAAGACAAAGAAACAGAGCTCTTCAAGCAATGGTTACAAGAGAGAAACGTGAACACTGACCTTGTCATCTACTCAGATGGATCACAGTTGGATGACCAAGGCACAATCCGCACTGGATGGGGTTATACCATCAGGAAAGGCGGCACTACACAAGAAGTATACCAGGGAAGGGGCAGACTTCTACAAGCAGAAATAATAGATGCTGAAGTCCATGGTGCTCTCTAAGGTCTTGCAGCAGCCAGGGCAATTGGACACGGAAAACAGCTATATGTCTGCCTGGACAACACGTCAGTGGTAGATAGGCTCAATGGGACTCCACCCGAGACATCACAAAATATTTTTCTACGATTTCAAGAACTTGCCACAGCACACACTCCTGGAGTGACCGTCAAATGGATTCCTGGACACAGAGATATTGATGGCAACAAAGCTGCCAACACACTAACAAAAGAGGGTGCCATGCTAGAAACAGACACAACAAATCTTCCTACAATCTCTTGGGTCAAGAGAGATCTCAAAAAATAGGGCAAGAAAGAGTTCAACCAATGGTAGAAAGACCAATCAGAATCTAGGTATCAAGAAGTATACTCACATGCAGTAACTGAAAGAGACCTTATATCTTTTAAGAGGAGTACTTTACACAGACTTCTAGCGGCCAGATCTGGACATGGCGACTTTGCCAGATACTATGAACGCTTTGGGCACACAGACTCAAATGATCACTGCAGCTGTGGTGAGAAGAAAACACCACAACACATTTTCTTTTGTAAGAGGCTGGGGAAAAATCGGCTACTGCCTAGGCATTCGCCTAGGACAGCTTGTTTACAATACTTAAGAGAGAGGAGCACAGAATGGGCAAAATTCGTGGAGAAGAGCAAGTTCTTTTTAACAATCTGCCCCCGATAGATAGCCTTCCTTGAAGGACCAGATGGATGACCCCAAGGTCATACCGCCGCAACAACGGGGATGGGCCCGTGAGCGGGACTGACTGTACTTATTATCTTGAGACCTCCACAACCCTGCGATGCAGAGGCTCTGGGAGGCGTGGTTTGCACTACTGAGGAGCTACCCCCACGTTAAATACAAAACAAACAAACAAACAGAATACATGTGCAGTCCATCGTCACGTTCGAGAACCGCCTGCCGGTGCGATGGGGCCACGTCGGTCAAGAGGAGGACGAGAATACCACCGTCTGGGATGCCACGCATGCCACCGCGGAAGGTGCGAGACCTCTTACAAGCGACGATGTCGAGAAGCTGGAGCCGAACCCACATGCAGAACTGCATGAGCAAGCCAGAACGAACCGTCAGAGAATCATGGAAAACCTGAAACAGTATGAGGGTGGCAAAGCAGCCCGTCAGAAAATCTTGGCCAATCTGAATCCAATTATGGGTGGCAAAAACCTTCGACGTCACCACGTCCACACGGCCACCGGACCGGGACGTGATTCTAATGGGGAGACTGCAGAATAAAAGAATCATCGATAACGTGAGGGAGCTACAAAGCCAGGCTTTCATCGACAGGTACATTCCAAGCGATGGTGAAGCGAGGAAACGTCTATGTTAGAGGGAATTGGCCGTTTGCTTCAAGGCACCGACCTCGCGGAGGAATAGGGGGGGCTAGGAGGAATGCTTTTTGGAACGTCTCAGACCACCATCACGCTCTTTTGCATTTTGGCGCGCAGCTGTCACCAACATCTGGGTGGGGGCTGCTTCTCCTATTTCAGGGCTGGCGGAGGTTTTCTCATATCATTGAAGGTGTCACCTGGATCTTCGAGATTACACGTAATTTGGAGGAAAGATAAAAAACACTTGAAAGTGGTCAAATCCAGCCTATTGAAAACCTAATAAAATGTATTTCTTGGTCACTGAGGTTTTCAAGCTGGTCATGTGTTGCATTTGCCCAATATGATCAGCCTGGAAATCAAGTTAGACGATCATCAGCGACAGACACTGCAATCGCCTATTATAGAAGTGAGAAGAGATATATGCCACTGATAATCCACATACTCCTCGACGTCTTGTATGTCCTACTATATCAGGGCACTTGTCTATACTATTCGGGCTTCCAACAATCCTCCGCCCGCCTCTCGTTATAGCATTGATTGACATACGGGAGGCTAGCATGCTCTCCATAAGGATCCTCGATCCACTGAGCCACTGGGGCAGCCAGTGCCGTGTCCTCGATCGACCTGGCCCTAAGCCCGTCCAGAGTACCGCCGCGGGCGCATATACTCGGATACTCGACATGCTCAGCCTTTACCTTGGAGCGCAGCAGACCCGTCTCCGCAGCCTTGACCTTGAACGTCGTCGGGCCGAACACGACGCCGTAGACGGGTGGGTTTCCAAATAGAGCCGTCGGGGTCTCGGAACTCGATGGGCGCCAGCCAGCGCCAAGCTGGTGAGCGCACCATATCTCCCGTACTTATCAACACTCCGACTCAGAATGCGGACGAAACGCCCGCGCCCCCTCCCCGCCGTCACCATCATGCCCAACATCCCCATCATCATGCCCGGCAGCCTCAGCCAGCCCGTCCGGCGTCTCCGTAAACTTCTCCCACTCCTCCACGCCGCCCTCCTCCTTAGCCTGCCTCATCAGCCGATGACGCCGGGGCGATCCGCCCGGTTGGCGTCCCAGTCGAAGGTCAACTTAGCAATCGGCAGGCACTCCTTCGGATCCCGGGCGCCCCTGAGGTAGAGCTTGCGGTAACACTTCCACGCCGTGCGGTGGCTGCCGATGACCTCGATGGCCCATCGCCAGAGATCATTGCCCCTGACCACGCCGCCGACTTCCCAGTAGTCGAGCGAGTGCATCGTCCAGTAGTGATAACGGATCGACCCGACTTCCGCGCCGGAGGGCGGTGGGTTATGGTGAAGTCGGGCTTGGACGAGAGGGACGACCGCTGCGTGTCGTGGCACTGGTACAGGGGGGTGTCTTCGGCGGTGCGGAGGCATGTTGTCGTGGTGTCGCTCTGGCGCTGAAGAAACAGGACCTGACTTTGGAGCATGTGGTGTTGGCGGGCGGCGGATGAGAGCGGTAAATAGGGGTACTGGTTCGATTGGTGAGAGGGACTGTAAGTTATGGACAAGGAGGAGTTCCCGTAGCGTACTGCCGTTGATTCAAGTGGTAAGGACTGGGTGGCCGGGATGAAGAAGCAGGGTCAGGTGGCATGTATGATGTAGGTGGTCTGCTGAGGAGAGCATTGGCGGTGTAGATTCGGACTGTTCTGCTGTGATCCTGGTTGCGGTGGTTGGAGGGTTTGGTGGTTTGCATGAGATGCATATTGGGGTGGTTCGCAAGGGGGTTGCCCGTATGGCAATTGCTGATGAGCCGCATTTCCATGCTGGGCCTTGTACATTATGTCAGTGTTGTACATTTCGTCCAGGTCATCAACTGTTCGGGTACTGCCAAGTCGCGTTGGTGAAGCTCGCTATTTGTATGAACTCATAAGGCTAGGATTGGTATTTCATATGCCAACTTCTGGATGCGAATGTAGGGCTGACCAGCACGGTTAAGGGGGAATTCAAGCGTCTAAAATAAGCGTTGGACGTTGTCATAAGCCACCATGTGTTGATGAGAAAAGGGACCACCCCGATCGACTGTTCGAGTATATTGCGCGCGTCAGCATCGTTCGGGAGATAAGACAGACCAGGCCCATTGTGATTGTCCCATCAGCTGGGCGTACGTGATACGACCCAGCACATGTACCTCTTCGGTTGCAGAACTGTATATCAGCGCGGCGTGCCATGCTGTCGTCAGCAATTGAAGCAGTCAGACAATGAGCGGCTCTCGACACAGAGCCAACGCGGCTCCCAGCAGACCACCAAGTAGGGGTATGGTATGCGAGTAGGAGAGGTCAGCCTCCAGATGAGAAAGCTGGGCATGGCTTGGGATACGCTGTAGAGCAAGACTGTATACGTCGCATGTGGCAAGACCATTCAAGATTGATAATCAAAGTTAATCAATTTCGTCGTACTCCGCCCCAAAATGACGGACAGTACAGGGCATGCCTTTGTGGTAGCGGTATCCAGAATAAGGACCAGGGTCACGATAGGTGGCTATTGGTCTGTATTCTGGAAGTTGCTTGATTGAAAGAAGGGATGGGTGGTGTCCCCATCCCAGAAGTAGCTATCATCCCAGTTGGGTACAAATCAGGTACAAACGGGTACCCGTTGGGCTCCAAGGTACCTTGTATCCTGGTCCGTGACCCATCCGTCGTTGTGGCTGGAAAATGGGCTGAGGAGCCACACCTTATGGCCCTAGTCAGAACCCCGGTAGTGCATTATTATACATCGTTATACCCAATGAAAGTCCTGGTGAGACCCTTGTCCGCAATAGCCCAAGCCCAAGCTCGACCTGCTTCACCCTCGTAAAGACCAACTTCGGCGTAAGCCTCCTGGTCGTCCCGGTCTTCACGACCCAATAATCTATCCATCTGCTCCATCTGATCACTGCCCGTGAACGACAGCATGTGGAAAAACTGGTTGTCGTCGTCCAGGGCCAGAGCGTTGCCAGCGATTCCATGACACAGACACGGCTTCTTCGTCAGCAGACCCCTTCGCCAGGTATCCGACTGAGCGGCTCTCATTGCGTTTTGAATGCGTTCTCTTAGGTCTGGGAAGTGCGGCAATAGCGATCGTAGTGAGATTACGTATCCAGGGCCACCAGAGCAGAACTGCACAAGCTCATCTTCCGGAAAAAGTGCCAGCACGGCAGGGAAATTTCCGCTCTCGCATTGGTGTGTGAGAATATCGGCAAGCGCCTTTTGGAGCGTCGGAGCAACTGACGGCATCGACAGGACAATTTGACAGATGATGCCCATGGTGCCATGTGCCGCTCCCAGAAGGGTAAACTCGTCGTGGGGATCGTCGCCTGGGTAGGACATCCATGTTTGGTACCCTGCCAGGATTCGCTCAACCGTCTTCTAGATGGTTCGTTCGAGAAGGGCCGCCGTGTTAGGATCACGTCGCGCGCATACGTCGCGGCAGAGTCTCAGGAAGTACAGGTAGCCCGCTCGGCCGCGCCACCAACTGTTCTTTCCAAATTCGTCCGGTGAGTTGATGGCAGTTGCGTACGAACAGAGCTTCCTGACGTAAATGGTATCTCCCAACATGACTGCACTCAGGGCCACTTGAGCCAGCGTATTGTTGCAAATTCCGCAGTCATTCGGCGTAGGCGCGAATAGGACGTTGTCGCCATATTCGTCGAGGCCATATTCGTCGAGGCCATATTCGTCGAGGCCATATTCGTCGAGGCCATATTCGTCGAGGCCATATTCGTCGAGGCCATATTCGTCGCAGTATATCTTGAGGTAGTCGTGCGCCCACCCTAGCAATGACTGATGCTTGACTGCCAAGTACGGATACAGCTGAAATAGTCGGTATAAGGCGTACGCAATTGATGTAGGACCCCCGTAAAGGCCTTGGTAAGCCCATTGGGTAGAGTGATGGTCAGGAGGAGTGAGTTCGATGATCCGGGTAAGACTCGCGAACAGTTCCCCCTGAGTATCAACAGTCCGCAGTGGTTGGGTGGGGTTGACGAAGAACCGGGTGGTCATGGTGTCCATCTTGTCCGTGCTTCGGAATTGTCCCGCTATATGTATGCAGAAGCGACTCAACTGAGTCAACTCTTCCAAGCACGTCACCTTCTTGGGTCGTGCACGAAAACGAAGTAAGGTGGACAAGTGATGGTGATACTGCGTCGTGGCTATGTTGTTGATGTTGTTGTTGTTGGGCGAGCGGGAGGTTGCTGGGTGGTTGGGACTGACGACAGATGTCGTCCGCCCACCACCTCAGTGTTCTTTCCCGTCCAGATCGACGGGAAGGAGCAACCGTCGGAAGAGGGGAAGCTTGACCTGCGTTACATGTTGACGTGAACAGAAGCAGCAGCTGTGTGTCCTGTGTTTATGATGTGAGATGATACAGGAGTGATGCATAATCGTCTGAAGCGTAAAGCACACAGCTCAGGAGTGAGTGCACCACCGGCGCCTGACTGACAGGAACTCGAGCCACCTTGTCGGAAGATAGGGGTTAGGGGTATGTTGACATGAATGCGTATATTGAACCGTGATAATGAAACAAGTCTGCTCCACCTACTCGCTGAGATCAAACTCATCAATCACACTCGTAGGCTTGACGAACTTCCCAAGCGGCTTGTAGGTCAGATGGTCCATTCCAAAGCTCTTCGGCCCGCCAATCTCAATGCCTCTCTCCGAGGTCCAGCGATCACTAGCCGTGATGCCCAGCACAATGACAAGCAGTCCGTATCTGTACTCGGGCGTTCCAATGGCCTCGCCGTTCTGGGTATCAATGACCGTAATCAGATCAGGCACCAGGCCCAGCACTTCTCCTTCTTTCTCTTTGACCTCGCCGTCCACGACGGACCGCGAGATCTTGATGGCGGCGATGTTTTCGTTCTTAAACGGGATCTTGATCAAGCCCTGGAATTGCGCAGCAGACTTCGAGTTGCCCGTGGCGGGTGGTGACTTGGCACCGATGTCATCAACCACGTCCGCGCCTTCGATGATGCACTCGCCATAAATATGTCCCATGCGTAAGGTCCGTTCAACGCCGACTATCTTGCCCTTCCAGAGCACCTTGCCCGCGTCCGGGCCTCCACATTCGTCGAGTATAGTCTCTGCGACATTGTCGACGCGGTTGGACCTGCGCGCCTTCGCCACTGCCCGTCCAATACGCCACGACTGCGAGATTGTGTGCTCCACGGCCCAACGCCTGCACTCCGCGCCTGTGACGGGCGCGTCTGCACATCCCGTATGCGAGCCCATCTGGCTCAGCGCCGCGCGCAGCACTCGCTCGACCTGGAAGTCCGAAGTAACTTTCGGCATAATCACGACGTTGCCGTTACCGTCCGCCATCGAGATCGGGGACCAGATCGGAGATCGCTCGTTGAATACCACCGGAGTGGTCTGCCATTTGGTGGGATACGCCCGGCCCATCCAGTCGCCGTCGACCGCGGGCAAGTCCATATTCGTGCTGGCGCCGATAATCATGCTTTGCAGGCCATTTCCGCCGCCGATCTCAATAGCGATCATATGCGTGGCGGGCTTGTCGCAGATCTTGTATAGTTCCTCCTGGGCATGGAGCATCTCGTCGCCACCCAGCTTCTCAATACCGACGGTAGGTGAGCCGGCACCCCCGCCGCAGCCTACGGCGGCGTCGTCGGGCAGGTCATCAGGACTCACGACTCGGACCACGGCGCCCTTCCGCAGCATCTCTCGCAGCCGCACCATCGAAGAATAGGGGCTTCCACCGCCTCCCGTGCCGAGAATATAGCACCCGATCGAGATCCAGCTGAGATCAGTCTCGTTGACGAGCCAGACACGATTCCTGACTTTCGGCTTGTAGCTGTCGATATCAACGTCTTCTTTGGGCTCTGGTCTGGTCTTCTTCTGTGACTGCTCTGCAGACTTTTCATACTCTTCCATTTGGAGTTCGTCTCCAGAGAATGGCTCATCTAAGGGAACAGTCGATAGATCTGTACGTGAGTAATCGAAATCTCCCGCCGCTCGTACCGTGAAGCGGGACTTGTTGGCAATGTACTGACAGCGAGTCAGACTTTCAACTCCAAGTAGAAGCCAATGGCTTGACTTACAGGCAATGGTAGCGTATCCATCTCTACGACCTTGACGGTCGATCGCGACGCCCCTCCCGCTACAGCCTTCTCAATGGCGTCTTGGCAGATCTCATCGAGTAGCTGCTGTGTAGTCTTCGATTCCGTGGACTTCACCGTATCAATCACAGCGCTTACTCTCGCGATAGCTGCACCGATGGCATTTGCGACTTCTGACCACTTTGGCTTTAGAACCTTGCTTGCCCCCTTGAGCTCATCAGGCGCGATAACCGCCCCGCCTCCCACAAGTAGGACGGGGAGGTCCTCAGGAGACGTCTTCATCACGTCGATGACCTTCTCGAGCTTTTCTTTGACGGCTGTCTTGAACTTATCTATGCCCTGATCGCTAAGCTTGCCCTTGACAAGCTCCCTATTCCCAATTTCAAGTTTCGGGTCGGCTAGCACCGTGCAATCGGTAGTCGTCAGCACGTTACCGCCGAAGACAATGGCCTCTTTGGTGATCTTGTAACCAACGCTGTCCGGGCCGACCGTTAACGACTCGCCATCTCGGACAACGGAGCCGCCTCCAAGGCCGATGCTTTTGATATCAGGGCAGGAGAAGTTCATCCGCACTCCTGCCAGGTCACTATAAGCCGCTTGCTGGCGCGGGAAGCCGTTCGCCAGCAGCAGGCCCACGTCTGTCGTCGTCCCACCAATATCAACGACCATAATGGCCTCATCGAGCTCATCTTGTACCAGGAACGCCGCACCACGCATACTGTTGGTAGGACCACTTGAGAACGTCCGGATAGGCAGCTTTGCCGCCATCTCTCCAGACAAAATCGTCCCGTCGTTCTGCGTGATGAAGACCGGGCAATCTAGCCCTAGGCGCTTGATGGGCTCCTGGAAAGATCGTATAGTCTTCCGCGCAAAAGCAAGGATGGACGCATTCAAGATAGCCGCGTTTTCTCTCTCCAGAAAGCCGAGGTTGGCCACGTCCTTGGAGCACACGACATCGCACCCCGGGATCTCAGCGCGGACGATCTCCGCCGCGCGCTCCTCCTGCCGCTCGATCGTGTCTATCGGACTGAAAATGCCATTGATGACTATACTCTTGATGCCTTTCTCTCGAATTATGGCGCATTCTTTCCTGATCTGGTCCTCATCGATTTCCGATATGAGAAACCCGTCAACCTCTAGACCGCCCTTCAGCAGCGCGGAGTGGCCGAGAATGAGCTCGCGTATGTCCTCCGGCCAGTCGACGCACGGCGGCGCGTGTTTGGAGAACGGCCCGCACAGCCGGATGACCGCGACTTTGGTCAGGCGCGTGGCGTCTCGCTCGACGACTGCATTTACGAAGTGCGTAGTGCCGATGGTGACGCTGGCGACCTGGTCCGGACTGAGGCTCGCGGTCTCGAACATTTTGGTGATGGCATTGTTTATGCCAAGGCTGGGATTCGTGGTCGTCGGCGCCTTGTGCCAGGCCACGATGCCCTTGTCCGGGTCCAGGGCCCGCGACGGGTCGAGCACCACGCCGTCGGTGTTGGTGCCGCCCACGTCGACGCCGATGCGCAGCGTCTTGGTCTCTGTGGCGGAGCCCATGTTTCGCAGCGATGTCGTCGGCGACGATATCATCAGTATCTCTTCGGGTTCTTCTCGTGAGAAGAAAACGACTGAGCGCTTCGATGACGGAGTTCGGTCGAGACCAATGAATTCACGTTCGACCGAGTTTCGCCAGTTTAGGGCCGGCAAGCGAGGTCCGAAGCCGGCCTCGGCGGAGGACAATTATAAATGGGCCTGATCGGATCAGATAAGATGCATGGATCAGATAAGATGGCTTGGCAGCCATCTTATGATTGCCTCTTATCTGTGCGACCCAGGGGTGATCGCCCTTGGGTGTCACGCAGCCGGATGGGTCCCAGGTTGGGGTAAGCAAATGGACTGCCTGTAAGACCGCATAGAGCTCCCCGTCGGCGTTACCATAGGATGGTTCAGTTATTTTGGTTCCTGGACGCTCTCGTCGCTCAACATAGCGAACTAGCAGACGTCAAGTACCTTCCTGAATGAGGCCTCGCTGTTTGTCGCTATGCGCCTGTTTCGTGCTGACAAGTCGTCGCAGCTAAGGGCTTGTCCGTCGGACAGTCCATGCTGATCATCGTCCTGGGCCGCGCGCTGATAGCTGGCGAAAGAAAGTTCGGGCGGGGAGGGCCAAGAAAGAAAAAAGAAAATGTCAGCCGCTAGGGAATCGAACCGCTGTGCCTAAGAATATAGAATTAGGATATTTCGCTATTCGCTACGCCGTACCAACCCGGCTACCAAATTTACATGATAAACTGAACTATATACTATATACGGTTGTAGGCATGTGCATATAGGAACGGGTGGACATGTACAAAAAGTGCGTAAGGTGGCTGAACTCTATACGAAAACAGAAAGGGGAGAGAGAGTGAGGTCGGGACGGCCAAAAAAAGAAAAAAGAAAATGTCAGCCGCTAGGGGAATCGAACCGCTGTGCCTAAGAATTCCTTTAACAATACTTTGTAAGAATATTTCGCTAGGCCGTACCAACCCGGCTACCAGATTAACCTGATAAACTCGTATATATATTATGGATAGTTGTGGGCGGAATAAGGGGCGGAATAAGGGGCTGAACTCTAAGCTGTAGTGTGGCTGTTTAGTGAGTCTTCCCATGTGAGTCAGTTTGAGAACTCATGAAGGGACAGGTGGTCGGATGGATAATGGATCGTATGGATCGCTACTGTTGGATGCTTCTTTTAATTGCCTCCCCTGGTTGCCTGCTGCGGGCTGCAGTAGCACATCGGCTTTACCGGGCAAATCGCTTCACCTGTGGCATGCGAGGCAGCTACATACCGCTGCTTCAGCGTCTCTTGATGAAATTCAACTGGAATGCTGTGCAGTGTTGTAACAAAGGCAGCTGGTCGCCGTTCGTCTGATCGCCATATGGCCGTCGTTTGCCAAGATGCATGACTTCTTGCCGGCTAGCATGCCGACCACTGGTAACGAGTTCGTGGGCTTCATTGTCTTTTGGTTTCTTTCGACGCCCTTCCTCCGGAGAAATTCAAGATCCTATTCCTGATCACGTCCCTGCTACGTATAACAGCTTCCCTTCCTGGCAAGCCAAACCTTGCTTTCCAGTATGGACCTTGACTTTCTGTTCCATCCTACTTCAAAGGCTCAGGCTCAAGTATGGCATATGAACATATACGCAGTATTGTGGACTGGGCATTTTGTCAATGGTGATATGGGCCCTCTCAGAAGCAAAAGGTGTCAGCCCCCTTTTGACCACTGACGTCGCCATCCCAGTGGGCTGGCAGTGGAACTCGTCATGGCTGATCATGGCGGGGATCGGTCAGATGATTGGAGGCATTGTGGCCGGCATCACCGATGGGCCTGACTTCTCGACGTTACGCACGAGACAGGCAGTTGAATGTAATCGGGACCATCACCTCCAGGTGGGTCACAGCCATCCTCGTATCCTTCGTTGGACTAGTGACCACCAGCGCAGCCCCAAAGATATATGGCACCGTCTATTGGAATCCGCTGCACCACCTTCGTTTTGCCTGGGGTGGTTCAGCCATGGCAGCTTGCCAACGGGGCCAACACGTTCATCCAGTTCCTCAGCTCGTTCTCCGTGTTCCTGTCGCCCCTCATTGGGCTCATGGCTACCGACTTTACCTGTTGCGACACCTCAAGGTCCGCCTCAGCCATCCGTAAGACAAGAAGAATACCTCGTATTAGTATCGGCGAGCTTTCCCTGCTCGGATCTGCGACTGGGCTCCGACTATTGGTGGTCTCGTCGTGACTGTCAATACAGACGCCACCGGCCAAGGGCATCGTGCCAGCTGTATTCCATGGCGTTTCTGATAGGTAAGATTCGAGCCACGTGACAAGCAGCCTACCTTGCTAACAGCTTGCTAACCCATGACTCCCAAAGGGTTCTCCACGAGTTGCGTCATGTTCTTTGCTCTGAACAAGATCTACCCCGTTGAAGGACTCGGCGAGTAAGACTAGGTCGACATCTATGGCACATTAACCGCAAAGGAAGCGGCCAAGTTGGGAATCGTGCCGGCAGAAGGTCACTCCGAGCTGTGTGACTATAGAGAGCCGTCAATGGCGCAAGAAACGTTCGAGAAGAAAGAATAGGCGGTTGGGCACCGAATCACGTTGGGCGCCGAATCATGTCGTACGCTGTGCTATGTGGTCTGGACGTACACTAACTCTTCTCTGCGTCACCCGGAGCCTGAGGCTGAAACCCGTCGTACAAATCATGGGATGAACCAACAAATACGTCCGCTCGACCGCGTTCTTGTGACGGGAAGCGTTGTTTGGCAGAAGGAAGCAACGTGACAATTGATCAAAATTGTACGCCGTGTTTGACATCCTGGGGAGGTTGTACCTGCCAGTGGCACAACAAGTTTCACGATTAGTTTCAGCAGGCTTCAAGCCGAGGGTGAACGAACCGATACGATACATCGGGTCGTCGATGATTGCTGCTGAATGACATCTTTTGCTTGCTCAACATACCCTTCCAGCTGAGAACAGTTCTTTCGGGGTCGGACGATTCTCACATGCCTTGCAGTCATATCCGTCCGGGGTGCACAAACCTCGAGGGACTGCCGTTGCCGGTCTCGATTACCTTCGGGCGACCTGAAACTGCCCTACGGCTCACAAGCCTCGACAGGCAATGCCACGCACGTCCACGTGGAAGCCAATCATGCCTCGTTCGTTCGTATGGTTCACCTGAGAACTGGCGAGAGACAAAAAATATATGGCGCGGCTCGGAGTGAGGTGGCTGGCGCCATTGCACGATGTGATGTTTTTCCGCTGAGCTGAGCACGTGGCAAGCCAACGGTATGCCAGGGAGGCGCTCGTTGTCATCCACTTTATCTGAGACAGGGACAATATCGATGTTCTAGAATGTCAATGTTTGTCGGCTTGCACGACTGTGGCTCAGGGGAATCAGCGCGAATACAGTTAGCACTACCGTTTTTTCTTCCCCCTTCCCTTTTGATAGCGCGGGTGTCAAGTCTCAGCATCCCGCGTGGATGGAATATGCCGTGGCAAGCATATCTCTCATTGTCCCCTTCGGGACTTGCGGCTTGTGACTTGTGGTCGTACTCGGCGGCGCTCCCGGACCTGCAGGGTAGGTGCGTCATTATGCAGCTGCACTGCTGTCACTTCGTTACGTCTCGGGTAGGCCATCCGAGCAGAAAGCTGCGGAAGCGGGACTGGCGAATCGGGCGAGCCCCGGCCAGGGCTATTCTACGAATATCCCGTTCTTTCGTTCAGGCGCCGTATTGATTGGTATGCTCGCGTTACCGACTGGCAGGATCTGCAGGTAAGATTATCGAGGGACAGGTTCGTGCATCACGGCACCCTATTCGGTCCATGAACTATTGCTCGTTGGACACACTCCGGATATGATACTGCCAGGGGGTCGCAGCGCTATCTAGTCGTCAGATGCATATGCCCGTCACTGGGACCGCCCGATACTCGGAGGAGCTGTGCTATGAAGCCCGAGTCCATAGCCGCCGCAATGGCGGCACTGCTTGATATGAGGCATGGAAGGATAGAAGCACATCGAACGACACCAGACCATCTCATGGCTTGCTGCATGCACCTACCCGTCTACATACAGGGGCCGGGGACGAGCATTGGTGCAAGTGTATGCCAGAGGGTCCCCCTAGCCAGTCACAGGCCAAAGAAAATAAAGACAACATCTCGGTTGCTCGGTTGCCGGAACTCTCCGAGAAATGTGTTGTGGTGGCCCAAAAGAGGATACCCGTGAGCTCCCGTGCTGTCCATCCCAACCAGGGTTGATGTAGGTTGCCGATGACCACAGAAAAGTTTCAATACCTGCCCAGGTACATCGCACTGATCGCACCAGCTGATCACAAGTCGATGTCCTGTCTCCGTGTGAAATAACATCCATGCCTGCCCCGATTCGGAAGGCATGACGCGAGGTCTCAGAATATCTATCTCCTTGGAGGAGGGTCCGTATCACCTGATGTTGGCTAGCTGTTGTTCGCAGGGCGCCCGCCACGAAACCAGACACTCGCCAACACCGGGTCCAACACCGTTGGCTTCCACGTGTCATGACACGTTATCGTGAACACTCTGACATGGGGTTGCGATGTCAGAAAGCGCCAAGCTGAAAGACTCTAAACTGCAGTTCATGACGGCGGCAGTTGCACCGCCAAGCCTTCCGCAGTCGGAAAGAGTTGAACAAGTGGCTGGGAGTTTGAGTGGACAAGGTCCGGATCGTGACCTGGACGGATTGGTGAGATACGTGTGCTTGTGGCATCCTCGCAGCGTGGTAGTTGCGGTGTCTGCATCCGAGAAGCGTCATCATCACGAGTGTCACATGCACCAGCCCGCCTCGCCTTCACTGCTGTAACCATGGCTTTTCAGAAGTGGCCTGCGATATCGCACGATACTCGTACGTGGCAATGACATTGGAACCTGTGAAATCTAAGCCGCTCACCTGACTGAGGGTTTAGGGGTCAGGAGTCATAAATATAAAAGGATCAGTCCCAGCTGAAATGATCATCCAGAGAACCAGCAGCACCACCTCCAATATCACAGAGTCTCACTTTCTCGAGATAGTCACGAACCCTCTACGGACACTAGAAACTCATCCTTTGTGGATTTATCCCACTCTCCTCATCCCATCATGCCTTCCGAAAACTCCTCGCAGAGCTCTAAGGGCAACAAGAGCTCGAGCAAGTCTCACGGTAAGGTTTCCGGGAGCCATCATTCCCACTTCAAATACTAATGTTACCACAGCTCACTCTGACCATAGCCAGTCCACCTCCAAGCCGTCCACCATTGCCGTGCCTCGGGATCAGTGGGCCCAAGCCCAAGCACAACAACAGGTCGACGACTACAACCAGTACACAAAAATGTGGATGTACAGCAACCAGGGGGAATCCGGCCCATACCATGCCATCGGACAAGTCGAAGCAAACGACCCGTACTATGCCGAGGGTGACAACTCCGGATACTATGCGCCGTCCGCTGCGACCCAGGGTTCCTCCAAGCCCAAAGCCCACCACAAGGACCACGATCACCACAGCAGCAAGAAGAGCGGCCACAAGAAGTCTTCGAAGCACAAGTAATCTCGTGGTTGTTTCTCAGGGCTCCTCAGTGCTCCTCAGATCCTTCAACACTTCTGAGCGAAGTCGGGCAAAGGGTGCTTGGACAAGGCAAGGCTCGGGATATTTCTGGATGACCCGTGTAACAATAGTAGCATGGAAACGGAGGTTATTGTACGAATATAGTCCTCAATACAGAGCACATTCAGGTGACGGCAGCTCAGTATCTGAGTATCTTTGTGGTCCATGTATATGCAGCCTACGCAGCATCTATGATTCCCAGACCCGTGATAAAGCTCGTCAAGATCTGGAAGCATCTGAAGTTTTGGGTTCGACATCCCGCGATGAATAGTCAAGGCGACAGCGGACACCTGAACTATGTAGTGGATGATGCGGACACCTGAACTATGTAGTGGATGATACGGATCCCGAGATGTCGTGGTACCTCACCGGATCCGCGGAGAATCATTGCGCAACCACGAGCCATAGCAAGCAAAATGTGTTTTTGATATGACCTGTAGTATGTTATGTGGGAGCGAGACGAGCCGCCGAGCAGTCGAGAGGGCGTACATAATAACGTTAAAGTTCAGACCTGGGCGTCGGCGCTGACTCGAGGTTCAAACACCTGTGTCAGTGCATACATAAACAGGGTGCGTCTATGTTACCAAGATACCTGTAGAGACTTCTTCCTGCCGTGTTAATTGATTAAAATAATTCTCACCTCAACCTTGCACAGTTGAAGCAGGTGAAGTTGAAAGCCACAGCAGCCACAATGGTTAAGCCACGGGAGCTCGCGATCCACATCAGTCCCACCAGCCACGAAGGTTCGAGGCAGTGCAAGTGCAAATTGACCCATTGAAGTGGCTCGTGCACGATCCTTTTCTGGAACCTGTGAATGGATCCAACCAGGTACGAATCGGCGTCTTCGGCATCCTTGATTCCTTCTGCCATTCATCTTCCATCTCCCCGCCATCCTTCGCTGACATCAATGTCAACATGTCCGTTGCGCTGGTCACGACGGGAGTGATGGTACCTCACACCAGCAGCTCGATAAGTATCCAGTCTGCGTGTGGTGAAATAAGCTGTGAGATCTCACGCCAAGACGAGACTTTCCTACTTTTGCTAGTGCTCTCCCGGCAGGCCCGGTAATCTCGGCTTCAAGGCAATACGAGCTGAAGGTTGCTGGAGGCTGGAGCCTGGCAGCCTTGGCAGTGGGCAGATTTTGGGAAATTGTGCATGACGTTGCAACGGCTGACATATGTACACTCCCTGCATCAATCTTGAGCGCGGTCACTGCATTTGCATAGGTACTGTAGGTATTCTGTCTCCAAACGACTCTTAGTCTCTAACAGCAACAAAGGAAGCTCTGGTTCGGATGATAAGGTATCGGGCTCCCCTCGGAGTATCAGGTGCTGTGGAAATCACACCTAAACATTGTATGTCTTCCATTCAATCAAACGCACGTTCCCCTCATGAATTGTATGACCCGTCAGGCAGAGGCCAGACTCTAAGCTTAAAAAGTCATGCCAAGCCGCCAAGCCGCCAAAGATCAATGGCGCTCCAACTTCAATGTTGGGTACCGGTACGCACATCCGGTGGGATTACACCCAACACCCGATGGGATTGTACAATTGAAGAGTACAGGTACCTGCCCGGTGACAGTTGACTCCATGTCGCCAAGCCTGCCCAGGTGCCCCGAGTACATCCCAGGTCCCTAAAAGTGGTGGCTCAATGCAGGTTGTCAGTGGATTCAGTGGTCACGTTTACCTGTAGACACCTGCACTCTTCGTTTCCGTCTTGCCCATTCTCACTGCTCACTGCTCAGACAAGCGTCCAGCTCCTTTCCATTCCTTTCCCACGACGCCTTCCGCTTCCCCATCCACATCCAACGCATCACCCACTTTCGTTTTCCGCATGGTCGAGCAGCGAAGACAATAATAATGTCCTGCAACTGCTGATCTGATTCCGACGACGCAAACACCCAACTGAGCACACCCGACGCTGTCTTGGCCCTCCAACATCGACACGACGCGACGACAACACACGGCACACCACCACACATCTGACGGATTGTCTATCCTGCCGGCTCGAACCCGTCTCGAACCCGTACCCGACCGACCCTTGGTCATCACCATCCATCGTCATCCTCGACCACTCCCGACCGACGTCGCCAATATCTATAATTCGACTGTCGTAACCCTTTTTCATCGTGTACCCGCAAGCATTCACCCGACGGGCTGCTGTCATACCACACAGCAAACCAAAATAGACGCCCTGCGACGAGTTTCATATCTGCAACCTCTAGTTCTATTCAGTTAACGACATCGAAGTCCGTCCATTTGCCCTTCGGGTCCCAGACAAGACCACCTCTTCTCTATAATACTCTCTACTCGACCAACTTCGCGATGGGTACGCAATGTCCCGCATTGACCTCTTACCTGCTTGTTTTGTGCTTGTCATCGAGTCAATAGTCACTATTACTAACCCCACGCCTCAGCATTACCCAGTACCACGATAATACCTTTCTCGGCCTTGCCCTCTTGCGCAGTCAACTGCGGCCCTCTCTATGACGCCAATGGTGCTTGCGTGCCTCCTGTCGCCACGGCGACCGATGTGGCCAGCTGGGATAGCTGCTTGTGTGGCTACGCAAAGCTTCAGCCTTTCAGCAGCACCTCGGCTGGGGTCTGTGATACTGCATGTACCGCAGATGCCGGCGGGCTGGCCAGCATACAGACCTGGTTCACGAGTTTCTGTGGAGAAAAAGCCGCTGCAACGGCAACGAGCTCTTCTGCGACGAGCTCAAGTACGAGTAGTGGTAGTTCGGCGCACAACAGTCAGGATGGCGGTGGAGACTGGTAGGCCTTTGTTTCCTTGTCCAATGACCCTATAAATCTATGCTTACCTAGGTGTCTGCAGGCTTTCAACACATTGGAAATGGGTTATAATGATCGTCATCGTCGTTGTGGGAATTATAGGCATCTGGGTCGGTGCTTGTATCTGGCGCCGCCAGTACCTGAAGAGAAAGGATCGCCTTTACGAACTCGGCAAGGGATTGCCCAGCAACGTCGCTGTCAACACACAAGGCGCTCTGGTCGGGCCCGGTGCAAGGGATAGCCAGCTTTCCGGGCCCGGTGCGAGGGATAGCCAGTTTTCCGAGCCGGGCATGTTCATGTCCGGCTCAGGTGTTGCCAGCGAGAAGCCCAAGACCGGGAAGAGCTGGAAGGTCAACCAACGAACATGATCAGCCATACGCTCCTTTGCATTCGCAGCTTGGGTTATCAACCATCATTGCCTGTACGACCGCGTCTTGACGCATGTTATTATTACCCGCCATTCGCCGCTATTACGTAGCAGCATAGTATCCACGGCTTGCTTTCCATTGTTAGGGCGTTACCGGAGGGGGTCAGGTGGTTTTGGTGCACCTATATACCGATATTGTGTCTTTCGCTCTTGTTTTGAGTAAAGGGGTCACGAGGGAGATTCTGGGTAGGCAAAGGAAACATGGCGTACGCACGAATGGATGATTTGATATCAAGCGTTAGGGGGCCCTCCCCGTCCTGAAGGAGGAGGGTATGGACCGTGTGGACAGAAAACAAGCGGCGGCTGCTGTGTCGTTTCAGAGGTGTTCGAGTCGCTGCCGGAGAACTGGGGACGCGGACTTGACTGCACATAGCAAGTTCCGCAAGTAGCGCTAATTCTGTATGTACATACAACGACCTTGTTCATGATGAACATGGTCAGATACCGACTGACTCGGAGCCCGTGGCCTGAGCTGGTCACAATACAATACAATACAATACAATACCCTTTTCGTCAGCAGCAAGCCCAGGCTCGTCCTCTAGACAGAACTTGCATCCAAATTCTACTACTCCTCCAGATGTGCCACTTACGTGCCTTGATCCCGGAGGCGACCTGGCACACGAGGAAAGCAAGCAGACACGGCCGTCCGCATTCAGGAACCCGTTGCATTGTGCTCCCGGCATCCGGCACGTCTACCACGCCCACGTCCACGGGATCGGTCGGTCCACGTTGCCGCGCGCGTTGTGGCACCGTAGACAGTTGGCAGGGCTGACGAACTGGGCGCTGGTATGACGTGCGTAGTCATGTTGTAGGGCTGGGTGGTACAGACTGTCAAATGATAGTCGCGTGGGCTTGTTGTGTGTATTTGCTTGGTTTACTAAACACATAGGGTGTGCGCTCCTTCAGCTTTGCCCGTTGGTAGGAGGAAACAACCATCATGTTGCAGGATTCCCATCTCACTGAATGCGCGATACGATCAAGTGTCAAGTCACTTGTGTCTAGCAAGGACTCGTCCAATGCTATGTGTGATGCGAACTAGTATTCGAATAATGAATGATCATGAACCGTAACCCATAACCCATAACCCATAACCTGTCTGTCTACCTATGTGTAATTTTTGTCTGCGGCTTTTCTAACCTCGAATGCTTCCGCCACTTGGGCTCTATCGTGAGACCATCAGGAATTTTTCTATCCCATCTTTCTGAAGCGCCTTCCCGCGGCTTGTTCTTCTCGCTCTCGGCTGTTGAATTCACATTTGTCTATGCGCACGTAGCCATTATGTTCACTCCATCGTGTACTGGGCCGCATCCATATACAGATCGATTAGGCAGCCCGCACTCCACGCCTGTGTGGGACTCGAGTCGGGGCAGTCCTGGCCATCCTTCTGTGTGAGCTCCGTCAAGCCAGCCCATGGGCTTTGCTTAATCATCTCCTTGCACCCACCAAGTCGCCTTGTCACCTGCTGGAAGGCCTCGACACGCCCCTCTTTCGTGCTTCTTCTCTGGAGGTCAAACTTCAGGAGCGCGCGGAGGAAGAACCCAGTAGGCCATAACCATTCGGGTCCCTGATGGTAGTTTCGCCCCTTCGATGTCGCGTAGTCATTCGAATCCTCGCTGTTGACGTAGTACGGCCGGTAGTTCAGGTCTGCTGGGTCGAGCGTGGCCATGCCAGTAGGCCCTCGCAAGACTTTGTCTGCAAGAACCAAGGCACCCATGGCGTGTTCTGGGTTGAAAAGCTCCGGCGCAACGGTCATGGCGATAGCAAAGTTGGGCCGTAACTGGTAATCCTCGTATTCCTTACCGGAGCGGAAAAGGTCCTTGTAGATACCACGTCGGTTCACTATGCTGGAGTTTACAGCATATTGGCCGTCCTCGGAAGAATTGGTTGGTACGTAGTAGCTGTGCTCGAAACTCGACTTGACTAGTTCGGCCCAGGCGGAGAAGGTGATCTCGGAGCCGTCTGGCTTGGTGACACCCTTGTGGGGGTATTTACCCTCAGCATTGAGTTTCGCGAGCCACGTCAAGGTGCTGTAGAGGAGACCTGTGATCTCGATGGCAGCGCCGTCGCGAGGAGTTCCTGGATGTCCCTTGGAACCCGCTTTTTCGCTCTCGCCCATCTTGTCCATCCAGGTACCGCAGTTGTGCTGGTTGCCTCCGAAGATAATACCGTTCGACCAGTCGACGTTGATTGAAATGTTGAACCCTTCGTCGCTCATCTGCATGTCAATGCCAGGCCCGGCATTCGCTTCACGGAACTTCATGCCCGAAGCGTGACGCTGCATAGCTTCTTGGATGACTTCCTGGATCAGGCTCTCCTTCGAGTATGCTCTGGGGTCATCAGAGTCGAACCATGTGTCGTCGTATGGCAGGAATCTCCTCTTGACCTTTTTCGTCAAAAGTTTCAACCCATCTGGCGCATATTGAGTGTAGTCTTGGATACATTGAAAGAAGAACCAGATCGAGTCACGGCTGTTGTACCTTGGAAGGTTTCCACTGCCCAAGAGGTTGGGGATCATGCCATGCTTGAGGACACTGGCAAATGCGAATATGTGCTCGGCGGCTTCGTCGAACCGGCCAGTCCCTAAATAGAGACCACGCAGGGATATGAAGACATCCCTACCCCAGCATCGTGCCCATTCTACAGCGAAGTGTGGCAACCCGGCAGCAAGAGACGGGACCAGCTTCTTCGGCCAGAGCGAGCCTGACTTGACCAGGCCCGTTTGTTGCACACTGACCATGCCCAGGCTCTGGAGGAACCACTGACCATTGCGCACATTGTCGTTGGTCAGCTCTAGGCCTCTCTCCCACGCCGCCATGTACGCGGTCCGTAGGACAAGCGCAAAGTAGCGGGGCAGGAGGAAACTTGGGATGCTGCGAATGGCTTCGAACCTCTCCTTCAGCCATGCTGCTGGCTTGGCAAGTCCCGCAAACTCGGGCTCTTGACTGATTCTCTCAAGACGTCCGGCTATGAAGTCCAATGCCCATTGACCGTCGCGGAGGTTTTGGCAAAGTGGGTGGGCCAGGTTGTTGTCTTTGATGATATCTTTCATCAAACTCCACCAGCCCTGAAGACCGGCGTACACAATCTTGCCATGGCCCGGGATGTCATAAACGCCATCCTTACCTGCACTGCCATCGCGCTCTTCAGGTTCGCATCGATACAACAGAAAGTTGAGGTCAACCAAATCCAACTCCGCCATCGCCGCCTTGGCCCCAGACGTGACGTAGTGATCCAAGCCGGTCGAATGCTCCGCAGCTGGAATCCAAGTTTCGAACAGGGCAATGCTTCCCGGCGGGAACTTGTCGCGGACCGTGATGACAGTTTCATCGCTCTTGACTTCCATGCGAATACCTGGCACATCCACTACGCGGCTCGGAAGGCCTCGCAGATACTTCTTGTCGCTTTCCACATCCTTCCGGGCTTCGTCGCCCGCATCGACTTCCAGCATCCAACTTCCCAGATGGCGCGCCTTAGTGCCGCCAAGATGGACAGCGCTGAATGCGCCGTTGCCATTTCCATAGCCTGGATACGCAGTGTGGGCGATTAGGAAGTAGCCTTTCCTTGATTCGGGATGTACTCTGTGAACTGTGACATACTGATCCTCATGGTGGACGTGCGTTTCGTCGTAGCCATCCTTGCCCATCAACGTATGAATCTGGTTGAGCAGTTTCTTGACGCCACCAATACCACCTTTGCCACCGCCGACCTTGATGTCTTTTGCTGACGATGACTCAGATGTGTAGAGTCTTGTCTCATTGACCAGGTCGACAAGCTTTGGGTAGATCTCGTCGTAGCCCATGACGCTTCCTGTTGCGCTGGCACACATGCATACCAGCGCAGCATTTGGCAAAGTGTCGCGCGCATCCCGCTTCTGCGCAGGAACTTCGTTGTCGTGTGTACAATCCATAAACAGTGCCTGAATCGGGACAGGCTTGATGTTGCGGATTACCTCCCGCGTCGTCCCTGCTTCATTGGGCCCAGGACTAGTAGGGGGACTGCCACTGTTGTTCCCCTTAGTGACTTCATCGACCTCAAAACTGCCAATCGGCCGGCCGCCATGACGGTGCACCAATCTGCTGAGTTCTCCGGTGCTCCAAGCTTGCATGGCTTCCCGGATTAATGAGCTCAGACCAAGCCTCTTCACAAAGACATAATCCATCTCTTCAGAACCCGTGAAGAGCTCTGCCACAACGTACAGATTCGGCCGTACTCGCCGAGCTTCATCTAGTATGTGCTCTGCGACGTGTAGGGGTGTTGAGTGACAGTTGTCGATCCGGAACCCGGCGAAGTATTTCGCCAAGGTGCGAGCGTACTTTGTCATGTAGTCCCACAGCCACGGACTATCCTGAGGACCGCTGCCGTACCGGAGCTTGACGCAGTCTCCCCAAACGATGACTTCTCTGCGTAGATACACCCGAGACTGCGGGCCGGCATTGTCAACCAGGGCGTTTCCAGCCCAGACCCAGCCATTATTTACAAGCACAAGGTCTTCGGGTGTTAAATTGCTCGACGCTTCTGCCTTGTCCAAGCGAGTGAAGTAAGACTCGATCAGAGGATTCTCCTCGTTAATCACACCAAGTTTCGGGCCATGGTCATCGATGCGAACATACTTGATCCTGTTGAAGAGCTGCTGCAGGATGTCCCCAATCTCCTTGTCGTATTCTTCGTAGTAAGGAACGTTGACCACGTCGAAAAGCGCGGTCAGTTTGGAGCGGATGACTGTCTCATCAGCTTCTCCACGGTACTTGCCAAACATCGCGGCTGCCAGTGCAGCGGAGACCTGAGGATCGATGCGCCTGCGGAAGCGCGAGCCAAGTCGGTCATTTCTAAGCAGACCATTCTGTGTAAGGTATACAGCCTGCTCTGTCAGGCTGGCGTCTTTGAGATGATCAACGTCACCGCCCACAGAGCCATTGGGAACACTTAATTTTCCTGCGGACCATGATTCAATGGCAGCATCGACATCCCTGTCAACATCAATTGCATAGTATTCCCAGAGACGAATCTCGGCAACCACGTGCTTCTTGATACCATCCATGACCTTGACAAGGTCATCGGTAGACTTCAGCTCCTTGGGGTATCCCAGCTCCTCTAACTGGGAACCAAACTTCAGCAGCTGGGTGTCGAGCAGATACGCAGATTCCAGCCAGGGCGCCGTGTTGAGGTTGTATCCGGCATCGGGGTGTTCCAGCAGCCACTTGCTGTTGTTTGCGGTGTGGTTGAGGACTATGTCGGTCAGACTGAGGAGCGAATGGTTCTGTTCCAAGCTTTGAACCATCTGCTGCACGTCCTTCTCCCCTTCTGGGAAGCACTGGGGATCCCATCCCAGCTGATCGTACAAGCTGTATGGAGAATTTGAAGCCCCACGCACTTGGAGAGGTGTGAAGTGTATCATGTTGTATCCACGGCCACTGATGCCCCGCAGGTGTTTTTCCCAATCAGACGGGTATTTGCCCATGAATTTGCTGATTACGGAGAAGACAGAGAGCGCGGGCAGAGGCAACGGCCGTCCGTCCAGGGAGAGACGCGGAGCAACATCGATGTAGTAGAGCTGGGTATTTTTGGTTTGGGTTGAAGCTGACTCGCTGGAGCCCACAGTGCTCGACAGCTCGGGGAGCTCAGCGTACGTGGTGTAAAAGGCGAATGCACCGGCTTCGTAGATAGGAATGGAGATTTCGAGGGTTCGATTGAAATCGGGCTCTAGTCTGGAACTTCGGTCAGTATGCCTTCGAACCTTTCAAAGAACACAATCCACATACTTGTATTCCCGGAACTCGTTTCTGTGGAACTCGTCGCCTCGCTCCGGAATGTTGACCCAGAGGCTGCCCTGTCGGCATATGGAGGAAGTGCCCTCAATGGCGAAACGAACTGTTATTGGATCTTCAGACCGCGTGGCCAAGTAAATATACTCGCCCGGTACAGCAGGAGCGCCATTGTCCTTCAGAGGTAGGACATAGACCTCGTTCGAGGTCATGGTACGGGGAATCATGACTGCGCGTGTCACAGCAGCCTGTTGTGTCTCAGCGGGATATCAATTGGCGTCGAGTAGGACGTCAGATGCGCAATGAGGTCAGGACACGGCGCAACGTAGGGAACCAGAGTGGTTCAATAATATGACTGTTGGCAACAGCCAATGAATAACAGAGGAGGGCACCGGCCAGGAGAAAAGGCAGTGGCAGAGAGGGCTGAGTATGGATTCAAGGAACTTTTGATATCGCCCTGACAGGTGAAGTTTTGTCTAGGTACAAAAAGAGAGGAACGGGAGGCGGAGCTAGAGGTTGTAAAGGTCAAGCGGTGCTTACACAACACAAGAGCGGACGTAAGCTAGGAGTAGGTGTACCAAGCAGTCGGACGACGTGAGGACGTGACGACGCTCAAGCGCTTTGGGGACAAGCCTTGGTTTCGTCGTGGGTGCAGACCGGGTAGGGTAGAGGTAAAATGTAGAAGGGGAGGGATGAAGATATGGATATGGATAGGTATCTACATGTGAAGTACCAGGCAATGAGCTTCAAGTTTGCAATCGGGCGATGACACTGCCGGGTTGTGGGACGGGAGCAGGCATGCAGGAAGACGCCGGCGGAAGGAGCCAATGAGAGATGCGACGCAGACCGCTAGAAGCTGCCCTTCTCCTCAACGCTTGTGGGATTGTGGGAAACATCGATTCGCATCGCGAGATCAATAAATCAATAAAATGTGCCCCTCTGTCGATCCTTCCCACCAATGGCAGCGGCTGGTATGGAGCGTGAAGCTGCATGGCCTCCATCCTGCCTGCTGCCTGCCTGCCTTGCCCACCAACACCCGCGCATCCATCTGGACAGTGGAGGCGGGCACGGGGCACGGCGGGGACTCCTCAACGCAATGGCTTTTGCTCCATGGGGAATCTCTTACGCACTGACGTAACGAAATTCTAGCGCAGTCAATTACAGGTGGAGGTTGGAAGTGGCCCCAGTAGCCCGGCAAGCTGGCGGATAGTGGCCGAAGCAAGTTTGCGACGGGCTCACCTCCAACGCCTGTTCAGGACAGCCTACGGAAGTCCGAGGCAAGGTACATTGCGTCCCTGCGCCCGTTCCTGAAAATCATGTTTATTCCTGGCCCATCACTCGACCCCAGCCTGCAGCAGTGTGATGATGAGGCTCACTCGTCGAGATGGCAGGAGGGGTGGTACCGGGCCGCTTTCGCCTTGTTGCAGTTCATGACCCTGTCATGTCAGTGTGGGTGGATATCGCGTCTTGTCTACCAGTACCGATACGTTCTGAATCGGTAGTTGCATGAGTGAGAACGGACCGACTCGTGTCGATGGCAGATTTTCAACGAAAGGAGATGTCCCCCATGGGCCATAAGCAAAATATCCCTCCCACATGTTCAGGAGAGTTATCAGAAGTGATGGCTGCGCAGCTTGCGAAGCTCGGGACTCGGGAAGAGTCCCCTCGATTCGACCAATGGCACCGCCGTGAGCCTTTCCCTGCTACAGTCTTCGGCCCCCAGATTTTCCTTATCTTGCCCACGGGGATAGAGCCTGGGAGATCTGCTGCTGCACCATGACCGGTGAACAATGTTATGTTCACCGCAAGTACTGGGTCGTAATAGGTATATGGAAAATCACTGAGGTTATTTCAATGATTCCAGCGAATGTAGAGCAGCTATAGCTCTGACTCGACTGACAAAAGCTCTGGCTCGTCTACGTACGAACGTCAGTACCATTAACGGGTGATTGGTGTATTAGAGCTTTGAGAAGCAAAGACGATGCCTACACAAGGTAGCAAGTAGTACTTTATCCAGGCGCAGCTGCAAGGGCGCGACACCCAAAGGACCTAAACAACCTTGGACACGATGTTGCGGTTGTAATGGAAACTAAACGTTGTGACGGGCAACGCCCCATTCCCATCCCGGTTTGAGGCCCCCTGAGTTCTGGTCTTGCCCGACTTCAGATTAATCCGCGTCTGAAGAAACTTTAGGGTTGGAGCCAGACACGATAGGAGTTCGGACCATGATAAGCGTCACTTAAGTGTTCTAGTAACAACCTTGATGAGTTGTTGGTGAGCGTGATTGGTCATAGATCAGACGAACAGGCGCCTCTAAGGGATAACGAGGAAGCCCCTGTCTTCAACGCCAACATGCACACATGCACCTCAGCGGCCCGAACGCTGTGCGAGCTTCGTCGAACTACCATGTAAGTCAGTACCGACATCTGTTTTCAAAGGCAACGTACTTATCACTTGGCTATGCGATGCCTCGGACGGTGTCATAGCTGGCCGGAGAGGACTTGCGCGCAGCCTCGGTCTTCTTGGTTCAGTCAGAAAAGGTCCTCGGCAAGGAGGATCTCGGGCCCTGCCGCCTGTCAGATGCAATTCTTAAAAATGACATGGCAATCTCGTCAGCTTTCGCCTGGGTTCTTGGATGGATCCCCTCAGTGGAACAGAGCCAATCAGTGCAGAGCAAGCAGTCGCTGAGCCGGGGCTGATTTGTGCAACGGGCAAGCGGTGAGCGCACGTGCGGATTCTGCCTCATCAGCTGCGTCATTCCAGCGTCTTCACAGTTGTTGGTGGGTGGCAGGTTCCACACAGACTTGGGAGGCGAGACTTGGGAGGCGTATCGCATCCCTCGGATTGATCTCGGTCTGTTTCTTGTCCGCTATCACATGCATGTGGGCAACCACAAAATCGTAAATATTCTGCTCACCAAAACGAACTACTACTACTTTAGTCTGTCAGCGCCTCTATGAAAGTGTTTTGTCTTCTGAGAACTGCAGGCCCCCCTCCATCTTTCAAAGCTACACGCTCGCTCCCAAAATACCTGCCCCTCCTTAGACGCTGCTTCTCGTCGCAACCCTCCAAGATGACGCCCGGACTTCTGAGTGTCAATGACAAGAAACACAAGGTGACGGTGGTCGGCTCAGGCAACTGGTAGATGCCCCCAACACTGTACCTATCTATCTATCTCAACTAACTTTGCGCGACAAGGGGCTCGACCATTGCCAAGATCGTTGCCGAAAACACCAAAGCCCACCCAGAGCTCTTCGAAACAGACGTTCAGATGTGGGTGTACGAGGAAGAGGTTACATATGACGACAAACCCCAGAAGCTTACGAACGTCATCAACACCCACCACGAGAACGTCAAGTATCTTCCCGGCGTCCCACTTCCGACAAATCTCATCGCCAACCCGTCACTCGAAGATGCCGTCCAGAACGCGTCCATCCTGATCTTCAACCTCCCCCACCAGTTCATCAACAAGGTCTGCAGCCAGCTCAAGGGAAAGATTGTCCCCTTTGCTCGCGGAATCTCCTGCATAAAAGGAGTCCACGTCGCCGACGATGGCGTGTCTCTGTTTTCGGAATGGATTGGCGACGGCCTGAACATATACTGCGGTGCCCTATCAGGAGCCAACGTCGCTTCCGAGATCGCGGCTGAGAAGCTATCCGAAACGACCATTGCCTATGACCCGCCGCCCATGGACAACTCCCGTAACCCTTCTCGAACCGCAACTCCGCGCTCCTCCTCCCCGCATCCGGGTACGTCGGGAGCCGAATTGAGTATAACACCCCTGGCCGACATGCAGCATAAGGATGCTCGCGGTAGGGTCAGCAAGACGAAGTTGGTCCCTGTGCCGCAGGAGTACCCGCCGCTTGACCACGAGACATTCAAGACACTATTCCAGCGACCTTACTTCCTCGTGAGCATGGTCTCCGATGTGGCCGGTACCTCCCTGGGCGGAGCTCTGAAGAATATCGTTGCTCTGGGAGCTGGCTTCGTGGTCGGGAAGGGATGGGGCAACAACGCAAAGGCAGCAGTCATGCGTGTTGGACTGCTGGAAATGATCAAGTTCGGCAAGGAATTCTTCGGGGAGGCCGTATCAGTTTCTACCTTCACGGAGGAGAGCGCGGGCGTGGCAGACTTGATCACAAGTTGTGACGGAGGCCGAAACTTCAATGGCGCAAGGATGTGTGTCGAGCGAGGTGTCCCTGTCGCTGAGATTGAGAAGACGGAGCTAAATGGACAGAAGCTGCAGGGTACGAGCACAGCAGCTGAGGTGAACTCGTTCCTGAAGCAACGCGGTCTGGATGAGCAGTACCCGCTATTTACAGCGGTTTTCGACATTATCGAGGGACGAAAGACAGTTGACGATATCCCAGCGATTTTGGCAAAGGCACAATCGTAAAGTCTAGAGGTCTGCATCAAGCTAGAAAGGGGTAGAAAGAGTCGAGCAGAGATATAGACCGCGGGGACACCTCTGTAGACATAGAATTCAGCGGAGGCCAGGTAGCGCTTTGAGATACTATAGATCAATCCCCGCTAACTGTATATCCTTCTGGTCGCAACACCTGTGTAATCCCATGCTTTATCGAGAGACAAGACACAACAATGTCCCATACAATGTTGGCAACTTCACTGTAGCATCATGTCTCGATATCTTTGGCGGATACACCGCATTTTCACTGCTAGCAGATTGTGTCTCCAGGTATCCAGGATGGTAATGGTTAGCGGTTCCACGTAACGGGGACCTTTGGGCCAGTTGTAAACACGCAGAGTTCCGATCTACAACTATCCGCAACGGTGATAGGTAGAACTTTATGCGGTGGGAACTTTCTCGTTAGGTACGTGTTCTAATGGGAACCGCTAACCATTACCATCCTTGCTACCCGTAGTAAAAGAGCGGACAATGACTGAAAGGGAGAGCGAAAGTGCTCATATTCATGGAAAATACCTACCCGGCACAAATCTTCAACACTACCAGCAAACTCTACCAGTCCCCAAGCAAAGCACTTTTCTCGCTTCCCCATCGACTCCCTCCGGCCCCTATTCCCCCAACCCCACGACCTATCCCACCCTCATCCCCGCCGTCATCGTCCTCCTCCAAAGTCCTTTCCCCATCCCCAAACACAGGCTTAAACACAGAATCATACAGCATCCACATCAGATTGAACACCACGTTCATGACGACCACGAACCAGCGGGGCACGTTCCCATTCCCGTCGCTCAACAGCCCGCGCAGACGTATCAGCGCGAAGATGAAGGGGATGGCGAATAGCGAGAACAAGAAGCGGCCGACGGCCTGCCGATGCGTAGTGATGGTGTACGCTGGCAGTGCTGCGAGGTACGCCTGGTAGTCGTCCGGCAGGTAGTGCTCGGCGGCGCCGTCGCGGAGCAGCTTCAGGTAGCGCGGCGAGGGCTGCGCGTAGTACGGGGCCGGGCGGCGGACGGGCAGGAGGAGCTTGCGGAACCATTTCTTTTTGCGGGGGTCGTGGTCGCCGTCGTCGCCGTCGTCCCTGATTATATCTCCGTTTTCCCCTGTGTTCTCGTCATGGCTGTCTTTGCCATCGTCGTCGTCATCGTCGTCGCCGGGCAGATCCGGCAGGCGCGGCGCGTACAGGGTGTGTGCTAGGAATGGCCGCGGCAGTTCCGGAACGGGCGGCTTCTCGGGCACGCGCATTGCCGGCGGCAAAGCCAGGCACGGCGTCAGCACGTCGTGGTAGCTGGCGCCGCCGCCCTCGGTCTTGACGATCGTCGCGTAGTCCTCGGGCGTCACCTCGTACACGACGCCGAACAGGCCCTTATTCCACGTCGGGCCGGGATCCGGGAGGGAGGGGAAAGCGACCGAAGGGGCATCATCGTCATAATCTGTGTACGGCGGCAGCTTCGGCGGGTCGAAGGGGGGCGGCTTGGGGATCCTGCGCGGAGCGGTGTTGGCGAAGCAGGGTTCTTGGTACGGCAGGCCGGGCAGGTCGAATGTCAGGTCGAATGCCGGCGCCGAGACGTTGATCTGGCTGATGGGCCGGATGCCGCGCACGCCGAGGAAGATCTCGGCGCAGAGATTGGAGCCGTAGGCGAGGTAGAAGATGGTCGAGGCCGTGGCGGACGGGTCGTCGACGGGGGCGAGGGCGAGGCGCTCGGGGGAGGTGCGCGGGATGCTGGAGATGGGAGGGTAGGACATTGGCGACGGCGCTCGACGGCGGTAGTGCGGAGATGCCCAGATTTGCTGGAGGAGGCTCTGGGCTTGCTGGTAGGGCTCGATGCGGGTGTCGCGACCCCGTCCTTCCTCCATCACCGTCGCCGACCCGTGGGCGTTCATCATCGGTAGACCGTTGAGTCGGGAGTTTATGTGGGTTGGTCGATGGCGTCTCACGACATCATTCACCTCATGTGCGAGACTTGATCAAAGAAAGCCAGGTGAAGGCACTGCCTAATAGGGTTTGAGAGATCCTGGTTTACGTAGAAGCTTGAGCTATTGCGATTCAATTCAATCTAGGTACGTTGGATGACGGGATGGATAGGAGCTGGATGCTGAATAATGCGTGTTGGGCGTGCCCGGCCGCGCGGTCTCCACACCGTTGGTGGCGAGACTCGTTAGTGGACTATCCTCTACATTGTGGATCCAGTGCATGGACCCATATGGAGTATTCTGGAACCCCACCAGATATGTTGGAGGTTACCTGATGAAGGCTGCCTGGCAACCCTTTGTTGCCCCAGGTACCTCACCACTGTAATTTAGGTATTTAGATACATCTCGGATGGAATCCTTTCCATCCGACCTTTTAATCAAGCACCACACAGACCACTGATAGATTACAACAAGACTTGTGATTTGTCAGCATCTGGGAAAGCTACCAAAAGGCACAACATGTCGATATGTAAGCACATGTAAGCACATGTAGTTGTCCTTCTGACTCCTAATAAGCCAGTATAAGTTTCTAGTCGAGCAAGCTAGCAAAGGAGGCCAAGCCATCATAGAGCCATCGAGATGTCGCCTACCAAATTGATTGCAACGGTATAGCTAAATATCCCTATAAACTCTTGACCTTTCCCTAATTTATACTGACCATGTTAATTGAGGACAAACCCCATCAGCACTTGTCCTAGCATGATCGAGAATAAGAATTAAGACGAAAGAATGGCTGATCGCCCGAAAGCACCCGAGTGGACTTGATCTAGAATAAACTACTATGTGGGCGTTCCCTTCAACTCCGAGAACTGGGTTCTGATGCTAGCACTGATTACGAGGGGCTTCAACCCAACGGGCTACTTTGGTCATTGAATATTTCCGTCGCAATGAGAGTTCCCATTCAGCTTCTCTAGATAAGTAGAATCGACTTGGTATCCCGATCATCCGACTAGCACTCCTCCCATTTCTTCATCGCTTGACTCTGCATCTATCTGCTCCTCCTCTTCCTCTTCAGCGCACATGGCCTGAACAGGATCGTTGCGCTCGGGGAACCTTTCGTACTTCGTTGTGCGGCTGAAAGAGACGTGAACGGGCACGATGGTTGTTTTGGTGCCAAACAAGGGCTGTGCGGGGCTATGATATATTGCCCAACTGTCTTCGCGCGCGGGGTTGTCTGTAGCGACAGTGGCATCTGCTTCTTCGGAGTATGACCACGTATCTCTGAGGGAGGAGTAAGAGCGAGACTCCGTGTCTTTTTCCATCAGGAAGGCTCCATCTGTGAGCTTTCGCAAACTCTTCCTCGTCTGGGATCTATCCCGCTGATGCCATGAGCCGTCTTTCCAGTGCCAGCGCTCTCGATTGTAGCCAGAGCTCGAGGTCAGGGTTGTGAGCCTGAGCTGGCTACCTGACATCACAAAAGATATCGTCAAGCGGCCGTTTCGATATGTCATGTCGGTTTCAGAGCGCCACACCTCGAAGCCAAATATTCCTCTGGAGGCACTCGTGTGGCGGACCGGGTTCAAGAAGAATACACTTCTCTGTGAATCCCAACAGCCCTCTACCTCCAGTACCTGATAACCTAATTGAGCAAGAGCCCGGTTTTCGAACGTCAACAATATCCCGTGATTGAATTCTTCAGCCGACGGTTGATTCACGAAAGCACGAACCCTCGATTCGGATCTGGCAACGTAGTAAAGTCCGTTCGCTGATATCCAGTGGCGGGAAATCTGAGTGGGCGAAGGCGGAAATTTCTGTCTAGCCCATGTGGCAGCATGGACCGACCGACGCAGCGGGATCCCAAAACGGGAAATTATTTCGGCTTTCCCAGGCTTTTGAAGATTGCGGGCATTCAAGATGACAAAAACATATCCTGCAGCATCAACGCTTCCGAGTTGGATGGATAAACCAGAATTCGTCATCGAAAACGTGGAAATACTATCTGATTCGGCTGGAACGAAGTGCCCACAACCCTCAAATACGGCAGGCGCAGGGGACAGCATGCTGGCCCAGTCTGGGGGGACAATGCTCTCGATCCAGTTCCAACAAAAGATTGTGTGGTCGTTGGACACTCGGATCAGCTCTTCCTGGAGCCTGAGAAAGGCCTTGGATCCTTCACCGTATAATAAGGGCATGTTGAGGTCAAAAATACCAAGCATGCAATAAGCCATGTCTTCGACTCTGGTTGTCTGCCTTCTCGACAGCCACGACATTCTTTGGGCGATGCTGGCCCTTGAGAGGTCTTTTATGTCGATGTATTCGTTAAAACGTTCGTCAGAAAGTTCCTCGGAAAGTTCGTCAGAAAGGTAGCTTTCAGGAATTCCCGTAATCTGCAACACCAGAGTTCTCTTCTCTGTTCCGGAACCGAGTGGTAGCCAGTTGCCATCATAATAGACGAGTCTGCTTGGAGCCAATAATTCCTGTAGGGTCCAGCCTCGAGTGAACCAGCGGCTCTTCCGCATGGACGATTCCACATCGTCCTGAGCAGACACGTCTTCCAAGTACGCGTAGCAGATAGCGGAGTCCTTGTACCAATTGTACATTGAATTGATAGCTTCGCTCAACTCTGACAAGCTGGGTTTGTCGATGCAGTTTGTATCGCACCATAGATACTGTAGGTTATCCTCTTGGGCTTGTCGACAGGCTCTGCAAATCTTTGCGTACCCAGATTTGTGTCTACGCCTCTCGCGATCATGCCATTCCTGAAAGGTGACTTCCTCAGGCCCCGACGTGTCACAAGATGGCGTAGGGTGGGATACTTCCTCCAAAATATTCTTCGAGCTGCAGAGTGTGAACGTTGATGAGCCGCATGTTGGCTTGGGCCAAGGTAGTCTTGACATGCCACTTGAAGTTTGACGGGATCTTTGAATAGAAAGGACGAATTTTGGGGGGAAGCCCCTCGGAAATGCCAGCGTGGATTCAAACGAATGAGCCCCGCTCGCTTGCTGACGTAGCAGTCCTGCCTGATGCGATCGAGGCTGTGTCAGACCCTCGATTGGCTGCTTGGGATCGACATTGTATGATTTTTGATTGGTGTCTGTCGGTATCTCAAATCCCTTTAAGATGTCATTCCTACTGAGAGCGAATAGCCCACGACTCAGCTTGCACCTGTTTGATTCACCTGCAGAAGCTTCTCAAACCGCCTTGTGTAAGTAAACATAGTCACCGATATTCGAAAAGTCCCCGTTGGGGTTAGGAAGTGGTGCAAGATAAATATAAGATTACTCAGTAGCCTGTATTTCATCATGTGATTATATTCTTGGAGTCCAATGTTCGAATCAGTAAGTCATGTGTTTCCTACATCAGAGACATATATATTTCAAGTCTGTCTCGGGAAATCCTTCTCTTTCAGATCCTGAAGAAGCACCTAGAGCCGTCCACTGCCCACACAAACGCCAAAAATGAATGCCAACTTATGTGCTGACCTACCCGTAGTGCTAAAGCTGATGCCTGGCCTTGAATCTAACTACTTCACCACACCACAAACCTCAGCGTACCCAACAACCGACCCAGTCCCAAGCTACCCCAAGGTCATCGAAATGACCCCTGCCAAGTTAAATCAACCGGTAAGTATGCCACTATAAATTTGATCACCTCAAGAGCACCCACTGATATCTTTAAAGACAGATACCAATGCCAAACGTGGCAGCGACAACCACAAGACCATAGCCGATCGTCAAATGGCACCTAGTTGCACCAACCACACAGCGGCAATGTCCTGCACCACTGTCAACGGAGGAACGGGGGTAGTTACAGGCGGTTCGGTTCACAGCGGGTTCAACGCATATGAGGTTGCTGTGGTTATGTTGGTAGCGGTCGCCGTGGTCTTCATCCCTCTCCTGACTCGATGCTCACCATAGAGACCATCATGATCATTGGTATAATTAGATAGAAGAACACTTCTGGCCCGGGAAAATCTGAATTTCCTAGGGTGAGATGCATGACGTAGGACTTAAAATTGGTATCTATGCTGTTTCGTTGCCAAGCATTGACTTCCATATCAAATCAGAAACGTGTCGTACCACCGGCAACCATCACAACCACCACCTCCCTCAGAAAGCCTTGTTCACCCCTTCCCAATCTGGGTTTTCCGCCTTCCCCCTAACCAAATCACCAGGCCAACTAGCTCCAGGCGCCTTAACACCCCTTCCCTCATCATCCGGCTTCCCGAGAACCTGATCCGTGACAGCATCACCCAGCACCTTCTCAATCTCCCCACGCGGGAACAACCCCTCAAACCTCTGAACCTCCTCCGCAGTCGTAAGCGGCATCGCAGCAGAAAGCTTGAAATCCATCCCAACCGCCAACCGAACCAGACGGGCGAGAAGAGAGATACGTTCAGCGATTCCACGAGAAGTATGCAGAGCGATGGCGACCCAGACTTCGTGCTTATCCTGTTCCGAGACATTGCCGCCGTGGTGGGTGAGGAGTGAGACTGCAGCATCGCCGCCTTCGACTTCGAAGCGCTGGGGTCCGTCGTGCGAGGCGCAGGTGCCCATGTCGTGGCATATGCATGCTGTAAAAAGTAGGGGTAGGCGGTCGGGAGTGGCCCAGTCGGAGTGTTCGCGTTCAGCGAGAGCTTTGGCGAAGAGGTAGACGCGCAAGCTGTGAGCTAGGATCAAAGGGTGTAAATTATTGGCAGCGTAGCTATAAACGTTACGGGAGAGGTCGTCGTTGGGTATGTGCTCTAATGCGCGCTCATCCGTGCCTGCACGATTGGAGCTAGAGGGCGCGCTGGCTGCGGCTGCAGCACCGGAGATAGGTGGACACATGATGCCTTGACGATGGTCAGACTGTTCCAGGAAGATCTTCAATAAGTAGAAGTGCTCTCAAGTAGTACTGAGTGGCCTATGGAGCTTGGTCATCGAGCTGAGGTCAATGAGATTTGTAAGCAGAACCCACCTTCATACCGTATTCACTAAGTAATCTCAATTCGAGTATCCCTGTCTAGCGCGAGTGGCTTACGCGCGAAAAAGAGCCTCACCAGCCTCAAGTGGCTTCTCTTTGAGATTATCTGTTATCAAGCCACAAGTAGATGCGGCTGGTGCTCTGATTTTCGCGCGCAAGCCACTCGCGCTAGACAGGGGACTCCGATTGAGATTACTTAGTGAATACGGTGTGTAGAGGTACGGCACGGTTGACACACACCGACATATACGGGAACAGATTCGGTTCCTGCCAGCGCTAGCTTTTGCTCTAGCTCCCGTTGTCGATCTCAGTTTGTCCATTTCTGTAGCAGTGTGTGTTAAGCAGCTAGCACATCAGGTATAAAGAGCATAACTTATGTACTGCTGAATGTAAGGATAGCTAATTAAAATACTATCCGTTAGTACAGTTTAACCAACTGCATCCCTTATAAGCTCTTGACTTTTTATTGAATATTCTCCAGTTGGAATGTGGTTTGATTCTACGTTGACCACATGCTTACCCCTATCAAGCCCAAGCCCTGAACTTGTAGACCATAAGACTCGGCCTCGGCCCTTTCTAGGCTTCTCAATGTCGTGGAAAAGCAGGTGCAAAGTCACTCTGAGTGATTGGACAAGCACCGAAAGTTCTCACTCTTAATCGGCTAGAATGTGGCTTGAGGAGTACCAAGTAAATTGCGCATCTGTAAACTCTAAAGTAATAAGCTTTCGCTGCCGCCAGTTTCAACACGCCTCTGTAGGTCGACAACAACTAACTCATAGTAAGCGGAGATACCTCAAACACTTATATAAACTGATCCCCCAGAATGGTGGGGCTGAAATAAGTCGGAGCCAAATCCTTACTATCACTCACCAAACAAGCAAGCATTTCTGAACGAACTCAACACCAACGCATCCATCATGATAATATCCAGAAGATTCTTCTTGGCCGATTCGGCCGCCACCATGCCACGGCTCTACAGAGTCAACGCAAACATCGAAAAGAAGGACAGCAAGAACAGAAAGAGCACCAAGCACAAGTCCACTGTGAACGAAACCGAGAAGAGCACCACCCGGCCCAGTGAGCAAGTGCGAAGCGAGCCCACCATCACGGTGCCACCGCTCTACGAAGTCAACCTCGCCTACAGCAGCGATTTATTCGACCCCAGACCCGTGCGGCCTATACACGTGCCCTCATTCGAATCCATCGCCGAGACATGGGAGACCGAAAGCCACGCCGTGCCCGTGGCCGAGGCCGTGAAGCCCGACACTGTCCCCCGCCCCATCCAAACAAAAACAACTATTTTTCTTGGCGCCCCGCTGTTAGGGCGCAACCTTGATATTTGCATTAAAGCAGGCACTTCTCTCAGTAACTGACTATCTCTGCCAAGGCACAAACCTTTTTTTCTTACAAGCCGGATGGCACCCTTCCACGACGGGCCCTCAAACATGCCCATGGCCGTCCTAAAGACGACCACCGGCGGCATGCTCAAATCCCCGGCCCCTAGAAAGACATACGGCCCGGCAACTCCGAGCAGGCTCTGCCAGGCGCTGCTTGACAACATCAGCAGCAGTCCGTCACAGGTCTCTGAGACTGACTTCATTATTATTTCCCCTCTAAAAGGAAAATCCTGAAATATTAATGCCAGCAGCACCACTGGAATGAAATGACTTTAATTGAACGAAATCTCGACAGATCAAGCCATTATATGCAATATAAGGAATAAAACCTTCTCCTCAGTGTGCCAGGACCAAGTTGCCAGAATACTGGCTGAAAACAAGCACCTCTATAAAGCCAGGATGACAATGTTTCAAGAGTGTGCTACAGCAATTAATAAAACACTTGAGAAAGCTGGAACCGAACTATACTCTCATGCCAAGGAGTTCAGCGCTTTCTTCTCTAAATGTCTGAGCGAGTGGCTAGAAACCCGAGATCCGCTCAAAAAGAAGACCATCTTTGGGGGGATAAGGATGGTAAAGCCCACCATGACCTTCGCCCAAGCTGTCTCCTCTAGCCAACGACAGTATTCACGGACAGTCAACATTACCATAAAGAAAACATAGCCTGGCACCCTTATCACTACCAACCAACTGAAGAAGAAACAGGAAGATCTCCAGGTCTTTGTCCGCATGGATAATAGCCATCTAAAGCCTTACGGAATAAAGTCTACACTGAACAGAAGACTTAAGCTCCACCCTTAAGAGCTTAGAGAAATGACCCGATGCCCCTCCGGATTTATCTTATACCTAAGGGACAAGCCAACTGAGGCTAAGCTCCTGGCCTTCTAAGAAGAAATCACCGACATTCTCAAGACAGAAAAGATCGAGACCCACACGGTCTGGCATCACTATAAGGTCGATAGATGCCCAAGAAAGGTCATTAGTGCGGAAGGGTTGACAATCAATATTACCAACATTGCTGTTACTAATGAAATTGAAGCCCAAACAGGTGACAGACCTTTAAGGTGCATACTCTTAAGGAACACAGTTAATTCTGATCCGGAGACCACATAGGTGATCTCTCTGCCCCGTGCAGCAAAGAAACTATTCACGCTTTTTCTTCACTTAATAACCTAAAGGCACATTCAATACTCCCCCAAGGTTCACCAGTGTGCGAGCTACTTTAGATACCATTATAGGAACTACCGATGTGAAAAACAAGTATATGCACGCTGCGCCAGCGCAGTACACCAGGGGGAGTGCGAAAAACCAATCCCAAAGTGTGTCAACTGCAAAGGACCTCATGCTGCCAACTTCGACAAATGCCCTGCACGCCCCAAGGTTGTGAAAGGCATCATCCACAAGCACACATGGGAGCAAATCCAGGAAATAAGGCTGGGTAGAGAAAGAGCCAGATCCAAGGCCTTCAATGAAAACAGGCAGAAACCAAGCTGGGTCAACACCCAGCAATAATAACGAAGACATCACAATGCAAATCGACACAACAGATACAACTCATCCCAGAGATGCCGATACCATTGTTGTCAGTCAATGTTAGGTACATCAAACGAAACACATTGACACGGGCATCTAGTCATACATTCTGTGAATACAACAAGAGGACAAAAGAGTACAGGTCCTACAGAGTTAGTCATCAACCTGACTGACTATAAAGGAGAACAAGCAGACATCATTCTGATGCAAGAGCCCTGGGTTGGCACACCACCAGGCAAAAGAAGGAGAATAAAGACACACCCAAATTATGATATATATTCCCCGGTTGATTCCTGGGACAGCAACAGTACACGGCCCAGATCTCTCATTTATGTGAGAAAATATCTTTAAGCAGATTAATTTTGGCCTTATGTTACACAAGACATCACCTGGGTCAAGATACAAGGCATTACATTTGCCAGTGTCTACCGGCCATGTGACAACCCACAGGAAGTGGATGACATTCTAGAAGTATAGACTCCACCTTTTGGCTGCGTTATAACTGGAGATTTCAATGCTGGCGATACGTCCTAGGACTCGAGCAATCCAGGATATCATGGTGGTATTATACTTGCACAGACTATGGCAGACCACGGACTGGATTTGATTTCTGAACCAGATGTCCCAACACATGATGACAGAAATGTACTAGATCTGGTGTTCTCAGATGTGCCCATGGCTGAAGTCTCAGTCAATGATACACTTCAGTGCACCTCAGATCATAAGACATTACGAATAGTCATTCTAATTCAGGGAGATCTGGACCGAATCCCTAAGGCCAATCATTGGATAGTACCGGACAATAAACTACAAGAGCTAGCAAATAATGTCTAAACCAGGATTCATGAACTCCCCTGGCTGGGTGTATCCCCTGGCCAGGTAGATGCCTTTATACAAAGCTTGATCAACATGATCCAAGGCTGTATCAGGATAGTAGGCAAGAAACCCCGTCAATCTAGGCCCACTGCTTGGTGGAATGATGACTGCAAAGCAGCTGTTCAGACATACAGGGCCCTTTCTAAACAGACTATAAGCCAAGAAGGGCGGAATTCAGCCCGACAGGAATTTTGCCGCGTGATTCAGAAAGTTAGGAGAGAGTACTGACAGACTCTAATTGATTCAGTAACTGAGCCAAAGGACCTATACAGAATCGTCTCTTGGCACAAGCTATCAGCAGGATTACGTTCCCCTTTAATCATTATAGGAGACCAAATATTTGAGTCACAAGAGAGCAAGGCAAATACACTATGTTCAGCTATGCTTGAACGAAGTACCTCAGATAATGATATTATCGACCCCTGGTCCGCTCAGATCATACAACCCAAGCCATACATCCCCCTTGAATACCATGTCGGACTGGAAGAGGCTAAAAAGTGCACTTTAGGGACCAAGAGCAACTCCCCGGGAATAAATACCCTCACAGTACGGATTCTAAAAGCTTGCTAGCCATTTATTAGGGAACATATCAGAGCCCTTTTCTAGACCTGCCTACAGATTAGACACCACCCTAAACCATTCAAAGTAGCTGAGGTAATGATGATCCCAAAACCAGGAAAGAAAGATTACTCTAATTCTAGGGCCTACAGACCAATATCGCTACTGTCATGTCTTGGCAAAGGCCTAGAACAACTTATCACAAAAAGAATTACCTGGTTTGTTGTCAAATTTGGAATTCTAGCTCCACAATATTCTGGAGCTCTATTAAAGCGCTCTGCCACTGACTTGGTAGCTGCACTCATACACAATATTGAGCAGGCCCTCGACCAAGGCCTCGTTGCAACGGTAGTCACGTCAGATGTGAAAGGGGCCTTTGATGCTGCCCTAATGGGATGGCTGGTGGTTCGCATGAGAGCACAGGGCTGGCCAGGCTTTCTTATAAGATGGGTCCAGTCATTTATGTCCGAGCGGTCCGCAAGGGTTCAGTTTGAAGGTATTATGACTGATATAAAAGCTCTCACTTGCGGGCTACCACGAGGCTCACCAGCCTCTCCTATCCTTTATATGCTACATACCAAGCCAATCTATGTCCGACTTGGCATAAAAAGAAGACGCTTTATATATACAGACAACCTAGCAACTCTCTGTATTGGAAAGAACCTTAAAGAAACAGTTACAGAGACTTCTGAAAATCTTTATTTGCTTAATTAATAAAAACATAACAGTGCTATTGAATTTGACCCTGACAAAACCGAGATTATATACTTCTTGCGGAAAAAGAACTCAGATAATCCTTCCGTCTGCCACAGGACAATGAACAAAACAGCTAAGTATTCCATGCAATGGCTAGGTGTCCTTCTGGATAAAAAACTAAACTTCAAAGATCATGTTTCTTACTGGGCCAAGAAAGCTAGTAAGGTAGCAAATCACCTTTGAGGACTATGCAACACAGTCAAAGGACTTCCAGTAAAGTCAACCAAGAGGGCTATGAAAGCTTGTGTTATTCCTATTCTTACACACGGCCTGGAGGCCTGGTACCCAGGAGCCAAGAAAGTTGGGAGCTTAGGTGGGACATCAGCATGTGGCATTAAGGGGCTTCTTGGAACAATAGATGCTGTATTACGAACGGCGATCAGGGCTATCTTGCCAGTCTAGAAAACACACCCTGGACATATCCTGCACTTTGAATCGCAGATTCCCCAAGCAGGAGTTCTTGTAGAGTCAATAAGACAACGTCACGGCCTCTGACTAGGACGAATAGACCAGAGACACCCTCTTGTTGGCAGGCTCCAAGTACAAGCTTGCAAGAATCCAACAAGGCTACAAAGTAGCTTCCAATTAGTCCCTGACTTCCAGAGACTAATACTTACCAGGCTATCATGGAAAAAGCCCCTAATCTATAAAGACAAAGACAAAGAAATAGAGCCCTTCAAGCAATGGTTACAGGAGAGAAACATGAACACTGACCTTGTTATCTATTTAGATGGATCACAGTTAGACGACCAAGGCACAACCCGCACTGGATGGGGTTATACCATCAGGAAAAGCGGCACTACACAAGAAGTATACCAGGGAAAGGACAGACTTTTCTAAGCAGAAATAATAGATGCTAAAGTCCATAGTACTCTCCAAGGTCTTGCAGTAGCCAGGACAATTGGACATAGAAAACAGCTATATGTCTGTCTGGACAATACAGCAATGATAGATGGGCTCAATAGGACTCCACCCGAGACATCACGGAACATTTTTCTATGATTCTAAGAACTTGCCACGGCACATACTCCTGGAGTGACCGTCAAGTGGATTCCTGGACACAGAAATATTAATAGCAACAAATCTGCCAACACACTAGCAAAAGAGGGTGCCATGCTAGAAACAGACACAATAAACCTTCCTATAATCTTTTGGGTCAAGAAAGATCTCAAAAAAAAGGACAGGAAAGAGTTCAACTAATGATAGAAAGACCAATCAGAATCTAGGTATCAAGAAGTATATTCACATATAGTAACTGAAAGAGACCTTATATCTTTTAAGAAGAGTACTTTACATAGACTTCTAGCAGCCAGATCTGGATATGGCGACTTTGCCAGACATTATGAACGTTTTGGGCATACAGACTCGAATGATCACTACAACTGTGGTAAGAAGAAAACACCACAACACATTTTCTTTTGTAAGAGGCTGGGGAAAAACCGGCTGCTGCCTAAGTACTCGCCTAGGACAGCTTGTTTACAATACTTAGAGGAGAGGAGCACAGAATGGGCAAAATTCGTGGAGAAGAGCAAGTTCTTTTCAATAATCTGCCCCCGATAGATAGCTTTTCTTGAAGGACCAGATGGATGACCCAAGGTCATACCGCCGCAATAACGGGGATGGGCTCGTGAGCGGGACTGACTGTACTTATTATCTTGAGACCTCCACAACCCTGCGATACAGAGGCTCTGGGAGGCGTGGTTTGCACTACTGAGGAGCTACCCCCCACGTTAAATACAAAACAAACAAACAACTGTCCCCCGCCCAACAGGGATACGGCCTCCATGTGGATCAGCGTTGTCGTCGTCGTTGTCGTCGTCGTTGTCGTCGTCGTTGTCGTCGTCGTCGCGATCCATGTCGTGGGGATCAGGATCAGCAGTAGCAACGTCCAGCAAGACATCGGCTGCGACGGTAATGCCAAGCTCCCTAAGATCATCATCAGACCCCCTATCCCTATCCTACAAGAGCAGCTCCAACACCTACAACAACACCTACAACAACACCTACAACAACACCTACAACAACACCTACAACTACGCCGACGACTACACCAATAACTACACCTACACCAACACCAAGCTCACCCACGAAGACTGGACGACACGGTCGACCTACACCTACCAACACCCCAAATTCGACCCCAAGCACCCGCCCCTAGTCATCATAACGGAGCTAGACCAGGAGGACGAGCCCGATGTATTCGAGGTCCACCTGTAGCTCGAGGAGCAGCTGGTGGCGACCAAGCACAAGCCCGGGCGGTGGGAAAAGCAGCAAAAGGCCGGCGCAGCTGGGCCCGGTGGTGCAGCGGCGGGCGGTGCGGGCGCGCAAGGTCGAGACTTGGGTGCACAAGAAGGGCGTGCGGGCGGCGGACCGGTGCCGGAGGTTCGGGGAGAGGTGTCAGAATACCTGCTCAGTGGCTTATCTAGCGTGAGCACGTATAACTACCTATGTGTCATCCTGTGGGATCACCTGACTGGATACCGAAGGGAAGCCATGGAAAGTTTAACATTAAGCATGTGTTCACAGTCGAACTCAGCAGTATTGTTCAACTTATATCGATCAACTCAATATTGATACGCACTTCCTGAAGTGTGAGTAGGGTAGTATAGAAAGTGACCATCTCAACGTCGTGGATATCTTGAAGCTCATAATTTGCAGTACGACAAACATTTTCCTCATTTCTTCATTTGGTATGATCTTGGCAGAGCGAATATCGCACGCTCTCTTTCTCCAATGACCTCACCACTGTTGTTCACGATGAAAAGAGCAGCGTGTGCGTCCTTTCCAGCGGAGAGGCTGAACCCTGCGTATAAAGTACGACAGAGGTTGATAGCTTCATTCCGTAGGTGCACTATCGACCAGAATCTCGACAAAGGCCTCCGCGTCAACGCGAAGTGTTTCGAGAACAACTTCCTGCTCTGGCGACGTTTTGATGGGTATTGCTGATTGGCACGCTCGTCTGACGTACGCAGCAAACACCATGCCTCGGTTCTTGCCTCCCAGCGGAATATTCGCGCAATCGCCTGGATTGGAAACCGGAACATAATCGCTTCGGAACGGACATATCCATCCACGCGAGATATCGTTCGTACGCGCACCATGATTGCGGTACTCTATCCAATTGCTACACTTCAGTGCATTGATGTGGATCTCAGTGGTGATTTCGAAAGGGGATGGCACTTCGCTCAACCCATAAGCGGCAAGGACTCGCCCTGTCATATTCGAAGCATGAGAGGGGATGCTACCAGCGTCGTGGACAGCAACGTCTTGGACTCTGCTGTGTGGTCGGTCTGGGCGGGAACGCCTCGAGGGGTCTAGATAAGATCCGCCTCCGATTGGCCAGAGACTGAGCACATATACAACATCGAAGTTGTATTTCTTGGCTAGATCTGCCGCCCACATAGCTCCGAGGGTGTCGCGTGGACTGCCAGCCGGATATTTCAGAGCCAGAAGCTGGGAGTTGGTGGGAGTGCAAGGCGGAGTTATTTCTCCGAAGCAAGGGTTGAAAGCAATGGGTTGAGCTTCTGGTATTGCAGAGAGGTCTCGCGACACTCCCCTAGTACCAAATTTCGACTCGTCCTTCGGCGGTGGAGTGGGCGGAATACAAGAGTCTGCCACGGGTGTCTCTGGCCGACTTTCAGCGATGTCATCATCACTCAGAGCAAGGAAATCGACGAAGGTAGGTTCCGTGAGTACACGGTCTTTCGCGATATGAGAAGTCAAAGTCGACAAGCTCGCAACACTTGCAGATTTACGGAGTCGTGATCGTAGAATTCCGGCGCTGTTTCTCGGCTGAGGAACACTGATCGTGGGGTCGCCTCGTCTATTACCCCACGTTTCCCTAATCCTTCCTCTGGGTTCCTCTCTTGAAGTGCCGAGTGTCGAACGGTGACCAGTTGAAGGACGTAGCGTCATGTCAGCACGTGGCGGAGGCCTGGCGCATAGAGACATAGAACGATCAATGGAAACGCGAGGCCAATCCTCCTCACTGTCGGACATCGGTGGGGAGTCCATATGTGGTTTCCAAAACGGGGATAACGAATGTTGCCTTGGGAACAACGTCAGTTTTCGCGTCGAACTATCCCTAGGCAACGGAGGAGGCGCCGCCAGCAGCGGGGTTAATTCTGGGGCAGGTTTGTGCTCCTCTGTTGTCGAAATCGGAGTCCTTGAGAACAACGGAGAAGGAACCAAGCTCGTACATTCTGCGGCATCATCCTGTGAGTTCGGTGGGTGATTTTTGAAAGACTCGTCGACCTCAAGCGGATCGAAGAGCAGCGAGATATGTCGAGGAGTCCAGTCTAGTAACCGGGCCCCTTTGAATGGATCCACTTGATGGCTGCGTGAGGATTCTTCCAGAGAGGCATCTGGCGCGAAAGTATCTCCAGATATTCTCATGAGCTCGTCGTTCCTGAAGAGTGAGTCTTCCGGAAATCTGAATCGTGAGAGCCTCGGAGCACTTCCCGAGCTGCTAGGGCTATCGTCAAGCAACGGCGATGAGCGGCACGGAGTACTTGGACTCTGGTGGCTATCAACAACGGTCAGGCTTGAAGCAACGGAGTAACGTTTTGGCAACGCCTCTTGCAATTCAGGGACGCTTTGAGCTCGACCCTTGTCTCGCTCGGGTGCATCGACTTGGGCTTCCCGCGCAACCATATGTATTGATGTCGGTCTGAGATACGATGGTGATGGGAAAATTGGCGACGAAGGTTGGCGAGGAACGACCGAAACCTTCTGCTGCGTCGTTCTGTATCTTTCCCTCTCCCTCCTCCTCGAGCCACCGAAAAACTTCTCCAACTTCTCAAGCCCGTTGGCCATTTTTTTTGCAGCAGAAGACTACTGTGTGGCCTCCTCCTTCGTCGTGTGTCAGCGCTTGGGTGTTGAAGAGCGTATGAGCTTGGTAATGTAGTCTTGCCTACCTCCAACGCAATGCCAGAGATGTTTTACAACAAGGCGACGCAGGAAAACGAACACGCCTGTTGAAGAGGATGGTGCGAAACTGTGAAGGGGGAACTGAGGCGGGATCTGGTACGTTGCCGCGCAGGAGAGTGAGAACGGTCACGGCGCAACAAGTGCGAATGGTTCCTTTGGGGCAGATATGCCTTGCCAAACTCCGAAGTCGACGTTGGTGTGCTACAGGCAGTAACCATGTGCCGTGCAGATCATTTCGAGGGTCGCGGGAGCGGCATTACACGACCGAGAAGGCCGAAGGTTGGTGTTAGATGGCACAGCAGGGAGGTACAAGTGGTGCCAAACACCTCGGTGGGAGGGAGGATAACACAAGATTGCGGCCGCCGTGTCTCTGCTCTGGAGGGGGTATTATGGACTACGAGGGTACATGAAGCGCGAAAAGAAATGTTGAAAGAGGGTGATCTGTCTCACATGTGGCTGGGACGATGCGCGCAGGGATGTCGATATGGTCTCGGACGACACTTTGGTGGCGTCTGGGGCCGTTGATTCCTGACAGTGGCTTCCAGTCACTCGGCTGGCGACGGGCAGCTCATGTAAAAGAGACGACCGAGTGGGTGATGGACTGAAGAGGTGCGGACAGGTATGATCGTGGATCGACTTCGGATGTTTCCTACCTGAAGTGAGATGTGATGTGATTCAGAGGTCGGACTCAGCAGGTGGTGTCCGTGAGATCAGATATGGCGCGAGTGCCAGAGTCTTCTGGTTTGGCATCTCAACATGAAGGCTCTTGGATCTGGAAAGTCCAGCGAGTTGGTGTTGGCGCGTTGAGATGGGATGAAGTTGATGGAACGGGGGGAGGGGATCAACTGCGATTGGCTGGGCTCGCAGCTTTACAGCCACTTAAGGAATGCGAGCCGAGGAAAGTCGCGGGTTTCAACACAGAAGGAACGAGGCAAGGAGACATAACAACCGACATAACTGACATGAAAGATGTGCTACTGGTTGCTTCCTTCCTTGAGCGCTTTCGTCAGCATAACCTGTAACCGACGACGCCGGGCTTTAGCAGTTCAAGGTTGCGAGTTGGTTGAGCTCGCCTCGCTTCTTTACAATGACAGCAACACCCGCTCCGTGATCCCGCCCACTTGGCGACAATGCCCACCGTCACTCAACTACTAGTGAGAAGACCATATCACGCGTCACAGGTGTCAAGCGTGTCCCTGTCACGGGCACACCCTTGGCCTTTGCAACTGTGACGGTGCTGTTCCTGCAGAGAACGGTGACCTCACAACTGCTATGTGTCGTACAGCATGCACCAATGCCACCAGACGCTATCGTGCAGCTTCATGTCATTGTGGCGTGTGCCATGTCGTCGGACACTTGTAAGCTGCAAAAGTAACCTACTGCTCAGACATTGCTGATGCTGCTCCACGCACTGCATCGTCGCCGTTGTCCACTTGACAAGGTCCAGTGCGGCGGTTCGTCGATTGGTCAGCTGGCAGAGTTGTATAATTATTGACATGAGATTCCCGGACGGTTTCTCGAAACGTTGCGAAGAGGCGCTCGAAAGACGAGATGAAGGCAAGGAAGAAGAAAGAGAGGAAGCCGTTCCAGTCAGGCGTGTCAGGCCTAGGAGCAAAAAAACGATGTGGTAAAAGTGGGCCGTCTGGTTAGTGACACGCAGCCACATTTGATTACATTAGGTAAGTCACGAAGGTAGTGGCGCAGACCGCCTCGCAGTCCTCACATTGATCTTCAACTTCACCTCACGATGAACGACCTCTCGGCCTCCTCCTTGTCTTTCCACTTGATCACTTGCAGATTTTGACTCACATTAGCTTGATGCACTCACCTAGCGATGGCAGAAACCTGTCTGTTTCCAGGCTTTTTTAAGCTGCACGAGCCCCTCCTTCCTCTGGACATCTGGATCAATGTCTTGCCCTTACGCGGCTTAAGCCAGGCGTTGCTTGATACTACGCTGCCATGCAAGCAAGTCGTTCCCCGTTGCGCACGCGGAAAGCATCCCGGCTGGCACGATCTGCCGATCTGTCGGTCTGCTTACCAGCCTACTTGAAGGTGCAGGCGGATGCATATGCACAAGCGCATGCACAAATTCAAGGAGCGAAATGAGATATCCCACGGTTGGAATCTGATGAAAAATCCTCTGCAAAGCTCTGCATAGTCTGCGGTAGCCAATTCGCACACTCGACCTGCAATTCACACCGACAAAAGGTCACGTTTCTGTCTCTCCATGCCCATCTTGGCTTGTGGAATATATCTCACAAAGCAGGCAGTTGTTCATGCATAGCTATGTACGTCTCGTACGACTATTGATGCACATACCATCTGGTCGCGTCCTCGAGTCCCTGCAAGGCTATGACCGACGGCTGGGCGATGTCTTCAAGCTCCCATCAGGGTCAACCTGGACTTGAAGGACCCCAAAAAGCAGAACGTGCATGCTTGGCGGCATCTTCAGATCGGAAACGTTGACACATCGCTACCATGGGTCATCATCGACGGAGATCAGCCAGCCCGAGTGGCGTACCCGGACCCGACAGAAAAGGCAGGACTAACCTTATGGACCACAGCATCCAGTGGGCTGGATGATGCACACAGTACGTCGAAAAGGAGTTGTCATGTCTTCTCATGTAGTACCGATCCGGCAATGTGTCTTAGTGGACGGCAACCTGCCGCTCGCGAACCTGCACGAGCCAATGGATCTCGGAGAGAAGCGAGAGGGCCGGCCCGCTGGGTGGCATGTCTAGAGACTCGACAAGGCTCCAGCCTCCAGGTCGGACGGACCCCTGACCCCTGACCCAGGCTTGCTGCTTGTCCGCCCTGTGCCGGCGCGTCTTCCCGGTGACAGTGGTACGGGGACCTGCATCGCCGTCATACATTACGACGGCCTCCTTCATTGGGCCTTGGAGGTAGTTGGTCTCTCAATAACCTCCTCGATTGCTCACCAATCACATCCTGCGTAACTACTCGTTGCCTCAGCTAGCCCTCTGTCATGCGATACCATGCTGGGAGCTCGCTGGTCTAGATCTCCAAAGATTGGTCATTGACAGCTCAGTTCTCTCATACACCGAGCTCCTGAATATACATGTCGTGGATTGTTATCCTCAGCCGCAGCAGGCCACGCATCATGTCAACAAACAAGCTCAAGCATGACACAGCAGAGCGCAAACACGGCAGACGGCACAGCAGACTCGAACGCCTGAATCTAGTGTCACGATGCCCCGAACTGCTGGACGACGGTAACCTCCCCCTTGAGACGCACAAATCCCGGCACAAGAGCAAGCACGACCCCAAGTCAAAGCCGCATACAAGCCATCTTTTCCGTGTGTTCCACGACATCTGAGCATATGTCTTGGAAGTTCACCTTATGTGAGATCATGTAAGTTCACTTAAGCTGCTTGTGTGCGAGTGGTAACTGTCTTGCATCGGTGGTGATGGTTCACAGGAAGTGACGTCTCCTAAGACCCCGTAGCCGGTGCAACTCGATTATCATCTGTATGCGGATATATATATATATATATACAGTGTCCATAAAGTTGGATCACCGCCGACCCGTAGTGTACACAGGTGATGCGGCATACTATATTATGCTCCCATTCCCTAGCGATGTATGAGCTGCGGTGTAAACCTTGGGCAACTTGGGACATTGATGACGCGCCTCTACGCGTATGTTCGTGCTGTTCATTTCGCGAAGGTGTCCTACAGGTAACAGTACGCGAGGAGGACACGCCACATCCAGGGCGTGATGAGGTCACCCAAGGAGTTATCGAATGACTGCTGACTAGGATCGTAAGGCACCATTCATTTCGCCACCATGAACTACTGACGTACCGGTAGGTAAAGTAGTAGGTGACTGATGGTAATGCATCCCTGGCAAGCTTTGCTATCCTGGTGCCCGACATCGATTGCCCTTAGACGGCATCCATGTTACCAGTACCATCTATCAGTAGACGCCACCTGAAGATCTGAGTCTGGTCTTCAGCTTCTCTATAGCAGCCTCTAGAGCCACATCTAGAACATTAGGTACTGCCGAGTCCTCATATACATACACTGCGACCTGGGGGAAATGTGGTAAGTAATATAGTCAAGCCGTGCTATCCTGATAGCATGATGTCCATCTCGATACAGCCAGTGATTTATTTTTATTTTATTTCTTTTGCCTTTGATCTCCATGGCTCCTGTTTTGGAAGGGGCGGGTTCGCCAGGACGCAAGATGAGGGTCCGCAGATCGACGCTCACTCGCTGTCTGATACTCCATGGTTGCGAGCCCAGGATTTATTTGGACCTAGGAGCCACCGTCAAGGCCCAGTCAACACAACATGGTTCCAAATCTGACGCTGCGGCGGGTTCAATATCCTGCTGACTTCGCTGTCGTTGCAGGGAGATATATCGCAAAGCGAAAGCTGACCTAGGTTTCGGCCGCAGAGACGTCTTGGCCATGCATGAAGCAGTCCGCAGCACCTCGTCTCCTGGCCAACTATCGACCACCCAACCACTCGGACCACTCCTGCTTTCAATGATGCTGCGATCTGACTACCACTCATATCATGTCAAGACAACGATGTAGACAGTATGCCAGGCCGTAACATAACACACCAGGTGATTCCCCCCCTCACGACATCAACGGCGCGGTACATGCTCATGCATCTCTGTACACCACTGAATCATTGATCTTGGCAGAAACGCCTAAGGGCAGATACTCATTGCGTCAGGAGAGAATAATTGAAGCACTCTGAATAAGCACTGAGAGGGTCCTATCGAATGCAAACAACCTACCCCACGCTACTCATCCCAGACAGCACGCTGAAGGTTTACTAGAGGTGACTGACTGTAAGCGCCACCTACATGAACAGTAAGTAACAGCTCAACGCATGAGGAAACTCACTCTAGGCAAAGTTTTCAAGCCACCACAAAGCTTAGTTATAGCCCAGCCCCTTATCCCACTCACAACGGTACAGGATTCATATATATATACGAGTTTATCAGGTCAATCTGGTAGCCGGGTTGGTACGGCCTAGCGAAATATCCTTACAAAGTATTCTTACAAGGTATTCTTACGCAGAGCGGTTCGATTCCTCTAGCGGCTGACATTCTTTTTATTTTGGTCCTGCGGTCTGGTTTCTACCTTATGGTCTTGAGCCCCAGCATAGAGCGACAAGCTGTGAACCATTCTGTTCTATGATTGATTACCAATCGTCGGTCTCAGGTGGCAACAGATGCGACATCAATCCCAAGGGCGAGGCGCAGTTCCGATCACAGCCGAGCCGACGCGGCCACCCATACCTACCTACCCACACACGGTACAGTACTCACGGGGGCCATAAGCAGCTTGGCCGCACAAGGGCAACTCTCTGCGCCATAGACCCAGGAGCCATTCTCAAGCCAGAAGCATAGACGCAACAGAAACGGATGCATAGGCTAAGTAGACAGGGAGGTCAAGAAGATGTAGCGAGTAGTAGATGCACGTGGGGATGTTTTTACTGATCTCCTTTCTGCATGCACTTTCCCTGTTGATGTTCTCCCTAGTGATGTATAAATATTGAAGGGGACTTCCGCGGGTTCGGCACCAACAGGCGAGCGACATGTAGTTGGCAGACGGCTAGGCAGGCCCGGGGGCGTTTCCACCTATGTCTGATAGATGGTCCTGAGGCAACATGATTCTAAATTCCCACCATAAGTCTGGCATGGGCATTGTATCAAGTTCCATGCCAGACGCGGCCAGGTCATCATGGCTTCTTCGGTTGGTGATCTCGCATGGGCTTGCTTGCGCGAGACCGCATTTGTTACCTGTCACAGAAGTCCTCCTTGTACGGCTGTATCTGGGTCGACTCTAATTCGTGTTCGCGTATCTCGTGCCAACTTTAGTTGGTGTGTCTATATACTGTGGTCATCTAATCTTACCCATGACCGAGTTCGAGATTAACCCAATCTCGAGCATCAGCATGGCTGCCCTCCCAAGCCACAAGTGCTGGGTCTAGATGCCACTCATTGTGTAGTATCCGGCATGAAATCTTGATATGCTTCCAAAGCCACGGCCACGACCACGGCTGTAGCTCAAGGTTCAAAGATGTGCTGTTGGTCTAGGATTTAAATCCACCCTAGCTGCAATTTATTAGCATGTACGTTCATGAACTACGCCTTTAAGCAAGGTGAATCTTACCTGCTTGGCTCGCCAATTAGGTTGTTGAACGCGATGTGAACCTGTTCTGTCAGGTCGCTGGCCTGGAGACTTCTGCCCTTCTGCTCGAAAGCAAGACGAGAGCATTCCTAGGAAGAGTCAGTGAACCGAGCATTGCGTGCTAGAAGTTGCAACGAATGAACTCACTCTCGTGATAGCCGCACCACCAAAGGCCGCCAGACCCAGCATCTCCTCCTCCTTCAAGTGTCCGCCGTGGTCCCAAAGGCCTTCAAGGTATGCCGCACGCCAGCCGAGGAACGTTGCAATGCTGCCCGTCAGCGTATCGCCTTGGCCGCCACTCCGCTTCAGGCCGCCCTTGAGGTCGACAGTGAGGGTGGTCTCGCCATTGCTGATGAAGTCCTTGCCGCCCTTCTGTACGATAGTGACACCGTCAAGCGCCTTGCACAGCTCCTCGACCTGTGCAGACGATTCAGCGCCGCCGCCCTTGGCGTCCTCGGACTTGACACCTTTCCAGAGGCGGCCAAACTCGACGACATTGGGCGTGAGCACGACCTCGCGCCAACCCTTGACGAGCTCAGGCTTGCTTATCACAATGGCCAGTGCGTCCGCATCCAGAACCACGGGCATCTTGCGCTCGCGCGCCGCCGCCAGCACCTTGGCGCACGTCTCTTGCATGAGCGGATCACGACCGAGTCCTGGGCCGATGACTAGCACGTGTAGCCGTGGCAGCATCTCGATAATCTTGCTGGAGATCTGGCCTGGGTCGGTCTCGGACGCCGGAGGGGACGGGGACGAGGGAGAGGGCGATTGCCGCATCAGCGGGTGTACCATTATGTTCGGGCTGTAGGTCTTGATCACAGCGGCGGCGCCGGGGGTACAGATGAGGTGGGACTATTCGAAGAACAAGTCGTCAGTAAAGCTTATCCCTGATCGTGGTTGGTCGTGTAGTGAAGGACATGGAAGCTGAACACTGGAGTGCATCACGCACCATATCGCAGCCTAGACGAGCACTCGCCATAGCAGAGAAATATGGAGCACCGGTGTAGTCTTCGCTACCGCCAATGACAGCAACACGACCCAGTTGACCTGGAACAAGGGCCAGATTGTCAGCATATGGTCTTCTTCAACCGCGCCCACGCTGTCTCAGCAGACACCTGGAGCAATGCGTACCTTTGTGAAATCTCTCTAGCATGGGTGGCACCATCTGGCGCACCTTGCCTAGGATGTCTCTCGTAGCTGGCGACATCTCGCTGGCTTGGGTACTCATTTGATCTTCGAGGGTCCCTTGTGCTGGTGTATGTGAATGGATTCGACAAAGCTCTGAAGTCTATGTAAAGCTGTACTCTATCGCGGGGAGTCTTGAGCAGAACAGAAAGGTCAGATCAGATGGTGGTGTGTAGAACGGGTTGCTTGCAATGAAGAAATCGCAGAAGACGTAAATGACCTGGTGGATCGTTCAATTGTCTGCGTATAGAAGTTTTTGGACTGCTCCAACTCGTAGTGGAAGAACATTGATGGAAGTCCCGCCTTCTGTTCAAACAGAGGATGATGCTGTTGATGATGTCACGGGCACCCGCCATTAGTGGCGCCGGGGCCGGAGAGGGAGCTCCAGCCTCCTGCAGGTGCGCGCTAAGCCGGGACCCTCATGATGGAAGTATCCGTACGCGCCATGTTAATAGGTAAGACTCCAGGTCGCCCGTGGAAATCTCGAAATACTGGAATAACCATAGAGGAATAAGCAAGTCTGGTTTGATAAGCCACTTATAATGCTCATTCCATGGTGCTTATTCCGGTTTGACACTTTTCACTTGTTTGCTAGTGTGTACGGAGACTTATGAGGGATCAGTGTACATGTACCCCCCAGGTGCCGAACTTGGAACTCTTCCGGTAGATTTTGAACATGGGATTCAGGTAATATAGTTGATTGGGTCAGGTTACTGGACAAAAGGAATCGAGTGCTCTTGAGTTTTGGCTCTATTTTACAAGGGTTGAACTGGGGGTTTCCCACTTCTAACCCGTATCCTCACTAATCAGCACCTGTCAACACTCATCGCCTCTAACGAAACACAAAACACCACTTCTGACCTCCCAGGTATGGACAGTCCTCCGTTGATGCTTTCTAATTAACCATTTTAAGAGGTGAAGCTCTTGGTGAAGCTGGTGAGCACGTCCTTCAATCTTTGCTCGAGGTCCTTGCTGAGCGCGCCCTCCTTGTCAATAGTGGCAAGCAGATCCGACTCGTTGGTCCTGAGGTGTGACAGGAGGTCGGCTTCCCACTGGAGGATCTTGGCCACAGGAACCGAGTCGAGCATACCGTTGACACCAGCGTAGATAAGAGGAACCATCTCGTTGACGGCCATGGGGGAGTACTGCTTCTGCTTGAGAAGCTCCGTCAGCTGTAAAGGGGTAGTGTTAGCATCATCTCGTAGTCACCCAATCGGTGCGGATAGCACTTACACGTTCACCTCTGTTGAGGGTCTGCTTGGTAGCAGCATCGAGATCGGAACCGAATTGAGCGAAAGCGGCGACTTCACGGTACTGGGCCAAGAAAAGCTTCAGGGAACCAGCGACTTGCTTCATGGCCTTGAGCTGCGCAGCTGAACCGACACGAGACACGGACAGACCGACGTTGATGGCAGGTCGGACACCCTTGTAGAAAAGTTCCGCCTCCAAGAAGATTTGACCGTCCGTGATGGAAATGACGTTGGTAGGAATGTAGGCAGACACATCACCACCCTGCGTCTCAATGATGGGCAGAGCAGTCAAGGAACCACCACCGAGCTTGTCGTTCATCTTGGCAGCACGCTCCAGCAGACGCGAGTGGAGGTAGAAGACGTCACCGGGGTACGCCTCACGTCCGGGGGGGCGGCGCAGCAGCAGAGACATTTGGCGGTAGGCGACGGCCTGCTTGGACAAATCGTCGAAGATGAGGAGCGCGTGTTTACCATTGTCCTATTAGCAAACTAGAGTCAGCAATTACTCCTTTCAGATATTTGACGAGAAGCAAGGAGTCAAGATGCATGACTCTGGAGCAAAGTGCCCCTCATACAGGCTAGAAGAGGAAATTCGCGCGCTAAGGACTTGGCCATATGGGACAACAAGAGACTCGGAAATGTACAAACCCGGAACCATTCGCTGGAAAAATAGTCAGCAACTACTCATTCTATGAAGAGGGAGAAATGTACATACCCTATACTTGCGCCAGTGAAGGGGGCAATGTACTGCAAAGGCGCGGCCTCGGAAGCAGTCGCAGCAACGACGATAGAGTACTTCATGGCGTCGTTCTCCTCAAGAGTCTTGACAAGCTGGGCAACGGTAGATCGCTTCTGACCGACAGCGACGTAGATGCAGTAGAGCTTCTTGGTCTCGTCATTGCCACTGTTCCATCGCTTCTGGTTGAGCATGGCATCCAGGGCGACGGCAGTCTTTCCGGTCTGACGATCACCGATGATCAACTCACGCTGGCCACGGCCAATGGGGACCATGGCGTCGATGGACTTCAGACCGGTCTGCACGGGCTGGTTGACGGATTGTCGGGGCAGGATGCCGGGGGCCTTCAGTTGAGCCCTTCTGCGTTCCTTGGTGTTGAGAGGACCCTTGCCATCGATGGGGTTACCCAGGGCATCGACGACACGTCCGAGCATCTCCGGGCCAACGGGAACGTCGACCTATTCATCATGGTCAGTCTCGCTGTTCACAATAACGCGCCGGGTATCGTCGTGGACTCACAATTTCTCCGGTACGCTTGACGGTTTCGCCTTCTTTGACGAGACGGTCGGAACCGAAGAGCACGACACCAACTTGGCCGGCCTCGAGGTTCATGCACATTCCTTTGACGCCGGAAGCGAACCTGACATCTTGTTAATTGCTTGCCCTCCATATGATATGACAGAGCCGGATGGACCTACTCGACGAGCTCCTCGGCCTGAACGTTGGCCATGCCGTGCACACGGGCGATACCATCACTACACAAGTCCTCCGTCAGCAACACTGATCCACATATTCATATATGATGCGCTGTAGTTGGGACATATGGATGATGTTGTCGAGACATTGGTTCGATGATGGACGAGACTAGAGGGGTCATTGGGAGATGGTGTTTGCGTCGACTTGAAAATCTCGCCATCGGGGCCCACATACCCGACAGACTGCTTGTATGTTAACATTCTGTCTTTTAAACCCGCACGGCCAGCTTCTAGATGAAGAAGGAAAGGGAATAGCAAAGCTTGTTCTCGAAACCAGGGCTCAGGGTCTTGGGACGGGATGTTTCTATACGTACCAGTACGCGTCCAGTCTCAGCCAAGCTGGACGACTCGGAAACACCACGGATTCTCTGTTCTAGGATAGAAGAAACCTCGGTGGGAGAGGCCTTGTCGGCGTAGGATCGGGCCTGGACGTTGAGGGCGGCTGGTGCGGCATTTCGTGCCTTCAAAACTTAATTAGCCGAAAGTCCGAGGCTGGTCAAGCTGCAGTGTCATTGGAGCTTCTGCAAGCTCAGCGAGTTTCCCAAAACACATATGAACTGGCATTGAGCTTCGGAAATGGTATGGAGATGGATTGAGACCGGTCGCATCGAGTATTCGATGGAATAGAGACCGATGCGGCTGGATGTTGTCGACGACTTACAACGATTCTGCCCGCAGAGATTGCGCTCGCAGCGCGCGTGGACTGTCGGAGGGCGTTCCGGAACATATTGGCGAGGTAGATCTGTTCCTCTGATTAAAAGAGAGTCAATTGCAACCCGAGTGCAATTGAGAGGAGAGGAGACTGAAGGGGGTGGACGGGCGGATTGAGGTTTGCTAACGGAGACTTTTTCGAGAGGAAGCAAAAGGCTTGACGAACGGCCAAAAAACGAAGGGGAGAAGAACCCGGCGCACGGGCCAGTCCCAATTTGGCCAACCAACCTAGCATTGGCCCGAAAGGTCCCGGGAGGTGCCAGGTGTCAGCTGCTGGTTGCCAGCTACCAATTGCCAGCTACCACATGGACTGAGCCTACATCCAGTGGTATTTGACCGGAATAAACTGCATTGTTTACTGCTTATTCTACTGCAAGTTGTTCTGCTTTTGCGCGCTGGCTTCCACATGTAATTCTCTTACTCCTCCAGTGCCAGTGTAAATACCTAGCCTCAAACTGCGATCATGTTGCCGCGTTGTCAGTCTGTCGGGTATGGCTTGTGTCGATCACGACAGACCATCGTGAAGTCGAACCTAAACATGTGCGCTCGTTCCTATACATCTGACGTTGAATCTCAAAAGTCACTGTATGATACACCCTCAAACGAGGTCCTAGTTTCTCAGGGGTGTTCTCTCGTGTTTGGAGTAAGCGCTCCGGAATAAGCATTCTAGTTAGTTTCTTCGAGCATGACTGCTCATTCGAGGGTACTTATTCCAGTGTTATGATTCGATGAGTCGGAATTATACCAAGGTGTGTGAACGGAGACTCGGGAGGGTGACTCCGTGTGCACAGTGTACCGCTGCCTGTAATCAACTCTCCCAAGCCCACAACAGGTTCTGCGTATTCAGATAACTTATTCTAGGGATGTACTCTACCGGTATGTTCAATTGTATTCTATAAGTGTCAGACTCATCTCACCCGAGCAGACTTGATATATCTACTTGGAAGCAAGGTCGCGCGTTCATCACGAACGGTGTCCACGCTGTAATCTCGGGCTCATATCACGGAGGAACATGTCACCGGAAAGTATTCGGTGCCAGCATCCAGCATTGATTTGGCCTTGGCTCCGGGCTGGGGTTCGTCGTCTTGAGTTAGGTCAATGACGGCTTAGATGGCTCGGGCGGTCACTCGGGAGGTGACTTAAGAGATCACTTGGGCGGTAACTCGGGGATGGCTTGGACACCTGCTCGGGCTCTATATCCATGCACTTGTTGGCAAACAGGATCAACGTGCGAATGCCGTCGACCGTGAGCATATAATCCAGCTCTGCTCCCATGTACAGGATCGCCCGCCAGTCGAAGCGTAAGTGATCTCGTCGGCTTCTTGTCCAGGTGTCATGCTTCCAACCAAGGTTGGACGTGATGCAATATGTGTTATCAACATCTAGTCATGCTCTTACTCCCTTCCCAGAGATACTTGTTGATTTGTGGAAGTGAAGTTCTAGAACGAAGTGGAGGAACGGAACGGCACCCAATTCTCTTCCTGCGTTGAGCCCTGCGATCTGATTGGTGCGGAGGCTCTGGATCCCGCTCCGGCGCTAGGCCCTGTATGGCTGGCCCTGGGCCTGGCTGGCTCCAGCTGGCTCTGGTTTTTCCAGGGCTCCTAGCTGGCTGGCAACGCACGGATCACGCCTGACTGGTTGGCTGGCTGGCTCCTGGCTGGCTGGCTCCTGGCTGGCTGCCAACGCACGGACTACCCCTCTAGATTCCCGTTGGCTGGCCTTGGGGGGGGGGGGCAGTCGTGACCCGTCTCCCAGGGAACTTTACTTCCATCTCCTGGGTGCGTCGCCCCGTAGCTTGCGTAGGGCCGCGGCGTAGCCTCGATTTGAATGATTGGTCGGTGTAAGGAATGCAACTAACACGCTTCAGGCTGTGTTTCTTCGGGTGTTAACGTGGTATTTGATGCGCTTTGCCGGTGGGCCCTCCGCCATATGACCCTCCACCGCCTGCGTAGCCGGTGCCCGGCGGGAAGCAAGATGGTGCAATCCCTCTGGTTCGGCGCGTACCACAGTGGCGTTGGTACTGTATTGGGGAGAGCGGATGCGCTTCGATGGCAAGCCTTTCCCTGGATAGCCCTTCATTGCTTGCATGATTGGGTGCCTGGCGACATGGGGAGTGATCGTGCTTACATCAACTTGAGCATTTGAGCACCTTGATGAGCATTCAAGCACCTTGATGCACCATGAATACTGAACGTGTGGTATTCAAGCCAAAATTTATATGACTCGTGATGCCATGTTTTTTTCTGCTTCCTGTGAGTGATGTCAAGGGAGTCATTGCTCCTCAGAAGAAAGGGGATGTATTTCACCTGAATTATTATGACTCAGGTCTCCCTTATCTCCTCTTTGCCATCTTTGCGTTACACTTCTGTCGATCCTAGCGAGATGGCCCAGTGAGGTATCAAGGGGCTTCCTGATATACCAGGCTTCAATCTCTGGCCGTTCAATGGTGGCGCGCTAACGAAGACCGAGTTCATTGAGGAGATCGGCACAGCTGGACATTTTCACTTATGGAAGGTCGATTCAATGGGACGATATTCGCTTTGAAGATGGTGCGCCCTCAGTCAGAACCAGCATAGATGACGGCTGCTTACATAGAGCTTCGGTATATGTACACTGAAGATCTATGGCAATCTAAAGAAGGCGAGATGGAAATACTGGGCTTGAAAGAGGATGATATCCTGAACCAGGTTAAGTGTAGATCATAGGACGAAGGTAAATATTCGCACGCAACATGATCCACGGCCCGAACCACGACGGCTTCTCCCCTCGTCCAGCTCCGAGTGCGATGCCGGTGAATTCCCTCACCCAAGAGCCGGAAATTCGGCCTATTCGGGGCCTAGCTTGGCAACCTCGTAGCTACAGGGGGCAATATAGGAGTCCGCGATCAGGGCCCCGCACCTGCGGGCTCCGGCTCCGGCTCCGGCTTCGGCTTGAGCTTCGGCTTGAGCTTCGACCTCGGTGTAGGGAACGATCGAAGGATCACACTCGCAGCAGGCAACTGTATTTTTGACGTACCGCATAAAAGAGACCCATTGCCCCGGCTTGGATATCTGTGTCAGAGCTTACGCCAAAGCTCGCAGAATACTCGGACCGTACCTTCATACACGACCTCCTCTCCCCCCCCCCACTATCTGGCTGCTAGGCCTCTCCACATTGCAAGGCTTTTTTCCCTTTTTATTTCCTCAACTGTGAAACATGGGCGGCGGCACCCATGGTACACCCATAGTGGTGTTAGGGTAAAAGCGCCCTTCCACAGCGTACCACTCAATATGCTGACTTCTGTTCAGTGCTGGGGTCGTGGGACTCACCACAGCGTTGACCCTCGCCAGACAAGGATATAAAGATATCCGGGTCATCGCGAAGCACATGCCCTCGGACCAAGACGTCGAATACTGCAGCCGATGGGCAGGGGCAGACTGGGACCCGTGAGTGGAGTCTCTGCAGATATTCAGGTAGAATGATCATGGTAACGATATTGACGCTTGCAGCATCTCTGACGAGGGGTCTCGGGAGGCAGGCTGGGATACCGTGACTTGGCACGAACTGCTCAAGCTTGCACAGACTAGGCCAGGTTCTGGTGTTCGGGAGCAAGGTCGGTCTGCTGCTGATGATCATATACTTCACTGAGCACGAAGCTGATTGTTCGTCGGCACGCGGCAGTCGCCACAAAATATTATCGCAAGGTTGACCGGAAGCCGGAAGGGCTGAAGAACTGGTACAAGGACTTGGTGTCAGGGGTATGGCCTATTTTTCCTCCTTTTCCCAACCCCTTTCTCGTGTCAACTCACATCCTCCCGTTGCCCTCGATATGCAGTCCAGTCAGGGTGGCTTACACAAATCCAGTACAAGTTCCTGAGCAAAGACCAAGTGCCAGCCTTCGCAGATTGGGGCGTGACCTACAGATCTCTGTCACTAGACCCGGACACATATCTCCACTGGCTGTATTCGAGCTGTCTAGACGAGGGCGTCCTATTCCAACGGGCAACACTGTCGCACATCCGCGAAGCCCTGCAGCTGACGCCGACCCCGCCCGTCGTGGTAGTGAACTGCACCGGACTAGGGTCCTTGACCCTCGGCGGTGTTGAAGATGCGGCCTTGCGTCCGGTTCAGGGGCAACTCGTGATCGTGGCAAATGAGCTCGCAGGTTCATACGCCATTTCCGGCTCCCAGGACTTCGACAGCTCGATCGGCGAGTGCTGCTACGTGATCACTCGCGGGCCCGGTGCCGGGGCGGTGCTTGGAGGCTGCAGGAACCCGTCGTGGGCGGCGCAGCCGGACATGTCGCTCGCCGAGAGAATCATGAAGCGTGCCGTCCAGGTCGCGCCTGGGATCGTGGAAGCAGGAGAGGGCGTTGAGGCACTTCGCGTTGTGAGGCATCAGATTGGTTGGAGACCGCACCGCGATGGGGGTCCACGGGTTGAGACGGAGACCATCGAAGATGAAGCTTTAGGTCCCATTAAGGTGGTTCATGCTTATGGGATGGATGGTTTTGGCTTCCAGTCAAGCTATGGCGTCGCTGGTCTGGTCGCTGAGCTTGTTGCGCAGAGTGTGGCATGATACAGGCGATCTTATGAGGAGAGAATGTCAGGCCAGACGTCAGTCTCACGTGCTACAGAAACGCTGTTTTCCCTTGAATAATACCATAGGATACACGATGTGACAACCACTTGGGGCTCCCATATGTCACCAGCTGCAGAGGAACGTCGGCATATAAGACAACATTCTTCATTGTTAATTTAAAGGGTATTGAAGTAAAGCCGGATGAAGCAACCATTTGACCCCAAAGATACCGCCATTATCAAATCAATTCCCTGCAGTATTGCACCTATTCATGATATTGTATCTAGACTATCAGGCGAAGGGGCAGCAGGATCTGCAAGGTCTTCTTCTTCGGCGACCTCATCGTCGACGACATCATTGGCACCACAGTTCTCGGCCTTCCACGTGTCATAGAGGGCCTTGATGGCATCGGTCGATCCGAGCGGCGCCGGCCAACGCATCCTGCCGGTGGCCTTCATTATCTGTTCTTTAATGCCATTCAGGTCGGCGATCATTACAGCCATGACAGCGCGCAGGGCGGCCAGCGGGGGTTTGAGTGGCACGGCCAGCTTTCCTCGGGGTCGCCGCTGGGAAGGGTCTTCTTGGCCTCGTTCTCCAGGTACTTGCCGACGGCCTTGTGCACCGACGAGAGGTGAGATATGATGATGTGGGCCTTGTTGGTCATGACCGAGTAGCAGGTTCCGCCGGGGCGCTCCTCGTGGCACTCGAACTTGCCATCATGGCGAACGACGCCTCTGACACCCTCTTTCGCGGGTTGATCGGTCGGGTGACGGTCGGAGGGGTCGGAGGGTTCGTTCTCGCGGGGAGCCATCTCCGCCAGTCTCAGCCCTTGGGATGCCTGTCAAATGCGCTCCGCGGTCATGCTCAGGGGCAATCTGATGTCGGCAGGGTACAGCGCCTGTCATCTTGGTCAGCATAATGGCGTTGAGCTTGAGGGAGAAGACGAACAGAGTTCAGCCATGAGCCACCAAAAACAAAATTACCATCGTTAATTTGCTCAAGGTTGCGGCAGAGCCTGAATTGATTCCACATCATCGATACCATCTCAATCTGCTGGGTTGGGAACACGAAGTCATCTTGGTCAGCGCGTGTATCAGGTCGTCCGCCGTGCGTGTCTGGGCTCAAACATACCTTGAACTCATCTAGAGAGGCCTTGAGAGGCTTTGTGCCAGAGGTCGACGGTTTGTGCTTGTCTGGGTCTTCGTTGGTACGGCTGTTCGGGCCAGAATAGTAGATAATGTCGCCCCGGTCTTTGTCGAGGTCATGATACTTGTCAGAGAGCACGATGGGCAGCGCCTGGTTGCTCTCCTGCATTGTCAGCGCCCGAACGTCTCCGCCTGGAGTCCTCTGCTTTTTGTTGTCTTTTGGGGTATTTGGGTTTGGCTCCTCCCTTCCGGTCGAAGAGGTTAATAATAAAATAAATCATAAATCATTCCATCGCCAGGGCGGCGGGCCAGCGGGCGTCGTGAACGACTCTGGCCGATGTACCGCCCCTTTGCACCCGCTCAATCATTTCGAAGGCGCACTCTAGGTCGCCTACCGCCACCCGACCCAAGACGTAGTTCTTGAGCCAGTCGGCGTCGTGTCGGAAATAGACTCCAACGCCGGTTACATGTGACTGTGAGTGACGCACTACACAGGTGGGATCGGGAAGGGGGCCGGACCTGTCACGTCGTATTGACCTTTCTTGAGGTGATGGAGGTTGGTGGTAGGTATGTGTAGAGAAGGCACCCAGGCGTTCGTTGTCTGGTGCGACGGTGGAGGTGGCAAAAGAAGCGAGTGGCCAGTGAAATCTATGTGGTTTAGAATGTGTGCTGGTGCTGTAATCTGGACGTAGAGATCTGAGAGTGCTGAAGGTTGGATGTTGTTTTCAGCATGCAGTCCCCAAGGCGATGCGAGGCGGGTACCTAAGCTGCGGTGAAGACGTTGGCCGGGGGAGGAGAGGTGCAGTCACCAACTGGCGTGATGGTGGGGGTGAGGGAGTGCGGGATGCGGATGTTGTGAGAGAGTGGGAGGATGGTTGAGGAGGTACTGTACTTGCTTGGAGAGCTGTGCAGCCTGGGGCTGACAATTGAATGTTTGCACTGCACTTTTTTGGCCCAGGGCTGCAGGCGTCCTCGACCATCACTTCAATTTTGTGTGGTGCACCTAGCAAATTTGAGCCCTAGTCGGAGCAGTATACATCTGTTATATCGTCTCCCTCGCTGGCGCATAACAGGCAGGTGTGACCTCAGGCTACAACCCCTACTCTTTCCTACTCAGTAACACATCAAGCCCATGACCATACCCGATGCACCTAGCAGATTTAAGTCCCTAATGGGGCAGGCTGTATGTAAAAAAAATAAAAAAAATAAAAAAAAATTCATGCTTACATCTTAGCTCTTCTGGGGCCCAACAGACTGGGGCGGTGACCATGTTTGAAGACAAGACTTATTGAAGATAAGGTCTATGTAAGCAAAGGTCAGTAACTCAAAGTTGACGAGATGGATAAATGATGCTCAAGGATAAGTCTAGTGGATAGGAAGTGAGGCTCGGGAAGCATGGAGCTATTCAGCAGAGAGTAGGCGCGTAGGCTTACCGCCATCGAAATCCTGTTGCCTCTAGGCTTGATATAGACCGACAAATGTGCCTCATACGAGCCCCAACCAGTCTCATATTGCTTTCATCACCAAGAAAACATCTGGTAATAGCATCAAAAGAAAGCCATATCGATATATACTTACAGATTCCCTGGTGGTAGGGGTTGTGCAATGGTATCAAGGCTCCTCAGGTGGAAGTTAACCAGCGTTCAGCCGCGGCCGGTCTAAGAGGTCGAGATAGAGAGTAGGTATAGAAGAGATATGCCGTAGTGCTGACAGTGTCCCGAGACGGACATAGGCCCCAATAGCAAGCCAGGGGGTCGATGGCATAATACTAAGAGATGCCTGCCGCTCATCAAGCTTCAAGTGGTCTGACGAACCACGTTGATTCTAAGTTAGTCGAAGGGCCTAGCAGATACGCCCCTCGATGCTACATACATAGATATGTGAGTGGGCTCGGAGGTGGGCGCACACCGGGAACGTGCAGCTGCATCTAGCAGGTTGAACATACGATGTCAGCCGAGTCATGAGGTTCATCACATGGGCTTGGTGGAGAAGACGGCCATACGTTACCTAATCTAGCAGATGATATAACCGGGAGTCTATTTTGGCGTACAGTATAGTCGTCACAGTCGAAGACAACCAATCCAGGATGGCTGTGGAGAGGCCATCTCCAACTTTGTGTTCAGCGTTGCTAGCGCCATCACCTCACAGCTTATACTTCAGCCGGACTCCCGAGGCTTGAGTACCGCTTGAGGGATTTCGAAAGCATATTCATCAAGATCCGAAGGGAGAACAGGCCAGCAGGAAACAACAACGAATATTGTTCTGTGTGGGTGCTCCGCATGAAGCACAAGAATATGGCACGAGTATAATCCATCAAGAATGGCGCGATAACATGCAGTTTCGTATGCAAGGTGTTTGAAGTCGCGAATAGTTAATTCGCTGGCTGTATTCTTGGGTAACATGCCAAGCTGACTAGCACCGGCTTTCAACCCGCACCCGTCCATTGGTGAAAGGTATTCTTGAGGCCTCTAGCCTCCCCTCGACTTACTCTCAGAAAAGTCTCACAGGTGTGACATTGATTGAGGAGCATGACACTTCAGGATACCAAGCTCACAAACTTCTCCGCAACCCCCAAAATAGGTACGATATTGATGACCTGTCAATGCCACCACAACTCCACCACAATAGCCTCATTCCGCACCTCATTCTTCGCATCCCCAACAACCGACGCATTCACGAACGTCGTCACCCTCCCCCTCCCCCTACCAAGCCCACACCCCCTAAACAACAACCCCTTCAACCTCCCCCACAGCACCAAAACCGCCATCCGAATCACCACCTCCCAGCCGCCCAACCATTCACAGCTGCTTCGTACCCTCTCTGCACCCCATCCATCACGGCGTCCTCCCTTACATGCGCAACGTGGATATGGCCAAACACCACGAGCCGGGGCCTCATCCGCGCGACCCTCTCAGAGAGGTGCGGACACCCCGCGCGGCGGAAGTCGCGCGCGTCGAGATGGAGACGCGGCGGGCCCTGCGAGACGATGATATCTGGGTTCGCCTCTGACGAATCCAGTGAGTCCAGGTAACTGTCGTCGTCGGGGTGGAACTGGAAGGCTGATATGCCATATCGCGGCGTCCACGGCGTGCCGTAGACCGTCAGCCGTCTTGGCTCGCCGTTATCATTATGATGAGGCGAGAAGTTCAGTGTGATGGCCGAGTCCTGGAGGTAAATCACATCACCCCAGTCCAGATCATCCTTGGTGCGCCTCTCGCCGTAGCGCCGCTCGGGGTATTTCGAGAGGAAGGCCTCGTCGAGTAGGACGTCGTGGTTCCCCGCGACGAAGACCTTGTGCGGATGCGGCTGGGACGAGAGCCAGGTCAGGCCGGCTTGTAGCTCGTCGAAGGACCCGTTCTCTGTCAAGTCTCCGGCATGGATGAGGAGATTGCCCGGGGGAAGGCCAGGTCTCGTGTTGTGCGTGTCAGAAACGCAGACCACCCGTACTGGCTTATCGGTTGATGGTAGCTGCCCTGGCAGATGGATGTTTGCGCGGTGTGAGCTGAGAAGCCACTCGGCAACCTTACGTTTGCGATGGCCACGGATCCTGATGGTGGTCTTCGGGGTGTGCGATGTTGAATGCATGGCTGGCTTCCAATGGAGGCTGCAAGAAACCGACAGAGGGTGAACATAGTATGAGATGTCAAGCGCACACTGTGGACGGAGTATCAACACTGTTTCAGTGATCGCGTCCTCTTAAAACCCCAATGGATGACGAGGAAAATGATACCTCCAACACGCCCAGGCCACTGGCTTCGAAAATAGATCAGGCCAGGTTGTAGTAAGATGTTGAGGGTGAAGAGGCAGGTATGGTTCCAAACGTTGGCGAGGTTGGGTCTGGGAGAGCCTAATAGTAGAGGTAGATTGTGACACTATGCACGGATCACCAACAGTGTGCGAGGCCCGTGCTTGATACCTCACCACAAGGAAGCACCTACAACAGAAGACGTTGCTTTACAATTTTGTGCCAGCGCATTGTTTGCGCGGTTTCGAGAGAACATGTTGCCGAAGCTGGTGGCGACAACAAAGGGGATCCCTTTCGCAAGCAGAGCTGTTGCGGCTTGCTCTCGGGAGGAGCCGCAGCCAAAGTTGAAGCCCGAGCCGACGATATAATCGGGCTTGGCGATCGACCTCAGCGGCATTCCGGGTCATAGTTGCTCATGCGAACCTCAGCCATACCCTCTTTGGTTATATTATCTTGATATGTGTCGTTCCAGGGTAGATGGTTGGCGATGAGAGGACACTAAACACACGGGCATAACAGGGGCTGTTAGGCCCAAAGCCGAGCAACATGCAGCTGGGCGTGCTGTGGTTACGGTAAGGCCACGCAAGACGAACTCTGTCTCCTGCCGACCTATCCTTGACTGACAGGGCTTGAATGCCGTGGTGGTGGTGGTGGTGGTGGTATCGAGCATGCAGATTGGATCGAACGTGGCTTTCTCAGTTCTGACCATCGAATGATGTGCATCGCGGGCTGCAACACAGACGCGGGCACCAACGCAACTGGCGAAGACTGGCAGCAGCTTTGGACACAACGGAATGCAAAAGTGGCAGGATGGTGGTGTCTTCATTCTGACACGAGAGAACGACCAACTAGTCTCGGTGATCAGCACTTCGTTAGGGTGTCCCCGACTTCCCTTGGCGCGCGCCTCCACCTCTGCCGTGTAGATCTGCGCTGTTACCTTACTATACTGCATGTGTCATGCGCTAATACAGTATATAAAGTGTACTTTATCTACGCTTACGTGTGTAGACGCGTTGGTAGTGTCGGGCTGTGTTAGGGGGTGATCCAAGGTGATAAAGGGGGAAGGGATTCCCCGTATTACCCCGCAAATCTTGTCCGGTCTCGATTGCGCGTGACGTAAAGCGCTGGAGCTGCAGGCCGCATCTGTTAGTGCAGAGCTTTGCCACAGTGCCTTAATAGGCGCAAATCGTTGTCTCATCTAACAGCAGCTGTCTTCTACCATGTTTTAGTGCTATTGACTAGCGGTGCCCCCAGAAGCTGTGACTCCACCGTGTGAGCTAGTGGGCGATCCCCGCGTCACGTTATAGGCGGTTCTGGATGCCCATTGGCTCTCAGCTCCCAACATGTGAAGTCCGGGGGTTCTTCCATTCCTTCTAAGTTCTATCGCAGATGCTGGTTTCCTACCTCCAGCTCTTTTACCTTACCTCCTACTGACAACCTTACTGCCTGTCTGACGTCCAATTCCTATCTCCTTCCCGTCTTCGTCCTGTTCATCCTGTTCACCATCTCCTAATCTCTCGGCTCTTCCGTTCTCCCACATACCATCAACCTGATCACGAGACACGTCGAACCTATCGAACCGCCTTGAACTACAAACATAACCGGCGTCACAAGTCTGCATGTGGGTACTCCGTATAGTGGCTGCGAGTTACCCCGCAATTCGACTGTTGATTTTGACACTGCCTACCTTATTAGTATCACGCAAGCCAGGGATAGCCACCAGACCAGGCACGCTCCGTCCATCCAATCCACCATCGGCATCTCTCAAACTCTCGAGTCAGCACATCTACGCCTGATTCAGAGGGTGGCATCAGTCAAGATCGCCTTCTCACAACACACACTTCGGTTAGGTCCTGCAGCGCAACCACCATCTAGCCTCCAGACTGCGTCAAAGAAGCGAGCCACCGTCGTTTGTCCCACTTCACCCGCCTCACGCGCTCACGCGCTCTACCCTCCTTCACTTGCGTTCATACGATTAATCGTTCGATACAAAGGACCATCGTATTGTTCTGCCCACCCTCCTGTCTCCTGACCGAACAACCACTCCTACCTAAAAAGCTCCCGGTGTTTCGCTTTCACCACCCCTGAAACGCTACGTCGTGCCACCCTTGAGGCCCGACTGTCGTCCAAATCCAGATTGTGTCGCTGCTACTAAACAACCAACACTTCCCACTGCTGGAGTATTGCACACTCTTCGACAATTACACTTCCTTCTCTGTACCTACACAGTCCATCCAACATGTCTAACGACAATGCAAACAACACAACCCCTAGCGGACCTCCCAATGATCGCCGCGGATCTGTCACTTCGGCTGCCTTCTCTAACTTCTTCCACCGAAGCAACTCGACTTCTGCCGGAAACGGAAATGGTCGCGAGTCGGCTACAGTTGCTGCTGCCCGAGACCATCGCCGACGGCTCTCTGTCACCACCTTGGGCTTGTCTGGTCCATCACCCGCATCAGCAAGCACGCCCTTTGGCCTCCGACGCAGCAGCATCTCTACCACCAACTCGAACGCGGACTCTATTGACGAGAGTGCCGTTGAGGATGAAGAGTCCGCCAGGAGTGCCGCTTCCCCTTTCGCACGCCGCATGAGCTTTGGGGCACAGGCTATGCGAAACATGCGTCCCGGCCAGACCAGCCCTGGCTCAACTGGTAGGCCTGCCCAGCAAGCAAGACGTGTTTCCGTCGGAAACTCGCGTACACCAACCTCTGCTACCCCGTCCGCCCCGACTGCTGCGAGACGGACGAGCACCTCTCAGGCAAGCAACACACTATCTGCAAGAACACCTTCTGACATGCTTTCTGCTCGCTCAGACAATGGGTACAACTGGTCCGAGCAGCTTAGGTCTCGCGCTGAAAGCAGCGTTTCGGGTGCCCGCCCAACCTTTACGGCCGCCACCTCCGGCTCGCCCCCTCGTGGCAACGGCCCACAAGACCGTGTCAAGTCGGTTTCCGAAATGCCTGCGCCGCCCCAACAGGCTGCTGCCCTGAAGCCCAAACAACCCGAGAGACCCAAGCCCGACCATATGCAGGAGCGTATTCTGAAGGGTGATTTCTACATGGATTGATTGGTAGCGGCTCGCGGACAATGAAGCAACTTTGACGAGCGAGCGATCTGTACGATTGATGAGGGGAAACCACCCCACGAAGAGCGATACCCGTCCTCAACACACACCCTGATGCTTGGCTGTTGCCCATAACATCTGTGACCTCGTTTGGCCTTCTGCGTTTCCTTACCACCGACCCCTCTGGCAACCGACGTCACTCGCTTCACCAAAACTTCCTTTTCGGCATTGAAAGCCAGAAGTGGGGACAACACCAGGATTGATAGAACAAAGTGTTTGATGGGTTTCGCCTAGGATTATGGGCTACCAGTGCCTTGCAGTCTGGAGATGACAAGGACTTTGCGAATGTGGAGTTCTGACTTGACGTTTACCGGCAAAAAAGTCTGCTCGGGCAAATGGCTTTGCTTCACCAAAAGGCATGAGGTTTCTCGCCACGTACTTCACGTGCGGGTTCCAGCACATTGCCGACCTATGTTCCTGTATGATATGGATTCAACGTGCCACCCTGAAGCACAAGATATGTATCTAAGTGAGCTAGACAGCTCCAGAACAAGGCAGATTAATCTAAATCTGACCAAAGCCAACACTGAGTTTACTTATCTTTCGAAGGTGTTCAACTACCGCTAACATACGTCGAGAACCCGTTCTTGCCAATGGTCTCTGGACATCAACAGTATATTCAAATCCATGGAATAAGCACCCCTGAATAAGCAGGTCTTATCTTTCAAGTTGTTTTTGATGCTTATTTTAGAGTGCTTATTGCGTTGATGATAGATACACCTATTGCTTGTTGCCAGGCGTGTACCAAGATTTCTGAAAGTTTACCGTACCTATCTATAGAAGAGCTGAGCACGTGATACCCCGATAGCCACACGCACGCTCTACAATACCTAGGTACCTGTGTTCGGTAGTTATCTCCTTGAATCCTCAGTTGCCAAGGTCGACCGACTACTAGATCCGGGAAGACCAAGACGTGTCGAAGCAAATACTAGTTGACCGCTTTCCCGCAGCTCCCCTATTCATGTCGTCTCGAGGCAAGTTCTTTAATGGATCGGGCTGCAATATGTGTTGCAGTTTTGAGGACGTAGGCGGTATTATATTGCTTTAGACAGCATTCTACTACAGACCAAAGGAACTTATATAAGCAGACGTCAATGAAGGTACATGTACTGCCAAGCGGTTGGGATGATAGTTTGCATACGCAGTCATTCTGGGGGTAAGAAACTGGAATAATTTTCAAACCACTTTACTTATTGCACTGCGAACCACCGTTTCTCAACCCCTTGACTGCTCGGATAGGACACCTATAGCAACGTAAGTGGCGACACTCGCCATCACAGCAGCTGTACGCAAGACATAGGTTGTAGACAGGAGTTAAGTTTTATATTTTCACCCACTGAACACCCATTGTAGTAACGTGTAAGAGTAACAAGTTAGCAACCATGATAATGACAAGATGTCCCTGAGCGCCTAGCTTTGCCCACACGCCCGATAATGTGACCGTCCGGGTCATGCTCTCCGTACCCATTAGTCCGTCCTCCGACCCCCGCCTAGAAAGCTAACAAGTCGTACGTATGCTAGATACCCATACAACGTCAGATCGTTGAATGAACCAGGAGCGTGCGTACCCATTCCCCAGCTCCTAATGCAACTGATGCTGATGTATCCGTGTCGAACATCGAAAGCAACGCAGAGCGTCTACATTGGGACATGCCACGTGAAGTCGTGTCAGCAAGGACCTAGAATCCGAACAGATTAGGAGCCCCACTGGGGAAGTCCTCGAACATGCCGGTTAGCAAGGCGTCCTGCTGCTGCATCATCAAACGCATGCTCTCGTAAGACTCGCCCGGGCCTCCGCCACCGAATCCGTTGAGCGTCAGCCCCATGGCCTGCTCAAACCCGTCACCCATACTGTTGAAATCAATCTCGCCTCCAAACGTGGCGTCCATCATTGGCATAGCTCCCTGCCCTAAACCCGGCATGCCCGCCACGGCTTCCGCCCCGGTCGCCGTAACGCCGGGTGTGGGGTCATACATATAAGGTTGAGACGTTGTCTGCGACCATGATTGATACGCCGACGAGTTCGCATCTGTGGTTCGCGGGACCGCATTCTGGTCATTACGCGACGGACCATTGCCAGTGGCAATTTCGGAGAGAAGCTGGAGAGGTGTGTTGGCAGGGTTAAAATCAGAGTGTTGTAGACTTTGCTGTTGATATTGCTGCTGCCGTGGGTCCTGTTGCTGGCTTGCAGGAACACTATCTTGCCCCTTTGGCCGAAATGCACCATTATTGCCAGGCGAGATGTGCAGGGCCGGATCGACCTGCTCACTCCCTTGCGTTCTAGCCTGACCCTTCTTGTGAAACCAACCACGCAGCATCATCAAAACAACGAGGAATTTGCCTGCGGGGCGGGACTTGTCTGACGCTGCCGTATCGCGGAACTTCTCAAGCAGCTTGTCTAGGTATTCAGACACCTTCATGTTATCTTTGTTGATAACCTTACCCAACTCCGAGTTAGGTGAGCTCGCACTGAAGTACATCTTGATGAGGACAACAACGGCATAGGCAACCCGAACGAAGTTAAAGATGGGGAGACAGCGAATGACCTGCGTATCCATAGCGAGGAAGGTCTCAAATATGCCATCGATTGCCGTCAAACAAGACGACAATGCACCAATATGAGCCGCAGTGAGGTTGTCGCCAAGTCCGGGGATCGGATCGTGAAGCGCTTCGGCATTGATGGGTGCACGATATTCGTCACTGTTCTTGTCGACGTACAGCGCGATCTCATGCATGTACAGGTTCAACACGTGGAAGCTGAGAATAACCGACGCTGTAGCATGTTAACAACCGAGACGATCTCAAACCACATGGGTTAACTCACGTTGCCTGTCCTCCTTCGGTATATCGGCACGGTATTTAGCCAGGTCTCTTTCGAAGCCCCGCAAGGCGTACTGGACTGTCTGTTCCGTAATGTTCACGAAAATACTGGGATCATCCATCGAGAACTGGATGCCTACTTCCTCAGCGAGACGGTGAGTCCAAACAAGATGACAGAGGTATCTGTCGGTGGGGGCAGCTTCAGGGGATGTTTCCAGTATCTCCATACACTCGCTCATGAACGCCTGCCATCTGATCAAGTTGGGTCGGTGTAAAGCCATGGCCACATTGGCAGCTAAGAAATAGGAGGCGAGCCACGTCCGCCGAGCCTCAATCGTGGTAGGATCAGGAAGAGGGGTTTTTCGGAAGGGGTGGTCACGCCATGTATATGGTATTAGTCGAGATTTTGGATTGTTCTTCTTTCTGCCCAGGCCAATATCGATTGACATGATGGCAGCCATATGGATGAACGAGTAGAACTTGAGCTCCTCGAAATGCTCCGGCGGAAAGTACCAAATCACGCTGACAAGTAGCGCCTGTACCATCTCCAAGTTCTTCTCGCCCGTGATGACGATCTTCTCGGCGAAAATCTGCATGAGCTCCCTGACTAATTGCCGTTGAACCACAGGTGTTTCCGATGCAGCGACTGCCATGACTGTGAGAAACAGGATGGGTTTCGACTTTCGAAGATCCGAGAAGGTACTACCTCGTGGGAAAACGACGGCAGGCAGGTGTATGGCCATCTCATCGGTGTACCTCCGGAAGAGCCTGGCAGCATCATCCACGGTGATGATGCCTCGATCGATGGCGTCCGTTTGTTGGCGCCCAATGGTCGAAGGCTGGGTTCCCGGCGATTCTTTGGCGCCGTCTGAAGAGCTCTCTCTTGTCTCGTTGAACTTCCTCTTGTGGCCGGCGGCGACCAAGGTCGCATGGAACGACGGCTTATCGGGTTCGGGAGCATATGGCGGCTGGCTGTCTCGCGGCGGGGGCGGCGGCGGACCCCAGTCCCGCGAGCTACTCGCATAGGAGGTGTTGCCATAGGCATTCTGATCGTCTGACGGTGTTGCATGGGCCGAGCCATCTCTGGTCGCTTGCAGGCTAGCAGTCAAGGCATCGATCTTCTTCTCCAGCTCGGCGACCCGACTGTCGGTCTTCTTCTGCCGCTTCCTGGTGGGCTGTGTCACGACACAGTTTCGTCCGGCTTTGGTACACCGCTTACACGGGCCGTCCGGATTGGCTGGATCGGGTTCACACTTGACCTTCAATCCGCGGCAGGCCTCGCAGGCGCGCGGGCGCTTCGGGTCGTTGGGGTCCAGTGGCGCGTCGCCGGCGGCGTTGGGAGTGTCATTGCTCGCGGAGAGAGGGTTCAGCGATGGGGTCTGGGATGGATGGTGGTGCTGGTGTTGGTGCTGTGGGTGCTGTTGGTGGCGCTGCTGCTGCTGCTGCGGGGATGGGGACTCTGATACGTCGGAGGAGGCGGCGGACAGCTGCGCCTCGTCGTGGACGACGATTGAGTCCTCGCCGGCGTCGCGAAGACGCGGATCTAGCGAGGCCGGATCCATTGCTGAAACGTGCCGACCTTTGGCACTCGTAGTGTGAGTTTCGTGAGCAGAGCGGCGATTGGGGTGCCGATGATACGAAAGAGCGGGAGCTGAGAGAACCGGGCACCGATCATGGATGCAGTGGGCGAACAATTCAAATCAGGTGGGTGGCTGGGCGGACTACCTACCTGTGGGCAGTGGGCGGGCTCCCGAGGTCCAGCCTGAGTGGGCGCTATCTTGCAGGTGCCACCGTGCACTCCATGGGCAGGTGGGCGGACAATGGTGACGGCATCCATTTGGATTATGCGTCTATCCAATCAGGGGCGACCCGGGTGCAGGTGGACGCTAACCACATGGGGCCCAAGTTTCTCCGATCACTGAGCAGCCAAAGTCTCCCCCCTTTTGGAGTTGGGATGATGGATTTGAAACAAAAACCCTTTGGCCTTGTGATACCACACAAAATCCTGCTTCAGGATGTATCTGTTCTTTTGATACTGATGTTAAGACCCTGTGAGTCTTGATGGGTTGGTACACGACATTTTCCACGACATTTCTGATTTTGCTGCACTAAGTTAGAAATACTTGTATTCATGCTACATCTGAAGAAGAAGAAGAAGAAGAAGAAGAAGAAGAAGAAGCGTCCTTCAAGAGTTTGATTTCCAACCTACCCATTATTGTAACGGAAACACAGTCTTCCCGATGTTCTTCCCGCTGATCTCCACGGCTGCATCTCCCATTCCTTCAAGATGCACCTCCAGCTTCTCATGCGGCCACAGCGTGACATAGTTGTCCGACCACATCACAGGCGGCACATCCGCGCCCTCCGAGGTGACCAGGTTGAAACCGCCCTTGGACGTCCCGCACGAGACTGATATGTTGGCCGTCTGCAGCTTGTTCAGGGATGTAAAGTCGGCGTACTCAGTAACGGGGGTGTAGAACCAACCCGAGCTGTCCCAGTCGAGCGTGTCGATTGTCTTGGCGAGCCAGTAGACGTTGCGGCTTAGAGTGGCTTGCTTCCCGTCCTGGAGGGTCAGTCGGAGGAATGTGACTTCGTTGATTGACTTCAGCGGCTTGGAAAGGTCGATGATGTGCTTGTTTGTGTTTGGTTCCGTCGTGACGGCCTTAGTTTAGTGGTGTTGTAGGTCGTTTTTCTGCTCTTGTCCATGACATCGACCGGTACCTTTCGCGACCCGTTTTGGTCAATGGTGTGGTTGATCAGATAGACTCCCTTCTTGAGATAGTCGTAAGCAAGGTGTTCCTTTCTGGCCCCAACCTTGGCGCCGTAGTAAGTACCTGCAGGGTGTAGGGAGTAGTCGAACAAGTTCCAATGCAAGCTCGGCAAGGCGTTGTTCAACCTCCAATAGATCAACCCTGTAGCCGGCCATTCGGTATTCCAGAAGGACGAGACGGCTTCAAACTGTGCCCGTGTGGCTTCGTAATCCATGATCTGGGCTTTGAAGAGGTAGTCATCCAGCGATGATGGGGCTCCGTGGCGCTTCCAGAGCGTGTCATTGTATATCTTGCGGTCGTAGGACGAGGACACATTGGTTGACATGTTGTATGGTCCCTTGTTCGGTTGCCTTCATAAGTCATCCATATCAGCCTCTGACAAGAAGTTCTTCAAACTACTAAGCTCGGGTGTTCCGACTTCAGCACCCAGCTCAGAACCGAACCCAAATGCAGCCCCTAGTCGGTCTTCTCAGTTCTGAAGGCTCGACGTCGTACTAATAGTTGGGCGGCACCCAGTCATAAGGTCCATCCATTTTCAACTCCGAAGGACCAAGAGCTTGTGGGAAGCTTCTTTCCCTGCGGAGGCGATTACAGGCATCTGCCAGTCTGCCGCTTTAACGAAGCCAGGTACATCTCTGCTGCCTTGTCGTCTGGCCAGAAATCGCTGCCATTAAATAAGCCAACATACTCGTATGGCCTTGCCGCATCAGGGCTTCATGGCGCATGCTCACATTGCCGAGGCCGTAGTCGCTTTCTGTCCACTCGGCCTTGACGACCAGATTATCATTGTAAGTCCATGGCTCCCGTTTATCGTAGCACTCCTATCCAGCCATAACTATGAAACCTAGACGGTCTGCAGTGTCGTATAGTTCCGGGTGTTCGTTCTTGCCTTCCAGCCGTACCATTTTGAGGTCCAAGTCCAGCATCATTCTGGCCTGCGCGCTGAACTTGGCGTCGTCCCACCGCAGGAACATGTCTGCCGAATATCCTCCACCGATGACTTGGAAAGGCAGCCCGTTGACATAGAACATGGTATCATACCATCCATCCATCCATCCATCCATCCATCCATCCATCCATCCATCCATCCATCCATCCATCCATCCAGCCAGCCAGCCATTCATCCATCCATATCCGTACATGACGTTGCAAGCTAAGCTTTCATGAGAAAATTGATTCAAGGCAAAGTTTCCCAGCCGCCACACTACGAACCTTATACCCCAGCCACCTATCCCTCTCCCCCAACGGCACGGGATATATATATACGAATTTATCAGATTTGTCTGGTAGCCGGGTTGGTACGGCCTAGCGCAGTATTCTTAAAGTATTCTTACAAGGTATTCTCAGCACAGTGGTTCGATTCCTCTAGCGGTCGAAACATTCTTTTCTTATGCCTTCCTTCCTCGACTTCTGCCCTTTTTTTGTCTGTTTCCTTATGTGAGTTAGGCTTCGACGACAGATGGCGGATGTCAAAAGAACGTTCCACTGTGTCGGAGTTGAGTGTATAGTCGAATTGCATGTTCTTCTTGAATATAATGGCAAACCGTATCATACATTCGAGTTGACTGAGAAACTGTCAGGGAAGCGGTATAAGGTACTATCGATCATTGATGATTGCAAAGTAGGAGTTCCTGCTTGAGGCGTCGTCTCTTGAAAAGGCACAAGCCCACGGCTTAGCTATGAGTTCAACCCCGAGTTACCCGTATAGTCTCGGGGTTCCTGCTGCGGATATATGATCACCACGCGGTGCTGAACAGAGAGTATCGTCCTTAGCACACAATATGTGCTTATAAGCCTTGGGTGATGCAAACATGCATGCTTTTGGGCCACTCAGAAGTACGAATGCTTTTCCAAGCATTATCGCCCGGAAAGGTGGAGAAGGGGAGAACACCATACAAGCTTACTCAAGAACCACGAACCTCGGATGCAATACGATTTATGGTTCATCATAAGTATGCTTAATGAGTCTTCAGAAACACCAGTAGCAGCTCGTAGGTTTCGAAAACTGCAGTACATTGGACTCCTAGATACCCTCGATTTCCCAGCATTGCGCTCAGCAGAACAATGCATCATGGCGCCATAGGCAGCGGTGTGTGACTTTAAACTCAAGGATCAATCATTCAAATAATGACACGCGATGTTCAGCATGATCGATGTCGATAGACCTGGAGACTTCAAAGGGCGGGTGAAGGAAGCAGGGTTTGACCTTTCGTAAAGATGGCCCGTGCACAACGGCTAGACACAGGAGCCTCAGCCTGATCCAAGCGCCCAAAGCTTCCTTCCACCTTCTGTGAACTTTTCGAACCCCAACGACGTCAAGCTCCGAGAGCTTGCTGGTACATAACGACAAAACTCTCCACTCCACAGCAACAACTTTTCGATACCCCCGGTGTGACATCGACGAGAAACAGTAGCATCAAATGAGGTGAAATGATGTTGACCGCCACCACCACGACCGCATCGCGCTTCGGCGTCATGGGCGCTCGAGGCCTGCTCAAGAGAGGAGGAGGGGCAAGCTGCGCATACTCGTCGCTGGCGTTGCTCGCACAACGGCAATGCAGCGCCCGGGCCGCGAGGCACGTCTCGACCAAGCTGCCGCCCACGACCCGCAAGACCATATCCCTCCAATGCCAGCTGGCATCCCGACGCCATGCCACAACGACCGCCTCCCCCACCACACCCTCGACCGCGCCGGAATCCTCGTCGGTGCCGCTCGACTGGAACGGCTTCTTCACCTTGCGCAAGACCCGGCGGCGGTTCCAGCTGGTGAGCAGCATATTCACAATGGTCACGGGCGGCGCGGTGGGCACGGCGCTGCTGGTAAACCTGGACATGGACTCGCTGCTGAGCAAGGTGCCGATGGACCCCTTCTTCGCGCTGGGCATAGTGACGCTGAGCTTCATGGGGCTGGGTTGGTTGGCCGGGCCGAGCTTGGGATCTGCGTTGTTCTACACCTTCAAGCGCGGCGTCAAGCAACCCATGGCTGTGAAGGAATCCGAGTTCTTTGCACGGATTAAGAAGAACCGAGTCGACCCGAGCAACAGCTCTCTGAGTGGGAATGCGGGTACGCTTTTACTGTGCTTCAATTGGGTGTTTCGCAATGCTGACGTTTGATTTGACAGTCCCTGATTTCTACGGCGAGAAGATCTCGAGTGTAGCCGGCTACAGACAGTGGATGAAGGACCAAAGAGCATTCAACAAGAAGCGTACGAGCTTTGTTTAGTGTGATAGTGAAGGACTAGGCTCACTCAGGGCGTCACGAGCAGGAAAATTGCAGGCAGCATTGAATTGTTCATCTGATCAGTTTACTAGTGCTTATCCTAGGGCATTGCGGTATGGCCTCCGACTTTCCCCTTCCTGAGGGAAACACAGAAGGTTTTCAACGCGGGTTGGCGTTGGCGCACATGTATCAACAGCAGGAGGGATTGGTATGGATTCAGGCAGACATGCGAACCCCTCTTCCCAGATCAAAATCAAAATATTTGATAGTTTTACTGCTTGTGTGTGTAATGGCTATGTGAAAGGCATTGTGCCGTCTACTTCTCGTTTCCAGGCCCGCATTCCCCCCTTTATATCTCCTACGAATCGTTTTCCGTCGCTGTCGATACCCATATCTTTCAACTTTCGGGCCACTAGCTGCGAGTCGTTCCCGACCCTGCAGACGACATAGATCGGGGCTTCCGAGGGCGTCTCTTCAGGAAGCCAATCAAGGGACGGCTTCTCGCCACCAGTCGTGGACCGATACTTGGCCTGGAACGCGGAGAATGGCACATGAATGGCCCCCGGTATGCTAGCAATGTCAAAGTGCTCCTTCTCGCGGACGTCCAGCAGGAGGCTCGTTGTATTGAGCCCCTGAGCCAGAATATCGTTGTAGTCAGCAGCACTGATCCTTTCCTCGGGTCTCAGTACGCTGATCGGTGTCGACACGCCGCAGAATTGGACATAATCTAGCGATCCGGATTTCAGTTCTTTCAAAGTCAACGTCGACTCAGCCGAGCAGGCGAAACACTTCGGTTTCCGGCTCCGCATGCGAATCGACCGAAATGGTTCAGACGATGTCGCAGAGAACAGGAGCAAGCTCGGCGCATTCCACTGTTTCGGGTCTGCATTGTCTCCCTTTCCGATACCGGCCGCGATCAGCTTGATCGCCTCGAGCGCCTGCAGCACGCCCATGACGCCCACGACGGGCCCCAGGATGCCGCCCTCGCCGCAGCTGACCACGCTGTCGGCCGGCGGCGGCCTGGGGAACACGCACCGGTAGCACGGCCCGCCGCCGTCCGCGGCCCCCGGCGGCGCCGGCGGGTTGTTCAGCACGATGAGCTGGCCATCGGTGCGCAGCGCCGACGCCGAGACGAGCGGCTTGCGCAGCAGCACGCAGACGTCCGAGATCAGGTACCGGCTCGTTGGGTGGTCCGTGCAGTCCAGCACCACGTCGTACCGCGAGACGATGGCCTCGGCGTTCTGCGGCGTCAGGTGCTCCCCGTGACAGCGGTACGCGACCTCCGGGTTAAGGTCGCGAGAGTACTGCGCCAGGCTGTCGACTTTGGGCGCGCCGACGCGCGAGGTGCTGTGCGCGATCTGCCGGTGCAGGTTGGACACTTCCACGGTGTCGCCGTCGACGATGCCCAGGGTTCCCACGCCGGCGCCGGAGAGGTATGCGGCGGCGGGACATCCGAGCCCGCCGGCGCCGATGATGAGGACCGAGCTGGATTTCAGGCGCAGCTGGCCGTTGATGCCGATGCTGGGCAGGATCAGCTGGCGGCCGTAGCGGGCGTACTCTTCTTCCTTCAAGGGCCACTTCGATCCCGGGGCCGGTGCCGTTGCCGTTCCGCTTCCGGACTCCTCCGGGATGTGATCATGGCGGCCGTTCGTTGACGATGACTCGAGCTCTTGGAGCTGGGCGCGCAGATCTTGGAGTTCCTTCTCAGTCCGCGAGATCTGCCTCCTTAACTCCTCGGCCTTGTGTGTGGCTGCGTCTGCGTTCATTGCGGCGGGTCACCAGACGCCCAGGCCTGATGGTGTGTGGTAGCTGGTGTGCCTAAGATGGTAAGAATGTAGATCCCAGCCACCGGATCAGCCACCAGTACCTTATCGTATCTACTGTCTTCCAGTGTTGGATTAAAGGTGAGCCCAGCGGGCACCTTGATAGGTAGACACCGGAACCTAGTTGTTCCGTCCCGACCCAGCCCCCTCTGGCACAAAACTGCCATTGTCGCACAAGGACACTCCAGACAGACAGAATACACACACACACACACTTCACTTTCACGATTGGCTCAAATCTGACACCACCGCGGGGACCATTGGGCGATCTAGTGATGGCTGGCAGCAGTGGCGACCTCATGATGCTTTTCGTCAGCTCCCACACGAGTGTCGTCCCGGTAGACGAGGTAGTATGCTATCACATGAGATTCTCCAGGAATCATCCGTCGCGAAGTCGCCATCCTGAACAACTGCCACCCAGGCATCTACGTATGTGCCTTCATCTGACCAGCAGAAGGATCCCTTTGAAGCAAGGCGGCATGAAAGAGCCAAGCAGTAACGCGCCAGGTAGCGTCCCCGCTGAGACCGAACTCCTGCCCTTTGTGGCATGGTTGTCCGCCAGCGACCCCCACCATTGGCTGGGAGGCGCCCCAGGAGTGAGGATGGCAGGATGGCCGACGAGCCTCCTTTGTGACAGCTCCTATTATGCAACGACCGTTGAGGAATTGACGACAGCCGCAGGGCAAAATCTACTTCAGTTTCCTACCAGGAAGAATACCGTGACACTCTACAACATGTTACGAATGACCACCCGTGGACATGCCTCGCAGAGCAATATATCCAACAATGCTCTCCGTGCCGGCCGGGTCAGAGGTTCGACAAACTCGAGACCGAGGGGCGTTCTAGGTCTAGCAAGGAACCGGTGTGTGTGGAAAGCCACGCCCGGTTTATCCCTTTTCTTTTACGTACTCGCCCCTGGGGTTTCGGTCGGACCCAAGTGGGCGATGGATGGTGGGCTCTCGACGACAATAATAATATCATTTTCAAATGCTGACGCGTCGGGGAACCAGTCGCTACACTCAGCCCTCGTAAGTCTCTGTACGCGTATAATGTTAATAACTTCACATTACTAATAAAAAGTTAAAATATTAGAATAAGCATACCGAAATAAGCACCTTTAATATTTTAAGATTATTTTAAGGTGGTGTTTAGAACTAATTAAGTAGATTGTAATTATAAATAAATACACCGTAACAGGCCCTTGCAAGTATTTTAGCCAGTAAAAAGAACGAACACTTAGAATTTTTTAGATAAGCTTTAAATATAAGCCAGGCTGCCCGCGTGCCTAGCTAGCATCGTAATAATTAATTTAAAAGATAATTACTATATTAAACTAGCGTCTTATTAAAAATACCGATACCTTAACGAAATAACGTGTTTTAATTAAATATATCGTTTTTATATCATTTAGTTTTATGAGTTTTTTAAAAAGACGCCCGTATTTATAATAAAAGTACTTAAAATACTTGCCTTACGTATACTTGGTTGAACAAACTAGAGGTAGCGCTAGTAGTGATTAGCTACAACCAGGGTGGCACGCACCATAATTATGATTATGATTCTCGTTCTGAACACCACCTATAATGCTTATGCCAGTATGCTTATCCCAATTACGATAGATCTATCGTTGTTTGCTGGACTGGTGGTGTACGGAGACTTACGAGGGTTCAGTGTACCGGTATAAGGTATTGGATTGGTGACTGCTCCGTTTCAAGCACCTCGCCCACTCGACTCACGCGAGTCATGCCGCGTAATAAGTTCTGGGCCGCGGAGTTCTCAAGAGCGAGTCTACCGACGGTTGATAGCGGGGAGAGAAGTATGTATTGGGTATCCACGAAGTGGCTGCCACCGTTAAGATCGGAGCAGCTGAAATCTAAAGGCCTCATTTGCATCATAGCCACATGAAGAGGCGCATTGAGCGATCTACAAGATATCGTACCCAATGGCAGGCTTTCTGTCCATACATTATTCTAGAAGCTTTCTCGCTGCTGTCGAGGAGCCGTGAAGTGCTGCTGACCGGCTTCACCCACAGAAGCCAGCACGTCCCCAGCTGCAGGCTCCAGGGGGTGGGGCCAGGCCACCTGCATTTAGCCCCTGCTAGAAGGTAGTAGGTACACTTAGGGCATTAAGGACCCTGGTAGCGGAGATCTCGCTAAGCCAATAGAGTTGGCTAAACCCCAAGTCCCACCCCACCTTCTTCTCGTCGTCCGCTCGCTTTTTTGACGTTCGCCGTTGGCCGTTGGCGCAAGTTTGAAGTCACCTGGCCGCACTGCGCCGTGGTGGTCTTGCCATCGGCCCTCGCCCCGACAAGAAGTTCCCAAGAAACCATTTGTGCGAACCTCACCACCTCACCGAGGGCTCCTCGCGGAAGCCTCTGACCAAACGCGCGCCTCACCTTTTCGTTTCAGGTTGGCCAGGTACCGACAGTCTTGAAGAAGAAGAGAAAGAGAGGACAATCCGATTTGCGGCGGAACCCTCCATTCGATTGGCGCGGCCCCTCATCGCCCAAGATATGCGATAACCGACCATCCTCAGAGTGCCTACGCTACAGCGCAATCGCAGCCCGACCGCACAAGTCGAACAGAGTACATAGTGTAGGCTGCGGGAATCACAAGGCTCGACCCTCGGATCTGTTGCGAGGTTTCGACTGTCGCAAGTAATTGTGCGTTGGTGTACACTTCAAACTAGGAGGCTCCTCCGGGCCTTCTACGTGAGGTGTAGCCATGATGGATACGGGCGTCTGGAACGGCCAGACTCAGAACCCGTCCTCGACCGGCGACGATGACTTCCAACAATTCCTCGACATGGATATGTCGAACATGGGAGACTCGATACAGTTCGACTTCCACGACTTCAATCCGTCGAACGGCCCCTCCATGATGCCACACCACCAGCCGCATCGCGATCCCATAGACACACCCATGCCCGACTCGGGTATGGTCCCAATCGTCTCGCCATACCACATGGGAATGCAGAACCAAATTCCCCCCTTGACGTCTGCTCCCAGTCATCCAACCCTCTCGTCACAAGTCATACCTTCGCACCATACCTCCCACGACGCTATTTCCGACATCGATGCGCAGATCAACTTTCTACAACACCAGAAAAAGTTTCAGCAGCAGCAGAGACACCTTGAGGAACAGCAAAGACATCTGCGAGAGCAGCAGGCTGCATTCTATGCGCAGCAGCAGCAACAGCAACAACGCATGGTACCCCCGACGCCGCAGAGTCTTGACATGCAGTCTGCGAATCAGTTCTACACTACGCACGATCAGGGACACTCTTCTGGCTTGTTCGACGGGTACCAACAGTTGAAGGAGCAACAAGACGTATGCTCTTCACTATCAAGTTCAAAAAGCACCGGCTAACCGCGCAGTAGATGGCTTTCACCCCGCTGGTGTCACCCGCGGTTACCCCTTTGGACGCACACTTTCCCGTTGACCCTCAATTCACAATTCCAGGAGCCTACTTCAGCCCAATAAGCTCCCCTGCACTACATGCGCAGATGGATTCTTCTTCAATGTTTGACCCCAGGCTCTCGGGCCAGACGACTAACTCGCCAGCGGAAATGGACGTTGAACTCCCTCTGGTCCCGCTCAGTACGGCGACTCTGTCCAAGGAGGTGCGCAAGAACAATGCGTCGAAGAGGAAGCCCAAAATACGGCAGTCGCCTATCACCAAGCCGCAGAGAAAGAAGACGGCATCAACACCTGTTATGAATGCCCAGATCCTGAGTGAGTTGGCCGAGACTGCGATCGAGAGCTCAGGCGTACCGCCTAAAGCCAAATCAGTGTCGGCAACCTCGACGGAAGAATCGATGTCGGAGAATGCTTCAGTCTCGCCAGAGGCTCTTTCGGATATGCCACCACCACCTCTCCCGCTACCGCGCTCGGCTCGGCAATCTCCGTATATCCAACCGCATACCAGCGATAATCCTGTGCCACTGCCACTACCGAAAGCTCTGAACGGAAAGCCCTCGCCTGCAACTCCGGCTTCACTATTCAGGATATCACCAAGGAGCAAGTCGGCTGGTCCGAATAACCCAGACCAAAATGCGCCGGAACACATTGACAGCTTCGAGCTCCCCGAATCCATCAACTTCTCAAAACCCCAATTGCCGTCGCTCGATACTCGGCAACCAACACAGATAACGTCCGAAGGAGATTCAGCCAAGACATCATTTCAGACGTTGCCATCCCCTGTCGTCCCGAACCCCCCTCGGCGCGCTTCCGCTTCCCAAAGTCCCCAGCTCACACCGAGAATATCTGCCACTACAAGAAAGACGCCACTATTGACACCGAGGGGCGGTAAGAAGAGGACTAGCGTCAGCTCTATTTCGCCAGCATTACTGCCAAGAATATCTCCGAACATCAAACCACTACTTCCCGGGACTCCTGGAATGTCTGTCGAGGATTCTGCGTCGCAATTACTGGCTTCCAAGTCAAACTATCAGCGGATACTGGAGGGGAACACAGTACCCGGTGTCTCGTATCCTAGCGAACTGTCTACGGGCTTGACCTCGAAGCGAACTTCGCATAAGATTGCAGAGCAAGGACGCAGGAATCGTATCAACACGGCGCTTATGGAGGTTGCCACATTATTACCAAAGAGCGCGGCCAACGAGCTTGGTGAAGGGGACGACGAGAGCGGCAGTGGAGACAAGAAAGATGGCAAACAATCGAGCGCTCCAAATAGCAAGGCCAGTACAGTTGAATTGGCGATCGAGTACATCAAACAGCTAAAGGAGGAAGTCGCCAACGCAAACAAGAGAGCTGATGAAGCTGAGCAGAAACTACAAGAGCAAGCGCCAGCGAGCTGACTCGAGCACACATGGCTATCACATATCGCTGGATCCAGTGAGATAGGAATCGTTTTTCACAAGCTGGAGTAGCATCGACATTGCAAACGGGCATACATCACGGCATCACGATCCGGGATAATGTGTAGAAACTGCATTGCCGCATGTTCCGGGACACGCTGGACCATGTACTCACGGGTACTCATTACAGCTTCGTAGCTAGGACACGTTGCATGCGTCTACTTATTACCGGCATAGCCAAGGTGATGAAGCCCAGCAATAGCTTGGCGCCTTGTACTATATATACAATGCCATATCAACAAAATGTTGATTTGAGGGGTACAGTTGTTGGCTTTGAGGGATGCCAACAAGCTCGTCATGTGTAGTATAGTATAGTCGTCCAGAACGCGTGGCAAGCACTTGGTGGAATAAGTATAAGCGCAAATGTATCGGCTTTGAGCCAAATATTAATATGAACACCACGCGAGTATTGTACTTGCGCAAGCATCGTGTCCAACCAGCCTCTTTCGTATCTCTCCAGATTATAATGGCTTCTAAACGCGGGGACGACATCTACGGCGCCCGACAAGATTAATATGTATACAGTCAACACCAGTAGGTCTCCGTTCGACACGCCTCTGTTGACCTTTCCAAATACTACATTCATATAAATGGGATAAGCACCCCGGTATAAGCCGATTTCATCAAATCATCTATATTTGACGCTTACTCCTTATTCTATATTTTCGCTTGTTGGACGAGGGGTATCGAGTTGTTTTATTTTGTTACCACAGGTCATTCAGATATCGTGGGACTAGAGGTACAGTAACAAGTAAGAAGAGTAAACAGTATAAAGACCACACCCTCAAGCCTGAAATAGTAAGTAGGAAGGAACTTGCTGATACGGCCTTCAGCTTCAGCCTGGCTCTCTGCCAGCCACTATTGGTCACGTGGTTGAGAGAGCTCCTCTCAACCCGCGCGGCTACTGGTTGAGCTCCCGAGGTCAGCTCAACACAAGCGTGAACTCTAATGGTGGTAAGGTTCACGGCCTTGCGCCACGAGAGGACGAGAGGTATACGGAGACTTCTAGAGGTTTAGTATACAACGTCAATGTCCCAAGACTGCTCCGGCCGCTGACTCAGGGGGTGGCGGCTGTGGATAGTTCCTGAAAAGGGGCAAGCGTTGAACTACATGTAGTTAAATGGCAGTGGAAGAAGCTGTGGTTTGGTGGTCATTCCAGTCAATCGCATCTGGAACAAACTGCTGATTCTAGCTGGTTATGTTTGTTACTTCAACCGCGTAAGGGGCTTCGAGTGAGTCAGGCATGCCAACCAACGTCAGGGCAGCCAGCGCGAGCACAATACGCAGGCAGTTAGCTACATAGAAGGACTGGCACGGATAGGAAGGAAACCATGTTCTATAACCCTAAACTGCCTAACAGCCATACGAAAAATGATGGTACACGGATAACAAACACGGCGTCCGGCACCCTCTACCAGAAATGTATGGATAGTTATCTTGCAAACTTCTGTTGGTTGGACACTGCTGCAGGGCCGCATATACCATGCCCCACCCACCACTCGGCCACCCCCACCACTCGGACTGCAAAATCTACTGCCACACACCAAAACATCAACAACTTCACTTATACCGAATCCAGCTGTTTTTGAAGGGATTCGCGATGTAATTAGTTTGCTGAATAGCTCTTTTCTTGAGGTTTATCCCAATATAGATCCTTTTAGCCAGACCTGGCGATGAGGGGTCCCCCCGCCCGTGGTTTCTACCCCTCATAAGGGCAAATTTGCCCTTTATGCACCTGTTCTCTTCTTCTTTTATATGCAACGTAGCATCGTGACTCTCGAAATGCCTTCTTATACGGAGGATACTATGGCAGATGCCATACTAGATGTCACCGATAACAAGCTGTCGGTCCGAAAATCCGCTTAGAAATGGGGTATCACTAAGCAGACGCTGTCTGACCGCCTCAACGGCAAACCTTCGAAAGGAGAGACGCAGCAGCCAAAAAGAAGACTATCCGACGAGCATGAAACACGCCTAGCCCAGTGGATACTTCGTCAGGAGTCTCTGGGGCTTGCCCCATTGCATAGCGCCGTCAAGGCAATCGTTCAGGCTACCTCCAAATTAAACGGCATCACTAAGACAGTTGGAAAGAACTGGATGGATGGATTTCTTCGCCGTAACCCCCAAATAAAGACAAAAATTAGCCGCAGACAGGAAGCCGCTCGATTTAAGGGCTTTATGCCGAAGTCTGTTAACTGGTACTTCGATCATTGCGAGGATTTCGATTGGGTAAAGCCCCAAAACACGTACAACGTAGATGAGGGCGGTATTATGGCGGGTTTTAGTACGGGAAAGCCCCTGAATAATCCCTGAATAATCCCCTGTTAACTTTATCCATTAACTAACCTATTTAGGGCTTGATGGTCTTGTTTTGGGCAGCACGGAGACAAAAAAGACCTTCTTAAAGAGCGACCAAGGCCGCGGCTGGACCTCCTTCATTGAAGCCATCTCCGCTACGGGCAAGGCCCTTACGCCAGGCATTATATTTAAAGGAAAAGATCTCCAGGCCCAGTGGTTCCTTCGGGAGTTCAGAGAGATTGCCCCCTGGCATTATATATGCACTGATAATGGCTGGACGGATAACACAGTTGCCGTGGAGTGGTTGGAAAGTGTTTTCCTCCCTCAAGCCAACCAGGTACAAGAAGATGACAATTCTGAAGCGGTACTCTTGATCCTTAATGGGCATAAGAGCCATATCTCCGTACGTATTAACTCCTTTATTTTTCTCTATTTTATTTCGCTTGAAATCCATAGATGTATAGCTAATCATTTAGCGGTAGGATGAATTCATAACTACGTGCTTCTTGAATAACGTTCAGCTTTGTTTTCTTCTAGCACATACCTCCCACGGGCTTCAACCACTTGAGAATGGCCCCTTTAACGCCGTGAAAGCTGCTTACCGCAAGCATATCGCTCAGTTAGTTACTCTAACTGATGCTGCCCCTGTGGACAAGATCAACTTCATCAGATGCTACTCCAAGGCGAGGAACGACGGCTTGACGGTCAAAAATTGTCAGGCTGGCTTTAGAACTACTGGCAATTGGCCTATTAACCGCAGAAAGGCTTTATCGCATCCAGAAATCCAACAGGATAAGGCCGCAACCCCTGAGCCTGAACAGGTCGAAAGTTCAGAACCTGAAGACTTTCAGACGCCTGAAAATAGCCGCCAAATCATGGATATGGGCAAAAACAAGTCCCCAACCACTCGGCTGAAGTTACGCAAGGTTGCGAAAGCCTTTGAGAAGCAATCAGGAGAGATGGTGCTAAAGGACCAGAAGATCGAGAGCCTGGAGGCCGAACTAGACCGCATGCGCCCTAAAAAGCGCAGAAAGATCCCCAACCCGAATAAACGCTTCAAAAATATCCCGGATATTCTGGCAGCTAGTGAGGAACAGCCTCAAAGAGGCCGCAGGGCCGCGCAGCCTGTGGTTGTTGAAGATACCACTAATGAGGAGAAAGAGGATGAAGGCTCTGATTCGGAAGAAGAGGAGGAGATTGTGGCCGCTAGGGAGACCCGTTCGGGCCGACAGAGTCGCCGGCCGGCTAGATACGATAACTAAACCGCCATAGACGAGTAGATTGCACGTTTTCGCAGCCGAAGATACCATGAATTGACTGATTTCGCTGTAAGTGAAGTTGTTGATGTTTTGGTGTGTGGCAGTAGATTTTGCAGTCCGAGTGGTGGGGGTGGCCGAGTGGTGGGTGGGGCATGGTATGGATACTTTGACTGTCTCAGCAGTTGGTATCCCCGTCCTAATCGTCGTCCTCATCACCTACTAGTCGTCGTCGTCGTCGTCGTCGTCGTCGTCGTCGTCCGGGTCCGGAAACCCGTCGTCGTCGTTCGGGATTTCGCCGTCGTCGTAATAACCTTCGCTCTCGTCGCTCTCCTCGTGCATGCTCAAGTCCCACTGGGATTCCGAGCTGCCGGCGAAGCCATCATCCTCACTCTCGGGCGGGGCATCAGTCAGTTCCTCGGATATGTTCGAGACCATGAGCAGGTATCGCGTGCGCGCGGCCTCTGCGTTTCGAACAAGGAACGTGCCTCTGGCCCCATGGAAGAATCGGCGCGCGTCGGCGTTCGGGTCGGCGAGGAACAGGTCGCGGGTCTCGGCCGCGTTGCGGCGGGTCTGGGGCGAGACGCGCCGGAAGTCGGCGCCTGCTATAAGTAACAAGGCGGCTGCGTTGAAGTCCTGCACGGCGCGCGAGACGGCGAAGTCGAGCGCCGACTCAAAGAAGGCGCGGGTCGGGCGGCGCGGCTCTGTGCCGGTGCTGTTGGAGGTTGCGGTGGTTAGCGGTGTTCTTGCTCTTATATCCAAAGCCTCTTGGATTATGCCTGATACATGAATCGGAATCACTTACTGCACGTCCCGGGGGATGACCTCGTCGAGGGAGTCGCCGCGTAATTGTAGGCGGGATATGATGCGACGCACGGCGTCGTGGTCATGCCAATTGATGGCGTGGCACAGTGCTATCTGGTTGGTGGCGAAATTTCTGTCGATGAGCCAGCGGGTGATCTGCGTTGCATTACGATCCGAGACTGCGTCCCTGAAAAGAGTAGTGAGCAACTGTGAAGTCCGAATTCGGTACTTGATTCTATGCTTATGGAAGCCTCTGTGAGGTGAAAGGGGGTGTGTGTGGTGAGAGCGATGTGCCCAGCAATATTTAATATAGCTGGGATAAGCACTCAAGATGGCTTGTTAGACCAAACCTGTGATGGACTATACTCACATCTTCTCGGCCCAGCTCCCGCATAGCTCTTGCCAGGTGCTGAATCCACTCGATATACCACCGGTCTTGAACAAACCCTCTCCCGAAATCCGAAAGTACTCCCTGGGCGACCCCCTGATTGATTTGCGCACGAAGTATAGCCAGTGAATTACCGACCCTCCCATTTTCAGCTTGTGTTGCGAGGAACCGACCGGTTAGGTTTGTCTGCAAGGGGTCGATGTTGGCCCCCAGGCCAACGAGGTACTCGATCAGGTCTTCGGCGCCTGGCGGACCCTCGACGACGGCGCTCAGGAGAAGGCTCAGGTTGTTCATGAGATCAATCCGAGCTTGGTTATCCACAGGGCCGTTCACGATGGGCATCGATTACGAACCTCGCAACTTGGTACCATCCCGAATTAAGCATCAATCTGAAATCGATGGGTACCACAGCCCGCGTCCCCCGGGCGACGCGCCCTCTCACGACAATGGGAATGCGGCTAATGTCAGGCTGTTCCGGTACTATTAGCAAACTAGAGTCAGCAATTACTCCTTTCAGATATTGTAACGAGGCGAGATGCGTGTCTCGGGAGCGAGGGCTACTGAGACAGGCCAAAAGAGGTAGTTCGCTCTCAACACATGGCCATAAGGGGTAATGAAAGACTCTAAAATGCACTGACTCCCAAATCTGACCAAAGCTAATATTCCCGTCTCCAGAGCATCAATCTGAGCTCGAATAGCGTCAGCGTTAACGACGACTGGGCGGCCGAGCTCCGCTTCGAGATCCCATTGACGGAATACGATTTGAGGTACCACGCGCGCGGGTCCATTTAGGGGGTAGGCATACTGAATGTCTATATCAACCCCTTCCTGGAGCAGTGCCTCGACGATGTCGCCCCTGCCATGTATGGCGGCAACGTGGAGTGGCGGAGGGCGGCGCCGCTCAGGCCCACCGGCGACACCGGGCCAGATGCCATCGATCGAGCCGGGCACGCCGGCTTCGCGATATCCCCGGATTATGCGGCGAATCTGCGCCGGGGTGACGTCGTCGGCCTCTATCGCGATCTCGATGGCCGGCCTTTGTTCGCCCAAGTCTCTGGTGGGGTCGTTGAGAATTCTCAACGCCTCGAGTCGGAAGGCCTCGATGTCTAGATTCTGGTAACCGGGGTCTGCGGCGGCCAAGTTGAAATAGATCTCAGGTCATCGTCATCTTCAAGCAGTCGAAGGATGATCATTCGCAGTTCGAAAGGGAGCCGACCAAGAGTCGGCGGCAAAGGAGGTTCAGGAGCAGGAGGGTCATCCGGGCCAGCAGGAGGGAGGACCGGGGACGCATAACCAGGAGCAGGAGGCGGCGGTGATTCGTTCTCACTCGTATCAGAATCGGGATCATACCACCGACGGCCGTATGTACGACGGATGGTCCGGCGATACTCGCGGCGCTCACGGTGGACATCATAGTGGATGCTTCTCCAGTCCGCTCTCATAATTTCATGGCGCTCTCTCAACCGCTGCGGGCGAAGGTTGTGATGCCACGCAATTTGCTCGCCAAGCGTGAGGCCCGGTAGACTACGGGAGATTTCTTCGTCCGCGTCATACCGCGCGTCGTACTCTCGTGAGCGCTGAGCGTTCAGCAGGTCGAACCGTCGGGATTCCTCTTCCAGCTCGAGCCGTCTCTCCTCCCTGTCAGCGCTGGCACGGTCATGGGGCGTGCCCGGTCCGTCTGCCTCATCCGAACTATCTGAACTAATCGGCGGGGGTGATGGTTTCTTCTGGGGCGGTTTCTTCGGAGGCGGTTTCTTCGCCGGTTTCTTCTTCACCGGTTGCTCCTCTGAGGACGATTCCTCTGAGATTGAGTAATCTAAAGTTAAATCCCCTGAGGATGAATCCTCTGAGGGTGACTTTGCGGCCTGCTTCTTCACGGCCGGCTTCTTCGCCGGTTTCTTTTTCGAACTCGACCCCTTGTCGTAACTCGGCACCGGTGGCTTTTTCGAACTCGACGCCTTATCGTTCGTGCGGCGCCGCTTCCGGTCACCATCGTCCGACTCAGACTCGCCGACCCCCAGCCGACGCAACTCTCTCTTCCCGATTGTCGTCACCATTATGGGCTGCTTGTGTGATAAAATCACAACTGTGTCTGTCTATGTGATGTTACCTAGGGTAGCTGATACGGTGCTAGATTATTGAGCTCGTAAGGTACCATGACGGAACGAATCCAGACTCGTAAGGAGAAGCCATCAGGTCGTTGTTAAGCCAGGTTTGAGCTTTGTACTTCGAGAATACCAGCTCTAATACTCTCAAAGCTCGATCCATGGTGTGCGAATCTGGACAACGCTGGCCTGGCCGTTTTCGCAATTCGATACAGCGGTGAAAGAAACAGGTGTTTTTAGCTTTTATGGCTGAAGGAGAGCACGCCGGTTTCAGACTGCTTCGTCCGAGTAACTGATGAAATGAAAGAAAGAAACGAGGAGGGATTGTCGCTTCGGAACAATACTGGAAGTTCGCATCGTTAGGCCTACGCGCAAGCAAAAACACAGTGAACAGCATCGCGCTGCAGAAGGGTACTTACCTACAGAATGTAAAAGTCGCGATGCCACTTGAGTCATCATGTTGGGCATCCAATATCGAGCAAACATAATACATTGGCAACTGGAAAGAGTGGCACTCACTATTCGAGCAGCTCGGATTGTGTTGCGGCTGGCGTAAAGTGTCACATAAGGCCATGAGCGTCGATTGGGTGGTTGGAACCATAATTTGTAGTAATTAAGCAGCGATTTGGTGGTCATTCCAGTAACATGCCAATGGCATGAGTCTTTTGCCGAATGCTCATGCGAGTCGTTATCTGAACCGCTTGGGCGTATCGGTACTGTTCACCCGTGGCAGACGCAAAGCAGCGCACCACCGTTTTCAAGAGAACGGCAAGTGGCGGTAACACCAGCATCCGATACCCAGATTGAAAGCCAATGGAACATAAAATGCTCGAAACTTCTTGCTCTCTAAGTCCATGTGACCAAAGGTTTCCATCTGTCCAGCATAGCAGCGTGATCACCACTCGGCCCTGTTCCCACTCAGACAGCGCGGATGCCACGACCAACACTGCGGGTTTCGAAGACTTCAACGAGTCCAGATCCGACGGCTTCCTGCAAGACCCAGTCGAAGGACAGACCGTAGAACTGTCTCCACTTCCTCGTCTGACCCGGTAGGACACCTGCAAACTCTCCACGTGATCGTTTGGCTGCATAGCGCGCTTCCTCTTTCGCTATGCCTCCATCCCAATAATCCTTGAGCAATGCCTCCGGTGCCTCGCGGAATTTGGCTTTGTTTACCAGCGAGACCAGGTGCTCGAGGCCAGAGGACAAGAGCTTGAGGAATGTGCCGTTGCCTGGTACGGCAAGCTTCAGCTCCGTCGCCCCCGTGTCGACCCACGGCGTCCTTCCGGAGCCACCGCCACTTCCACCTGCCATATGCAGAGCTCCTTCGCCACCAACTGTGCCGAGAGAGCCTGTCGGTTGCCTCGAAACCATCTCAAGGGACGTAAGCGTCCCCCTGTCCTCAGGCCGCGAGTAAAGGTTCATTGTATGCGACATAGAGCCATGATGTATGACACCAGTGTGATGAGCTGTCAAGAAACCAGCCTTTATCAATTGATCAATCTCAAATGGACGTAGCGCCGTCCGACGGACGGTCTGTGCCGCGGTGTTCTCTTTCAGGAAGGTGATTAGGCTCGCTTTCGAGCTCTCATCTAAACCACCCGCATCTCTGACCATCTGCTCGTAGTCAGACGCAAGCATCACCGTCTCTCCAATGTCGCCGCGGCGCGCCACCACTATTTTCCGCAGAAAGCCTGACCGAGCGAGCTCTGCGATTTCCCGTTCCACTGCGCTGGGCGATGCCAGTAGTGTCTGTATATGCGAAACCGTTACGATAGGAGGCAGCCGCTTCCGGTAGTTCAATACTTCTGCTATCCTCGTCGAGTTCATGCCAGCCGCCTGCTCGGGCATCGCAGAGAACATGTGATTTCGTATGTAGTGTATGGCTTGGGAGGTGTCGCGAAGGTTCAGATCGGTAGCCAGGGCCGTGACGAGACCGTAGTCGTCGAGCTTGTCATCGAATAGGTCGTCATCGTCGTCGTTGGCTGTTGCCGATGGCTTCTTGCCGCTACCGCTGCCGTGTGTGCCCGGCTTGCGGCGGGGCAGAGAGGATGCCCATGATGCGGTGGAAGGCGAGGAGGAGGTACGCTTTACGCCTGATCCCTTGGAGGACTTCCTAACCCGGCTGGAGCCTCCCAAAATCGACCGCAAGCTCATGACTGATGGCAGGAAACATGAGAGGTGACTGGCATTCAGCAGCGAGCCTGGTGAGCTTTCGGGTGGTAGATTGATAACAAGGCTTGAGGATCGGAATGTACGTTTATGGTACGAGGAAGTGGCGGGCGGCGGTGCTGTTTCCATTGTGGAGTCACGGTGAGCTTAGCCGCGCTAACTGCATTGGTGCGGTAGCAGGTCATCCGGATAGAAGAATAATAGTAAGGGGACACGACATTGTGTGACTGTGATTGTGTCCCATCCACCACATCCACCTACCTTTTGAATTCTCAGTGTTTTATATTCTATCAATACCTACGAAAGCCTTTGACGACATCCTTCAGACTCTGGGATGATGCAGAGACGTAAGAATTGTACCAAAGCACCTCCGATAGACCGTGCAACCCAATCCGATCCATACGCGCCTAGATAAATTGGCAGCCGCCGCATCACTCCATTCGAGATGGCTCCCGTGGTCATACTGATACGCCATGCCGAAGGCCTACACAGCAAGTACCGCGTTTAAGTCGTCTACCGGGCGCATGCTAACAGGTTTTCAGATGTTGACGATAAGTTCTGCGCCGCTTTCAACTGTTTGAGACGCAAGGGGTCCTAACACCATAGGCACACGACTGGAGCATATTCGACCCCAAGTTGACGGTGAAGGGCATAGAGCAATGCAAAGTCCTCGCGGCCGAGCTTGAGCCCAGGTTCCCCTTCACGCGAGAGGAGAGCTTGATCGTTGTGAGCCCGTTGGCACGAACGCTACAGACAGTCCAGCACAGCCTCCCCTGGCTCCAAGCTCGTGGCGTCCCGGTCGAAGTGCGTGCTGAGTGGCAGGTGGGTGAAAACAAGGGCAGAGCCCCGGGAGTCCCATTCGAAGAGTCTGACGAATGTCCAGGAAACCACGGCCAACCCCTGTGACGTTGGCGCCGCGCTGTCCGAGCTCGAGGCAGACTGGCCGGACTTCGACTTCTCGAAGGTGGATCCGGTATATCCTGAGAAGACAGGATTGTATGGGCCATCGGAGGAGGCTATTCAGAACAGGGCTTCCGTTGTTCGGCGGTGGCTCTTTGAGCGCCCTGAGAAATGTGTCGTGGTTGTCACCCACTCCGGCTTCCTCCGGAGGCTTGTTCATGGACCAAAGTACCAGAATGTAGAGTACAGAGCCTACAGATTCGCCGATGGACTTGCGGAAGGGGAGCTGGAGCTTAAGGAGTTGAACAAGGAGAGGCCGCTTGAGCATGAAGAAGACCTCTCATCGAAGCATCCACGCATCGGAGCATAGGGCTGGTCACGCAGACACGTACAGTCAGTCATCCAGCAAAGTGTCCATACATGTGTATTATAGCATTGAAGGGTATCTGCGTGTCTGGAATCAACACCTCGGAATGAACACGTCCCATTCCTATAAGAAGCTGTTCGGGACTATGAAGCGGGTTGTGCTTATGGTCTGTTGCCGCCGTGATATATTAGTTTCTCGGAAACGCCTTAGCTTTTGATGGGCGACTTGCCTCCATGGAAGGTCTTACGAAACAATCAGCATGTTGATCTGTACGTCACTTAATTCGCGAAGTCCACTGAAGTACTAAGTTTTATTTTGCCAGAGTATCACGAGTCGTTGCGACAAGGGCGCTACTAGTCACACTCAGCACTCATAAGTCTCCGTACGCACCATGTTGGGAGGATCCCAAATCACACATCAAATGGAGATTTGGGAATCCGGTAATCAGCAGACAGGAATAAACAGCTTCGGTTTGATACCCCCTTTCCAATGCTTATCCCATGGTGCTTATTTCGAATCGATGAATGCACCGCTCAAACGTTTGCTAGACAGGTGGTATACGGAGACTTATGAGGGCTTGTTGTACTACGATGAGGGCATCACCAACTGTAAGATTTAGACCCCAACCATCAATAATCGCCCGCAAGAATGGGCATCTACAGCATTCCGGAGCGGCGCGCATTGACAGACAGTCAAACCAATAACGCGCGTATCATCAGAGCCCGACGCCACCGCGTACAGAGCGCGACGACTGGAATGTTGGGTTGTGGCCGAGATTTTACCATGGGAAGATCAATATTTACAGAGACTGAGTTCCCTCAAACGAACGGCTTGGTTGATCTTGCACTAGATCCAATCTTGAAGACAGTAGAAGAGCTGGTCTTTTGAGCAATCCGTTGAGATTGAGAATCAGTAGTGCGTCGAATGTAAAGATCAAAGGAAGAGAAAGACGCGGCAGTTCGCGACGGTACAAAAAGTACTGGAATATTTTTTCCTCGGTCGGGTAAAGCTCGGTTCGCTGGCCGCTCTTGCTGAGGGAATCGACTGCCTAAGCTTATGACATCACCCTACCCGTAACTTTTCAGGTGCCTGCGACGGCATTTGAAGGGTCCTGCCTGCAGATGCATAAGTACCACCCAACTTGGAATGCGACAACAACGCCTATCGCGGCAAGTACCAGTCACGCAGGCTCTTCCCTCATTGGGCACGAGAGTCACCTGCCTCGCTTAGATGTTCTAGGCAGGCACGGCAAGCACGGCACGGCAAGCACGGCACGGCAGGCTGTGGATCATCTGTGCATGTGCCTGACGACCATGACATTGAAGTCGACGAATGCGAATACGTCCCCGTCACCACCAAAAAGAGCAACACCGGTCCCGTGTCATGGTGTCTCGGTGTCTCGGTGTGTCTACTGACTCTACCTCTCAGGGCACATGTAGGTCGAGGGTGCTACCCAATCTCACCTGCTCATCATCACAAGATGCATTCTCCTCGTTTAGCTCCTACACGTGGGTAATCCGCAGTCGTGATTCGCTGCCATCTTCAACCTTGAGATACCCAGTGGTAGGTATGGTGACAGTCTTCAACCAAATCTTGGAGGACTACATGTATCCAGGAATACATCTACCATCAGTCTCCTCTTCCCGTTCTCCTTGGGCATTTTCGTCACGACGCCGGCTTTCTTTGGTAGGTGGGCTTTCTGTTTCCTCGTTGTCGATCCGTCAAAGCCATGGTCTAGTACGAGACCCCGTTCGTCTTTTATTGCTGCTATTATTTGTTTTTGAGCCACTTTTCAGCCCCTCTGGATGCCTGGCAGTGGTTTTGGCGTTCGCTGGCCCCCTACCGGCCCGTGCCTTTGCTCGACGATCATTTACCACGTTTTTCAGCTCCGTCTTACCAGCAAAAACGTGTGAATAACGGAATCCAGCTAGGAGTCTAGGACAACACAGCGGTGGTCAGATTCGTCTCGGTGCCTTCCTTCTGAGAATACCTTTCTTTATTTAACATTTTTGAGCAACGATGCCCTGAAATATTCCATCGAGACCTAGCTCTTTAATGAGCAACGCCGGCTGTCGAACATGGCGCTCATCAAATACTTCTTGTTCCAATGGGCACTGCTGGCCTCTGTCGCCTTTAGTGTTCCAGCTACCGGAACTCAATACGCCCTGCAGGCTGAGGCTGGCGGTGCTGGCAGCCGTGGACAGCAGCAGCCCGCCACTCAACGCAAGCTGCGCGGCAGGTTCCTGCATATCACAGGTACAACCACCACACCTCTCTGGAGGAAGCATAGTACTGATAACGTTCCGTACCTTGCGTAGATCTGCACCCCGACGAATACTACAAAGCCCACACGTCGACCGAAGCGGACACGGCATGCCACCGAGGCCGTGGCCCTGCTGGCGCATATGGTGCCGAAACGTCGGATTGCGATTCTCCCCTGGCTCTTGTCAATGCGACCTTGGATTGGATAAGCGCCAACCTCATAGACTCGATTGACTTTGTCGTCTGGACTGGCGATTCAGCCCGCCACGACAGCGATGAAGAAATACCCCGCCACAACAAGGATATTCTGGCCATGAACCGCAGAACCGCTGATGCATTCCAGGATACCTTCTCCGACGAGAAGGGCTTGGTGGTTCCTGTTGTCCCGACTTTTGGAAACAATGACATATATCCACACAATATTCTGATGCCGGGGCCCAACGACATCCTCAAAACCTATACCGATATCTGGAGAAGCTTCATCCCCGAGGCACAGCGTCACTCGTTCGAGTTCGGAGGGTGGTTTTATACAGAAGTCATTCCGGGCAAACTCGCCGTGTTCAGTCTCAATACCATGTACTTCTTTGATCGCAATGCCGGTATCGATGACTGCGTGCACCCCTCCGAGCCTGGGTACAAACATTTCGAATGGTTACGCGTTCAACTCCAATCCATGCGGACCCGTGGTATGAAAGCGATTCTGATGGGGCATGTTCCCCCAGCTCGAACATCTGCCAAACAATTGTGGGACGAGACGTGTTGGCAGAAATATACCCTTTGGCTGGAGAAGTTTCGGGATGTGGTCGTCGGTTCCTTGTATGGCCATATGAACATTGACCACTTCCTGCTCCAAGACACCAAAGAAATTGATCTCGCAATCGTGGAAGGGCTTCGCAAAAAGAACGTCGTTAGTCGCGAAACTATGGACGATGACATCTCCATACAGTCGAGCACTGACTACCTCAAGGAGCTACGAGATGACTGGGCTAGACTGCCCGATCCCACCATTTTGGAGCAAGACGTGGAAGAGGCCGGTAAGAAGAAACACAAGAAGAAGAAGGGGAAGAAGGGGAAGAAGAAGCTCGGCGGGCCCTGGGCTGAGCGCTATCAGTTGACCCTCATCAGCCCCAGTATTGTCCCGAACTATTTTCCCACTCTCCGGGTTATAGAGTACAACATCACTGGCTTGGAAGATGCTCCATCATGGGTTGACACTATGAGAGCCCTGGACGCCCTTTCGAATCGTCCTGCTCCCGAACCAGAGCTTCATGAATTGGAGTTACGACAGGAGCCTAGCTTCGAGATTGGCAAGAGGAAGAAGAAGAAGGGGAAGAAACCAAAACACCCCAATCTGCCTATTCCCAACGCCCCAGAGAAAGGGGCTCCACCAGGTCCGGCCTATGCGCCCCAACCTTTGACTTTCACGGGCTTCACACAATACTATGCGAATCTGACCTACATCAACAACGACATCACCACCGAAAGCATGGAGAATGATGAGATGTCATTGTCAGGCTGGAACCCTGGAAAACACAAGGACAAGACTCCCAAGCACAAGAAGCCGCAGCCGAAGAAATTCGCCTTCGAAGTCGAGTACAGCACGTTCGACGACAAGATTTACAAGCTCAAAGACTTAACAGTCAAGAGCTTCGTGGACCTAGCTCATCGGATAGGGAAAGCTTCTGCCAAGTCGAAAGCCCTAGTAAAAGATGATCCCGAGTCTAATAAAGAAGCGTCCGAGCAAGAGCTTGAGTCGGCAGATGCGCTCGAAGACTCGGAATCTGAAGAAGGCGAGGACGGCCTCGAACACAACGACGACGACGATGAGTTGGACAGTGAGCTCGAGGTCGAAAGAAAGAAGAAACATAAAGGCCACAAGAAGAAGAAGAAGAAGCATGGCAAGGGCCGGAAGACATGGTTGCATTTCCTCAACCATGCATTCGTCAGCACGAGGAGCAAACAGGAGCTTGAAGGTATGGGTTAGGACTTACGATGTTTTACAGTGCTTATCATCATGGGGTTTGCAAGCCAGGAGTTCCGGAAGGCATTGGTACGGCGCATGATATGCATTCGGGGTCGCTGACCATGTTGGATAAAATGTGGCCACCACGAGGATTCTAGATTTAAAGGTCATATAAAGACTGGGCTGGTGTGCATAGACAGGCGCCATATATTCTCAAGCAACAGTGTGCTTCCCAGATTGGTCTACATCTTGACTGAAGTTGAGGATTGCTTGTGGTTTTATAGTAACTTATTGTTGCGTTCACAGATCACCACTAAGCAGTAGGAAATGCCGCTCACACCATAGGCACTGGGGTGGAGTTATACGTGGCCCAGCTCACGGCGTCTCAAGGTGCGCTGTGCTCAATCGGTGATGACCTTCATGTTTTACGCCATTATGGGCTCGTTACTTGGGTAGACAGCTCGCTCTTCCATGTACTGGACCCCCTGGAAGTCTCCATGCAACCCAAACCTAACCAATGTCCTAGATAGGGGTATTTTTAACTGTGGGAAGATCACTCTGGAATAAGAACGAGGAACGGCTTTCGAAGGCTATATGCTTATAGCACTGTATTTATTTCACGGCTCATTACATGTACTGACTCGGGGGAATACCCGAGGTACGCGGACTGAGACGAAGTTATAAGGTGTGTATGTACATCGCCCCTATTCTGGTAGGGTGCCGCGCGAAATAATCATCCTGCCAAGCCATTTCGACCTATACTAAAGTAAGTACATAAGACACCTGACACACATGACTCGACCGGCAGCCATATTCGGCCTGCAGGGCCGGCAGGGCGTTGACGATAACGATGCGGGCGTTTTTGGCAAGGCCGCTAGCTCGGACGACGTCGTTGCAGCGCGTGATCTTGTACGCCCGGAAGGTGTGGTGCTTTGGGCACACGCAGAGGGTGATCTCGCACATGGCGGCGGGACTGGCGTATCATACTCTGATGTCTTCGGATCCGAAGGGTCATTAATGTCGTGAAATCAGTAAATCCATATAAGCCTGCGTGTATCGCGGCTTTAACGCGTCGCGGGCTTCTTTCCGCTCGAATTGTTCGCATAGCCAGGTAGGGTTTCCCGCTCTGGTGTCCACACGATGCCGACTGTTCGTTCGTGTCTGCATGGACTCCTCCGTCTTCGTGCGCCCAATGCGCGTCCGCAAGTCTACCTTTAAATGTAGTACATGAGAGGCGCCAGTCAGCCTAACTTATGATGTGCGACTATGGAACTATGGAAGAGTCAACGCGCCAACGAGGCCAGTTTATTCCATGCCGATCGCGTTTAATGCGTGCGATTTATGCTCATGTGTAGGTGTGCCGTCTGATCATACAATATAGGACCAGTAATTCCCTTCTTTCGTACTCCACGGCTTACCCGTTAACTGCCATTTTCCACCGGTAGTCGTCAATCAGGTGATAGGCACCACAGATCGCACGTTGAGAAACGTATCCCTTTTCGAGGTCCACAGGAGCTACGCACTCTTTAGGGTCGTGAGGACGGCCGCAGCCACAGCACCAGATGATGCTACGTTCGTAGGATAGTATGCGGGGGATATCACTGGCGGGCGTGGATCCGTCTAGGGAGTAGTGGTTGTTGGCATACCATGTGCCAATGTATGGGAGTGTGGCAGATATCAAGGCCCTGCGGGACGAGTTCAGTTGTCTTCGGCGGTCCTTTTTGTTCATGTTCGGTTGAAACTTGAGTCTGGGCTCCCACCGGGGGCCTGGGTTGGATTGCGAAGGGATGAGAATAAGAGTGTGTGTGCAGGAATCTCATTTTCGCCCGAGAAAAGACCTTTCCATTCATTGGCTGGGTCAGTGTGTGTCTAAGGCACGGTTCTCACGAGCATTTCGTGAGCACCCTGCGAACCTTTGCCATCAACCTGGCTGACTACAAAGGAGAACAAGCAGACATCATTCTGATGCAAGAGCCCTGGGTTGGCATACCACCAGGCAGGAGAATGGGAGTAAAGACACATCCCAATTACGATATATACTCCCCAGTGGATTCCTAGGACAGCGACAGTACACGACCCAGATCTCTCATTTATATGAGAAAACACCTTTAAGCGGATCAATTTCGGCCCTATGCTACACAAGACATCACCTGGGTCAAGGTACAAGGCATTACATTTGCCAGTGTCTACCGGCCATGTGACAACCCACAGGAAGTGGATGACATTCTGGAAGTATGGACTCCACCTTTTGGCTGCGTTATAGCTGGAGATTTTAATGCTGGCGATACATCCTAGGACTCGAGCAATCCAGGATATCATGGTGGTATTATATTTGCACAGACTATGGCAGACCACGGACTGGATCTGATTTCTGAACCAGATGTCCCAACACATGATGACAGAAATGTACTAGATCTGGTGTTCTCAGATGTGCCCATGGCTGAAGCCTCAGTCAATGATGCACTTCAGTGCACCTCAGATCATGAGACATTACGAATAGTCATTCTAATTCAGGGAGATCTGGACCGAATCCCTAAGGCCAATCATTGGATAGTACCGGACAATAAACTACAAGAGCTGGCAGATAATGTCTAAACCAGGATTCATGAACTCCCCTGGCTGGGTGTATCCCCTGGTCAGGTAGATGCCTTTATACAAAGCTTGATCAACATGATCCAAGGCTGTATCAGGATAGTAGGCAAGAAGCCCCGTCAATCTAGGCCCACTGCTTGGTGGAATGATGACTACAAAGCAGCTGTTCAGACATACAGGGCCCTTTCTAAACAGACTACAAGCCAAGAAGGGCGGAATTCAGCCCGACAGGAATTTTATCGCGTGATTCAGAAAGCTAGGAAAGAGTACTGACAGACTCTAATTGATTCAGCAACTGAGCCAAAGGACCTATACAGAATCGTTTCTTGGCACAAGCTATCAGCAGGATTACGTTCCCCTTTAATCATCATAGGAGACCAAATATTTGAGTCACAAGAGAGCAAGGCAAATACACTACGCTCAGCTATGCTTGAACGAAGTACCTCAGATAATGATATTATCGACCCCTGGTCCGCTCAGATCATACAACCCAAGCCATACATCCCCCTTGAATACTATGTCGGACTGGAAGAGGCTGAAAGGTGCACTTTAGGGACCAAGAGCAACTCCCCGGGAATAGATACCCTCACAGTACGGATTCTAAAAGCTTGCTGGCCATTTATTAGGGAACATATCAGAGCCCTTTTCTAGACCTGCCTACAGATTAGACACCACCCTAAACCATTCAAAGTAGCTGAGGTAATAATGATCCCAAAACCAGGAAAGAAAGACTACTCTAATTCCAGGGCCTACAGACCAATATTGCTACTGTCATGTCTTCGCAAAGGCCTAGAACGACTCATCACAAAAAGAATTACCTGGTTTATTATTAAACTTGGAATTCTAGCTCTATAATATTCTGGAGCTCTATTAAAGCGCTCTGCCACTGACCTGGTAGCTGCACTCATACACGATATTGAGCAGGCCCTCGACCAAGGCCTCGTTGCAACGGTAGCCACGTCAGATGTGAAAGGGGCCTTTGATGCTGCCCTAATGGGATGGCTGGTGGTTCGCATGAGAGAACAGGGCTGGCCAGGCTTTCTTATAAGATGGGTCCAGTCATTTATGTCCGAGCGGTCCGCAAGGGTTCAGTTTGAAGGTATTATGACTGATATAAAAGCTCTCACTTGCGGGCTACCACAAGGCTCACCAACCTCTCCTATTCTTTATATGCTGCATACCAAGCCAATCTGTGCCTGACTTGGCATGAAAAGAAGACACTTTGGATATGCAGACAACCTAACGACTCTCTGCATTAGAAAGAACCTTAAAGAAACAGCTAAAGAGGCTTCTGAAAATCTTTATTTGCTCAGTTAATAAGGACATAACAATGCTATCAAATTTGACCCTGACAAAACCGAGATTATGTACTTCTTGCGGAAAAAGAACTCAGACATCCTCCCATCTGCCACGGGACAATGAACAAAACAGCTAAGCATTCCATGCGATGGCTAGGTGTCCTTCTGGATAAAAAACTAAACTTCAAAGATCATGTTTCTCACTGGGCCAAGAAAGCTAGTAGGGTAGCAAATCACTTTTGAGGACTATGCAACACAGTCAAAAGACTCCCAGTAAAGTCAACCAGGAGGGCCGTGAAAGCTTGTGTTATTCCTATTCTTACACACAGCCTGGAGGCCTGGTACCCAGGAATCAAGAAAGTTGGGAGCTTAGGTGGGACATCAGCATGTCGCATTAAGGGGCTTCTTGGAACAATAGATGCCGTATTACGAACGGCGATCAGGGCTATCTTGCCAGTCTAGAAAACACACCCTGGACATATCTTATACTTTGAATCGCAGATTCCCCCAGCAGGAGTTCTTGTAAAGTCAATAAGACAACGTCACGGCCTCTGACTAGGACGAATAAACCAGAGACACCCTTTTGTTGACAGGCTCCAAGTACAAGCTTGCAAGAATCCAACAAGGCTACAAAGGAGCTTCCAATTAGTCCCTGACTTCCAGAGACCAACACTTACCAGGCCATCATAAAAAAAGCCCCCAATCTGTAAAGACAAAGACAAAGAAATAGAGCCCTTCATGCAATAGCTACAGGAGAGAAACATGAACACTGACCTTGTTATCTATTCAGATGGATCACAATTAGACAACCAAGGCACAACCCGCACTGGATGGGGTTATACCATCAGGAAAGGCGGCACTACACAAGAAGTATACCAGAGAAAGGACAGACTTTTTCAAGCAGAAATAATAGATGCTAAAGTCCATGGTGCTCTCTAAGGTCTTGCAACAGCCAGGATAATTGGACATGGAAAACAGTTATATGTCTGCCTGGACAATACAGCAATGATAGATGGGCTCAATAGGACTCCACCCGAGACATCACAGAACATTTTTCTACGATTCTAAGAACTTGTCACGGCACACACTCCTGGAGTGACCGTCAAGTGGATTCCTGGACACAGAAATATTGATGGCAACGAAGCTGCCGACACACTAACAAAAGAGGGTGCCATGCTAGAAACAGACATAATAAACCTTCCTATAATCTCTTGGGTCAAAAAAAATCTCAAAAGAAAGGACAGGAAAGAGTTCAACTAATGGTAGAAAGACCAATCAGAACCTAGATATCAAGAAGTATATTCACATATAGTAACTGAAAGAGACCTTATATCTTTTAAGAAGAGTACTTTACACAGACTTCTAGCAGCCAGATCTGGACATGGCGACTTTGCCAGACATTATGAACGCTTTGGGCATACAGACTCGAATGATCACTACAACTGTGGTGAGAAGAAAACACCACAACATATTTTCTTTTGTAAGAGGCTGGGGAAAAACCGGCTGCTGCCTAAGTACTCGCCTAGGACAGCTTGTTTACAATACTTAGGGGAGAGGAGCACAGAATGGGCAAAATTCGTGGAGAAGAGCAAATCCTTTTCATCAATCTGCCCTCGATAGATAGCTGTTCTTAAAGGATCAGATGGATGATCCAAGGTCATACCGCCGCAACAACGGGGATGGGCTCGTGAGCGGGACTGACTGTACTTATTATCTTGATACCTCCATAACCCTGCGATGCAGAGGCTCTGGGAGGCGTGGTTTGCACTACTGAGGAGCAATCCCCCACGTTAAATATAATCAATCAATCAATCTACTTAGCAAAGATTCGCAGGGTTTGTTTGTTTGTTTGTTTGTTTGTTTTGTCCCACGTTAAATATAATCAATCAATCAATCTACTTAGCAAAGATTCGCAGGGTTTGTTTGTTTGTTTGTTTGTTTGTTTTGTATTTAATGTGGGGGATTGCTCCTCAGTAGTGCAAACCACGCCTCCCAGAGCCTCTGCATCGCAGGGTTGTGGAGGTATCAAGATAATAAGTACAGTCAGTCCCGCTCATGAGCCCATCCCTGTTGTTGCGGCGGTATGACCTTGGGTCATCCATCTGATCCTTCAAGAACAGCTATCTATCGAGGGCAGATTGATGAAAAGGATTTGCTCTTCTCCACGAATTTTGCCCATTCTGTGCTCCTCTCCCCTAAGTATTGTAAAGTTTGTATAAAGGCTGTGGCACTAGGGGTGGGCCAACTCCCATATATGGTGGCCTAGGCGGTTACCTAGGCTAGTAATAAGAAGAGAGTTGCGACTTATCATAGACTGGAGGAAGAACTTTACCTGTTGTGGACTGTGGGAGGAAGTTGTGCGTGAAAAACTATAGGGGGATTGTCACATGTCGTGGACTATGGGGGGAAGGTACCTGTGATCGACTGTAGGAAGAGTGTTACTTCTTGTAGACAATGCGAGGAAGATTGCGTGTGATTGATTGGCTGTATGAAGAACGTCACGAGTTGTAGACCGTGGGTGAAAGGCTACGGGTTGTGTGGACTGCGGAAGGAAGAAGTTTGGTGCCCCTGGAGACACTTGCTTGCAGCATAAAATGCAGGTTGAGAATGAAGACGAGGGGTATGCCGTAGCGTTTGAATTAGACACGACGTCGGTGTGTGAATGTGGTGAAAGTTAGAAGGCCCCGCTAGGTAACACCTGATAGCCAACTCCTTCTCCTGCTTGCTGTGTGGGACTTTAAGATTTATCGACACCTACTCAGAGTCACTATCCGACGAAGACGAGAACCCATTCCACTCCTCCTCAGTATCTTCGAGGAGCACCTGATCTCTCGTCTGCACACCACCCTCATCGGGCTGCTGACCACTGCTCTCGCCCTCTTCTTCATCGTCATCATCGTCATCATCGTCATCTTCCTGCTCCTCGACCTCGAACGAGCCGCACACATCCCACCGGTCGCCCGGCGCGCGCCGGCTGACGTACTTGACGAACTTCAGCACGCCACTGTCGCGCAGCACGATGCTCATGCGGTTCCACGCGGGTGCCTGGAAGAACAGGATGTTGTCGTCCTCGCCGCTGCCGCCAGATTTGTAGACGGCGGCGTCCTCGGCCGCCACCGCGTCCGGGTCGTCGCCTGCCATGTAGACCTCGTGGCCGCCGACTTCTTCGCCTTCTGGTTCTTCTTTTGCTTGCTGTTTCTTGGAGCTGCCGTTGGTCTTTCCTTTACTTTTACCTTTGCTCTTACTCTTCCCATTCGTCTGGGTTTCCTCTTCCGCTTCGGCAGTCCCTTCGTCTGCTTCCTCTTCCTCCTCGTCCCCCCAGCCGGTCGTCGGCGTGATCCCCAGGTTCAGCTCGAGCCGCGGCTTGCCCTCGTGGCCCGTCGCGAGGGTGTAGTCCTTGCCGCGCCGGAAGCGCCGCGCGATGAAGTCGTGGCTCTCGACTGCGCAGCCCGTCGCCATCTGCAGCCAGCGCCGGAACTGCGGGCTCGGCAAGAAGTCCTCGATGAGCTCGCGGATTGGCGAATCTGCCTCCTTCCCTTTCTTGGATGAGGACCCATTCGTCTGTGGTTGCGCTTGCAAGTACATGTATCGATGCTTGTGCGGGGGCTTGGCAACGCGCCAGGGTGATGCCTTTTCTATCTCGGTGCTGGTTTCCGGCAGCGATTTGCTCTCCTCGGCGGAGACGTAGTCCCGCAGGCGTTTGGAGAACTTATTCCCAAGCAAGTTAGGCAGCGTGATGCTAGAGTCCTCGTCGAAGTGTTCGGAGACCTGCTCGAGAGTGTCAGGGGTAAGGTAGGTGGGGGCCATGAACTGGAGTAGGAACTCGAGGTCGGCCTCGTCGAACTCGTCCTCCTGCGAGCCAGACTCCAACTCTTTAACAGTGACTGGCTTCGGCTGCGGCGCGTCGTACTGGTCCGGGTTGCCTTGCAGCTGCATCAGACTGCTGTTCTTGGCGTTGCGCTCCTCGGCGCCCTCGACGTAGCCTTCCTCGCCCAACTGCGGGACGTGGAACCAGCCGCTGATGGCCATGCGTATGCGCCCGCCCTGCTTCTCGAGTTGCTTCTTCGTCTCGGCGTGGTACACCTCCTCGACGTCGTGGAAACTCTCGCCCGGCTGCACGGCGAAGAAGCTCAGCTGGTTCCAGGCCGGCGGTATTACCTTCGTCACGTCGGCGACGGGTGTCTTTGCGATCTGGCCGTCCTTTCCCTCGAGGGTCTGCGCCGGGAATAGCCTCAGCGCACCGCCCCATTCGGCCTTCCAGGGTATGTCAGGATCCGTCAGGTACAGGATATAGCTGACCTTCCGGCTGCCGATGACGTCGTCGTGGCACAGCAGGTAGCAGCCGGGGGTGTACACGTTGATAGCCATGTCCGTCTTCCTGCCGCTCAGGGGGCCGCTGCCGGTGATGTGGGCGACGTAGTCTCGGAAGGACTGGGAGTACATGGCGTCTCGAAGGGCGAGCAGTGACGGCAGCTTGGACAGGGCTTCGTCATCGAGACCGTCGAGGTTGGCCAGGTCGCCGGACTGGTGGATCTTGTAGATGTCGGTCTCCTTGGGGGTGAAAGAGACATTGTCCTTGACCTCTTCGCGGACAGCGCGCAGGAGTTTGTCGTCGATCAGCTCGTGGATGACGCTGTGCTTATAGGGTGACGATTCGGCGTATCCACGTGTGTAGCCGTCGAGGACTTTCTTGTCAAAAAGCCCCTTCCTGAAACGTTTCTTTGCGTCCTCGTCGCTGAGAGCTGTGGTAAAAGCGTGAGAATTCGTATACTGACGGTGAATGATCGCATGATTGTGTACGGTGGTATAACAGCGGGCAGACTTACAAGTCTTAGACTTCTTCTTGGTGGGCTTGTGGTCTACAGCTTGGGGTTCGGCTTTACGCTTCATGTTGGGCAATCAATTGGGTCAGTGTGAGGCAGCTGAGTCAATTGGAAGTGTGTCAGATGAGGAGCAGAGAAGCTGGAGTTAAATCAGAGTTTGCGACAGCTTGCTCGAGTGGCATGATCATCTTCCAATATTTTCCAATGGGGGAGCATGGACTGATAGCATGGATCGCATGGCAGAAAATGGGGTGTGGGGTGGCATGGCGATGTGCCATCTTCACCGCCTAACCGTTAAGCATGCCCCTCTCTCCTCCCTCTCTCCTCCCTCTCTCTCCAAAACGGTAAACCATCCGCCCCTCCACCTGGGCAGTGTCCCCCATCCGAAAAGCGTCGTCCCAATTGCGCACACGGCATGACATCTCAAGCGCCCGTCATCGTCGCCTTGCATAGCACTATGCCTCGTTGCTGCACACGAGCGGCTGTGCCTGGCCATATATCAATCATGCACTATGCGGCCTCGACGCCATCTGCCTCCAGGACGACTGCTTTGCAGCCGCTCTGGCGGTTAAGGAATGGGGGTTTCAGCACCACGTCTAATCAGCTCTCGAAGAACCATCATGCAAGTGCTGATTGACGGCTCACGGACACGACCGAGTACACGCGCGCGCTCCTAACAGAAACCCGAGGGATGCGTAGCACCGGCGAACCATTTCATCTCGGACGTTTGTTAGCATATCGCGCGACGATTTGTTAACCGCTTCAGTCACTGGACTGCAACTCCCCCTGCCTCGAGAACCCCCTCGCCGCTGTAAGACAGGCAAGCGTTTGGAATTTCGATTTGCATTGGAACAAGCAGCGATTTGGTGCTTATTATCGTTCCAATTAATTGCCCCTGGATTGACTCCTTATGCCATATGTTATGCGGATACTTATTTCAGCCGCTTGGCAGGCGACAGGTCCGGCTTACAGCTGCCGCACTCCTTTTGCTTTCTTGCCGCGGCGAAAAATTGCTTCTACGCACTTTTGAGCGATACGGAAAGGGCTAGTCCTCCTTTCCCAGAATATCTCACCCGGCTCCCATCCGCATCATATGTCGTGCCCCACGCCACATCTCGGACGAATTGTCAAGGTGTGTGTTGCGGCAGCAAGGAACCTCTCGCCGCCTGCCCCCCGGCATCTCATCCGCCAATGGCAGTGCCCTGATCGTATATCCAGTTGGATATCCACCCAGTGCCGGACATGGAACAAATATCGTGCCGGACATGGAACAAATATTAGGGACTCGGGATCCCTCCAGGCATTTCATCCCAGCGGTGGCAAGGTGGAACAGTACTTTGGCTCCAAAGTGCTGAGAAAGCGCGCAATGTGGGATATCAGAGAGGGACATCGGGGTTCGACTTCGCCATCGTCTTACAGACTGCTATTTTCGGACTCCATGGATGACGGTCAGAAGCTTATGCCCTGATGGCTTCCTTACAGGCAGTCGGGTTCCAGTCCGCGGGCACACGTGTCTTGGCGGATTCGTCGTCGGTGTAGAGGTCTAGCTCCCGTGTTAGAAGCCGCTTGGCCGCAGGACTGCCATACAGATGCGTGGCTTCTAGATCGAAAAACCGCTGTTGACTGGTGTGCCAACGAGGTCGGTCCTCCGGTCTTTGGCGTTGCGGACGAGGAGCGATGAGACCTCGACCACGGTTATGGTCTTTGGCACTGGCTCGAGACAGGAGACGTTGGCAAGTGTCTGCGAACTGCACTAGAGAGAGTGCAGAGGGCCGGGGCCGGGGCCGGGGGAGAGTGCTGCCACATTTGATGCGCTCCTTCCTAAGCGGACGGTGCCCCCGATGTTCCATCCTCTGTCAAGTGCCTGCTGTCTCCATGAAGAAGAACGTAGCCATTGGCTCCTTCGAGTAGGATGGGTTCAATCGTCATCTCCATGGTACTCACCTGAGACAGGCAGGGCCATGGTAGCGGCCCTGCCGGCAGCTGGATACCGCAGATCCAGGAAATAAATACCGCATAGGCCAGACGTAGCGTTGCCTAACACAAACCGTAAGTTCTGTGGCACAGCGTGGCCCAGGGAGGGTCCTCTACCAACGTCGCTCCCGTTGTAATGAGTAGAGGTATCCATCATGACGCCTTTTGAAGGAACTTATTTACCAAATACCGAGTGCCCGGCCTGCTCGAGCCCTATAATTCAGGGGCGGAGCCGGAGGCCTCCCTCGCTTCACGTGACCTTCCTCCGGCCGCATCGTCAGAAGCTTCCTTCAGTAGCTCCAATGTATAAATGCTCATTTCAGGAGAGCATCAATACAATTCGGCAACATTCATGGGTCTAGTATGTAAACACGCGCTGACGTCGTCGGTGAACAGTTGGCATCCTTCAGTTGTAGGGAGAACACCTGGCGAAAGGGTCAACGCCAGAGAAGCGGCAGTCATGATTTCTATAAATCCCGGTTGACGTTCCGAACGTCCAGGTCTGATCGCTATTCTATTCATTCGAACCACTGATACGCACGGACACATACGATTCTCATATTCTTTACCGTTGAAAATGTTGCGCCCTCCCTTATTCCTACTCTCAGTTGCCGTGCTCGTGTGTCTGGGCGGCAGCAGGCTGGCCATACCGAAGCATGGCGTATCCCAAGAACACAACCATCTATCTACTGCAGTCACTGCCATTGATCAACTGGCAGTGGGCCTAGCTGGACTCGAAGAAGAAGACGTGACCAAGGGAGACATTGGTTTCGCCAACCCAGCAATAGTGCACGATAAGCCGCGCAAACGAGACGATGGTGACGAGACGGAGTCAGATATATCTGATTATTCAGGCGATGATCTCCCACCGCTGGTCCCCGTCGTCACGACAGATGGCAAGACGCTCTACGAGGAATGTTCACAAGACCAGTGCGGTGACGTTTGCTCAGCCCACACGGCCAGCAAGAGAGCACTCGACCGAAGGCTCCCTCCCTGGCGCCCGAAGCCACCCTACGGCCAATGGGTGAGTCCAGACGACTACGAGGACAAAATAGGGAAGGGGAACACAAACGCAGAGAAGCTCGTGCGCGGGGAGGTCCACCGCGCCTGGGTGAAGCAGAAGGTCGTCCCGCTGACGCCCGCCAAAGATGATCCCATTGCGATGTCGACGCTGTCGCACATCATCAAGTTCGCCGACCAGGTGGACGATCTCGGGGCCTTTGGCTTCTGGGGATGCACGTCGGTGGTCGTCGTGAGCCGGAGGGGAGCCTGGGCCAACAGGATCTTCGAGAAGCCGACTTTCCGGGGCGACCCGGGGTCCCTCTGGAATGCGGGAATATTCAAGAGGAACGCCATCCACGCACTACGGGAGGGTGTTGGGGAGGGCACGGCACACGCTTTTGGGATCCCCCATTTCAGGGCGAGGGGCGACATGTTTGGCGACGATGCCGAGCCGAAGGCCTTTATCTGTGAGTCGCGTCCGTTCCCTCCTTGCTCCATCAAGACTTCAATGCTTGCTCCAACGTGGACAGGGGAGATCGGCACCTCTTAACACCGAGTACACCATCAAGTACTAAACGAGATCAAGTACTGACTCCCCACGCCGCAGACACACCCCGCCCGCGCCCCGACAAAAAAGACGCGAACATCGACAAGGAGACCAACCAAGGCAAGCTCCTCTATCCCAAGGGGGTCGAGGCGATCAAGAAAGAATTAGAAAAAATCTTCGACGGGTACTCCTTAAACATCGAGGTCGTCGACTACTCCCCGCTGATGGCGCCGCCGGGCCTGTCCCAGAAGGAGATCAACAACTACCGCGTCGACAAGGGCTTCGACACGGCCCGCGGCAAGTTCCTGGTCCAGTACCGGCCGGCTCCCGACTACATGTCCCACGCCAGCTGGAGGATTTGGTTCGAGGGCAAGGGGGGCAAGGGCGACGCGTGGAGCGACGAGTGGAAACCCGAGACTAGCAGCTCTTTCAACCAGGTCCTGAAGCCCAAGTAGTGAGCTCAGCTGGGCGTGTGATACCGACGGAGAGCTGGACTGCCACTACCGAGCCACCCGGTGTGAATGGAGATGTGGCGCGGGGCACATAGCTAACCAAATCGAGGGGAGTGTGCCAGGAGGCAGAGTGAAAGCGAGGCTTCGTTGTTTTGAGCCGTGTACAGTAAATCATCAGTCGTTTCCTAGGTGGGTAGCAACCAAAAGTCTTTCTTTACGTATGGTCTAGGTGGTAGCAGTTACGTGGTCTGTATGTTGAGCTGGCTGTCATTACACGTAAGTACCTATAGGGCTGCTAAACAGTTGGTTCTACGTACCTAAGGTACTACACCTAAGGTTCGGAGCTCACTTTGTGCAGAGGATTTTACTTCCAAGCGGTTGACCCAATACTTTAATTCTTTAATTTACAGTGGAATACAGCCGCTTTAGTACGCCTTTTTGACTGTAGGGCAATGATAATCTCGTGGCATTACTTGCCTGGAATAAGCACTCTGGAATGATCAACACCAAGGACTTTATAGATTATAGCTGCTTATGGCATGGTGCGTACTACAGAAAATATATCTCAGGAGTTTAGGATTCCATCGAGGCACACAGGTGGATACTTTTAAGGGGTGATCGTATCACCGTCAAGGCCCTGTTCCCCCCAAACTGACCGAGGGAGAGATGACGGAACCATAGTCTCTGAGTCTATATCCTGGCATGGTTGTAACATCTAAAGAGTATAGGGGTGCAGCAGCATTTGGATAGGGGCTGTGGAAAAGACCTCTTGAAAATGCAAGGAATATGCTCAGCGTAGGTATCCCCCAGTATCTCTATGCAAAATCCTTACACCTTCTTAGACAGCACCTTATCAAGAGCCTCGACAAAGCTCTTAATCTCCTCGACTATAAGTCTCGTCAGCGTCAGTCAGCAGCCCAAAACGCTCAAGCACACCGTCTCGCCCAGTAGAAAGGGGGAAGGGGCGCACCACTTACCAGTATTATAATGCACCATGCTCACCCTCACAACGCCCTCCGAGGAGTCCAGCCCCAGCACATCCGTAACCAAGCGATTTGAGTAGAACGCGCCCCACCGGAACCCGAAGTCGGTGTCCTTCTCCACGGCCTCGACCAGGTCGCGGGGCCCCCAGCCCTCGACGCGGAAGCTCACCGTCGGCACGCGCAGCGCCGTGTCCGCGCTCGTCTCGCCGTACACCGTGACGTCGGGCCGTCCGTTCAGGTAATCTAGTAGTACGGTCTGCAGCTCGCGCTCGCGGTCCGCGATTGCGTCCCAGGCGCCGGGCGCGCCCAGGTAGTCCAGCACCACGGCCGGCACGGCCTGAACTAGCTCGTAGCTGGCGCCCGCGAGTCCTAGCTTGTTCTCGAGCGAGGTGTGTGGGTTGAAGAAGTGCCCAAGGGACCGCACCCGCTGCCTGTACGTTAACATCGTATTTTCTACCCCGTACAGACAATCTCTAGACAAAGGAGGAAAGGGAACACCAAAGCTTGTTATCGAATACAAGGCCTAGGGTCTTGGGATGGGATGTTTCTATACGTACCGCGAGGGCGCCGCGCCGCCCGTACAGCATGCTGATGTGCGGGCCGTACACTTTGTACCAAGAAAAAGCATAGAAGTCAACCCCAAGCGCAACGACGTCGACAGGACGGTGCGGCGCATAGGCTACCGCATCGACGCACAGCAGGGCGCCGGGGACAGTGTGCACGGCTGCAGCGATCGACGCGACGTCCGTGACGGTGCCGAGGATGTTGCTCGTGTGCGTGCAAGTCACGAGCCGCGTCCTAGCGGAGAGGAGTGGCTTGAGGTTCGAGGCGAGGAGCTGCGGGTTAGGGGACGGCGCGGGCGACCACCATTTCAGGACGAGCTTCTGGCGCGCTGCTAGGTCGACCCAGGGCGAGATGTTGGCCTCGTGGTCGAGGCCCGACACGATGATCTCGTCGCCTTCGCTGAATTGCAAGGCGAATGAGAGGTTGCGGAAGAGCTGCGTGGTGGATGATCCGAAGACTAGGGGGGCCGGCCATGTGAGTTCATACTCTAATAAGGGGAAAGGGGAAGGTTTTTCGTCATATGTATATACTTACCTATCTCGTCCACTTCGGCGTTGATGTACTTCGCGCCGGCCTCCTGGCCCTTCTTGTAGCGATCGGTGGATAGCTTGCCGGTCTTGTACGTTGCCCCTAGCTGGACATTGGTGTTGGAAAGATAGTCGCGGATGCTGACCACAGCCAGTCAGTATATTCCACTGATTATATTTATAGTCGTCGTGGCAGACTCACGAGTCGATGACGCCACCCAGGGTCTGACTGCCACCGGCGCTGTCGAAGAAGACTTGGTCGTGCTGCAGAGCAGGAAACTTGGACCTCGCGACCTCGATGTCGAACTTGGCCATGATGAGAGTGCTTATATATGGATATGGTACTGACTCCCAGTATGACCTATCTTCAAAGCTGTATCAGAGACTTTTCACCCAGTAGCTCAGTTAAATATTCAGTCTATTCGACTTCTCCGCTTGAAAGAAGCAGGTGGTCCACGACTTTCCTCATTCGGCACCAGAGAAGGTGGTGGTGGTGCTGTTGCTGCCGCTGCGGGGTCCAACGGTCCGGTCCACTAGGACGGATAGCTCACTGCTCGCCACCCGACGTCCACGTCGTGAGTTCTGAACGGTAGGGATCAGATCTGCTGTAGAACTTAAGGTATAGGGTCTTCCGCAAGCCAGACTGTTCTCTTGAAACTCGTTGATCGTTAGGTAGCGAGTCTCGGAACATTGTACCGGAGACTTCCCGGCACAAGAAAGCGTGAATAAGCGCCATGCGTTGGCAGCGGAATTATGTATATCGAAATAGCAAGAGTGTAAGCTAAATGTTATGGGTGACATTAAAGTCAAGCAGTTAAAATGATAATTTGCATAGGTATTCGCCATAAGTACATCGTTAGGGGCATGTGACTGGAATCGGAGAAGTTTGAGGGTCGAGTGTAGCCATGACGCCCTCTCTTTGAATGTCTAGTGCAGGCATACTCACGACAAACCGTAAGAGTGTCACTGGGCTCAAGATAAACAATTTTCCCTCGTACGCTCCAAGACTCCGCGGCCACTCACACTTAATAACAGTATGCAAAACCACTAAGCTATATACACATCAGACTCGCTCCCAAGGAACATCTAAACCCCGATTACCACACTTATAGCGCAGACTTCTTATCCACGGTACTCCTCAGCAAGGAGATGACCTCAGCCGGGTCCTTGGCCCCAAACACGGCGCTCCCCGCCACGATGACATTCGCACCAGCGTCGGCCGCCTGGTCGATCGTGCCCGGTCCCAGCCCGCCGTCGACCTCGATGTTGAGCTCGGGGTACTTCTTCCGCAGCGCCTGGACCTTGGGCAGCTCCGAGGCCATGAACTTCTGGCCGCCGAAGCCGGGCTCGACCGTCATGATCAGGACCATCTGCCAAACAACAACAACATCCCATACGTCAGCTTTTCATCCCAAGCACAAAACCGGGGGAAACGGTGAAAGGGGGGCAAAGAATTGGGATGGAAGTAGGATAGGGGAAAGAAAAAAAAAGTACATCGGGTCTCTCCTTCTCGTCCGCGCTCTCGAGCAGCTCCGTCAGCACCTCGACGCCCGTCGCGGGCTTCAGCGCAACGCCCGCCAGCAGCCCACAGTCGTGGATGTAGCGCACGAGCTCGCGCGGGCTGGTCGTCTCGTCCGTCTTGGCCTCGGGGCTCTCGCCCGCGCTCGAGTAGGCCGCCTCGTAGTGGAAGCAGTACAGGTCGCAGCCGGCCTTTTGGAACTCCTTGACCCATTTCTTCGGCTGTTATCGGACGAAAGGGTGTCTTTGCGTTAGCCTGTTGTGCTGCTCTGTTTGTTTGTGTGTTTCTTGCTTGATTGCTTGCTTGCTTGCTTGCCTTGCACGTCTCTCATCGCATCTTCTCCCTGCGCGCGTGTATTCTCTTTCGCCCAATCGCGTCCCGCTGGGGTTATGTATAGTATGGGCCTGGGAAAGGGAAGGGCTCGTCATGTACCTCGGAGATCATCATGTGGCAGTCGAACGTCCCGCGTCCGTACTTCGCGCTCGGCTTGTCGACGTGCTTTCGCACCTTGGCCACGACCGGGGCGCCGAAGGTGATGTTGGGTACGAAGTGACCGTCCCTGGAGAAATCCTCGTCAGCTGCTGTGTACGAACTCAAGAAACCATAGTCTAGCTCCCAAATAAGAGTCTGACCTCCTCTATGGTGTAGGTCCAACATACATTATATCAACATGGAGCCAGTCGGCGCCCTGATCCATTGTCCTCACGCAGTCGGCGCCCAGCTGCGCAAAGTCGGCCGAGAGGATGGATGGGGCTATAATCGCTTTGGGTGCCATGTTGCGGAATCGTCGTCTAAGAGTGCTACTAGGATGTTCTGTTGTGTGTAGGCTTGAGATATGTGTGTAGGTCGAGAAGCATAATTTGAGACAGACGTCACAGCGGACAGCAGAAAAGCATAGCGGGGCAGAATGATCGTCACTTTCGCGGGTGCCTTAGTGGGGGTGGGGGTGGCCTGTCTTGCCCGTTGCGGCAGCATCCGGGCCAACAAGCCTGACAAGCCAGAAAGGCCATCGACTTCCAGAAGTCTCCGTCCTGCACTCGAGGCTCTTTTCCCCTGGCAGGGTACAGACCGTGGAATAAGCACCCTGTATGCGGTTATGTTCTTACGAGCCGTGTTGAACGCTTATTCCAGAGTGCTTATTCAATACGCGGAGAATATCGCTGGGTAAGTATGACGGGGTGTACAGAGACTTCTAAGTGTGCGGTGTACCTCAATGGTGAGAAGCACAAGTAATTAGTGAAGTATGTAGATTTTAGCATTACGCAGATGGAGAGGCATGATCTGCCCTATTAATCCTTTGTTGCTAGAGCTGGTCGACCCCGGGCTTGCCACGGCGTCTGTTGGCCGACCACCCTTGGATTACAAGTCCTCTTCGCTGAACTATACAATGGACGGTGTCATGCCCATCCCTGAGAAGGCTCTGAGGAGTGCCATGATGATTCATTTGGCTATGGCCTATTCCTCTGCAATCTCACCCGGTCCCTCGAACTCATCCTCGCCCTCGTCGTCGAAGCTACCAGCGGGAACTTCATACAGACGGAGTATCTGCTTGTTGGGGTCCTTGACGAGCACGAACTTGCCCTCCTCACGCTTCAGGCACATGTCTGCGATGGTACGGACAATACCCCAACCGTTGGAGAGGGACAGGTTCATCTGGTTGGCAAAGTCCTTGGGCTTCCACCCGATCACACCCAAGATGACGTGCTTGTCATTGGTCTTGGGGTTCGCACGAGATACGAATCTGGACTCTGGTTAGCATGAGTGATAAGGAAATTGGAATAAGAAGATACTCACCCAACCTTCATGACATCTGCCTTGGACAGGATGCTCTGCACTGTCCATCGGGCAAGCTTGACGCTGTTGTTCTTCATCTCAGTAGCTACGACGGCACCGCGCTGGCTGACAAGCTTCGTTCTCCAATCCAGGGCACCGCCACTACCTTGCGCTTTGCTGTCAAATTCGTTGAGCGCCTTGACTGTCAGGTACTGGTCGTCGCCACTGATGGCATTCTTCTGGACCGCATCGATCTCAGTTCGGACGACCAGATACATCGGGTCCTCTTCACTAGTTGACAAATCGAACTTGCGGTATTTGTAGGCCTTGCTTGCAGGAGGCTCGGTTTCTTCGGAAGCGTTGTAGAACGGGTTGTCTTGCGGCATATCGACCCTTTGGGACTGATTCTCCAGAACAACCTGGTTGGCAAAGTTGTGGTTGATGTAGGTAGCTTCTTCTGCGAGAGCAGCAGGTTGGTTGACACTATCCTTGCTGCCTTCGGAGGCATCCAAGGGCGCATCGGCCGCGTTCTCGTTCACTGTCACCATGTCAAGCGCGGCATTGTCGCGCTTATCAAGGAAGATCTTGTTGCCCTGTCGAACAATGATCATGTCCCAAGGGTAGATAGACCGAGTCGAGCACATAAGCATAGAGAGGATGCTGTCAGTGGCGAAGATAGTTGCCTCATCCCTTTCGGCCATCTCCTGGATGACGGGATCCGAGGAGGTCGTGACATTGTAGGTGGCCCTGTCCAATGCCGTCAACCTTCTCTCGGCCGCCTTGACAGGTTGTTTATCGAATGACCGATCGTAGTAGTAGAGGAAACCGTAGCTTTCGACATCTTCTCCCTCATCGGCGTCGAGGTTCAGCTTGGCCAGTCTGTTGAAATCAATTTCCTCCAGTAGCTGCCAGTCCGGCTTGATGTTGATCGAGGCATCGCGGTTCCGGGCGGGCTTGTCCCAGTCTTTCCAGCCAAAGCGACGACCGCCTCTGGCATTCCCCCGTCCTCCTCGGTTGTCGTATCCGTAACCGCCCTGCTGACCACCTCGTCCGCCCCGCTGCAGTGTCTGGCGACCGCCTCTGGCATCCCCACGCCCGCCACGCTGACCGCGGCCGCGGGTGAACACAGCGCCCCGTCCGTATCTCGTCTTCGTGGGTTCTCTGCTGACGACTGAGAAGGTGTTTTCGTCCTCGGCGACAGGAGCGGTGAAAAGAGCGGCGCTGCCGGCACCGTATATTTGCTGATCTGTCCAAGCCCATCATTAGTACTGGCGCAACTTTCGTGAGGAACCTGGTGGTTTGCCTACCCCTGTAGTTGCGGTTGTATTGTTGTCGGCCTCCTCGACCGTCTCGGCCGTCCTTGCTGTCGGCGGTCCAGTCGGCCATGCGACCCAGCTTGTCGCCCTTGGAGAACGGCGCATACGGAACGCCGTTCAGGGTGGTCTCACTGACAACGGGAGGGCCCCATCCATCGCCTTCTGGCAGAGCCGAAACGAGGTCGGCGAGCGAATATGACGCCATATTGAAGTACTTCCGGAGAGTACAAGTAGCTGCGAGTATAACGGTGTACTTGGAGGGGATGTGTCTCGTGTGGACTTGTCGATGCTCGTTTCTCCGCTGCGTTGGGTGGAAATTTGAGTGCAGGTCGAATATTTTACCACACTGGCGTTTGGTGGGGTGTCGGTGTGTGGGGCAGTCGCAGAATTTGGGGCGACGACTGCCAGCTGGCCGCGCTGGCTGCCAATGGACCGTTGAACTACTTCTGCACTGTGTACTTAGATTAGAGCAAGGGGTCTTGGACACTGTGCGCTTCCTCCATGAGTCTCGTCACGACGTCAGCTGCCCCTCTGCGACTGGCAGGGTGAACAAACTCCCGACCAGACTTGAACGAGTGCCGGCGATTGCTGGCAGTGTATAAAGAGATGGCATTGCAATATAAATATTTGAAAACCTATGCTAGCTACCTTAAAGGAACACTCACCTTTCAGGCACTCAGTACTATTTCTTCTTAGAAAACTCGGGAAGCTGAAGGCCCCCTAATCCCTGGGATCATATACCGTGATTTATTAAGCATCTCATAACCGCACTTCTCTCTTGCCTCCTTCATTCTCTGTGTATATTGCGAAATGGGCGCAGTGAAAAAAGACCTGCACGTGGCCATCATTGGCGCCGGTACTCTCTCTCTGCAGAACATTTTGAAGGCCTTGAAGCCGTCTGACAGCAACCATAGGCATGGGCGGCCTGGCCGCCGCTCTCGCTTTGGCCAAGCAAGGCTTCACGCACATTGAGGTCTACGAGCACGCCTCGAACCTCGGCTTCGTCGGCGCCGGTATTCAGCTGGCGCCCAACATGGCCCGCATATTGGATCGTCTGGGCTGCTGGAGTCCTATCGAAGCCGAGGCCACCGATATTAAAGAAACGAAGATCTTTCGTACGTCTCGTGATCAACCCAGCAAGCACACGTGGTGGTCCTGACAGCAGCAGAGGGCGACACGGAAGTCGAGCTCGCGCACATCGCGCTCCCGCACATCCGCGAGACGTACGGCTACGCGCACATGGTTGGCCACCGCTCCAACCTCGCCGGCTCCATCTACGAATCCTGCAAGGCCAAAAAGGCCAGCATCTCCTTCTTCTTTGCCACCGCCGCCTCGGAGATCGTGTCCTTCGGCCCCAAGCCCTCGTTCACGGCCACGCCGCGCAAGGGCGGCGCCCCATGTATGTACATTTTAGAGTCTCCTATTGCCCCTTCTGGCCGTATCTCAGGGGCGAATTTCCTCCTCTACGGTAGCCTGTGTCAAGACCCTTCGCTCCCGAGACGCGCGTTACGACTCCTTGTTTTCGGCAAAACATCTATAAAAAAAAAAAGTAATTACTGACTCTAATTTGCGAGGAGACACCGTCACTGCGGACGTCATCCTCGCCGCCGACGGCATCAAGAGCGTGGTCCGGCCGCAGATCATGCGCGAGCTCGGCGTCGATGCGGACGTCGAAGATACGGGCCAGGCGGCCTACCGCATCATGCTGAAGCGCGAGGACATGGCGCACGACCCAGAGCTGATAGCGCTGCTCGACGCCGACCGCGTGACGCGCTGGATCGGCCAGCGCAAGCACATCATCGCGTACCCGGTTGCTAACAAAAACGTGTATAACCTTAGCACCGCGCACCCGGACACGAGCTTCGCAGCGGCCCCGTCGGCCACTTACACGACCAAGGGATCCAAGTCGTCGATGCTGGACATGTACGCCGACTTCTGCCCACGCGTTCTGAAGATGTTGAACCTTGTCCCCGATGGCGAGGTCTGCGAGTGGAAACTACGCGTGCACCAGCCGCTGCCGACGTGGGTGCATGGCTCCGTGGCGCTCGTGGGCGATGCCTGCCATCCGACACTGCCGCACCTGAACCAGGGCGCCGCGCAGGCGATCGAGGATGCCGCCGTGCTATCGGTCGTGCTGGCAAAGTGTCCGTCGGCCAGTGCAGAGGATATCAACAAGAGCTTGCGCGTATACGAGGCAGTTCGCAAGGAGCGGGCGACGGTGCTGGTGGGACTGGCGGCGGCGTCAGGGAAGGCCTTGCATCTAGGCGAGGGTGAGGCTAAGAAGGAGAGAGACAGACAGTTTGCGGCGCTCAAGGACAAGAAGGGCGGGAGCGTGCCGGACAAGTGGGCGGATGCCGACGTGCAGAAGATGATCTATGGACATGATTGCATGAAGGTTGCAGAGGACGAGTTTTATGACATCTTCAAGAGCTTTTAGACACGCAAGGAGCGCTGTGTTGGAGCTTGTAAGCGGTGATCGTATCATTGTATGGATGCTGTCCACTCTCTGGTCTTGGTGGCAGAGCCACGGGCTATCTAGTACAACCATGTACAAAATGGTCATGAACACTTGCCACCGAGGGATAGATGACTAGTGTACAGCGGAGCAGGCCAGCAAATACAGAGTTCGACAAAGGCCCCGGCACAGGCTTTGACAATCGCTTTGATAGAAGCTCCTCGCGCTGGCCTTTGGCACCAGGTACTCTCTGATGAGTTGTGATTTGCGTAAAGTGCTCCCAAAGGCAGTCTGCTTTAAGAAGTGGGTAGGCCGACCTCCTTGCGCTTAGTAACCTCTTCATTCGGATAAGGAGGAGAAATCTAGGGCGACGGTGCTTTGGTAGTTGCTTTAAAGGGCTTGATCTTAACTGTGACTAGCTTCGAGAGTTATTGCTGTTCTTACGATTCGAAATTATGGCTGAATCATTCTACTTGAATGTGCTAGAAAGCTAGACGATTACTCTTACGATTCGCAGTCCTTGAAGTGTACCAATGCTGCAAGTGATGAGGTGTCGCAACTTGGTAGGAGGTTGAGCGGGCGGCATGGCATACCAACTTCGAGGGTCACCTGGCAAGCCGTTGAATTAGAGACTTGGACGGACATATGTTATAAGCAGCTAGGTATATCAGCAGCAATTCGCCGTAATACCTCACCACCGAACAGCTGTTTATGCCACTGTAAATTATAACCTGTGGCATTACCATGGTTAGACCTCGAGGTTCGTATCTGCCTTTATCAGGGTGCTGGTATGAAGCTCATATTGGCGCTACAGGCATGGTGGTGGAACGACGCACCATTGGATAGCAAGATTTTCATATTTTGTATAAGCCTCAGAATCCTCAGTCCAGTCCAAGAAAACCTAACACCAAGCTCGAATAACCAAGGGATACTCCCACTCACGGAGCCCGTAACAGGGATATCACTACCCGCCTGACGTTCAACATCCTGCCGACTCGTTGTCATTACATTCGTAAAAGTACAGGCCGGTCACCCATATTCTTCTCCGTCCACATCCGCTCAGAAAACCATGCCCACCTCCGGCTTGGACGAGAGCGCGGCGTTGAGAGCGTCGCGCACCTCAAACTCCTCCATCACGGCGCCGAATCTGGGACACAGTCAGTACGACAGGGAAGGAGGCTTGTGGGGCAGGAACCCATGAAGGAAGGCAGCACGTACCCGTAGCAGCGGACCTTGCCGGTCAGGTCGTCGATAACCTTCTCGAAGTCCTGGCGGGTGAGCTCGGTCAGGCGCGGGTGCGACAGGATCATGCCCCAGGCCATGACGGGCGTGATCTCGCCGTCCAGGTCCAGCTTCTTGCTCAGGTCGAGCAGGGTGGCGAGGTCGCCCTTGGACAGCTGCCACGTGCGGAGGGGCGGCTGGCCCTTGCCGTTGCCATTGCCGTCGGTGGCGGCGGCAGCGGCGGCCGCGGCGTGCGCGAAGCCGAACGGGATATCGCCGTTCAGCTCGGGAAAGGGCTCCGGGGGGCAGGTGGCCATGAGGGCGTGGCCGCAGGGCTCGCCGCCGGGCTCGCCGGCCCGGTCTAGCAGGTATGGCAGGTGGTCCATGCAAGGTTTCTCGAGACTACAAAGACCCAACGCGTCGACCGCTGCAAATTAGCGACAACTATTCCCACGGCGAGGTGATAAAACCCGAAACTTTGAAGATTACATTTGTCTTCCTTCTTCAGAGTGGCAGGCATAGACAACAGTCCCCTCCCGTACCAATGAAGCTGGTAGTGCCTCACTGATGGGGAGGCGACATGTATGCCTTTGAGGGGTCATTGGGGTTCTCGTACGCTAACACGAAATCAATCCCAGCCTGGTCGTAGTCCACGCCGCTCTGAGCGGACTGTTGATGGCCTCCCAACAGCTGGCCCGAGTTCGACCCCGAGGCAGTCGATATCGACGTCAGAGGTGGTGTGTATGCGGTCGTGCTGGAGCCCGGCGCGTAGCTGCCCGAGATGCTTCCGCTTGACGTGTATCCTAGACTGGGGTTGCTGATCACGTCGTCCATGGCTGTGGTGGAAGCCGCGGCGATGCCATTCTGGTTGAGCAGGTTCCTCAGTTGCCGATTCTCTTCGGCAAGCTTGTCTTTGTCCTGCGTGACGTTGCTGAAGATCTCCTTCAATCGCAGCACTTCGTCCTCGAGAGCCTTGATATATAACTCCTTTCGTTCTCGATGGGTCCTGCATGGGCCGCGCCGTTAGTACATGCGACGACTCTGCCGGTAGTCCCGTGCACGAGAGTCTCATCCATACCTTTGCGCCTGACGGTTCAATTCCTGGCGACGGGTAAGCGCCGGTTTGCTGTCGGGTTTCGGTCCACGACGCTTCGGCGGGTTGCCATCTCTCGTCGTCCTCTTGTCATTCAAAGACTTGAGGAAGTTGAGGTTCAGAGACGACAGAGGGCTCTTTTCCGATGCGCTGCCATGCGCGCCGTGGGGTGACGATGACGACGACATGGAGACGTGCTCATAAAGTGATCCCAGGGAAGGGTTATCAGCCGGCGAGTATTGCGCTGGGGGTGATGGGTAGCTGGCTGCAGGGCTCACTACGTTAGTCATTTTGGCCGTGATGTTTCTGTGAACAAGGAGCTGCTACGAGCGATTCGGCAATGGGAAGACAAAGAAAGGGACATCGGAGCCGCGGAGGTGGGCGGCCTCTCAGACTGATATAGCAAGGAGTTGGTGGTGGCAGTGCTGCTGACAAGTGACAACAAGGCCGAACAAGGGAAGTCGGTGGTACGCACGATGACAGATAACTCAAATACTGCTCCCCAGGGTGTGTTCAGGGTGTGTTCGCCGCAACGAGGCGCTCCAGCACGACGAATGGCCCCAGGCGAGCCAAGCAAGCGAGCGATCTAGTTGGTTGGTCGATTGACTCGAATCGAATCGAATCGTCCCATCAAATATAAGATGACGCTGTTCATGCGATGGTGTCGCACATGGCCTCGAGGGCGCGGCAGTGCCAGAGTATTTGATAAGAATTTGAAGTTGTCGAGGGGAATGGAGGAGCTGCCCGCCGATGAAGAGGTCGGGGCTGGTCGGGGCTGGTCGGGGTCAGGGTCCTCCGGGTCGAGAGCAGCGATTGGACGGCGGGGATGGAGTAATAATACTTCTGGAAGGTCCCTAAGGAAAGGATCTAGCCGCTGACGCCTTTGTTCCAGACAGCTGCTTATTCCACTGCAGCTGTTATTTCGACCGCTTGGCGGGTTGCAACCCCGGCCGATATATACTCGTATGGAGGCAATGACTCTAATATTGGACAAGAATAACGTAGCCAAGCATGCTTTCTATAACGTGGGTTTTCAGGGGACTCGGAGAAACTTAATCGAAGATGTGGAGAGCGGGTTGGTGAGATCCCGAGATCTTAGGCTGATCGCTGCATAGGCCGGGTCATCAAACTAAAGACTAAGGTTACCTTAGTTGGACCTTGATCTTCCTTGGTGTCTACTTGAAATACTGGTGTGAGCACCCTGGAAAAAGCAGTCATGTTTCGACGAGTTATCTTTGAGATGTTTATTCCAGAGGGATTATTCCACCTGTCTTGGATACCCCTAGCTATAGTCTTGCTTTACAACTCCATCCGGTGAGGGATACGGAAGGGATACAGCTCCGTCTCGACTTCAATGTTTGTACTTGAACTGGTCCAAGCTGATTCAGCTGTTGCTATAATCGTCACCTGCTCGCCACTACTTTGACATCTTGGCAGTCTTGGATGTGAAGTGTTCCCTGTCAAAGGATCGGGATTGGAAGAATACACCGGCCTGCCCCCACTGACTCACTGAGGGCATTGGGTGAGTAAGCAGGAACCATAAGCACCTTTCGCTCTTGGGCTGCAAAGGGAAGGTTGCCGAGATATTCGAATCCGTTTCGAGGAATTGGTAGCTAGGACAGACATGTGTAAGATCGCTGCTACTCTCGTGTTGCTGCGTGGAGTGCCGAGCCCGAATTGCCGAACTGCCAGTACCAAAATATGACGCTCAAAGGCTACCAAGGAGAGGCAAATGCCCACGTGGATGTTGAGCACATTCCGGTTGTCAACCTTTCTAAAGCTTCGTTGAGACTGACTGGCTTGGACTTGGTCAGTAATAAAGGCCTGCACTGTTAGGCCTAACAGCGATGTTTTCTCTGGTGTAGTGTCCGAACCACGTCGGTCTCCCTGGACGAGGTCATACTTGACCAGCGGAGTCTTCGCGTTCTATCAGAATGGTCGTCACATCTCATTGACGCAAAGACCTCAAGTGAGCAGAACCTCAGCATGCTGTCTCTACCATAGCCCTCACATCTGAATTCTCTGAACTTCAATGTTCGGCCGGGAACTACTGTACCACCGCAAGCGTCTCGCTGATCCTCCCGGCAGCCCCTCTTTCTAGGACTCGGCAGCTCGGAAGCTCGGATCCGGCATGACCGTTTTTACCTTTTGAGTAGGTACATTTTGGCGTTTCCCTGGGAGCTGAAGTCGCATTACCTAATGTCAAACTCGTGAGGCTGTCCAAGTCAATTCTACTACGAGGAAACTGATGTTCTCGTCATGAGGTCTGAACAGAGGTAGGTGTGTGAACGAAAGCCGCATCGTGCTAACTAATATGTACTGCCTTTAACATTCAAGGTGTCCAGCCCCACATCACTTTACATACACATATAACATAATTCTAAGCTAGTACCAAACAGCTAAAAGTACGTTTTTCGATAACAACGTTTTTTAATTACTGTTATATATATTATTTCATATAGTTTTAAATACTATCAATTTAAAGATATTTAAACATATATAGAATAACGTTTTTAACGGTAGTTTAAAAGCGCTATCGTATAATTACGTAGTTTATAACAACGATAAATACGGCATTTAAAACTATTATTACCGTTAAAGCTTCGTATATATCGATATATATATCTACTCATAGCCTTGATTTATACTTGTTAATATATATTAGATTAATGTTTACGACGTTAATATAATAACGTAATAATCGCAAAGCGTATTTTTATCATACTTATAACGTAATTAATAAAAAGTACTAGAATTTATTACCTTTTGCACAGTTGAAATATTATTACGCTTTTAAATTAACGGTCGTACATATTAAATATATAATCTGTAGGAACAGGCTTGAACGATCAATCATAATACTCGAGTATGGGGTCAAGGTCATGATGTTGCTGATGGTTGGATTGGGAAGTCTAGCTGGACCTGCAGGTCTGGCTAAGTGACCTCACAATCCGGTATCTAATCTCTTATCTAATCATACATGTGGGTTCTGTATGGATGGTTTGACTGTGGAATCACATGGATCCAACATAATCTTAAATAAGTATAAACTAAGGTTATTTAAAACTATGCATTTAATATATGCAACCGTCAATTTAAAAGCCTAATTATTAAAACCTGTACTTTTATCGTTATCGTATGCCAGCTTAAAATTATGTTGTGTGTGTATGTAAAAGTGATATGGGGCTGGACACCTCGGATGTTAAAGGCAGTAGATATGGAGGTGTTCAAGCGGTCAGTGCATCATCACCCTCCACCACGGTGCCACCCCTGCAGCCCGGTGTGTATCATGAAGTTCCGACGCGCCGCTGCGGAGTGCGAGAGGAAGATGGATCGTCAGGCGCTTCTCAGGCGTAAGCCTGGTTACTGACGTTGCAGAAGAGGAATCCTCATCGCCAGTACGGAATAACAACGACAGTGGCTACAACCTCGGCAGAATTGTAGGAGATTGGAGGTACCAAGCCGGCTTGGTACCACTTGGCTTTCTTGCGATTCGCTCCAGCTCGACCGACTGGCTACCAGTACTCATTACTCAGCGAGCATCATGGGCTTCCTGGGACCGCGTACACCAATCTCAGAGGCGTTGCGCTGGTCGCGCCCTGGGTCATGTACCTAGGAGCGGCCGACATAGCGCTGTCCCTGCTCCTGCCCGTGAAGCTATTCGCGCCCGACCTGGTCTACCGCGTCTCGTCATGGATCGCCTACTCGGTCTGGCGCTGGGTCCAGGGCATCTTCGAAGTTGGCAACGGCGCTCAAATCCACTTCCACGGGGATGTCCTGCCGCAGAAGGAGTCCGCCATCATCGTCTCCAACCACGTCAGCTGGACCGACTTCTACATGATCCAGGCCCTCGCGCAGCGGTCTGGCATGCTGGGCCAGTGTCGGTGGTTCGCGAAGATCCAGCTACGCGCGGTGCCGTTCCTCGGCTGGGGCCTGTGGGCGATGGGTATGCCATGGTGACTAGGAATTGGATGCGCGACCAGCGCGAGCTGCAGCGTGTGTTTAGCGGTGTCGTCGACAGGAAGTGGCCGACATGTAAGTCATGGGCCGTGCGAGTCGACGTACCAGAAGCAGAATATACTGACGCCTCACCAGGGTTGATCAGCTTCAGTGAAGCCACGAGGTTTACAGCCCAAAAGTACGAAGAGTCCAAGATATGGTGCAAGCAGAACGGCCGTCCGCAGCCCCTGCACCTGCTCTACCCGCGCACCAAGGGATTTATCAAGACGGTGCAGCATCTGCGAAAGGCGCCGCACGTGAAGGCGGTGTATGATTTCACGATTGCGTATCAGCACAGGAACCGGTTCCTCGCGGCGCCTGATATGTGGCAGACGCTGAAGCTGCCTAATCTGACGAGCGTTCATGGCTACCAATTTCACGTCATGGCTCGGCGCTATCCCCTCGACGAGCTACCGCATACAGACGAGGAGCTGGCGAAGTGGCTCGAGGAGCGATGGGTCGAGAAGGGAGAGTGGCTGGAAAGCAGGAGGCTCGAATGGGCATCCAAGTAGGGTACTTGAGGCCAAGTATTTGCGAGAGCTCGCTATTGACCGTTACATTGGCACAGCGGTGCCAGCCGAGAGGTCAAGGATGATCCGTACCTTGATATAGTCAGTATGCCAGTCTCTGAGCTCTTGCCTCAATTGAGTCATCATACGTGGGAGTCAAGAGTCATTAGGCTTCTCACAAGGACTGGCCAACATCTTGCAGATAGCCAACACAATCGCAATTACCCCTTTCTGTAAAACGAAGACTCATAGCCATGGTGGTAGGCCAAGGGAGAGTAATATAAATAACTGCCTGCTCTCACTCTCACTTATGCATCATCCAAGTCTGCAATTTTACCATTAGCGGCTGCCCGGTCAAGCGAATTCCTCCGGGAACTGGACTAGAAGCACACCCTCTGCAAGTACTACATGGAACTCGAAGGCATTATACAGGCTTTGACGGAGGCATGAGTAATTAAATAAACTATCTCTTTATGGGCATTGACCATTCGTCCGACATGCGGCGATGGGCACGATGAGCTTTTGCAGATTTCTCCCCATCCGCGTGATGTTCTTTTCTCCGTAGTAGCTTCTGCTGTCCACGAACTTCTTCACGAGCACAAGCATACGCCAGGGGTCTGGTATTTCATCCCTTGGAAGAAACGTATTGCCAGGAAGGAACCAACCTGTCTCTCCTCTTACACACCCGCCATCAATTCGCACCTGGAAATGTGCCAAAACGGCAGACGACCCGTCACACAATCATACAACGGCTCAGGCATCATAGCCCCCCCAGCTAAACTCAACGCTGCGCTTCTCGTCTACCCACTCGGCCTCATCTTTCCCACTCGACCTCATCTCACCCACTCGACCTCGTCTCTCCCACACGACCTCATCTCTCCCACGGTGTTCGACGCGTACACTCGCCAACACATTGTAAGTTCAATACTTGCATCTTCAGGCGATTTCGTGTCGAATGACATCAATTTCATATCACTCGAGCGGTTTGCAGTATGAGGCAGAATCTGGCAACTACCACCCTACCTACCTGCCTACCTCTCACGCAAACCAGCGATTTCGCGGACACGGATCCGAAGAAAGCTAACATCGCGCAACAGCCCCGGCCCATTCCAACCTCCTCAGTACCGAGTTATCATGGCGGGAGAGCCTGAGGCGAAGAGACAGAAGCGTGAGGGCAAGAAACGGGGGCGAAAACTCACAAGAAGCGAGAGACTGCGCAAGGATGCAGCATTGTGTAAGGACCAGGCCAAGATCAACATCGAAAATGCTGCAGCCGAAGAGAAAGCCAAGCTCCCGCAACGACTAGCCGAGCTCGACGAGTGGAGATACGGTCTCCGTTACAAAACGCCTACGGTAAGTGCGCTGCCATATTGTCAATCCACCCATACTACTAGAAGCCCTTTGGCGGGTGACCCGTGACACTGACTTAAGGTAGGGCTTCATAACTTCCACAGCGAAAGAAACTGCCTCGGCCAAGACCGATAGCAAAGAGGAAGGCGCGGATGCTCCCAAGAATGGCGTTGCCGCCCTAACACAGCGTGGGGCTGGTGTTGCTTCTGACGACTCTTACAACGGGGGCAACGACGGGGATAACTCCACCGATGTGGACGATGAGGACGATGAGGACGATGTGGACTATGATTATTATCGCAAGGACATTGCCGACATGATCGACGACATGATCGCCTACAAGTTACGACTTCTGGGACGACGACAACGATGACAACGACGATGGTGAAGATGTGAAGGACGGAGACGACCGCTAAGCCGTGCGTGAGCTAGACGGCGAGAACCGGCGTCGACTGCGGCATGGAGAGCGAGGTGACGGCTAAGCCGTGCTTGATCTGCTGCTAGAGTTGATTACATGAATCCCGCGTTGATTTTCTTCATCTGCGCTAAATTGGGCGGGAAATCCTTTCTAGGTACAATGTATCTAGCTAAGCAATTCGTCGTGCATGCCGGTGGCTTGCAAAGGAAGGCAATGCATACATGCAATCCCAATTCCAAGACATTGCAATACATAACTCAAGTTGCGAGTCACCACTCACAAGTCTCCGTCCCGCATACCTCAGTGAATTCTTCAATATCGCTGAATAATATCTGGATTGCTGGAATAAACGCCCTGGCATAATCAGCTTCGATCAACTAAAGTACTTTCAAGGCTTATTCCGAAGTGCTTATTCCGGTCACTATAAGATACGCCTTGGTTGCTCGACGAGGGGCGTACGGAAACGTTTGAGGGTTCAGTGTAGCCTCAAGTGACGCAAACCGCCGGCGTTCAACGACGACCTGTAATAGATGCAAGCCGAAGGGTCTAGACCGACCTCACCCCTGCTACCATGCACCACGATCATGGCAGTGGTTGTGGATAAAGCCCAAGCCAAGCGAGCATACATGTCTCGTGATTAGCCAGGAGAGTCAGAACGACATTCGATGCCAGCTATAAGGATAAGCATAGCGTGATCTTTGACTCTTGTGTGGCTTGATCAGTATAGCAGCCCACAGAGTGGAGATCGTAGGCGATATCCGGACCACTTCCTACCAGAACTACTGCTGTGCTTCTACCCCTTCGCTCCGGGCGTCCAGCAGGCCGAGTGATGGATGCACTGCATCGCCGCTCGTACCTGTGTCGATCTAAGCAGGTCCCGAGACGGTGAGAGGGCTCACAGAACACAAGGGTAACCCCAATGCAAGAGATATCCGGTGCATCGGTGATGGTGGAAGGGTTGACATCATATGCCCCGAGTCATTGCTGCATGCCATCGAACGTCGATATGTAAATCTATACCTGGCCAATGAGCACTACATCTTTGTCCAACCAGAGTTCATCAAGACAAGACGAGACGCAGGATCGTCACGAGACTCGTGCCCCGAGCGAATGGTTGTGAAGGCCAATCTATTTACCGCAAGACTGGGTGAAGATCAGTAGTCACCGCCCGCCTCCCCTTGTCGTGCTCTCGTAGATCGCCAAGCAGCTCTGGGGACGTCAAATGATCAATGGATGACAGAGTGTCTGGGGAGTCGGGATGTGGATACGAGGAGGAGCAAGATGAACTGAACATTGGCTCAAGAGATGCTCATGCGCGCATACAGTGTGATCTTTGAAATAATGTTAAATGGCGTCCGAGCGAATACATAACAGGCCTCCAAAACGTCGCAGCCGGGGTCTTATAATCTTTTCTTCCACACCAACCGTTTTATATCACACCCTCCCATATATAAATATGGAGATTCGCCACGGCTTGTGAAAAGCAGCTGTTCTCCATAGAGCTAGTGCTCGTCAACTGAGTGAGGGCTCTGTAAACTAGGCTATCGAGACCCCTGAAGTGGTGCTAACAGTGTGCTTGCAAGTGTCTTGATCGTCAGCAGGCAACATTATTTCAGGGGGTCGACTGTACTTTCTTGCAAGCGGGCTTCAGCCGTGGCACTGGCCTGGCTTCCATTTGCCTGGTGAGTCTGGGGGAGGCAGGTGATGGTGGGGTGATAGCGGTTGTGACGCCCACTGTGGAATGGAGTAACTGTTTCAGTGACGCCCTCGTCCCGTTCAGATCGCTCTGTCGATCCAGCCATCCCACTCCTATTCACCCTTGGATCGAGGATCCAATGGGCTACAGTGGCAGCCATCGCACAAGCTGATGAAAGTTGTGCAGGGCTTGCGCGGCTTGTCGTCGCCTTGTGTGGTGGCATGGCTGTCGCTGAGAGTTTCCCGGTCTGACCGAGTCCTAATCCTGTTCGTAGGTGGTGGTCACATCTGCATCTGCAACACCCGATGATGCAGGTCAACTTGAAGACGGGAATAGTATGATGGTAGTGGCACCATGCAGCCAGACGGTTATACTTTCTCCACGTGAGATGGCAAAGAGGCGTCAAGGGAGGCCGGCTATCTGATCGACTGCGAGATAGCACCACCTGCGATGTGGCTGGTACTATCCGGGGCCAATCGTCGTAGCGAAAGCTGCAGTACATTCTGTCCAGGCAATTTTTTGCCTGTGCTGCAAGTACCAGCGCTTATCGAGAAGACTGCCAATTAGGTGGTAAATGCCCTTGTAATTGTTAGCCGGGACCGTTGTGGGGCATATGGGACTGCAAGGAGTGAGAGGACCAGCCACATCGCAGGTGGTGCTATTTCGCAGTCGATCAGATACCGAGTCAGTTGAAAACAGTAGGTAACATTGTTGAATGGGAGCCGGAGATAGACACCGGAAGATCTCCAGTGGGGCAGAGACGCACAGGGCATCTGACCCACCAAGAAGACAGATGATCAATCTCTGCACGCAGAGCAGAACAATCAATAGAATCAATCAACATTCGTGTATTCAACAACAATCCCTTACATGGTGGACGCTCGAGCACTAGGTTAGCTGGCTTGCTCCCACATGGCGCAGAGGGCGGTGGTTGATAACGCAATATCATTCCCAGATAAGATGACTGCATCCAGAATGGCACGGTGAAGGGACTAAGAAATGCAGCGCCAACGTAGGAGTGGCTGCGGCGGGCTGTGATTAGTCGGTCTTGAGGTAAACATTCCTCTAGTCGTGGTGGTGGTCTGCAGGAAAGGGATATTGTCCGAGCCATTTGCCGTCCCATGAGCTGACAGGCTACAGCTGGATCGACTGATGATGGCATGAACGCATTCCCAGCCTATCTGATCGAGTGCGAACGAGCACCACCTGGGATGTGGCTGGTACCAACTAGGGCCTACGCCACGTTTCCACGCAGAATGGCCAATCCGCCTTAGCACAGCAGGGGTCGTTGTGGGGCATATGCAACTGCAAGGAGTGAGAGTACCAGCCACATCCCAGGTGGTGCTCGTTCGCACTCGATCAGATACCAGTATTGGGAAACGAGGTGGATGGATGTCTTGGAGCAGACTAACCACATGCAAATAGCCTACTCCAGGTACCAGTATACAGAACACCAAATTTGATCCGGCCTGACGACCGTGGAAGTATGCGTGGCCTACACACTGAGGTCCCGGACACTTGAGCTACTGGAACGGCCGTGCAGGAGGGCAGGAGGGATGGATGCTTGTCGAATCCGCGCACCATGGGCGGCTGCTCATCTGACATGTTTCTACTCAAAGCACGATAGAAGGCGGGACAGAGAACCGGGGAGACCACCGATAGGGTGATGCCGCCATGTCGCCGTTCTGGTGAGACCGTGAGAGGCGAGATGGAGAGAGGGAGCTACTGTACGGGCTACATTAGCATCGACGCTGCCGCGTCCCCTTCCCGTGCGCGTGATGGCTCACAGGCTTCCGCACTGATGTAAACATAAACTTGATGAGCGGTAGGTTCAGCGGGTGATATTGGACCATGCTGTCTGTCATGTTGTGAATGTTGGACTGGAGGACGCGACTGGAACGAGAGAAAGCTGCAGGCGTCCACTTCACTTCAAAAAGCATGGAGAGGCAGAGAGGTAGGAAGTGATCAGCAGTGGCATAAATACTGTAATAAAAGGAAACACTGGCCAAGCCAGAAAGAGTCAAAGACAGTGCTCTCACACCGTACGGAGCTTGAGGTGGGCAGTGGGCACATGTGGTGGTGTCCATGGATAGCTGTACTGTCCGTACTTCCATTGGGATTATGCGGACGTCCCGTCGCTTGTCGGGTTTCTGCTTGGTAAAACCGACGGTCTCCCAAGCCCGCGTGCCATGTTCCTCGCTCTCTCTGATTGGCGGCGCAGCCCACTCTAGCTGCCTTTCGAAAAACAGCGCGCTTAGCACCTAGCACCCCCTGCCCTCGGCTTGACCGTATCTCTAAGGTAGCTAGGAGGTAGCTACCTACCCGCTGCCGCACTCCCAGACTGAGGTCCTCAGTCGCGCCCGAAAAAACGAAGGGACTTTTGGACTTTCGGAGCCCGCGATAGACTGCACTCCACTGCGCTGCTACACCACCCGACACCAGACCACGTCCTCCTTCACGCTCGCCACGATACGATCAGCCTGCAGGATTGACGACGAGAGAACACATTCATATCCCTCTGTGACCTGCAATTTGGAAAACCCGCCTTGACCCGTTGACGTTGTCGAGTTCCCTTCGAGATCCCTCTCCTCCTTTGTCAACAACGGAACCGCACCGCGGGACCACTCGACTGCTGGCAGTTCTCCCGGTGTGGCCCCAGAGGCTCGCCCTCGACCGCCAACCTCAGAGTTGACTTGCTCACCCGCACCGACCTTGCACGTCGACAACCGTCATGTCTCGGGCTCTTGCTAGCTATTGACTCTGGCTTTCTGCCAGACCACCTGGCTTTGCATGACGCCGGCCCTGACTGATACATCTCCGAACCGCACCTCCTGCACCTCCTCCCGACAGCCCAGGTCGACCCGGACGACGCGTTTGACCCCTCGTCACCTTGCACACAGCTCGTTTTGCAATCCAATCCGCTCCTGCCAGATGATATCGTCGCAATTGGCCGCCGTGTCTGCTGTCTTCAACAATGGACCAGGATCCTACTAGACTCGCGCCCCCGGCCGTCAGCTCGCTCCGCGCCGAGGCTGCCGGTAGTTCCATGCAGAGGACCATGAGCGAGGGCATCAGGGAGGAGCGCCAGGAGCTACGCGAAGCCGCTGAGCAGACCTTGAATGTCATCGTGGATCTCAGCCTCGATGGAGCTATACGATGGGTCAGTCCCTCGTGGACCGATGTCATTGGGACGCAACCGAATACCGTCGAGGGCACTCCCATAGCCGACCTGATTATCAGCGAGGACAAGGCTGTGTTTGCCGAGACCATTGACTCCATGCAGAAGGATGATTCGCGCAGCCAGTATATTCGATTCACCATCTATCTGGGTCCCTTGTCCAAGTTGTACCCCGCGGACCCGGTGAAGGAACCCGAGGCTGGTGAGAACAATGCAGCCACGGTCGAGCTGGAGGCTCAAGGCATCATGGTATACGATCGTGCTACTGGAGGCGAAAGCCATGTGAGAAAGACCCCTACACCCTTTCCAAGGACACTCTGACACTGCTATAGACCATGTGGATGATACGACCATGGATACCACCTCGCGAGATCAAGATCGACTTACCGCCCCTGATCGTGGAGTCCCTTGGTTCAGGCGCCGAGTTGCTTGCAAGCTATCTCACCCAATTGGCAGAATCGGGACAGGAAGATCCGGAAAACTATACCCCGCCATTGCCAGTTCTTTGCCGTATCTGCGAGCGCCAGATCCCTCCTTGGTGGTTCGAGAAGCATACCGATCTTTGCTTGCAGGAGCATCGAGCCGAGATGGATGTTCAGATGGCACAGGAGAACCTCACCGAACATCGCCACTCCATTGTGAGGGTGCTTGATGCTCTCGAGGCTCGAAAGAGTCGCGCCCTCTCAGCAGACCTTGGTTCGCTTCCCATAGCCGAGTACAAGGGCTTTGCCATAGGACCGACCTCTAGCTCCTTATCCCCGGGGACTGCATCCCCTGCTGCGTCATCGAGGGATCGTTCAACCGGATTTGGCCACTCACGCTCTCGATCGTTCGCTGTGCGACGTCCGCAAGCTCGCATAGTCGAGCTTCTCCTCGACCTTTGTGACACCTCCATGGAAATTAGCACACCTGCCATCAAAGAATCTTCGTCGCAGGTTTCTGGCGAATTTCGTACCCAGTCACCACAGTCAGAGTCCCGTATCTCTCAGGTACTTCAATGGCATTCTCCTGGGTCAAACACGCTGGAGCAAGAACAAGGCTTGGCTTTCCTATGCGCAGACACGGAGAGAATCGCCAAAGAGAAGGTGGAAGCAGTCTTTCGACACCGCAAGATCATCGAATATGCAGAACGAATACGTGTCGAACTTGCTGTTATCGTTCAGGATTGCATCGATGAGGCCATGCGCAAAGCTGCTCGAATCGCGGCCGGACGTCTTAGTGATTCAACCGAGGATGGCGATGAAGATGAAGATGATACAGAAGTGACCCCGGCGGCTGATCAAGATGATGCCATTTTCGCTGGATCTTTCGATGCCCCTTCATCATTGGCTCTGGCTCTGAGAAACGTGGATCTAGGTGATTCAGCTGACAAGAGACGCTCCCTAGCCATCGAGTCTACAAGATCAAGCAGTCCCAAGGAGTGCCCGACGCCGAGATCTCATCGTGAACCCCTGAGCGTCGCTGGCCCGTCACGTGGCTCTCGCCGAGAGTCTATGCGGTTGGAGAGTGACGCTGGAGATAGTGATGGTAGCGTCAGGTCAGCTTCTGCCGCCTCGCGGCAACCAACTAGGAATGACTCGCCGGTTTCCGAGTTTGGTGACTTACGACGCGCCACCAGCTCGCGCCAGCACCACAGACGCAGCCTCATATTGGCTGGTACCTCTTCACCCCAGCGGCAGGAATCACCCTCGAGAGGTACCCAACCTTCCTCGCCATTGCGAATACTGAAGCCTCGCAATTTTCAATACTCCCAAGAGGCTATCACCTCCCCAGAGGCATCGCCTATGCTTCCACACGGTGATTTCGGCTCGCCAGCCGTGGTCCCACATCACCGCCGACAATCTTCTGCAGCCATGTCAGAATTACCACACAGACCTCCCGCTTCCCCACGTCTCAATGCTGCCAACCCGCCTCCTCTAGCACGAGCTGTACCTCCTTCGATCAAAGATTTTGAGATCATCAAGCCAATCAGCAAAGGAGCTTTCGGGAGCGTCTATCTGTCAAAGAAGAAATCCACGGGCGAGTACTTTGCCATTAAAGTGTTGAAGAAGGCCGACATGATCGCTAAAAATCAAGTCACAAATGTCAAAGCTGAAAGGGCAATCATGATGTGGCAAGGAGAGAGCGAGTTTGTGGCAAAGCTTTACTGGACATTCTCCAGTAAGGACTATTTGTACCTTGTCATGGAGTACCTGAATGGTGGCGACTGTGCTTCTCTGGTCAAAGTCCTGGGGGGCCTGCCTGAAGATTGGGCCAAGAAGTATCTCGGTGAAGTCATCCTCGGCGTTGAGCATTTGCATAGCCGGGGCATCATCCACCGTGATCTCAAGCCCGACAACCTCCTCATCGACCACAAGGGTCATCTCAAGTTGACTGATTTTGGTCTGTCACGCATGGGTCTGATCGGTCGACAGCAGAGAGCTTTGAACAGCGCAGCTTTAGATACGACACCGGACCTGCTCAAGACGGGCCCATTTGCTCGGTCGACGTCTATTGCATCGTCTCGATCCGCTTCACTTGATCTTCATGGAAGTCATGCTTCGCCTGGCGTAACTCCGCAGACAACTCCGGAGAACAGTCTCGGGCAACCGTCCTACTTTAACCTCTCGAATATACAGCAAGAGCCTCGCCGTATCTCGGGACAACGTAGTGACAGCGGGGGAAGCGAGTCCCTCACACACATGATGGGTAACTTCTCTTTGAACGACATCCACATTACCCAGTCTAGCGTTCGTTCTCCGTACGATGAGAATAGCGAGGGCGCCGCCTCCCCTGACCTGCCATCGCTTCATCAGACTAGTAGCTATAACAGCGAGGTACACCGAATTACTCCTGCCCAATCAAACATGATGCAACCACCACCAATGGCTCTATTTGATCCCGAAGACACCAACCGCAGGTTCGTTGGCACGCCTGACTATCTTGCTCCCGAAACTATCAGGGGCAGCAGACAGGACGAGACCAGCGATTGGTGGTCTGTCGGCTGTATCTTGTTCGAGTTTCTTTACGGCATTCCTCCATTTAATGCTGCCGACGCAGAGCAGGTCTTCGAAAACATCCTGGCTCGGAAAATCATGTGGCCCGAAGAGGCAGACTTTGCCTCTCCTGAGGCTACAGACCTGATGAACAAGCTACTCTGTATCGATCCCCGACAGCGGCTCGGTTCCAACCGTGGAGAGAAGTATGCATCTGGCGGAGAAGAGATAAGGAATCACCCTTGGTTTGAGGGTACGAACTGGGCCTCACTATTGGAAGACGAGGCGCAGTTTGTCCCCCAGCCAGAAAACCCCGAGGATACCGAGTATTTCGATGCCCGTGGAGCTACTCTGCAATCCTTCACAGAAGAGATGGAAGATCAGATGTCACCGGGCCCGTCAGCCTCGACCCCAGACTATCCTGATCGCCCGCACGATGCTTTGTCTTCTGGCGTTCGATCTCAGCTGCAGGTGAATCAAATCAAGAGGGGCCTGATGCCGCTGCATATCCCTCCACACATCCGGGACCTGAAGAGCCGGCGGCTCAGCGAGCCTGTGCCAGCTGATGACTTCGGCACTTTTGCCTTCAAAAACCTGACGGTCCTCGAGAAAGCGAACAAAGACGTAATTCAACAGTTGAAGGCGCAGGCGATGGCGGCTCAGAACCGGTCTGGCGTCAGCCCCAGCAGTGCGCACAGCGCCACATCTCCATCCCCTGGTCTTGAAGGTAGCCCAGTTCTACCGATGCCCATTCAGCGCAACGTGTCCAATGCCAGAGCCTCAGCATCGCAGCGCCCAGCTTCACCCTCCGCTGCAGGCCATGCCAACTCTTCTCCGAACCGGGCTTCACAGCCATCGTCTCCACTACTTGTGTCTTTTCACGCCGGCCAAGGAGCTGATGGCCGTCGAAAAGTCTCGAGTAACTCCTCTAGTCTGTCCCAACAATCTGGAGCCAGTTCTCTGCAACCTGGTAACTTCTTTGAAGCACCAAGAACCATCCCAGCTCTGCATAAGTCGACCAGTAGCAACGCTGCTGCCTCCCCAATCAAAGGCAAGGGCGCCCCGCCTCCACTAGCACTTTCTCCGCAAAAGTCAGTCGCAACACCGAGGCAAGCTAGCGGTTCATCCACGCGGTCGCGATCCCTCACTGTCGGCTCTCAGGAGGGAAGTCCCATTGCGCCTGACCTTCTCCACCATCGCAACCGCAGAAGTCAAGTGTTTGCTGACATGTCCCCATCCTCGTCCGATAATGAGGGCGACAGAGCACACGCCCTACTCAAGGTCCAGCGACGTCGTCAGTCATCTCGACGTATGTCCGCCATCATGCTTGATAGCCCATCGTTCCGCTCCCTGGATGTATTGGTCTGCGAAGATCATCCCGTTTCTCGAATGGTCATGGAGAAGCTCCTTGAAAAACTTCGATGTCGCACCATCTCCGCATCAACCGGCTCGGACGCCGTCCGATACGCCGTTGGTGATCTCAAGTTTGACATTATTTTCACCGAGTTCAAGCTCCCAGAAGTTAGCGGGAGTGATGTTGCTCGCATGGTTCGTGAAGTAAAGAATGTCAACGCTCACACGCCCATTGTCGCTATAACCGCGTATCTGAAGGAGTTGCAAGCTCCTCATTATTTTGACTCGCTGATCGAGAAACCTATCAGCTCTTCTAAGCTTGTCGAGGTTCTCTCCAATCTGTGCCAGTGGAAGCCGCACTCCCCCGGCCAAGGTCAATCAGTGCCCATTCCAAACCCCCTATCACCTGCATTGAGGACATCTAGTGCGCGACTCGAGGATAGCCCTACTTCTGGCTCATCCGGATACATCCACCCCGGAAGTAGCAGCTTCAGGGGCTCAAGTAGGGAGGATTCGATTGGCTCTAGTCTTTTCGGAGACTCGGAATCCGTCACCACGGATGATGTCCCGGTCGTCATTTCTCGGAAAGCAACGGGGGACTGGGGCGACGAGTCTGGTCTTGAGATCAATAACGATGAGGGTCGTCCCTCGAAACTGCCCGTACCGCTTGTGTCCCAGAGCTCGGCTCCCGCGCAAATGGAACAATCCAGGATGCCTGTGCCACGACGTTCGATGGAGAAGCTCAAGTCGAGGCGTGAGCATCTTGAAAAGCGGCGGCTCGAAGGCAGCGAGTCTGCTGACGATGAAGACGAGGAGCTGGGCACCTCTCGAGAGCCCGGTCCACGTAACAAGCCGCCGCCCCCAAGTTCGAAGCTAGGCATAGAGATGATGAGGGCAAACAGCCACGAAAGTCTTGCTGTCGCATCTGACAGCACGGTAGAGCCCGTGACCCAGGTCGTCACGCCTTGTAAAGACGGCGGGACTTCACCCCTCCCAGGGGCGAGATCGCCATCGAAACTTGTGATGCAAACACCACCAGAGGCTTCTCCAGCCCTTAGGCCTACAGCTGACAACGACCCCAACGAGACACCACGTCCAGCAGCATCTCAACAGGATCTGGATGCTGATGAGCCAACTCCTCGGCCAACAGTCAAATCATAATTCACCCGAGGCCTTGCGCCAAACATAGCAGCAGGGCTGACAGGCACAACCGGATTTTCCACACAGAACAAAGCCTACACCACAATCGTTTACATGTTGTTTATAGCAAGGCGTTAACAGGATGGACGTGCTAAGACCGCACCTATTTTCCTATGTAAGGGCTGAAACAGCAATGGAGTTCAGGATCGTGCTATTGCAAGGGTGTCGGATTAGGAGAGTCAAATGCTTGGGCCTGAGCAGGACCTGAGCAGGAGGGAGGATCAGTTGCTGCATTTACATGACCTCGCACCTTGTCGCCTGCGTTGTTGTTTCAGGATTCACGGCGCCCGTGGGAAGGACACGATGTTACTGTCCTCCCGGGCCACATCATCAGCAAATCTCGGTTTCGTTTTTTTTCATTTGACTGGGGCTGCTTTGTACGTATACATGTGATTCCCGGTTATCAGGAAAACGTGCCGCCCAAGACAGCCGTTCGGAAGGCAGGCCAAAAGACAGCGGCGGGAACATTTTCTATGGGGTGGCTAAGTCTACGATTGATTTACCACTATCGAAGAGCCATCGCTACTTGAAACGATGGTTGGACTTGGATCTATGAGCCAACCAATAAAGAGAAAAACAGAATATAAACATTACAGATTGAAAATGCTTGTTTTTCGCTTTGGTGTTGTGCTCGTTCCCTTGAATTGCCGAGACTTGCTGTTTGACAAAGATAGCGAGCCCCGTGTCTGATCATTCTACATTTAGGAGCAAGTCGTCCACAGGTAATGCCTCGCATTGCTCTCGGTGGGTGGTGGTGAGTCCAGTTCACTACTGTCCTGGGCTGCTGCAAGACGAAAAGTCGGACGCACGGTGATCCTACAATGGAGTGTTGACGACTCTGGTGATCAGGCATTCGTTCGTGCTCTTTTAGTTGGCAGTAGCCACGCGTCCGCGAAGGGGAACTTTTCGCGCCATGGGCAGAGTCGTCTGTGATGTCCTCCCGCGAGAGTCGAGTACAAAGTGAGAAAAATAAAGGTGTAAAATAAATGTTGGTATCGATCAATCATGGCTTTCGGTCATGGAAGTGGGCAGGCAGGTAGACGAAGATGTATGGATAGTAAGGCGTCACAAGTACATACAGACTTGCGTTTGTCTTGTTCACTCGTCAACGTTAGGCGGGAAAACGAAGGAAGGCACTGTTGTGTGTAAAATCCCAAATGTCCTGTAAGCAGCGGTCTATTTACAGTGAACGATGTGTACTATTTGTTACATATTTCAAGTATAGTAAGATACAAATACGCAATGTTGAATAACGCCTCCCGATGATAATGATGATGATAATAACACCCAGCCATATTACTATGCAATGCGTTTGCTTCTACATTTCCGATGCGCTACCAAACCAATCTAAAAAAGAGATCATCGGCTCCCCTTTTTTTCTACACCGATCTCGGGATATGCCGATGTAACTAGGACAACAGAGCCGGCGGCCAGGGAAACAGGACAGGCCGCTGTGGGTACCCGTCGAAGAAACAGAGGCCGTTGAGCCAGCGCTTGATATACAGCTTTGGCTGTGCATTCTGACCTGCCCCGTCGCCGCCTTCCGTGGGCCACTCGACTCGCACCTCCAGCGAGACGTGCTTGGGGATATCGCCCAGGCGGCCGCCCTTGGCTGGCCGGGCCGCGGTGAACACGTAGCTCTCCTCTGGTGACGCCTCCTCGTCTGATGTGTCCTCGCCACTGCCGTCGTCTTCTTCACTCCCCTTTTCTTTTTCTTGTTCTTCTTCGCTGTCGCAGACGAAGATGGCACGGCAAGGCCCGTCATCACCCTCGTGCTGGGGATGCACCATCGACGCGAGCCGCAGCGGCTTGCCCTCGAGCAGCGCGGCCTCGACCTCGTTGGCCATCCACTCTCGCCACTCCCAGGGGCGGCGATGGCGCTGCTGCTGGTGATACAGCTTATTGGCCCTCTTGTTCGCAGCAGCAGACGAGTCCTGCATCCACGCCAGGATGCTTGTCGCGAGGCCCGGGTACGAGGCGCCGTACTTCTTATAGTTGAGTTCGGTGGCGAGGATCTCTAGCGGGCTGAGGGTGCTGTACTTGAGGCGGCGCATCGGCTCTCGCCGGATGGTCCGCCCCAGCTTCCACAGGTGACCGCGCGTCTGCGTGCCTTCCAGCGTCAGCACCGGGTCCAAGAGCCGGCAGCTCTTGATAAAGGTCAGCTCCTCGTCGACGGGCGGCCGGAAGCTACCCAGGCACTGCTTGGCCAGCCACGTGAAGACACCGTCCTGGAGGGTGCCCCGGCACCGCCGCGGGTCGTTCTCGATGATCTCGCCGTTCAGAAGGTAGAGTGCTAGCATTGACAGACTGAGGCTGCTACCGCTACTGTTGAGCGAGGCCGTGTCGAGCCGCGTCGTGTAGCCGCAGCAGTTCGCCGCGATTGCGAGCCGGTCCGACTCGGTCGTGATCCCGCGGCTGCCGACATCGGCGAAGATCGTAGGCGACATGGATCGTGAGATGGCGTAGGGGCCGGGTGAAGATTCCTCGCGCAGCAGGACGTTGTATTTACCGGCTCTTTGGAGGATCGTGTTACAGAGTGGCTGGGCTGCTACGCTCTTCGTTCGGTACAAGAGGCAGAACTCGGTGGCCTGCCTCCTGAAGTCGGCGGACTTGATGCATATCTCACCCTGGAGAGTGCCTAGCAGTGGACGGTGTGCAAAGTCGCGTGCTTCTCGTTTGCGCTCTTCTAGGGCGGCACTATGTGGGATAAGCAGTGTCATTCGGGTGGACGCTCTGTAGTCCTCCTGGAAAGTCCAAGCCCTCGTCCACCATAGATTGGACGTGATATCATCCAGGAGCTCCAAAACGGCGGCCTCCTCCTCTGCCCTGACGTCTCCGAGCAACAGGCTAACGAGCAGATCAAGCTCTTCCGCGCTCTCGATGGCGCGGGTGAGGAGGGCCACAGGCTTCTTGCTCAGACTGTACACCAGGTGCATGTTCTGGATAGCTGTCTCCTTCTCTGACTCGTCTTCCTGGTCGACACACTCGGCGTCGACCCAGATGTATTTGCACTTGACGTGCGCTGCAAAGCTCAACACTCTTTTCCACACCACGTCTCTCACATTGCTTGGCAGATCAGCCTCGCCGGTGTTGGGCGACTCAATGCGGTAGCTGCCAATAGCTGTGTCTTCCCCTTCATCGTCCTCCTCTTCTGAGGAAGCCCAGGTATACGAGACGGCCACGTAGTCGCGGCCTGCATCCGGGTCCGACACGGGGTCGAGATACGTCCGGCGGAGCAGTTCGGGGCCACAGGAAGCTATCCGAGCGCCCGGGGCGACCCGGCGACGCTTGCCACTTGGCTCGCGGTCGTCGTCCTCGGCGGCCAGGTAGAGACATTCGAGTGACCTGATCCAATTGTCCCTCGTCACGGTGCCGGCGTGCCGCTGAATATCCAGCACGGCAGAGACGATATTGCCGTCCTTCTGTGACGTAGCATTCTGGTCTCGGATGTGGCCGAGGGGCTCAGCGGTGTCCTGAACGACGGCATTGTCGCCCCCCTTGGACATCCCTCTGCTGGATGCAGCCGTGCCGTTTGTCTGGTTTGGGGCCACACCGGAATTCGCGATCCCCGCAAAGTTCTAGAAGGCGTGTCGGGCGGAAACGTAATGGAAAGAGAGAGGCAGAGGTGTGGCACGAAGGGACCGGCTGTGTGACGTTCGTAGGATTCAGCCTTTCGCTCATCAGCTCACGCACTCGCTCACATGCGGATGCCACACGATGATCGATCCCGAATGCGAATTTGCCAATTGCCATGCTCCAGATGGACATGGACAAAGCTGTTGGCACTACCGCCTTTTCCAGGCAAACCTTTAATCTGAATCACGGACTACTTGCTGGCGATGCTCAAATCACTAAGCATCATTGGCTATAAGAGTTCGGGAAACCTTGTCGTATGCACGTCAGGTAGATCTATCGTCAACGCGATAAAGGGTTTTGGTGTGAATTGTCTGGCTTGGCGAACAGGTGGTCCGTGATTTAGATTAAAGGTTTGCCTGGAAAGGGCGGTAGATGCGCTCACTAGCCACACCGTCAGACCGTCAGACCGTCAGACCGTCAGACCATCTCCTTGGCTCGGACCTCCAGGCGGCCTGGCGGGAAAAGGGGGTATCGGTAGTGCAGATGCATCATGCATGGAATGTGGAAAGTGCTAAGTTACTATTTCTAGCCAAACTTCCACAATTACCGATCGATCCTCGGTAGACAGCTGACCGACAGATGTAGAGAAAGGCCTCCGCAGCTGTCAGGTATCGCCTATCCTCCAATGGAAGCCAATCCAAACTGCGTGGAGCTCGGGGCTGCATCCCCAAGCTGGAGCTCCATGCAGCTTCCTGTTGCGTTCACTCGCCCGGACAACAAAGACGCTGACCTTTTATTAGCTTGCTCCTTCAGCTGTATTCTAGAAGCGCAACATCATACGAGGTCTCGCGGTAGTGCCGGACAGTGGGCAACCAACACGTGCGCAACGGTGTCCCGATTGCTTGGGACGGGGTGAATGTCATGTTGTCTCGAAGCCACCCGCATCCGCGCGAGACAGGCGACGAGCTGCTTTTCAGTGGGTAGTACTATTCACAGGGCGCCCTGTCCGCCACCATCCTGTAATCGGACCGGCCGAACGCGAACTTGGTGCAGCCCAAAGGCGGGTCCGTCCCGCCAGGATCACTTCCACCTCGCCACCAGTCAGAACGACCATATTGTACGGAAGTCTGGCCGTATCTGTGTTGGTACACACATCCCAGACATGCCGAGCTTCTGGATGGGTACACACGTACGTGCCACGCGAAGGAAGAGAGGCCCCAGGCCGCCAAGGCCAATGAATGAGGTTCTAGAAGGGTTACGTCGAATCCTCCTCGCCTCCTCGCCTTATGTGGACAGAGCCCACTTGTGCGAGGCGGCGCGGTGCATCTGTGAAAGACTGGTCAAAGTTCAAAGTACGGTTCGCAGGAGGTGTTGAGTCGTACTGTGGAAACCGCAGTGTCCGAGGGGTTGCTAGCTGGCGGTACGGTGTGAGTTGTGACGCTGTCCTGTGATCCAAGTGGATTTTGGGGGGCTTATCGATTGCGCTCGGTTCTGCTAATGGTAACTTATTATCGTGAGATGATGCGCTGATGCTCTTCGCCGCCTTTGCCGCTCACCAGCCTCGTCACGCCGTACCAGTAGTGCTGATGCCGGGGGCAGCTATCGCTCATCCTGTCATCTCATCTCATTACGGAATCCATTTCACCGACTATTTTCATCAGGCGATCCTTCGCCTCGAATATTGCTGCTAGATCGACCATCCTCCGATCCTTCTCCGTGTCACTGGGCCGAGAATATGCAAGTCCTAGGGTCATAGCTAGCTAGGGAGAGCAGAGTGCTGGGAGTTCACAGGCGGGCTGGTCAAGCCCTTGCCCTTTTTCTTTTTTTGACTAGAGACGTTGCAGTGAGATGGGGTCCATTCACTCCTGGAGACGCAGGAGACATCTCGAGACAGGACCTTTTCCCCTAGCCCACACTTTGATGAAGCTATCCAGTCTCGCGGGATGATGATGGGATGTCATTTCTTGGGCGTAGTACTGTGCCACTGCTATGTTGAAGCTTCAGTGCTGCCCCTGTCTTTGGCAGATTATGCTACTGTCAGTCCGATAGGGATGGCAACATGCTTGGACTCATGATTCAAGGATAATTGATGACAACGCAAGCTCGGATTTGTGTCTGGCGCCATCCACGTTCTGGGGTCACATAGTCGAGGCGTTGTTTGATATTGTTTATTGGTTCCATCTTGAGGCAGCTTCGGATATGTGTAGTGTCTGGCGGGTTTCAGGAAGCCTGCTGGCGCCGCCGGGTTGGGAAGATATGGTAGAAACATCCACGACATCATCACCTGTTCACACGACTAGCTCACCGTCATCCGGCCTCCGTATTCCGTATCATGGAAGCTTCATTCTGGCGGAGATCTTGGCAGAGGCTCTTCGGATCCTGCCTGTAGGAGTATTAGCAATTTGCTAGCACAATACAATTGTGAACGGCCTGGGTTATAACATTAACTTTATCTGTAGGACCCGACAGGGTATACAGAAGGATTCGCTGGAGAGACGCGACGTGATAACCCTGCGTATTACACCATCGCATATCACGCCCAAGGCAGACACGAGGCACCTCCCATGCGTGGTAAAGATATGCAACGTTGACTTTTCGTCGCGATGGGAAATCTCACTAGAGTTGGCGGGGAACCTGCACCGATGCACGGCTATCACAGTAGTAACGCGGCACTTCGGAATAGCAGACGCGCAGAAGCGTATGTAGAGAACGGAGGCACGTGGTCGGCGCCGTATCCGCGGCCTGCACTTTGAGGGGCTAAAGGATTACTGTAATAAGAGACGATCGTTCGACGGTGAGCCATGAGCTCGCCGTCTTGCTTTACAGGTTTCACATTTTAACTGGCAGACTGGGTCTTGAGGCTACTAATTATAAATATAATAATAAACCGGCAACACCAGCCGAGCGCGCAACCGAAAGCAGTCGATCTTCAGATGCTAGTGCGACACTATCACAGTAGTGGTATGTTCGCCATGTGGGATCTACCTATTATGTATCCGCCTATCTCTAGCGAGCCGTTACGACGACATCGCGAACCAGCAACCGCGGGAAGCGAGACATGGCTGTCTAGTGGACCGTTCGGCTTCAGGTGAGCCGTGGCTCCGTACGTGGCGATAACAGCGACCGCAACACTATGCGCTACAAGTAAATTCCAGAGAGATTCGGTCTTATGGACGGGGCCTTCGGTACGCATATGACGGCAGTACTGCTGTAAGGCATAATCCAACGAGAGAGTGCAATGCTGTCTCGCGGCACAGCTGCGCCGACGACGTGATGTCGTCTGATATCTCATGTCTGATCTGGTAGATCATCTGAGTCCTTTCCCGGGTGGCTTCATGCGTAGCGAGGCGCATATCGCAAAGATCCTGGCCGTATATAAAAGGTCCTCGATGTCAAAGGAGCTAGGTCGCACTGGCAGAGGTTATGGGCCATGGCACGACAAGTCGACTGCGAGGCTATACGTAGGCTCACTCACGCGACCCAAGGGCCTCGCCCTTGGAACCACAACGACAACGATTTGAACATCTGCGGGATGGTGGAAGTCAGTCACAGTTAGCTCTGGTCGGCTTCTGTTGGTTGTCCCCCGATATCCGCCCATCGTGTTTTCATTCTGTAATTGGCTGGGAAAACTTGGAGAACCTACTGCGGTCAGGCCGCACAGTAGCAGCAGTCAAGCTGAACCAAGGTCCAACACCACCACCGAATGCCAAATCAGGCAAGTCCATAGCTTCTAGAAGGCTTATATACGCTCTTCGGTCCGATGCCGGTGGTGGTGCGCATGCAGGCTTGTCTCGCTTGTCGATGGCAATTGCGGCTGGCTTCGTATCGATTGGCTTCGGATATTGTGAATGTGCTGAACCACGCCACCGGTTGTTGGCTGTGGAAGACAGGTGGTTGCTCGCAACGGTCAGGCTTGCGAAGGGACGGCACAATCGAGCCACCAGGAATTGTCCCGATGATATTGTCGCATTGACCTCGTCACCGTCGAGGACGGAATAATTCATGGGCGCTTTGGTCCAGACGGCCAGAACAGGCCCTTACCAGACTGATCACAATTTGCCGTTTTCTTCTGGGAGCAAGCAGCCAACCAACGCATGGCACAGCAAAGTGAGACTGAAAACCCAGGCGTGTTACACAGCAATTATGCAAGTATACGCGAGACACTGCGGGAGGGCGTTCAGTCCCCGCACCAATATGATTAGCCATGACCTCGATTATGTGCCGAAGCCCTCGGTGCCGTCTCTCGAAGGCGTGCCGTGAACTGCAATAGGTACAGCGGGTTGAAGGCTGAAGGTCGAGAGCCGGGACTAAGCACCCGAACATGCTCTCGTGCTGGAGTTATTCTTAGTATTTTTATCGATGTCTAGGCTTCAGCGGAGGATTTCCTATTTGATAGCGCCTTCCCCAATAGGCTCGCAGATCTTGGGTGTCACCGTGTTGGAACTTGGTCGAGCTATGTGGGCTGGCAGGCTACCGTACAACTAGTCCGTGTGATAGAGCTGGAGCTGGCGACCCGTCAGAACGCAACCTGGACCTTGATCCATGCTATTGTATTGGATTGGATGACGGCACGAGACGGCCTGACCAGTGAGCTCGAGGGGTCGTGAAGTCGGACGGTGAGAGGCCGCCCCTGAAATTCGGAATTACCCCCAGGGGAGCCGACACGGCGGAACGCCTTTTCTGACTGGCTGTTTCCCCCGCCTCGGGACAGACGCGGCGTCTCTACCCCCTCTTATTATTCGACTTCAACTTCAGACTGTTGGTTACACGACTACGACTACTCTGGTCAGTTCCAAAGTCCTATCCCTAGGTACATACATCTACGGTACCAACCATTCACAAGAGCGGGTACGATCTTACTGTTCAGTCCAGGAGATGGCAGCAAAGGGCTCACTAGAACCAACTGCCGATGCCGAGAATTGTCGTCTCTTCATTGGCGTCTTGCCTTGGCTATCGGAGAGACTCTGCACCGTTGATGACGGTGATCCATGGTTCGCATTACACGATCTCGGATTGCCTCGACCGTTTCGTCGTAATAGTCACCATAGCTCATGACAGTGATGCCGTCTTCCCTGGTTCGACAGGGCTGAGACATACATACCTTAACTTTACCCGCCTATCGAGAGGACAGTCGAGCGGCGTTACTCCCGCAGCAAGAACGGCCAACGTCGGACGGCCTGAGACTGTCTCGTCTTCAACTGCGTCATCTCGTATTCTCGAACCCTATGGCCAAATATGAGGCGCAAGAGTCGGCAGATCTTGAAAACCAACTCCTACCAAGACTCAGTTAGCGGGTGGCGGGGTTGAAGCCTCGACCAAAACACGGGACTTCTTGCGGTGAGCCGTAAACCAAGGTAACCTTGTCCGCGGATGTCAGCCTCCTTAGTTGTGCATTCGTTGCCGTAGTACACATCGACGGCTGGGTATCATGGCAGGTGAGGGGAGGTGACCCGGCCCTCGGTGACCGGGAGAAGCATCTCCAAGGGCTCGAGACCACGATCAGCTGAAGTTTGTCATTGAAGGCTATATATCCGCAAGGCACCATCCGACCGCGCATGAATTTACGAGCGTTTATTAGCCTGATGCCCTCACCCAATCGAGCCACTGACGATGCCCGTGTACCTACAGGACGAGTGACGAGCATATTGGGGGCGACAATGCGATGGGCTCTCGCACGGCTGGTTTACGAGTGTCGCACGAGACTATCTGAAGGTCCTGCAGTTGTCCGCATACCAACAGGCGATGCCCAGCTGCCGAGCTCGTAGATCTAGCGAATCTCGGAAGCAGCTTGACGAGTATCACGCTACGGCTGTATGCCGCGACGACCATGGTGTCCCCGGGTTCCGGCACATGCACGCCACTAATAAGCAAATACATATCAGCTGCCGCCAACCTGATATCGTCCGTGGCAGGAACGGACGATTGTACTGCGGATATCTGCCTGTCTCATCAACTCGCATCCCACAGCTGGTGGTGAGCATCGAGGTTCACCCCTTGGGTTCAGGCAGTCCGTCAGTCCGTTCACTGGTAACTGACTCTTGCCGCTGGGATTGTGATGCTGATGATTGATGCCTTTCTCAACTATGCTGAAGTATCGCAACCCCGTCGTGGTTAATAATTCGTGGTTGTCGGTCCCGGCTTTTCTTGGGTGCCACCGTACGCCATCCTTCGTCCCAGCAGCGGCATTTTCAGCAATCCAGTGATGCAGGCCGTATGAGTATCCCAGTCACACGCAGCTGCAGCCAGGGGGCACGGATTGCGCACTAGAATAGTCCACGTCTGCACTCTGCACAAATACCTTTCCCCACACACACAACTCTCCAGCTGTGTGCATTATTTTGCAGCATCACTACTACAATATGCATTATGTCTGCATCCTGGTTGCACACATCTGCTCATGCGCGACACAATAAGACGGCAGAACGTTGGAGAAGTCCAGTATGGGCGGGCCACTCCCTCTCGGTGACACCATTTACCATTACTACCACTACCATCACCACCACCACCGTCTTGATCACCCCGCCATGGCGAGGACGCATTGCATGATCAGAAGGTAGGTTGAAGGTCAGCACTGAGCAGTCGCTGTCCTACCGTTATTACCAAAACGGTGACAAATGGATGTCCACCGTCTCCGAGCCGAGAAGATGGATGACCCTGGCACACGCTGCAATCTGACCCGGACAGGGGGGCCATCACAGGTTACAACATTGAACCCTGCTCGCCTGCTAATCCTGGCTGCCACCAGTTCCTGCGCACGGGACTGGCTGACGGGCCTGTGATGGCGGCCCACCCGACCTCCGCCGACTGCCCAGGGGACCACACGCCTCCTTGTCGTCCCCCGTTCTCGCCATTCACACGTCCCAGGGCCGACCGAGGCGAGGTACTGTACGCTAGGAGGTGGACCAGAAGGACCAGAAGGACCAGGCAGCTCTGGCTGGAGAGGGCAAGTCCTCACAATTCCTCGGTCTTGTACTCTTGGAGGATCGAGAGTCCGCGTTCCCCAGGCCCCCGGTGCGTGTAGACAATTGGCCCATCGTATCGCGGCCCATCTATCCCCAGAATACATGTCCATACATATCTCTCCCGGTCTGCTGTTCCAGTTTCGGTCCATGTCCCTTTTTGGTTTCTGATTTTGCTCTGCTTTCTTCGTTTCATGCCGCCGCTCCTTGCCTCTGTTTCTGATCCGTGTGTGAGAGGTGCCTCATTCGCATAAACCTCCAGAGCCATGAATGCCACCGGTACCCGAAGTACCCAACGCTCCATTTGAGATCTCCTGTACGCTCAGAACCATCCTCCCGGTTTCGCCCTACTGGCTCGACCTCATCAAGCATCGCCAGGCCGCGAGAGAGCGGGCATAATTCACAGTCGCGGGGTCCCATGGAACGGTGAAACCTCCCGAATACGATCGAGTCTCTTGACAACGCTTGACAGCACCGCGCAGCAATACCCTCGTTTGGACCCATCCCTACGCGACGTCTCAGTGGACTGTGGGAAGATACAGTCGGGAAGCCAGGTCGTATACTAGGGACTGCACCCCGCTCGACCGCGCGGTCCTCTCTGACGGTCGGAGATTTTTGTTGGCATATACCTGAGCCATCGCGAAGCGTTACCACTTGGCAGACCAGGACGCTTCGGAATGGCGAACTTGACGTTATTAAACGACGATGGGCGGGGAGGATGTTTGGCCCCCTTCTTTAACGAAGTGCTGTTCCCGACGACTGGTGGACGTAGGTTTCTTCGCGAAGCCTAACTTACATTGGTTGTGTTTCTAACCGCATCGCAGATGTCGACGGCCGACTGTGCGCGCCCATCCTAGGCCAGAGTTGTTGCTTGCCATGTCCGATGACCGACTGGACGTACCCGGACAGCTTCACCACGTCTACGGCAGCTGCGAGCTGGGTCAACGTTGTGGGCATGATCGGTTGTGTGTTCTTATTGTTATCGTGGGCTGTGCTTCCGGTAGAGAAGACACATCGTCATTATCTGAGTATCTGTCTTACCGGAGCCGTGGTGCTTATGAATGTGAGTTGGCTGGAGGACACACGACAGTCTGAGAGACCTTGTACTAACAACTAACTGATAGCTGGGCTTCATTATCCCGCTGGCAGCGAAGCCGAACCAATGTTTCAACGAGATCACCCCGAATGGAATGGATACGAGTTCGGTATGCGCAGCTTCGGGTGCCTTTCTCCTCGCCGGTGGATGGGCGGGTGTCATGTGGGTGTTCCTGAGAGCGCTATCTCTACACCTTCAGATCTGCTGGCAACTGGTCGTCGGCCGCAACTACATGTGGTTCTCCCAGGGCCTCGGCTGGGGAATACCCATCATCGGACTCATCATTCTCCTGGTCTTCAGCGGAGTCTCATTCCGTTTCGGCGCCACATGTCATATCAATCACGAGAACAGTTTGGCCGACTTCTGGATTCCGCTGCTAGTTTTCGCTGGTCTTACCGTCATCATACAGTTCGCGACGTTCGGCTACTGTATCAAGGTGTACCTGGCATCGTTGACGGACAACAGCGCCACAACCGAAGGCTCCGGCATGCCCTCGTACTCGAACAGTATCCGGACCATGACTCCGCGTCAGGCATACCGAAGAGTCCGACGTGTTATCCAACTGCAGTGGCGTGGTATCGCCATCGTCTTGATCATTATCACCGATGTCATCTTCTTTGCCATTGTGTTTGTTTTCCTGGACAGCACGGTTCAATCCGTCAAGGTCGATCCCACTATTGCCGAGCCCTGGGTTCTGTGCCTCATGACAACCGGTGGCAACAAGAATGCGTGCCTGGACAAGGCGGCACCAATCATTGTCAGCCTGTCGACCGTTACCGTCATGCTCATTCTCTTAGCAGTAAGCCGTTATATGAATGCTCTCCTATTCACAAGCCACTGGAAAGCTAATCCTCTGCTCAGATTAACGGTCTCTGGCTCCTTCTGCTCCTCGGACGCTGGTCCATGGTTACAGGCTGGATAGACTGGTTCACCGGCTTTGGCAGCAGCCCGGCAAAGAAGGAATTCGTATCGGTGGACGCACGGATGGACTTCAAGACCGATCCCCGATCATATGAAATGTTGTCTCACGAGTCGACCAAGAACGAACACGGGCTGACTCCAATTAGCGCGCTACAATCCCCTGGCCAAGTCCAGGTCGGTCGCCGCACCCCGGACTACTTTGGTACCGGCGCGCAGTACCAGCCCCATCAACGGTCGTTCTCGTCGCCCCGGCCCCCGCAGTCGCAGCATTCACAGCAGTCGCCGCAGGTCCAGTGGGACGTGGTGGAAGCGTACCAGCATTACCCGCAACAGCAGCAACAACAAACGCCACTCCAAACACCACAGCAGTACCCCCAACAGCCTGCACCGGCGCACAGCCCCAGCCCATACCCACAAACATCATACGAGAGCATGAATCCGCTGGGAATGAACCGGATAGAGAAGGACGACGAGGCGGGTTACAGCCCAGCGACGCCCTACAGCTCAACCAGCCGCGGGCACCAGCCGGATTTCTCGCGCGATCACGTCTTCATCTGATTTGACGAGGGGTGTCACTAGTGCCGATTGTTACAACAGACATAATATATATACATATTCCGACCAGCACCACCTAAGCCCCCATGTACAAACTTTTTGTGTCTGGTGTCCTTGCTGCTACTACTATTACATACCTTGCAGGTATCGATGCCGTCTGGAGCTCTCACACAAAAACGTCTCGGGGTTAAGCGCGGCGTTCCTGGAAATCTGTTCGCGACCGGCTTTATTTTTATTTTTGTATCTGATAGGTCTCGCCATGCGCACGATGCGCCCTATCCTACACCCGTGGATTTGTCTTCGCTGCGGTGATATAGTGGAGATGGGGTTGGGAGGAGAGGGGGTTTATGTTTTAAATGACATGAGAATGTCATCTCAAGGACACGGGATCACGATGCTGTGTTCATATACCTAGTATTCATAACGTGGATACGTGTCGAGGACGGGACGAGTCTGACGAGATGAGGTCGGGAAGAAATGGTATGTCGGATGAGGCCAGGATGGGGATGAATGGGATGTCATTCTCTGCTCCTCGTCTCGGGGCAGAGTCACGGTCCGATGAAGCAACGAGGCTAGGCAACCGCCAGTGTGCCCCCTCGAGTCTCGGGTGGTGTTGTTACATAGGTCGCCTTATGACTAGGCCAAGAGGAAGAGCTAAGCGTCGAACATAAGTCAAAAATACATATTTACTTCTCGTCGTTCCCAATACTTTCGGGTCTTTGTGGTCTTGGTGATGAGCCAGCCTTCTTTGGCTACCTTAATCTCTACGATGCGGGGGTTAGGGCCTTGCATGTGCCTGTTGCGTCTCTCGTGTGACAAGCAAGACCGACTGCTTTTATACGTAGTAATAAGCCCCTGAGTGGGCAGAACCCCAGCAGTTATCATGTAAATGGAGTCTTCTCGACTCACAAAGCCCAACTCATAACCAATGACTCTACGTTTGCTAAACAATGATTCTTCCTAACCCTTCATGACTCTGGCTACTTCGACGGCCACTTGTTGTCCATGTGTCTTATGGAGCAAGGTGTAGAGAAACGGCTCTGTAAACTAGGTATGGAGAGTTGTCCAGCAGTCCATCCAGGCACGTAACGCTAGAGTTGCCATGACGTGGCCAGAGCAGAGCTGCTCTCGTCTGACTCGACGTTTTATATGACGGGAATCAAAAGAATCATACACCAAGATACCTACCTAGGTAGGCTGCTATAACACAAGGATTGAGGTCGTCATGCCTGTAGCTTGGAATGTACATATGTAGGTACCGAGTTCATGCATGTGGGGTCCGCAGCTCCCAGCAACGTCAGTCATCCGCTGGGGGATGCTGACAGCTCCAAAATCCCCAATCCTCTCTTCTCTCAACCATCTGTAGCACTCTTGCTTCTCGACGACTACAGGCGAACAGGCTCGCAGGCGGGCAAACCATGTTGTCAATGCTACGGTCACTTGTGGACTCCTATTTTAGCAACGTTGCAGACCTCAATTAGCTCTGCTTGGAATCCGACACCTCCATCCGACACCGCTTCCTCCACCCTCCCCCGAAATGTTCCAAATCGCCATCGTCGGCTTCCTCATCATAGGCGGCTATGTAAGCTACCTGTGGAAGGCCGAGGGCGCCCTGCAGCGCCCGTGGAACCCCGACCCGGGCGCCGTCCTCTTCAGCCAGCGCCCGCTGCCGCCCTTCATCGAGGAGTCGAGCATAGCGACCTACACCTTCCCGCTGCGGACGCGGGGCCGCGACATCGTCGACCGGACAGGGCGGCGCTTCAAGCTGTCGAGCGTCAACTGGTACGGCGCCAGCGACGAGCTGTTCATCCCGGGCGGCCTGGACGTGGTGCATCGGTCCGTCATCGCCGCCACCATCCGCCGCCTGGGCTTCAACAGCGTGCGCATGCCCTACGCCGACGAGATGGTCATGGCCAACCCGGAGATCCTGCCGCACCTGCTGAGCGCGAACCCGGACCTCGTCGGCGGGCGCGCCCTCGACGTCTTCCAGGCCTGCGTCGAGGCCCTGACCGACGCCGGCATCGCCGTCATCGTCAACAACCACATCACGCACGCGACCTGGTGCTGCGGCGCCGACCCGTGCGACGCCGGATGGGCCAACGACCACCTGGGGCCCCTGTGCCGCGTGCGCCAGTCCGAGGAGGACTGGATCCAGCACTGGGAGACCATCATGGCGCGCTTCGTCGGCAACAAGCGCGTCATCGGCGCCGACCTGCGCAACGAGGTGCGCGGCGTCTGGGGCACCATGACGTGGAACCGCTGGGCCACGGCCGCCGAGAAGTGCGGCAACCGCCTGCTGGCCATGGACCCGGACTGGCTGATCGTGGTCGAGGGCACCGAGTCGGGCAACGACCTTCAGGGCGCGCGGGCGCGGCCGGTGCAGCTCGACGTCGCCGACCGCCTCGTCTACTCGGCGCACGTGTACGCGTGGTCGGGCTGGGGCAGCAAGGAAGGGCGCTACGCCAAGCGCAGCTACGCCTCCTTCGTGCAGGCCATGCGCCGCAACTGGGGCTACCTCGTCGACGACGACGTCGCGCCCGTCTGGGTCGGCGAGTTCGGCGCCCCGCGCCACCCGGGGGAGGGCGACGCCAACTACTGGGCCAACCTGCTGCGCTACCTCAAGAGCATCGACGCCGACTTCGGCTACTGGGCCCTCAACCCGCGCAAGCCCCACGAGAACCGCGTCGAGGGCTACTCCATCATCCAGGACGACTGGGTCACGCCCATCCTGGACTACCGCCTGCGCGACATGACGCAGCTCATAGCGGGGACGTGGGGTGATGATAGGGGTGGTGACGACGGGGAGGAAGAGGAGCACGAAGAGTAAGGAAGCGCGCACATATAACGTCATCTGTCCACATTATATATATATATCTACCTCGCATCCATATAGAACGAGTTCCCGGGTCAGCATTGCCGCGGAAGGGGCGTACGGATCGTACCAGGCGGGCATATACACAGCTTGGAGCAAAGGCGGGACCTACTGCGTTGGGTATACCAACATCATGACTATAAAATGGGGTGCTGAGTTATACGACCTTCTGGATAACGGGTGTATCTACTTTATGTATGAAAAGCTGTTGATCTTGAAAGGAGATGATAACCGAGAACGTGATGTAACACTATGTCTGATATTAAATGAGTTAATATTAACCACCTCGCGTCGGGCACATGTGAATACCATGATTACGCCAAAGGGTCAGGATTTGTTAACCGAGGCTCGTTGTTCTCTGACCAGACTGCCCAGGGTGCAACGAGAGAAGTAGTACTACGGCTAGACAAACTGGACCATGTCCGCTGGCGGAAACATACCAAGAGCCGCCGGTGCCTGTACGAGACCAACATCCCTATCTCCCGTTTGTCTTTTCGGGGTGTAGGCATAGGTACTGATCTACAATCGATTAAGCCTTTAGCCTGGCATAATCATGATCTCCAGGATGTCAGAACACGAATGCAAAAAGTATGAGTCGTGGTGTAATGGACGTGGACATGCTTTAAGTCGTTGATACGTAGTCCAAATTACCAAGTACGTAGTACTAGAGCGTCCCCGAAAGGGGGGACATTCTAGTACATGTTTTGACTAGGAGAATCTTCATCATCAGACTGATTGCCGCATCTCGAATCTATCAATTCAGCCGAGCAACTCCCCGGAGCAGTTCATACCGCACACCACACGATCCCAACCCCTTGCCTTGAGACAGCAGCTCCGATATAGAGCCGAGCGTCTTCCCCAACTTGCCCTCTATTCACCCTCACCACGAAAAGTCGCCCTGTCATCAACCATATCCGCAGAGAACGCCAAATCCCGGCGGCAAGCCCCAGGTAGCATGAAACGACTTCATCTCTTGTCACCGCTCATAGCGCGATCGAGGTTGAACGCGGCGCTGATGAGAGCCAGATGGCTGAAAGCCTGGGGCGTGTTGCCGAGCTGCTCGCCGGATCGCGCAATCTCCTCCGAGAACATCGACAGGTGGTTCGAGAAGCTGAGCATGTTCTCGAATATGTTGACGGCACGCACTAGATACTCGCGCTCGTAGACGCCCGCGCGCGTCAGTGCTTCGACTAGCCAGAACGTGCACATGGAGAAGGCTCCCTCGCGGCCGCCCACGCCTAGTAGGGCTGATTAGAGGTTACTCCGTATGCGACGAGGAGAGAAGCAGGTTCGATGGAAGTATAGCACATAGAACACACGATGAAGGCTAGGGGTGAAGGTCAACGTGGGGCCGAAACTTACCGTCATCTGCAATCTCGGTGTCGTACCGATGTACGAGTCCGGCACTGGTAAGGCCCCCTTTCTCCGGTGGAAGGAGAATGCGTTCCACCGTGTTCAGGAACCTCGGGTCGTTCGGAGTGATAAAAAATACGAGAGGTGCTATCAAGATGGAGGAGTCGACCACCGTGTTGTTCTCGTAGCTTTGGATGAAGCTCTGCAACTCCGTGTTGTAGCCTGCCTGTTGTCAGTATACGTATAAGTCTCTTCACAAGACATCAACGAACCCTTCTCCATGACTTCTTCGTAGATGTGATCTCTTGCCTCTAGCCACTTGCTGCGGTTTGGACACGGTAGGCATCTCTTCTCTGCAAGGCGTAGTCCACGGTCAAAGGCTACCCACAGCATAACCTGGGAGTACACAAAGTGCTGCTTGTGGTTCCGGACTTCCCAGATAGACATATCGGGTTCTAGGAGGCCCTGAGTAAGTAATCCTTCTGATCAAGAACACCATGTATCCGCGACTCACGATCCAGTAGGGTAAGTACGTGGTCTACTCAGGTTAGTCACTGCTCTTTTGTGGCGTGTGATTGAGAACTTACCCAGCATTTTTCGGACAGATACCCAGGTGTCCCAGCTGACTGGCTTTCCGTATTTGTTGTATAGGTAGATAGCATCCATGAGCTCGCCATAGATGTCAAACTGTTGGTGGAATGCGGCTCCATTGCCAATTCTCTGCCGCGAGGTTAGCACTAGAAGCTGGAACGAAACTCAAGAGACATCGACTTGGGTGTTTCAAGGTAACAGGCTGTAATACGCACCACTGGTTTGCTACCTTTGTAGCCATCCATGTGTGAAAGCTCCTGTTCGGGGATGTCTGTGTCGCCTCTGATGGTGAACATAATCGGCAATCCACCGTCTTCAGTTGTAGACTTCCGAAAGCGGTCGTTGATGAAGTCCATATAGGCATCGGCCTCGTCTGTGAAGCCCATGCGAAGCAGAATATATATCGTGAAGCTTGAATCTCGCACCCAACTACATAATCGATGAATTAGTCCTGTGAACCACTCGTGCAATTTGTGGATTAGCAGGGGGGACAAGTTCATTTGTGAAGGGAAAGCAGCGACTCGGTGGTCGTTCCAGATATATCCCGGTACAGTGAGTGGATCCAGCTGCTTGTGCATTTTATCAGGTCGACTGCTGCATCGGGTCTCATGGCAGGTGCTTCGGTGCTGACCAACGAGAAGTGGCCTGGCTTGCATGTGATGTCGCGAAATTGGACTTACGAAAATCGATAATCCCAGTTGCTTTAGATTCGATTAGCATGGTCTGTTACTGTACATCACGAGAAAAGGGAAACAAACCGTACTCCACCCACTGCCTCTGGAATTGAGAAAGTCGGCGCGGCGACGATGGCACCGGTGGGTTCATAAGTCAACATCTTGAGAATCATGAGACTTCGTGTGACCACCTCACGCCAACCTCCCTTGTATTTGCTCTTGGACAGCCAGTTGAACCAGAACATCTGCGTGTCGTGTTGCTGCAAGTCAAGAATTGGTGTCGTGATAGGCTGAGTGATATGATCCGCGGTGTCCTGTCGAAGAACGAAGGAGATAGCTTGGCCTTCTCGTAGGGTCACACTGGCAACCACACCTTCGCCTTTCATGCCATCTCGCAGGACCTTCTGGAAAACGATAGCAGGGTGTGTGGAAGGTTCCCCGCAGCCATGATCGATTGTAACGTCCAGCTGGAACTTCTCATTCTTGCTGTGAAAGGTGACGGTCTTGCTCTGGAGATCCTCCGAGCTATGAATAGGTCGTAGTATAGTGGTCTCATGAGACTCCCTGCCGTAGTCAAAGGCCGGAAACACCTCGACGTCTGAGACTTGATCAGCAACTCGGAACTTGAAATGCAGGCCTTAAGACCAACCGAGCGTAAGCTCCCCGCGAATGCATTCGGCACGCCGGACAAGCCATTTCTTGAGCTCCTCGGGGACGCTCTTGGCCTGACGAAACGCATTTTGGGGACGACTGGTAGCCAGGATATTGGTGTTCTTAGGACGTGGAAAGAAGTCTGCAAGGTCGACAACTCCGTCCTCGTGAATGTAGCGGGTCTGTAGGATAGCAGACGATGGAAGATACTGCTGCTTGGTGGTGCACGACGACGGATCGGGGGGAGCGATGCTAAAGTAGCCACCCTTGTCCTTGTCTAGAAGACGACAGAATACCGACGGGGAGTCGAAGTCAGGCCTATAAGCATGCTTAGCTCACAGGCAAACTCAAGTGACCTGGTTAATTGTGGCTTTCAAGGCAGACGAGATTAATACAGCCTTGCTTCTTCTTGACGACCTCCCACCCCAAAGCCATGGCACGGACGAAGTAGGTCTCGAATATGTCTCCTCGAGGGCAGTGCAATGAGAGGAAGAGAGTATCATACCAACACATGAAGTCTGGTGTAAGGAGGTCATCAGTCAGCAATTGCTCCGCGACAAGGGTCCGGTATGAGAGAACTCTTACCGACGCTTCCGTCCATGCTGACCAGAGCGCATGTTCGCATGTTGCCAATCATGCCATAGTTCTCGATAGGCAGGTAGCCCGTGGCATCCCGTTTCGAGACATTCATGGTGCTGCACTTGTTCGACGCCATGTTGCTTGTTGCTTGTTGCTTGTTGCTTGTTGCTTGTTGCTCACTTCAACACAGCGGTGTGGATTGGAGCGAGGTGCGGCGTCGGGTGCGAATTGTGAGTTGGGCGTAAGCAAATGGCTTACTCTTTCCCAAGGTCCAAAAAGTGCTTCTCTTTTGGCACCGCGCTACTACCACATAGGTAAAGGTAGGGAAACGACTGGAAGGCAGTCGTCAATAGGACGGCCAGATGTCCACGGGTGGGTTGGGGTGATAAGTCACGATTCCCTACGACCAGCTTTGCTGCAAAGGTTGATCGTTGATTGATGCCGAGTAGGATGGTCGGCACACGATGTAGTCAGTCGAACTAGAACCAGTGCATGCCAGGTGGATGACTTCTCAAGTCAGGCTCCCGTTTCACATGATAGAGGTATCTCATACCTAGTGGCTGGAAGCACCGGGGGAATTAACCTACGGAGCTATCGGACCGACATCATACATAGACGGATCGTCGTGGCCCCAACCATCAAAGATATCTCCAGCTGCTGAGGTCTATCTACTTACATGTATAAAATCATGTAGGTAAAGGAATCCGAAGGTATTCAATGTTGGCATACTGTATACCTTTAATCTGCATTGGTGTCTGGGATGAGGTGTGGTATGTTTTCCTCGAGTCTACGTGGCTGCTTTCCGTGAAAGACCAGAAAAGACACATACTGCTCCAGTCCAAATCGAACCCTGGTTTCCCGAGCGCGAAGGTCAAAACCACGTTTAGCGCCGAGCAGACGGCCAGTGGCAGAACAAAATTGATACGGCTATATCATTTACATAGACACAGACAGGACAATACAGTTATATGTGCGCAAAAGCAGCCATCGGGACGAAGCAAGGATGGAGCATAACAGACCCATCGTGCACAACCAACTGTATCGTTCTGTCTGTGTCAAAAGATCATTCCTCTCTAGTTAATAACTGGGAGTAGCTATGGGCTTCCTTCGACCAGCCCGAGGTTTTCCCACCTCGAGAGGAATAGGCTCAGCCCCTGAAAGTCAAATAAAGTACTTATTTTAAGTTTGCCCGTAGGTCACCAGAGCAAAACTCAAGCGCGGGGATCCTAACGCGGGGCCAGTGGTGCGGGATCGGGTTGTGATAGGCAAACGCGTCACTATAGTAGTATGGTTCGTAACATGTTGACGGATTCCATGTGACGCTAAACAGAACTTATAGAGCATCGTGATGCACGGCGGCGTAACTCCGGTGGTACGGGGCGAAACCATGAATGCCGACCAAGGCTGTCATTAGGAATCAGGATGCCGGGAAAAGTTCCAAACACTCTAACGATATCTGGCGACGTATGCGAGGCCTGTCTGGTTCAGGCTGTTGGTGTCGAACGGGTGAGACGTGCAGGTAGGTAGGTATCCATGGATGGCGGCGAGTCGCTCGTAGGCCGTGGCCAGTGAGGCGTGGGCCGTAGCCTGTGGGGAGGCTAAGGCGTCAAGACCGCGCAGGCCCGCGCCCTCGCCAAAAATAGATGTGGGGGGTCCGGAGATGGTGGCTAGATTAGGGCTCCGATTTCTATTACACGTATCAGATATGACACGGATAATACAATATAATATCGTTATAATCAGTCCTTATACGTATAACGGAGCGGGGCTACTAGTTTGTGGCTCTTCAATCCCATTTCCAGCCACAATGACGGATGGGTCACGGACCAGGTACAAGGTACCTTGGAGCCCAACTGGTACCCGCTTGTACCAGATTCGTACCCAACTGGGATGATAGCTACTTCTAGGATGGGGACACCACCCATCCTTTCTCTCAATCAAGCAACTTCTAGAATCCAGACCAATAGCCACCATTCGTGACCTTGGTCCTGATTCTGGAACCGCTACCCACAAGGCACAAGTTTTCCCGGTATATACAGGGCTATTCAGGTACCAAAGTGTTCTAGCTGCCGACCTTGTAGTGACTTGCGACCGCAGTACCTGCCAGCGCACTTAACATACACCTAAACCAAGGTATTTCTGTCTATCTGGTCCATCCGTTAGGTCTAGGTCGTCAACTGCCAGGTTGTAATGGCTGCGGTCGGGGCGAGAGTCCCATAGGTCTGCACCAGCGTATTTGGGTGCAATTTCCACTGCAACTAGCTGGCACCGACCTATCGATCTCCGACCGTGGCCGTAACTTGTACCTGAATGCAAAATACAGCGTTATGCAGTAAAAAAAAGGTTGACTTGCCCTTAATACGCGGTTATACGGCTTATTATACAGCTTAACTATGGGTATCAGGGTATAATATAGGGTATCGTGGTAATACCCGTATAACCGGCTCTAATACGTATTACTCGGAGCCCTAGGCTAGATCTAGGTAGATGCCCCGCAGGATCAAGCGGGACAGATCGAAGTGGTCACTGGCGGCTGGTCAGTGGTAGCCTCGCGCCGTCGTCGAGGTTTGGTTGTGACGATATTTGGCCGAGTTCCTGAATCCTGCAAGTACGGGGGAGGCCTGTCTGATATCTCATGCTGTAGAAGAGGAAGTTTGGTAGACGCCAATGACGATGCTGTCGCTCCTTTTGTCCGACTGAGATATACTGTATCTAGGTAGGTAAGGTACGGAGGTGTGAACTAGGTAAGGTAGGAGAAACCCTTGAGCCCCTGTGAATACTATTCCCACTCACAGTCATACGAGTTGTCGCATCGTTCCGCGTGAGAATTCATTACGGTAGCAGCTGGGCATTCCATTGCTCACGGCATCAAAGTCTACCATGTCATCTACGTGCGTTATAAACGTAAAGTTGAAACTGATTGCTTTGCAATGTTCAGCTAGAGTCACCCCCATATAAGTCTCCGTCCGTCATGCCTCTATCAAGCCTTGAATAGTAATGCTATTGAGAGCATTATCCGTGAAACGATAAGTGCAGTATGAGCGTGACAGCGTTTGTTGTATTCAGGAAAAGGTCTATGGACTGTTTGTTGGTGGTAGAATACACTTAGATGCCCTGTGGGTCCCTGTACGACCCGACAGCGTGGCTGATCCCCACATACCGCTTACATATACAGATGGATACTGCTCACAGCTATGTTCATATTAATGGAATAAACACCCTAGAATAAGCAAGTTTAATCCATTAGCCATATGTTACACTTATTCCAGACTGCTGATTCCGGTTACATTAGATAGATCACATTTTGACCAACGACTCAACGAGCAACTGCCAGCCACATCGGAATCAGAACCCCACACGAACGTACTTACATGCACTACCTTAGACATCGTCAGACTAGCCGGGGCGCGTGGGATACATACTTCCTACATATACATGGAGTATCCACAGAAGGTTCTCCTGAACAGCAGGAGCGACCACAATTGAAACATCCTTTGGAGCGATTTGTTTCATTGTTCCGAGTACAAAAGGCCATACGGGCAGCCAACCAATCAGATCTGAGCTGGGCTACAAGTACACGAGGTTGCACACTGGAAACTGGAGTCTGGAGGTATCCCCAGCGGGTCCCGTCTTCCTACCTGAATCCTAGGCTGGGAAGTACCTGGTAAGTTGTAACGTTATCTACATGTAGGCTGCCTGGATGCTTGCTGGTCTGCGCCTCGGACTGGAGCTGACAGTCAGTCTGACAGTTGACCAAAAGCATTCCATTATTACGATACTCCGCCGCGAGAGCAACCCATATTCAGGCCACACAGGCCACACAGGCCATTCAGGCCGCACAGGACCTCCCCAGTCTCCCGCGCGCATCGGAGCAAGTATCCCTCTGTCGTGTAAGGCTGTCTTTGTGTCTTCCGAGTGGACCCCGCAGCCCACGAACTGTCGGCTGAGCTCGAAACGTCGCGCAAAGGACAGAACAAGAGAAAGGACCTCATCAGCATCAGTATCAGCATCAGCATCAGCATCAAGACGAGACGAGCCGATGCCACCATCCGGACGGCCACAAGAGAACATGCCTTCTTGACACCGCGTCACCAAGCCTCATACCCACGCCTCATACCCGCCCGGAGCTGGCGACAACCGCCTGCCATGATGGCCTCACAACAGTCCTCTCGCGTCGAGCCGCTCAGCCCCGAATTGCCCTCAGCTGTCGGCGCCTTCCCTGACACGCCTGTACCACAACAATCTCCCCTCGACGATGTGAAGCCGCCTTTGTCTCCTAGCCGGCAAGACTCTCCGGCCATAGAGATAGAGAAAGCTCTAGACGAGACGTCATCGCAATCCTCCCCCATCGACGAGGAGACCATCGACGAAGAATCGCCTCGGCCGCTCAAAGAGAAGGGACCCTCAGCCTTAGAAGATCACAATGACAAGACTTCACCCCAATTCTCTCCTGTCGACGAGAAAGCACATCTGCCCCCAAGTGCTGATGCGCCCTCGGCCTTCCAAAGACTCCCTGACGAGATCATCCAGCAGTAAGCATTATGTTTTGATATTTGCGCGCATACATGTCCCCCACCATCTCGCTCCGCTTACGATTATACCCCATAAGGACGTAATAAACATGGATGACTGACACGATGCTGCAGGGTACTTGAAGTAACCGATCCCGACTCTTTCGCATCTCTCGTACTGCTCAACACGAAATGGAGGCGCATCTCCCAGCAAGCCCACCTTTATGCCCACCACTTGTCGAAATGCAACTCCTACGCGGCTGGCCACGCATCAATATCTGACGAATCTGTCAATGATGACAATCTACCGAATCTGCGGCGCTTGTTCGCTCGTGAGGTGAAGCGTAATCTCTTTGAGGCCTACCTTCGTCCCAAGACGACCACCATCAAGCTCATATCTACGTCGATCAGTTCGTCGTCAGCACCTGGCGGCGAGGGCTTGCAGTTCAGCCCATCACCACGGGGCCATCATGTTCTTGCGTATAATTCGTCCCGGATATACATCCTGGATGTGAGGGAACCTGAACTGGCTGTGAAGCGGGAACTCAAGATCCTTCGTCGTCCGGCTGCCGCATGCATTCTAGATGATGGGAGCCTTCTCGCAATTTTGTCAACCGACATGCAAGTCGACCTTTACGATCTAGGCCCATCTCCACCTCGCCGGACACAGTCCCTGATCCTCGACATGGCTCCCCGTGCAATCGCCCTATCTCCTTGCGGGAGTGTCATGGCCGCTGCGTACGAGGGCGGCATCGAAGTATCGTCTATCCACCCAGGAGCCCTAGAGACCGATCGAAGGGCCGTCAAATGCGATGCTGTAGACTCTCTTGCTTTCTCGCTTGACGGCACCCAACTCCTGGGCACGACGACTAACTCGTCTACTCCCAACACCGTAATCCTCACTGCGCCGTATTATGATCCTGGGAACCAAATGTCCGATGACAACATCAGCGCTCTCTGGACTACTTCCATACTCTTCCCCAATACGAGCCGAGACTGCAGTCATGCTGTGCTCCTGCAAGAGTCTAGCTCCGTTGAGGCAATGTGGACGTTCACATATGACAGGAGCTTCGAAACCTTCCGTGCTGTGCGCATCGATGACCTTCGGAATGGAACCACTTACTTCACAGGTCCTATCCCTACTGCTGCCTCGCCAGGCCCATTGTTGCCGTCCACTTTACCTGCTGCCAGTTTCCAGGGAGAACTTGTCTCTGCCGGCTTTGAGGGCCAGGACGTCTGGCTATATGGCGTGCCTGAAGACCTTGAAGCCGTGCCAGAGGTCAACAGTTCATCCGCTGATCCTTCTGCACCACCTGCATTGCATCGCAGAGGCAGCGGAGTTTCGGTGCGCTCGCCATCTCGAATACAGGAAGCTAATGGATGCCGAGTTCCTCAGTGGCAGATTCTGTGCGACAAATATCGCAACACTTTCGTTACCGGGCGTAAGATCACTGAGCTGTGTGGCGTGAGTAACGTGAAATGGGTGGCCGGTTTTGGAAACACATCTCTACAAGAGCGCCTGGTCGTTACTGCAAGAGGTGTTATGCCTACCAAGCCGATTACAGAAGAAGACGGCATCGACTTCGTGGATGGAGGAAGAGTCACCATTCTCGACTTTGATTATAACCCTGACAACGGCCAGGAGCAAGACATCACCATCGAGGTTGGCACAATGGAGCCCGAAATCTTGGAAGAGGAACACCGAGACATAGACACAGAAGTGGCCATTGTCCGAAGAAGGACAGTAGCGCAGCGGAGGGGAAACCGAGGTGGTATGATGCGTTCTGCGACAAGAAGCACTCACCAGCTTGAGGCTCTGTTGCGGCCGGCCACTTCTCATGGGCCTGAAATCGAAGATCCCCTAGTACCGCGACCCATGGCGACAGCACGCAACACAGTTCGGGCAGATACCCCTGAAGAAGCTGAAGATGCCACTCTAGAAGAGGCCCAAGAGGCCCTCGATGCCCCATATGCTCACGCCAGCCCGCGCTCAGGCACGACCTTACGCCGTGCTGCAACGGCTGCTGCGGTTAGTCGCCAACGCCAACCCCAGACACCCGTTGCCGGTCCCGTCGAGTATAGACGAGCCGATGGGAGAGCTGAACACCCACATGAAAGCGACGCGGACAACTGGGTGCCACCACCTCCACCCTACGCCAAAGAAGATCCCGGTGTCGACTTACCTGTGTTCCTGCGCCACTCAGCGATTCCTGGCGTGAGAGTTGTGCCAACAAACAGGCAAACCATTGCTGGCATCCCACCTGTCCCACCTGTCCCAGCTATACCGTCCTTCCCTCCCGTTCCACCCATTCCTCATGGAATGCCTCCATCGAGCACAGGTCGCCCGGAATTGCCTCGTATTCGCACCTCTTCTGCCCGTGAAGGGCATCAACGCAACACCTGGGTTCCGGGTACCGCCTCACAGCGAGCCGCGAGTGACTCCGTGAGTGGCAGACCCACCGTTCCGGCCATGGGAGCTTTGCATAGACCTACTTCGAGTTACCCTACTCAAATGGGGACTCGTAGCCTCCCAGATGACGAGGAAGACATTTATGATGTCTCTCCTGTTGGGTCACCTCCGCAGGCAGCAGAACCTCAAGAATCTAGGGCCCACGTAACGACGGCGTCAGCTTCCACGCCCGAACGACCATCTGCCGGTGCACTGTCTTCTGCCTCAGAATACACCCCAGCCTCGTCCATGTCCCACGCGCCCACGGAGGCGTCTTTTTCTGACTCTGTCAACATGCATGCTTATCATCCTATCATCCCCTTGTCCGCAACCAGTGTCCAGAGGCCAGAAGATCCTAGGAGCGCCAGTCCGGTCGTTGGCAAACTGCCTAATGCGCAGACTTGGCCAAGAGCGCCTCACGCACCGGCTCCAGCTTCTGCAGCTCCTCTCGCTGGCTATCCCCATTCGGCTCCTGCTACGAACCTAAACAATGGCACTGCGATCGGGGCAGCTTTACCGCCGGCGCCTAAGCCAGAACAGCTTGCAAGTCTACACAGAAGAGAGGGCAGCTTTGGGGCACCTCGGCCTGCATCGGGCAGCTTCCAATTCGCACGAGTGCCTGTTGGTAGCCGTAGCAATCAGACCCGAGTCTCTCGACGGTATAGTGGGATACCAGAAGTACGGCCTCCCTCGCCTCCGGATCAACCCCTAATTATCAGCACTCCCACAGGGGTGGCCGGAGCGTTCGATAATCCGGGCCAGTCGCACATCGTCAGCCACCACGTTGGACCAGTGATCCACGCCCCTGTTCCCCGCCATATCAGGCCAGTTTCTAGTATCCACGTTCTTCGGCCTACGATGGATTGCCTGGAAACCACTTCAAGCATCGGTCCTGAAGGAGCATCGAGCAATCATCCAATCTTGCTGAATGTCCCACCAGCACCGCCGTCTGGCCCACTCACGTCTTCATCCTTGCGTCATCATACTAGCTTGTCTCGCCGACCGAGTCGCGCTCGAAAAGGAGCGTTGAAGAACATCCACGATGCCAGGACCAGGGGATGGACGGGGAGGAAGAAAAACAAAAAGAAGGGCAACGGTAACGATGGTGCCAGCGCAGCAGATTGGACCGAAGTGAACATGGGTGCCAAGGCTCCTAAACCTCAAACAAAGGAGAGGAAATGCATCGTCATGTGAAAGGAGAAAGGCAGGTAAAAAACCGGGATGTGTCTTCAAGGTCGACGATACCTAGACAGCATCGGCATATGCCATCTAAAGACATGGATGAGGGCAACAATACGTCTATGCGAGGATTTACGATACGGTTTCTTTTTGTGCGGTTTACTCTTTGTGATGTTTTTGGGATACATATCTCGCTGGCAGTTTTGCATCCGCTCGCTAGGAGAAGACATTTCGGGGTTCATTCAGCACAGGGGTCACGAGGCGCACACATATGATCTGTATGTATGATACCAAAGCGCTTGGATTTGACATGGGCTTGAAAAAAATACGATCGGAGATGGTCTCCTTGCAGCCAGACTGTTCATGTATATGTCGTGACAAAGATACCAGCACTGCTTGCATGTGGGCAATCGATCCATGAACGTCTATTGTTCGGTGCCTGAAGCATCCAGACTACGTCTACGGTATATGCTTCCATCGTCCAGTGGGAATGTATTTCTACATGGTGTCTATAGCCGAGGGGAAAGAGGCGTGATATCGTGGGAATGTATAAGACGGATGAACAAGATTGAAAAGGTTCCCTCATGGCTGTGTACACGAGCCACTGAGGAAGCGATCTGAACAACAGACAAAGTCTGCCATGGGTGTATACTCTTGATTTCGTCTGAGGGCAGCGTGATGGTCGTAGTGACGACATCGGACTGCACTCCTACGAATCCCCGTATCAGTCTTCGGCCTTCTGGATACCCTTGAGCCCACAGGTACATGCCCTTCCCATTTCCTATGGAATTTCGCAACCGCGGCCGGGTATGTTGTACAAAGAAGATTGCCCAGACTTCCTCTATAACGCGCCTGTACGAAGACCCAAACCCCCAAAGGTGAAAAAGCAATCCAACGCCTTGGCTATGCATCGCGGCTTCCGCTACATTCCCATCTGCGCGTCGTAATCAAGGATCAAGGTGACTCGAGCTATCGACGGTCAGAAAGGCCAGAGGGGAGGGGAAGCCGGATTGCATCGAGGTTAACTCGATCGCAAAGCATGAGGCATCTTGAGCCTACTGACCTGGTCTTCCTTCCACCGAATGCATGTGTCCAGTGACAGGATACCATCATTCTCGGGTCCCCTTAGTCTGTATGGAGCGTCGCCCTTATTTGGTTCGCTTCATCTTGCTCGATTGATGTCCGGATATGGTCGGTCAATCGAAATCCATCATCTCTACATCGCCGTCCGTCAGAGAGCTCAACCCCGAGCTAGGGGGCCGAGGATCGAGGTCGACTTCGGGTTCCGGCGGTCTCTGCGACGCCTCGAACATCTTCCGCGCCCAGTCCAAGAGGCTGCTCTCGTTGCCACCTTCCACGAGGACTTCGCCGTGGTCGATGCCCCTCCCCAGGATGGTGCCGGCGTATCTCGAGTCCACGTCTGTCTTGTTGTGTTTTCTCTTGAGAGCTGCAGAAAAATGCGTTAGTTGATGTTCCCCTGGGCTAACTGGGTTGACAAGTAGACATAGAGATCTAGATCAGAGCGCGCTGGGGATAGACCTAGTTGAATTCAAGGCCAAGACTCACCATCCAAATAGTCCGTCGGCCGCTCCTCCTCGACAACACCCTCCTCGGCGGCGACGACCTGCGGCGCGCCCAGGCCGGCGATTTTGCGGATGCGCTGGTTCTTCTTGCCCGTGACCCAGCGCACGAACTCGTCGACGCCGCGTGTGTCCTCCTCGCCGCTCAGCTCCTGGGCGACGAAGTCGCGCTCAGGCCACAGGGCGCCGCAGTCCTCGAGGGCCATGCGCACGTCGGCCACGCCGGGGGTCGCCGTCAGCTCGTTGTTGGCGGCGGCGTGCAGGGCCGTCTGGCGCGCGATGGCCGAGAGGTAGTTGCCCGCCAGCTCCGTCACGCAGTCCACCACGCCCGGCGTCGACGAGTAGTAGCCCTGCGCGCGCAGTATCTGCAGGATCGCGGGCCGGAGGAGCGCGTGGTGCAGCTCCGAGGCGGTCGGGGTCCGCTGTTGCTGTTGGTTGTGGGATGCCATCGTTGGTCGTGCTGGTTGGCTGCTAGAAGGCGGATTTGTAGTAGGTCGAGTAGAGTAGGTAACGGTACGTCGGTTGGTCGGTCGCGAGGATGATCTGCAGAGAGCATAGAAGGGTGGTCGTTGATCGCAGTGGATAAGGGTTGCCTCGGACAGCGATAGCAGCGCGTGAAGCTCCAAGTTGCCTTCCTAGGTCTTGATCTCGAGAGTGTTAAGATTGGAGAGGTGCTGAGATGTACTCGGGTTCGTGGGTTTCAGGTTGACCATCTGTCCCTCTTGGAATACTACTGGCGGAGTAGGTGTCGGGGACCGCCCATTTCGGGCCTCGAGGTAACAATGCGATCGATGGTGATGTTGTCAAGATTATGGGACGGTGATGAATTCGTAGAGGCACAGATCCTCAGGCAACAAGGTGCCTGTAGCCCCGCTAAATTCTCATCGATTGAGCTCCCCACATTTGAGAATACTCAGGTACATATGTATTCTGGGTCCATGCACTACAATTGGAAGTCATCTGCAATTGAGCATCGAAGAAACTCTTGGTCAAGTGAAAATCAACCAAGACCAGGTACCAATTTACTGCAGTCAAAGGGATACACGATCTACTCTTCTTGCTGATACCTTACTTCTATTGCTGGCCTCCCGCTTCCAGTGATTGCAACAAGCTGTTGTTCTTGCCGCCAGCACGAACAGTGTACCTTGCATTTCTCGTAGGCCGACAGCTCAAGGTACCTAGGTACCTGAGTCGCGTACACGGCGCACTGATCTTCCCCACGTCCCAAGCCGCAATTTCCCCACTTTAATAACCTCCGGCTACCGATCCGTCACGCATCGTCACAACCTGGAACGGATGTATTCGACTGCGCTGAGCTTCAGACTTGCCACCATCTCATATTGCTGGACATTGCAACGACAGGTAGTCATCACTTGAAGCAGCGCGCAGATTCCTCAAACCTGGGCACACCGGGACAGACCACCGTTTCGTTGCGCCTGCGTCCGGCTCTCCAGGTTCTGCTGATCTTTCTAGGTAGTATCACCATCACCACCCCGACCTCATTCGACACTCTGCCCATCCTCTCAGCTACAACTTCGACATGGCTTCCATCAACGCCAAACCCTCGTTGAAGATAGAGACGAGCCGGGAGATGCCACCTCCTCCCACCACAGCCACGCCAGCTACCGAGAACCCAAAGCCCATACTCAAGCTCAACACCGGGGGATCGCGCCAGCCCTCTATCAGTGCCGACGGTGCTACACCCACGCCTTCCACCGAAAAGAAGACTATAAAGATCAAGTTGAACAGTCAACCCAGCACGCCTGCGACCGCCACCTCCGCCCAGACCCCGAGTGTTATGAAGACCAAAGCTGGGAGGACCTCCAAGCCCACTGCGAAACTCACCGAGTCGAAGAAGCGCGGCTATGAGAGTGACGAGGATCGGCCCATGGCCGCCTCGCGCGCTTCCTTGTCCGCCGCTCGCCCGAGCAAGATGATCAAGATCAAGCCCTCCTTGAAGTCGGGCCCGAACACTCCTTTCTCTGCTATCGCGGGCACGCCTGTCAATACCATCCGATTCAGACCCAAGGGAGAGCCCGTCCCGCGCAAGTTCGGCGACGCTTACGACTCCGAGGCTAGCGATCGTGAGCAGGACCCTCAACGGGAATCCAACTTTATTCTCCGAGTCATGGATGGGCCACCCACAGAGTACCTGAAGAAGGCCTTGGCCGATGGCACTATGGGGGTGCCCAAGGCCAACGGCGGAGCAGTCTTCGGTGTGCAGTTCCTTGACGCCAAGGAACGCCGCGCTATGGTCACCATCAACGATATATGCTACGCCGCCGTCTTGGTAAGGCTGCCTACTATTACCGAAGCCATGAAAACCTGGGACCGCAAGGCCATGATGAAGAACTCCGACATCTCTGAGATGCTTCTATGCTTTGCTGTCGTAAAAGGTGAGAGCGAGGCCAAGACCATACCGCTGCCACCCATGGTGGCGAAGCATGACCTCAGGTGGCCACACGGCATCACCCCTCCCATGCATGACGCCGCCAATCGCAGATTCAGAAAGACCCTTTCAGAGAAGCAGTGGGAGAGCACACAAAATCGCGTCCAGAAGCTCATCGAAGACGACAAGGGTTTCGACGATGTCACTATGGATATCATCAACGAGGACGAGACTGAGAACGATGCCGAGAACGATGCCGAATATGACGATGAAGAGGATGCCGATGGTGAAGCCGACCTAGATGATTATTTCGGGGACCAACAACCCGCCGCTGGGGACGAGGACATGGATGGGGATGATGGCTTCGATATTGATGAGGACGACTTAGAAGCCGCCCTCGAGGAAGAGCTTGCAGGTAATGAGTCGCTCAATGGGGCTACGCCGGCTGCCAATCTAGAGGCACCACCTACGCCCATGACGATGGACATTACAACCCCTGCCGCTGTTGGGGAGCAATCTGCTTCGGAAGAAGATGGAGATGAGGACGAGGACGAGGATATATCCGAGGAGGATGAGGATGATGACGAGGACGTCGATGAAGAAGCAAAAGCTGCCGAAACGGAGCGCAAGCAACAGATCGCTGAGCTCCGCGACATGGAGAGACAGTTGGCCGAGTCCGAGGTCAAGCTACAAACAACTACCATGCCCATATTGCAGAAACGGATCCTGTCAATCATCGGAAACTGCAAGAAGGAGATAGCTGTCAAGAAAGCTGCTCTCGGAATGGCCGACGAAGACTAACAGCTCCCCTTGCTCAAGGAACTGCTCAGCCGCACTGGAGGAGACACTTCCAACGCCATCTTCTTTGAAATTCGTCAGAGCCAGTGAAGAGGACATTCTTTCACGATATCGTCAGCTGATCTAGGATCTCGAGATCCAGTCGGAACTTAGCCAGATCACACTTACCCGTTCATGTCTGTCTCGAACCAGACGCCGAACAGGACGAGAGCGTCCTCATACGCCCGCCAATGTCGCTGAAGTCCAGACAAAGCGCACAGCACGTCGCAGTGGCTCCGTCTCTTTGCCGACAGTGCTGTTTCTAGCTCTACAGCATCCCTTACTACCTCCGCAATTGCCATTGAAGGGGGTCTGTCTAGCGCAGGGAAGGATCAATAGCTTGTGGGTGTCACGAGCGGCCACTGCATTGGATGGTTATATGATATGGTCGACGAGTCACGGGCGATTTCCGAGGATGAGGAATGCACCGCGACTCCGTATGTTATGCAAGCTTGTCAGTCTTGCCTGCCTCGATGCAGAAACCAGAACTGAACGGATGGGGTACGGACAAGGGAAAAGGATTGCGATGATACCCCCAAGCATACGTCAAATATATGACTAACTAAATAAAGCGCGATTTTATCTTACATGATATGATATCTTTGTTCTTTGCTGTTGAGTGAAAGGTGTAATACAGTCGATGCCTTGGATATTCCCGTAAACCGCAACCTGAGATTATTAATACACAGCGCAGTAAGAACACCAGACTGTTTATCCGCTTGGTGCCGGCTTGAAATAGCGATGCCAATATAGTAATTATAAACTGCGGAAGGAGTATGTATAGTGAGACAATAGCAATAGAAGGGGAGGACAAGAATAACAGGAAAAGGGGTGGGGTGAGTAGTGGTCGGGATATGCTTTAGTCCATGGGAGTTTGTCTTCCACCAGGGAGATTCATGGGAGAAGAAAGAGGGTTGAAGGCGTGCTATACATGGGCTAGGAAAGTCTGCTCGGTTGCCTGGCTATTTGTACTGCGAAAATATGACTGAAGACCGAGGGGTTCGTTGTGATTTGACATAGCTCGATGCTGGTCTATGATAGAGAACGCTGTCAAGGTACTGGGCCTGACGCCAGTCTCGCAAAGTGTTGTCGTGGGATCACATATATGGGCGTCGGCATAAGGGCGGTCAATGCGTATGAGCCCTTGCATGAGCCGTCTATAGCTGGGGAGTCTGACGGCGACTGTGGAGAGGAATACGGGAACGCTGTCGGTATGTGTTGGGTTGTATACAGGTCATTATAATACAGCTTGTGGCTTCAGCTACCACGTCTTGGATGCTCTTCACATACACACATATACACAGGGCCTTCGCATGCCTTCGGCTCTTCTGGTCCTCTCTACCCCTTACCCTCATTTTCCTCTCGGTCAGACACTCGACTTGTGCAAGCCAACTTCAGCAAGGTAGCACCAGCCCCTTTCCTCATTAGATACTACAAGATCTCTTCATCACATCGACTTGAGGTAGTTGCTCTCCTTAATCTTGGCCTTGCGCTCCTTGCGCATGGCGCGCCGCAGGTCCTCGCGCGCCTGCTGTGCCGCGATGGCGCCCTCCGTCGTGCCCTCCTCATTACCGGGCATGTTGACGCTCTGGTGCTGCAACGGGATCTTGGGCGCCAGGGCCTCGATGTTGCCCTCGGCCAGCAGGCGGGCCTCGAGCGCACGCTGCCGCTTCGCCGCTAGACGTCGCTGCTTCTTGGATTTGGCTGTGGTGGGAGCACTGGTCAGCAAGGGTTCTGTATACCTGGGTCTTGAGATTTATGGTATCTGTGGCGGAGATGCAAGGATTTAGGAGGTTCGAGAGCTACACTGGATAGTTTGTGGTATGATACAGGTGCCCGGGGAATAGGTAGATAGGCAGATAGGAGAATGTCTCAGCACATACAGAACTCGTCGCCCGCGTCATCGTCGGCGTCCTCGTCCGCCCTCTTCTGCACCTCGAGGGTCTGCCACAGCCACGCCGGGTACGCGTCGTCGGCCAGCGCGACGGGGTCGGTCCGGTTCTTGAAGTAGTTCAGGCCCGACAACACCGTGCCCTCGGGACACGCCGAGAGCGGCTCTGCGCCTGACCCTGCTGCTCCGTCACTGCTGCTGCTACTGCTGCCCGGGGAGTCGGCCAGCGGCGTGCTGAACTCGGGTGCTCCTTGCGTCTCGGCTGGGCCGGGCGCGCTGGCGCCGGCGGGTGGCGGTTGCGGCGCCGGCGACGAGGACCGGTAGGGGAGCGTGCTCGAGAAGGGTCGGAGGGCGAATGGGAGGGAGGGTGTTGCTGCCCTTTGTGCTGGTAATATGCGCGAGCTGAGCGCCGAGGCCCGCTGCAGACACCGCCGGCAGATCATGGCTGGTCGAGACTGGTCGTGGTGTGCTTGCTACGTGGGAAGTGGCTGGATGTGTTCGCTGGTTCAGGGTCTGGTGTTGAGCTTTTGGGAATTGGGAGCTCCAGAAATTTTGAAGGGGCAGCTCCAGCTCGGAGCTCCTGGGGCGGATTCGCCGATGCACAGCAACCTTACCTCCAGCTATTTGCCCGACTCTCTACATAGGTACATGTATGGACTTCATAAGAAAAACAGAGCAATGGACCTCAAACATAGTCCGCCAGAACCCTGGCAGTGAAGTTTGTAATTCCTTATTGAGGTTTGGTTTGTTGTTTATGTACAATACAGTGTGAAGTCAGTGATGTCCCCCTTTCATCGCCCGTATCAGCTGTCATGGGTAGCTGGTATCCCTCGAACACTCTCAAAACTCCATTTCAGAGCCGTTGACGACTGTATCACCTCCCTTGCCGTATTCGGTATCATTCTCTGGCGTGCCTTGTCCTCCGCTATTTCTTGTCGATGTAGTTCTGTTGCTCGAACCGGAATCCCCGTACCCGATGGTCCTTGAGCATCTGGAGGTATTTCTCTGTCGCATCATTAGTTAATGTCCAAAAATGCGCCTGTCTTCTTCCACTTGATCGATGACCGCACAGCAAGCCCGCGAGCTCCATGCATCCTCTGTATATATCCCACGAGAGCCGCAGACTAACCTCGCAAAGGACCGCACTTCTCGAGGTGGTTGACACCCTCGCGGTAGTAGCATTTGCTCAGCTCTTCCCGCACAAGCCGACCCATCATCACTTGCACCCATTGTTCCCGGACGACGGCATCCTGCGCCTGCTTTAGTCGCTTGTTGTCCTCGTAGTCGACGCCGTCGAAGGTCGGAGGGACGGTTGGCTTCTTCGCCAGGAAAGCCGGGGATTCTGGGGTCGGCATTGTAGTTGATTGAGAGTCAAAACGGTAGTTTCTTCGGATCGGCTGGTTGAGTCTCGATTGATCGGGACTCGGGGATGTCGTGGGCTGCCGTAATGGCTCGTTCGCTGTCGGATTCGATGAAGCTCCCCTTCGCTCGACCAACCAAATCAGAACATTGAACCGATTTGGTGGTCACGTGCATCAGGCTGCGTACTGGTGTGGCTGGAGATGGGGCCAGTCACGAAGGTGGCTGGCCTGGTGGGGCGTATTCCATGTCATTGGTCCTTGCTATCTCCATACGCTATCGCGCTGTCCAGCAAAGCTAGCGTTCACCGCCTGCGATAAACCCCACCTGGCCACCGGCAGATTAAAAATTTTCCAAGGGTCCTCGAAATTTTCTGGAGGGTAGCTTCCAACCACGCCTTTTCCTGCGCATAAAGTCAGACAAGCTCCTGCATTTTCTGCCTTCCTTCCCCAAACCTTCACATTTCTCTCTGGAAATCACAGAATTTTCAGGACCATTCATCCCTTCCAACAACACCTTCTCCCAACAGTTCTATCCCAATAATTGTCACAATGGGCAAAGTCAAGCAAGCCAATGGCAAGGCCGCCAAGGTCAAGTCCACTGACTCCGTCAAGAAGGCCGGCGTCACCAAGCCCGTCGACAGCCCCAAGGTCAGCTCGAAGAAAGCCGCCAAGGAAGTTGCGACCAAGACTTCAAAGAAGGACCTGAAGAAGAAGAAGGTCGAGTCTTCCTCCGAGTCCGACTCAGACGATTCCGAGTCTGACGCCTCTGCATCTGATGCTTCCGAGTCTGACTCCGGCGACTCTGACTCCTCGGAGGAGGAGAAGCCTGTCGCCAAGAAGGCTGCACCCAAGACCAACGGCAAGGCTGCTGCCAAGCCTGCCACCAACGGCAAGGCCAAGGTTGCTGCCGCCGAGTCATCCGACTCTTCTGATTCTTCCGATGCAGAGGAGGACAGTGACGGCAGCCATGACAGTGAGGACGAGAAGGAGGATGCTACCAAGAAGGCCAAGCCTGCGGTTGCCGCTGGCGCAAAGGTCAAGGCTGATGCCAAGGCAGACGTAAGTATTCACTGGTACACCTCTCGTTGTCCAGCCCTTACTAACGGTGCTCACAGTCTTCCGACGACTCAGAAGCCTCTGAGGAAGACTCCGACGACTCTGACGATTCCAGCGACGAGTCCGAGGCTGAGGTGGAGAAGCCTGAGCCCTCCAAGAAGCGCAAGGCCGAAGAGGAGGTAGAAACACCATTCAAGAAGAACAAGACTGAGGAAGCATCGGCCGACGAGTACGTGACTCTGTTTGTCGGCAACCTGGGCTGGGGCGTCGATGACGATTCGCTGTACGAGACGTTTAAGGAGTGTGCCGATCTAGTCAGCGCTCGTGTCGTCACGGACGCGGCTATGCAACGCTCGCGTGGTTTCGGCTACGTCGACTTCTCCAACCACGAAGCTGCTAAGGCTGCCTTTGAGAAGATGCAAGGCTATGAGCTTGAAGGCCGCGGTCTGCGGTTGGATCCTTCTCTACCCCGTCCTGCTCGCGACGACAGCACCCCCAACGCGCGTGCCAACCAGCGCGCCCAGCAGCACGGAGACACTGTCAGCCCCGAGAGCGATACCCTGTTCGTTGGCAACCTGCCTTTTGAGGCCGATGAGGAGATGGTTTCCGAGTTCTTCAACGAAGTCTCTGAAGTCCAGAGTCTCCGACTACCTACTGACCAGTGAGTAGCCCACTCCCTCTGTGCTCCAGCCATGCTAATAATTATGTCTAGGGAGTCTGGTAACCGCAAGGGCTTTGGCTATGTCACATTCAGCAGTATCGAGGAGGCAAAGAAGGTGTTCGAGGCCAAGAACGGCGGCTACATTGGCGAGGGACGCGGCTCCCGTGCTATTCGCCTAGACTACGCTGGTGCCCGACCTCCTCGCGATGGCAACTCGGGTGGCCGAGGTGGCGGCTTCGGTCGTGGTGGCGGTGGACGTGGCGGTGGTCGTGGTGGTTTCGGTGACCGTGGTGGTCGCGGTGGTGGTCGTGGCCGTGGTGGCTTCGGTGACCGTGGTGGCCGTGGAGGTGGCCGTGGAGGCTTTGGCGCGTCTCGGGGAGCACCCCAATTCGCGGGCAAGAAGACTACCTTTTAAGGTGATGCCGCACATGACCGTTCCGAGGGCTCTGAGACACACTGGTTGGCTTTGAGGGTTGTCGGCTTTGCAAGACTATTCACTCCTACTGAGTATGTGGGCTTTGAGGGCTAAGCTTCGATACGAAGCTGTTGATTCACCTGTGGGCTTGATCGGAGGGCTACCTCCACGTGGGGTTTCCGAGGGCTGAGGGCTTCATCGCAACGAAAGCGCAGTCGGTCGTGGGCTTGTCTGCACGCGCTTTGTGTCACGGACACATATGATCTCATTTGCATCGGCTTTTCTTTCTGTTGGCACCGAGGGCTTCTAGTCAAACGAAGTTGGGAAGAATCTTCTTATGTTCATACGAGCATCTTGAAGTGGACCAAGCTTTGATACTATGAGGGCTTATGATAGCGTTCGAGGGTTTCGACAGGCGTCCAAAATATCATCCGTCCTCTGGACGAAGGGAAGTGGACTGCCCTGCTTGTCACTTGCAAATACTTCAAGCACTGGAGGGTACGAACTGGATTTCGGTGAGTATACTACACCTTGCGTATTCGGCGTATATCCCCCACCCCCTAGCTCTTCCCATAGGTACTTCATAGTCGGTCTGTATTGCAAAATCTGTTCCTAATTCTATTCTACCATGTCTGGACTGCCCTTCTTCGTGATTTGACAAGGTGTGCTCTTCGACCTCAGTGGGGGTGACACTACTGCGACTGACGTAGAACTGACGTTCGTTCATGTCGCGTTCCACCTTGCAAGAACTGCAAGATGGATTGATGCATCACGTTGAACAAGATGGACCCTAGATGCATGACAGATCTCCATCCCTTGCAGTAGTGCGAGGGGGAAGCGCGCCTGATGAGCACTGCCTCGCCTTACTCCATGAGGTATGCCCGTGATCCAATGATAGTGTCAAGTGAGGCTGCCGACGACCACCCACTCACTGACTGACGCCTGACAACATGACCTTGGGTTTCTTGGCACCGTACATCATCCTACATGAAAATTGAAACAGCCAGCTCATCGGCTCTTCCAAATGAGGATGGTAACTGTAACATGATTTCCTTATTCTGAACTCCAATATTGGTTCATCGTCGAGCGGTTCCTTTTCTTATCTGTGCTGGTTCAATGTTGGCGCCATGAGCAGCTGCTCTATGCTTCAAATAAACTGTCACCTGGCACCCGTCACCTGGAGGTTGGAGCCGAACACCCCCAGCTGTAGACTAAGATTTGGAAGGCTAAAATAACGTTATCAGTGCCCGAGGTCTGCCAAGGCGCCATTCCAGACACCGACACTTGCACCGTTGCGGTCCACGGGCTGTATCTGTAAGGTATCGTCATCGTCATCGTAGGAGGGGGAGGGGGAGGGTTTGCATGTCTGAGGTGGTTCCGTCTAATGCCCTTCTCACCACTGGACACGGGCAGTCTCACACCATCACGCCAATGACCATTCATGTTACCACCTGCGCCAGCGAGTCCATCTGACACCGCCCATAGGTTACGGTACATGTGCCTAGGAGGTAATCAACGCCCGACTCCGCCAGGGTCTTGCAGGGCCCAGCTCCATGTGTTGCATGGACGAGGCGTGAACAAAGAACACGTTCACCGACCCTGCAATACCCCTACCTACCTGGCCTACCTCGATCCCCGTGACTTGACCATCCCATTGTCTACCCAACTACCCATCCATACCTTTCCCTTACGTACCTTGCTTTGTGCACTTTTAGAATCTCTCGAGGATCCTCTAGTACCAGGGCATCTTTTGACAACGTTGAAGATCGCTTACATGATACCGCCGCCTTCGATCCTGTCTGCCTGTCTGCCCTCCACGCATTATTAGACTTTGGTCGTTGACATCTCTAGTATCTCATCTGCCCAGTACCCCGCTGCATCTCGCAGGTCAGCGGAGCATAGCATCTGGCCAGGCCCAAATCCGTCGCGGGGCCCTTTTCTGCTGGACTTTCTTGGAGGAGCGAATCAATCACCGGTAGTCGGTGAGGCCCGGCCACCCTCATTGCAAGTGTCGCTGATACGCCAGACACCACCTGGGCATTCAACGTCGGCCTCCTCCTCCTACCTTCCCTTCTGTTTCTGTCTACTATTATTATCATACCAGACAGCGACACCACCTGCGTACAAGATGTCTGGCCGTACCGGGCAGACCAGCGACGCTGCCGCCAGAGTTGGCGATACTGCGTCGATGCGATCCGCCGCACCTACCCAACAGCGTCAACGGAATGACGGTCAGTCTCCTCGATCCGATCATGACAAGCCGCTACTTACACGCTCAGAATCGTGGTTCGAAGTATCCTCACAACCTTCCTCATCGTCTGTTTCTTCCATAGGTGACGAAATCGTCACCACCGGTCTTGAAGTTGGATCGGCTTACGGCGCCCGACGGCGACGCCTACACCCGCAGTCGTACGCCCACCTGCATACCCAACATCCCACATCCGTCGCCAACCAGGCAGTGCAAGCGGGCGCATGTAGTAGTCAAGAGGAATACGACGAGACCGAGAGTGAGGAGGATCATGTCTTGACCAGCTCCACCGAGAATATCACTTCGTCCCATGTCAATCGCGGCACCCCCCTCCGACAGGTCTTTCCGGCCCAGCATGTCGATTCCGACTCGAGTGACGAAGATGACGATGACGAGAACGCAACAGCGTTGGGCAGGCAACCATCTGAGCCCTTCCGCCCGCAGCCTAATGCATTTTCGCACCCACCCTCACACCTACTCCAGCGACACTCAACAAGTTCGTCGATCCCCCAACATGCCAGCCGACCGTCCTTTAACCAGCGGTCGAACACTCGAGTCGAACGTCGCACGCCTAATTTCATGTCGCCAAGTTACCAGGCTGATAACGACGCCGCCCTACGCGCTAGCCTGACAACGCTGCTCAGCTGTGCAGCGGCGGCGAGAGCGCGGCCGAAAGAAGACGAGAAAGAGATGGGCGAATGTTCCGGCCCGGCGGGTAGCAACCAACCCGTCGAGCTGCGTTTCGTTCCGGAGAGCGAGTTGATGGCCCCATCACCTCCTCCGACCCGGTCGAGGGGCCCTAGTCAATCTCCCCGAGGCACTCCATCCTCGCCGTTACCACGTGAAGCTGCCCGTGGTGAGAATATCAAGCGGGCCGCAACGCCAACATCGGGCTCGAAGTCACCTCGTGCGGCCAAGAAGAAGAAAACAGCCGCACTGGCGGGTGAAGACACTCTGATCAGCCCTACACTCCTGACCTGGGTAGTCAGCGCTGGTGTCGTCGTACTGGTCTCTGTCGTTGGCTTCGGTGCAGGATATGTCATCGGGAGAGAGGTCGGCCGCCAGGAAACGCTCGGTGGCTTCGGCGGTGCCGGTAATATGAGTGTGGCTGCCGATGGAGGCAGCTGCGGGCGTGAGGTTATCAGGAGCAGTGGGGGAACTCTGAAACGGTTCCGTTGGGGCACTGGGATGGGCCGAAGTATCGCGGCCTGAAGGAGAGGCTCAGACCAGGCTTCGAATGAAGTGCTTCATTACCCCCAGGTCGGCATTGAAGGTGAAGACACTGCTTTGGTGGTGTTTTATCCTGAACCGGCGACCTGCGACTTAGGATATCCTATCCGCCCATGCGATACCAGACGATCGGACAGGATGTCATGACTCGAGGACGCGAACCGATGATCAACACGAGACCCCCCGTTCGCCCTCGGCGGCCGGGGATAGGAGAAGATTGAAATTCAGGAGCAGCCGAGAAGGCAGGCAACATGCCCCGCTAGGATCATTCATACCACAGGAGTCACGGCCGGGTTTTTGTTTTTTTCTATGGCATAAGGGAATGGGCCACAGGGCGCCGCTCGCGGGCTGATATGAAACACGTATATACGATTTGGAACGAAGATGAACGACCGGGCAAGGCGACGTTGCAGATTTGACCGGACAACTGGCCTTGAGGGCATACTGGAGTTTTCTATGTCGGCGTACGGGCGAATAGGTTACGTAGTTGATGGCATTGAGAGAGAGATAGTTGCGATAATGGAAGTGGAAATGCGACTAACGCTCAAGATTGAAGCTGAAAAACTCGGGTTTCAGGAGATTGATAGATATTGAGTGAAGCAAGTACATTCTGTGTGTCAAGGATATTGGAGGCCGTAAATATCTTGGAGAGGCAAGATGGGTGAGTATATTCAGGAGTAGAGCTTCTTCTGGAGAGACAACACCACGAAGGGCGGTTTGACGTTGGCATGTACTGCCTGGACATCGATAGTTGTTTATTGAAGTTGAAGCCTCAGAAGTAAGGTAATCGAGTCCACGGAGTTTGGTATCACATTGACTTAACCTTAGACGGCTTGGGTGGGAAACCCCTTTTTCATATCCCGGCCGCGCGCGGAAGCATTTCAGTGATCACATTGCACAAATAACGCGACGAATTTGATGGCATGATTGTGCCAGAGGCATTTCTTGTTTTACTAGTATTGGTGTAGGGAATTGGCGTATACAAAGCTTGGTGACAAAGTAGTAGATACAACCAACCGTAGCATGGGGTGGGATATAGTAACAATCGTCAATCAGGGTCTGGTAGGTATCCAGAACTACCTGCCTGCCTCGCACTCATGGCTCGGAGAAAGCTCACCCGTCCTCGTCCTCGTCATCATCGAGCACGACTCTCCTGTTCTTCTTCAGCCTGCCCCGGCCTCGCTGGAGGGGCCCATCATCATCATCATCATCATCATCATCATCGTCGCCGCCATCTTCTTCATCCTCATCTTCAATGTCGAACACGTCTCTGCTACCGATTTTCGAAGTCCCGGCAGCAGTATTCCGTGATGGTCCGTTGTTCCTAACAAGCTGACTCATGGACGGCATGTCGATGTCGTCGTCGTCGTCGTCGTCCTGCGTATCTGGAAATGACATTGGTTCGTAGTACGGCTTCGGCTTCGGCGGCTTCTCCCCTGTTTTTGCCGATGAATGATGGGTGATGGTGGACGGCGTGGACGGAGACGTGGGTGATGTGGAGCGCCCCTGAATGCTCGATGTGACGAAGTTGCTGGAAGTCGCAACGTCATCCCCTACGACGAAGTCGACGAGGTCGGCACCGTCGTCGTCCTCGTCGGTCAGCTCGAGGTCGCTCGTGCGTCGGCAGTCGTCACCTTCGTCTGCACTCTCATCGTAGACCCCCGTCGACTTGTTTTTCTTCGGTCGTCCACGTGCCCGTTTTGGGCCTGCAGCTTTCGGTACCGTCTTCTTTGTTTTAGGAGCCGTTGCGCGTTTTCGTGCAGGCGGTGGCAGCGCTCGTCCTTCCTCGTCTTCATCGACGTCTTGGAGAACACTGGTACGAGTTGTGGCCTGTTTCTTGCGGACTGGAGCTTTCTTTGCAGGACGGGCACGACAGAGGACAGCGTATAGGTCTTCAGGTTCGTCATCGTCGTCAACCTCTTCGGGATCGCTGAAAGAAGCCGTCTTCCTTTTCTTGCGTGGTGGTCCTGTTCCAGGGGCTTCAGCTTCTGTTTCAGAGCCCTCGACCGGTAGAGGAAGCTCCTTGTAGCGGTCCCTGTCCAGATCCTGATACGGCCTGGTGAAGCGATCTGCGGCGGATTGGGACTTTGCTAGAGTCTGGATGAGTTTCGCGCACCGCTTTGTATAAGCCCCATGTTTCAGGTCAACTGTTTTCTGTCGCTTTCTCTGCGCGGCGGGATGTGCTGTCAGATCCACCTGCTCGATGAGTTCCATCTCATCTTGGTGGTGATTCGGCGAGGACTTATAGGACCTGTTCAGTTCCGCGCGCTGCTGGTCAAGAAGCAAAACCTGGTCAAGTCCGGGAATAGCAGCCACCTCGTCCTCCTCGACAGGGGCTTTGGGTGTTTTCGTTTTCCTGGCTGGATGCTTGCCCATCATGGCTGCAACACTTGTGAAGCCCGTCTCGACACCATCCGGCATGTTGAATTTCTTGGCGGGTTTCTTTTTTCGAGCTCGGCTTTTCTTTGGTTCTGGTAGCCCCGAAACCTGGGTGTTTTCTATCGGAATGTCCACAGGCCTCATGTCGACTTCCGGTCGAACATCTCTCGGTACTATCCTTGTGGAAAGGTCATGGCGGAAATTGAAGCGGCTTCCGTCGCAGATCATGACCTGCATTTTCTCGTAGCCGTCTTTGGATTTGGAGTAATTGTCCTCTTCCTTGCCTCTCATGAGAAGTAGGACGACACGTCCCGCTCGTTTTCTCCCCGTACGTCCCATTCTCTGGAGCATTCGAATTGGCGACGCAGAAGCATCATAACATATGATCAGGTCGACTTGACCAATATCCAGACCTTCTTCTCCGATGGAAGTTGCGACAAGCACATTGTAATCGCCGTTCTTGAATTTCTTGATCCTTTCGATCTGCTCAGCTTGCTTCATACCTGCTGACCTGGTGGAATCGGCCTGTCCCACGAACACTGCAGCCCGGATCATGGGTTTGTGGGTATTGAGAGTTCGCACAATATCCTCAGCGCTGTCTCGGTACTCGCTGAAGACGATGATCCTGGTGTTAGAGGAAGAACCGCCTTCTCGACCTTCGCCCGCATCCATAAAATGGTTTAAGACGGTATCGGATAAACAGGTAATCTTCGGGTGGCTGACAAAATTATCTTTCTTTGACCAAGCAGCAATTTTGGTCATCATCTCCTGGAAACTTGGGGCTTCGACAATCTGACGTTTGTACTTTGATCCCTTCTCGCCTTTGCCCTCTGTTTCGTCCCGGAACTGAACCAGGTTATCGTAGAATGGCCTGATGCCATGGAAGTTTAGCAACTTAATGCTGTGGGCCAAGCTGCCGAGTACGGCAAAGACGGCCATCATCATGAATTTGACTCCTTGGTTAGCAGAGTGCCCACCACGACTATTCCAGTCCTGCCGAGCTTTGACCAGACCATACGTGGTAAGCGACATTGGATCACGTCCAAAATATATGTTTTGCTGGCTCAGCTTGTCAACCAGGGGTTTCAACGCTTTAGAGAACATCTCCTTGATGTAATTCATTTCATCGGACGGGTCCAGGACAACAATATCTTCATCCCTCTGGTGGACGTATTGGCGGATGTCAATCGATTCCTCCGTGCGGATTTCCACGTGTGAAATACCCAAGTTGTCAATAACTTCTTGGACTGCCTCAACCTTGGAGCCAGGGGTGGCGGTGAGAGCAAGTATACGTAGGCTGGTCGAGAAGCGTCGTAAAAAGGTGACGACTTTTACATATGAGTAGTTTCCGGTTGCCCTGTGGGCCTCGTCCACAACGAGTAAACCGACAGACTTGGGGTCGGCGAATCCGGAGGAAAGATCGTTCTCCAGCGTCTGGGGAGTCATAAAGAAGACTCTCTTAGACTCCCATTCCTCAGCTCGGAGGGCTGGCGGTATCTCACCCGTCAGGAGGGTGGTCTGCGACCTGGGCATGCCAGCAATATGAAAGCAGGCGTCGACTTGCTGTGAGACAAGAGGTTTGGTAGGGGCCACGAAGATGATTTTGGCAGTCTTCATCCAGCGGAAGTAATTTAGCATGACGGTAGCCGCAATGAACGTTTTCCCCAATCCGGTCGGTAAGGCCACGAGAGTATTGTTAAACAGGCCATTCTTGACGATGCTATATTGGTAGTCACGGGTCGGGCCCAGATTTGTAGGGTATACCCACGTCTTCATCGCCTCCAGATCAACATCATGGTGAGTTGGTGCCTCTGGTGGTAAATCTGCGCGGAACACCCGATTCTTATTCGGCTGTGTAGATTCCGGTTCTTGACGTGCCAGAGCGGTTTGGCCAAATAGTGTTGTCTGTCTGTACGAAGTTGCTGGACCACCCACTGGTGGCGCTGGCCGAAAGCCTCTGCGGGCTTGGCCGCTCAGCGCCGCACTAGCGGGTGAACTCGAGAATGCATTCGAGGGGAGATCCGCGAGATCAACGAACGAGGAGGAGCCATTGAGGTTTGACGAGGTCTTTCGTACCTGCAACATGCGTCAGCCAGCCAGTTTCTCGAGATGGTTGTCCGCGGGAATATCTGAATTGCTATTCCGCCGGTACAAAGTGAGAGGGATTGAACAACGAGCAGGTTTGGTAACATAATGAACGAATGAGAATTGATCATACCGCTGATGTCGTCTGGCGTATCTGAGCTGGAGTGTGTTGGACGTGGGGCTGAAATCGCCCGTTATTGAGCTTGGCAGACTGGACGCGGTTTGAGGTTTGGACTTGCGTAGCGGCAATGATCAGATCCTCGTCGGCAATATCGTCGTCGAATTCATCTGAATCCATGATAATGGCTGGGTGGAGGTCGCATGACTGGGCGCGTCGATGAGTGTTAAAGGGCCGGTGATCCGATGATGGATCTAACACGCATCCATGGATGAGATGCTCTTCCAGACGACGCGTCGGGGGTGAGAATCGGGGGTGAGAATGCCGACTGCCTGTACTCGCTTGGACCATGTCGCGAAGTCAGCTGACCCAGCTCTGCCTTCGGTAGTTGCCTGGCGGGCCCTAGCAGTGCCTGATTTGACTTCTGCCAATCATTGCTGCCCTGATGCGGTCAAAGGCGGGGCACACAGGTGAGTCAACTCTTCAGGTACACGTGGTCTGTGCATTAAAGATCAGCTAGACCTCCAGCTTTCTTTCGCTGCTTCCATTTTATCTCTGCAGTCTTTGTCCCGACGTCACTCTCGTCTTTCCACCGTCTCCAATCCACCTCCGCCTCCGCGACTGCTATTGTTCTCTGCAGCAATCGCGCGGAAGCGTAAGGTTCTGATTCCTGCCTAATAGTTACTCTCTTTCTTCTCCACCTTCCGAATCGTCTCTGGAACCGCCGCACCTGCAACCTTCTCCCTCCAGAGACGTCTCGACCAGCGACCGAATGATCACCACCTCTACCGGTACTGGAAGTTAGCCTCGTCCGACGGCACTTCTCATAACCACCCTCACTCGTCCCACCTACGACCTTGCCCACCTACGATTACTTCTATCTACGATCTCTCGGAAGCGCATTGTCTCGTCCGTCGCTATTGTTGTTTCGCCTTTATCTACACTCATTCCGGTCGCCTTTGACGACCCCAGCGTCCTCTTCGCTATTCACTTCCCTCTCGCCCGACATCACCTACGTCCTCCTGCCATCCACCGCAATGGCTCCTCCTACCGGCCCGAGAAAAGGCTCTGCCCCCTCCGGCGCGCGCAACCCCCGAAACTCTGCGACAAACGGTGGAAAGGCCACTACTCGAAGCGGTGTCGCGAAGCGCCGAGGCGCAGGTGCAGTGAGAACCGATCGAGATGGCGACCTGGATATGGACGGTCCTACTGGAACGAACGGCTCGTCTCGCGGTGGCAGGCGTGGCAACAACCACTCTGCCCAATCTGGACAGGCATCCCGCCCGCCTCCTCGATCAGCTGCGACATCTTCCCGGGGCCCGCGGCCCACCGCGAAGGCGCAACAAATCATCCAACGAGCCCTCAACGGCGGCCCCGGTGGCATGTCTTCCCGCATCACGTCCGCACGGGATCGTCGTGCTCCTGCTACCATGACGCTGGTAGTAGAGGGGTTGATGTCGAGCAAGGCTGCCAGCAACGAAGGAGGTGGACTCAAGGAACTGCTGACCTTCCTGGAACGAAAAGCGCAAACCGTTGGACAGACCGCTCGGCACATCAGAATAAAGAAGGTATGTCTTAGTATCCTAACCGAGGATCTGGGAGGTCACGAAGCGACGCAATTTCTCCGCAATCGTTATGCCATTTAGCTCGCAAAAAACGAGGAGACAGACAATCTCGACCGAGCCACGTGCCTATCCCGGAATCCTAGATTATTATCAAGGTTTCATTACCTTGCTAACATCTAGCAGTCACATATAAAGGGTGACTTCGTTTACATCACGTCAACCAAGGAAGATGCGGAGGAGATACTCAAGGTTAACGGCTTTGCGTTTGCCGGAACAACGCTCCGCATCTCACAGTCTGCGGACACAACCCCCGTCGGTGGTTCTGATGCGCTATCCTCGACGCTGTCCTCGAACGCTCTCGAGATCAAACAACACCTACGAGGCGTCCTTAGCATGCGTTACGATGTCAACGCAAAGCTGCTGAACCTCTCTGCCCTCGGCGAAGATCCAGCTCTCGCTCAGAGGGGGTTTTTCAATGGAGAAAGCACGCCCGAGAAGTTGTTTCGTACGTTGATGGCCATTTGCGAGCAACTGTTCAAGACGCCTCAAGCGAAACGCGATGCGGTCGTCAGTATCAGTCTTTCCGGCAACAACGTCGACGACGTGCTTCAGATCATGTCTCTGACCGACACCTTCCCCGACTTGGTCAACCTGGACCTCAGCCAGAATCAGTTCAAGGATATTAAGGGTCTCCAAAAGTGGCGCCATCGCCTCCGCAACTGCCAGACTCTCCTTCTCAACGACAACCCCATCGAAGTTATGGATCCTAGCTACAAAGAAGAACTGACGTCTTGGTTTCCGAAGCTTCTGAATCTCAGCGGCGTTCAGGTTAGAACAGCTGAACAGGTAGCCGCAGAAGAAGCTGCAACCAGGCCCACTCCGATCCCGCAGAGCGGTGCTGACTTCCGGGATATCAACGGAGTCGGCGAAAACTTCATCACGGAGTTTATTCAAATGTACGACGCAGGTCGGAACAGTTTGGCAGCCAAATACTATGACGACCAAAGCACGTTCTCCATTGCCGTCAACTCCCGCTCTCCACACGCACCTGATCTTCATCCACCAACATGGGGTGCCTATATCAAGTTCTCGCGGAACCACACCAAGATCACACATACATCAGCTCGACAGCAGCGCTTGTTCACTGGCACTCATTTGATCCAGGGTGTGTGGCAGCAGCTTCCTCCCACCCGACACCCGGATCTGCCAACTCAGTTAGACAAGTACATCATCGACTGTCATCCTGTTCATGGGCTTGCGGATCCGACAGGTCAGAATCCGATCGGGGTTGACGGGATCATCATCACCATCCATGGCGAGTTTGAGGATCAAGAGCCCGATACTATGAAGACGGCTAAGCGAAGCTTCTCACGTACCTTCGTTCTTGGTCCCGGTGTACCTGGACGGAACCCCATCCGTGTCATCAGCGATCTGCTCTCCCTCAAGGTATACAACCTTCTACCGGCATCAGTATCTGCACCAGCTTCGCAGCCTAGTGAGGAAGTACAGAAGCAGCAGATGATCATAGAACTGTGCAAGCAGACGAGCATGAACGCCGAATACTCGCGGCTGTGCCTAGATGTTGCCAACTGGAACTTCGATCAGGCTCTGGTCACATTCAACGAGAAACGAGTAAGTATTCCACCCGTAGCGCACTCTCACAATTGCTAACGAACATCAAATAGGCTCAGCTACCCGCTGAAGCATTCGCGACAGCCCCATAAGCGCATCGTGACGAGGAGAACCCAGCCTTCTGGAGAACACGGCGCCAGAGAACACTGCATCGGCCAAGGAGTCAAGGGGTTTTTGATTTCGGATCATGAGGAAAGCGACTGATTTTGGGAGACGTCATGGATTGTGTTGCGTCTACTTGTATCTATATATGGCTAAGGCCTCCGGATGGTATGGTCGATTGCGTCTCTCACAGGTCAGGGAAGAAACATTTCCCATATGATTGAGAGACGAAGCAAGGAGGACCGGAAGTCTCAAGCGTCGTCAACTACGGACCAGGAACTCCAGGGTTTACTTGGTTTCGACGATGATCCTCGACCTTGGCGGGATGGTAGCGACAAATAAGCGCAAAACCACGCGCCAGGGGAATCACGTTGATGTAGTAATGATAACATCTCTAACAGAGCATAATTCATGTTGCGTGTCTGAAAGTGAATAGTCGTCCGGGAAAGATAAGAAACGAATGTCGACAGCAGCATCTTCCGTTATGGGAAGCCTGACCTTGGAAGGGCATGTACATGTTCACACATCTCTACCGTATATAGGAGCAGATTGGCATCGGTCACAGCCAACCCTTCTCCCCGACTGGTACGCACGAACTGGATGACTGGTTGACGGGTCCTCCCTCGTTCCTTCATCATCTTGCATGCTTTTCCCGTTTCCACTAGATGTCTTCATGTACACTTGTTAGTCTCAAGCAGTTAGGCCTATGATATCCATCTATGTAGACAAGCTTATCAGCTCGCTCCGGTCTGCGCTGCGCGCAGCCCAGAGAGTTGGGGTCAACGCATCCCATTGAAACACATCCACCTGGGATGTACTTTAAAACAGGTGGCATTATCACCTAAAGGCAGATATCATTCAATGAACACTGCTCCACGCATACGGGTAGGGTCCGACCACCTGGGAACACCACCACCTGGGAACACCACCACCTGGGAACACCACCACCTGAATGATACTTAGAGATAGGAAGCATAATTTTTTAAAAATATGTACTATTTATTAAACGCTGCTTTGCAGCGAGCCAGGCGACGCCGCTTCCCTCCGAGAAGCGGCACTGCTGGCCCTAAAAGGGGTGACGTAATACCGGCTCTGCTAGCCTTAAAGCGGTTCCGCGACAATAGTACTTACAACTGCATTTAATATATACCTATTTTAAGGTATATTTATCTAGCTAGCTAGGTAACTTTTGAAAGATTACGTAATAATAGCCTTAATAGTTATATTATAGCCGTATAGTTATAATAGTATGTACGGGCTTTATTTTTACACTTTAAATTACTTTTTTTAGCGGCGATGTAAATAAAAAAATGAATAATTTAAACGGTCAAATAAATTATTTATTACATAACGTTTTTCTACAAATTTCGATTAAATACACTTAGTAGCTATTTAATTATAAAGGTAAACTTTTAAAATTTTAAAGTAAAACTAATCTATTAAAATTAGTTAGTTTTAATTGTAGTAGTATATTTATATTAAAGAAGACTACGATGATAGCCCGAGCCTCGTGCGGATTCCCGCAGCGTGGGCACCGGGAATGCCAGCCGATGCCGGCCCGGCAACGGCAAACTCGGGCCCATAAATTCCGAGTCTGGTGGGAGAAAAGCAGCTCCACAGATTTTTCACTCGACCAACTCTCAACCAACAACCTACCTCCACCCTCATCACTCAGAACAATCCGCGCATCTCGTCTCATCGTATGCCACCACACCACAAGAATCGCCTACAAACAACGCAACCATGCCTATCAGCAAGAAAGACAGAGTAAGTCCCTGGAATTATGATGAGCACCGAGCCCTCCCTCACCGCAAGGCGAGTCCGCAGCGCTGACGCCGCCTCCCAGATAGCCCGCAAACACAAGGCCGACGACCTGGCTGGCAAGAGAGCGCCCGTCAAGGCCAACGGTTTGCCCGTCAAGGCGCCCAAGCCGACCTCCATCGTAAGCTCGCGCACCATCTTTATCATCCATCTCAGGTCGCGACGTGATATGCGGCGGTTAGCCCCTGCCGTGATGCTAATAGTGGGGTTTGTTTGTACAGTGCCAGAACTGCAGAAAGGAGATCATCAACACGAACAAGATCCAGCTCGAGGTCCACGCCCAGACGCACAACGAGAAGCTCTGGCCCAAGGAGAAGTGCTGGCCCAACGACTTCCAATGATTTCTCTTGTCATGGAGCATGAGTGAGCGGCGTGGCCGTGGGTTGAGGAGTTTCAGCCTGGTCGGCAGAATTTGAGCATCTTAGACGTGGGTGAAGAAGGCTGTGGCGCTAGACGAAGCTCCCATGATGTTGATTCTACGTGCCTGGAGAGTACGCGGCGTTTGAGGGTAGAGGGTACACCTCGATCTGGCGATGATCCACGCGATCGGTGCAGCCTACGCTAAGCAGAAAATCAGAAGATATGACATGATGCCCTCATAGCACGCTGATGTGAAGACAGGGTAGAGCTTCAGGACGCATTGCTTAATTTCCGGAACCCTGTGCGATGGTGATAACTGGTGACCGATCGAAATTGCCTGACGATGATGTCGATATCACAGACTTGATGAGTTGCCACCAGAGACCTCGAAACTCTGCCGATGGGTAACCTACGGTATGGATGGCGCTGAAGTCACTAACTTTTCATCATTGCATGGTAGAGCTGTAATATTGTAATTCGCAAAGGCTATTACACGCAACATTCCGTCAGACCATGTCACGGCGAGCATACTGGGGAGCTGGGACATGGCCTGCAGCAAGCAGCTATTACTCTATTGACGAGAATATCAAGACTAGAGAGGAAAGGAAGAGAGAGAGAGAGATAGGTACAGTGGGAGGTTGCCCCTTTAAGGGGATCCTCTGGTCAGATCCTTCCCCTATTGGGAAGTATCCGCTTGTCATGTGGGAAGGTCTGTGCAGGCCGTCACAGACCATGTCAAATAGACCCCTCGCCTCGAGGGCGAAACCTCAGATACGGACCAACGTGTGATGCCCCGAACATGTCATACAGGTTGTAACCATTCTCCCCGTATGGACTATCATTCCGTGTACTCTGCCCTTTGAGACCAAGCTTCCCAGGGGCCATTTCAAAGTCAAAATACCAAAGCGTCTTTGCGATGATGAGGCTCATCTCCAAATATGCCAGAACCTTGCCAGGGCATCCACGAGTCCCAATGGAGAATGGTACAAAAGCCCCCCTCGTGGTTTTGGCAGCAAGACTACTGCCGACGAGCCATCGCTCTGGTCTGAAAGTGTGGGGTTCTGGAAAGTAGTCTTCGTTATGGTGAAGAGCGTACGTGTTCACGCCGAGTTGAGTGCCTCGAGGAATCAGATGGCCGTCCACCACGAGTGGGCCGCTGTCTTCAGAAGCTTGTTCCCACCATAGTGTACCAGGGATTGGTGGTGATAGCCTCAGAGTCTCGTCAATTGTTGCTCGCAGATATCGGCAGCTTGCGAGCTGTGCAGAGCTGGTTATGCTTGCACCGTCACTGAACGTGGATCGGATCTCTGCGGCCAGCTGTCGATAGCATTCTGGGTTCCTCGACAGATGGAAGAACTGGGCGCTGATCCCGCACGCTATGGTATCGCCTCCTGGATGTGTCAGCCGCCGTTCGCGAAGATCATGGATGCTGGAGGGAGGTAGTTACAGACCTGCAATTAGAAAGAATGCCCCTTCGGACCACACCTCACTCAGCGGCATGTCATCCGGCAGAAACGACAAAAGATCATGCTCTGCGTGCTTAGAACGGACGTCCTTGACCTGATCATCTCGTCCAGCGCCTGGAAAAAGCTGTTTCCAGGGATAAGAGCAAAGAGCACATAAAGGAGAGCCTGCACCCCGATTTTCCTCAAAAAGGGTACCTGCATAAAGAAGTTGAACTGGTAATTTCCCACCTCCACCGCGTCGAGCAGAGGGCGGTACGCCGCACTCGTCTGCAAACCCAGAGAGTGTCCAAATGCCAGACGTACAGCCACCTCCATCCCGAACCTTCTGCTCCGGTCGGATATATTCACGGGTTCGGAATTCGCGGGTTCAGATGACGCAGAGTTCATAAGCTGGTGTAGGAAGATGTCGACCTGCTCTGCTAGGACAGGTTCGAAAGCCCGGACAGAACTCTCGCTGAGGACCTGACTGATGGCCCTACGCTTTGAATGATGCATGCGCGGATCTAGTGCGTTGAAAATGCTGTAGACATTCGGCGCGGCCTACGAAGCTAAGTGCCCGTGTGACTTTGTGACGACGCTGTTCTGATATATATCTGCAACGGTCAGTTGACTAACTCATAACTTATAAGGGACTGAGCATCTGGGAACCAACCACGCAGAGCAGTGACTGTGTGGAACATGAGCTTATTGGGCCCTTGCCTTACCATGGGTCCTATTAGGCGTATAGTTATCAGCTACACCCCGCAACGAAGGCTTGGTCTTGAGTTACATGTGCTGACGTACCGTACTGAGTGTGGTTTCCCCATGCCCTCAAATGGAGATCACCCTTGATGGCTCCATACCCGGCGTACCAGTCAGTTAACTTGGCACCAGCAGGGCCAGAGTAGTGCCTTAGAGGGTGTAAGAGAGTTCGATACAATGCTAGGAATACACACTGCAAAGGGAGCAAGTTAGCTGAAATTCACCGCAGACTGGACGGGCCCGAGCATACGTATCCGAGCAATAGGCAGATACCATACTCCGTGCTCTTCAGTACTTGAGCAATAAAATACATTCTAACGAGATCGTTAGAAATGCAGGTACACTGTAGGGCTGGAAGCCGGTTAGATACTGACTCCCTGCGATGCTCAAACTAATACGCAGGTAGAGGTAGGTAAGTAAGGATTTGGACAGCGTCAAGCTCGATCCCAAGAAGGCATCACAGCGAAGAACAACTCTACTGGCCAACTTCTTTGGCCGTCCGCTGCGGCAGGCCTCTGTCGCTATTGCGTATGGCCCCCCAGAATGACAGAGTGGGAAAGTTGCATCTTCAAATATGCATCTAAAAGATACATAGCTGTGAACTCCAATTAAGGTAGTTGCAGTGCGGTTTCGCTTCCCCTTTGCCGAACCCCGAACTTACAAGGAAGAGTCCAAGGCAACTAAGAGGAACGATACCCGGCGTCAGATACCCGATCAATCGGATCTGGCGGGACGACGCGCGAAGGCTGCGGATCCTAAAAGTACCATACGTTGAGGGACTCAATGGCGGCTCGGGTTTTAGACCGGTAGCCATAGATATCGCGATGCACCTGCCAGCAATGAGGCTGTGTACATGGGTTTGTCGCTCCTATGTACCTGGTAGGTCTCCCTAGGCAGGCAAGGAACTTCTATTCCCATCACATCCAGCACGTGGACGATGTGAGGCCACTAGGCCCCAACCCAGAACTGCACAAGTCTCGCAGCAAAGGGGAGAAGACACCGCTCCGATCTGATACGATATTCGTGATTGGGCATGCTGCATAGACGACACACAGCTATGGTAACCACACACAGCCTCACAAAAACAACTATTTTTCTTGGCGCCCCGCTGTTAGGGCGCAATCTTGATATTTGCATCAAAGTAGGCACTTCTCTCAGTAACTGACTATCTCTGCCAAGGCACAAGAGAATTTTCTCATAAGCCGGATGGCACCCTTCCACAACGGCCCCCAAACACGCCCATGGCCGTCCCAAAGACGACCACCGGCGGCGTGCTCAAATCCCCGGCCCCTAGAAAGACATACGGCCCGGCAACTCCGAGCAGGCTCCGCCAGGCGCTGCTTGACGACATCAACAACAGCCCGTCACAGGTCTCTGAGGCTGACTTCACCGTTATTTCCCCTCTGAAAGGAAAATCCTGAAATATCAATGACAGCAGCACCACTAGAATGAAACGACCTCAATTAAACGAAATCTCGACAGACCAAGCCATTACACGCGGTATAGAGAATAAAACCTCCTCCTCAGAGTGCCAGGACCAAGTTGCCAGAATACTGGCTAAAGACAAGCACCTTTATAAAGTCAGGATAACAATGTTTCAAGAGTGTACTGCAGCGGTTGATAAGATACTTGAGAAAGCTGGAACCAAACTATACTCTTATGCCAAGGAGTTCAGCACTTTCTTCTCTAAATGTCTGAACAAGTGGCTGGAAACCCGAGATCCGCCCAAAAAGAAGACCATTCCTGGGGGGATAGGGATGGTAAAGCCCACTATGACCTTTGCTCAAGCTCTCTCCTCTAGCCAACGACAGCATCCACGGACAGTCAACACTACCATAAAGAAAACACAGCCTGGCGCCCGCATCACTGCCAACCAATTGAAGAAGAAGTAGGATGATCTCTGGGTCTTTGTCCGCATGGATAATAGCCACTTAGAGCCTTACAGAATAAAGTCTATACTGAACAGAAGACTTAAGCTCCACCCTCAAGAGCTTAGAGAAGTGACCCGGTGCCCCTCCGGATTTACCTTACATCTAAGGGACAAGCCAACTCAGGCTAAGTTTCTGGCCTCCCAAAAAAAAAATCACTGACATTCTTAAGGCATAAAAGATCAAGACCCACACGGTCTGACATCACTACAAGGTTAATAGATGCCCCAAAAAGGTCATCAGTACAGAAGGGTTGACAATCAATATTACTGACATTACTGTTGCTGATAAAGTTGAAGCCCAAACAGGTGACAGACCTTTAAGGTACATACTCTCAAGGAACACAGTTAATCCTGATCTATAGACCACATGGGTGATCTTTCTGCCCTGTACAGCAAAGAAACCATTCACGCTTTTTGCTCACTTAATGACCTCAAGGCACATTCAATACTCCCCCAAGGTTCACCAGTGTGCGAGCTGCTTTAGATACCATGGTAAGAACTACTGATGTGAAAAGTAAGTATGTGCACGTTGCGCCAGCACAGTACACCAGAGGGAGTACAAAAAACCAATCCCAAAGTGTGTCAACTGCAAAGGACCTCATGCTGCTGACTTTGACAAATGCCCTGTACGCCCCAAGGTTATGAAAGATATCATCCATAAGCACACATAGGAGCAAATCCAGGAAATAAGGCTGGCCAGAGAAAGAGCCAGATCCAAGGCCTTTAATAAAACAGGCAGAAACCAAGCTGGGTCAACACCCAGTAACAATAACAAAGACATCACAATACAAATCGACACAACAGATACAACTCATCCCAGAGATGCCGATACCATTGTTGTCAGTCAATGTTAGGTACATCAAACGAAACACATCGATACGGGCATCTAGTCATCCATTCTGTGAATATAGCAGGAGGACAAAAGAGTACAGGTCCTACAGAGTTAGTCATCAACCTGACTGACTATAAAGGAGAACAAGCAGACATCATTCTGATACAAAAGCCCTGGGTTGGCATACCACCAGGCAGGAGAATGGGAGTAAAGACATATCCTAATTACGATATATACTCCCCAGTGGATTCCTGATATAGCGACAGTACACAGCCCAGATCTCTCATCTATGTGAGAAAACACCTTTAAGCGGATCAACTTCGGCCCTATGCTACACAAGATATCACCTGGGTCAAGGTACAAGGTATTATATTTGCCAGTGTCTACCGGCCATATGACAACCCACAGGAAGTGGATGATATTCTAGAAGTATGGACTCCACCTTTTGGCTGCGTTATAGCTGGAGATTTCAATGCTAGCGACACATCCTGGGACTCGAGCAATCCAGGATATCATGGTGATGTCATACTTGCACAGACTATGGCAGACCACGGACTGGATCTGATTTCTGAACCAGATGTCCCAACACATGATGACAGAAATGTACTAGATCTGGTGTTCTCAGATGTCTCTATGGCTGAAGCCTCAGTTAATAATGCACTTTAGTGCACCTCAGATCATGAGACATTACGAATAGTGTTGAATAGGAGCCGGAGATAGACACCGGAAGATCTCCAGTGGGGCAGAGACGCACAGGGCATCTGACCCACCAAGAAGACAGACAATCAATCTCTACACACAGAACAGAACAATCAATAGCATCAATCAACATCCGTGTATTTAACAAATAATCATTCCAATTCAGGGAGATCTGGATCGAATCCCCAAGGCCAATCATTGGATAGTACCGGACGATAAACTACAAGAGCTGGCAGATAATGTCCAAACCAGGATTCATGAGCTCCCCCAGCTGGGTGTATCCCCTGGCCAGGTGGATGCCTCTACACAGAGCTTGATCAACATGATCCAAGGCTGTATCAGGACAATGGGCAAAAAGCCCTGACAATCTAGGCCCACTGCTTGGTGGAATGATGACTGCAAAGCAGCTATTCAGACATACAGGGCCCTTTCTAAACAGACTATAAGCCAAGAAGGGCGGAATTCAGCCTGACAGGAATTTTGTCGCGTGATTCAGAAAGCTAGGAGAGAATACTGGCAGACTCTAATCAATTCAATAATTAAGCCAAAGGACCTATACAGAATTGTCTCTTGGCACAAGCTATCAGCAGGATTGTGTTCCCCCCCAATCATCATAGGAGACCAAATATTCGAGTCACAAGAGAGCAAGGCAAATGCATTACGCTCAGCCACGCTTGAACGAAGTACCTCAGACAACGATATCATCGACCCCTGGTCCGCTCAGATCATACAACCCAAGCCACACATCCCCCTTGAATACCACGTCGGACTGGAAGAGGCTGAAGGGTGCACTTTAGGAACCAAGAGCAACTCCCCGGGAGTAGATACCCTCACAGTACGGATTCTGAAAGCTTGCTGGCCAGTCATTGGTGAACATATCAGAGCCCTTTTCCAGACCTGCCTACTGATTGGACACCACCCGAAACCATTCAAAATGGCTGAGATAGTGATGACCCCAAAACCAGGCAAGAAAGACTATTCCAATCCTAGGGCCTACAGACCAATATCGCTATTGTCATGTCTTGGCAAAGGCCTAGAACGACTCATTACAAAAAGAATTACCTGGTTTATTATTAAACTTGGAATTCTAGCTCCACAATATTTTGGAGCTCTACTAAAGCGCTCTGCCACTGACCTGGTAGCTGCACTCATACACGATATTGAGCAGACCCTCGACCAAGGCCTCGTTGCAACGGTAGTCACGTCAGATGTGAAAAGGGCCTTTGATGCTGCCCTAATGGGACGACTGGTGGTTCGCATGAGAGAACAGGGCTGGCCAGGCTTTCTTATAAGATGGGTTCAGTCATTCATGTCCGAGCGGTCCGCAAGGGTTCGGTTTAAAGGTATCATGACTGATATAAAAGCTCTTATTTGCGGGCTATCACAAGGGTCACCAGCCTCTCCTATCATTTATATGCTGTATACTGAGCCAATCTGTGCTTGACTTGGCATGAAAAGAAGACGCTTTGTATATGCAGACAACCTAGCAACTCTCTGTATTAGAAAGAACCTTAAAAAATAGCTATAGAGACTTCTAAAAATCTTTATTTGTTTAATCAATAGGGACATAATAACACTATTGAATTTGACCCTAACAAAACTGAGATCATGCATGTGAGGGCAGTATGAAGGCACACACCAGCGCAACCTACTGCGCCCCACATCACACCCTGGCCAGGGGTTCATCTAGATAGCTCTGTCTCCCACCTGTATCTAGCTCTCTTTCCTTCCTTTCTTCATCTTCGATATTTTCGTCTATAGAGTCGGTTACCCCCTTGTCGTCTGCTTTGTCTCGTCTTAGGTGCCACTCGCCGTGACAATGCACTTCTTGTGAAAAAAGAACTCAGATAAT